CTCCCTGAGCAGCACTGAGCAAAGATGCATGCTCCCTGAGCCGGACTGAGTCTGCCTGAGGAGGTCCTGATGTAACCCTAAGTTAGGCCTGAAACAGGCTATTCTAAGTAAGGATAGGAAGAAGGCTTGAATAGAGAAAAATTACTTACATTATATCACCCTCTATAGAGCCAGGGCCGTAAAGGGTAGATAGAAATGCTACTAACAACAAGCAGAGTGTAACTGCTACAGACAATCCTAATGTACAGCGCCAGCAGCTACGCAATTACAATGTGCACACACAGGCCAAGGTTGATTTTAGAGGATTGCCTGCTACCAGAGCTGGAGTAGCAGCTATATCCTCTAGGTTCACCTAATGAGACCTGACTACCCCAACCTTTGGAGCATATGAAGTTGGCATCGGCGTTAGACCTGTGATCTGGTAGTACCATTAAAACCGACGCAGGTATGACTGTAGCGAGCTCAGCAAACATGCCCGACACAACTCACGGTTCTGTGCATTCTGAATCACCACCCCACCTCACTGTGGATGTATTCTCATCCCTTGCCATCATCACTACATCCGATGTGTTTATCAGATAATCCCCTGTCGGTATACCGTCATAGAGGTACCAGCAGCCTACGAATGGTATACCCTTGAATGCCAGCGATTCCAGTGCAGATATACAGAACTGTGCGCTGAACGTACATGTCACTGCCTCTGATCCTTTGATCCATCTGATTCCCGAGGATACTGATCCATGACAACCGACGAGTTAGGAGTGACGAGGAAATTCGTGACACATCTTTGCTAGTGTAAGTAGATTACGATTACATTTGCTTGTACAGATGTGTATTAGCGAATAAGTTAATAGGCTATATGTTTTCTTAACGATCTAATGACTTAAAGTTTGAGAGTCAGCATGTTATGTTATGTATCAGACGATCAGGACGCTAAACGGCCCGATATGTAAATGGCTCACCCTGTGGTGCCTGCATCCACTCTCCTCAACCATGTCCGATGAATTATGTATAAGTAATGCAAGATATTGTAACAAACTAAATACAAGAAAATGTCGAATATTGTCGATGCAGAGTTCCCAGTCTTAAACAGACCCATTAATGAAACTTGGTTTTGATGCTTGCTCTACAGCTCTGCTACGCCACAAAAGAGTGAGCCAAGTTGTGATTGACACAATTGACACTGTAATGTCGTGTCAGGTTTAGGAAATAGTTGCTGCGATAGAAGAGCTGAAGCTTCTACAGCTGGGTCTGACATAGCCGTTATGAATCGTCGACAGCATCTAGACCTTCGAAACACACTACTGCACCCCGCATTTGCTTGAACTTGATAACCGGGGTGTAGATCTGCATCTACTTAAATAGTTCAAGGTGCGCAGTCTGGGGTATTGTGAAAAGGAGACCAACTCTTGGTACCTCTAATACCTCCTTGTACGATTTCTTACCAGTTGCGATAGACGCCATGAGTATCATCACAAGACTGCTGCAATCTGGTGGCGACAATGACGGACATTCGAAGAAGCTTAACGCCTACAATGCGTGGATGATTCTGTTCGTCTCAATTGGCTCTTTATGCTACGGATATACCGCAAATGTTATTAGTGCTACACTTGGTGAGTTTAGATTCATTCCCAGACACAGCGCCTACTAATTGTTCTAGCTCAACCGACTTTCCTTACATACTTTGAGCTAGACACCCGATCAGACGCATTGGCACTCATATCCGCAACAAATGGTATATTCCAGACTGGCGGTGTCCTAGGCACCTTGACCTTGGCCTTTTTCAGCGATAAATTTGGGCGCAAAGGTGGTCTTGCCATCGTAAGTCTTCTTGGATCTTTGAAAATTGGGAAAAGTAACATGTTGGGTAGAGCGCACTGCTCATTCTGATTTCCGGCGCCCTTCTTGCTGGAAGCGTGAACATCGGCATGTTTTTGGCGTTTCGCTTTTTCGCTGGTGCTGGTGCATTCATGATTCTCGCTGCCGTACCTATATGGATGGCAGAGGTCGTACCTCCATACCTGCGAGGAGCGCTCGTGCAAATTCATGCCATTGTGCTTGTACTCGGATATAACTGTGCTTCATGGCTTGGATTCGGCATTTTCCATTGGGAGAATGGTGGTTCAGCTACATGGCGCATTCCCTTCGCCATCCAATGCTTCTGGCCACTTTGTCTTCTAATTGGGCTGTACTGGTGTCCTGAGAGTCGTATGTTGCAATTCCTTGATTTCGGCCGTGAACCAAACTAATGCTTGTACAGCTAGGTGGCTCATCCTCAATGGAAGGAACGATGAAGCGCACAAGATCTTACTGCGTCTCCACAATGATGCTGAAGACCCAGAACACACGTTTGCAAGGACAGAGTTCCTATCTATCACTAAGCAGGTTAGTGTTGTATGTGCGTCAAAGTTTTCTGCTACTAACAACACTTTTTAGCTTGCTATTGATCGCACACTGCCTAGCAGTTGGATGCACATCTTCCGTAAGCCCTCTTTGCGCAAGCGCGCACTCATCACGATAGGCACTACTGGCTTTATACAATGTTCAGGGTAAGTTACTAGTTGAATTCATTACAATAGTCTAAATAACTAACGTTACAAAAATAGTATCCTAGTAGTAAACAACTATGGTACGATAAATCTTAAGTTTAATTGTGTTGGGTATAGTTATAAATCATCAATTCATAAAACTGATTATCAATTAGGTCCATTGCTCTACAAGAACCTTGGGTACGATACCAGGACACAATTGTTGTACGGTGCGGCGTGGCTTACATTTGCCGTTGGCTTGAATGGTATGATACCCCCGATTATACTGATTATGTCTACGGGTTTCTAACAAGCCGGTAGCGATGGGTGCATTCCTGAACGACCACTATCCACGTAATAAATTCATGTCTATTGGTGTCTTGGGTTGCATGATTGTCCTTTCCGTTGAAGCCGGCATCATTGCAAACGTTGCCAAATTCATCGCAGACGGCAATGGAAATGGACTTCGAGCAGGAGTCGCATTCCTTTTCCTCATTGAAATCCCCTACGACTTCTTCCTAAATGGGATGCAGTTCATCTACATCAGCGAGGTCTGGCCGATGCACCTCCGGGCAAAGGGAATGAGCTTGGGTGTTGCAATGATCTCACTCATGAACATTGTCTGGCTTCAATCCGCGCCTGAAGCATTTGCTAACATTGGCTGGAAATTCTATCTTGCCTTCATCGTTCCTGGAACAATCGGATCCGTGGTTATGTGGTTATTCTTTCCAGATACCCTTGGCCTGCCTCTGGAAGAAGTCGCTGCCATATTTGGAGATCACGACGAAGTGGCTGGATACATGCGCGATATCCAGCTGAGTTCGGATGAGGTTGAGAAGGGTGCGATGGCTGGAAGAAACAACGAGCAGGCCAACATTAAGGAATCTCATACCGAAAGAATTGAGACCGTAGCATGAGAGGCCTTTTCTTGGTTTCAAGATGACCATTTGATGAGAGGCAATCCCGTGAGTTGATAACTCAGCTCTGAGCCTTGAATGAACGTTCGTTCACTAGGATAACACTTTGTACTACAAAGGAATCTGTTTTTATTTGATAGAAGGTAATAGTACGTAACAGAGCGCGAATGATGGAAAGGTGTCTGCCCCGTTCGCAGATTGCCCAATCACTTCAGTGTCAAGATATGGTAGAGCGCGTGACATACACATCGGTCATGGCGTCAGACTGTATCTACGTTTAGTCCTTGTTGACATACTTATATGCATTCCGTTGGCTAGACTGTTGTTATCTTCAAGTTGTTATCTTCAATCTGATTGAGGATGAGGGCAATGTTTCACGACTTTGCAAAACCCATCAGCTGGTTGATAGTGAGTTTTACAACAATAAACAATCACGCTATAGATCAAGCTTCAAGCCAAGCCAGCTTTAAATAAGCAATCAGGTCAAACAAGTCAAGCGCAACGACTCCAAATCAAACCTCAAGCCAAGCCGACAACGAGGACTTGATCGGCTTGGTCGTTGACACCTCTGTGCATTATGGTACCTGGCTGCTATTGTGAGACAATTTACACTGCTAAGGAATCCCTTCTTAGTGTGTATACAGGGCTATTCTAAACTAGAACGTCATGTAATAACTAGAGTAGATCAACCGTTATATCTACCATTGCAATTCTTAGTTCCTCGAGCTCATTTACTACCTTTCTACAGATCATATGTTCGTACTTGTCAGCTTCTACAAGATGGTCATCCTTTAGCGAGCAGTCCAGACATAGTCGCACAACGGCTCTATATCGCGACCCTAGGTTACTGCTGATGTCGTTGCAAAGCCTGTCAGCGACGAACCATCGCTCTAGCTCCGGGTTTTCATCACAGAGACGAGCTTCTTCTGGGCTGAGGAGTTCCTCCATCTCGGCTTGATATGCAATCTCTATGAAGAGTATTGCAAGTTGGAAGAGGTATTCGTTTTTGACAAATGATTCGCACACGTTATCAAGAGCATCGTCCTCTTCTACGTCCTTGGGCGATGGCTGCAGAGAACCCTTGATCTGCACGTTGAGATACGGTGCAGAGAGTATACTTCGAACTTTTCCTATATCTTCGGGATGGCGGAAGAAAATGATGTCGTCACCTCCCCAGTAATGCTGTAGAAGAGGTGAATTCTGGAATTGCAGCATTGCTGAGGCCAGCTGCTTCGCGAGCTCCACTCGTTCGTATTGGAATGACTTTCTTTCGGGGATACGAACGATCGTTGCGAGGACGTCATAGAAAGACGTGACTTGGCATTGACCAAGCCTCTGGTATGCATTGCTAAAGTATACCTGATGTTCCTTATTTTCTTCTATCCGAAAGAAACCAAGGTAGCGATGTGGGTCTAGGCATTGTGCTTGATTATATGCCATTATTCGGCTGCAGAAGTTGGTCCGGGCCGAAAAGTCGACGCCTTTTGCCAAGCTGGAACACACCGCAAATGGCATGGAGTCGTGCCCTGCTGCAGGTAACTTGGTAGTAACATCCAGCTGCACTATCTCTCTCTCAGTTTGCTGTTTGACTCGTTTGTTTTGAGACAAGTCTGCTTCACCATTCCGATCATATGTTCCTACAAGTTTCCTTTTGGTGCTGAGTGCTCTAAGTTTCGAAACCTTGTGCATTCTTCGGTCGTCAGCGGAACGACTCTCTTTGCAGGGAGATTTGATCGATAGCCAAGCGCTATCAAATGCAGCGTCACCTGGAGATAGAGTTGTATTATCTCCTGAGAATCGAACCTGGAAGTCTATAAATGTCCGAGAACCACGTTTGATAGCATGGTAAGGCTGCAGCTGGAACTGAGCCGAGTGAGACGCGTGGTCGCTACATGCTTTCGCGAGTGCCCAATAAACCTCGCTTGATAGCCCTCGCACCAAGCGACTTCGTGAAACAGTAGGATCAATAAGTAGGGAATCCTCTATAGGGCTATCTGTTGCACACAGCTCTTCGACGAAAGTTGCTCGTGAAACCCCATCTTTCTCGGAGAGATACTCACGAAGCTTTGCTGGAAGTTGTTTGAAACAACTCCCGGAAATCTTCGCCTTGGCCTGAATTTGATCAAAGCTGCATGTTTTAACAAGAGCATCGACCTGCCAAGGATCATTTTCAATTCTCTTCTAATAGCAGTCTTAGTAATTCTGGCATCACGTAGACTAATGTACTCACTCCAGCAATGCAATCTGAAAGCTTATCCAATTCGATCTCCATATCCTTGAGGCTCTTTTGAAGCTCGCATATGATTCTGAAGAAATCGATGCGTGTCTGTAGGTCTTTTTGCAGTAGCGGTAGAAGAGGAATTTCGTTATCCGGCTCTGCTAGACACTCAATCTGACTCAAATCTTTGAATGGTGTCATCGAAGGGACTTGAATCAATATGTTATGGCACAATTGACGAAAAGAGTGTGTCAATCCCATAACACTGATATTGAGTCGATGCAGTGCCGGAGCAACGTGCTTGATCGCGTCAAAGCGCTGGGCAAGTAACGAGCAATATGCCGCGAAACTGAGCAAGTATGCAACAGGCCTCAAATGCGAATCTGACCTTGGACTCAAATCTGAATGATTCAACTCAGCTTCTTTACTAATTGCTATGACTAAGAAATTCGTTACCTGCCGAGGCTGAACCCGGGAATCTATTATCTTCGGAAGGCTCCCGTTGTCCAATTCCTACCAAGAGCCGGGTTGGCAATTGTTCAGGGCCATCCATATTTCCCAGCTCGGGTGGAACGGGTGTATCAGTAAACACCGATAGGCTATGGTAAGATATAATTTTAGAAGCGATGGTGGCTTTCATCCGCTTCATGTCCGGAGCATTGAGGTAATCTACGGTTAGACCGATCATATCATCTATGTGTCTCCACTCTTCTAATCCAATCTTACCAATACCGGGTGTGTTCAATCGAAAATAGCTGTCGACAAGATCATCGCGTTCCAAGTTGTTCAGAACATTTTCGTGTGTCCTAGTGCAGCTCGTCAAGCATCTAGCACAGTACTTCGCCACTTCGAGCCTGAAACTACTCTTCGGCATTGACGAGCTGAATAATTTCTTCCGCAATCCTTTTTTTGGCAGGCTCTCCGCTGTAACAAGCTGGTTAGGATCTTCTTCGCCAGTACCTAGACTGACCAAACAGCCTATAGGACGATCTGGCCATATCTGTCGCACTTCACTTATGACCAGTGTAGTGGGGTTATTCCAACCAGTTGCTCCATCTCCATAGGTGACATGATCCACGGTGATGGGGGCAAAGAAACTTGGCGCGGCGGATGTTGCCCTAGCAGCTTCCCATATCTTGCCCGAGAATGGAAATTCATATGACGTTTTGTAAGAGCGCAATATCTCTGGTCGGGCCCCCGAACCTCTAGAAATCGTACAGACCACGAAGGTCCGACAACCGCCCTTTGGTTCTACATTTGATCTGCGCTGATTGTGCGGTAGTTCGATTGTCTCGTCTTTGAGCGGTTCATCGATGGTAAGGGTATCAGGACGCGGACAAGGGGCTTCAGTAACGACCTGTTTAATCCGCTCTTCGAGTATACGGTAATCAAACTTGGCATCAGCCTCGGAGGAGTGTGCGGTGAATATATCTTTAGAAAGTGCGATATACTTTTCAATTGCCTGTTCAACGGTCTGCATAGATTCTGTTAGCCCGTGACTTCTCTAGTCTATTCCCCTGACTTACGTATCGAAGCCTTCCCAGCATGATTCCAATGAGTCCACCAGTGCTCGTACCGGCTATCAGATCGAAGTAATCGCACGGACGGAGTGACTCGGGTCTTTGGTCGGTCGATAGAGCGATTTGATGCATTACGCTTCGAAGAAGATAAAGGGTAGCGATGCCTCTAACTCCTCCACCGTCTAGGGACAGGATCTTGAGGGGTTGTGTGTCCGCCATTGCTTTGGCTGTTCAAATCGGTAGGATTGCTGAACGCTGGTAATCGGCTCCTACCGCACGCATAATATATCTCTATCACACTGCTGAGCTACACTGCGATGGAAAATGAAGGAGGTCCGCATTGACTGGTGTGGACATCAACTCGAGGCACCTCGTCTCGAGTGACAAGGCTGCGGTTGAGGCTGAGATAGAGGGCTCGAGAACTGGGTTCCGTGATGAATTGGGCTGACCATGCACGTCGAGTGATTAACCGCCCTCTACGGTAGGCTTTAAGGGCTTGAATATGATCATTAATCTACCATGCAGATTTCAAATCTACCGTACATACCATACCTTGGTAACATAATTCATAGGTAACAACCAGGCTGAAGACAAAACTAATGTATGTTTAGGGGCGCGCATCTACGAACTACAGCCGCATTGAATTGACGGTTGAATAGGTAGTTCTAGATAACACTCTTACGCAAAAAATGTCTTCCAAAACTGAGATCCAAATATTATTACACAATATAGACACAGACACAAATCTGCGCTTCCGGCCGGCGCATGCACCCGTGCGCGGCTGTGGCCGACGCATGAGCCACGTCAGTCGCCTTGTTGCTGCGGACTGGGCTCGATGTCTCAATTCGAGCTGACAAAACGAACGAAGTTTAACTACAAATTACGTGCAAATTCTCCAAAAGTGCACCTTCAACCTTCGCGACGATACACCTACTCAATATAGGTATACCTAAATGGACAGTCCGGTGCAATTTGTGCGATCACGGTCACATTCCGTATCTTCTATTGCTAGTAACACCACCCAGCAACTAGCCTCCTGCTCGCTTCAGGGAAAAGAGTCCCTTCTCTGGACATTGCATGATTGCAACCTCAAATTTCTTCAGAGCACGTATGTGCGGATATCTGTCGAACGCCAGCATCGGGGAGAGTTTGCTGATGTTCTCAAAAACTTGAAAGATGAGGTCGTCAGGCTAAGGTTATGGGGGGAAGAGGTCGATGTCAAGACTATGTTGGTGGTGGAAAGGTCGAAAGAACTTAGATCTGCCGTTGTCATCCTATTGCAGGAGATTGCATCAATCCTGCTGAATCGTAATCCTGCCTGAAAGGACATCCAAGTTTGCACGCTCACTATAACAGGTTCTTGTCTCCTTTCTCCGCTGAGAAGGCGCAGTCACGAATATCATAAGTTGAGAGAGCTACACGATAAAGTCAAAACGATTACAAAATTCCAGATCGACGAAAGGCGACATGGTGGGCCCGACGTGGGAAGCGACTCGTCTGATCTCGAACTGTTTCACCTAGAACAGGTGATCCTCGACCTAAGATGCTATACAAGCACGCTAATGGACCTTGTTCCGGTCATTGAACATACCAAGGACGTACTTGCCAATTATGTAGTTTGTCAACATGTATCAAAGGTACAGCAGTTGAGAACATGCACGCTGGAAACTCCAAATGCTCGAAAGGATAAGGTACAAGTGGAAGCACAAGACCTAGGAATTTCCGGAAATTTTGGCCAAAGGATTAGCATGCCCGAGTCACCAAGGCCTTTATCAAATACTTCGAGCACCGTACCATCCATTCATACTACAGACAATGCGGACAGTATCAAAAAGGCCAGCCACAAGATCTCACCGCCGGAGATGCCAAAGCCAGGCTCGATAACATCTGATAACACACCAACAGCGAGTCTCAACACAGCACCTCCAGACTTTAGTGGAGAGTCCTACTATACAAATGGGCCATCAAACTTCAAGGTTTGGTATTGTCCTGCTTGTAGCGAAGGTCCGCTCGGGAGCTGGCAAAATGTCTGCCCGTTTTGTGACCAAAGCCCGAGGTCTAGATTGCCTGACACCAAGCCCACCACGATTGCTGCAGGAAGTCCTCAGACAAGCAAGAACAAAGGGGACACAGAAGAACCAAGGAAGAGCAACACGTCAAATCAAGGTGTACCGCGAGGTTCAGAACAGAAGATCCAAGAATCAAATCATCAAATAGACAAACAAACCCATCCAAAGCAGCGCCAAAAAGACCGCCAACACACACCGCCCATAGACAGCCTTGAAAATTCAAATAAGACGGTCGATATCACTTCACAAGGCTTAGTCACTGACACTCAGGTTCCTTCCACAACTTGCATGGATTCTGATCCCGGGGACTTGCTGATCAACATGTGCGACTTATGCAGTTTGCCATATGACCAATGCATACATTCATTAACAACAACATCCGGTGCATCCAACTTTGAGTATGATACTTTCCCTGAACATCCCTTTCCCAGAGGTCCTCATTCTCTCGAGGACCCTCTATTATCGATCTTTTCCCTGCGCCAGCAGACAACCATGGAGCCACCCACAGTACAAGCACATGTCGAGGATACATACACCCTTAGGGACGGATTATTGGTTTCGCATGAATTGGACGTTTACTCGCCTGGGGACAGAGCATTAGGGACTAACAGTAGAACAACGCCCACATCACAACGAATACAAGCGCCACTACCTGGCGGATTCCCTTGCACCGCAGAGGGCTGCAAAAGAATATTTGAGAGAATCTGTGACCTCAAGTACGTCTTCTCTTATCTACTATCTCTTCCACAAATACAAAATATAAGAAACTAAGATCGCCTAGCCGACATATGAAAACCCACATGGCGATGAGTGACCGTCCACACAAATGTGACGTTTGTGGAAAAGGATATCTCTACCCAAAGGATCTCAAGCGTCACGTAATAACTACTCATACAAATCCATCGCAAAAGTTTCACTGTCCTGACTCTGGCTGCACGAATACAGATGGCTTTTCCAGACGAGAAAATCTCCTACGACATCAGAGAAAGCAACATCTTCACTGAAGATATATCAATTTCGATACCGCAACCTATAGCGGTGCAGTAGCTGTAACATGACTGTACGCATTATTTATCGATAACACGAAAGAAAACACCAGAGCTTAATGATATAAAAGTGAAAGACATCAAATGAACAGTTGACAGAAGCATGAAATTGTGACACAAAACGCTTTGAAGATAATTGATTGGGTTTTGCATCACCCAAATGAGCAATTTTGGAGTGAACCAAATAATCTAACTGTTTGTACGTGGTATTAATTAAACTATAGGAAAGGAAGAAAGGCCCAGGAACAGACGGCATCATGCCATAAGAATCAATAGGCAAATGCCTTCTGCTGTTCAATGTCTTGATCAAATCGACTCTTATCCGTTGCATTGCTCATCGGTCGCTCGCTCGGTGAGACTTTGACCGTACTGGGGGCGCTGGTCAGGGCTCGTGTGTCCAACTCCATCTGATCGGGCGAATCTGGGATGCGAATCTTCTCCATTCTCCTACCGCTATGATTCGATCCATACATCTTCTTGCTCCGATCTCTGCTGCCTTGCTGCCTTGCTCTGGTTGGGAAGAGTAGGGGCTTTAGTGCAGGAATGCAGCCGCAGATGACACCTACATTGGTTTCGACGGCAGTCCACACCCAGATCTGGAACCCTTCCCATGTAACGTCGTAGGTGCGGAAGAGAGTATAATGAACCCAGTAGGCGCGGAACGAGCCAGCCACAACAATTACACCGCCGAAACCGAAGAGAATTGCTAATCCTATACGTTGAGAGACGGGCAGCGATAAGCGAAAGAGCGTAGGTATGGGGAGGGCATATATCATGAAGTCTGTAACGACGTTGAGTGTAGACTGAACCAGTAGTGGCGGCCCTTCGGGGATACAGTCGCGATGATCAGCTACGAGTTTCCAGTAACTGGAGATGGGACTGGAGAAGTCAGTACCGTTCATCACGAGACAACTAAGAGTTAGGCTTGCTTACACGCACTGCACCCACAGCGCTACGAGAAATACCAAGAAGGCAGCAAACACGAGGGCGAAGGTTGCCCAGACGAGTTTGCGAAATAGGGACTTTTGAGGCGCAATTCGGAAGTATGACACCAAGATGGACATTTTGACAAATGAGGATGCGAGTACGAAGAGTGTCTGGCCGGCCATCGATGCCTGAGACTGTCAGTCCAGATCGTGATTGAGAACCTGGGGTGTAATCTACCTTGCGGCCTACTTCCAATTGTGTGATCTTTAGGTCCCAAACGTGAACATTCCATCCATACATCTGTGTCGCCAATATGACAAGTGCCGTAGTGCCAGCAGAGAATATCTTGTATCGTCAGCATACACCATTCGCCTGAATCTGCGGAGACAGACTCACCACTGCAATGACCATCAGCCAATCATCCCACCAACTCCTATGCAACCAGGCAATTCTAATCCACAGTCGCAGCATAACGCAGATAACAGCAAGTGGCAGCAGCGTCAACTCCACAATCATTATTCCAGGGCCTCGTGTCGCCGGATTGGTATAATTTGGTGTCGGCCACTGCGCCCTGACTTCAGGCGGCGGAAACCGCATGTTGCAAGTGATGACGAAGGTCGTAGTTGATGCTTTTCGAGGTATTGATCAGACTGTGTGTACCAAGAAAGAGCTTCAACCGATGGCCAGGTGGTCAGAGGATGGATGAAGCATCACCACGCCCATGCAATCGGAGCACAGTGCAGACAACCAAGTATATACCCACACGACGGTCCGCACTCGCCATCACCATGGGTCCCGCCGGTACGGCAAGTAGTACGGCGTAGCATGGTGAAAGAGTCAGCTCAAGCTTCCCCCCTAGGTCTAGGTCTCCACAATGGCGAAATGTGTCTGAATTTGCACCTGCATTGGGCCCTCGTGAATACCTTGCATACCGTGATCTGCGACGGGTACTGGACGACAAGCTCTTAGGTGCCTGGGATCCTCGATCCTGTTACATGGCTGGATTCACTGGGAACGAAGGGACCGCCCGTGACTTGTTGATACAAATCATGCGGTAGCCAAATCAAATGTAGTACATAGACATTATTGTGGATCAGAAGAGGGGTCTAGGTATACAAAGTAACGAGAGGCGTTGTTGGGAAGTGTGAAGAGACAATAGACGGGGGACAGAAGGAGACGATGGTGATGTGCGATGTTTGGTTGGATGGCGGCTGAGATGGCTCTGGCCAATGGGAGAATTGGGGACCGGGGTACCGTGTGCACGAGCGTGGCAAGCGCTTGTGGCCACTTCGCTGGTTCCGAACCTCCAGTCTCTGATTTGACCTCACTCCAGTATTATGGCACAGCACATACGGGCACAGTACGAGGCGAGGATACCTTCGTCCATCGTCTCTCGCGCCTCCCTTCGTTCCCGCCGCGATGATCGGACCTCCAATTTACCCTCCACCCTCTCTGCGCTACATCGCTAAATAGACTCAGGGCCGACGGGCAAATGTGGGGTGATGCAATACTCAACAGCGATATAGCTGGGACGATATAGACCAGGAACCTCTCCGAGCGTTGGATCAAGACCCAGCACAGGCGATCCTATTTGCAAGATGGAAGAGACATGAGCCTTCGCCGCTTTGCCCCATCGGTCAACCCCGTCGAGACCGTCGAGTTACGGATTCGAGACCGCCCAATGAGCTCCTACAACCTGGATCATCCCCAATCACCGCTAACTATCCACATCATTTACGAAGGACAAATCACCGTCTTGAATTCCCCGACCAACGTGACGACGCGCAAATTCGAGGATTCGGCCTATCGTCGGGAGATGGTTGAGGAGAGGAGGTCGCTCACAATCATCAATAATGATAGCAAGAGACATGTTATCTATGATGATGGGACATATTCTAGGAGTGTACAACAACGTGTTGAGTTTGGTGGACACTCTGATACCAGTCAAGGGCAGGCATTTCCTACCTTGGCCGTTGCCTTTACTCTCGAACAAGCCTGATAACGTTCCCCGACGGGCACAATCTTCAGAGACATCAATTATCACAAACCTAGGTTACCCCCCAACACATCCTTAGATCAATCATAGAATACGAACCTCTGTCCACGAAAGAATGCTAGGCACATTGAATGTTCCTTCCAAACCCCAACCAGATAACTGTAGACTAATACAGTCGACAAGACGCCTTGTACGCAGAAATTGACTTGGAATCGCGGATATCCATTTCCCACTCCTGTTGTAGAGCAGTACAGTTGATTTAATATGTAGATCTTGTGCATAAATAAGCGTGTTGGAGAAAGCGCCATGTTTCAATACTATCTTTCATTTCTTGATTACAATTCCAACTCGCTGGTGCTGGTTCATCCTTGCCATTTAGTCCTCTTCTGCCTAAACATGCTTACCATACCTATAGGAAGCAACCCCGGGTCTACCACATTCAACCCACCAAACGTGGCCACCATTTCTGGTCCGTACATTTGCGTAACCCACTTCCAATATGCCTCCATACTTTGCCAATCCGAGGTGATGCCTCGCAGGTTATGCTGTCCTTGGAGGCGCTCGATTGCCTCGCGAATCGGTGCAGTGAAATCGATGCTTTGCTCGGTTGGTTTTCTGAGCAGGTCACGGAAGGTTGCAACAAGATTCGCTTTTGCTGTTGCAGGAATCTCCTCGCGAAATTTCACGAACTCCTCGAATGAGAAGAACGTCGTGGGGGCAAACTCAGGCTTCCATGCAGCATTGGTGCCATATCTAATACCATGTAAGTCCCCACTGTCAAATACCCGCTTTGCTTCAACATAGTCCTCCTTCTCCGTCTCGAGGAACTCGTCTATGAGATCGAATGGATTCTCCTTCACCGATTCACGTATCTGCAAGAGGCCAACAAATGGGGACTTGAGATCGAGACCTCCAAGCTCCACCGGGAAGAACAGAAATCCATCTGGAACATTCTTCACGCCAAATCTCTCATCAATCATTTTCTTGAGAAATTGGACAACATTACCGCCGTCGAAGATCCGTTCCTGTATGTGTCGATGCGTGGCCAGCATCATATCAACGTGAGCACGTCCAAAACAGTTCGCTGCCTTCCCAAAATTGGAACTGAAGAAGGTAGCAGCATACGTGTTCCACGCTTGGATCCAATCTATGATCGATTTGGACTTCCCTTTTAGCTGCCCGCGCAACTCTTCGACATGCGACTCGACCATTGCTTTGTCAATTGCAAATCGCCCAGTTGCGGGATCGAGGCGAAGGAAACCCCAACGGATTTCGCCCGCAGGCAAGCGTTCGTCGATATCCAATGGGCTAGAAGAAGTGTCCCGAAGCGTTATCCGCACACTTCCTGTTTTAGTATCGTTGAGGTGTACGCCCATGGCCTGTTTGAAGCTGAGTACACAAGCCCAAGCCTTGACACAAGTCTCGTACTCAGGCGACCAAAACCAGATATCATCATACAAACGATGCAAAACTCCTCCATTAGTGTCCTGATTTATGGAAAAGTCGAGGCAGAACAAGATCGTCTCACCGAACACGTCGCTGAGCGCGTGGGACCCAGGTGTACCCCTTCTCCGTGACCGTGGGGCCACATCCCCGTCATCCATGAATTTGAGCGGGGCCTGCAAGAAGGTCTTGAAAAACGTGAGCCATTTCACAGACACACCGAAATACTTGAGTATGGCAATGACGGTAGTATGAGGAAGTAGTGGATTCCATGAGTCAAAGACGGAATGAAAGCATGTCAGCTCGCCATGCAACTTGGTATTGACGGCAATTTCGGCGGATAGGAGATGCAGAAGACCTTGCTTAACCTCCATAGGCTTCTTAGATGCTGGTGCAGTTTCTTCTTCCTCCTCTTCCACATATGCTGGAGACATGGAATACATTGGCGAAGATGGCGAATAGCCACCACGACTACCTCCGAACGCTTGCTGTGCCATCATGTTTTGCGCCATGCGCTTTTGTGCCGCCGGGGCGGGTGCTCGTACCATTCTTGCATGTGGCGCTTGGGATGGCATTGACTGCACAGCTGTCTGCCTTGATCGCTTCCGTTTTGGTGCCATATCAACATGGTCTGCAAACTCCGCTTCCTCTTCACCTTCTTCATATTCAATACGCTGGGTGACTTGGTCGAGAAGTTGGTGTGCGAAGTATCGGTTTCGATGCATGGAGTCCCGCGTGGAGTGAAGACTTATCCTAGATTGGTCATCTCCAGTATTCCCGAGGAAATAACCTCGACGTATGCGTTCCTCTTTGGTAATTGTTGGGTAGGCCTTGGTCCATGCTTGAGCGCGGAACTTCTTGAAGGCATTTTTGAATAACACCGACCATTTCACTCCAATATACTGCAGAAATATAGCTTGAAGAAGGTCCTCATGCATATGGATGCTAAAAGTTCCGTTGACCTTGCGACGCTGCTCCAGTGGGACATGGTCTCCCCATGTCCATCTGTCGAGAGCACTCATGCGCATATTGAGGACATCGGCAATTTCGGTAAGAATGATGTCGTTGCTCAAGAAGTCTTTCAACACTTCGCGCTTCTCATTGTTGAGAAGGTCAGAGCTCTGCAGGCCATCGATGACCCATCGGAGAGTGGATACATTGAACGGATCAGCACCGATCGAGTTCTGTTCGAAATTTTCGACAGTTTTGCGAAGTTCTTCAATGGCTTTTCCAACGTCCTTTTTCGAGAAGAAAAGGTCGCGCAGATAGCTACTGAGCGCTGTCGTGTCTACCTTGGCCTGCTCAAAGACGACTTTCTCCCATTCGGTTCGAGCCTCGAGTTTCTTGGCGCCGGGAATCTCTTCGAAACTCTCTGCCATCTCGACGTCGCCATCAGAAGTCTCCTGCTTCTCTGATGAAAGCCATTCAGTCACTAGCTTTCCATAAAGGTCGGCGTATTGATATTTCGATGACTGCACCGCGAGATAGTGAACTATACATTTCTCCCAATCCGCCAATACTTTTGGTGACACAGATGGGTCATAGCGTGCCTGCTCGAGGAACCTATCCAGATTGGATAGATCTGTCTCCAGACGATGGTTTCGGGTCCCACCGAAGACAACGCGGCCGAGCGGCCCGCCATCGTTGCTCTTACGCGTGTTGTTAGTTTTGACTCCCAAGCAGGCTTTGGCACCGTCGACCAGGATAAATAGTCGTTTCACGGGATCTTGTTCTGCTTGTGCGGAGCGAATAAGGTCTGCATACTTCTTTTCGTAGGAGACACGTTGTTGATCCAACTCCTCGAGTTTGGTGGTTGTGATAGTCTGTAGCGTTGATGAGAAGACGCTGCCGGATGAAGCCATAATAGCGCCTCACTAATGATGGTGATGATGAGGACGATGATAAGGCTACCTGATGCGGTCGGTTCGAGGTTTTGAGGAAGAGGTACCCAGGTGACGCAGCAGATCAATCCAATGTTCGGGGGAGGAGCTTATCGAATCTTAATAAAAGCCCTCTGTTCGTTTGGTAGAGGTATATTTGGGTCAGATAAACGATTCGTGGGAAGAGGTTGACTGAGAAAAAATAAAGTAGAAGGGGCTGGTCTTTCCTTTATATCTACACAGTCTGGTGAAAGTGCACCTTGTTTTGCACTTTTCGAATGGTTGATCCTAGGCAGCGAGGTGGCACAGAGTTCAGGCCTCGTATTTTTGCACATGCTGCGCCACGCCAGCGACTCCACACTCGACTCATGACTAGTGCAATTTCAATTCTACACAAAGAAGCAAGCCTGTACTTATGATTGAGATCATTGGGATTATAGCAAGGCACGCAACAATAGCAATAATGAGGTTGAAATTGTGCTACTTGGTCCTGGGACTGGGTAAAGCGTCCGACAAAGCACGTGCCCTTCCTGCGTGACATCATTTCGTTACGTACCTACCTAGGTACTCATTTACCAATATCCAATCCAACATTGCCTGTCATGGCAATTGAGGATAACAACAGTGATTTAACTACACAGTACATCTACAATCACTTCCACTTTAACTGGTATTAATGTACATTTGTACTAATTTGGGAAATATTTACCTGCCTAAAGCAGTGAATCAAAATATATCTTGGACGGCAATGTAGCAGCCTCCTTATCTGTCTAGATAGATTGGCGGGCAACTTTCCAAAAAATTGGTTCCTAGGGTATTATGTCTAATAAAGCCGGCTCCCAAGTTTGTCTGAGAGATTCGGGCATGGCTGAAGTATTACAATAAATAAATGATTCAAGTATTCCTTACTGAATCCCCGTTGGAAAGGTTAACTCCATGCGAACCCTGATCCTAGTAAAGGATACCACGCATCATCCATTACTCAACTGAACACCTCTAAAGGGGATGTCACTCTGATGGTTGCGACATACATCAGGAAATTGTAGTAAGTAAAGTTTTCGGCTACTCGCAAGTGCAATGATCATGAACGAGCTTTATCGCATTACTTGAAGTGGCACTGAAAGGTATTCGGTAGTTGCATGGCACGGTTGGGAGGGGTTCAAAGCCTACACTGACAGTGCATACATGATGCGATCATCATGGAGATGGCGCAATGACCAATCTTATCTCTCGTCAACCACATTCACATCCTCTTTAGGGCCTATGACTTGACTTTTGCGCATTTGACGCGATGACACGCGAGCATATTGCGTGATATATGAAGCAACAAAGTGTGAATATAAAGTCCGGGCAAGTCCAGCCAACTTCAAATTCACTTCTGTCTCCCATCATTCTCGCACACTACATACCTTCCACCTGAGTTCTGTGATCCTCCACAATATGGCTCCCAGTTTAGTAGAGACCGAGACTCAAACATCGGAAGTTCCCTTTCGAACCATCAAAGCTCACAAGCCTCTCCAATTGAGTGGCGTCCTCAATCAATTCGAATCCTTCGACGTTACTCCCGTCATTGGGAGGGAGTTTCCCAAAGCAAACGTAGTAGATTGGCTAAATGCACCAAACTCCGATGAATTGATCAGAGACCTCGCTATTACTAGTAAGTCGTGGGAGCATAATGTAATCGTGACCGACACTCATAAGAACCAGTTTCCGAGCGTGGTGTTGTATTTTTCCGAGCACAAGATAATCTCACCAACGACATACAAAAGGACTTGATCAGGCGACTTGGTCAGCTCACGACGAGACCAGAGACATCCGACCTTCACATCCACCCAATCCTCAACTCGGAGCGCGATCTCGGCGGCGAGGATCCACAGATCAGCACTATTAGCTCAGTCCAGAACAAGAAACTCTACAAAGGTTCGCCATATGATAACCGATACAAGAATCAAAGCTCTGCCCAGTGGCATGCCGATATCTCCTTCGAGCCCGTCCCTGCAGACTATACCAGCTTGAGACTTACCGAGCTACCACGAACCGGTGGCGATACTCTATGGGCGTCGGGTTATGAGTTATATGACCGCATCAGTACACCATATCAGAGATTTCTCGATGGTCTCGACGCCACATTTTCGCAGCCTGCATTCAAGGAAGTCGCTGAGCGAGGTGGCTTTCAGCTTTACGACAAGCCGCGTGGGGCACCAGAGAACGTCGGCTCCGACCTCACAGCAGTTCATCCGGTTGTTCGCACGAACCCCGTAAGTCAACCTCCCTTGCCCATTGATCAACGACTAATGCGAGAAAGGTCACTGGCTGGAAATCTGTCTTCCCCGTTGGTGGCCACGTGCGTAGTATCAATGGCCTGGCGAAACAGGAAAGCGAAGACTTGTTGAAATGGTTTCTACGCCTTGTACAAGAAAACCACGATCTTCAGGTTCGTTTCCGGTGGAATAACAAGAATGATCTTGCCATATGGGATAACAGAAGTGTATTTCATTCCGCTACATTCGATTATGATGGCCATGGCGATAGATTTGGTAACCGTGTTGTTGGTTTGGGAGAGCGACCTTTCCATGACCCTGGGAGTAAGTCAAGGCGCGAGGCTTTGGGTCAATTGGATGTTGTTTGATCATCGTTTGGGCAAAGCAATGCTTCTGAATGAACGGTCACATTCATATTCACATCTTGACCGGGTTAGCTGGATGCAGATCAAGAGTCGTTGCTTATCGCGACCAATTATGAAGACCAAATACTGTGTATCGAGGGCATCATCAAATATCCACACAATGACCTAGTGCTATTAAACTGATGGTTTGATTGTCGGATGCTGAGTTAATATGAGTCCACTTGAAGGATCTTTGTGAACCCTTTCGTGCACGACAGTGTAGACTAAAACAACTCATCAGAAGTTCCACTAACGCCTAGCAGTAGCCCGAGAGCAATGATCAAACGCGAGGCCAATTCACTAGGATCGTTAATAGGTACAGTAGGGAAGGATTCGCAATCACGGTTCTCAGTAGATGATTGTGTTGAAAAATAGCACATGGAGGATCCCTTCGGAAATCAAACTAAGAAAGGGAAGCCAGCTTGTTCCAAGCATCGGGTCTATGGTAGAGTTTATTTAGCAGTATTAAAGTATTCAGCATTCAGACTGTGAAGGGAACTCACTGTTTACCCCACAACCTTGCATGTGCGTGTAGGCAGCTCCGCCCCCTCGTCCACAGCCCAGCCGACTGTCATTCCCGGGGGTTCGGCCGCTCGGCGCTGTACCAATTTCTTGGATAGTTGCAGATCCTCGTCATCGTGTTCTGCATTCAACTTACCTACTATTACTATATCACTATTATTAATGATGTTACCCTATCAGTAGATGTATTTCCTTGCAATTTCTTTCTATGGAATTGCAATTCCTTGCAAGTGCCGCCCCAGGCTGTAAATCTCATCAATTGCCCCGTAAGCTTACAATATACCAAAGTACCCAGATGCTGAGCCAAGGCCCAAGGTCTGCCCCAAGATCGCCTCCATAACTCAAGACCGTTCACGCGTGCGCCATGGTCTAACTGGGAAGGCAGTAAACGGCCAAGAATAGTCACCTCACTGTCTATTGTTCTTGCTCCGTGGTGGCCAAGAGTTGTCTATCAGCATCTCCAATCACAACATTGAACGAGGTTGATATCGTCCGTGTAGGCCGTCACACAAGAAGCGGCGCCATGACGCATGCGATCCGACTTCCAGGTCTGAGAAGTATAAGAACACATTCATTTCTTCGTTGAAATCATTGGAAGTCGTCCGTATCAGGCCTGTACAGCTCAGCGACTTGGTCTAGAGAAAATCGCGCAGATGCTTTCACTTCTTACATTCGGTACTGCCCTGGTGGGCTTGACAAGCGCTGCTGCCTACTCAAAGGAGGATTATGCTTCGGGAGCAGTGCACGAGCGCATCATGCGCATGAAGCTTGTAATGTTCCCTGGGTCCCAAAGACAGTTCATCTCCCTCTGATTTCTTTATTTTAGCGACAATGGGACGCCGAAATTGCGTCTGGCCAGATGAATAGTACTCAATATCCTGAACTAGGGTATACGAAATGCGAGAATGGGTTCGCAGCTGCTATACCTGGGGACTTTAACAATACTTTCAGATGTAACAACGTAAGTTGAAAATCTCAACATCATTGCTTCGTGTCTTACATCTACAGATTGATCTCTACCACTTCCTTTCCCATGCCGACCTCGGCAGCGAGGCAGGTCAGGGTTCATCTTCGTGGGGTTGGACCTCAAAAGAAGGCAGAGAATTCGTTGCCATTGGCCAATTTGATGGGACAGCTTTCGCAGAGATAACGAGTGAAGGAAAACTGAGCTATATTGGTCGGCTTCCCCAATACGATCCTGTCGGCTCGAGGTGGAGAGAGATCCGAGTTGTCCGCGACTTTGCAATCATCGGTTCTGAGGCAATTAACTCGGGCGTTCAGATCTTCGATATGAAGAAATTACTTGATCTCGATCCCGACACGCCGACCATCTTTTCTCAGGATGATTTGACAGGCTTTTGGAACGAACTTCCCGTGGGAAGGACGCACAACATAGTTGTCAACGAAGAACTCAACTATGCAATCGCAGTCGGATCTGTTGGTGGCAATGAAACTATCAGAGTCCGGGGCGATCTTCCCTGCCGTGGTGGCCTGATCTATATTAACATAACCGATCCTTCCAATCCATACAGTCCTGGTTGTGCAGCAGGTGACGGCTATGTCCACGATGCTCAGTGCCTAGTATACCGCGGTCCAGACACCCGTTACCGCGGCCGCGACATTTGCTACGGCTACAACGAGGACACATTGACTATCTATGATGTATCAGACAAAGTGGGCAATACCACCAACATCATATCAATTACCAGTTACCCTGGTGCCGAATACGTACATCAAGGTGTCGTGAACGACGAGGAGAATCAGGAATACATATTTTTGGACGACGAGTTTGACGAACGCGATGCAAAGGTTGGACCAATGACCAAGGGATTGCCGACGACTCATATTTTCGATATCCGTGATCTTGAAAACCCCCACTATACGGGCAACTTCGCCGGAAAGAGGCGGTCTATCGACCATAATCAGTACATGATCGATGGCCACTTGTATCAATCCAACTATGGAAACGGCTTGACTGTATATGATGCCAGGTCTGTAACGGAAGATCCCAGTGGAGGGAAAATCTGCGAGGCTGGCTTTTTCGACATTTACCCAGAGGATGATGAGAATGAAGGTGGCGGCACAGTCGCATTCCTTGGTTCGTGGTCGTCTTATGCTTACTTCAAATCCGGCTTCATTTTCGTCCACACCATTGAGCGAGGATCATTCGTGGTCAAGATGACTGATAAGGACTGTCCAAAACCACCGGTGTGCGAAGCTAATGGCTGCTTGACATCTCTTCGTGCCAGCAGTATCGAGGGTCGTTTGGAAGCTGGTTCGGAGTTTTGTCATAGTTTCCTTGCCAGACAACGGGACGGAGCTACCATCCCGAGTTATGCGCGCGAAGCGTGTGGAGGAGAGAAGCAGGATGTCGTAGCAAAGGTTAGCAGCGCTTGCGCTTGCGTACCCACCGTCGCTGTCCCAGAGCTGCCGAGGACGACTAGCCGACCGCCTGTGCCTACTGTGCTGCCACCTAAGCGTTTGATGGCAATATAATTTGTATACAGTATGCTACAGTTGGCCAATGCCACCATTGGTGAGACTAGATAGCTTCTGTAGGTATTACCAGGAGGTTCGGTGTATGTATTTACCTGGACATACTAATGGTGATATCCCTCCAAGTTCTAAATATGTCAATCATGATGTATCCCCGACTATTTTGTGCATTGTTTCAGCTACTCCAGTGGGGAGGCTGTCTGCAGAGATGACTCATTCGCAGGGGGAAAGGATCGGGTTCATCGATGGGAGCATTAAAGAAACTTAACAGCGGGATTTGAGGAGGTACTAGAACAGTCAGACGCATTTTGCACTTAGGTCCTGGGTGCAATTATGAAAGGAAGTAAGAACATTGTATTGAGATTCGGATGCTGGATCTAAGTGCTATGACAGAGACATTGGTCGATCAAGGGTACCCCTACCTACGACAACAATATGGTTACCATACATGATAGACTTTGCCCACATGGCTAACCATTCGCAAAGTAATCGACATCTCCAAAAAATATTTAGGTCGCAAGCAACAAGGTGGCTTAGTAGACGTAGAAGTTGATCGTCTCGCTGTCAAGTGCCCTCAGCTTCTTATTATCCCTTTGCATGATAAATCTCAACACCCACGCGCACGCGATAACGCCGCCTGAGAACCCGACTGATGCCCACATGGCCATAGAATACCGCGGTTTGGAAGAATCCGGCCAGAGGTATGGAGTGTAGACGAAGGATAGGTTTCCAAGTGTGTTTGCGATTGCCAAAACGACGGCCTTTTTCTCATTTGTTTGGCCCAGAACAGCGGCCGCCCAAGCCAAGTTGATGTTGTTGACGCCATATGTTGCGCCAACAAACAGCACCATTGCGAAGTAGCGGGCACCAACATTCAGGGTCAAGGTTCCGACCATGAAACCAACAATAGCAACCAGTTTGGAAAGGGTTATGTGCCAGGTACGTTCGTTGAGCTTCCCAGATGACCAAGATACGAGGACGGAGATGATACCAGCCAAAAGGTATGGCTATAAGTTGTCAATAAGTATACAAGCAATATGAGGTTAGTTAGAGTACTTACTGGGCATGTCAACACCAGTGTTACTGTCCTACCAAAACCCAAAGTTTGAACAGCGGTTGGAAGGAAGTTTTTAAAACCGTTTGCGGAAAGATGGAGATTCTGCATAAGAGCAAAGACCCATGTACGATAATCGACGCAAGCTTCTCGGAGACCTTTCCACACATTTACCTGCTCCTGCTTTCCGGTAGTGTCAAAGACGATTCTATCATGCGCCAGCTGCCTCTGAGCGGGAGTGAGCCATTTAGTTGTGAGTGGCGCGTTCGGGAGAAGGAAGAAAGCAGTAACAGCAACGAGCACTATTATTGTTTAGTAAATCAAATGGCGAGGTTGCAACAAGGTTCTTGTCTTACCTGTAACGAGACCTTGGATGAGGAACAACCATCGCCAACCCTCCCATCCATTTCTACCATCCAGGCCTTCGAAGATGCCAGCAGCAATGAGGCCGGAAAACGCGCTTGCAAGCAGGTTTCCAGTATAGAAGATTGACAACCTAGATGCGGTTTCCTTGCGGGTATAGAACATGCTGATCATATACAGTCCGCCGGGGTAGAATGGGGCCTCGACTACACCCAAAACAAACCTATATGCAGTTAGCATGTAGATCGGATCGAAGCACAATCACTTTTGCTTACCTGGCAGCTAGCATGCCGTGGTAATCCTTCACAATGGCCATAAGTGTGCTGACGATTGCCCACGCCATCATCCATCCAGCCATGTACCAAGCAGGCTTGACACGGGTGAGGATCATATTGGAGGGAACTTGGCCGACGAGGTAGCTGATAGTACACATGAATCGCGTTCGCTATTGTTAAGGGGGGACTAGATATCACTTACCCGACGAAGAAGATGCTCACACAGGTGTTGTATTCGGTGCCTTTCATACCAAGATCCTTATCCAGATGGTTGATTTTTCCATTGACGATTGCGTTTCTGTCCAGGAAATTGAAGACTGTTGTATATCACATGAGCAGATCAGCATTCTGGTCCAAATTGTCGCGACTGCAATCGACTCACAGTACATCAGCCATAGAACTGGAAGCATGTATCGGTCAATCTTCTTCACCAACGCGATCTCCTCTGGGTTCGTCTTAGTTACTGCACCGAATCTATCCATCTCGACAGTGAACTGTGGCTTTTCGGCCGGATCGATGGATTTGACATGATCGATCTGCTCGGTTGAGCTTTTCTGCATGATTTGGTTTGTGGTTGTCGTTGGATTGGTGGCCATGATGATTCTGTTGCCAGCGATGATGGGCAGAGGTAGAACAGAATACTTCCTCACCCTTGATGGTCGTTTTGTGTACAGTAAAGGCATCTCTACTACTTAATATAATTCTTTATCCGAAGCTGTTATTGGCATGCTATACCGCTAGTTCGTATCTTTGCGGGGGAGATTCCCACGAGGATGGTTCATGCGGGGGGTTGGCACCCGGAAGAGTATCCAACATGCTCCCTGGCAAGTCACAGCACGCATAATTGGCGGGATTTGTGCGTGCTAAAGACGATGCTCAAGCCAATGCCCAAGCATCCCGTTCACTCATAATCGAGCAGTGGACGCCAATTCTTGGTCTTACCCCTTGCTCGTTTGTATAATTGGTGGTCAATTAGTCGTCCTATCGTCCGAGTGGGCACGTCGATCCAGCCCAGTGCAGGAGGCGATGATAATCCGACGGAAATGCCATTTTGGGATGTAGTGCCAACGATGCCCGGGAGGGTGGAGTGCGGATTGTGGAGAGAGTGGACACCGGAGATACTGTGGAGTATGGGGAAAAACCACACGTACATGAGAATTCGTATCCTGGGTGATCACTACAAATAACATATTTCAACTTGCTCCGATCCTGCATTCCATGATAATTCCAAAGAACCCAAATCATTTCATCTCCTCATAAAGGTGTTCCGACTCGCGAAGCATGGTGTAGCTGAAATCCGGCGACTTTACCCCGGAAAATCCGGAAAGCTGATCTACATTTCCCACCCGCATATCCCTAATCCACTAGTTATAACATGCTGCCCACACCAACTTGTCACCAAGACCACCACCTTGTAACCACCCAAGAGCCACCACTTCCTTGGTCTGCACGACACGAGCCGTGCCAGTAGTAGTCGGTCAGGAGTAAAGTAGTGAGTGGTACATACAGTAATGATAGGACAGCACTTACTCCGTACATAGGATGCGATAGCTAGCACAGCCGAGGTTTCTTGTTGGATGACTACAGCGAAACACGGGAGGCCTATGGCTTCGCACCGTTGGTACGGGCCGGTCATGCTCCTTATGTATCCGGTAGACGCACGAATCTCCCCAATAATAAGCATTCAATCTTATAAGCATGGCAAGCATGGCAAGCATGGCAAGCATGGCAAGCTTAGCTGATCATTGTTCCTGGCTTGGAACGACAGGGTATTAGTTCGTAATACGTACAGGTCAGTAACACAACATTTGCAGTCCCACCACTACTACTAACATACCATAAAGGTGGTCGCAAGACTATTCAATGGTGAATGTCCTATGAGTGATAAGAAGTAGTCTTGCGCAGCTCAGCAATAGTCGTGCCCCCATCGATTTTTCCTCATCGGGTTCTCGTGCTGATCTTGGAATTTGGCGCACCCATCTTAGCACCAAGCTGATTCATCTATTCACTACCGTGTTTCATCAATCGCTTGAATACCAGACCTGGGCCTGCTACTAATACTGCAACTAATACACGCCGTGCGAAGGCTAAGCAACCGACGTAGACTGGGGAAGAACGCGGTAAACTTCCTGAAATGTACAATAACACTAGAGGTTCGAGTGCCACTGTTGCAAAGATTGTACGAATCACCAATCGATAAGTGACAATTATCCGGCTCCCAATAATCAGGTCATCTCCCCAATCATCGAATGACTCAACTCAGTAGGCTCAGCAAAGGCCTGAGCAGCAAGTCAAGAGACTGTTTCTTCGCAATTCCCTCTTTTGTTCACGCTACCTCTCCAGCAAAGATCGGATTCATAGCTCTAGTAATCGATTGCGCAGTTCGGTCATCAGCGCATTCGCCAAATTACTGTTCTCCGATTATTTGAACAGACAGCTCAGCAGCCACTGCGATTAGAAGGGATTCCACCAGAAGCATCTACTTACCACAATGCGAGCTCATCTCGTGAATGGACGACTTCTTCGCCATCTACTCGGCAAACTTCTCCGACGCCTCTGAAAAGTCGGGCCTATGATATTGACAAGGACTGTTGGGGCCCATTGAAACGTATGCGGTGGGTGTTTAGGCCCTCGAGAAGATCCACAAGCGAGGATAGATGTTGAGAGAGTACTGACCTTGGCCATTGCGTTATCAGATACCGCTGAACTTTGTGAAACTCTTCGCTGTGTACTTCTTTCACTCTCTTCGGAATCCCAGCTGATTATCAGCAGTTGTGGCGACATATTTGACGAACTGGATGCCTTTCTGCTCCTAGTATCACTCTTACGTGCAGCGTAAGATGCGTGTAACCTCCTACCAATATCAACCGTCACAGCAGCTGCGCATGTCATTTTGCAGCTAAGCTGTACCTTGTATGTACCTGTCCTAGTATTGGGCGGTACGTGGTACCGATGACCAGGCAGACATGATGCGGTAGAAATAAGCACTACCTGCACTGACATGCGGTTCAATGCTTATAGTTAGTCGTGTACCCATCAAATGAAGATTACTGTATCTATCCATCTTAGCATGAATGAATGCTATAGTAGCTGTCTTTCGCAGATTAGTTAATCAATATTTGCCCATTCACCAAGACGAGAGGATTGATGATACTAGCGCTACCTCAACCAGCCAAGTACATAACAATTCTGCGCATGCTTTCTTTAACACCCCCCATCGACAAGGCCTCGGACGGTGACTTGAACATATTGGTAGCAGTTTATCACCATAGAATGATACTGATTTCTTCACACGACACCATACTGATACAGATTCGTATGTGCTGATTCGGTGCTTACGGCAGATCGTTACTGTATCAATCGGTGTCCGTCGGTACTTACAACAACTGTTATCGGGCAATCCTAGACCTTGATACCGTGTTCCCGAACCGGTAGTCATCCTCCCGAGATGCTTTAATGATCCTATAATTTTTAGGTTTAATTAGTTGCTTCAACTGAACGAATGCACGTTGAAGCACAAACTAATATCTCAATAGGCAACTATAATTTCCAGATGTTAAAACACATATTCGTTGCGGCCACACTTTGGCTGTCTTTGGCCACTGCTTCTGGTGAAAGAGGATCGCCTCTATCATTATCAGTTGAGGAGACTCGCCCGCCATTATCGAACCAAGCGTCCCTGTCCGAGGAGTTGCAACTTGTAGTATCGTCTTTCATTGCAACTGAACCGGAAGAAAAAGCATTGGCCCACCAGTTTCAAAATCGTATTTCGAATTTATCCGTCACACTGGACGCATTATCGTCTGCATCTAACGTTACTGGATCCCCCCAGAAGGCTGTTGTGGCATGTATCATCTCGAGCTATCTGTTCCCAGGGGCAGCCATCACTCAAGAGCCAGAGTATACTCAGGAAAGGGAGGCACACTGGTACGTATCTTCTCTAATTATCATAGAATAGGATGCTGAGAACTCACATTACAGGTCTCAAACATGTTGGCTTCCGGCAGCCTGTTTCATCCGACCTAAAAACACACTAGAAGTCGCTGCCACTATGAAGGTGATAACCCATCTAGGTGTGAGGTTTGCCGTTCGAGGGGGTGGACACAACGCCAACTCCGGATTTGCGAGCGTTGGTGACAACGGAGTGCTCATTGACATGCAAGATCTTAATCGACTGGAGGTGCAGGGAGGTGCAGACGGAAATCTCATCACTGGGCCTGGCAACAGATGGAGCAGAGTTTATGAATATCTTAGCACTAACTACGGACGTGCAGTCGTTGGCGGGCGCACCGGTGAAGTGGGCGTGCCTGGTTTCCTGCTTGGCGGTAAGAAAACTGGTCGGGGAGTTCGAATCATATTTTGACATTATTTAGGAGGCATGTTCTTTTTCCCAAACATGCACGGCCTAGGAGCGGATAACGTGGTGAACTTCAAGGTCAGTCCTATAACAAAGAATCTGCGACCAAAGCCATAGAACAGCAGACTAATTTATCAAAGTGTGTCCTCGCGAATTCGACCGTGGTCAACGCAAACCAGACAAGCCACACTGAGCTCTTCAAGTCCCTCAAGGGGGGTGCGGCAAACTTTGGTATGTCGCTAGATTTCTATAACCCTAGGTTATCACTGACATGACAGCAATCGTAACCGAGTTCACTCTACGTACTTATCCGATCCGAGATGTCTGGTACGCGATTGACTTCTACGCAAATGCCGACTACAAAGCAGTGCTCAATGCGACGATCCAGACGCAGCTTGCGATGGAGAAGGACCCAAGAATAGGATTCCATGCAAATGTGCAACCTGGTGGGATACTAGTCGGCAAGGTCTATGCAAGCGTCGATGGCCAAGCCGTGAACCCAAGCAGTTTTGCAGCATTCGATGGCATCAAGCCAATGACTGTACTTGTTCCCCCGACAAACGGAACACTTGCCGACATAGCAAGCTCGTTGGGTCCAATCGTTGCTGTGAGGTAAGGTTAAGGTGTTACAATCGAGAACAACCCTATAGGTGTTGACAATCTTTGACAGGAGAGAGCCACATGTTGTCAGCTACGAATTATCTTTGGACTTGTATACCGATGTGTACGAAAGATACAGAAGTATACTGAACAGCTCAAGCGCACCATCTGCGAACCTGTCTTACACAATCCAACCGATGGGCTCCGCTGCTGTTGCGGCCGGGAAGATGCAGGGTGGTAACATTATGGGGATTCCCCAAGTGCCTCAAAGCTGTAGGTCCAGCTCCTGTGTAAGAGATAGGGCAACACGCCTTGCTGACACCATACAGGGCACGCCTCGCTTGTGGAGTGGTCATCTCTTGACGATGATCAGGCCGCACATGATATGCTCCAAACTTACGGAGCCGATGTCAAATCTCTTGCGGAAGCGAGGAACGTATATCTGCCATACCAGTTCATGAACGATGCCTCGTACACTCAAAATCCACTCGAGACCTATACAGCTGAAAATTTGGCTATTATGCAGGACGTTAGCTCGGCATACGACCCTGCGGGAATTTTCCAGAGGTTACAGAATGGCGGGTTTCTTCTAAGGAATGTTAGAAGACGAACCCCGGCGAGGTCCGTACACCACAAACGGTTCTTGCATCATAAGAGGCATTAGGAAGGCTGATGGAACTACCATTATGGGCGAATATCTCTGTCGTAATTGTATTAATATTGTTGTATAATTTTATCTCATTTTTCTTTGCACAAGGATGCTAAAAATAAAGTGTATCCAGAGCTTCCTAATTCCGTAGTAAATCAGAGATTATAATTTCTCAGTGCATGGCAATTTACCGATCTAAATAGGCGATGAATATCATGATTTTGTACGAGGTAGGGAGGACTTGATAAAAATAAATTGCTTGAGAGGAAACATGTCTACAGAGTAATAATGATGCTGAAAAAGCAAAATGGCTGGCGTTTTGGGGGTACATAGTCAACTAGCGAAACACGTCCAGCCAACCGGCCTCGGCTGAACTCTTGGTAGCATAATGATAATGATAACAATAATGACCTGGACTCCAGCCCTATTCAGTCTCTTGCAGACTCGCTTTTGAGACCTAGTTGCGGAGCATTTCATGATAGACCTCAAGGGGAGGCAGCCATTGATCATCCATGATGTCAACGCCCACTTTACTCCGCAGATGGAGGCGCGTGCCTCTCGGCGAGCACTCTTTAGGCCCTCGCACTGTGCTTGTAACTCCTCGTAAGGCTGGAGAGATGCATGCGAAGAAGTATGTATTTACATACAACAATTAATGCAGGTAGTACTGCCACGAGGAGTGGGGGTTTTGTTTGACGCTTCGAAGAACGGAGCACCATAATCCACCGGCTTATAAAGGGTATGCGCCACCCCTTTCCACAATAATGATGTCAATTTGTATTTGGATCGCTCGGGATGCGACCGCAAAGCATACCATCTGCTCCAGTCTCAATAATGCCAATTTCATTTCGGTCAGGTTCCATGACACGCGCAGTGAGAACAAGACCTGGCCGCGCATGGTGTTGTTCCTTCTTGCAATAATAATGAATGTTTTGGTAGGGGACGACCAAAGGCATGGGGGGTGGGAGGCGTAGCTTGGGCCCTTGGGGGTGCTCAGGTAGGCCTCTGCGCTGGCAAGCGTGGTCGTGTTGGCCAACTTACTTGTCTTTTGCTACCACGAAAGAGCATGACGTTGTCGTCTCGTCGCTGACGATTGACGGAAGAGAAGTGAAGCAGTCGACTACTGAACAGTAATGATATCCTGGCTGGGGATCATACAGTTTTAATTAGGATGTTGAGATCCTGTACGAGAGGTGTAGTCTGCGTGCAGTGTGCACCGTGTATGGAGTCCTCCGTAGAGCGTGAGAAGATGAGTGCTCCAGCTCCAGTAGATGGATACCTAATCAACCACTCTTCCGGGGGATGCGTCTCTTTTGAAGAACCAGGCACCACCCGAGTTGCTGGATAGAGTGGCTCCTCAAACGTGGCGTTGGAGTTTGGGTGGGTCGTCGGGTCTGGGACTCTGGGGCAGTGTTCAACTTGGAACTCCTGGAATGCTGGAACACGTTCAGGCCCATTTGTGACCAGAAAATAGCCATTGTATTTTACGTTTGCGTACCTCTATGTACGGAGTATCTACGGCTCCGCGCGCAATGGTACATTCGATCGCTGATCATCAATGACAACAATTCAGAGTTGTATGATGACATACTCACATGGTACCTGTAGAGAAGTCTACAGACTTGAACCGTCCATATTCGTGCCTCCGTATGATACGGATTGCATGCAGTTGACAGATACCGAGTAATTACAGAGTACACCGTATGTATGTACATAGATACATGCTCAGATAGTACATTCCATGCAGAGTACGGAGTAGAGAGTAAATTGCCGCGTATGATCATGCAAGGCGATGCAAGGCATGCGTCCTAATGCACCATGACATCCATGCCAGCATACAGTACTCGATACAGAATTGTACTTGTAGACAATCGTTCACCGCAATTTCTGTCGGCAATTCTCGCCAAACAAAAATAAAAGCGAGGATCTATCGATAGCGTCCTGCAGCCTCCAGACTCTTGGTAGCGACGATGATGGTACTTGTAGCTGTAGTGGTCGGCTTCAAGTGCTGCAGTGGTTTGCACACGACGGTAATTTTTTTTTCATGCTCTCTGTAACCCTGCCCCGGCAACAATACTCTGCAATACGGAGTACTGTGTGAATATTGATGCATACTCCGAGTCGTACATCATACTGTCCATGTTCATCCGGTCTCCCAGGAAATGCACAGACAGACACTTTCTTTTTCGCCCTCAGACTCCTGGCAATCAACGTCATGGTCCGCAAGTTTGGTGGGTTGGGAGGGAGTCGGGACGCACTGCACGGTCGTATTCATCTACGCCCGCCTTTCCCTGTCGGTACTTTTTCCCGTGTCCTCTATGACCTGATTGAGGCTGTACCCGACTGTACAAAATGTACCTAATCCTGATTACTTGGTACTCGCGCTCGGATGGCGTTGAGGCGGCAACCTTGAGCTGTCCCGCTAGACCCTCAAAAGGGACGACAAACGACTCACTGCCAACGCACCGTGCAGCTGTCGGCCAATTCTTCTATAATAGTAATGAAATGGACAATAACGATACTAGCATTAATGGGTTATAGAGAACGAGGCAGGCAGGTCTACTGTCCAACAACTTGGACCATGCAGGGCAGCAACGCCGGATGATAAAGGAAACTGGTACCTCGCATGAAGATGCAGACTCCAATTGATCTCTTCCTCCCGAAATATATGTGTAAAAATTCATCTCTTTAATCTTTACGGCCATGACGTACCTTTTCGCGTGGTGGTGTCTCATCCAATTCTCATCTCTCTGGCAGATGGGAGAAGCATGGCCACTTACTCTACGACACGAGAAAAAACATGAGAAACCTCCAGTGTGCATAATAGGCGCAGGGCCGGCAGGGTTGACGGCAGCCAGCAAGTTGGAAGCAAAAGGTGTGAAGGCCATCATATTCGACAAACAACCAGATATCGGTGGGAAGTGCCAATCTTGGTACGATGACCAGTAAGTTTAATTGTCTGCTCTCTTCTCCCTTTCCCACTGCCCTCTGTCTCCTCCTACGAAAAGACTGCAGTTACAACGGCGACGCGGCGATTGCGATTGCGATTGCGATTGCGATTGCGATTGCAATTGCGATGAGAGTTCAGTTACGGTTACAGTTACACGACAGACTGTTTGGGCGTGGCAAGGCGATTTGTTTCTCTTCTTCGAGGTGCATCCATTTAGACGCGGCTGACCACCCAATGTTCGTTTCTTCTCAACAGAGGCATCTTCCATCCCCTCGGCGCGGCTTTCTTTTCAAACGGAACCTACCCCGAGACTGTCAAGGTCATCAATGCGTCCGGCGTATCGGTGGAGCCCTTTGCCCTCGCGGGTGCAAGGCAACAATTCCAATTCAACTACACAACAGAGTCGGGTGACATCAAACCGGCGCCGGGTATCACTGTGCCAATGATTGCGCGTCTGGGAGAAGAGATCCCCAGATACATCCAGACATGGCAGCGAAGGTTTGCGCCGTTCAGCGCGCCAAGTTTCAAGGTGAGCAACTTACTGTCGTCGATTGCGCGCGAACTTGCCCGATGATTAATTATGTTCATGAATCGTGGGGCCCAGCTGCTAACGCGTATACGCTCCACAGAACGGCGTCCCGGATGAATTCAGCGTCACGGGTACCGAATGGTTCGTCGCAAACAACTTCACCACCTTGCAACAGTTGCTTGTGAACCCGCTTGCGCTCTACGGTTACGGCGATATTAATATTGTGCCTGCTGTAAGTATTATTTGCAATCACCAACTCTCGTTCCGAACGGAACGGAACGAACCCCTGTCGATAGTCGAGGCCGTGTTAACAAAACAAACAGCTCTACGTCCTGCAGTACATCACACCCGATCTATTGACCGCTTTCTTGGGCAGATCGAGCGTCTACTACGCGGACTTCCATAAGATCTGGGTAGAATGGGCGAAGGGTGCGCTCTGCAAGACCGAGATCCGCACGTCGCATGAAATTCGCTGCATTGATCGTTCTGGAGAGAATCCGGTGCTCAAGTACACGAAACCGCACGGCAAATTTTACGAATGGGGCCACCAGGAGTGCTCCTCTCTCATCTTCGCCCTCCCACCAACAATCGAAAACCTAGAGCGCGCAGGACTGGATATTACCGAAAAAGAAAATGAAATCTTCTCTGCCGTTGTAACCCACAACTACTTTTCGTCCGCGGTGGAGATTGACATGCCATTTGGCGTTTCTTATATCGCCGCATCTGCCAACTCCACCATTCCCCCGCCTAACGACGGGCAACCTGTCGCCGTTCTCCGCCTCAGTGCCGAGTCTAATGTATCCGTCGCCTGGTCCTGGGGCCCTGATGGCGAGTTTCCAGAATCGATGGGCTATGACCTCGTCTTAGACACTTTCGGCAAGCTGAACAAGGATCCCCGCAACGAGACCGCCCAGCCCCAACCATTCTGTCCTGACAACGTGAAGGCATTCAGAAAGTGGGATTACTTCCCGCACTTTGGTAGCCAGGCGCTGAAGGACGACATCTACGCAAGAATGACGAAGCTGCAGGGTTGCAAGAAAACCTTCTGGGCCAGTGGCCTGGGCGGCATGGAGACGGTTGAATGGGCCATTCGTGCGGGACAGGACGTTGTTGACACTCACTTCTGACGATTGAAACGAACGAACGACTTTTAATGACACGAAAAACCCCTCGAAACATGTATATAAGGGGCATGACTAGAGGGTTAAAATTTCCCTCCTACAGCGACGAAGGAGGACTAGATATGGGACGGCTGATTGCTTTGATGCGCTTGTTTTCACTTTGATTTTATGTTCGACTCCTTCCAGATTCTGCGCGCGACTCACGATTCTCCGTTGTCGGCTTAGACGGTATGATTCCCCAGCTTGCGCGCCATAGAACGCCTTCATTGTGCGTTTGTTCATGATCAACGATAAAAACGTCCAGTAATGATGTGTAACGTTACGGGGTTGATGTGGTTTACGATAATAGTAATTCTCAGTTATGTATCATCCGCAATTGATCTTGTGTAGATAGAAAATATGTATCAGGCCGTCGCTTTACGAAGAAGATTTCTCTAAAAGAGACAAAAATAAGAGCTTTGAATGCTTATTATCGTCTTGTGACCCGCGAGACATGGTTCTGTGTGAAGTTCCTGTGAGACACATGGCAGATACCCAGTATCTGGGGTAGCAAGCTTCTTATTGTATCCCTGTTCGAGAAATGTCAAGACATGCTACAACTAATTTTTAAGCGTGGCCTTCCGTTGCCCATATCATTATCAGTATCAAGGCAAGCTAGACCACAAGATTGGAGTTATTCTCTCTGTGCCTGCTCCGCTATCCCAGATTATTTTACCTTTTGACTTCCCAACCACTGCAAAGTGTTTACCTGCGAAGTGTAGTCAATAGTTGTCTAAGTCTGGGCTCAAATATATGACTTCTTTCTCAATGGTGGCAGTGAAAAATCTACGTATTGGCAGAATGTCTCAGGATTCACATTGCATCAGAGATCATCGCTCAATCATAAAGGCACTAGAAGTTCCGAAATACCGTGAAGAATTGACTTCCACTAACAAACATCTTGTTTCCGTGTCTCTCGTGGTAAAGCTTTTATGAATTTCCTTCCAAGTCTGATGCATGTGCATACGGGACGTCAGACCTATACGATATGCCTCTGACTGTCAATCACCCGCGACTGCTTGATCCACTAACCGGCCACGACATCGCCCATGGTAGCTGGCACAATCTTCCAGTGGATTGAAGCCATTTCGCGCTCCATGAAGATCACACTGTCAGTGAAGAACACACACGCCTCTCCGACCTTGAGATGTCCTAGTTCAGCTTTGTGCTGAACAAGAAAGTACCCAATACCAATACCGTTAGGAGTACCAAGGAGAGCCTTGCCCACCTCCTCTGAGGTTAGGAAACACTCCCCAGGATAATCTTCAAGGTAGTCCTTCCCGTTCCTCGTTTTAAGGGCTCGAGCAAGCGCGGCGTTGGTAGCCTTGTTATCCACTGCCCAGGTAATCATGTGACGAACGGGGGCGTTGGTAGTCGTCATCTTCCACATGCCCCAGCAAATGTCGGAGAAGCGCTTAAGGTCTGGGAGTTCCTCTACTGGAGGCCTACGCATGTTTCCGACAGTACCTGGGCTGTACTGCTTCGCAATGATGAGTGCTGTTGGGAATATTAGGATCTGGCCATCATGGAAGTTGAAGTGAACTTACCTCCATCTTTTGCGTTTGTGGGTACCACGAACTCGGCACCAGTTGCCTGTATACTATTAGCGCGAGCAGGAGTTAAAGTAGCGATATCATTCTTACCCGATAAGTATGGCCATTGACCACATAAGTCTGGTCATTGAGGTTCGGCGCACCCGGTCGACGATCGCCATGTGTGGCCCTCAGAAATGACCAATCGTCCCGGCGCCTAGAGATACCCATATCCTTCAATGCGTCTGAAAGACCATAGTAGTACTCGCCGAGGTCTGTCTGGTCATCGTTGAAAGGTTGGTAAAACCACTTGTCGAACTCGCCGGGAAAGTTGGTGAATTGACTAGCAGCAGATCCCTGTGGTGGCTCAAGCATTCTTCCAGCAGTCCTATCATCACTATTCATCATCGTGAGAAGCTTTTCGCCCTTGCACAAGTATTTCGCCCATTCCTCGTCGCTTGAGGGAGGGGGTAGAAACCCACGAGCTTGTAGACGGCGATGACCATCACCGGTAAGGGAGACGTTGTGAACATTGGCCGGGAGAGCGAGAGTGACTACGGAGGTCCAGATTCCGGAGGCAACAATGAAATTCGGATTGAATAACCTCATGGTTGTTGTAAGACTGCTTGCGTTGTCTTTGTCTGGAAGCAGAGGTAAAATATAGTGGGGCGAAAGGTTCTCATATAGAGAGCACCGTGTGCTTTTGCGTGCACAGTCACCAACTTTCACTTTCGATCCCGCAGCTCGGGCCAATTGGAATCACTGTGAAATCATTCTTAGCGGATGGTTGCTTTCACTGTCCTACCTATTACCAGTACAACTGAGATGAACGCGTCTTTGGAAGAGGGTCGCACATTTGATTTTCTTTCAACAACTTGATAGAGTATGACCTGAACAATGCGCCGACCACTCGAGCCAATAAGGAAAGAAAGGCAAACTCATTGTGCCATCCACGTTGTTTATGTACATTGCCATCGACTTGAGTATCTATGCATAACCCCTACTGGATAGAATATCCGTTGTCAGTTTCCACAATCTGTCGGCCTTGCTCTCATCGACTGCGTGCGCTGGTGCAGGCTTCTTTTCGCAATCCGACAGGTAGATACCACCATCGGGCTTCAGCTCAGGATCAAGAGCTGCAACGAGAATAGTTGCAGCTCCCTGGTCGATGCTTTTGAAGCCTCCAAACTTCTCAATTGTGGCCAATTGCTCAGGCCCGAGTTGATCCCAGAGCGGATTGGTACCAGCACTTCTTACTATACCAGGATGGACAGCGAAGGAGTAAATTTTATCGGAAACAAGGTGGCTATTGAGTGATAGAGCCATGAGGGTCTTAGCAGTATTGCATTGGGCGTATGCAATGTTGTGGTCGTATTTATCGGTTTCTTGGACTCCAAGAGCTTTGAATATTGTGAAATCGGGCTTCTCATCGTCCGGAAGTGCTTTATTGCAGTCGAGATTAATGTCGGAAAAGCGTATCCCACTGGCCATTTGCGCACCACTGGTCATCATAACCACTCTGGTAGAGCCAGGTGGACTTGATTTCGAGGCGGCGCGAAGTTTCGGGATCAAACCCTGCACGAGTAGGAAGTGCGATACGTAACCGGAAAAATGCTGTTCAAGGCCATCTTCTGTGATAACACGTTCACCAAACTGAGATCCCCCAGCGTTGCCAACGATGATATCGATTGCAGGGATGGAAAGATCGCTGGAGGCCTCCTTCACCGCTTGTTGGGTCGACGATAGCGAATAAAGATCGAATCGCAATGTCCGGAACGTTGTCCCAGGGTAATCGGTCGTGAGGGCCTTGGTGACTTCGGCAAGACGTTGTTCACTGCGTCCTGTGATGATGATAGTTGATGCGCCACCTGCCGCGAAGGCACGAGTGATTGCGTCGCCGATGCCTAGGACTACAGTCAGAACTTGGAAGATCGAAAGAGACAGTGTGGCCTCTGTCCAAAACAAAAAGGGTTGATGTGATAATTACTTACCCCCGATCGAGACTCCAGTGACGAGGATAGTCTTTCCCTTGGCCTGGGTGGAAAACCGTCTAGCAACTTCCAATGCTCCAGACCCTCCGTTAAAGTTGTTGGTTGTGGCCATTCTGACAAGCAATTATAGACTGGGACAGTGTGTTGAAATTGGTAGAAGGTTATTTTTCTGGGACTCTGCCTCTACATAAGGTCCTTTAAATATTAGGTTCGTAGCTACCCGTGGTCGGGCGTAAACTGCCTTTTCTGACTTTCACTGCATCGATGAGCACCATACAGGGGACAACCAAGTGGGTATCCCGTCGCTGATAAGTACAGTACTTGTTCTTGCACCTGGTATGGGTCAATTTGATGGACCACAATCAAATAAATGGGACGCCTTTGAAACTGCACACTGAGTTGAGCTTGGTATGATTGGCCCAATATTATCCCTAGTCCTTGTGGAACGGGGCGGAATATACACTATCTTCAGTTTTAGCGACGGACAAAACCCAACGGATCGCGGGTGGCGTTGGGATTCTGACATTGCCCCTCGTACGTGCCCCATATTCTGACATCCAGGCTCCAAACCCTAGTCTACGATCTGACATGGCAAAGGCTTAATGCCACTACGATAACATATTCTATCGCCACTCGTTATTGATCTCCAGGCTGCAGGCAAGGCGGATTACATTACATCGTGTACTGCCAAGAGTATACATCCGAAACAGAAAGCGAATATACGGGGCCTCGTGTAAGGAACAAAGTGAGGCACAGTGTTATCTCATAGTTGCGGCTACGCAATGTTATCTTGTTCCGTCCGCATCTTGCGCAAGTGATACATAAGAACCTAGCCTTGTGATGGTCCTATAGATTTTGGGATAAGACATGTCTAATTTCAGTTTGGGTTACTCCCTGCTTTCAGTTATTTTGCATCACTGTGGTCTCATGGTCTGAATGCTCTTTATTCGGTATCGCAATAGAAGTCAGGCAGGCGCCTTATACATCAATCTCGTGAACTGAACCCGCCGTAGAGTTATTAAGTGACGACCACATTCATACGCCAATGGTGAACAGATAGCTAGTGGATCAAAGAGAACTCCTTTCACAATCTCCTGTTGTAGCTCCAGTGAGCTCGCGCATCTTTGAGAATGTCCTCGTACATCCCTAAGTTCGCTGACCACATACCGTCCTTCATGAGGGTCAACTCTTTCGCCAGATTCGCGTATTTTATCGCTTTTTTCGTGTCCCCAACAGCATTGTACGCGAGGGCTGCGAAACCATACGGGATGGTGAGGAATCCTTCGAGCCCTTCCTGGCGGTAGATTTGAAGCAACTTCTCGGCAGTTTTGGGTGAAGCTGTTGATGAGGCAGACCAATCGTTGAGACGTTCCTGTAGATCTTGGATCTGCTTCAAGGTTGCATCCGACCGAGCTTGGTCACTGCAACGAGAGCACGTGCAGGTGAAGTGAAAACCATTTTGAAGGTTTTGTTGTCGCACCTTGGTGAAATCCACAGGCGATGTATCTACAATAACTCAGCAAGCCTCCTTGAATCAGTTGGGCCATTCAACGCACAGGCTATGGTTATCTCTTCGCCCTGCTGGATAGGCCTTGTTGCATGCACAATGTGCGTTAGTAATGTTGGTTCGAGGTAATATTGGGCACTAGAGAGTCAGCCGTGTTATCGGAAAATTCATGGAAGGTCAAACCGACTTTGGTGCACATGCATGATTCAGTCTTGAGGTTTCGGGGAAGACCGCGAGGTGGTTCTGGCCGCCAATATCTAGTTGGAACGTGTTCGCTTTTACGATGTCCTGTACCCTCACTCGTGGGTCACCATACACAGTTGCAAGCCTCAAGTACATGTCTCTCATAGCGTCAGGTAATTGGTTGACTGCCAGACGGAAGAACCTTTCTCGCTCCAACGTAGATAGCTCATCTTCGACATGGGCAAGCAAAGCTGGAGTATATCCCGTGATGCGATCTTTGAATTTGAGGTTTCTTTTCGCTACCATGCCCATACCCTTTCCAGACATTTCCTGAACATGCCAAGTCCCACTGTCAATATTGATGCTCCTCGTTTCGAGAATTGTTGGGTCCTGGATGGCCGGCAAACTGGCAAATTCTTCAGCAATCTTTGGTGTTGTAAATATAGAAATGCCCCTTCCATTGCTAAACGAAGCACTTGTATATACACAAAGCGGACTACCTAGACTCTGCAAGACATCTGTGCAAATTGGCTGGTGCGTCCACGGGCCGTACTGTGATGTATCGGATGATATCCGAAAGGCTGGTCTGGATGGCGAACCAGGTGTTATCAATCGGCCTCTGATGGTTTCGACATTCTCAGAATTCCCTCCATCTAGACACTGTAGTGTTACAGTTGAGAAGGGGTGTTCATGCCAGCATTGGTGAGATAGATGATGTGAATGGGATGGTAGGTACGTTCCCGTTGACCCTAGCGCGAAGGAAAAGAATGCTAAGGCTGAACTAACAGTGTACATTATAGTAAAGGGCGGAAGAGAACTGCTGGGGGAAGATTGTGAGGCACCAAGAGACAAACATTCTGGATGGATGGCAACTGGACTGGATTGTCATCTGCCATCTGAAACATGATATGTGACAGCTTCGGGGGATTGATATTAGCGTGCCAAGGGGACGCTTAGTCAACGTCGGGAAAGATTCACTGGAATGACCTTCTAGAGAGAAGAAAATAGTTACTTAGGTGGCTCATATAGATAACCTTAATCTGACTGTATAGAGCACATTCCGAAGTTTCTTACGAGGTGGCTTCGTTTGGTCGAGCAAAGTTGTAGTGCGATATGTGTGTAATATGGGTATATTGGCCAAAGGATAACAGCTGTCCTACAATACATTCCTTCTGATCCTTTCCTAGATTATCAACAACGCCTCTTCCCTGAGTTTATTTTTTTCTCGGCTCATAATTGATACACCGGCGAAGTGTCCTATGAGACTCCGCTAGCTAGGCTCAGTCCGATGAAAGGTTCTTGGCCCTGTGGAATACTTGTCTCGAGATTTGGAGAAAGCCAATGTTCGTCACCAGGGATTCTAGTCTGAATTTCCATCCATGTCGGCAGCTACCTCCTTCTTCTTCTTCTTTTTCTTTTCCTTGGTTTCGTCGCCATCGCGCTTCCTTTTCTTTTTGGGTGTATCTTCCGTGGGTGGCACGTAATCCTTCAACCTCTCCTTCCTTTTCTCCTCTTGCTTCTCCTGCATTTTTGCGGCTCGGTCCTCTCTGTGTTTGCGCTCCTTCGCCTGCTTGCTGAGAAAATACTCTCCGCTCTCGATCTGCAGATCGACCTTGCTCTTCTCCTGTGCTGGAGGGAATGGAGTGTAAGTCTTCTTCGACTTGTCGGTAACCTTGTGTGGCACACGGCGCTTGCTGAGAGTGCGCTTCTTGAAGTTTGGCAGGAAACGCTCCCAATTCTCGTTCGCCAGCTCCGGATCCTTTGCAAGCTCCTTCCGAATCATGAGCTCCTTGATCGCGTAAATAGGGTGTATGTTGGCAAGTGTATCCTCGACGATGCGGCGGACGGTCTTGAGTCCTTTGTAGGAGCCCATCGCAGCGACTGTGTTTCCTTGTACCAAAATGTAGCATTCCGTGAGGAGTTCGAGGGCCTTTAGAGTTGATCCATTCGGCCCCAGGATACGTTGTCTGCGTTTTACGAAACGTTCTTTGTTTGTGACGAGATTTCGGATCTTGATAATGTCGCATGATACCTGAGAGTAGTCAGAATGGCGCATGCTCATTGTACGCAGATTCTAGATACGTACATCATCTTCGAGTATCTTGATAGCCTGTGGTGCTGGTACACTTCTCGCAAGCAACTTGATGAGGTCTCGCGCGTTCAAAATGGCGGCAGGATCAAAGGTCTTACGTGATGTCTTCACGGTCATAGAGCCCTCCACAAGATCCAGTGTACAAGCAATGCCTTGCTTCTCGAGGGTTTTCGTGATCTAGAGTGAGTTAATACTGCGCTTTGCCCAGAAGTCGGAATCTGCGCGCAACTCACCATTGGCCAGCTGGCTCTGAGGTATTGTTCGCGGTACTTAGGGAATAGTGTGCTAAAGCTGCTCTCCTCCAGAAAAGTACCACCCTTATTGTCTTCCGCCGTGAACTTCTCGATCTTCCACTTGTCAATGTCATCTGTGTCCCAAGGCTTGTCCTTGTCATGCGAAGGCATGATTGCAGGCGCTCCAGGAGCAGTGCGATCGAGGTAGAGCGCGAGGTTCGAGGTATCCTACGGATACTTGAGAACGGCAGCGTAATGCTTGCGTGAAATTAATCGCCAGGCAACGATAACCTCTGGCTTTATGCGGATGCGCAATGTCAAAATAGTACTCGTAAATGAGGAAGCAGAAAAATGATGGTCGATCTGCCGCCAAAGAAAAAGTTTAGCGCGGCGACGAATGCCAAGACTTCGGAAGTCCGGTTCGCCCCCCCAAAAGTCAGTTCTATGGCATCCTCCACCTCCACCTCCATCATTCAACCCTCAACTTTCCTCTCTTCAACATTCTGCATCATACGAACCGGGCACTCTCCATCCATTCACCGCATCCGCCGCAATAATCCGATACCAACCATCTTTACATACACATTCAAACAACCGCAACCATGCCACGCGCGGAGATGGGAAGCCAGAAACAACTGGCGAACGCTATGAAGTCAAAAGGCCTACAGAGATTGCGATGGTACTGTCAGCCCTGCCAAAAGCAGTGCCGCGATGCCAACGGCTACAAGTGCCACACTCAAAGCCCCTCACATGTTCGTCAGATGCAACTCATCGGCGAAGATCCGAACAAACACATCGGGGGCTTCAGTAACGACTTCCAAAGAGATTTCATTTCACTGCTTCGAACAGCCCATGGCGAGAAATACATCGGAGTGAACCGCTTTTATCAAGAATACATTCGGGACAAGGAACACGTACATATGAATGCGACCAAGTGGTCGAGCTTGACCGAGTTCGCAAAACACCTTGGACGCGAGGGCATCGTCAACGTGAAAGAGGACGAGAAGGACGGCTTGATGATCGCTTGGCGTGATACCAGCGTTGAGGCAGTTCGGAGACGCGAGGACATTCGCCACAAGGAGGCCGCAGAGATGAAGAACAGTGCAGGCGAAGACAAGATGCTCGAAAGGATGGCAAAGCGAGCACGCCAGGAAGCAGAGGCTAAGGCTAAGACTAAAGCTGCGCAAGCCAACTTCGTGGAGAGGAAGGATTCAGGGTCGCCAGCTGCAGGCGCGAATCAGTCAGAAACACCAGAGGACAAGCCTGGTAGCGAGACTACCCCAAAATCCCAAGACGAGAACACTGCAGAAGAAGCCCAACCCACACCCGCCGTCACTGCTCCAGTAAAAATCAGCTTTGGTATGAAAACAAAAGTGGCTCCCACCCAAAAAGCAGGCCTAGGTCAGATGAAAAGCCAGAGCATCTTCAAGAGAGCGCGCACAGAGAATACTGAAGCGAAGCCCGTCAAAAAGGTCAAGCTGTAGGAAGGTTCAACTTACAACATGGCATGGCTGCATAACGTGGAGTTCAGGTCGTGGGAACCCTAGAGATTAGCTACATGTGTTTTTTTGGGGTGTTCACGGATTATATCAACTTGGGTGCATCTCATGAATGGGTTTTGTTTGGGAGTTTTTATGATGAAATAGCAGCATAAGAGATACCCTTCATCATATGAATACATTCTGTCCTAGAACGTTTAACAAATGTTGTCCACAGATAGTTTTTAATGCATTAAAATCATACTATTATTCGTACCTATCATTATTGTGTGCAGGAGGATACGCGTAGTACGATTCGCTGCCGTACTCAAACTATAAGTTGTAAAGTTACCTACGCACCTACGGTACTACTTGTAGGGGTTTCGCATGTGCCGTTCCCACCCCAAGTAGTCACTCAGTCCCTCGATATGTCAGCTCCCGTTCCGTTCATTCAATCCTCATATCTCTCCTCTCATCACTCTTCTTCCGTCTAATTACATACCAATAGAACGGAGTACCGAGTATTCATTCCAATCCCCTGGCCAGGATTTTTTAATGATGGTTATCTCTTCCCTATGACCCTCCAACCATTATGCCACCAATCCGTTTTGGCACCCACGATCTACTCCAACATGACCCTAGATACGGCATCCTCATTTGTCGAGAATGCCAATACGCGATTCAGAAAAGTGCACTGAAGAGCCACCTACTTCGACATAAGATATATCGCGAAGAGAGACAATCTCTGCTATCATCCCTATCCAAGCTTGAGCTTTTCGAACCTGATGATGTGCCTCTTCCGGCCCCGTCCACTCCGCCAATCAACGCCCTGCCACTCCTCGATGGCTTTCGTTGTCTTGCGCCTGAGTGTGGGAACTTATGCGCGAGTTCAAAACGTATGAGAAGGCATTGGAGTGAGAGCCACGGTCTGAGTGAGGCATCTGATCTTGCGACTCTTGCAAGGTCAGCGAAAATTCAGACATTTTTTCGAGGCACAAAGATTAGATATTTTGAGGTTACTCTTCCAACTACACAATCCTCCACTGTGGCGTCACCTGCACGCATACAAAAAAGCCCGACCCCGGACATCAACCAGCATGATATTACCGACGAGAATAGTGAAAGACAGACTAAGCAGTCGAGTCCACCGCGGCTGTTCCAGGACGATCAGGTGGCAGACTCCAGGGGTTCAGTAGACCAGGTCAACTTGGACACATTAACATACTTTCACCACTTCTTAACTAAGACGAGTCTTGCGCTTCCGAGGGGCTCCACTACTCACTTCTGGCAAACCGATATTGTCTCGCAGGCCCTGTGTTGTCGATGGTTGATGTGTGGCCTCATGGCCGTCGCTGCGTACCATCTTGCGATCCTCTCGGAGGATCGCGATGTCGAGGAAATGCATCGCGAAAGGGCTTTTCTCTACCTCGCGGATTTCAGGAACAGTCGGGATAGGGCATTGGAGCGCGATGTCGAACCGGCTGGAGCTGCTATGCAGGACCAATTATCGCAAGCCAGTGAGAGGATATCATGCCTGATTCAGTGTATACACTGGACAGCAAATGCACTGCCGCACAATCAAAACATCCGGCCAAGGTTTGCGACCATGTCACCTCTTGAATTCGCGATGACAGCTATCCAATGTCTGAGCCGTTCAAATCTTGTCAATGATTTGGACAACACAAGAACATACAATCCTGATGATCGCGGGTACTCATTCGCGCAAGCGAACAGAATCGTGCAATCTGTAGCGCCGCCAGATGCAAGCGAATCTCCAGAAGAGTCGACTCAATATACGAGGTCCTCTCTCCTCAGCCGTCTAGATACACTGCCGACTCGAATGGCGAACATCTACTCTCCACCACGTTTCAAGTTCGACGTCCACGAGGTGTTCGTCACACTGGAATCAATTGCCGCATTGATCCAGTGTTGTGAAGTCTCTTTCGCGTCGGATGATCTTGAAACTACCTGGTCGGGCATGGCCATGTGGCTCACTAAGATTCCGGAATCCTTCAGGACAATGGTAGGACAGGGTATTCAAATAGCACTAGTTGTTCTTGCTCATTGGGCGCTCTTGGTCAAACGGGCGGAGAATTGTGGTTGTTGGTATCTAAGTGGCTGGGTAGAGAAAATAGTGCATGAAGTCCAGAAGAGCCTGCAGGCGGAAAGCGAAGCTGTTCAGGGCCTGGTTGCCGATCTGCTATGTTAATTGGGAAGTTTATAACTTCTTCATGTCACTTCAAATCTAAACTAATCACTACGTGTAAGATGTTTCATTCGCCTTGCACCATCCAACTCGTACTCCATGGAAGCCAGCGCTACAGCTGCAATAAATACAAACATGGCACTAGTGATGTTCCATTTACCACGCAATCCAGCCATGTCTCCAACTATAGCTGCGCAAAATCTCTTACCAAACGTCTTGAAAAGCCCTACATGGGGATTATCAAGACACCCATTCTTCGTCTCGTAGTTCTGTTGCGGTCGCGCGCTCTGATGGAACCACTACGAGAGCACGCCTGAGGTACTTCCCCATCACTTGAAAGTCTTTGTCGGTCATTTCTAATGTCTCGATTTTCCATTCGTTCACATAATCCACCCGCAAGGACTCTTCCAGCGACTTGCACCATTCTGAGTTAAAATCTAACAAAACACATGGGTTACTTTTACGTTTCATCGAAATAGGAAAATGCATACTCTTGGGTTTCTCCTTAAAAAAGTCATTTTCTATTGCATCTAAAACCCATATAACTGGCAGCCCGCCAACAATCTTCTGGAATTGAGGTATCAAGACGCGATCATCGGCGAAAGCTTCGAACAGAGAGCGACCGGTGACGAGCTCATAAGTCTAGTTATACATTAGTACAGCGATGGCGCATGGATGAGGAAGGTTTTATCTGACAGTTGAACCGAGGTTCCATATATCAACAGCTTGGTTCAAAGGAAATTTGAAAACAAGTTCCGGAGGATGGAAACTTAGTGGAGTGTGTATTGTTTGGGGGACATCAGTAATAAGGAATTTTCAGCAGTTCAAGCTGCTTGTTAGTCTACCGCAATTCGTTTTTTGGAGGATTCGAAGCATCACGAGTATTCGCAGATCTGTTTTTTAGAGTTCGATTGGTGCTGTCCAAGCGCCTGGCAAGCGCTTAGATGCCCCCTGGCCCCGTCCATCTTTGATAAATTTAGACTCCGTATCCACGTAATGGGTGCAAATGTACAGCAATCTGAAATGCGTTAGAAGCTCTTATCACAAGCGGGGGCTCAAGAGCATATGTATACACTGGTTTTCATCTTTCAGAATTCTTCGGTGCTTCTATCGCGTAGCAATCGGGACTCCGCCTTCGCAGATCCACAGAAGGCACGGCAGGTCCTCTACTGATACTTCATATGAACGACTATACGTAAATTTGCAAGGCCTTTGACTTCTTAACTGCATACGGCCTATTCCTGAATATTTAATTTGTACGTCCTTTAGACCACCCTGCCATGTATACAGATAAGATTTTCGTAATTTATCAATCTCACAAAAGTGCTTGCTGACGTAGCCACTCCTGGCACAAGGTGGGCCAACTTGACACGGGCAGACCCTTTGTGTCTAAAGCAAATCCATGCGGTGCGTCTGCGAAAACGTGGAGTTCTACAACGCCTCGGGCTTTTGTGATGCCCTCAGATAGTCTGTATGCGTTCACCACGGGGACGACAGGGTCGTTTCCGGAGTAAACGATGAAGGTCGGCGGGGCTGGAGCAACTAATTGAACATCTGGCTGCACGATCTGGTATAACTCCTGTTTCTCAGGTGGCTCTAATGCCGCTTTGTTAGGAATAATCGTTCGACCTGCAGCATTCGTCGATATTGGACCATATCCAATGATCGCAAAATGGATATTGGGTACGTTCTTCGCAGAAGGAGTCCATTGATGGGGGAATTCCGAAAGTAGCGCGGCCGCCAGGTGGCCTCCAGATGAAAGGCCGCACACACCCTGCCCACGAGGGGAAAGTTCTTTCTCTTCGATCAAAATGAGGGCTTTTCTCGCATCGTCCAATGGTGCTTGCGGTCCGTTCGCGGCGTTGGGGAAGCGATGCACAAGTACAAATGCGAAGAATCCTAGGTTTGCCAACCACCGTGCAACTTGAATCCCTTCACGCCCGACCATCAACTGTGTGTAGCCACCGCCTCCTAGAATGAGCACCGAGCGCCCATTTCCAGAGCCACTTGGAGGCTCATATCCAAAGACCCAAGGCCGACTAACGGAGAGAACTACGGATTGGTCCGCCTGGTTGTTTGAGTTTTCCAGCTCGAACGCCCCTTCGATAGGTTCCTGATCCCACAAAGACCACGCCACATCAGCAGCGAAGAGAGTCCGAGGATCCATTGTGTGATTGAGGATATTTGTGTTTGCTACCCAGCTCGTGGGATGCCGTTCTTTTATGTGAATCTGGCGTGGGACCAATCGCGACTTTAGCGTGGCATTTTCGCTGGAATGATAGACCGAGGTGATCCGAGTTGATTCCAACACCAAATCCGAGGTGTGTGTTCAGCACGCGTTTGGCCCTGCGTTTATCTTGATCTGAATCAATACGTTAATTTAAAATATGACTTCGATCTATTCAAGAAGACTATAATAAGGTTGCCCTCAAGTCAACGCCACAATTACGGAAATATTTAGTTTGTATGACAAGGTAATAGTGTTGATATAAAAGACACAGACACGCTTGATTATGCTGCCGACAATCGATGTATGGGAAGGGGTTGGCTTGTATCGAGTTTTCGTGAACTTCTAGATACTGACTGCCAAGGACTTGCATCAGACGTACTACGAGGACCGTGGAGGTTAAGCTTCAACTTGGCCGTATTGTCATTGGAATGTCAGACTAGTCGATATTCTCTACATGAATTCATGTAATTCATCTAAATAGAGATACCAACTATTCCTCATAAAAATATCCAACCGCGGAGGGAGGGTCGCGCAATGTATACCGAAAACTTACCATCAACGGTCCAATATCGAGGATTCGATATTATCGTCTCTTCGAAAAATAACGGCCGGAAAATGGAAAGGGGAAAGGCCGTTTTTCACATTGTATTGTGTATGCTGCGGCTATGTAGGTTGAGCAGCAGTTCCTACTTATAGAACAGTGGCGTTCTGTACCAAGACTGCGGAGATGTTGAACATTTTAAGGGAACAGAACATGACATTTTGCATCAAAGGGGTATGCATGCCTACAGAGATAATCGATGAGTTATCGAAATTGCCTCTTTTCGACTCATTCCAAAGGTGATAGCACTTCATTTGCTGGGTTCGAGTAGCCGATACATGGGTCGCTCCAAAAGCTAGGGTTAGACAGGCTGCAATGCCCAATGGATTGTTGTAAGCTGGAATTGATCTTCACGTACCTCCATATTGCCAGACGCACCAAGATTCGCTTGGGTCAATAGTTCCTGCATGCTAATAGGCTCACAAGAAGCTGCTGTTATCACGCATGCATGTAAAGACGTGCATCAGATTGCAGAGCGCAGCTGAAATCGGCTTCATACAAATAAGCGTATACGAGGGCTCCATCCACATTTCAACATAACTAAGCTCATCGCATACTTCACTCTGTACGCGGAACTACATCTTCTCCCTACTGTTAAGTGCCCGCCACGACAATGAGTGCGCAACTTCAGAGTGGTATCCATTCCCATGACGCCTACGTCGGCTTCTGGACGAATTGGTCCTCTGGCAAGATACAAGGAGCAACAGTCACTTTAACACGCCGCAATGGGGGACTACTTGTCGCATTCTTAGCCCTCTTTGTTGCAACTGCTGGTCGAAGTTTCTGGCGCATCATCTGCTTTATGCTCCACTGTTTTCTTTCGAAGCCTTCGAGTCCTCAAGACGGCCTATATCATCAACGTCAGGCCCTCCTACGGAATAATGAAGCAGCATTGAGTGCAGCGTGGCAGTTACTAGAAATGATGGTTGTATGGAAGAAAAGGTACGCAGGACGATTTCTATAAGAACCGATTGTGGAGCTTTAAAGCTTTCGATCACCCATGTCTGCTACAAGATGTCAGAATCGGATGCTTGTCCCGATTCAGTTCAGAACAAATGTGATCAGGCATGGCATCTGCAAAAAGAGATTTCCTCGAGATTTGGGTTTTAACGATTACAGTAAAGCTGCAGATAAAGTGTACAGAAGGCTGCTCCCGATCACGGCAGCTGCGATCACGATCTCCGTTTGCTTCACCATTGCTGGCATATTCTCCTCTAATGTTACCACGAACGATGGCAATGAGATTCTCTTGACTGGGAGGAATTGTGGCATACTTGACCTTGACACCATCCTCAACAATATCACTTTGCTTGATGCCGCCAGATCGCAGGATGCGAGACGTGCCCAGGGTTTCTTTGACTACGTTCGTACTTGTTACGGGGAGGGTAACACTGCTGGGACGGATCGATGTCGATTCTACGTAAAGCCGCGACTCGCGCTTCAAGTTGACTCAAATGCGCCTTGTCCATTCACAAATGAGATATGCCATTCCACGACAGGAAACCTTCGACTCGACACTGGCTATATTAACATTCATGAGGATCTAGGAATTAACGCACCCCCGAAAGACAGGTTCTCTCTACGTATAGTACATCAGTGCGCCCCACTGAAAGCAGACGGTTACACCACAATCGAGACCGAAATCGATCGTAATAACAGCAACGTACCCGTCAATTTCACTCGTGTCTACTACGGTTCCTGGAACAATATGAACTTCCCGGAATACAAAAACTATACTTTTCAGAAGGGCATGCCGTATACAAGAACTATGAGCAAATACAGCCTCGGTTTAGATTCAGACTATGAATTGGGGTATGTCAGCATAGTTTTCCATAACATAGTCTGTCAAAAACTTGGTAATAACATTGCAATAGGTTTGTTGAAGCATATCAGAACAATAGCCTGAATCGGGCTATACGTTTCGAACCCATTCCCCAACTTCTGGTCCCCAATGCAGACCTGGCACTGTATTTTCTATCAGCACCCTATGTTGTTTTTCAAAACAAGGTTGACGACCCTTGGTTCTCTGCCCATGGAGAAGGTCCAATGACGAGGAACTTGGCTACAGGTAAAGTGGTAGCAAGATACTTTACGAAGGATGCCATGATCAGTACGGTAGGGTGCACTACTCAACAACAGATCTGTAATCCCAATACCGGTAAATCTATACAACCGCGCTGCGAAGAGCTCCGTGGAGAATACATGAACTACCAGCAATCTACAAGCAAACTATGGGATACAGATAGTCAGCGAGAAACCTTTGAGTGGGTATATTCGATTTTCAAAAGGAGTCGATTAACAATGATCAACCTGGTTCAATTTGCAGGGCCAACTGCATTAGCAGCACGGCACAGTTTATTCTCCGGCAACCAGGGTGTGCTCCCATCCAATCAGTGGCAGATTGAGATGGAAAATATCGTGAGTGCTTCTCTTGCTAGCTTGCAGGATGTCTTTGCAGATGCAAGTGAAGGGCCCCCAACGGCAAAACTTCATGATGCCTGGAGGCGTCCGGAATCAAACAACACTGCAGCAAAACGTGCTTGTCAAAACCAAGTGAGTAAATGATTTGAGGCGATTACCTGGGATGATGCTGATTCATTAATAGAAACTTATCAGTACAAAGTTCTTTTCTTTCAGCGTCTTAGGGCTTTCCTTGATTTTGAGCCTTGGGGCAATCTTCATAATTCTTGAATTTTGCCTCGAACCTGTCATCGGGCAGCTCCACAAGTCTACCTATTCGCGTCCTCGAGATATTGAGCCCGCTGAGAATATTCAAAACTCGTCAAATCCCGCCGACAAAGAGTTCAAGAACAGAACACGACAGATCGAAACGCTCCATGCTGAAAGACGCGTGACCGACCTGTCGCGGGCTTCGACACAGATATCGCTATATGACACCATGAAAGCTGCAAGACATATGGAATGGAATTCTAATTCCACGTTTCAGCTACAGCGTCTTGCACATGATGGGATAGGCTGCGGTACATGGGAGCGCACATCGTCTAACGTGCCTGTAACACGACCAAATCAAACACTGGCAATGATTGGCATTCGCGGACCGTCTGGAAGGCATTTATGCCTCGTCTCGCCCGACAAGATCGAGATAGGTGAAGAAATTAAGAAATAACACATCGGTTGTTGGGCGCGTTGGGTATAAGTATTGTGCTAATACACAGCATCTATTCTTCATATTGTAGCAGTGTTGATGTCGTCTCGAACCTTGATTCGTAGATGTAGTGGACCTTTTTGTACCATCAAAACAATGCGGAAATCTTCAAACCTGGCCGAAGCCTCATCTGCCCAGATATCAAACGTCCATAGCAGTCGTGTGAGTACAATTCTTAGTTCCGTCATTGCTAGCTGCTTCCCAAGGCAATTGTGGAATCCGGCGGCAAAAGGATGACTAACATCCAGATGATCATTTGCAAACTCGGTCGGGCGCTCTGCAATAGGAAGCCAACGTTCAGGTACGAACTCCTTTGGGCGAGCGAAATATTCCGATGAGCGATTCATAACATATGAGCGTGCAGTGACTCGTGTCTATAGCATGATTAGTGCGCTTCATAGAATGAAGATACAATACATACGCCTGGTGGGAGATAATTTCCACAGTAGAAGTCTCCACCCACGGGTACTACACGAGGCAAGCCACAAGGAATGGGATTGCACAACCGCAAGGCTTCTTGTATGACTGCGTCGAGATATGGAAGTTCTTTGAGTGTTTCTATATCTATATCATCTTCAGTCTTGAACCGATTTCTGATCTCCTTGCAGATCTTCCCTCGAATGCGTTCGTCATGCGCAATGTGACTAAACAATCCAGTTAAGACGGTGGCGCTGGTTTCACTACCACCAATTATTATGAAGTTAAATGTTGCCAAAATCTCCTTTCTTGACATGGTTTCGAAATTTCCGTTCTTTCTGAGGAAAGGTGTCATGAAGTCTGGACGCGAAGTTTTGCTTTCGAGGCGCCGGTTGATCTGCTCGTATGCGTGGGCTTGGTGCTTCAATACGCCTTCCATCAGGCTACGCGGCATCATCCATTCTATTGCCATCTTTAAGGAAGGAAAGAACCCCGGAGCCACGGCCAGACTCATGAACTGGAGATAGTGAAATAGAGTGCGGACCCAATCGTGGTAGTCGCCACTGGCCAGACAACCAAATGGTTTTCCGAAAGCAAGATCTCCGATGACGTCCATGGTGAAGAAATTGACCCAGTCCGTTATATTGACTGTGGCAGTGGGGCTCGAAGCAGCAACAGATTTTAATTGAGTGACTAGGGTACCAGCGTGTCGCTCGAGGATGGGATACTGTGACCGCAGCGCATCGTCTGTGAACGAATGCGAAAGGAGACCGCGAACTCGTGCATGGAATTTGGCATCAGTCGTTGTGATGATGTTATCGACCTCATTATTCGGCGCTGGAGATGGTCAGTCAAACTCGCGTAGTTAACAGAGGTGACCAGCCCGACGTGCTCTATCCTCTGTATCTCACATCAATGTCAATAAATCATACCTGCCAGGTAAGCTTTATCTCGAATGGCCCTCTTGTGACCACGACGAAATGTGTAAATATCAGTCCAGGCGTCCTCATTAGAGAAAGAAATTTCATCCGGAGCCAGTCGTACTTGATGACCATATTTCTCATGAAACTCGCTCAATCTGGCCATCAGGTTTCCGGATATAAGTGCATATACATAGGGCAGTCGTGATGCCTGCCATGATTTTGGTCCCGGAAAACGACCTGCGAGAGGATGGAAGTAGAGATTGTAAATCACATTTGTGATTGGGTACTAGAACGAATCTCGTCAGTGTGTGTAACCCATAGGCATCGAGAATTGGCTCACGAACTGCAAGTAGTAAACCAGCGACCAAAATAATCTTTGCAGCTACGCTTCCGTCGAGCGCATCAAGCGACGCGCTTATGAAACCCATCTCTTGTGGGATGTGTTTTACAGATTGCCTTTGAGCTTCGCAAACTGGAAGTGAAATAGCAGACTTCACTCCTTTTACCACCAATAAAGAACAATGGGAATCAGAGGCGCCACACTCCTCATCACGAGAATCCAGAGCGAGATGTACCTCTCGCAAGATTATGACTGTGATATGCCATAAGGCCGCTTTACCTAGTTCCCGAATCAGTCTGATCATCAGCGGCACAAACAACGGCTACATTTGGCTGATCAGCAGCTGGAAATAAAGGGACTTGCCTGCAATGGCGCAGCATCAATTCAAATATCCTTTCCTCTTTGGTTCTAGACAAAGTCAACTGAACCAGCACAGTCAAGGCAGGCAACCAACTTAGGTGTTCTGCGGCTCCAGAAGTTGTCAAGATCAGCAGGGCAATCGAGTGTGATCGCATCTCGGTCCCACAATCTGCTCGTTGACCCTCTCAAGGCGGATTCTCAGCGGCACGGCTGCATTATGCTATTGCTGTTGGTGGCGTCATGGAATGCTCTAAGGAGATGCTCCGTAGACCTACACAGCAAGGGAATCCAATGAGGCTTCATTGACAGGATCTTCGGGGATTATCTGAATGCCGATGTTGGGTTACCCTTGCCGTGGTGGGTGTTGCTCTCGGGAATCATCAATGTTTCGCTTGGAGACTGCGCCATGCTTCTTAGGGTGCACAACAGGATGATCACAACACCCTTTTGCTGCATCGACCGATTTCTTCTCGTAAGAAGCCCTTCTCTTGTAATATGTATTCGTTCTAGAGAATTCAGTTTGGCCTCTCAAAATGGTGCAGATGCGCGTAAAGCACCATGGTACTTGCTAGGGCTACTAGGGTTTCGGGGTCTTAAGTCGCCCAATCCCACCTTTTCCATTGACTCGAGCATAGTTGAGCATTATTGCGAGATACTATCTATGTTCGCCGCCCATCTGAGATAAATGTGTGTTACACTGGCGCAGCCGCACCTCCGCGTACCACACAGACCCGAGTCCTTGTTCTCTACACCCTATGAGATTTTCCGGTGTAACGTGTAGGTTCATATCTACGAAATAACCCACCTCTTTTCTGGCACGCTCTTCCATCTTCATACTCACATTATCGCGCCGACTACGGTCATCATGTGGTCAATTCGAAGCGATAACGTTCAGGGTCGTGTCATGATGGGTGTGGATATCGCTTTTCTTGTACTTGCTTTCGTTTCTTTTGCGATCCGTCTCAAGGCTAGGAAGATAACCCGGATGCGCTTGGATGGGAGCGATTACACATGTTTCGCCGGCCTGGTAAGTTCTCAATGCAGGCAGTATGATTGAATGAACGGGTTCTGATATTTGCAAGATACTATCTGTTGGATTGACGGTCATCCTTTTTGCCGTCTTCTCCCACGGCTGGGGGCTGGATGTTAGTCATTTCACTGAAGAATATCAAGTGTTTGCTGGAAAGGTAAGCCGACTAGGGTCACTTCTTAATTCTTCGCCCAAGGCTCTAACATGTACTTCAGCTCATGCCATCTATAATCATAGTCTGGAACACAGCCGTCACATGCGTCCGCGTTTCTATGCTGCTATTCTACCTTCGCATCTTTGAGGTCTCCTCGCTCAGGCCTGCATTCTGGATCGCTCTCGGACTCAACATCGCGGGATGCGTAGCTATCTGCATAACTGCCCTAACAATCTGCCGGCCAATGAACTCTGCGTACAAGCAGGTTCCAGGGGGACATTGTGGTGACATTCTCGTTTTTCAGAGCTTCACTGCATACTGGAACTTGATAGGCGATGTGGCAATTGTCATCCTTCCAATGCCAATTCTCTGGTCTTTGAAGATTGGCACCCGCAAGAAGATTGGCCTGAGCATCATCATGGGCCTGGGAGTAATGTAAGTTTTGCTTGCGATGGCCCTGAAACTGCTTGTAACTCTGACAATTCTACACAGTATCTGCATCGGCACGATCATTCGTGTGATATTCTCAGCAGTGTATATGGTCGGCAACATAACAATGCAGAACGCCGTCGTTGTCTTTATTACTGCCATGGAACCGGTTCTTGGTGTTATAATCGCTTGTGTTGCACACTTTCCTCCAGTGTTCCGGAGATTCGGCAGCTCCCACTTCGCCATCAGTGTCAGTCGAATATTCCGCAGTGAGAAATCTACTGGAAATGGTGCGGATAGCACATGGTCTGGGTCCACGCAACACTCTGCCCCAAGCAACCAGGGAGAATTCGATTTCGACCTGGACAGCACGAGAAGATTGAATCTTAGCAATAGCAATGATCAGGATTCCAAGTACGGAATCAAGGTAACGAACGAATGGGACGTCGAGCGTGCCTCCTACCAATCTTGATCCGGACAGCTACAGAAATTGAATTGATGCGCTTTTCGGTGGTGTTCAAAATGTCAGATATACCCTTATCTCATATTCACACTTGTACTTCAGCAAGTGGAAAGTCAAATAGCTTTCGGAATAACAATAGAATCATTGAATAAATAGTTTTGGCGTTTTAACACATTTCTTAATTGCCCGACAACGTTCAAACGCCCAGCGGATCAAGGACGGAAATATAAGTAAGGCACGGTGACAGCACCAAGCGTAACAAATATACCCAACCATCTAACCAATCCTTTCGTAATCATCTCCTTTGCTATACGGTCGATCGCCTCCCCATCATTGATCCTAGGAAACGGAATGTCTGGAACGGGTTTACCAAGTGCTTTACACAATGGCTCCCAGCCATCTTTGACGTTGTAAAAGAGCAATCGCTCGGGAGGCACATTCCGTTTGCAATAATCAAGGTGATTGAAATGAGACTTTGCAGAGATTGGTTCCTTTTCGCCGTAGTTGTGGACCCACTGATTTCGCAGCACATTGATGTAGTCGGGAAAATATCGCATCCCAGATATGGGGAAGAGGACGAACCGCAGGAACCATAGCGTTGACGCGTTTGCCACTGTTTCCATGCTCTTTACCCAAGCGTCTGGATCCCTGACAGTGACGATCACCAGTGCATCGGGATAAAGCTCGAGAAGTTCTGTAATCAGACCTGCGGCAGGCATGTCGGTTACGGCTGCGTAGCCGTCCAAGCGATGCCTCAAGTTGTCCTGGATGATTTGGTTGTCGGACGGTGACTTGGCTGGATAGTGCGACAAGATCTTTATCCAACTGCGAATCTCTGCCTCTGGAGCTTTGGTAGCCTGCGTGCCTCCATGGTAGACTGGACCATTCAACAAGATCCGAAGAGCTTCACTGAAAGATGCAGTGCCTGTGCGTGGGAGGCCAGCGCCGATAACCTGAAACTTCGTACCGGGTTGGGCAACAGAAGCTTGCTGGCCCATTATTGTGTAGTCAGGTAGGAGTGAACGGAAGAAAAGCTACCGGGGCCAAGTCGATGTACTGCGAAAATCGAAGCGTGCGACGCGAATATGGAGGATTTCTGGCAAAGAGTCTACAGGTGGCGGCGGGATATCTATATGGCATGTGACGGACTGGGCGAGGCGTAACGTTTCTAAGGCTGTTGGTGCGAGCAAACAATACTTGGAATCACTGCACCTGCACGCCTAGTCGTCACCTTCTTTTTTCCCATTTCTGGAAATAGCGTGGGGAAACAATCCTTACTGACTATCGCACTATGGGCAACATTCAGTTGTTAATTAATGCTCGTATCACTAGCTACTCCTGCACATCGGCCACCGTAGGATAATGCTACGATGATCCAGTATATTGCATCATGGGTGCGCAGATCAAATCATAGCTCTTGGAGCTCAACTCTCCCTCGTAGTGAATGGATACTAATAACATATCACATCATTACTCTTGCTACTAAAAAATGATTGAATAGTTTAGGTCGCTCAAAAACTAATTGGTATCATATGGCTTCATCCCTGGGTCGTACCGCGACCCTCCAAAACCTGGTTCTACAAACTCAACTCCCGTCTCACTCCCAAGATCTAGGAAATGATACGAGCACCTAAGTTACCTAACTTTGAGGACGTTACCTTGCACCATAGATTCGCTCACTGCCTGTGAAACTGTGCTACCGCTGTGCAAGGGGGCGTTCTGCACAGCCTCGATTTCTGGATCTGCCAGCAGTGCTGTGAGCACATATGTGTCCATCAAGAATTGCGAACCAAATGTGATCTTCTCGATCCACAGGTACTCGCAAGGAGTGTTTCCTCTGCCACGTAGGAAGTCCCGTCCCTTTTCAATTGCTGCTTGTGCCTTTTGATGGAGCTCGTCGCAAAGGGGCAGTCCGACAAGGTTGATGAGAGTCAATACAGCATAAGCAGTCTCCTCATATGGACCTATGGAGCCCCAGGATCCGTCACTGCGCTGAGCTCGTAAGGTCTGCTGCAGAGAATCCACCAGCAATGGCGCAAGCTGGGTTTCTATGACGTGTGCAGAGATTTGCGAAAGACGACCGGAATGCCACCTGGTCAGCACCTTGGCAAGTGCTTTGGTGATGAGCATGATAGGATAGTATGGCGAAAGGTTCTAAATCAAGGTCAGAATTGGCAGGGTGGCTCTTGGAAGTATCGCAGTGTAGACTTACCCATTTGTCTTTGATCGCCCGACCGCCAGCAGTCCATTGAGCAATTATGAAGTCGACCACTTTTGCAATCGTTTCTGTTTTACCCTTGAACTCATGTGTATCAAACAATAGGCTCATCAAGGCATTGCAGTTAGCGCTGACACCGGGGTCTCGCTCTCCTCGGTAGGTTTTGAGACACCTCTCGGAATCAAATTCCTCCACGATGACGGCTGAGAACCCTGGCCTTCCAGCTAAGCTGAAGACAATTGATGCTTTGGCGCTATCATCAAGATCGGGCTCAATACCAGGAGCTGTGCGCATTATTAGCACCGGTCTTAGACACAGTCATAATGTGCAACGTACCAAAACCAACAAGGCCTTTTGTGATTGATCTCGTGTCTTCGATTGCCTGCAAAATGGTGTCCAACTTCTTCGTCCCCTTAACATTGTTCCAGACACCGTACTCCGCTAGTGTAGACACGACCTGCGTAGTAACACCGGATTAGCCTTTATGTGATGCGAAATAAGCATTCTCGGGATCAGGTCTATATCTTACCCATAACATCTCAAAGTTTGTACTCGGGTAAGCGCTAGGAACAGCCCCTGATCCCATTCCGTCTCCACACTCCACGACCATTCGGAGGTAGGCCTCCGCTTCAGGGTCCCATTCTGGAGATTTCATGAGATAGCTAGCTGTCGCAGCTGGGCTGCCCATCATGCTACCGCCGACCAAATGGTGTTTGACTTTACTAACATCGAAGTCCTCGACATTCCAACCATGGAATGCTTCCAGCGAATGTAGTAAAGCCGACGGTGCGAGCTTGTAAATCACCTTCGGACTAATGCGCGCAAGCTTGATATCGCGGATCTGGAATAGCTTCTTTTTTGAAGGGAAATCGAAATCGTAGCCCTGCGAGGAGAGAAGACCCAACATAGCGGGACAGAGCACCTCGAATCCTACAGCATTGCACGTATCGACATTCCATTGGGTAAGCATAGTGTCTAGACTAGACGTGGCAGCGGCGATTCGATCGTGGAGACGAGGACCAGGCAGGCGGGTACGGGAAATTTGCAGCGGTTCGTTGTGATGCAAATTCATGGCATAGATGGCAGCCATGGTACTCAGAATCTTATCAGCCAATGTTGACGACGATACAGATGAAAGATCTGCTGAGTTCGAGTTGGGATTCTGATGCGCGTGTGTGGTGAAGTGACCATCCCAAGAACCATCTGCAAGTTGCGCATTCAAAATCGCAATGAAAGATGCAGGAAAGAGGTACTGTGGGACGCCAGCTACCGTTTTTGTGACAGATGATACCCACGCAGTATCATATACACTGCAACTCATGGCTCCGAAGCCATAGTGTGAGTTGTGGGCATCTGAGAGCTTGGAAACAAGATCATCGATGATGTTCGCCTCGAAGGAGGTGCTGTGAGGCATATTGATTCAGAAGATCGGTAAAATCCTAGTACATTGAAAAAGTGTATAATTTCACACAATTGTAGACAGGAATGAACAAGACTAGCAGGCAAAATCTTGCTCTATTAAGAGTGGCAGACGGATATTGATATATTCGCACCTGCAACTGTCGTTCGCATATTCTTCCTGCCGACGTCACGTCGATCGGAATCCGTGAGTCAACCTGCGTCTAGGTAGAACCAGGTCCATGCCATCTTGACTATCCTAAAGGAAAATGGTAGACATTTTGTCGATATGCCCATTGCCGATGATACTCTAGGGGAATACGTAACCCCAGCCGTGTTGTCTCGATCCTTGTGTACGGATCAACTAGACCCCATATGGTTCTTCGTTGTAAGATGTAGGCCAGGATAGTAAATAATGGCGTGTCGGACCCGTTATTGATCATAATACGGAGGTGCGGTAGAAGGACAGCCGGCGGACGGCAATAATTTAGCCTCGCTCATCGTCTTCTTGGGGTCAGGAATAGGATGCTCAGCCTGATCTTCCGTAGTCAGTTAAACCTGTCATTAACTAATGCATGTAGCGCCTCACGATAGTCCCCGAACCCCATGGCGCAATGTTCTGGCGCCGTTTCTGTGTAAACGAATGAGATGGAATAATGCAACCACACTTGCGTCCGAGTACAATGATCTCTTAGGGATCCACTGTGAAACACAAAAAACGCCTCGAAGCTTGAACGCAAGAGTAATATGATTCTTCGGGGCTAACTAATGCTGCTGAAAAGAACAACCGGTGAAGTCAAGCACCTGCCGGGCAGGTTGTACCATGGACAAGCTGCCACTTTTGCTAGTCCTGTTTCAAGGCGATTGATCTCAGTTCATTGGGTAATTCGATAGTGCTTGTCCAGGACAAATGTGAATGTCGCCTGTCACAGGCGACGGCTGCTCTTCGCCTTCTCGCTTCTACCTCGTATGGCCGCTCGACCGAGGCTAGGCGAGTTCAAAATTATTACTTTGACCTCCAAATTTGGGGGTCAACAAAAGAATCTTGACTGATTGAACTTGGACGCCTCCAAATCTTTGCCCGTGAAGGAATGTGAAGAACTTGTACAGGCTATGATCGACACAATAGTGAGTTGGCCACACCCAAACCGCGACACCTTACCGTAAGCGATGAACAATACCATGTCCTTCGAAGTATTTACCTGGTAATACAAGATTAGGTTTTCTTGGTCCCCGAAACACATACACATCCCTGCTGTATGATGCAGTTTCGTATTATCTCGTTGCTCAACTTGGGTATGACAGATAACGGTCAAAACGTATTAGCGATCCCACATTTCGAGACACTCTGAAGAACCCGGCTTTGAAGATCCTCCTGAACCTGGGATGTAGCATGCAGGGACTCCGATAGTGATCTGGAGGCAGGAATACATCTACATAATTCATTCATTATTTGAATTGGTCAATATTCAAATTCCCCACCTTACTGTGGTCCGTGAATAATTCTGTTTGTGGTGAACTTCTAATTGGTATGGCTTGGTCTACAATCCACCCGTATTCCGTATCTGAATGACAATCTCAAGGAACCCTAACGTATCTGAGCACAGATAGTATTTTCTAGACAGAAACGAAGAGCAGCTAGATGATCGTATTCAACTTCTCGTGTGTTGGGCTGATTACAATATGTCTAGCCGTGGCCCTCTTGTCCAATAGTTTTGAATACGTCCATCTGACCAAAGCCATCTCGAAAGGAGTCCTGGTACATTGGGAACGACAGAGTGGGGCCTTCCGCAGGGAGCAACTTGACGCACAGTTTCTCGCTCTTGATTACCTATGGGAGACTTTTATCGATCCTTGGTGCTGTTGGTAACATCTCGTACGAGGTACATATCTGAGAACAAATCACCGCCAGCATAGTAAACCTCTACCCATTTCGCAAGCCTTTCTCCGATCAATCCATCCTTCGCCAATTCCAAATATAAGTCATCCATTTCTCTTTCTGTGCACATACGTTCGTACATAGCTGCATCGAGAAGAGTCTGTTTTCGCATAGTGACTTCGAAAGAGTCAACATCATTGGATCCCTTGCCTTGACTTGTCTTCTCGATGGGAATGCCGCAGGGCTGGGTCTGGGTCTGAGTTCCGTCGCTAAAGAACTCGGGGAAATCCACACTGTTTAGGTTTCGCTCTGCTGCATCCCTCGCTATACTTCCGTAGTCGTTGAACATTCTCAGCTGCTTCCCAGCATGCGAGTTGGCGTTCCAGATCATCATCTTTTGCTTGACAGTTCGAAAGCAGTCTTTATTCGCCCCTCTAATCTTTGATCCCACACATGCAGAGAGCCATACCAAACCAATTGGTGCACCGATATGTCCGCTTCCGACGACGTGAAGCCAGTGTGCAAATCCCATACTTGGAGTGCGGAAAGGACCTGAAGCAGTCCCTTGCGCTTGGACTGCAAGGCGTTGGTTGTCGGAAAGCTGTGTTATATGATGTAGAAGGTAATTCTTTGACTCCACGCGTAGATTCAGAGTATCCACAGCCGAAGCGGCGGCCAGAGATGGATATGTTAAGTGATAATTGGCCCACTTTCCGAGAACCTCCAAGGCGGCTTGTACGCGAGCACTGGGCGTGGCATTTCCTGCAAAAGGTGAGATGGGGCAATGGTCGAGAGCAAAGATATTCTCGATTCCAGCACGAAGCTCGGCGAATTCGGTGGTTGTAAAATTAGCAACATATCCCTCCATATACTCGTCTGCTAGGAATATGTACATCGATAGGACGGAGATATCCCAGATCAGTACGGGAGGTACGTAACCGCCTTTGGAGTAGCTGCTCATTGTCCACATGATTGGGATGTAGTCGAAGTATTTGTCCATTTCCTTAGCTTTTGTGACGGGGAATATGTCGGTGCGCATCGTCTTCAGCATCGTAACGTAAAAGGAGCTCTCGATTGCCCCAGCTTTCAACTGGAGGAAGGGCGCGTTGCTGAGTGCGGGTAGCGAATGGAAGAAGGAGGCCAAGCCTAAAGCCTTTCGCGATGCTTTGTCTGCAAGTGTCGCGGTTCGATCCTCAGAGGTTTTAACCTCGAGCGTTTGCGCTACGGCAGAAACCATGTAAGCCTCTCGCAGAAGTGGTGAGGTGGAGGCCGATTGCCCTATCCAAAGAGCATTTTTTGTACCCGGGGTATCCTTTCCGGACAATAATGAGAACAGAAGCAATTCTCGCCCTTTCTCAACAGCATGACGAATATCCATGAAGATGATACCGAGGAAGTCCAGACTCATCGCCGACACTAGACTGATCAGTGCTAGAGATGTAGTCTCTAGGCAGCCATACATGCCTTCTCCCCAGGTGCCGTCAGTGTTCTGCTCGCTGAGGATCTTCGTGACCATTTGCACGATCGTTATCGGCCCACGAATGTGTAGAAAATCGTTTGATAGCTGAGTTTTCCACTCCTGGGATTTGACAATTTTCCTGAAAACTTGTACGAACAACAGGTAGGCGTAGTAATCTGAAGTACACTATCGTAGAGTCAGCAACCTAGAAAATTCATAGCAGGATTTCACTGCGACTAACCACAGTAGTATTCCAGCTTCCATTCCACCACAGCTGGGACACTCGCTCAGTGAGAGCTTGAACGGCGCTTATTATCTCAGGGGTGGTCTGTCTTTGAATCAGACTTTTAAGGTATCTGCAGTCATGATCAAAGCCTTTTGATGTTTAGCTTGTGATTCAATTGATACAAGAAGTTATTACCCACCTTCTGATGCCGAAAGGCTATCTAGTTCAGAGTCAAATATCGGTTCAGAAGGCAGAGTCCGAGCGTCCATTAAGCCACTTTCCAACAGTAGCTCTTGGACCTATTTGAATGTCAACAACCCATAGCCTATGCCTAACATACAATTCAAACTGGATCATTCACATACCGTCCGGGTTGTGTGTTGAGATATGGGGTATTCGGCCGGTAGACATCCGCTTGAACCAGTTGCCGCGCTTGCTTCTAGAAGGTAGTTCTCGTATTCCGTGTGCCCTGTCTCAAGGTCCAAGAGATGTAGTATTGTTGCTGCTGGTGATCTATCGATGCCAACTGTACTTTTCTTAGTCTCATCGACATCATGGTATCTGTTTGTGATGCTGCTGGTGGACATGTCCTGTTGAGGGCCGGTTAGGCGGATAACGACACCCTCGTCTCTTAGTCGCCCAAGTATACGCGCAAGACTCTGTATGGACTTCTGCAAATGTTGCGCTTCTTGTATGCTCCAAGTAGATAACAGATGATTAAGGTGTTCCTCTGCCTTTTGCGCTCGCATTTCTAAAGCCTCAGTTGATGGATGGGATCGTGCAGTCGTCCGACTTTTTCTTTTCACAATGGCCAGCAATCCCGCCGCTACATTCAAGATGCAGCCCAGCTTGTGGTGCTGCACGCCCGAATCCCAACCTCCATTTGGGTTTTGCCGAGAGAGTAAGAAATTAAAACTTTCTGGAATTAACAGGCGGTCTTCGATCTGTTTCGAGGGGACCCCATCTACTGCAGACTGGGTTCGTTTCTGGTAGAGAGATGCCAAAAGTGCAGTGTCGAAGAGCGACGAGTCATAAGCGGCTGATGCGCCACCTGCCTCAGTCGCCTTGGAAAGACGCTTCAATAGGTCGCTTGCCCTGGATTTTAGCAGTTTTGACTCCATCTTTACAGTCGCTCAACACACCGTGACGTTGAATTGATATTTTGTCCTGTCCGCTTTGACAGGCAATAATGATGGGATAGATTCCAACCGGAGAAAACGGTTGATGATGTAGGGTATCTAATGCTTAACCGAGAGGTAAGCTGCAGGTTTCGTGCAGGTTATGGGAAGACATGGGCCTATTGATCCAAGAAGCCTTTCAGCTGGTTTAGTGACCTGGTCGCCAAACAGCAACATTATTCACTGATAACTGTGACGCACGTGTGAGGCGAGAACTGCATCTACCAGTGCATTTGGCATTTCCTTGACCCGCTCAGCGTTAGCTCTCTCAAGGAACATTATTGTTGGTTGTGACTGTTGTAGCTATTGGAAGTTGCAAACTACACACGTCCTCACCTCGTATTGCGTCGGGGTATATCCTTTCGCTACCGGCAACCAACCTTCAGCCATGCCATGTTAGCGAGCAAAACATGCATACTCCCCACTTTCCTCCACTTCTTTGCCTGTATGCTATGCCTACTTCTAACTACACTGGAAATACTACGTGCGATTATGGTGACAACTGCCGCACAGCAAAAAGTCTGATCCATTATCATGGTCACGCGTTTTGCGACGAGTAGCTGCATGCACCAAGATACGATGTAATTGTCTTAGCATGACATGCCCCAATTTGTAAGTACATAGTCCAGCAAAGATACGGCCAGGGTCAGCCTACTTTTAATTCAACATCTTTAATCCAACTCAGCTTTCCGCCGCTGAAACGAAACATTTGACGATGACTATTCGCGCTCATGCAGCAAGACAAGAATTGGTTTCTTTTTCAAGTCGAGAGAAAGCGCACCCTCAATCAGTATCTCAAATCCATATCAGACCTAAGATGGTACCACGAAGCCCAGTTCCCTGGGATCAAGTTCCCAACAGGACCTGAGCGTGCATTACGCCGAAGATCTCCGGCGCCTATATCACACCTTGCGCGTCAGCGCTTGCATTTGCATGGTCGGGTTTGACTAGATCATCTTGTGGAGAACCTGCGACTCGATGAACCTCCAATCGGTCGCTCAAGATGGATGTACGGACAGAACTACTTCAACCTATGATTGAGCGCCATAGACCAAATTCGAATCCTCGCAAATCAATATTGACGGGGAAAAACTCGCTCATCCATCTCCGACATCGATCTACAGCGGAGAACAGGCACCCAAGGTGACCTGCCTGTTTCAACCACCTAGCTTGTAGTCGTGAACATACTGAAAACACGGATGTGATTAGAATGGACCAGGTTTCCGAATTATAATCATGTAAACCTTGAAGCCTGTCAAACCACTTCAAACAGTACAGTCAAAAGATTTCGTTGTCTCAACTACGCTACGTGAGCATCATGTATTCAAGGTAGTGTTGGTCGTCATTCGCACTGTTTGGGTGATATTCGTACAGACACGGATGAGCTCTGAAGCACAAAAACATATTGAGATGTCCGATAGAAGAGTTCGGTTACTCGTAGATTGGATAAAAAATAACCGGCAGGGTCTCATTGTGTTGAGAATTCGGCACATGTCTGACACATATGATGAGAGTCTTGTTATTTGTCTTGACGCCACGGAAGAGTTAGACGTCAGAGTCTGTCTACAACCCGGCAAAGTAACATTTGTGCTGAGGTATCGCGGAAAATGAAAGGGGAGGTCTTCTTACTCAGTCATCGGCCCATGCCTATTATCTGGTGGACGGTTCTTGAATGAGCGAACTGAAAAGATGGACTCCGTCGCGTAAAAGAGTAGTTACGATTCAATTTAGTATGGATATGCTCCCATTGATACTTGATCACTGAGTGGGTTTTTTTTGTATTTATCAATCTACCTGTAATCGTCATACCTTGTCGTATCCATACTTTGCACACTCACAGAGTCGTAGTCGAGCAACAGTACCTACCTCGTAACTAGTATGTAGGGGTAAGAAAACAACCTTGACCGTTGATTGGCTGATGGCTAGCTTGGCACCTTGCTTATGTCAGCCCTCTGATTTCCCTTCATGCTCACATCGCGAGAATGAATAGATAGTACCTGTTCCTCACTCTACATCTTCATCTTGACCTTGGAACTTCGTCTTCCTCTCGGTTCACCTACAATAAACATCCAAGATGGCTGATTCTGCCGGATCAGATTCCGCCGCTCCCTTATCGGAACTCCCTCTAGAGAAACTCGAACCAAATACCACGTCACCACCAGTGAAATCTCCTCGCCCTCACGTCGATGATTTGGCCACATCCATTCTCAGCCATGACGATACACCCGCGCCCGCAGTCCAGGATCAGAAGGCATCGCTAGCCGCTCGCATGGCTCGCTTTAAAAGTCTTCGATCGGTGAAGATTGCCGCAAAAAAGGAGACACGTGAGGTTGGCGCACTTGAACCGAAACAGGATCAGGTTGAAGAAGATCAACAACAAAGAAAGCTGGAAGAGAAGCGAGCGAGAGCGCAATTCAAACTTGAGAAGATGAATGATCCTGATGGGCGCAAACAGGCGTTCGACTATACAGCAGAAGAATCCCAGCAATGGGACAAGCGCACGACGAGAAAGCGGAAGAATCGCGAAGATAATGCATTCAATAATCACGAAAGGGAAGCCAACAAGACCTATAAACGCCAAGTTCGACGAATGGACGACGCCAATCGTGAACGTTACCAATTACAAAAAGCGGAAAAGATCCAAGAACACCTGGACAAGGGTTGGCTACAGCTCCTCGAGGACGAGAATGGCGAGAAATTCGTTTATGATCCAAAGACCGGAAAAAGGAACGAGCCAGCGGAGGAGGAATATCAGCCCAACCACCACAAGCCATCTGCCGAAGACATCGACAGGGCCGTGGACGACGAGGTCAGGCGTGAGCGGGCTCGACTAGAGGCACGCGCCAAACGAATGGCGAACCAAGATGACGGCGGTGATGTAACTGCCATCAACGAGAAGAACAAGCAGTTCAATAACAAACTCGCGAGATTCTACAATAAGTTCACTACCGAGACAAGGGAGAACTTCGAACGTGGCACTGCTATCTAAGGGGATCACGAACCGGTCTTTAGAGACACAAATCATTAATTATCCATGCTATACCCTTTTGTAATTCTTGCGGAGTTTGGGAAGGCCGTCTAGCTCTCGGAGTGCTTGGCTTGGTTTCGGGTTATGAATAGTTTCAAGCCAAATGAAATTTATGACGGGACGATTCTGTAAAAAGCATCGTGCTCACATCCTTGTTTGCTGTGCACAAATGAACCGCATCCACGTAACATACATGCCAATGAAAGATTATTGTATCAGATTGACCGCATGAAGTCGGTTTAACATGGAGATGGAGCCGCTGGCATCGAACTGACGAAGACTCGAATTCAAACCATAACGTGCCAATTCTAAATCTAGAATATCATACTCAGAACCTTACTTGTGTCCTGGCCAGGCTCCGCCTTCTCCTTCTTTGATTTGACCACACTTTGCCTGAACTCCATCTTCGACCGTTTTGTCTTTTTGCCAGTACCCGCCTCCTCGACGGTTTCCTCTGTCGCTTCTTGCCCATCCTCTCCGAATCTCTTCTTCCTCCTCTCCTCCATCGTCTTTGCAATCTTCCCCTTTTCAATGTCCTCCAGAAACCGAGTATTCTCCTTCTTGGTCTGCGCAATCTCTGTGCGCATACGTGCCTGTCTCTCAGCGTTCTCATTCTGGATCTGTTCTACCAAGTCACCCCACTTGATACCCTTAAGATATTTGATGTTCCAGACTTCGTCATGCCATCGCCCTCTCTTCTTGCCACCCATAGTTTGCGCGTTGAGGTTCTCTGCTACAAACTTCGCGTCGCGTTTCTTTAGGAATTCCACCCATCCGTCAAGGAAAAGTTTTCGCCTCGTTCCACCGCCTTTCAAACGTTGAGTTCGTTGTGTAGCCGATTCGGGAGTAAGGAATATGCGACCGACTGCGCCATACGGTGTAAGGAGCGAGCGAAGAACAGAAGGCTTCATGAAAGGCGGACATCGCGAGAGGTATATTATGCCGGATTTGTCCTTCTTCGGTTTCGATGATAGTGAAAGAGGTTGAGAAAGCTTCGCTGCTTTGTCCGAGGGAAGACCAGCCGCGAGAGCTTTCAGTCGTCTAATCTCTGCATTGTCGTCGTCATCGTCATCGTCGTCTAGGTCTGCGGTGATTGGGATGTCTTCCTCCTCGTCAAACGCGGCCTCGCTCCCTTCATCATTCAGTCCGTCCTCTTCTTCCGCATCAGAGTCATGAGAAACCTTCTGTCGCTTGGAATTGCGGAGTATTTGCGCTCTACTGTCTTCTTCCGAGTCGTACCCGCGCTCATCGTCGTCGCTTTCTCCAGCATCGAGCCATTCATTGCGTTTTCGGGTGGACATTGAGAGTATTCAAAAGCTGATTGTGAGAGTGGCGGTCCCTAGTTGGGCTCTGCTGGCAATGTACAGGTTCACGTAGATACGAAATGTTTCGTTCCTGGAAACTTTTGCGGAGCAAGGCACGGAGGTGATTTTTTAGTGGGGCGGAGGAGCTTATGTAACGGTCTAGGCGTCGACTTCTCTTGCTCCCAACTTTGAGCCTCCAACGTTCATACACAGACACGTCGCCCTCAGCAGCATCTGTACGGACGCATCATCTCCTGTGCATCCACATCTGCATAAACGTATCGAGCACTGGCACTGACCGTTCTATGAACACACGCATCGTACATCCCTGCAGTTACATCCGATTTTGTTCAGATCCATCCAAACACCCTCAGCGCACGCACGGCTACGGCAGCAACCTTCACGCATAAATCGCAACCATACCATCTGAGCGCCCGCCCAATCAGAAGCAATGGGAGGCGACCTCAACTTAAAGAAGTCATGGCATCCCCATCTCATGAAGAACCAGCAGAAGGTGTGGCAAGAAGAGAAGAATGCACTTGAGGAAAGGAAACAGATCGAGAAGTTGAGGAGAGAAAGAGAAGAGGAGCGTGCTATCGAAGAGTTGCAGAAAATGCAGGAGGCCGCAGGCGGCAAAGTGGCGCAGAAACGGGTAGACTGGATGTACTCTGGACCAGGTGCATCTGGTGACATGGTCTCCGAAGAGCGCGAGGGCTATCTTCTCGGCAAGCGACGCATCGACGGCCTTCTCAAAGGAAATGACCCAGCCACACAGAGCCTCACGAAAGGCGCCGCTGCAAGCGTGGACACGGCAACTTCCAGCAACGCCAATTCGACGCGGGACATCCAGTCAAAGGTCGCGCAGGATCCACTTCTCCTGATTCAGAAGCAGAAAATGGACGCACAGCTGAAAATGCTTAGAGATGCACAACAGAAAGCGAAATACGAAGAGAAGCGCCAGAAGGAGCGAGAAAAGGAGAAGAAGCACAAACATAGGCACAGCCGAAGAGACCGATCGAGGTCGCGAGACTCGTCCGATGACCGGGAACGGAGACGCAGGCACAGACACCGTTCGCGGTCAAGAGATTACGGCGATGATCGTGAACGACGGCACAGACAAAGTAGGCGAGATCGGTCGAGGTCGAGGGGTTCTGCAGATGAGAGGGATCGTCGACACCGTAGGAGCGATCGATCTCGCTCCCCGCAACGGGTGGGGAGAGACAGGCGCGACGATCACAATAGCCATCGTCAGCGCTCCCCCCGTCGATACTCCCCGCGTCCGTCAAGACGTGATGATCGCAATCGCAATTGGAGATCTCACCAGCAACCCCAGAACGATACGCGAGCACGAGAGAACCCCACTGAAAGCAAAGAAAAATCAGAGAGTGCCGCCGAGAAGCTTGCGAAGATGCAGGCTGATGCCACCTCGTTAGAAACGCAGCGTAGTGAGAGGGTCAAACTTATTGAAGCCCAAGATGCCGAGGAAGAGGAAAGACGTAGAAAGAATAAGGACGGAAGCCGGAAATTCATGTCGAACGTTCGTGAGAAAGCTATGGATGGACTGGACTTGGGCGATGTGATGACAAGAGGCCAACGAACGTACGCCAGTATTGATTAAGAACATGACGTACCACTGCGGAGGAAACGATCTTGTTTGCAGGAGTTGGATTGATATTAGCCACCGCTGCCAAAGGCGATCCCAAAAATTGATACCCAGAAGCTTACACTTGCCAGCCACCTTCTGTTCGCTTGAATCACGATGTGATGATATCGCAACGGTCACCAGTACAAGGTCTTCCCTCCATATCGTCCGCATCACAAAGAAACATCGATCGTAGCATCCTTTTAGGCCACTATCTCATATTCACGCGAGCTCATCTTGTCCTTGTAAGTTAAGTTGAGAAGAACCTGCGTGGTAGTCAATATTTATCTACCAAATTCAAATCATTGTTTTGATATCGATTTCCTATATTCAAGGACAGAGTACATGCATCTTTTCCTTCGCCTTCAAATAGAAGAAAACCCGTCCAGCCTTCCTCTCGACTGTTCGGTAAAATTCGCAATCGAAATTTTCAGAAGATTGCATTGTCCTAGAAGTTCCACCAAACAAATCGACAAAACATATCATCAGAGCTGGAAAGCCCCTTGGCATTATCGGACAACCGCATGCTTTTGTTCCATAATTGGATCCGCAAATTAACCTCATATTGTGGGGAACCCGGTTGTCGATTGCTGGCAGGGATCACTCTCTCAATTGCCGTGGGTCATAATCTGGATAATGGCCTGAATACCCTCACTGAGCATCCACATCACTCTTGGCTTTCTTGCGCTTCAATTAGTGACATTTTGCTGAAATACATATGTTTCCTACTATGTTCGAGCCGGTACACTTCGACAAGACGACGGAACAGTCCTTGAATCTGCAAACATGGCGATTCGCAACCTGCTACTCGTGGCGATGGCGGCAACTGCACTAGGCGAAGCTCGCAGTACGATACAATCACGACAATCTTCCACGATAACCGTCGATCTGACAAAAACATACCAAACCATGGATGGCTTCGGGACCTCTGAGACCTTTCAGCGCGCAAATCAAATGCGTGCGCTGAGCCCCGAACTCCAACGATACTCCCTCGACCTCCTCTTCAACCGCACCTCAGGCGCGGGATTCTCCATCCTCCGCAACGGCATCGGATCGAGTCCCGACAGCTCGTCCGATCACATGGTATCCATCCAGCCGAAGAACCCAGGCGGGCCCAATGCTGAGCCCAAGTACGTGTGGGACGGTAACGACAACTCGCAGGTCTGGGTCAGCACCGAGGCGGCCAAGACGTACGGCGTCAGGACGTTTTATGCGAATGCGTGGTCAGCGCCGGGATACATGAAAACGAACGGGAACGATGCGAATGGCGGGTCCTTGTGTGGCGTTTCGGGCGCGACGTGTTCTTCAGGCGACTGGAAACAGGCCTATGCTAATTACCTGGTGCAGTATATTACGTACTACAAGGAGGTTGGAGTGGACATCACGCACGTTGGGTTCTTGAACGAGCCGGATCTGACAACGAGCTATGCAAGTATGAGGAGTAATGGGCAACAGGCCGCGGACGTCATCAAGGTGCTCAGGCCAGCATTAGATAAGGCGAATTATACGCAGGTCAAGATCAATTGCTGTGATGCTGAAGGTTGGAGTTCGCAGAATGCAATGATGGGACAGTTGCGATCAGTAGAAAATCAGTTGGGTGTTATTACAGCACAGTAGGTTTTACGACCGACACGCCCATGCGCTTTCTGTTCTGCGGTGCAATGTTGCTAATCTGTGCTAGTTCGTACACTTCACAACCGGGATCGCCTATCAACACCAAGCTTAACGTCTGGCAGACAGAGAATGCCGATTTACAGGGCCCTTGGACTGCAGCATGGTACAGCAACAATGGTGCAGGGGAAGGCCTCCTATGGGCTAACAAGATTTATGATGCCATTGTTCGTGCAAATGCATCGGCTTATTTGTATTGGATTGGTGTACAAGGCGGTCCAACCAATTCGAAAATGATTCGAATAAGTGATGACAAAAAGAGTGTCATCCCAAGCAAGAGACTTTGGGCAATGGCGAATTGGAGTAGATTCGTCAGACCAGGAGCGGTTAGGGTCGGTACTTCTGGGTCGCCATCGGGTGCGAAAGTATCGGCCTTCAAGAATCCAGATGGAACCGTGTCAGTGCAAGTTATACAAGGCGGGACTTCGAGTGGTGCCGTGGCAGTGAAGGTCAACGGATTTACAGCCCAAGCAGTGAAGGCGTGGATCACGGATAGTACGAGGGACGTTGGGGCCTTGGAAGTAACCTTGTCGACAGACGGAACTACAGCCACTGCGAACGTCCCCAGCAGGAGTTTTGTCACTTTCGTTTTCGAGCCAGTCGGTGCTTCTGAAGGTTCGTGAATCATAACGAAGTAAAACCTAGATACCAGCATGTCTCTCAAAAGCGCGGTCTGAAATGATCCTTGTGCCCTGTGGGGAATCATTTGTGTAGCGAAGACGACTAAATGGAGTAGGTTTCTCGGTCTTGTTCTTAGGAAGCTTCTATTTCCTCGACCATCGCGATGATGCCGGCCTTCCATCTCCTGTAGTCTTCTCTTTTGCGCTCACTCAGATAGTCAGTGGCGTCTTGCATCATGGTACCCAACCCAATGTTTTCACTACCGAAGCTTTCCTTCCAACTTTTGGGTTTTGTTCCGTTTGTGTGGTCAGCAGTCATCTCTACGCCCTCCATCTCCTGTCCGCTCTCCGTCGGCATGACATTCAAAAACCATTCCATCTGTAACCAGCCTTCTGCTTGTGCCAGGGGCATCAGCTCTTCAATCTCAGTGGCGACCTCTTCTTCCCCAGTATTCGCATCGGCCTTGGTCTGGAGTAGGATGGATATTGCTCGAGATCGCCATTCTTCATACTGGTCGGGTGTGATATCCTTGTCTTGTATGCGAGAAATGACATAAAACGATATGACTGCTATGAGTGCAAGTATGCGTGTCTCGGATAAATTAGTCGTCGCGTGGGCAGAGGCGGCAGCCCGGCGCGGCCGTTTACTTGGAGTATCTGGTACTGACGCTGCAGCCATGAGCGCAAGTAGTGACATCGTTGACTCAACGCCCGTATAGATATGGGGCACCGCGGCGGGATGATCGAAAGACTTCGCAAGGGCACGTATTGGGGGCATGACCCATTCTGGGGTATCTTTGGCGTTTACGTTTTGTTTGATTGTACTTCGTGGAGTCTTCCGGGCACCTGTGGGGGTCTTCGGAGTAGTTCGTGAAGGGGTGTTAGGGTTATATGAGGTATTCTTTCGAGGTGTCCCTGGTACACTAGCAGAGGCCGTTGCAGGGAGTGCAGTTTCGAGGTACGTCAAGAGCTTCTTGTAGATGCGGGGAGGGCATGGCGGGCGGGATGTTATTGAGGGCAGATTAAGCCGTATCTTGGACCTACACAACGTCAGTAAGCGTTTCCAACATGCGGAAACTCTGATTTCCACCTTTCACATGCCAATTGAGCGCATGCATATGGCCGTGCTATCTCTTCATCGGGTTTTAAGCTGTGGGCAACGCTGCGCGAACGGGCAAGCAGGGAAAGGGCTGTGTCGACAAGCTCAGGTGGAAGAGGGCCATTTAGAGTAGGCAGAAGCCCACCAAGGGCTTGCTCTATATCTGCTTTGTTCATCGCAGTTAGATACTTGGAGGTGCTGTGTTGTCCAGTGGAGAGTTGATCCCCTTACACAGTATAGGATTTTATCAAAGAAGATGAGAGATCATGGCCAGACGCGCTCGCACATTGAACACGATGTCACGTGCTTTCCTTCCATTTCGGACTAGTGTCATTTCATTCCCACAAGTTCCCTTTCGCCAGTAGTTAAATGGAAACCTCATGACAGATTATAGATAGAAGCTCCAATACAAGTGTATGTCTAAATCTACTGAATGGGTCCTATCTTGATGCGCTGAACCTCTTAGCCAGCTTCATCTTGCTCGTTGACAAATAACCATCACGGTGATCGGCGGCGCAATACTGAATAACATAACACTTCCAAAGGAGGTACCTGTTTTGCTAATCTACGAAAGGCATTGGAGCGGTGAAAGAAAAGTCATATTTTTGGGATTTTATCTACATGAGAAACTTAGAAAAGGGCATTTGCTCTCGACACTAGACCTCCTCCAACGCCTGTGTACTTGATTCGTTATCCATCACGTTTCAAACACTGGCGTTCTCCGGTATAAACCCCCCAATCTTGAGCCATGTCCATCTTCACAATCCGATCTTTCCAGAACATCGGGGATCAAGCTTCAATATAAGGGTGATGCACGAAGCTTAGAGAGTGATCACAGTAGTCGGAAGGGAGATGATAATTGGATCCCGACTTTCGGTATCTGGGACGAAGACTGCGGTGAGGGATCTAGGGACTGGCACAATGCGGTGATCTGCAGGGGTAGCCGTTGGAACAAGATCAAACCAGTCGACGGAGTAATCAGGGTATAGTGGTGTAATTGGGGTATCGAAGAAATCGTCCGTGGTTGTAGGGACTGGGCCGAGCCAGTTGAAGGAGGTATCAGCGTTCGTCGGTAGAATTGTAACATCATCTGCGGTTGTGATAACAGGGTTGACCCAGCCGGTAGAGAGGTCAGGGAAGTTGGGGAGACTGACATCAGTCCAAATGTAGGAGTAGTGCAAGTTGTCGTAGGCATCGGTGGATATTGGTAGAATTGTGATATCTCCGTTAGGGGTTGTGGGGGTTGGGCTGAACAAGTCGTAGGTCAAGATATCGGTGGTTATTGGCAGAATGGTGAAGTCCGCACTGGTGTCAGGAACTGGGTGGAGCCAGTCGGAAGAGATATCATCGGAGATTGGCAGAATTGAGATCTCGGGGTAGACAGAACGGCCAACTATGGTCGGGATCTGGGAATCGCCGGAAGACACCCTTTCAAAGGGGTGAGGGTCAATAGTTGGATCTGGGTCAGGAGCGGTAAACCGTTGGTGGGTAGAGGTTGTGAGGGTCGACTTTGAAGTCCAAGTTGGGCTTGTCGTCACATAGGAAGTAACCTCGTCGGTGATATCATCAGTTCTGAAAGGGTTCGCCCAGACCGTGGAGCTAGTAGTGTAGGGACCTTGATAAGAGACCTGTACGTTGCGTAGAACGAGCTCCATGGGCTCGAAAGAGTGGATCGAGGCAGTCTTTGCCGGAACCTCCTCTGCGGCCCTGTAAACATGAGGCCACTCGGTAGCCTTGGCACACTGGTAGGCTACGACCTTGTCGAGAAAGGTACCGGCTTCGGGGCCCTCCGCATGATGAACAAGACCAAGACGAGTGCACTCGACATCTCTATTCTGTGGTTAAGTGTCTGAGCTGTGATTGGGGATGGCGATGGGAACAGTGAGGTTGGCAGTGGCGGGCGAATTTGAGAGTGGATAGATACTTACGAGAAGAACGTGCAGATGAAATTCTCCTCGACAGCAAAATTGAAGACAGGCCTGTCGATCTGGATACACGCGCCGCGGTGATCATAGATGACACGAAAGTCATCTTTGAAGTCGATGAGCCCTCCGCAAGCGTCAGGATGATAGCCCTTGAGCCAACTGAAGGAGGCTGGGTGAGCAACGACGGCGGCCGCCATTGCACCGAGCACGACCGCGAAAGCACGCATCTTGAAGAGAAGGGAATGATCAATGGATGATGCAATTGAGGGGATTTGGTAAAGTATTGGTGGTAATGAGATAGAGAGGGTGAGTGAGAAGTAAAGGATTGGAGCGTATTGAGAGGGAGACGGAGAGAGAGAGGGAGAGAGAGAGAGAGAAGGAGGAAATAAATAGGAAGGAAATTAGTCAGGGCAAGGTGAAATCCAATCAGGAGGGAACAGCAGTTCTGTTGTCATTTCGTTGCCAGAGGTAAAATTGCTCGGTTGACAGGCTGTAATACATGCTTGGCCACGTGGGCTCCAAGTGAAGGTGATTCTGAGCGAGTGGCCGAATGAGGAGAATTTGTTTCTTTTACAGACAAGAAAAGTGCACATTGGATACAATGATGGAAGCAAGTATACGTTATGCAGTAGAAGGGATTTTTGAAGTGTGTAAAGTGAACCAACACGAGGTGCGCGAATCAATCTAGGTAGACTACCTCACTGTACACCTCCCAAACCTATAACCAAAACAGAAGATTGGAATTGCACATAAGTCAGAAGGCTCTCCTGCTCTCCACTTTGAATATACTATCATGCCTTCAACGATTCTCTGTCCAACACCGAGCCCATCGAATACCCTCATCTGTAAACTCCCCTTCAGCGCTGCCAATGAGATAGCTTCTCCAGCCCTGCTTTGGATCGGGGATACAACCCCTCTTATTGAAAGCCACGCAAGCGCAATTATTGCGAATAAAGTACTTATGCAATGCCCTGTCAAACGTGTGACACTCATTGTCCCCTAATGCGGTCTCTCCAATTCCATCATAGAACTCGAACGTCCCGCATCCCTCCGCGGTTGTTCTTACAGTATCTATAATGTCAACATCAGAATTGCTAGGTTTGCCTCCAGTGACGATATCGACACCTTCAGGGATGATCAAAGGAACATTCATGGTATCGGCTCGAGTCTCATTGGCCAAGTAAGCAACAGTGCCATTGGGCATAATGGCATTGTGGAAGCACTGAATAGATCGGATGCTGGATCCTTGCTTGTCCTGCAATGAAGGACCGCGAATAACAGACACAAGGCCACTATCAGTATAGGTGCACAAAGAATCACTAAAATCGATATCAGCATGACTAGAAGGGAAAAAAGAAATACGTGCTAATCCTTAACCCCCTAGACCTACCGGAAAGCTAAGCAGGTGTGATTTGCGCTCACGCTAACATTTGAGATATTATAGTCGAATTTGTAGCATAACCTGTCCGCGTAGAGGTTTTGCTCGCCTCCGTTTTCGAACGATATGATTCCACAACGTTCATTGGCAACTTTTGGAGTGGTTTCTTGATCTATAACATTGAGTTTCTCCAGCGACTCGGAGTTTAGTAATGAAGTAACGAGGTCCTTTGGAATTATGGCCTCGGGTCCTGTGAGTGGTGCAGCTGTCACTGCTGCCAACAAGGTGAGGAAGGCACCGCAAAAAGTATGTTGAAAATACATTGTAGTTAAGAGAATCTACTGACAATAATAAAGGAATGGAAAGATTTAGAAATGTAGATGTTGATCTAGAGACAGAGGCTTTGGTAGGAATTACAGCTATTAGTACGATTCTAGAGAGACGGTAGAGAATAAGGCACAACACTATTGAATAGCCGTTGTTTGTGAATGAGCGGTGAGATGTATGATGCATGTGTTGACTTCTCTCATTCACAACATAAGCATGACTTCGGCAGACCAATGTCAGGCAAAGGCATCCCTTTGTAGATCTTCCAAGTAGGTTTTGACGTGCTCGTTTCTTTCATAAGAAATCCTGCGCAAGTGATAACATAGAACAATGCATGAGCATGATAACCTTGGTAATGCTGCACGTTGCGTTGTGGTGCATTCAACCTTGCGAATGGCCTGATTGGTAGGCCACGACATGCACATGCGGGAATATGCCAATTCTCGAACCGGTACCAGTTTACGAGAAATACTACAATGCTAGGCCCTGTGGCGTTTGTTCACGCTGTCGTTAACAATACACTTGTTAGATATAGCTAAATTGTTGCCCGGCTCGGACAAAGGAGACAACGCTGCTCTTTATCTTCTGCTTTGATTTCAACTTGAGTTCCAGGAATCTGATTGCACGAGAACTAAGAATCAATACATAAACCAAACAAACATGAATATCAGAGACCGATTACGTATTAAGGCCTCGACATGGCAATGTGGTGTAGAAAGGATTCGAAGTGTCCGTAGTGTTTGTTGACAATCATAGAGGCTTATGACACACTTCTTCCTCGGCTTGGAAATATGAGAATCGACCTCCCGTGTTGATTCTCTGTAGCAGCTACGCACCGGTTAGGGTAAGTTCAATATATGTATGAGAGTAGATGGTGTATACTATTCCGCTTATTGATTATTTTACATCTTCAGTCCCCTCTCGTTGCTCAGGTATCAACGTCTTACTTAAACCCATTTGCTCAACCATTTCATAAGTTCTTCTTCTATCGTTCAGGCGGATGTCTCGTTTGCGGTTAGGACCTAGCATGTAACGTATATAAATTGCTATTATGCGCTGCCTAAACACCGTGTTAAAGACAAAAGTTGCATTCTTTTGTCTAGTCGTTCAAATATTACCAGGGAACAGTTACTCTATTAATAGCTTATATGTTGTTAAGTGTCGTTTGTTTAGGCGACGATCATAGGTTGATCTAAAAGTCGAGCTATGGGTGAGCAATTTGACACTCCATATATTGCAAGGACACGAGTTGTGCAATCCAAAATGCCACACATAGTAAAATTCATCTCGAAGATCTTAAGATGTGGTAGCTAATGAGGGTCTTCTCCCTTCCTCATGCGGTTTGGGAAGCTCCAGATGGGGTGGCAAGAGCCTGCGGAAAGGGTGAAAAGTGATTTCACCTGTTCCATGGTTCGTAAATATTGAAAGCACATACCAACCAAATCACTCAGAAATATCCTTACACATCATCTCCGGGGAAAGATTGATTCACTGAGCTTTCGGTCCCCTACGGTGCGGTGCCTACATAAGAGCCAAGTTTTATCTCTATTTCGAACCTCGACAAAATCCAGACGCAACCCTGTACACACATCGCAACTCAACTCAAGATCAGACCGAACTTACATTCACAATCAACCAATCCTCGATTCAACATGCGTTTCATCAACACTCTCAATATCCTCGTCGCCGTCATTGCTGGCCTCGCGCTCGCTCACGACCCTATCAAATGCGGCGCGGTCCTCAACATCCATGACCCCATCGACAACACCCACGACTGGACTGTGATGTACCTCGGACATGGGCATAATTGCAAGCCCCTCGAATATCCAGCCGAGTCGTACTGGAGCAAGTCTGGATGTACCTGCGCCCTCTACAAGTAAGTCCAACATACATACCATCTTCATTTGACAGAAATGTGATACTGACTGATTACTATAGGTCCAAGGACTGCACTGGCATGGCCAAGGTTCACGAGGTGGGGCCCAAGCAGCGTCCTATCTCAGACCTGGGTTCCTACAAGTGCTATGCAACTGTTGACGGACCATTCGAGCATGTGGAGATCTAGGAGCACAATCCCGTGAAGGAGAACCCTTGATGAAATGATCATGGCATCCCTCCGTGGCTCTTGGAAGTCTATGTGAATAGAGTATTATACAAGGCCGGTATCGAAAATGGTGGACTTTTCAGAGTGGAAAGGGTCAAGAATGGTTAGGTGCACACCACAAGTGTTTCTACCATAGCCCTGGGTCGTAACAGCTAGGTCTAATGACCTTCAATGAATCGATGTTTCAGTGAAACCGTGTCGTCTCTTGATAAACTGTGGTCAGTCCCAACAAGGAAGTGAAATGAGGCATAGGCCCTTGGCGACTTCACCCTCGACCTCGCAGTACTACTAGTATAAGTTTCCATCTCTGCGTGTCTTTAATACTTACTTCTTATGATTACAATCTCCGATCAAACCACGAACATCACAACCTACTTTACTCGAAATCAACCAACCACAATGCTCAGCTTCAACCGTTTGCTCGCTCGCATTTTCGGGGCCACGCTGGTGAGCAGCCACGCTTGCGGGGGCGTCAAGTCCATCAACGCTGCATATCAACTCCTCATTCCGGATGGTGAATGCACTCTGTTCAAGGAACCGCCCGCGTCATACAGTCTCCATGCCAATGACTGCTCCTGCAATTTCTACAGGTGAGCTTGATTATTACCATAGACCAAATGTTGAAGGCTGATTCTGTCGTGCACAAGGGAGCACAAATGCATCGGCAAGCCAATGATCCAAATCGTATCGTCAACCAGGGACGTGAATGTTACTAGCCAGCACCTCGTAGCGTATATCTGCACGGAGGAATGAAGAATCGAATGCGGACGCTGGCTGCAGGGTGTTCGGTTGGCTTGATGACTGGCTTGATGGCTGTGCAGCACATTCTCAGCCTTGACCGGAAAGAGATGCACCAGCTTGTTTGCTCTTGTTGCAGACATGGGATAAACTCGACGGGACCTTGAACTGGATACGGCGGGTGGAGAATGACAGCTTTAGGTGTCTGGCTAGAAACCATTGACGGCACTAAGAGTCAAATTATTTTGTACAAAGGGTACACCAATGCATGAAACGAGGATACAAAGTGACTGAGACATGTCATGTCATGTTCCATTCCAGCTAAGCGTCCGTGACACCAAAAAAGCACTACCCCGATTATTTTCAGCTGGGGGGTGTACGCGCAACGAATTGGACAATGCAGAGAGCGCTTGTCCCAAACAGCGACCCAGAACATGGCTTAACCCCCAAATGCGCACATCACTTGTTTTTGGCCATGCGAGTGATTGGCCCCATAGAGAACGGTGACAGTGAATATATGCCCACCTGTCTCGCGTTTATATGCCTATTCACTGAGGTTTGTACGGCCGCTTGCACCGGCCCCACTCACTTAGTCTTGAGGGTCCCACCGGTCTGCACGTACACATAAAGTCACCTACCGTGCTCAGAGTTGACCAGCTACCGTGTAGTTAGTTATGTATTAATTGACCAGTAGTCCATGGATACCTTTCGAAGAAGGCAGACAATCACAACTGCAATTCCTTTCCAGCCAGGCTCAAACTACAACCTGCGGATGTTGTTCGCATTCCTCTTCTCCTTTCTTGCGTACCTGACATGCGTGGCCGCAGACCTCTGGCCCGACGGCGTCCCAGCGAAGGAAGCCTATCCAAATTGTGGTACTGTCGAAGGCAGATTCGGCATGGGGGTTCTGCTGCGAGTCGATGAAGAGGCATCTTGCCATCAATTGCGGTGGTCGGCTGTCACATTTGAAATGGAAGATGATTGCGTATGCACGTTTTACAGGTAAGCAGGCACATCGAAGCCATGTTCGTTCTTGTTTGTTTTAACCATACCACAACGAAGCCTGGCGGAGACTGCAATAGAGATGGAGCTAATGGTTCTTAGGGACAAGGACTGCAGCAATTCGCTCATGACAATCATTCGGCCCAGTTATGGATCGGCAGGAATGGCAGAATCGTTCAAATGTACTCGGAAACGCGAGGCACAGAAGAGGAAGAGCGACTAGAGAAGCAACCGGGGGAGTGTACGGATCTGTGAGGCATGATAGTACTGGAGTTTCGGCCGGGGTGTGGGGCACGATGTATGTCCACGCGTTCCAATGAAATGACGATGGTGAAAATGACGATGGATGATTATTGATCGATTGAGCGGATTGAGTAAGTGGAAGGATGGTGGACGATGAATGGATGGAATGGATGGAATGGATGATGATTCTATATTTATCATCCGAAATACGAAAACGGATGAAGGACGGACGACCGACTAGAGTTATCGATAAGCACAGGAAGGTGGTTTTTTAAGGTTTGGCCCGTGCACTCCCTGTCCCCGAACTTTTTCGACAATCTTCAATCCTCACAATCCACAACCACCAACGTAAACACTTGCATTCTCTCTCCACATCCGTAACCATACCAGATCGCTCTAAGCGCACCTAAAATCTGAATTGAAGCAATTGAAAGTCCCTATCGTCCTGTCATCTTGACCAAACCACGGTCTGTACCCTCCGTTGGCGCATTGCCCGTACACACCAAAACTCTGAACACACCCTCTACGACCACTCAACATGATCCGAAAGCAAGCTCGCGAGAGGCGAGACTACCTATATCGAAGGGCACTCACTCTTCAGCAAGCTGAGATTGCAAACAAGCGCGCCGCGCTCAAGGCCTCCCTCGCAAGCGGCAAACCACTCGACCCTAGCATCGCAAACGACGAATCGCTCCGCAAAGACTTCAAGTACGACGAGAGCAGAGGAGACAGGACAGTAGAGGAGGAACTTGGCCTGGACGATGAATATGCACAATTGTCTGGCATTGTCGACCCAAGGATATTGGTCACCACATCGAGAGATCCCAGTTCGCGCCTGGGAACGTTCGCGAAGGAAATCAGATTGCTACTTCCCACGAGTATACGATTGAACCGTGGTAACCTCATTCTGCCCAATCTAGTCAGCAGCGCGACGGCATCAGGTCTTTCGGATATCATCCTCCTTCACGAGCATCGTGGTACGCCAACTGCGATGACCGTGTCGCATTTCCCACATGGCCCTACCGCGAGCTTCTCACTGCACAATGTCGTTCTTCGAGCAGACATCCCCAACAGTGCAAGGGGAACGGTGTCGGAAAGTTATCCACACCTGATATTTGAGGGTTTCACGACCAAGCTTGGTCTGCGATGCGTGCAGATTTTGAAGCATCTCTTCCCACCGCGAGAAGCCACCGCGAAGGTCGGCAATCGCGTCATTACTTTCAAGAACATTGAAGATTCGTAAGTTGACATATTCTTTGATCTCCGAATGGTTGCTAATATGGTTCCTTTTCTAGAATTGAAGTCCGGCATCATGTCTTCGTAAAGACCGGATACCAGAGCATCGAGCTCGCCGAAGTTGGTCCTCGAATGACGATGCGCTTATACGAGATCCGCGCTGGCACTTTGGATAACAAGGACGGTGATGTCGAGTGGCATCTCAATCAATTCACCCGGACAGCGAAGAAGAAGGACTACCTATAAACGTCTCAGTGGGAACGTCATTCTTTCGCGCTGCATGTTCGAGTCTGGCTCTTGTTCATCAAGATGTCGTGGAACAGGTCATAAGGTGTCTTTCCGAATATACTAGGACAGTTAAAAATTGACTACAAGGAAAGGAAACCTGTGGCTGGAGTCAGTGTCGCGGCAGGCTGGATAGCTGTACATGTTGGAGGGTCACCAAAGGGGGTACAGTAAACTCAGAATGGGCGATGACGGGGCTAGGGTTCGGGGGTATGTCGACGATGGGAGAAGACCAAAGGGTGTTGGCAACGGGACTAAAGCGACATGATCTCACTCCAGATATCAGGACTGCCAAGGTTTCAGTTCATTGGGATGATTCGTCGTTATTGAGAGTGGAAGGCACCATCCATCATATATTCTACAGCAAAAGCATGAGCGGAATTCTTTGAATTCGTAATGTACATATATTCTAACCGTCCATAATCCGTAATCTAAGTCACGGAACATGGTTATCCACCTATTCTTTTCACTACCCAATTCCGAACAAATTGCATCTTACACGTTATTCTTCTTTTCAACTCTCCAACCGAAGCATTCGGTTACTTGACCTTGGGAAATACAGGCCTCTTCGTAACCGCCAACGCAATCCACCCTCCAATCAAACAAACACCACCCAGTGGCGTCACCGGCCCCATCCACTTGAAGCGCTGCGGGTCGAGCGTGAGAAGGTAGAGCGATCCGGAGAACATTGTCATTCCCGCCGTGAACAGCGACATTGCGATTGTGTTTTGTGGTGCGATGGCGGAGGCGAAGGTAAGGGCTACGGAGTGCATGAGCTGCGACATTGCTTTATGTTAGCTTCAACTCGTTGGCGGGAGAGGAGGGGGAAAGATTTCGAACCTGATACTGTGCGGCCGTTCCCCAGTTGGCGATCCTTTGCGGATCGGCGATGCGTTTCTTGAGGCCGTGAGCTCCAAAGGCGCCGAGCATGACGGAGGAGGCGCCATAGAGGCAGCCGATCGTCCAGAAGGGGGCCGGCATTATGATTTGTTTGCAATTGCAGAATGTCTTTCCGGTGTGCGGGAGAGAATTCGCTGTCCAAAAGTGTTTGTAGTGGATCTCGGAGCTGCTTCGAGGTCAAGGCCGAGCTTCCTGGGCTGTTTAGTGACGATGATGGTTCATGTACGAGAAATAGGCTCTAAATGGTTAGCGTCGTACATCTTTTAATATGTTCCAAGAAAGATACATGCACTCTATGACTACATCTTTCGCAACACTGCTTCCTCACCCTTATAAACCGAAATTTGTTCGATTCAATCGTGATGTCTCGTGTTTTACAATTACTAAAATCCAAAATCGAAAAGAGACAATGTACTGTGTTTGGCTTCAAGTCCGGTGGCACCAGTTTATTACCTCGTAGTTTGGAAGATGAGATATCAACACGAACGAAACTGGGGATTCTTCTTCGTTCCTTATAATATATCATTGAAGGAATAGTTCTCTTATGGTCTCTTGTATCTACAGAGCGCAAAATTAAAATCTCAAATTTCTGTGCAATTTTGAACAACTAGTCAATGAACTATTCCAGTTATAAACACCACATCATGTTGTACTATTACTCCTCTAATGTTAGGAATCTGTCTGTGGTTTTAACTCTGCGATCCATATGGCATCCGAGACCGTATCTCGACCTGGTTACATGATTCTTCTTCAAACACTGTGCTTGTGATGCCTCTTTCAAGTAGCGTTTTACTCACTCTATTCGAACCTCGCAACTTCCCGGATTTAGATGGCACATTCGATTGAATCCCATTATTGATCAAAGACCGTTCGGAGCCTACTGATTTAGAGTCCACGGGCGCCGATCCGTGCGAATTGTTTTCCCGTGATCCGAGTCCAAAGCATCTTGAAAGGAGGATAAGTTGACCGTGATGATGGCAAATTGTATCCATAGAGCAGCAACGGTCACCATCTTGCCGAGAACCCAGGACGTATCTAGAGAAAAGTTCAAGCCGAAGAGCAAAACGAGGCGAAAGGCAACACTGCTACTAAAGCCGATAACGCTGAGTACGGCAATTTTCCGTCTGGTCGGCACCTGGATGTTCTAGTCTGTTGATATGGGGAGGATGAGGATGAATAAGTCTTCGGCAATGTCCTATTACTCAAAGGATATTATAATTCAAACCGCGTCGGTTTTTGCGGTATTGCAGCAGTGTATTCCATTAACTTTTTAATGGCTCTTACTCGAGAATGAGACTATCATGTGCAGTATCAGTGCCATAACACGTATGAACTTTGCGGTGATAAAATTCATAGTTTAACAATCGCTATTACCGACCTCAAGGGAAACAACATGGTATTCTATTGTGCATCAAAATTACGTTGATAATCGGTGGTTGCCGTGTGCCAGGGTGCCATCCTGAATAGCCGCACTTCATCACACGGGCCGACAAGAACAGGATTCTTTCCAGTCTAGGCCCTTTCCATATTCAAGGTCGAATTCGCATCTCCGCAAGCAAAGATGGGAGCATATGAATATGCATGCGGAACACTGGTGTTGTATTCATGATCGTTTTCTTCGCATGCTTAAGACGGGTTAACTGGGTTGTAGGTATTCCCATCATTGTGCGAACCTCTTGCTACCATGTTTCCTACAACTTCTATTTCCACTATTGAGTTCTTATTTGATCATTTTATTCTGTACTGCCGTTTGCCCACATAAGTAGATTTACCATTGTGGAATTTCCCCACATCCGTATCATAGGCATGGGTCTGAAGAACGCCTGACGTGTTCAAAATGTGATTAGCCAGAACGACACCGATGACAGTCATTTTATGCAGCGTATGCCAGAATGGGGTGTTATACTGCAATGTCTGCATGTAGTGTCAAATCTCGAATCAAAGTCATCCCATTTGACCACCGATTCCCCCCACTTTGTTGAATTCGGGACACTGCACCATTATACTTTTTCACTTGTTTGTCAGTCGTGTGAAGAGAACGGCGAGTCTTCTAGATGGACAAACCTTTTGCCGCGGCATGGAATGGACCTGGAGCAGCGATGCTGTCCGGCATCGCATTTCATCTATCAATTCGTAGCATCGAGTTCGAGCTCATCATGTTCCACTTCTTAAGCGCCTGCACTGCTGCATTCGCAGGCACGATCTACACTGTTGGTCTCGTGAGGGCTTTGCTACTGGTGACGAGTTTCAACATTGGATTATTTAGCAGCATAGGATTCTATCGATTAGTATTCCACCGCTGTCGCAACTTCCCAGGTCCATTGGCGGCAAAGCTTACTCGATTCTACGCTACGAGGCTGGCGGCGAAAGACCTGCAGTACTACAAGGAGCTCGCCAAGCTTCATGAACAATACGGCGACTTCGTTCGCACTGGTGGGGGAGATCTTTGAGTCCAAGAGTTGAAAGATCATACACTTATATCGTTTCAGGGCCACGAGAGATCTGTATCCTAGACAAGTCAGCCGTCTCCCTCATCTATGGACCAAATTCGAAGACCTTGAAATCGACCTGGTACGGACAGACCGGCAATGACCCGAAGAAATGCTCAATTCATATGACACGTGATTTCAACGGTCACCGGATTCGTAAACGGGCATGGGACAAGGGGTTCTCTGTGAAAGGTAGACCAGAACATCTCATCCCTATCAGCATCTGATCTGACTTATACTTAGCTCTCGGAACTTATGAGCCTCGCGTCAAGGACAAGGCCGATCTTTTCATGAAGCAGCTGCATAAGAATGCAGGAAGGCCGATGGACGTGTCCGCATGGGCAATGTACTTCAGCTTCGACGTCATGGGAGAGGTAGGGTTTGGCAAGGATTTCAACAACCTCATCAGTGGCGAGGAACATCCGGCGATCAAGGCGGTTCACGACCACATGGCGATGTTGGGAGTACTAAGCACCGTGCCATGGTTGCTGAATATACTTGGGTCTATTCCGGGTGCTGCTGCTGGGTACTCGGAGTTCTTCTCGTTCTGCGCCGGTCAGATGAGAGAGAAGCATGCAGTATGTTTTGGAGGACTTCAACTAATTGTGCGCTGACTCTGTTTAGAATTGGGATAATGAGCTGTATCCGCAAGATATTGTTTCGTGGTTACTTAAGGCTGTCAAGGAAGGAGACATCTCTGCTTCTCCAAGTGCAACTGCACTGGAAGATGACTCACGAGTTGTTATCATTGCAGGAAGGTACGCACAGTTCAATAGGCTCATTATTTTATCATGTACTGACAGTATGCAGTGAAACAACCGCGACCACCCTTGCTGGAATACTCTTCTATCTCGCAAAATGCCCCGAGAAGCAGGAGAAACTCCAACGTCTGTTAGATGAAGCCATGCCAGGCGGCTACAGCGAGTGGTCGTACGAAAAGGCCCGTTCGGTGCCGTACGTTGACGACTTCATTAACGAGGCCCTACGCCTGAGACCTGCTTTGCTGACCGGTGGCCCGCGGGAAACGCCAGCCGAAGGGATTCAGATCGGGGATACGTACATCCCCGGAAAAACAAATGTCTTGATCTCTACTTATCAGATTCAACGGGACCCTAGATGGTGGAAGCAGTCGTTAGAATTCATCCCAGAGAGATTCGGCGAAAGACGGGAGGAGATGGGTACAGCTGACGCCCCGTTCATGCCTTTCTCATTAGGTGAGACAGATTGGTGCATAGTCAAAATAACGAGTATTAGAGCAACTGACAAAATTACAGGTCATTATGGCTGTCCTGGGAAGAATCTCGCGCAGATGAGCTTGCGGATCTCTCTTTCAGCTATTGTGCAAAATTTCGATGTGTCATTTGCTCCTGGAGAAACGGGGGAAAATTTTGACAATGGTGCACTCGATACATTCACGGTTACTCTTCCTCCTCTACACTTGCACTTTCATCCACGTAAAGGGGTTAGGGGCCCAAGGATACCGAGGGAGAACTCGATCATGGCTTAGTCTTTGATGGTAGATTGTATTTAAGCTGGACGAAATGAATTTTTGCTCGCCAGTGATTCCGAGTGAAAGCCAATTGCCAGCAAGATGTATGCCGAACTATGGGGTATCAATTATAATCGAAATTACCAATAGATAAATAAATGGTCATTCCTTGAGATCCAAACCAAAATGCTAATGCATATGCATATGATGAAATGTCTCTACATCAGACACCCATTGCTTTTACTCGAATGCAGATCCGAAACCGCTAGGCGAAGCCTCTGTCCACCAACAGTGATAAAGCTTTCCACTAGCCATTCGTACCAGACCTTACGATCGTCGGTCTGTCTCCACATACTTATCTCGAGCTCGGAATTTGCAGGGACTTGGATGGGTGTCTGATATTTCATGTTAGCACATAGAGCATGGGAAAGGATTATAAGAAAAAAGAGCTTACCCTAATTGGGAAGAAGATAGGGAACCAAGAGATCATGTCCTCGGATTTATCCTTCATGGTGATTGGGTTTGTGCTAAGTTCGACCGAACCTGAAGTGCCCGCATATAGAACCGTCTCAAAATATCCACCCAATCCGTGGCATATACCCTGATCCTGGATTGGAAAGGATAGCTTGCTGAACCGGGCGTTATGCTCATTTGCACCGTCTCCGCCGGTGAAGCCCCCGCCTCCTCCAACGGCCGATCCACCTTTTCGGAGGGATGCCTGTGCAAGGACATTAGGTGGAAGAGGATGAGAGAATTCCCAAGCAGTCTGGATATATGGTGACAAGGGCGCTTCAAGGGAGAACTGGTTCATTTTGGTACCGTTCGAGAGTTGCTGAACAGCCTCAGTAGGTGTGGACACAGTTGACAAGTAATCCATCTGCTGCAACATGACAACCCAAGGGATGTCGAAAGCGGTAGGATCGGCCATTGCACTGCGTGTCGAGAGATCTGCCCAGAGGCGGGGTGTAGAGATTGGCGTATAATGGGCTGTGTAACTGGATGGAATAGAAATTCCATGGTCCGGATTCAGGACATGCTGCACGCCGTCGAGACATTCAGGCGAAAGCTCATTGTCTGCGAAACTACCCAGTAGCTCGCTGACCAGAATATCGACCTTGCCAAATGTGCCATCCTCATTTGCTGGGCCCTTCCACGCGCGCATATCTGTCTTCACGACGGTGACGCGGTTGTTCCAAGTCTCTCTGTTATGACGCTGAAGAAGCACGTAGGCATTGGGGTTCTTTTCAACGGCGTAGACTCGGACAGGGATCTTGGTTTTCTCACTGGCATTCAATGCACGCGTGACAAGGGGTCCTCGGCCCGAGCCAACGACGGCGATGACAACAGCATTGTCACTTGTGCCAGAGCTGGTGGTCTTGTTGAGAGCTCGCCAGTCTAGAAGTGCGGCTTCGATGGCGCGTTCGTACCATTCATATTTGATAGGGTCCTTTTCGAAGACCTCATAGGTAATGGACTCCAGGTTATCAGTCAGGGGCTGCAGCGGGCTCTGAAGGTAGTCCTGGAAACCACCCCCAAATCTCTCAATCACATTCTTCGGGGGCTGGTTACGCTGCAGATACCGGAGATAGCTCAAATGTGGCGTAGGGTCGCCGCTGTTCTTCTTCTTTCCACTCTTGGCCATTTGTGCGGCCTCTGCGGGTGTAGGCGATGTCGACATTGAGGATTCCAATGTGGGAGCATCGGCAGCAGCATCCGATGAGATGTCTCCTGTCGAATAGGACAGTATCATATCTGGGTCATCAACGCCAGGAAGTGTGCCGATATCCGTGAGAAGAAGCCATGGGGCACTCTTCAGGCGCATGATACGGAAGATGAAGTATTGGTGAGACTTGGAAAGCACAGAAGATCCCCGAGCATTGGTGAGAAACGAAGATGCCGGAAGATTGAGTAGACGAACAGGCTCGGCATACCACCTGGATTGGAGGGCTAACGATGGCAGCCGACGTGGGAGATCAAGAGCTGAACACAGACAAGTTAAAACATGGAAATCTAATAGGGGCTTAAATAATTTGGCGTCATATTCCTTTCTTCGCAGGGAGCGAGTGATTGGAAAACAATTTTTGGATTATGGAAAGACTGATATATTTCTTACCTACTGACAGTCTGCTGGGATATTTACAAACAGATCGTATTACGTTCCAAGCATCCCACGCGCTGAATGGATCAGCTTCAGCGCTCTGCTGTCCGGGGTGCTGAAGCTCTGGCCTTGCGAAGTGCTCTAGATTGCCAAGGTCCTCTACTTCATTTGATTGGGAGCCATCCGTGGGAAGTAGAATGTGTATTTGAATATAAGCTCCAGTTCCGAGCGCTTCTTTGATCGCACGCGCATATTGGGAAATTCCGTTGGCGCCATTTGAAAGGCGAGGGCCCGGTATCACAACGGTCACAGCTCCACAGAATGCGGCATATGCGATCTCCAGATGCAACACCTGGCGGGATAGGTATGCAATGACGGGGTCCGGAGAGGTTAGATCAATCCACGAACTTGTGAAAGTGAGAAATTGAGAAATAGTATCATTAGGAGTGAGAGGAGTGTCGAGATACTCCAGAGCTGGAATAAGAGGTAGTGGCTGGGGTTGTGGGGATCCAGAGGCATCTGAGAGGGATTGGTTGTATGAACTGAGAAGATCAAGAACACGGGTATGGAAATGAGAGTTAGTGATGGGTGTGGTAAGCATATCATACTGAGATCATTGGTAAGTAAATGATAGTAATATTATGATTATGAATAAGGGAAAGAGAAGAGACGTACACCTAAATCTTGAGCATGGTTTGCCAATTCATCGGACACTGGGAGTGCCCGCTTCGTCTCGTGTTGGCCAATATAGAATATGGGCATAGAGTCGTCCATGATTATTATGGCTGGATTTGGGGATAGTCTGGTCACAGGAAATGACTCGCTACCAGTCGAAGAGATAGACCTTTCGTGAGTGAGTGAAGAAGGGGATAAAATATATAAAACGAAAGTATTAATTACGATGTTATCCCACACGAGTGTTGATATGGAGGAGAAGAGGGATGATGGTTGTGGGGTTGTTGGAAAAGTTCAGTCGAACCGTCCCTGCCCTACTTGTGTTCTTATCGATAAGGATGGGGGTCCAAATGCCAAGGCTGACGCTAACAGCGCCGCGGTCTTTTTTTTCCTCCATCGCCTTCAGGAAACCAAACATTTCCACCCTCGCAAACGGCAAACATGACGATTAAACGCGATACCTACGAGGACGATGATTCCTCATCCTCCAACAAGCGTGTCAAAGTTGAGAATGGCAGCAACGGCGTGAAGAAGGAGGAGAATCCCTATCTGGCGCATTGGAATGATGAGTCTGGTTCAAAGAGTAGGTACTACCAAAACACCAACACTTCTGCCAACCACAATTTTCGCACGCGATTTTCCCTTTTTGTTTTCCTTCGCCTATGGATTGGCACTATCAAGGTGTAATACTGACAGGCGCAACAACAGATGAACCCTCCAATTCAGCAGACCTTCTCTACTCCTTCAAGCGTCACGGTACCACCGCGAAGCAAGCCCACGATGCGGAGGACGGTCCTCTTAACCCCTTCACTGGCAAGAGCCTGTCCAGCAACTATATGAGCATCCTGAAGAAGCGGAGAGACTTGCCTGTTCACCAGCAACGAGATGACTTCCTCAGCCTCTACCAATCCTCCCAGATCCTCGTCTTCGTCGGTGAGACTGGTTCCGGAAAGACTACTCAGATCCCCCAATTCGTCCTGTTCGATGACCTTCCGCATCTCAACAACAAAATGGTCGCCTGTACACAGCCTCGTCGTGTCGCCGCTATGTCTGTCGCACAGCGTGTCGCCGAGGAAATGGACGTCAACCTTGGGGAGGAAGTCGGTTACAGCATTCGTTTCGAGGATAAGACGGGACCGAACACAATGCTCAAGTACATGACGGACGGAATGTTGCTTCGCGAAGCCATGCACGACAACAACTTGTCTCGTTACAGTACCATCATTCTTGACGAGGCCCACGAACGTACCCTTGCGACCGATATCCTCATGGGCCTGCTCAAGGAGGTTGTTCTCAGGCGAAAGGACTTGAAGCTCATTATCATGTCTGCTACCCTTGACGCAACCAAATTCCAGAGGTACTTCCACGACGCGCCGCTTCTTGCCGTCCCGGGTCGAACGCACGCTGTCGAGATTTTTTACACTCCCGAGCCCGAGCGAGACTACGTCGAAGCGTCCTTGCGAACTGTCCTCCAGATCCACGCCACCGAGAAGGAGGGTGATATTTTATTGTTCTTGACGGGTGAAGAGGAGATCGAAGACACATGCAGGAAGTTAACGATGGAAGCACAAGAGTTGTTGAGAGACGGTGCAGCTGGCCCTCTCCAGGTTTACCCACTCTATGGTACCCTGCCCCCGGCGCAGCAACAGAAGATCTTCAACCCGGCCCCTCCACCCGCAACGCCTGGTGGTCCGCCTGGTCGTAAATGTATCATCTCGACCAACATTGCCGAAACCTCCCTCACCATTGATGGTATTGTATATGTTGTGGATCCTGGTTTCAGCAAGCAAAAGGTGTACAACCCAAGGATCCGTGTCGAATCTCTTTTGGTATCTCCGATTTCGAAAGCTTCGGCTCAACAGCGCGCTGGTCGTGCTGGTCGTACGCGACCAGGCAAATGCTTCCGTCTCTACACCGAGGCTGCATTCAAAAAGGAGCTCATCGAACAGACATATCCTGAGGTTCTGCGATCCAACTTGGCCAGCACTGTGTTGGAATTAAAGAAGCTTGGTGTGGAAGATCTGGTACATTTTGACCTGATGGACCCGCCCGCTCCTGAAACCTTGATGCGTGCATTGGAGGAGTTGAATTACCTCGCTTGTCTCGACGACGAAGGTGACTTGACTACACTGGGTAGACTTGCGTCGGAATTTCCTCTGGATCCTGCTCTAGCGGTGATGCTCATCACATCGCCCGAGTTTTACTGCTCCAACGAGATCCTCTCACTCACTGCCTTGCTTTCGGTCCCCCAAATCTTTGTTCGTCCGGCAAACAACCGCAAGGCTGCCGATGAAATGAAGGAGCTCTTTGCTCACCCAGATGGCGATCACCTCACGATGCTCAACGTGTACCATGCCTTCAAGGGTGCTGAGGCACAGGCAAATCCTAAGCAGTGGTGCCACGACCACTTCCTGTCCTTCCGTGCACTTCAACAGGCCGATAACGTCCGGCTCCAATTGAAGCGTATAATGGAGCGCGAAGAGCTTGAGCTGATGTCCACTCCTTTCGAGAACAAGAAGTACTATGAAAACATCCGTCGGGCTCTCGTTGCGGGCTTCTTCATGCAAGTGGCCAAGCGCGACGGCACCGGCAAGACATACACCACGGTGAAGGATGAGCAAAGTGTCCTGTTGCATCCTAGCACCGTGCTTGCACAGGATAGCGAATGGGTTGTCTATAACGAATTCGTCCTGACAACCAAGAACTACATCCGAACTGTGACAGGTGTCAAGGCCGAATGGTTGCTGGTAAGTTAATCACAATTTCCATCTATCTTGCTGCATACATATTGACCCTGTTTAGGACATTGCGCCAGTATACTATGATCTTGACGAGTTCAAAAAGGGTGACGTCAAGACCGCCTTGCAGCGAACAGCCATGAAAATCAAGCGGACAAACGAGATGAAGGCGGGCAGAAGGTGATGTGGAAACATGGTACCTCTCACAGCTTTTCTGTAATATGAACAATCGTTCAACTCATGCATCAAATAACCCGCAACACATTGGCGAGTAATAGGCGTTAGCTACTTCGCAGGAGGAGTTATGAGTTCCAAAAGGAACCGGGGTTTGGATTATTAGGAGTATGTCGGCATTCTGAGTAGATAAAAACTTGAATCTGGGGTTGCCAGAATGTGGCGGCAATGGATTCACAGCCCCGTGAAATACATTCTGATTCAGATCCTCCGCAAATATGACTATAAAACGATTTAGCAGCACTGAAGTCTACTGAGCCCTATCTAGCTATTCACCTTCTCAGTTCAATTGGCAGAAATCGAGCAAAACGGCGAGGGGTTCGGCGTCTTTGAATCGTTCCTTACAGAACAGTTCTTTGGTTTTCGCCCATGCTTGTATTTTATACTCACAACTGCACATTCGCAAGTATACTTTCGAGACCTCTAGACTGTTTACCAGTAGCAATACACCTTATAGTTAATAGTTCGAATATCGACGAAACATGAAGCGCAATGTGGTATGGGTTATAACCCAGTCTCTCAGTCAGAGGGGGAAGCCGGAAAGAGTCCTAGGAAGGCTCGTGAGGTTATTTGACTGACCACAGAGACACTACAGAGAGTAGAATATCATGAAATTAAGAATACTTCTTAAGGCTTCGCAATACTGCTATCAAATTTAAATACTAAATAATATAATATTATTTGCTGAATACAAAGGTGCTTGGGTGGTGATCGTAAATATGTACCAGTCTTTGAAAAAGCTGCACCCGATATGGCTTAGCGTGATCTAGATATGATTTGCGGACTTCCGATCGCCGACAACTTTTTTCTCGACAGCCAGAAGGTTCACCAGCCGTGGACGTCTACATCACGACCAAGACCCTCAATCCACATTACTACACATTACGCACCCGAGTTCAACCTTCGCTTGGACTCTACCAACGATGGCGCCCACACAAACTCCCCCCACGACCGACAATGATCAATCCCTCTTCCACATCCAGCGCATCACACAATACGTCGCGCTCCCACCTCTAGCCCTCAGCTCACCACTCCCGGCTCTCTGCGCCTCGATATTCTCCCCTCTCCTCCTCTCCTACTACCCGCCAGCGCGAGGCATCATCCTCTCATACTCGAACGTGCAACTCAGCGAAGAACCACCGAAGCCGCGATCCTCGAAATCCTCCTCCAAGTACGCTGCCGCCTCCACAACCACCTCGACAGCGCCACTACTGATGCGCATGGTCGACGAATACAGCAGCCCGTTCACCTGGGCGACCGCCGACCTTCTCATCTGGCGCCCGGCCAAGAATGCCTGGATCGAAGGCCGCATCACACACCAGGCGTCCACGCACATCACACTCTCGTACCTCAACGCGTTCCCGGTCTCCGTGCTGCGCGAGCACATGCCGCGCGGGTGGTCGTACCAGTCCGCGCAGACTAATTCGTATAGCATGACGGGTGGGAGCCGGAGCTTGTCAACGGGGGGGCAGGCAGCAGGAGAGGGGTACTGGGTTGATAGCGAGGGGGGCATGCCGGTGGGGGAGGGCCCGAATGGGACAGTGTTGAGGGTGAGGATTAGGGATTGGGATGGGAAGATGGATGTTGGGGGTGAGGGGAGGAAGGCTGGCGCGGGCATTGGTACGTTGAGGATTGAGGGGAGTTTGTTGACGGTGGAGCAAGAGAAGAATCCTGCTGCGGTGACGGCGACGGCAGGTACGGTGGGTAGTGTGGAGGTGGTTGAGGGCGAAGGGTCAGGCGGAGCGGTTAAGCCTGTCAAGGAGAAGAGGGAGAGGCACAGGAAGAAGAGTGCTTTGAAGAAGACGACGACGACGACGGAGACGCAGGGCGATGCGATGGAGGTGGATTGAACGATTCCGCGCACTGCATTTGGATAAACCTTCGTAGGGCGCAGAGTGAGTCGCGCCATGTCTTCTCCGCATAGTTGCCGTTCCAGCGACGGAGACACCAGATCCAGTCTCCAGCGGCTCTTCAAACCTCGCCGCAGCCTCTCAAGCCATCCCGACATCGAGAGCAAAAGTCCTTCCATTCTTCCATACGGCGCATTTGAAACAGTCAGGGTATTGCATGCATTATGTATACAACATGTTCTCTCCCAACATCTTTAGATCAAATCTGGGAAACTTCTTATACCAATTCAGATGATTGATTTTAACCAATATGGTGCCATTTGTGTGTGCAATTGTAATTTTAAAGATTTAATCTGGATTAAAGCATCAAAAAAGAAACTGCATCAGATTGTTGAACCAATAATTCGCAAGGAGTATGCATAACCTCATTCTCTATGTTTATATGCTAGTGAAATCTTAAATATGTCGTATGCTATGTCTTATCTTTCAAAAAGAGACTGATCGCATGCTTTTGTCGTGTTATCGTTAGACGGTGGGAGTGGTCTTCCATACTAGAGGGGGGGGGGTATCCTTCATAATGAAAACAAAAAAAAAACCGACAGAGTGTATTCTTGAGCTCTCAAAGGCAAGATGCTAACATTTACATAGCCTGAGAAACTGCCGTTAAAAAAAAATGCTGCAAAGGCTACCTCCCGATATGCAAGATGTGATGGGAATTGACATAAGGAAAGAGATGTTATTTGGGGGAAAGGAAAGAAGGGCGGACATTGTGCGGAAGGAGGCGGATTTAGTAGGGTTTGGGGTCCGGCAGAGCGTCAAAAAGAGAACTTCAAAAAAGAGAAGTTGGCCGAGGTGGAAGGGAAAGATTTGTCGGTGGTTGTTCAGCGAGTCGACATGTGAAGGGTAATTGAATAGTTCATCGATCCGTCTTATTGCACCCAATCGGCCGTAAGCTCATATACCCATGGAACATTATCTTCGGGACGATAGTTGTAAGCATCGCTGTAGTACTGCAAGTATTTGACCCAGCGCGTTTTCTTCCCTCGTCTGCTACCTCTGTGTTGGTCGTAGTCGTCTCTTAAGATCCAGGAATCAAAAGCGTCGACGTCGTCCTGCTCATAGTCATCCTCGCTGTCGTTTCCATTCCGCATTCTCATGATCCGTTGCAGAGTGCCGGCCTTCGTGCATATAGAGCATACTTCGTTCATCGACCCGCTGGTGTTGTGGAATGCGCGGGTACCGTAAAGACGTAATGCAAGTGCTTCAACGTCGCAGCGAAGCAGCCAGGTGAAGAAGCGTGGGGTGGCACGAACGCCTGCTTTCATGAGATCCATCCATGACAAGTGGAACTGAGCTTCGACTTCGCCGAGTGTCTATAGACGACCACATGTGAGCTTGGGATCGGAAAATGGGAGAGCATAAGCGAAAAGGGTCCTTACGTATACTTGGTCGTAGAAGCAATCCAGACATGCGATCATTAGACCAAAAAGTGGATCATGGGGATAGAGGGAGAGAAGTCTATTACAGTATATGCAGCGGCGAGGGGCATATTGGAGCCATAGTCTTCTGTATACAATGTTGCTCAGGTCAGGGTACGACTTCTTCTGCGGGTGTGCATCCATAAGGTCAAAGGGAAGATTGAAGCGGTTATTAGCCCGAACCAGATGCACGCAGAAGTTCTCCACCAGTTGATGAAAGCGGCGGGAGGCCAGTGCCAAATCATTGAATGGATGATGAACCGAACCCCACGAGAACAAGTCGACAGCCCAGCGGTCAACATCGGGAGCGCGGGCTCGATCGGAATTGTACGCCTCTCTTGCAGCCCGCTTAAGATCAGTTGGGGAGTCATAGGCGCTGAGTGCCTCGGTGCGACCAGCGAGGCGGGAGCGGGGATGTACGAGGTAAGAAAGGATATTGTTGATGATTTCGACGGGAAGCTGGTCGAGTGTCCGCTTCAACGGGAATGTCGTCGCAATGATTGGTATCGAAACGCTTGTGGCTTGCGGCAAGATGCATCTCCCATCGTGACGGCTCCACTTTACCTTCACCGCGGAACCATTTGTTGGCAATCGAGGGTCGAAGGGTGGACTTTGCGGACGACGACCAGTTCCAGACGTTTTCGCAGAAGACGAGGGCTGGTTTGAGGACTGGGTCTCTGATGCCATCTACTTTGGTCGTTCCGAGGGGTCGCACCCAACAAATTGCGGAGTGGATTCCAGGTCACAATTGCTTCAAGTCGAAATGGTTTTTATATATCAGAAGATCCAGTCAAAGCCTGCCCGATACTTTTGGCACATTCGAGGCGAAGCCGTGGTGGTGTGGTGGTGCAACGGCAATGGTGAGGCCGGCCGCTGTCCAAAGTAGTCAAATAATGCGAGAAGTGGGATGATTGAAAATAATGCTGGAGATATCGGCTGCATCCAGGGGCGGCAGAGGACGAAAGAGATACAGTAACAAGACCGAAAAGAAAGGCAGGACCTGTCGAACAGGGAGCTGGACACGGAATGCAATAAACGCAGCGACTGCAGTACTCATAAAGAGAAAGGATGGGAGGTCAGTCTTAAAAGCCAGTATAGAATATGAGAGCGGTGAAACCAAGCAGTACAACATTAGGTCGGGATGAGGAGGAAGATATGCCCCTCTCAACATTGGTGTATCATCCCAGCAATTTCCTGCCAGTGGGAGAGAAGGCAATGCGAGAGTATGGTTGCTTATTCTTGGACAGAAAGGCTGTCGGGGCTTCCATGCTGCATGCATGCGCTCGCAATATGCGTTGGAAAGACGATCGCATCTTGCATGCGAATCGGCCAGACTCCACCCGTTACTGGTTGGTTTTCACGCCGACAGGCATACGAAGAGGACATGGAGAGAAGAAGTGACGTGTAGCCGCGTTTAAAAGGACTCACTTGGTGTGCCGAAAACGAATCGAAGCTAAATCGTTGTTCAGGACGGCAAATCGTTGGATCCGCAGTGCCACACGCTCGCTTGAATGCTTGCCCACTTGCCCGGTTATGGGGTTAAGTTGCTGGCTGCCTGCAGTTGAAACCGACAAAAGAAGGTCCAGGGTCTGCCTGAGATTATGGGCAGACATGAATGCAACTAGGATAGAGAAATGAGCTGTCACCTTTGTCCCAACTCTTTTTCCTTGTCCGATCGGCTTTGCATTGTTTTCATTTGATCGAATGAGTGTTGTAGTAGGTAGTACTATATGTACATACATGTACTGCATGAACAAGGAAGGGCTTGGAGTGAACGGTCATCCGGGTGATTCTGAGGTTGAATGGGCCCAGGGTTGGATTGGACGGTATGTGATTAGGCATAAGACCACATTGGAATAGATGAGGATGATGGGATGGAGGGACGTCGGGCTGGTCCCTTGCTAGTATTTCATGCCGACAACGGTGCATTATTGGCGAGATTTGATCGCGAGGAGTTAAGAATGTTTACTGGCTACAGTACACTCTTGATCCAGGTATATAAGATATGCATGGAGATAGCAGGAGATCAGCCCAAAGCGCCAATCCTCTGTAGGGTAGATGAGGATGTACAGAGTAGAAGAAGATGATAATTTAGCTGGAGTTGTACTGTGATGTGAGTAATCAATTGGATGGGCAGACACGCGAACACGATGAACTGGAGATATGAATTAGAGTTCAGCCGCTAATTCCCCTTCCGGCCTAGCTTATCTTTTGGCACATGGGGGATCGCTACCATCATCCCTCGAACTAAACTCAACTCAACTATTACTTACACCTCAATCCTCCATTAGTTATCTCTTGTTTCTCCCCCCCCTCCCTCTTCCTTCACTCTCCTCTCTCATACACAAGGTGTCGACCCCGACAACCTTCTCCCTCTCGCCCACCTGCGCCGGCGGAAAGCCATCATCACAATGGCCGCCAACGGTCTCTCGGGCCCTGTCATGGTCCAGGAATCGGCGCAGGTAGTCGATCTCACTTCCTCTGACCCGCCCACCGAGCGAGTCTATGAACCCGCAGGCGCAACTGTCGCAACCACTGCGAAAGCGGACGATTCTTCGGACGATGGTTTGGACGATGCCTCCTTGTATGAGGAGATCCTCGAAGAGGGCCCTAACATGGAATTCTCCACAGATTGTATGTCGGCTGTACTCTCATTGTTCACGTTCCCCTTTATTGCAATTTAACCAGTCTCGTCCACTGACACGTCAATAGCCGCCGACACTTGCCCTCCGGAAGAATCGCGCAGTCTCAGGAATCGCCTCCACGAGGTGGGCGCAAACCAGTTCGTCCTGGAGAATATCACGACCGGCAAATACTCCGCGCGCAAGCTGTGCAGCGCCTTTGGGGTGAAAATCCCAAAGTTCATGACAGATTTCGTCGACGAGGCCTTCTACCAATTGCTTGGCCTAGCCATAAGTCGAGAACTGAACAAGCGACGCAGGCTAGAACAGTATAAGACCATCGACGACGCCGCGCAGTTGTTGCGGGAGCGCAAGAATATAATGGTTATCACTGGTGCAGGCATTTCGACGAGTCTTGGCATCCCCGACTTTCGGTCCAAGAACACCGGTTTCTACTCGAAGTTGCTAGAAATGGGCTTCGAGGATCCGGAGCAGGTATTCGACATACACAATTTTGACGAGGACCCCAAGGTCTTCTACACACTCGCTGGTGACATCCTGCCTGATCTGAAGAAGTGGACGCCGACACATGAATTCATCCGTCTGCTGCAAGACAAGGATAAGCTACTCACCAACTACACCCAGAACATCGACAATGTGGAGTCGCATGCTGGCATTAGAAGGGATAAATTGATTCAGTGCCATGGTTCTTGGGCAACAGCCACTTGTCGGAAGTGCAAATATCGCATCCCTGGCGAAGATATCTTTGGGGACATTAGGAACCACACGCCTGCCGAGTGCAAGAATTGCCTCAAGGAGATTGCACTACAAGGCGACCGGCCAGGTATGAAGCGTAAACGGAGCTCGAATGGAAATGGCAGCAGGAAGCGGAGAAAGTCTGACGAGTCCGATTCCGATGACGACGGACAGTACGACATCCCGCAGCCAGGCATCATGAAGCCAGACATTACCTTCTTCGGAGAAGCACTTCCCCAGGATTTCTTCGACAGGCTACGGGAGACCGATAAAGAGAAGGTCGATCTCGTCATTGTGATTGGCACCAGCATGAAGGTTGCACCCGTCTCGGAAATCCCCAACTTTGTCCCGGGCGATGTTCCACAGATTTACATCTCGCGCGACGTAAGTATATGCCACTTTTCTGCGATGATCCATGCTAACAGAAGTAGCCAATCCACCACATCAACTTCGACATCAACCTCCTCGGCGATAGCGATACCATCGTTGCAGAGCTCGCCCGCCGGGCCGGCTGGGATCTCAAACACAGCATGATACCCGAGAACCAGAAAATAGACGTTTTCCCCATCGACGAGTACGAGCATAGGTACGGCGTGAAGGTGCAGGGCCGCCTGGACCCCAAGCCAGAAGCTCCCGGCCACACTGCCTGAGTTTCCGTAATCATCCAGGCATATTCTTGTAACTTTTATTCATGGGCATTTTACGCTTTGCTCTCCGGAGTTAGTGTGTATATTGGCGGGCATACCAGCAAGAGCGGTTTCACGATCATGGCGAGTATGGTATGAACTGGTGTACTTGAATTATGGGACTGTTGATAGCGGGCTTCAAACTTTCAGGCGTCAGGGCGGATACGATTCATGAACGATATCACACTTTCCGGTTTTTCTCCTTCACGTATGGAATCCATTGTATGTTTGGGGTTTTTGGCATTTGAAACACATTCTGTAGACCTCCAATTGAATTTTGTTCAGATGGGTACCATTGATTCGATCCATCCAGAAGGCAGTCCCGCCAGACTGTCTCCCAGCCAGTGCCATTCCAACAATTGTGATACACACATCGCATTTGCAGGACCTTTGGACTGTTCATGGCTTCAATATGCCAAGGTACCCTAGAATGGCCATTCTGGGTATATGGAGATATGCGGCCATCGTACCTCCTTTCCAAAGTGGTAACCCGGATCACATGCGCACCCGTTGCAACTAAGCTTTGTATGGCTGCGCCAAAAAAGATTCGCGCCCCACCACCTCCTCACGCGTCTAGCTTTCTACCATCATCAACCACTTCCTCTCCAACCACATATCTCCAACCATTCAAGCACCGCTAGACAAACGCGATACACAATGGTTGATATACAGAAAGACACCGGCCCGCACTCGAAATGTCACTTCTCGCACTCCCTCCTCCCCACCTACATCGACCCTCACAACGTCTCGACGAAAAAGAAGCCCTTCTCCACATTCAACAGCATCCCTTTCTCGCACACTCTCGACCTCGTCCTCCCGTCTGAAATATACTCCCTCATTCAAGACAAACTCGAGAATGACATGGCGACCAAGATCCAATATGCGCGCGTGCACATGAAATTGGGCGAGATACTACAGGGCGACTTCTTCACAGAGTACATCAAGCAGGGGAACATCATGATGTTGTCTGAAGGGCGGTCACATGTAGACAACGTCATTTTCCTATACGAAGGAGTTTTACGTCTTGAGCTCGACCGGCCGACGTATGAGCGCTGCGGACTCCAGGGAGTTTCCATTGAGGATGGAGGGAGGAAACATCAGAAAGCACGATGGGTCGTCGAATACGATCTGCGACAGCCGAGTATGGTGCACGGAAAGAAGGGATTTGGGAGACTGGAGTGGGCGTGTAAGAATGTACTGGATCAGAGCTTGACGTGGCTGTTCTACAACTTCAGTCCGACGAGTAGGGAGAGCTTGAAGGCCGAGCAAGAACCGATCAAGGCATTTGCACCATTCATCAAAGAGGCGAAGATGGAGAAAGATATGTTGGAGAACTCATTGATTCCCGATTTGAGGGTCGGTGATTTGGAAGATTTGTGTGCCCGAGAACAGGACGACGCCCTCGACTTACTGGAATTGCTCGGTCTAATCGCACTTGAGTCCCCTCGAATTTTAGCAACCGACCATACTGATGCTTTCATTTCTCGTTACGAAAGTCCAACCCTTCATCGACCACTTGTCAAGAAAGATCTTGTTCATGTGAGGTTTCGAGGCTTCATACCACCTCAATTCGTGAGAGAATTGTTTCTACTGATCAGAAGTGGGGGACTTAAAGTTCCCCGACAGGACCATGATGGAGCTGGTGGAACTGCGAGCGAGGAGGAGAATCGTTGGTTCTCACTGTCCGCGAATGGATTCGGTGGCCAACGGAGCTATACCGTTATGCAGTGGGCAGGCCGAGAAACATTGTGCTGGGAAATCGAGCAATAGGCGAATGGAAGCGCGAAACCAAGGCCGCGGAGCAATCTCTCCGTCGATTCACATACACAGGCTCACTGTTCACTGCAGGCAGGCATGAAGGAGGCATCGGAAGGGCCGTGCTTCGGTCCACAACCTTCTGCTTCTCCATTGTACGGATGCATTTCTTCTGTTTGCTTGGGTCTCGTAACCCTCATGCTCAAACGTAAGAGTCGGATCCGCATTACCTCTCACCTCGAGAAATATGTCGCCTTGTTAGCCGTTGGTCTAGGATCCCCATACTCTTTTTACGCATCGATGTAACATCATCATTGCCGAGTATGAAGAGGAGACTGCTCCATGCCCCGGGCTTAGAAATGGATTTGAAATCGCACAGTAACACTTGGAACGGCATGTTTAGATCCGATGCACTGTAGAGCTACAAAGCAGTTACCAGGACACCTTTACCTGCTTTTGGGGGTTACAGAACCTTATAGAGAGGACCCCATGGGTAAATTGATATTGAAGCTTTCCTGGTCCGGATTTCATTAGCAAATGCAAGGTCCCTATCCAAGGTTTGCCCAACATCACAAATGTCTCTACCATTTACCAATCAGAGACTTGCAAACCATGTTCGCAGCGAGTCCGTCTTGCATTGAGTCGGTCACTAGTTCAATATCAACTCAACATGGGCAATCCAAAGACCTGGAAACCATTATAGGAAAGCACGGCAGTTGAAGATAGGAAATCCAGGTTTGCAGTTATGTCCCTACAACCTCACGAGGCATTCCACGTGGAGAGCGGAAACACACGGAGCGAACCGTATATGCATAGACTATTGAAATGGCATTTTCCTGGAATAACTTTGTCTTTGAAGCCACCAGGATCACCAACCAAACTTTCTCGCACCTTTCGGCTTCATCACAGCGCAGCAAAGTCAGGGAACACGAGCTCTCAACCGGGCTTTCGTTCAATACTACTACAACTAATGCATACCGGCGCCACCAACATCCGAATGTGAGGCCCCACAAGTGCCGTAGTAGATACGGAAGTGGGAGAGCCCATGCGAAAAGGGCACCGGTGACCTGGACAAGCTAAAGCATCGCATGGCATTCTCAATAAAGACCATCACCAGTCTCAGTATGTGATAAGCGTGGAGATTGCACTTTGGGGCTTAGTACTCCGTAGGGGTCAGTGATGGTGGGGTGGTTCCCAAATGCTGGAATTGGACTCTGGACATTATCCATGCCCTTCCGCATACGCAAGCTGCCGAGCCCCCAGTATTGGAGCTTGGTGGGCCTTGTGCTTCTCAACTGCATCCTTAGTCCTTTTTTTGCTGTCACGGGTTCGTCATTTTATCATCAGGCGTCTTCACTTCAGTCATGTTCCTTGATGTTTACGCGTCAATATCCAGGCCATACCAGAACCATTTTCTCACCCCATAATCGATGCTGGAAACTTAGCCAGTTGCAGAAGATAGCCTGACCGAGCGAGGAACTATCCATCTACAAGGGAGGGGCGCTTTCACCATACGATTACGCCGCATTTCTTTGCTGACATTGAATTCAACCATTGGTCTGAGTCATGTGGGGCCTGAACACTGTTGGCCTCCAGTTGCAGGCCAGGCATCAAGGGCGCAAAGTCGTGAATGCGCTCCACACTACGGAGTACTCCGTACACTACAAGCTTATCCCAACGCTAGTGAATATCACACTCTCCGTATTGTCCTTAACAATTTTAGGACGGAATTTAGCGGAAAGCTTTTTATGGAGGGCAGCCATGCCGAGCTGACCGCCGATACCTGAACTGGCTATTCAAGAGTATACTGTAGCCAGTCTCAAGGCCTTGCACTTCTACAATTGTGGGCATACAGTACTAGCAGGGGGCCAGCTCGACATACTCTGTAGCTGAAGAGATCGGGCTAGCGTTCCGAGAACATGGAGACACGAACCAGTGAGGCGATGCTATGTCACTTTTCTATCTTTGTGATCACTCAGCTATACCTGGTGGATCCAATGCAATCAAGCGACGTGCTGAAGGAACATGGAAGAAGAATGTGGGCTCTTCAGACACGAGACTAGTACGCCGGTCTCTGGAGCGAAAATAAAGATAATGATGTTGTATGAAGAGGAGTAAATACTGAGGGACTCACGGTGTCATGAGTTCGGCGGAAACGCGTTCGTCCTACCGATTAGGCGAGACGACTTGTTCTCGTCCCACCCTCGTCTCGACCTCGTGGCTCCAATTTAAAATTGCGGGTTAGGGAATAGTTACACTGTACGCCAATCCGAATAAAGCATCGATCTACATGATAGTTTACAAGGCACTGTACGCTAACTTTTGCTCCAGGACTACTGCGTACTCCCGTACCCATAGCTATCCGGTTCCGCCTGTTTGGTTCCCGTCATTTCGCATTCTTAGGGACCCGAGAAACACATGATACAGTGACTATTCGTACCTCGTAGGAAGAAGATTGTGCAGAACATGGGTGCTATTGGTCGCACACACAGTCGAACTTTGCACAACACTTTCGCGTTGAAGCTATCTTTCACGAGGTCCCCCACGTGCGAATGTGCTATTTCGAGCTATAGAAAGCCTATTATATATGCAAAACACGCTTCGCACGCAACCGCTCGTATTCTTCTCTTCGGTCGTCGTCAAAACTACGTTTCAAATCTCAATAGCCAGAAGGCGTAAAAGCAAGCGAGAAAGAAAATGCCACGGGACCTTTCCAGCGCCTCCCAAGCGAGCGAGTCCGATGCTGCATCCCCCTCGTTCCCGCATCCAACTTGCACGTACATACAGTATCTAATTACACTCGATCCACCCTTTGAACCGCGAGAGGCTGCGAACCCAAGCATTTTCCTTCTCTAGATACGGGTGGCCCTCCTTAGTTCCCGCTTCCAACCCAAATCCTTCCCTTCCGCTCGATGCGCGGCACAGCGCCGCAGTGGCATGTTCAGTAGCTACTGCCTGGGCTATGTCCACTCCTCCAGGAACGCATCACTCGCTCGCTTCACCCGTACTATCGAGCAGTACACCACTAGTTATCTTGAAGCGATGGGGGTGCGGAAACAAAGACTACGCGAGGCGAGAAACATTCCTAGTGTTGTCTGCGATCCGTACCGCTCGCATCGTCACGCTGTTTAGTTTCCGCATCCAAACTTGTACCTATCGGGATAGACCATCTCAATGTTCGACTGAATGTGCTGTAACCTGAACTACTGTCGTGCGCGTGTAGGTATGCACACAGTACGCATTTGCGTACCAAAAGTATCGCATTTTCTCAACCCCTTTCGCCGGTTCACGGGCATCCAGATCCGAAGGATTCGCACATACGTCCTCATCCCACGACAAAAGCTATATCATCCTTAATTATTGAACCCGTTTTCCCCCATCCCACCTCGGTCGTGTGTTTTCCTTTTTCCTTCGCTACATCTTCTCGAAGCACGAAGATGACCGTGCAAAAAAGACCACCCGACCAACCAGCTCGCTCAGCCCCAGTTCAAATCTTACATGCATTCCACTCCTCTCTTCCACACTCGAATACGCCCCGCCTAGCCCTCCCCTTTCCTGCAAGCCCTATAAGCCACTGTGGGATCCAGCGGGAAAATCCTACATCATCTGAGAATCCTGAACGTTCTTCTCCCATTAGTTTCCTTGAGCCGGCCAAACTCACAGACCGTGACTGGATTGTGCGGACCATCAAATGAGCCGCTATCAAGCCCATCGGACGCCACTACAATCCACATTCACAATCCGCACAGGGTTATCGCACTAGCGGAAGAACGTGGTGGTTATAGATGGAGAACGAGGACATGGACGTTCCAGCCAACGCATGATACTCGTACCTACAGCATCTACCGCGCATACAACTGAAGGCCAGACTGCAAGCTGACTGGCCAGACGCACTCTCCGTACATCGGCCGGAGCAGCCGGGCAGGAGAACCGTCGATCTGTCTGTATGCGATCTTTGCATGTACGGGACATGCTGTTTCTGTGCTTTGCTGTGCTCTGTTGTATGACTCTTGCATTATCAGGACCAATCTGCCAGGTACACGCACGAACGCATGTATGTACGCACGAACGCATGTATGTACGCACGTACGCGCGCGCGAGAGGGAGGAGTAGTAAGAGGATTCAAGGTCCTGCGTACAGGGCGCGAAGTGAGCAAACAACAACAATATTTGCAAAAGCCTGGAGCAGTCGATATGGTCGAAGTGGGTGTCAATATACCGGTAAGGCGGTGGACTAGATTATGCGGAAGGAAAAGAAACATAGCGGCATGCAGTCAGGGGGCATGCGTGGTGTTTGCAGGATCGTGATAGTAAGTGTGCAGGTATGTTGGCACCAAAGCAGAGTCAGGACAGGACTAGCTTTGCCTCACTTCATTCGTACTCGTTACCAGTCGGTGTGGTTCGGTGTGATAAGGATTGTGCTAGTCTTGTTGTTCGTTGTCAAGGTATTGAACATACACACCTGGTCCTTGGGAACTGATGCGGGCATTGCTGCGAGGGTAGTGATTCAATACTATGCACTGCACTTGTGAGGGGATTTGGACAGCGTGAGGCCTGTTCTAAATCTCTCATCAATCACTCAAATAGGAAACTCAACACTGTCCAAACCCTGACATCAATAGCTTTCTAGTTTCAACATTGAGTATTGCAAGACAAACATAGGAAGGATGTTTGCAGATGGGATTGAGCCAGCGGGAACACCTCATCCGTGAAACAAGTTCCCTATTCGATCACTCTCCCCTTGGAGCAACAAAGCGGATGGTTTACTGGATTCGTAGTCAGTGTAAGTTGTCAGCGTGATCGTGAGAAAGGGCGGTGATTGCGGATGAGCGCGGAATGTATGCGCACAATGCACCAAGTCAGGCCAGGCAGACATCATCTTCTGAAGTGCTTGCCACTTGTCTTTGCCCGCCTAGCTATAAATGTACAGAGATACAGAAGGTAGGTACCTCGAGCGGGTCCATGCTGGTATTGTATGCCTACCACTGCACATATATCGCGAGGTCTGTGTATTGTTCGCTCGTGACAATATACTCCATAGAATATAGTTTGCACGGTCTTTAGACTACTATCAAGTGGATACAATAGCGTTTGCAATAGCCAATTCAGGTAACTATAGGAAAACACTTCAAGCTAGTAGGTAGGCAGCCAGCCAGCCTAACGTGCCTACCCATCGTGCAAATCCTCCAGGCACCATGTCATCAGTAAGAGAAACCCTCGATATGGCAAAGTCGATTACTAGGGTTCTCACCACCCGACAAGGATTCTGGAGGGTCATCTTCCGTCCACCGATCGCGCCAGACTAGGGAAATGGAGGAGGGATTGTGTAGACGCTCCCCTCTTTTGGTCGTAGTCCGGATTTCACATTTACCATCACAGTTCAGGGTTAGGACGGCACTGGGTAGACACGGCCAGTACAAGACAAGGTAAAGTAAGACATGGGGGGTGGCGGGCGCCCGTCGCCTCACGGACCTTCGCATGCAGGTCAGTCAAGCCAAGCGAGAGGGCGCGCTTGATCCTGGTTCCCTGTTTTACGTCCCTATGTTGCGGTACCTACGTCTGTACAGGAATTGTGAGGGAGGGTTCATGGTTGTTGGACTCTAGGATCAAGTACGTGAATAGCTAGGTAGCTTATGGTGGTTGCCTATTGCGGTCGACGGAAGGGGTCTGTGTATAGGTAAGTGGTCAGGGTTCGCCGATGATGGACAGGTACAGTAAGATGCGGCGGTGCAGTCATTGCCGTTGCGTCTTTGTGTTCGGGTTTTGATGAACAAGGACTGGGTTTCGGTTTGCCCTGCTGCAATCATGTATACACAACGCAGAGACTAGATGGGGGTTAACGGTATGCACCACCCTGTCATGTATGGACAAACAGAGTAGCATTCTGGAGATGCGGGGCAATTGTGACGTGAATGTCTGCTTAGACACTGCAGTACGACTGCGCTCGGATGAATTCCAGCTTGCAGAGAGAGTGTTGCAGGATACGATGCCGGAACAGGGTTCACCTTGAATCAAAAGCGGTCACAAGTAAATAGAGTCATGTCGCTATGAAGGATTCAGGGAGATGTGATCAAAGTAGCAACGTTATGTATTGAGATAAAATATCGAAAAAGTATCTGACTAGAAATAAAGAACATAGAAAGAAAGGCTTCCAAGATGAGAGCCAAAAGGTGCTCAGTGTGTATGTACATGGTCGTAAGATTCTTAGATCCTTCTGGCGGGTCCAATGCTTCCACCAACCTTCTTGCATGCCGTAACGGAAGCAGTCGGTGTGATAGTGGTGGTCCAAGTGATGGAAGCGGTGATAGTACGGGTGACCTTGGTGGTAGTTGTCGTAGAGATTAATTTGGTCTTAGTCTGGGTGGGGAGTGTGATGGTGGAGGTGAAGATGCCAGTGTAGAAAGTAGCCGCAGGAAGGGTGGAAGTAGTGATGACAGTGGAGAGAACAGTTTCCGTGGTCGTGACGGGAGCACCAGTGTAGGTGATGGTCGTGCTGGCTGGAGTAGCAGCAGTGACAGTGACAGTTGGGGCATCTGGTGCACGCTTCTCCACACGAGCAACGTCTGCGTTCGCTTTGGCATCACGTCGAGCTTTTGCAGCCTCAACGCGGCTCTTAGCATAGGCGTAGTCAACAGCACGGTCTGTCTTGCGAACGTAGCGGTTATACTTGGCTGCTGGTGGGCTGGTCGGCCGAAGAGCCTCTGCGGTAATGAGAGTCGGTGTGTAGGTGGCTGACTTGTCTTGCCTGCCAGGCTTGGGCACGGTGCAGGTTGCGGTAACCGTCTTAGTAGTGGCAATGACTGTGGCTGTGACAGAGGTAGACGTGCGAGTAAAGGTTGTGGTCGAGGTCTTAGTGACCGGGACCGGAGTAATGGTCTTGGTCTGCGAGGCTGTCGCCGAGGGCCTCGTAACAGTGGAGAACGGTCCCACAGTAGACGTGCTAACAGACGTAGTTGCAGTCTTTGTAGTAACTACGGGAGTAGTAGTGACATTGAATGTCACGGTAGGTGTGACAGTTGATGTAGCTTGTGGGCCAACATCGAGATGGATATCTATCTTTGTCAGTGCATGCTAGTACATTGCTCGAAGGTGGACTTACCCCTCTCCCAAGCAAAAGGGTTTCCATCGTCGTTGTTACCGAGCACAAGGATAATCCAGTCTCCAGTACTCATTTGATTCTTGAGAATAGGGCATGTTGACAGTTTGGGATCATCCTCGGGCGTAGTCTGAACCTGTGAGCAGAGGTATTCCTCATTCTGGGGATCGACGAGAAGAATCTCTGCAATATCTGCGTTGCAGCCTTTGAAGGTGCTCACGCAAGTAAATGGGTCTTGAGACAAGGAATTGATGAAGTAAGAGCCCTCATCGACGAAGTCAACACCGAATGATTTGCAAACAGAGTTGACATCACCGGCAGTGACGGATAACACTGCTGCAAGTGCTGCAAGAGAGCTCAAGCGTGATGTAAACATTTTGATATGTCAAATTGATCAATTAAAACAGAGCAGAAAATTCAATGAGACTTTGACGGCAAAATTAACTTCAATTATGGAAGGCTGCAAGGTCTTTTGTATCTGTCTCGTTGCAGCCGAGCAATATTGCTTCGCTTCATGGCGTCTTCAACACTGCGCCCACCCAAACTCGAACTGGCCAAAATCTTACTTGGACAAGGTGACGAGTCTGTCGAGAGGTCCATAGTTCCTGATCCATACATCATTCCAAGGAAGCAAGCGATGTTGGAAGGATGGGATAGAACAGAAGACCAGCTGGGGGTGGTAAGCTCGCTCGCTCCCTGCGGCAACCCTCAATTTCCAATATGCGCCACGTACAAGAGGCATGATCCGTGTGCCATTTTCATTTTGTGTATCTTAGCTTAGCAGCATCATACATGAGGCGTTTGGCATAGAGAAGGCAGAAGAGATGCATGGGTGCTGGTGAGTACTGGACGACTAGTGCGCGTGTGGTGGACCAATCACACGTGTGAATGGACTGTACCACGAACCATGCACGTGCATTGCATTCATCCCATTTTTAGATGCTGAACACAGCATACGGAATACCTCGCCAACACTTGTTTGTCGTCCACTCGAACAGAACCTTCTCCCTTACGCATCCCATTCCCCACCTCGATCACTCCGCTACCCGCCAAATATCACGCACCTTGTCTCACTTGGCGAGTACATGATCGTGCAGCGTCTGCTGCGGACTCGTCTATAGGCTAATATGCCAGCCGCATCAGTCCAAGGTAACCTTTCATCCTGCGCTCCGGCCATGTCCCGATGACGCTGACCCGATGATTCCAGCTCGCCGTCCTTGGCCAACCTTCTGATGCTTCAGCATTCTCGTGATCGCTCGAACCATGCTACAGTCCCGGTAACCTGTCCTGCTGCCGCCTATCTCCACTCACCCGGTACCACGCTCCAAAGAGACCATAGTTGGTCTGCACGGTGACTGGCCCGATGGAATGGATTGGTCAATTGTACCGTGTGAAGTGGAAGCCTCTTAGCTGAGGTTTCAATCCCATGCATGATGCGAAGTTCAGTGGAGCACATGTATTTGGCCATTTGTACATGATTCCAAGCCTGGAAACATCGTTCCGTTGATCGCCACAATCAATTTCCGTGAGTATTTCCCATACAGTGAAACATTCATGGACAGTAAATAAGTACAGTGGCAAAGATAGTAAGCAAGAAATGCACATGAAAACGACAGTAATGGGGTCTGATTGTACGGTCAGCCCTATCTACTTGGGTGTAGATGTCTTAGCTCACCGTCAAGTATACAATGGAATAAGGCACCCATTGCTCGCAAGAACCCTGTTCAGGTCTGTGTGCTCCATGTTTGCACGTTTCTGATACCCATTTGACCCTTGTACTAGAGTCCCTCGCTTTCTATTTTCATCTAGACTAGTCGTCTTCTCGATCTCTCAAGTTGCATTCCTATTCACCACGCAATTGCCGAGAACAAACCCTCCTTCTACAGAACTTGTCTACCCACTTGCATCGCATGTCATTACATTGCGCCACTCCACGGACCATCTGGCTCAAGTCTTGGTCCACGAAGCTGAAGCGATGGACAGCAAGACCAATAGATCTTTAGGATTTGTGAATCGTCCGGAATTGTACCCACTTACTCCTCCACTCGTGGAGACTATTCTATTTCCATCAAGCGGGTTTCGTGCTTGACTTAGAGTTTTGGTCCGTATGCCAATGAATACTGCATGCCGCAGAATGGCTATCTGACTCGACCTGCATAAGACCCATACTAGATCGTCCCTGTTCCTGAACCACTGCATGGGCTATCCCCTGTCCCAAGTCCGCAGCGTAGTCCAAGATTCGGCATGTCAATCATCCTGGATATCTCTCACATCCTTCACCCTTCAAATTTTGAGGAACACCACACAGCTGCATATGAGGGTTCTTCGCCCTACTACCCCTGCATCTGATTACTACCCAGGGTCATGCAACCTTGAGCTGCTGTGACTGCTACACGCAGAATCTCCGCCACGATTCTGGGCATTATTCCTTAACCGGGTCTAATTTCGACAGCAGCAGCATTCCCAGCATCATGATGAATGGAAGTGTGCCTGCTCTGACCGGAATCTCCCTAGCCGCCTACCAGGTAAGAAGCACGTTGATGAAGTCGCAGGCATGGTGGCTTTTCTCTCGTCGCCAACACGAGGTGAGAAGCCACCAAACATACCTCTCAAGCTTATGCATCACGATTCCTTAATGATCAACATGCGAATGCGGCACGGCCGGGTACAGCAGTCCTTTGATGAAACCTAAGCATCAGCTTTGCACTATCAAAGTAATATATAATTGATAGCCTCCCGGCGCACTTTTATTGAATCAAACAACTTGGCTTTTTCCGAGCCAGAGGAGTTGGGTTCTTTATTCGGTACCCTATTCTTGTTTGACGTTGCTCTATTCGTCGGTCTTTTTAAACAACCGTCCTTACACTATGTTGCTCAATCGCGTAGCATATCTTTTATCCTTCGGGTCACTTGCTATTGCGGGTGCCCTTCCTCCTTCTCGCGTGATTGCAGAGAGGCAGGCTTCCACTTCTTCTCCAGTCCCCGACGGTCAATGTACAAATGGCCCTCGTACTAGGAATTGCTGGAGCGAAGGTTTCAGCATTGCCACCGACTTCGACGCAAAGGCTCCGCCGGCTGGAAAGACTGTCACTGTATGACCGTCACTGCATGTCCCTTGCCTTGACCAAACACTGAGAACATTTGTAGTACAATCTCGAAGTGACCAATACCACCATCAACGCTGATGGAAATGGAACAAAACCAGCTATGGTCAGTGCTGAGCGCGGTGTAACCGATCTGGCGATCGACTAATGCATGATAGCTTATCAACAATCAATATCCTGGGCCTACCATTCGAGGTGAGTATTGTTGTCAGAAGGCGATAGTGTTTAAAGCTGACTCTCGCCAGCTGCTTGGGGAGACACTGTGATTGTTAATGTCAAGAACTCACTACAACATAACGGCACTGGTATCCACTGGCACGGTCTTCGGTATGTTTCCACTATCTCTGAGCTTGCTATGGTAGACGTAATTGCGGCTCCCCACGTGGACGGTTGCAATTACTTCACATGGTTCTCAGCTCTGCACCACACCGCTCCAGCGTCAACTTGATCGTGGAACCGTATGAACCATTGCGGACTAACCATGTACCAGTCAGCTTAACACCTGTCAGCACGATGGTGTCCCTGGAATTACTGGTAAATAAATGAGAACCCAATGATTCGAATGATGCCTGACATACTAGTAGAATGCCCCATTGCTCCCGGCAAAACTCGACAGTATATCTTCAGAGCAACCCAGTTCGGTACTTCCTGGTACCACTCGCATTGGAGTGCTCAATATGGTGAAGGTGTCCTGGGCACGATCATCATCGTAAGCGACTTCTTCACCTGCACTGAACAGATCATCAATTGCTAAACAACCATCAGGATGGCCCGGCTACCGCCAACTATGATGAAGATCTAGGTGTTTTGCCACTTACAGATTACTACTACAAGCCAGCATTCGAGATCAACGAGCAAGCCCAATTGTCTCGCACTGGTCCCCCTGCACCCGATAATATTCTCGTCAACGGCACCCACAAGAACGGAAGGGGCGGTGGAAGCTATTCAAAGATTGTCGTCAAGCCGGTACAGTCCACTCCCATAACTTACATCGTTTTGTATGTCATTGCTGACATTTATTCAGAACAAGAAGTATCGCGTGAGGCTGATCAACACTTCCGTGGACACGACTTTCCACGTCTCTTTTGACAACCACCCATTTACGGTCATGACCTCTGATTTTGTAAGTACTCTCGCGGCGCGTGAAGCCTTCGCAATAGCCAGCGCTAATTCAGAACCCCAGGTTCCAGTCAAATCATTTGTCGCAAGCCAGCTCACGCTCAACATTGGTATGATCCACCCCTCGTACTACCCTTTGCGCGTTTCGTGTGCAACGGCGCCACCATCATTTGCCCGAATCATTCAAGCAAGCTAACAACTCATTCTCAGGTCAACGATACGACGTTGTGATCACGACAAACCAAACAGCAGGCAACTACTGGTTCCGTGTTGGGCTTGGAACCGACTGTGGCGACAACAACATTCTCGACTCGGGAATCCCTCTCGGCGCTATTCTGCGGTACGAAGGCCAGCCCGACGTCGATCCGAGTTCGACCGGTGTCACATTGGCGACGCACTGCAACGATGAAGAGGGCCTGGTTCCGTTCGTGCCCAATTCCGTACCCGCTTCCATTATTCCCGGAGAGGCGGCACTCGCACTCGCCAGCAAGCAAGATAATAGCACGGAGAACTTGTTCCGATGGACGATCGATGGGTCCTCTTTGGTCGTACCTTGGACGCAGCCAAGTTTGAAGACAACACTCGAGGGATCGGACAACTTCCACAGGGAGGAGAACATCTACCGCATGCCGACGAAAGATAAGGTACGCTCAAATCTTCTCCACTCATCCGAAACTTTCGAGGTCCATTTTGCTAATGAAAACTCTGCAGTGGTACCTCTGGCACATCCAACAGCGCACTCCCATCCCACTGCCCCATCCTATCCATCTCCACGGCCACGACTTCTACATTCTAGGCAGGGGCACGGGCGAGTGGGACGGTACGACCACGGGCCTCAACTTCCAGAATCCGACGCGCCGCGACACGGCGATGCTTCCCTCCCGCGGGTATCTGCTCATGGCGTTCCCCGCAGACAACCCTGGCCTCTGGGTCATGCATTGCCACATCGCGTGGCACGCTTCTCAGGGTCTCAGCGTGCAATTCTTGGAGCGAAAAGATGAGATCAAGGGGGCCATCGGAAGCACAGCAGAGTTCGACAAGGGCTGCAGGGAATGGAACGAGTATTGGCCTACCCGGGTGTACAACCAGACCGACTCTGGTATCTGAGTAGGGAGAAATGCCGGTCCGCCACACTTGTAGGTAGGGAGGAGAGGAACAAGGGTATTGGTGTTGTCGTTTCTCTACCTATCCCCATCTACCTTTCTTGTCAATACTTATTTTCGAAGACTTCTTCACTTGGTTTCATTCCTATTATTGTTGCTGTGGGACTTTCCTGGAATCCATCCATACACACCTATCAGGCCTTTCCTACCATCAATTGTTTTCGGTGTCTAATTTATGAATATACATATCTATCGGATTGTCATTTCTACGGAGACAGACTCTATCCTTGTGACCATTTGTGAAATTGCTATTCACAATCTGAAAGAAGAGGCAGCTTAAAGAAACTTAAAGGTCTTTTGTATGATGGTAGTGGCATTGATGCCAAGCACTGAAACACGGTCCAAATCCGACGCCTTTTGTCCATCCTAGATCCCTGATCCCGCACTCCTGTACCTGATCTGAGACTAGGGTTCGACCAATAGCGCCGCGATTGGTTCAATCTCAGCGCGGCTCATTCATTTCTCTGTGAGGTTTCAGCCTCCATTATCCTTTTTCTTCTTGGGAGTGTAGACAAATAGATCATATCCATAAAAGTGCCGAAAGAAGGTTTTTTGGGGGAACGAGTTCTCGAGCTTAGAGCCTTACTACAAGAAGACTGCGTGCAATATTTCGGGGATTTCTAGCTGTCGAAGTTGTCGAGGACCATCCTTCCATGGGGAGAATTCATCTGCAGTACAAAGACAGCCAATGATCTGGAAAACATGTGCACGAGTAGCCAATGCACTCTAGCTAGCTCATTTAGCCCCACGTCTCTTCTGTATTTGAATCACTTATTCCAAAGTATCTTGTAGCCAGTTGAATAGTGTAAGGATCTTGCGCAAGTACTACTCTGCAGTTCGTTGTAGCCCTGACAGCCGCTTTATAAATGTATTCGCGAATGCATGTAAAATACTGCAAGGTATTCTGGCCTAGCAAGCCTATGATCTGTAAGATAGGGAGGTACACTTTGGATGAATGCAGCCAGCATTAAGCAAGAATTCATGACCAGGCATCTAGTACATATTACCTCTAGCATTCAGAAAGCGATCGAAGATATCCCAGACGAAGAAGAAAAGGAAGAAGATAGAACTAGCTCGCGAGTTAGAGAACTGAGAAGCACGATGACGCTTGAATCGAGCTGCATACAATTTACGCTTAGTGGAGTAAAAGAATGACGATAGCATCTGCGCACGGCGTTGTTGGTTAAACCTCACGAACTATATGCACATCTCTAGCTGCATGAAGTATCCGATATCTCGAATGGTGGTGTAGAGAAGGCCGGCTAGGTATTCAGTGGCTCCCGCAGAGCTTCATCCTGCTTCTATCCAATTTGACAGAGGCAACCTTGGACGATTCAGAGATCCCAAAGCAGAGAATTCATGATACCTTGCCATATGTTAGTATGAGCACAGACACTATTTGGCCCTTTTACATACAAAAGCTCACTATGTAAAGATGTAGATGATCACCAAGATAACACTCGTCGCCTCGGCTCCGCCCTATACAGAGCTAACGCCAACAAGGCTGCTTTGGGCTATAACAAGGTAGATTTCAACTCGACAGTTGCAAAACGAAGCAAACTGTCTGCTGAGCGGCTAGCTTTTCCAGTGCGTTAACGCTATTTAGATTAACTTATATTGCCTTGCAACACCAAGACCAAGAAAGAACAGAAAAACGATCAGACCCAGAATACCAAACCACCAGTCCAATCCATCAGTATGTTCGCCTGGAACTTCAAAATTCGTCCCAAACAAGCTACATATAGCATGTAGTAGCACAGCTATAGCCGCGATGACTGTAATCCTAATAATAATTCGTAAGGTTTGATTCCTCAAATAAACCTTGTCCACCGAGAGTTGCGAAATAAGGTCCGAGTGAGAACGAGATAGTATCTCTTCGCAGTGCTTAAGCTTTGATATCATTGAGTTGATGTGGTCCTGAACGGCGCTTAAAGATAGGCTAATATCGTAGAGGGGAGCGCCTTGATGCGCTTTCGCACAGTGCCTCACTAAACTCCTTACAACAGACACTTTGTCTTGTACAAGATGGGCCATATTTGAGGCGTGCTTGCGATAATTATGGATCTTTGACACTGTGGCACCAACCTCATCGAGGCGGCTAATGAAAGCACTCTCCTCTATGACGCATGTTTCTTGTTCAAGCTTGTGTACTGCGGAGTCGAAACTACTGACGATGTCGTTTCTAGAGCCTATCAGAGCGGTTCAGAGCAAGGGAACAGGGGACAAGAAACATACATCAACGCGTAGCAGATCCAATAACTGCTTAGGACGGTATCGTTTCTTATAGCCCAGATTCGGTTTCGAACATTTGCTGAATGCGAATTATGCTGGAAAGAGAAGCTGATGATCCCTTGCGGGAACACAACAATGTGAAAGTTGACTTTTTGGAATTTGGACTTGAGCGTCCCGTTTTCGTTCTCGGTTAGAATGGGAAAGCAGATAAAGTAGTAATTCTCGAAGAACTCTACTCTTTCATGCGCATCTTCAGCGTTGATGAAGGCGCAAGTTCGTGGGTGGAGCGAGAACGCTTTTGCGAGCGTTTTGATGTCTTCTTTGGTCGAGTTGAGAACATCTAGCCACCAGATTTCTCCTGCCATTCCTGCACCAAAGGAACCATCACTTGACGGTGCTAGCAACGTGAGATCTGCAAGTCTAGATGTATATATAGTCGTGCCACTGAGAGAGATAAACATGCTGAAGCGATTGATGCCTGGCTGATTTGACGAGCTGTTGTTCGTAGGGAAGACATGATTGCTTCGTATTTGTTTCCGTCCGTCTCGCAAAGCATCGAGCTTTGGCGTGCATGAGCCCTCTTGGTCGGGGTCCTGGAGGCTAGATAGTCCATTATCGGGGCGCATACTGATATCTTATGATTGTTGCGTCCCAGTATAGCTTTTGATATTCTTTGACGTCCAAAAGGTTGTAATGGGTAAATATCGGTGCGCCCTTGCTACCACCCTTTCATTCGTACGATTGTCTTGAGTATCGAGATCTGACTCTTCGGCTTCCAAGACCCGCTTGGCGCTGCCACGCATAGCCTTCATTCGAGGGCTCAAGAGAACGGTAGACTCTGCGTAACAAGTAGCTGTAGTTACAGTCCGGCCTTGGATCGAGTTCTTTCCGTGGTTTAATGACGAGTAGATCCTCTGTGCACCTAGTAAGTGGGACCAATCGGTAAATTCTCTCGAGGGGCATTCGCTCAAAAGCGTAGGGAGTGGTGGATGTTGTAGAGGTCACTGACCAACAGTTTCGTTGGGTCACTTGCTCAGTATGTGCAGTGAGCTATGGCGAACGCAGCACAGAAGGGTGTTAGGGAACAAGCAATAAGATCGCCGTGGATGCCTGAGGCGGGTACACAGACGACCTAAATAAGGGAAATGCGTCTGTGCCGATACATCACTGCCATATGTCCGGAATGCTGTTACAGGCTTTTCACTTGTTGAATTCCAGGTAGCCATCGCGCACCAAGGTTCGCCAAAGATGCTGCTCAACTCGGGTAGCCTTTGCAGGTCAACATTGTTCGTAACAGCCTCCGCGCACTGGGATGACTGACTTGTAGTAGGCCCTTGAGGCTAGCACTAGTCGTCCGACAGTCCATACTCAAGCATTTCCAAAGGGGTACCGGTATAATTCTATGTTGCAGGTCGAAGAGCTAGGTAGTGGCGGAGTCCGCGGACAATTGTGGGCCTTGACGATATGAACAGCGAAAGAGCACAGTTGGAAATGGGACCAATGGGCTATGTACTCTGCCCATGTATTCAAGCCCTAGGTTGCTGAGCTTGCAAGGGTCCTGGAAGTTGTACGAACATCATCATGCAGTTTCGAGGATACGCTCTTTACGAGGGTTCCGCCCGAGGGCGCCGTGCCGATTGTGAATTGTCGTTGCCACAGTTGTAGACTATACTATAATAGGGAAGAAAATCGGCAAAGTGGTGCTGTCCAATCACAATGGTTGATTAATCAGCCCCACTCAAACGCAATGGATATCCTTCAACAAAGTCGTTCATCTTCGTTGCACCGCACTTGCTACTACCATCCCACAGTCTCCAACAAGCATATGTGCAAGCATATGTGCCAGCATGATGGATGGTGCCGCAAACTTCAATGATAAGCAAGCGGGACAACGTGCAGTAGGTGACTAGATATTTGTAGTGCACGTTTGATGTCAGACAGTTGGCTAACCACTTCACAGTGCGACCAATGCCGCACGCGTAAAGTACAACGCACCTTTAACGTATTGGCCGATACGATACCCTGGCGCTAACCTTTTGTCTGTGACAGACTCGTTGTGATAAAGGCAGACCTTGTTCGAGTTGTCGAGCTTCCGATCTTGTCTGTCAAGCATCCAGTATCAGGCCAAAGGAGCAGAAGCAGCGAGTTCTCATATCGAGTAAATAGTAAGTCATGCTTCAGTACCGCATGTTTCCCGTCTATTATCTCTTTTCCAGAAGTTATATAGGCCTATGTGACTCGTTTGCTATTCATGCTGAACTGTGCTTTCGGACCATCCCTCTGACGCTGGACTCCAAACTTGACGAAGACAATCTAACTGCATTGTCAAGTGAATCCAAAATCGATGGCATTGGAGATCAACTTGCCAGAATCGAGCAAGCCTTGCAACAGGTGCAGATGGCTTCACCACATCTTTCTGGATTGAACCATCGCATGCGGACGCCATACTCGGTCAGTGCCAGTCTTATGCCGTCACCGGAGTCACAAACAGCAAATTTTGAGGGAGAAACGTCTCTCAATACCTGCTCAACCCAAGCCGCCGATCAAGTCCAGGCCGCTCTGGGCAATACTCAGATATTACAAGAAGATCCGGACTTGGCAACTGCTTTGAAATCTCTCAGTCAAGTAATTCTGGCTCAAAATGAACATCCTGACACTCACCCACCGGCTAGTGCGGAGAGAGCCGTGACGGACAGGCCAAAGTACAGTTTGCCTCCTGCAGAGGTCGTTTCAAGAGTACTACGAGCCTGCGAAGGCTTTTATGATACGACCATTGCTATGGACTACCCTGTCAGGCCATATCAAGAGATCGTTTCTCTCTGTAAAGAGCTCTACTTCAACATGAACGATGTCCCCGTAGCGAGCTTGACAGTAGCATTCGGCAGCCTCTACTTCATCTTTGGGTACTATGAATTTGTTTCGGATGACGATGGAGATGAGCTCGACTCATACACTGATATGTTCTTGCGGAACATGCTGGACTTATTAAACATACTGCCGATACTACTATCGCCTTCTATAGATAGTTTGGAAGCTTTATTACTTGGTGTAAGTTTGCGAGTACATACACCCACTCGCTATGCTTATATTATGACAGGCTTGTTATGCGATAGAATCATCGAAACCCTCCATGTGTTCAGCACTATTGTCGCAGGCGACCCACCTTTGCCTTAGTTTAGGCTATCATCGTTCAACCTCGATGACTTACGACTCACCAAAGACTCGAGGCCGGAAGATCAACCTATTTTGGTTCCTCTACTATATGGATAAAGGCTTGTGCCTTCGCCTCGGTCGTGCGTCTTTCATACAGGATTATGATATTGCCGTTCCTTGGCCATCCTTTGGTGACGAGGAGATTTACAGAGCCAGCAACGAGTTTTGTAAATTCTCATGCAAACTCGCAGGCCTGCAGGGACGTGTCTATGAGGAGCTCTACAGCCCCTTTGCACTTCGAAAACCAACTTCGTCAAGGACGGCTTATGCAGAAGCACTCGCCTCCGATATAAGGCAGATCTCGACTGAACGTGAACAGGTCGGGTTCATAGCTGGCATGTCTGAATATGCAAATGAATGCGCTCTGTTATCAGACAAAGTTACGATTTCTGCGACCCTTACTCTGGTGCTCCGAGCCATCCCGTCAAATGACGGTAACCTATTGTCTGCGGCCTGCATTGCAGCGGCCCGACAATCGTTGCACCTTCACCAGACTTGTACAGCCAAAATCATGGGCATAGCCGACAAACATGCGTTCGCAGAGTACCTTCACTGGGCCCTTCTTCACACGCCTTGTATACCATATCTGGTCATCTTCTGTCACATCGTTGAAACACAGTCCTTCAGTGATCTGGCTATTTTAGGTGACTTCGTAAAAACCCTACAGCCCGCGCGTGGGATATCAAGTGCCATCGGAAAATTGTACCTCATATGCGATGTCTTCTACCGTGTTGCTAAGCTCTATATCAAAGCCATGACAAGACAACTTGATGCGTCTGGTTCTGGCATTCCTGCCCAGTCGATGCAAACGCTGCAACAATTGAGAACCGAGCTCAATCCGTTCATGACGAGGATGGGGATGAACAATGTGCTTGACGCTAGTTTCAATCATGCCAGCAACATTGATTCTTGTTCAACTCTGGCACCACCAGACATAAGTTTTGATAAGACCAATTTCTTTATCCCAAATAGTGGTCCAGCTGAATGGTTTACTGAGGAGCAGGTAATCACATCGTTGTTAGGCAATGATTTCAACTTTATGGACCCGGATTTAGTTGTTACAACGCAGAAATGAGCAGCACTGTTGAGATGAAGGGCCTACTGGTTGATTTTCGCGGATAGTCTGAAAAAGGGAATTAGAGGCAGTTTAGAACATAGGCAAGTAGTTATAGAATAGTAGAGTGTGCGTATCCCTGCTCCCATAGGTCCTCTTCATCTGATTCCTCGTCGTCCTCCAGCCACTCAAAATCGTCTCTGTTTGGTCCATCTGTAATAATATAGTTTGCTATGTCTAGTTTTCTTATAGAAGATTGCTGATAACCTATTCAGTAACATATTTGCACAATGATAATTAATGAACGTTTAGCCAATCTAGTAACTCAATATTACCTTGCGGCCCTCATATCTCACCAGAACCCCTTTAAGGTCATCTACCTAAGTCCCTCCTCAGGCAACCCCGTTACACAAAGTAATTTGGTCCTGCACTCTTAGCGTCGCGTTTTTGTATGTCTTGGCTTCTATTGCGGCAGAGGCTAAGTAACCTGGACAATCTTCTTGAAGGCACGTAGGCTATAGTAAGCACACCCGTGCACATCATGGACTTGCCCTGCAACGCACTCTGATTCACGCCGATTGACATAGTCTCCTATACCAGACCAAGGAGCGACGACTACACACCTCTTTTTGCAGCTTCTCCAAAGTATCAGCCAGCCTCGATGACTTGGGTAGATACAAGCTATTGACAGATAGCGGCGCTCGCAAAATGTGTACCGGCTGAAAGATCTACTGAATCTTTTCACGGAGCAACTACTATGAGCAGACTTTCTACATATTCGAATCGAGTTCTATTAAAGCGGCATAGATAGAGCACAGCATTATCTTGCTCACGAGACCTCATCCCGATAAAAGATGGTTCGTGAGCTGGAAAGCATTTCTATTAAAAGGATAGGACGACTTTAAACATTAGCCAATTGTAATATTTCCGACACCTTCCAGATAGGAACGCCCTCACAGGGACCTAACTTCACATCCAATTCACCAAGCGGCCCATCTGCGGCTTATGGTCTCAACCGTACAGTGCAGCTCGTTGTTGCTAGAGAGGCAAATGTTCAACCGCACCCAAGCTGTGGTAACAGACACCGAATTTGGACAAATGCTCACAGGATTTATACATTCGCCAGTATCAACTTTGCAACTGTTTGGCCAGCATCGATCCCTTCAAACCATGCGCCGTGAAGATACCCAAAGTACGGCGCACTTGTTGCTTCCCCAGCAAAGAAAAGTCGATCGGAGACGTTCGCACGCAGATCCTGATGCATTTCTAGAGTTGTTGCTGGCGGCCAGTTGGAGTATGAGCCATACGACCACGGGGTATCCCTCCAGCGAGGATAAAAAAATGCAATCGGTTGAGGTATATCTGCATCAGGAAACATGTTTCGTAGGACGTCTAACCCTTCTTGCATTGTAACGTCATCGTCCTGCGCTTCGATGCGCTGACTCTGTTCCGCAGTCATGACCGAGAAAATGATGTTGCTGCCAGGTAAGAATCCTTTTGGAGTCAGCGACTGCCAGACCGGCCAGTAGCCTCTCGTTGTTGGATCTGCGTAGAGGAAAAATTGGGTTTCATTCGGCCAAAATGCCTCATCAAACTGATAAAAGATCTTGGTAAACGTGTTGAATTCAAAAGAGTTGATGCCATCCAGCTTCCAATCAGGGAGCTCAGGATCGAAGGCCACAACCTCTCGCTGAAGCACACCGAGAGAAAACGTGCAGATGGCGTAATCAGCTTGAATGCAACTCCCGTCTTTGTTGCGAATGATGACACCAGCATCTGAATAGCTTATGTTTGTGACGATCGTGTTTAGGGCCAGTCTATGGTCTTGCTTGGTCAGAAAAGTATCAGCCTCGCCAACTAGCCAAGCCCTGAATCCTCGCTGATCAACGACGAATCGATCCTCACCCGAGTACTCGTGGTACGTAATGTTGTCGTAGTTGATCTCGAATGCCTGCGAGCTAGCGCCGAAGACTTGGGAACTGGTTTCTGGGTTGGAGGCAGATTCGAAATCCCAGGAGAAATATTCGACAGCAACGGCGCCCGCGGGTGAATCAGTTTTCGCAGGATTCCAACCACCACGGCGCAGACCCGCTCGCACACTACGATCTTGGTACTTATCGGCGAGTGCGGTAGCATCATCCTCGAGAGCATTTGTAGCTTCTTGAAACTCATCGAACAGGGATGAAAAGTCTGCTTCGCCGTTCTCATTGTAGGTCTTAATAGAAGAGTAATCGCTTTCTTCGTTCGATATGTTCCATTTACGAGCCTGTTTGTGTTAGTTTTGTCAATATTCTTGGACTCAAAGGTGATACTAACAAGTCTCCAGATCGGATTGTCTTCTCCACTATCTACAGACCTAAGACCTTGAACCCAATTGGCACCAAGCTCTACGGTATATTGGCCATCGCCGCTCTTCTTCTCGCCAAAGTCTTTGTTCGTTAGGCGGCCGCCGATGCCGTTATTATATTCGACAATAATGAAGTCGTTAATAGACAAATTGGAAAGCGTCTGAGCAGCAGCAATGCCAGCCGTACCTGCGCCTCTGCGACCTGATCAGCAAACAGGCTCTGGAAGGCTACCATTCGCGTGTAAAACTTACAGGATTACAACCTGAGTCTGGTTGCATTGACCATGGTCTTGCTTTGTGCGCTGCGTCGTGGGAACAGCGAAACAAGAAGATGCCAAAACAAGGCACAAAGCGCTCCGAATCAACTGCATCATTGATGAGTTCCTGGACGAACGATTTTGGAATATTCAACTATGGAGTTGTTCTGGCGCTGAGGAATTTATATTCCCAGTGCCATTATTTGCCCTTCCAGCTTGATCATTGAGGAATCAAGCTTTACATGCTCGTGTGAGGCAACACGTGGGATGCGAAGGCATGCACTCCTTCGACTCTGTTCCCGTTAGTTCGCGGGTAATTCACACATGCTAGATTCCGCCACGCACTAATATCCCCGCCCGCGGGTTCCGGTCAAATTATGACCCACACATCATGAGGAGCAGCATCATGGCCAGAAGCGACCGAACTTCGAACCTACCAAAAATTCATGTGGAATTTGTGAAAATTGTCAAAAACAGCATGATTGTAATCGGTGTGATCTAGGCCGCGTTAGGAAGCTTGATGCGCCCAATTGTTTCAGCAACGATCAGCACCGAATTGATTTCTGTTAATGTTGATATTGAGATCTGGTGCTGGACTGGGGCTGTGCTCGAAGCTGGCGATTGAACTCGATTTGCATTGGTAGCTTGTGCCAAGGGGTGCTAAGAAACCTTCTGACGTATCTTGATTCGGAAGCTTCTCTTTTCCTTTGCAAGAAGCTTAACTCTAGCCAGGGCTTGTTGCCTGAGCGAGTGATCCTTGCGTAACGAGCAATTGTTCCATTCTTAGTTGACGTTCATGCTTTTTAAAGTGTGTATAAAAAGGCTCCGACAATTCCCATCTATGGCAAAGGCCCATACATACAACAGAATCCTACTTCCATCACCGCAGAGCAAGAATCAGGCTATATCGAGGATGTCGGGACCACTCGATGCGAGGAGCCAAAAGCCATGTGTCGCCATTGTGGGCGCTGGTTTTGCAGGCTTAAGAGCTGCCGAAGTGCTATTGAAACATGGGTGTACAGTCGCGATTTTCGAGGCAAGGAATCGAGTGGGTGGAAGGGTAAGCAGAATGAGTCTTTAAACAGCAATGCAGTATGAACCTAACCTCTTTTCAGTTATGTCAAGCTCGAGTCGGTCCTCATCTTGTGGATATGGGTCCTAATTGGGTTCATGGCACGCAGGACAATCCCGTTTTTGAACTCCTGAAAAGCACAGGGACGCTGACGCACAACTTGCCTGATGATGAGATCACGTTTGCACCGAATGGTACCCTCTTGTGCGAAGACGAGGCAGAATATCTCAACGACGTAGTCTAGGACCTGATCCGCGATGCTTTCAAATTTTCGGAAGAGTCCAGTGCAGAGATCGACGCAAATTTGAGTTTGCTGGACTACATAAAACAGAATGTGGAGGAGAAAGTTAAAGATTACCTCGATGACAAGATCAAAGGACAGGACGACGAGGCCAATGTTGAAAGACTCAAAGATCTCGTGGTCAAGCTCGCGGAGTTGTGGGGAGGATACACTGGAGCTACCCCGTGCCAGCAGTCTTTGAGATTTCTATGGCTGGAGGAATGTCTTGAAGAGGAGACTCTGTTCTGCGCAGGTACTCATGCGAAAGTACTTGACATTGTGTCAAAAGCTGCGCTGGATGGTGCCGATGTCAAATTCGGACACATCGTGAATAGGATATGTTCGAGGTCACAGAAAGGGGGAAAGGTCACTGTGGAAACACGTGATGGTGGCAAAGAGGACTTTGACGAGGTGGTCGTAACATGCCCACTAGGCTGGCTCAAAAAAAACACTAACATGTTCCAACCTGAGCTTCCACCGCGCATCAGTCAAGCTGTGGCAAATCTGGGATATGGTAAACTCGATAAAGTATATATCACATTTCAGCAGGCTTGGTGGGAGAAGATGAAAGAGCCGTCCGCCACAGCCGGGCCAACCGCTGGTTCGGATTCACGTCTGTCTCAAAAGGTCGAAAAGGGCCACTATCCTACCTACACAACATTTATTACTCCCAATTATGCTCAGGAGACGAATCCCGAAAACCTGTACCAGGATTGCATCAATCTAGCCGCTCTACCGAAGGGGACAGAACATCCAACCCTGCTCTTCTATACCTCAGGATCGACCTCAGATTACGTAGCTGAGATAATGAGCAGGTCCCGATCATCCTCTACTTCAGATACTTCTAGTTCCCCTCTTGCGGCCGATCTCTGGCAGATCTTCGAGCCATATGTGTCCCGTCTACCTAACTACAAGGCTGGCCAAGGAGATTGTATACCTGTGGACATTCTCGCAACTGGGTGGACGAGTGACGAATTTGCGGGCTTTGGGTCGTATACCGGCTTTCCAGTTGGTTCCACGGACTGTGATAAGGATATCGAGGCTCTTAGAGATGGAGTGGGGCTAGTTGAACGAGGCGTTTGGCTTGCTGGTGAGCACACTGCGCCATTTGAATTTTCTGCAACAATTACAGGTGCTTATATATCTGGCGAGAAGGTTGCTGAAAGAATTCTTGATGCTTGGAGCTTAAAGGACAAGCAGTAGACGGTTCATAGAAGACATTATGTTTACTCCCTTCTGGTTAGGACAGTACATTTTTGTGACTAGCTAGGTATTAGGTCGTGGGTTATTCCTGCTATAAGAAATATAAAGATAGTCTGTATATTCTCTAATTAGAGTAATTTAGAAGGAGAAAGCTAAGCTACTACAGTTTATCGAATATAGTTACAGCTGATTCCTAGCTTAAGTTTCAAGTTTTCAAATCTACTATCATAAATAATGACTTTCTATTGTGTTGTCGCGTATAGACGCTTCTATAGTATGAAGCATTACAGGCACGGCCCGCAATTAGTGACGAGGTAGGATAGATAGATGTTTTTCTCTATCAATAGGCCTCTAGAGGTAGGAGGTAGATGACGCCTTGATTTCTCTCAGCAGCCCTGTTGGATCTATCTATGCCCTGCCTAGTGCCCTTCCCCATACACGTGATCCTCGAATAGCCTCGATTATCCTGCTACATCACAGTACCGGGACCTGGAACATCTTCTCTGCTATTGAACAAATGTTTTAGTTATATACTGTACACTTATGTAGTGCCTACTGTCCCATTCCAGTCCATTGCGCGATGTTGAACCAGAAAGTTCTTAACAGCATCCCAACTGCGACATGTGTGCACAGTGCCAATATTGGTGAATTTGGCTTTGAACAACCCATCCTCTGTCTTCCCCATTGGCTTCGAGAATGCAAGAGTGGGGTCCGCCGCACAAATGATTCCTTGCCGCAGGATGTTGAGACAGTGCCGCATATGTAGGTCGCTATCGTAATAGTTCTCCAGGCGCTCGTTTCGCGCGTATGCGGCAAGGACGAGCCGTAATGTGCCCTGTTCATTGAGTCAGTTGGTGTATGATGCGGTAAAAATGGCGAGAACAAACCAGGCAATGTAACTGGTGTACCACAGACGCTTGATATACCTCTGCGTCTTCGTCGCCAACACCATATGGTACGCTGGGCTCCATGTCGTACCGTCGTGGACGATCTACCTTCACGTAACCGGCACCGTCTAATTTTCAATCAGCGAAAGGAACTCATGGGAAGGTGGGGTCAGTATTACTCGGAATCATTCCATTCCACGCTGCGTCGCCCACCTCATCGAATCGCATGAAATCGTTGTGTTCGCCCTCGATGAATTTCATTTTCACATTTGGAACTATCTTTCTCATCAACACGTTTTTCGAAATGTTGGGGATAGGAGATTTACATGAGGGGAAGAAACTATCTGGAGATAGTAGACTGGATGAGCTTGGTCGGAGCATTTGGTAGACGGCGAAAGAGAGGAAGAGGATCGAGATGAAGGCTAGTAAAGCGTTGGCGAAGATAGCCTTTGGTGACCAGCATCGCTGCCGTGGGGAAGATGATATGTCTTCATTGTCGAATGTCGAATCTAGCTCATCCTGTGAGGCGGGTGAGTAGTCGTAGGTGTTCTTTTGGGACATTGTGCTTGAGCTTGGGTGTGTAGACCAGAGCTGAATAGGCAGAGAATGTTTGAGGAACTGAGCGCAACTACCATTCTCTGCTATCGAGGTAAAGCAGTGCAGACGTCTAGGATAAACTGAGTTCGGTGAGCATGTAGCAACCCGGAGTTCAAAGTCGAGGAGAATTCCACAACGGCTGAGCTAGCGAGTCTTGATCGGCGTGCAGATAGCTCAAAATGTACCTAGTATCAAAGCTCCACTTGACTGATGAGCGTATCCAACGCAAGATGGATTTGGAGCAGAGCAATAACACGCTAAGACCCACAAGCTTCTGTATCACAACTCAAGTATTTTCCGAACCCTTGCCTCTCCGGGGTTTTTTAGGTGTTGGATTCATCCCCATGTTTGCATATCTAAGCAAGGGGCGGGTAAGTAGATCTAGGTACCATCAGCTAGACTCGGTAATCTTGCAGATTGTCAGATCAGAAACCAAGGTTTGTTTATTGTAGAAACCCAATCTTGTTGTACAATACCCTTGGGTCTGATCCCCCACGTCATTGTGGAGAACGGGAATGGAAGACTCGCTAGCTCCTCCACCCCAACTCGGGTATTTTCCGTACCCTTGCCCTTGTCTCTCGGGTTGTTACCTCGTCGATCCAACCCCACAAGTTTGCACGTTTGAACAAGGGGCAGGTAAATCTGGTAGATCTGGTAGATCTGGTATTAATTAGATCTACCATAATCCAGATTCGGTAATCTTGCGGGTCCATTGGCCGCTAGACTGTGTTGGGAACCCAATTTTACTATTGGGTCTGACCTCATGTCTAACATTATAGACTATAGTAGAAAACGGGAATCTATCGATGAAAAGTGGACCAGAATGTTGTTCCGCACATCTGCCTGCGTTGGGATCGCTTCCTGCAGAAGTGAAGTGAAAGTCGCTGGTGATTGTTTCGGGTAAAGAGGCGGAGAGGCAAAGAGGCGAAAGGCGCGACATGAGCCACGCAAGCAGGACTGAATTTGTGATTAGACATCCGAGAGTAGCATAATATTTTCCAGCTGAGCCTGTTTTACCCACATCTGTTTTTTGGACGTTAATTGCATTCCCCCAGACAAACTTCATTCTCAATATTCATCCATGATGGAAACTATCAATATTCACGGGAAAGACCCCTTGGTCCAGGCTCATCACCGCAAAAGGTTCTCATTCTTCAAATCACACTGGGGGTCGGCTCTTGCCTTTGGACTTACCCTTATCACTTTCCTAACCCTCCAATCCGCCTACAACAAAACCTACAACGCCAGCGGCCTGGTCATTCCGAAATGCGGCCCAACGGTTGCTGAAGCGAAAGCTCAAGGCTGTGTGTTCGACCTCCTAAACTATAGCTGGACACCTCCCGCCTGTTATGACAAAGAGCTTTCGGAGGAAATGATGGAAGAAGAGTTCAAGGCACGTGGTCCTTGGCGGTGGTACCTGGCAGACAACTTTACTCAGGAGATTCCGCAAGACGTGGAAGATTTGGGTACCCGCAAGCAAGTGTATGTCGAGCATCGCTACCATGTACTTCACTGTTTGGGGACTTGGAGAACACTGCATCGATCGGTCATGGACGGCCGACCAGGATTGGTCCCTGATTCAATAGATTATGGGCATACCACGCATTGCACACAATTCATTAGGGACTCGGCGCTTGACTATGGGGAAAAGCCAAAGCAAGAAACTGTTGCTTTGGTATTCAGTGGATGTGTAAGGACTGGGGATAGATAAATTTGGCTAACGAGATGGAGGAGTACAAAGTGTGGCATTCACGAACAGCCCAGTGACGATCTGTCAGTCGCTCAGGTGTAGCTAGTCTCGTTCGCAGGCTTCAGTTGTTTACTTGTCAAATATATTAGAATTTTAAAAATATGGCTGGATAGCTGAATTCTATGGAACAACATTACTGGCGAATCGAACATGCCCAACATCACTCACAATCTCAAAAGATGAAACGCTGCGGACTTGATATTGATATTTCTATGAGATCTATAGGAAGGGCAAGAGATTGTATTTACTCAAGGCGGCCAGACATTCTCGTTGCAACAGAAAACAAAAAACAGAGGTGCGCTTTGTGGAAAACTCCCTCCGTACGGCGAGACACGGATTGTAACAGGTGAACATATTGAATATCTCTCAGACATAGATGCATAGATTAAAATTCCCCTCATCATCAACGACCGAAAACGCACAATCCGCGACAACACATTGTATTCTCAAAAACAAACTTTGGTCTCCCAAATCAACTTCCATGTACCTGAGTCTACAACAGGCTTGATGGAGCCTCTTTCTCCATCTGGGAATGCCCACTCGTCCATGGAGTCCAAGCAGTGTTTCATGTGTCTGTAGTCGATGTCTCTCGGACAGACGTGCTTTCCCGTTTCCTTCGCCTGCCAATATCTTCTCAATGCCCGGACGCAGTGAGCCATGTGGAACTGTTTGTCGGAAGGCACCTGGATTTGATCAGGATCACCAAGAAATGAGTCGCTGATGTAGTCTTGATTGAGACGAATTTTGTTCTTCTCGGGATATCGCTTCTGGAACCAGCGCTGATAGAGCTGCTCTTCTTCATCCATGAGATGTGCTGGTATCATGGCTTGATCGTCGATCCGGAATGCCCATTCGCCATTCTGATGAGGATTTTTGGCTGCCCAGCTCGAGGCATTATGATGGGTAAACTGAAGCTGGTATTTTGGGCCTTGGCTATCTCCAACGTCGTAGCGAACCCAAATGCCGTTTTCGAAATGTTGGTGAAAGTGCTTGTTGAATGCTTTATGGGTCATAGTAGCGGCGGCTACACAAAGCGTTCCGATGACTATCCAGAAGAGCACTCTCACTGTGATGCGGTCATTCCAAGCATTCTTCATTGAATTGATGATCTGCTTGGCTGCTGCCGCCATGCGATGTCTCCTTGGTACGTTCAAAGGGCTTTTGAATAGCTCCAGATCCGCGATTGGCAGTGATAGCGAGTCAAAGAACGGACCCCATGGGTGAGACAAAGTGGCCAGGAAGCTATGGGTTGAGACCTTCTCATGAGAATTCGAGAGGGCATTATCGACTTTGTAAAAGGTTGAGACGAAGTCAGCCCTTCCCGAACGAACGAATCCATCGAAGACCGTGACAGCATCTTCTACTTCCATTGCTGCAGTGTCCCCAACGCGAGTGACATGAAAGAGATAATATTTGTATTCGATGACTACAATGAATCTCGAAGTCTTGTCATGGCTTGTTCTGATCAACAGATCTTGGAGATAACATTCTTCGTCATGCCCCCCAGGGGAGTCTGACTTCAGAGTTACCGTCAAATCTCTGTCTTCAATACTAGCGTACTTGGGAAAACCAGCCATTTCTTAAAATATAGTTGTGAAGTGAATGAGTTGAGGGAGGAAAAGAAGTTTGGCTTAGGAATGAAAAGTTGGGTGGAAATCAAACGCTCCGCAGCGGGCAGGCTTATTGAGACGACGAGAAGGGATGTTTGAGGGGGCACAGAGTTTTATCACACCGAGTAGGGATGCTATTGATCGGATGCCGTGGATGGCGAAACTTGATGGGACTACGAAGGTCAATTGAAGTCTCATTGCAGGATCGACAACAGTCTACCTTAGTATTATCCTGAGTGTATGACGAATCTCGGCGCTAACATTATTCCTCGAGGGTTTCACTATTCTTGCCGCTACTCGCCTCTGCAATGCAGATCAAGGATCGGCAGACCCGAGGCCCCGAGTTTACGAAACGTGACTTAGATAGCGGAGCATGGTAATTACATCTTTTCGATGTTCCAACAATTGCGGAGACCAACTGCATGCTGGGTTGTATTGTTGGTGAAGCAGCGACCAACGGTTTTCTTATACACATTTGGGTTAGCTACCTGGCAGTCCCCCGGTTGCTTCGACATATCCCTTACCTCAATGCGACCAGTGGCATAATTACACAAGGGTTGTATCGAATTGCGGGACTTCCAAAATCTTCTTTAAAGGTCCTTGAGAACTCTCAGATTAGAAGCTGCAACTTACACTTTCATTCCCAATCTTCAAGACAATCAATTACAACCAGCCCTCAATTTCTCAAAATGAAGTCCACCTTCTTCCTTATCACCCTTCTTACTGGAGCATTGGCCTTGCCTGCCCCTACCACTCTTACCGGTGAAGCTCTTGAGAAGAAGCTTGAGCTTTTGAACGCTCCTGAACCGTGGGAGAAGCGAACTGCTCGTAAGCACCCAGTCTAATTCGCTCCATATCTATCGATTCTAACTTGTTTTAATAACAGCCGCTTCGATTGAACTGTACGCCAGAGATCCGCAGAAGGTCTCCAACCGCGAGGCTCAGAAGGTCTCCAACCGTGAGGCTCAGAAGGTCTCCAACCGCGAGGCTCAGAAGGTCTCCAACCGCGAGGCCCAGAAAGTGTCTAATCGTGAGGCCGAACCTCAGAAGGTCTCTAACCGCGAGGCCCAGAAAGTCTCCAACCGCGAGGCCGAGCCCCAGAAGGTCTCCAACCGCGAGGCCGAACCTCAGAAGGTTTCCAACCGCGAAGCCGAACCTCAAAAAGTCTCCAACCGCGAGGCCGAACCTCAGAAGGTTTCCAACCGCGAAGCCGAACCTCAGAAAGTCTCTAACCGTGAGGCTCAGAAGGTCTCTAACCGCGAGGCCCAGAAGGTTTCCAACCGTGAGGCCGAGCCTCAGAAAGTCTCCAATCGTGAGGCTCAGAAGGTCTCTAACCGCGAGGCCCAGAAGGTTTCCAACCGTGAGGCCGAGCCTCAGAAAGTCTCCAATCGTGAGGCTCAGAAGGTCTCTAACCGCGAGGCCCAGAAGGTTTCCAACCGCGAAGCCGAGCCTCAGAAGGTTTCCAACCGCGAAGCCGAGCCTCAGAAGGTCTCCAACTGAGTTCCAGGTTAATTGAACATGCCACGGAGATAGTATGAATGGGCAGTGCCCGGGATTCGACAAATGTCGCTCGATTGGGGCCTGATTAGACATGCGACATGGCGCAAATAGGGACAGTGAATATTTTGGCGCAGTACGGCATTAGATACGGGCTTGGACAGGGGAGACATGGCTGGATACTAGAGTTTACGACCTTCATTCACTAGCTTTACTTTCAATGTACACTCTTTTGAACCTATTCATCGAACTCAAGTGAACATATTAAAGCTTTTTACCGTTGCCATATTCCAACTTCAAGGCACTGATGTCGATGTTCTCAATCGTTCGTGCCTTTATGTTCAGCTCAGACTTCACACATTTAGGAAAGATTTGCAACTCACATTGACAGCCATAACATCAAAGTTCTCATAGATGCCATTGAAATCGATCAACAAACTTGTGCCACAGTGGGAGCAGAACCAGTGATCCTTCTTCTTCGTGTGAAATTGATACTTTTGCACGTGGTCCGTGGAGTTTCCATGAAAGATCACATCGGAGCGGTTCGGATAGACCAAGAGGTATCCATGGGCAGTGCAGATGGAGCAATTACATTGCATAACTGTGTAGTCCGCCAGTGGCGGAGATAGTGTTATGGTGAATTTGACTTCCCCGCAGCTGTGAAAATCATTAGCGCAATGGACGTTAGATTTCGCAAGTTAGACGAGTTGTTTGCAAACAAATTTGCCTTGCACACGGTGCCAATCAGGAGAACTCACTGGCATCTGCAGGGGTATGTCTGTGACTCTTTTTTGGCGTCTGTCATCTTCCTACTGGCGGTGAATTGGTCGGAGTTGGCTTCGAACGGTTGCACAATGATCTTGATAGTTTTGGAGAAAGGGTGATGGTGAAACAAGATGATGTTAATCAGAATAATCAGAAGGGTGAATCTCAGTTCCATGTAGGACCTATCACGAGTGGCAATGTCGATGCATATGACGCGGACGTTGAACGGCTGCACTCGCGGAAGCACTGATCTCTGCACTAGTACCTGGGTGGCTGGAAATGGTTAACATGCCAAGGGTCTCGGTAGCCGAAACCGCAGACGAGGGACAAGCACTGACAAGCAAACAACCGACAGGGGCTGCACGGCGGGAAGATCTGCGAGACTAGCCTAGCGTTGGCTACTCTGTAGAAATGCCTGTAAATGCATAATTACGTTCTATCATCAGCCATTACCGGTACTATCGTAACAGAGGGCCCACTTGATGCCGGTCTCTATAGCGAGCCACCGGTGACCTGCTCCCGCCACTGATGCAGGTAGCTAGTAACTCAAAAGACGGTTTACTCACCTGAAAGTCTTCTGTGCCCACTCCTCAATCAAAGTTCCTACATTTGGTTACCTTCTCTTATACAAGACTACCACTATCATTCATTTGTTTGATAGACTATAGCAGATATCGTTCCAAGGATCACGCGATGCCTTTCTCCTTTATACAGAGGTGGAGCAGTTGGGCCTCATTGACTGTTTTGGCTATCATTATCTCCTCAGTCACCGCTGGCCAACTCCAGTTCTGCCGTGTCGATGAATCTTTACGCACTGATCAATGTCTCGCAGTATCAACATATCACAACGAAACCAGCAACTCTGAAGACTTCTACCTCCTCGTTTCTGCAAAGTTCGAAAACCGAATCGGCTATGCAGCGTTCGGAACGGGCGCGACAATGGACGGGTCGTTGATGTTTGTGTTATATCCAGGAGCGGGGGAAAAAGGTATTGTTCAACACCATTTCCACCAGAACATTTGACTAATGTAAGAAGATGTCGTGATGAGTCTTCGCACGACCAAGTGAGTAGACACTCTGAATCCTCTCGCCGCGTTTTGCTTATGAAATGGACCAACAGTTACCACTATCCTCCTGAGCCTTCAGACGACATGCCAGACTACCAGACTATCAAGACGTGGATTGATGGAGACTACTACAATGCCCAAGTCGTCTGCTATAGCTGTGATACGTGGCATCGCAATGCCGCGGATGTTACGTCGAAGAAACAGAAATGGATATTCTCGAATCAGTGGGAATACGTCATGCAAACGAACGATCTCAAAAAGCCATTGGGTCTTCATAGCGATTACGGTTTGTTTCAATCTTGTCTGGTATCATGCAATCTAGTCTGATACATGTTAGGTATCTTTGAGCTCGACATGACAGTCAGTCACTACGCGGACAAAACACCCGTTGCACCCGATCTAGTTGAAAACGGTAGGAAATTGATAGGCGCAGAGGCCAATACCTCATGGAAACCCAGCCAGCTTTTCGCTATTCACGGCCTGTTGCTAGCGTTTGCATTTGTCGTTGTAATGCCATTAGGTGTTGCTGGCATTCGGAGTGGGCATCCAAAAGCATTCAAGATACACTGGGTCATCCAGCTTTCTTCGGTCGCATTGGCTGTCTTGGGAATTTCATGGGGCATCTATTTGTCTTGGGGACACCCAATCACTGTGAGAAAATATCGGTACTGGCGCTGGCGAACTTTCTAACTCGACTGATAGATTGCAACTTCAACTGGTGCTCACAAAATTCTCGGGTTCGCACTGCTAATTTCAATTCTTCTTACGCCAATGTTCGGTTATCTGCACCACGTGCAATATCTTAAAATTAGGCGCGCAACTGCCGTCACTCTCTGGCATCGCCGATTCGGTTCATCAAGCTTGGGGACTGCTTGGATCAATGTTATTCTGTAAGTGACTACCTTGTCTCTGTTTTGAATATGTTCTGTAGTCGTTGCTTTCTATTTTTCCTGATCTAATTGACTGGTTACTGATGTTTAAAAGAGGTTTAGTGATTGCAGATCAGCCAATCTGGTATTTCCTTATTGGTATTGGATTCATGGTTTGCTCTGCATATATTATCTACTCTGCGCCAACATTGCGTGCACGTTTTACTAAAACAAGTAGCACAATCGGAGAGTACAGTGCTGTAGATAATGAAGAAGGATTAGAGCAGGGCCTTTTACGCAAAGAGACTGAGGAGAGCTAAATGTTAGGGTTTACCTGTAACCAAGTGGGCTATAGAGAGAATTAAAACATAGTCTCCTAGAGTAACTTTGAATTAAATGTGTCTTTTAATTGTAACATGCATCAATTATTTGCATGATCACCCCTATGCTGCAAGTACTCTATAGGCCGAACATCCTATATATTGCTACATTTGTAGATTCAAATAACTACAAGGACTGCATTGAATATGTTTTATGTAAGCTTTCAGTGTAAACTCAAACGACCACAGCAATCGCTGCAGAGCAAGATCGCAGTTCGAACAATTGCAAACCCTCGTACTTCAATTGAAACTGGTTGTGGGGCATTGGATATGTCGAAATATCATTATACTGGCTACAGTGCTGTCAAGTAAGGACTGGAGGTTGAGCATTGGACTTTTCGTACTGCCTACAACTCGGACAATTGACTTGAGAGAGGTTGAAGATTTTGAAGTAGAGGGAAACTGTGCTGATCAGGAATATATATTCCACTGGCCTCACGTCTTAACCATCACCACAGCGGAACTACTTGACAATGTCTCCCTTGCGCTCAACCCGACGGATTGGGAAAGGAATATCTAGATGAGTTCACGGACATACTGGAAAGCCTCGCGGCGGAGGCCTAGACAATAAAAGAGAATAGGAAAAAGTCAGCCCAGGCGTCTCGCTCATCCACCGTCCAAGAAAGTTTGGATAGTCTGGGGAGGGAGCTGCTGGAAGTCGTTCAAGAATGGAAAATCTACCCCTTCTAGCTCGTAAGGAAACCAACAGTCTACTAAACGGAGGCTAGCTTGACCTTCCTGGAAGATGTACCAGCTCGTACAGCGCTGCGCATTTTCTAGTACTCCCTCCAGATTTATCGTAATCCCTTGATTGTTGGTGACAAGACTTGGGTGATAGAGCTTTACTCCCTAGCAGCCCCTTTTACTGACTTTATGGCTACTAACATAGCGATAAAGGTGACCCTGGATTATAGGTTCCCAAGGAGGACGATCTATGTCTACTGGAAGGTTCGGTACATATCCACCGCATGGCCACAACCAAAGCACTGACTCTTTACAGAGCCATGGGAGATCGAAATTTGCGAGAAGGAATCTAGCGAGTCCAGGGCCCGTGAAGAGTGTAATTTAGGATCATATATACAACAAGAAGATAAAGTTAAATAGTCGTCGATGGTACACGGGATCGTGAAGCGTGGCGAGGGCATAGACAACGACCTGTGCCCAATCGAATATAAGTGTTCAGTAGTAGTCGCACAGCGATGATCCCAGTAACGATTCTTACCATGGTGGGGCTACAGAAGAGGAGGATGATCTAAGCAATGATGACGAGTACACCAGGAGAGTAATCTCTGCTCGAGAAAGGGCACGGGGGGAGCGACAGAGGATTTTGCAGAATCGAGGATTTTGATCTGGGTCAGGAAGCAGGTCCCCCTCCGGCCAGACGACTTTCAGGCGAGCGGTGATTCCGTATGTCAATTTGGAGGTTGGGATTGAATGCTGTGGACTGGCAGTCCGGACCAGGGAAGTGTTTTTATCGACCCATCCGGCAAGGGGAGAGGAGGAGGGGACAGTTTATAAGGTCGTGAGACACCAGAACTTAAATGAGGTACATATCAAGCAAAATAAAAACTGAACAGGACGAACCAACCATCATATTCTGGGAATGTACAGGTACAAGAGCAAGACTTACATGCTAGGAGGTATGCGTGTTTAAGCAATTACCGCCGATTGACGAAGTTTTGCAGACGGCGTGCAAAGCGGGGCTTGAGAGACATACAAAGATTGCGATAGAGCATTGCCTTGCCACAACAAACTCAAACTTATCCGGAAAAACAGGTATTCCAAGCTCCCTTATTGGATGAAGGCAGCCATCAAACTGCACAGCACTTCCTTGAATGAATCCTTCCGGGATATACCACGACGGGTGTTCATATGTGCTGCCAGGGCCTTATTCGACACTGTTGGCGTAAAACTGTTCCACTCGGATATCGACATATTCGGAGGTCGATTTAGGGAGATGAAGTACGCGAGGACCTGGTGATAGTGCAGTGCAGCCGCTCCCCCCAGGACTCACCCACAGTTCTCTCGAATTCGACGGTAGCGGTGGGGGAGGTGCAGGCGTTCCCGTCTGTGCTAGAGCATGTGTGAGTAGCGATTTGACCTGCTCATAACCTTCAGGCTTGGATGAAGCTGCTTGTGCTGCTGCAATGTATGCCGTGAGCCATGGCCGTGCTCCCGGTACGGGTTCGGCTGATTGCATTGATGTTGTTGTCGATTGCAGTCTCTGCGCAAAATCGGCCTTGGAAAATTGTGGTGATGGCGATGATGGCGGTGCTGGGGCCAATAACGGTAAGTTGGCTGCCGAACCTTTTCCCAAGAGCCTTGCGGTTGTGGATGCTGCTGATTCCAGCGTTGCGTTGAGTGCTGGTGGTAGCCGGAGAAGCGATTGACGATTAGGCACCTGCGATAGTTCTTTCGAGGCCATGCTCATAAGAGAAGAAGTCGAGAGTAACACCGTCATCTTTATATGGCCCTCATTTTGAAGCGCTTGCGAGGACATCGGGCAGTGGAAGACTTAGCCTATGTTCGCGGTCTTTCGTTTTCGCGGTCGCCCTTCCAGCACTTCCTGTACGGGCAAAACTCCACCATAAGTCCGACTCTATACGAAAAATTGTTTAAGAACTTCGTCTATCTTGTACGAGTGACCACAAGTAAAGGTACAAAAGGAGTATAACGCACGAAAGAAGTATGCTGCTCCTCCTTGGGAGTGGCTTTGACTTTGGTAACTCCTCAGTCGGAGCCTCAGTCGAGATGTTCGACATCGGCGTTACACAACTGTGGAGTGGAACCAGGAATTAATGCGCAATAAGTTCGGCGTTGTCAGCCAATCAAGCTAAGGATCCTGAACAAAAGTTGTCATTTGACCGCACCACGAAGCGCTCTCTCGGGGGTTACGATGATTTGAGAGCGATGATGGAGTTGATCGACGGCGGGATTGATTCTATTGCTCAGATATTGAAACATCGGACATATGATCACATTAGGGAAATAGAAAACTTAACAGACTTAGAAACGTATGACGACAGGCCAGAGAAGGCGTGATACGAGTGGGTCGACAGTTTTGCCAGTCAGACAAGCCAAGGTAAGACGAGGCAGAACGCAAGGCAGACAACTCCTTCCATGCAAGACCGGTAAAACCAGATCAAGAATTGAAAAAGATGGTAGTTTCGCGTTCGCTCACGGTAGTGCAGGGTGAGCAACACTGTGCTGTCGACGATAGGCAAGCCCAGAGCGAAGACAGCTAGGTCAAAAAAGTAGAATAATCTTGAATGTCTCCGTAGAGACGTTTCAGAGATTAAACTGAAAAGAACAGATACTACACTTGATCTAAGCCAAAAGGCAAAGAGAGCTAAAGAGAAAAAAAAAAAGTCGTGGAAATCGGGGGGAGGAGGGTTTATATACCTTCTGGTGGGGGATCCGTGCGTCGGGTCACGGGATCTCGCTTAACAGGCAGTAGGCAGCAATGTGGACACTCGCTCTCATTGGCCAGCCCATCAACCAGCGGTGTACACACGCACTTGTGATGCGTAACGACTACGAGTACGCTCAATACGGTAAACAGCACACAGACTCACTCATTATTCACTGTTGTGCGTACTCTGTACTGGCAAAGCCGTCGGCATCAGCCTCTCCGCTCTCTTAACACTCATTACCGATAGAGTTGCGCTACTTTCATCAGTAGTAAAAGATACCGCACATGCTGCATTTGTCGCGCCCAACCCCCAAGTCCTTCATTACGTACACCCTGTTTGACTCTTCACCCCTCTACACACATATTGTGGCATGTCACAATAGAATGAGGCCCTTTGGGGTTTACATGCTACCTCGCTGTTCGCCCATTGCCAGTCGCAGCTTTGATTAATTATCACTCTATACAAGCTAGTATGTCCCGATACCATCAGCCTCTTGGAAAAAGCTGTCCATGGTTGTATGAACAGATCCGCGACTCTGGGTAAGTGAAAACAAAGGCGTCGTCTTGAAAGTTTAACCTCAAGCATCGCTCAACAGCACAATCGAATTACATACCCTAACTCTGTCGTTGATAAGTCGCAATACTACTTGGTCATTCCAAAGACTCACAAAGGTATGGAACAATCTACCTAGGTACATTTGTGAACATCAAATTCTAGCTGCCCACCCTCTACTTCTGCACAGCCATTATTTTCATTCGCGGTCTCTAACCAAAGGAAACCAGATACTGCCGATGGAGCTGGTACCTTTCCCACTGTATTCTTTGTGAATTCGTCATAGGGCCGTTGACAGACCTTTTCTTCAGCCTTTTGTGCATTTTTTCCGTGATTGCCTGCATTTCTTGATGGCTGTCGACACCATTCCGTCTTACCGGTATCCACTCAAAATCTTCCCCAATCGGTAGCCCCGTTAAGTCCAAGTTTGTGGCTACAGTCTTCCAGCCCTCTCCATAAAACCTTCGTAAATCTGCAAGAACGCAGGTCAAGGCCCCCTGTGTTGTAGGCTGTAGATGCGAGGGGCTGCAACTACAACTTAGTGAAGTCCCAACATGATGTGAGAAGATCACCTGTACGCGGCGGACTTGGAGAAGAGGACTCCACTTTTTCATGCTTGGAAGATAATGCAGCTTTCTAAGCTGAGGACGTGTCCCAGAAGTCGCTTCGCTGAGATCGTATCCGAAGATGCCTCGGTCGTCGTGACGGTTGAGGCCGGTCATTTCGTCAATACACAGATCCTCCCCATCGCACATCTTCTCCCATATATCTCTCACGAGAGCCTCAAATGTCATTGGTTCATTTACCTTGAACCCTTTGACTGTATCAGCGATCAGGGGTCCATTCTGTCTGAGGATGTTTTCGGCCTCTTCGGCAGTGTTCCTCTCATCCATGGATCCGTAATTGAGATAGTAAACTCCAGCCCCTCTGCCGTCCTGCGTCTTGAACCCATATCGCATGGACTCGATGTAGCGGAGCGAAGCAAAAGCCAAGACCGAGACCACTGGGAACAGCCATGCTATCTTCTCGTCATTGTCCCACAAGATAGAGGGTATGTTCGACGCTTCTGAAAGCACTCTATCAAAATTGGACTCTCTCTTTCGTGGAGCAATAACGATAGTAGTCTTGTACTTTTTCTCCCACTTTGCGCCGGGGGAAATGCCAAAAGAAGATCCCGGCCAACCGATTCGAAGTGGGAACGAGATATCCCTACCCCGACTCCGCTCTGATTGTTCTTCCACTCTTCCAGATGGCAAAACACCAGAAGACTTGGCGATGCAGTCCTTGTATACTTTCATCGAGTCCGAGTATATACTGACGAGAAAGTTCGGACACCAACCAACGTAGACGTTACCATCACCGATGGTTCCTTTCAGCAACTTACCATCGAGACCGAGCTTTATCAACTCTTTCTCCGCACGTTGAGGAGTTATTTGTCTCCCCTCAGTTACTAGCAAGTGCCACCGTCGACCTTCGCCAGGTTCGAGTGGAACAAGAGCTGTGTCGAAGCCGTACAGTATTGGGACTTCTCCAAATATCCTATCCTCTCTATCAACTTTGGCAAGTTCGATGAGAATATCTGGCCTGATCTCTAAGCCTTCGGATATCGAATCGATCGGAGGCACAGTTGGAAGTGTGATGTCCATTATAGTAACACTATCGAACAGCTCTAACCAACAGTAGTTTTGAGAATCTTGGTGCTCAAATGCTACAGGTGAGGGTATTCCTTCATCAAGAGAGTTCTGATCCAACAGCAGATGAGAAATGCCATTCTTCCGCTTTGGGTTTTGAAGAACTGCAAGAATCCACACTAAAGCAGCTTTAACGTTCTGTATAGGCGTTTCGGGAAAGGTCGATACTGTAACTACTAGGTTTTGAGCATCTAGGAGGCCTTTCACTAATACAGTATGCTTAGCGTCATTGAATGGGTCTAGTATCGCACCGCTTGGAGCTTGCTGCAGAGAGCAACTTCGTGCCTCATTAGTTTCAATGGATTGTGGCGATGCACGCCGCGCAGAGCTTGAACATATCTGGGTGATCCATTGTAAAAGCCCCGGCCCAAAAGTAGGATATACTTCAACAAGGTACTCGGATACCGTCCTGGCAATGAACCTGTCGCTCCGTGGTTCTATTCTCGAAATAGTCAGAATGTTGCCGATATCACTATCACAACTTCTGTAAATTTCCTCCCCATTCCAAGGTAGGACCCAGATAGAAACAACACTCACACATCCTTCATAAGCGGAGCCGAATAGGGGATAGTCGCTAATAAATCGTTGGGAACGAAGCTGTAGCTGATTCGCGTATTGGGTGCCTGCGATGTGAGAAACAATCACACAGACAATGTCGGATACTCTTGTCCTGATGGCGTCATGTAGAGGTGTCCGACCATTTTTATCGACCACAGCAACAATCGCTCCGCGATCGAGGAGTAAATCAACAACACTTGCAGATCCAGCTCGTGCAGCATCGTGGAGCGGGGTTCGGCCCTCTTTATCGACTGCGTTGATATCTGCTCCCATACTAAGCAGCAGAGAAAAATTTTCTGTTGATAGGAATCGAGCGGCCTCATGGAAAGGGGTTCGGCCATCTTTATCAACTGCGTTGACGTCTGCTTCCTGGCCAAGTAACCGACGAATATCACTTATTTGTCCATTTCGAACGGCGCTATGGAGAGGGGTTCGATCATTGCCATCCAATGTAGGGGTGTTGGCACCTTTGTTGAAGGCCGAGAGAACAGTAGCTGAAGGCCCCTTTCGTCGAGAAGAAGGGATGGCACCCGCAGGTATTGGGTACTCTATTTGCCACTCACATCAGATAATTCTGCAGTCTAGATAAGCCGCGAATACTCACCTTTGCCATCTGATGCTAGGTATTGTGGAATTTCGGCTTTTGGTCCGTAGTATTGACTGGATTGGTGTATTGTAGCATCCCGATATCGTTTTAATTGCATGTCTTGTCCTGCAGAAAGGTCAGGCTGGTCTCATTTGTCTCTCCATAGCAGGGCCACCTTTATGAAGGTTGTCCATGCGGCTACTTTCTTCATGCATTTGTTCCCATCTTTGCGTATCAAGCTTCATATCTTGAATCTCTTCCTATTTGCTTTCAATAAGTGGTTTTTGAGAGCTACAAGGTGCCATCACAGATTAGGGAAGAGACATACCGCTGTGAGCATTCGAGGGCCCGTAATCCAATAGCCTGATTTACCCTAGATGCAAAAGCGTCAGAGATAGTAGTATGGATGGAGGCGCAAGCATGCAAAACAGAGAGGCAAACCTCATTTTCCCCTCGCTTTACGAGAGCATCGGGTCCCAAGTATTGCTGGATGGCGGCTTGGATGACGATGCGGGCAATACCCTCATCGGGGAGCCACCAGTTTTGCAATCGCGAACTCATGATGATAGGTGCCGAGAGTGAGAGGGAACAGTGCTATTGTTGAGATAACAGAAGAAAGGGGATGGAGACCTAGCTGATGTTAATGTAAGCAAAGAAGCCAAGGAATGAGGGACGCAAGGCTGAAAGGGACGCAAGGCTGATGATGGTGACGAAGAGGGGCTCTCTCCAGTTTCTTTTGCCGCCTCCTTTATCGTCTGACTTTTAACCGATAAGGCTGGCAAGTATTGCGAAGACGTGAAATCCACCTGTTGATTTGAGAATGATTATATATCACGATTCTATGAATGATAAGCCACCTAGAAAATGATATGCTTTCATCTCTCGAGGCGAACGTGTCAAATTCGCTTGGCAGAGAGTGATATATTCATGGTGTATGACGCAGCGGAGCCTTCCGCCACTAGCAAGCTGCGGGATGAATGCTACTTGTAATCCTTGCTATGCCTGAACGAAATGAAGTGAGAATCTCCAACAAACTCCCACAATTTACGCTTCGTGAAACCAAGTCTTTCATTGTGGATGTAAGAGTGTGAAGATAGTGAGGAAGCAGCCGTGAAATTATCGAAGGTTCTAGGAAGGTTGTGCCATTACACCCCAGTGCAGAGCCAAGGGACGGAAGAGAGTCAGAGCCGATAACGAGCCTGGAAATACAACAGCTTGCACATTAAAAGCCTTATGAAACGAAAAGCGATAATCTGCGACCGCTTTCCATCTCTCTATAGCCCTATGATGGATAGAAGCCGATCCTAACTTCTCGACCTTAGTCATAGTGTGATACATTGATAAGAGCAAACACCGCCTCATTGCCGATAACGAGGGGACCTATAATATGGGGGGAGTTGGAAGCGAAGCGTGCAATATGTCAGGTGAACGCGAGAAATGCCACAGGCAGGCGAAATGTGGATACAATTTGTCTGAACGGCGGTACTGATAAGAGATTCTTCGTTCTATGCGCCATGTATGATGACTGGGGTTTAACTGTAGCTTCAGAGACTTCATTGCAACCAGTCACAGATAGTCTATCTGTCGATTTGTCTAGCGACGGAATTCATTCAGCCCCGCAACGCCACCTCAGAGGCGGAGGGCCACATTTCTAAATCTGCCAGCGTGCCAGCGCACACTTTTTCCCGCATTCCCCACAAACCATGTGGCTTACACGTCCCGTGTTGGATCGGTAGATCCGCTATTAGAGCGTGTTTCAGTCTGTCGCTGGTTGCTTGCATTACTTACACCCCGGCTTGTAGGACACTATCGAGATGGTCTTGTCCTATACAAGACGCCTATCAGAGACTTTATTGGAAGCACCATTCTCTCCCGGCCTACCAAAGATGCGCAAATCTCTATCACAATCTGCAACATGCGCCCATACAAAACTTTGCTGCATCTTCCCACCATAGGAAACCATACTTCACATAGCTTAAATGCGGTTGGCGGGTGTCATGTTCGCTTGGCTTTCCCTCTTTCAACTACTCATATGCATGACCTCCCCACTTGTTCTGCAAATTATTAGACCTGATAGACGAACATCTTTTCACCAACGCTACGATGGCGGGCTGAGCTTCACAGCATTCATGAACGCCTTCTCCTTTCGTACATTCTGTCCTTTTCAGCTAAAGTCAAAGTTCATGCCAGCCGGCAGATGGCTTCGACCCCGTAACCACAGCATGCATGTCTATCGCAGGTCTGGCCTTGATCTAGCGGCCGAGTTATAACATTACACCCCCCTATTGGCCCTCATCATGGCTGGAATCGTTTGATGGCTAGCTGAAGTTCCATGCTAAACTGAACCTATGTGATGAGCTGTATCTCGATTGTACGTAACAATGGTTTTTTGAGCATGTTCCAGATAACGTGCGAAGGGGAACTTCAGCATCCAAGAAAACAGGAGGCACCCTGCAATGCATATAAGAAAGCATGAACTGCTCGATCTTGTGTTAAATTCTAGTTTCACTTTGTTCTTTTCTCCAACATCCATCTCGAACATTTTTACAGTGATATGACTACCGACTTCTCTATCCGCGCGGCATATGCGCAGAAGATCTTGCGTGAGCATGTCCTTCAGAAGTTTAATCTTCAGCATGGTACCAATCGCGATGAGTTGCCTGAGCTTCCTCCTCAGAACAGTGCACCAAAAGCCCCGCCCATTCCTGGAACTATTGGCATCATAGGTGCCGGAACAGCTGGCCTTCAGGTTGCTCTTATTCTTCTCGCCTGCAATATCACCAATTTTGAGATGTTGGAAGCGTCTGATGACGTGGGTGGCCGTGCTCATACGATCAAATTTCCAAAAGACGAAACCTGTCCTCACAATTACTATGATGCCGGTGCCATGAGGATTCCTGACATTGGCGGCATGGACAGGCATGTCTACAGTTACACTCATTCTTCTCAACAGAGGCAATACTAACAAAGCGACAGCATGATGAATATGATAGACTGGCTAGGACTGAGAGAAAAGAAGGTTACATACAATTACACTAATAAAAAGGAGCCGAGCATGTATCTCTACCAATCCAACATGTAGGTACATACGCATATGGCATTCTTGCCTCTTGGGCAATCTAGAAAAGTCTAACAATTGCGTGTAGCGGTGATGTGGAGAAGCGCAACGCAAAAATTGATGAAAGATTCAAGAACGTGATGAGGGCCAAAGGGGTCGGAGAAGGCTTTCTTAACGCAAAGACTGAGACAGAGTTTGAAGCGGCTTTCGAAGAGTTCTTGGATGGTTTAAAGGACAACTTCAGCACACGAAGCTTTTTAATGACAGGACTAGGCCTTATTGATCCATTCCGACGTCTGTAAGTGCCACGAGCATGACATACCATGAAAACGGACCCTGACGATGCTACAGCTTCTCCTACGGAGAAACGGTGGTTGCAGAAACATTTGAAACGTAAGAATCACGCTTTGATAATAAGAATTCTCCTCCGCTCACCTGCGATAGATCCACTGGCCTATTTGACCAAGCTCTTCTCGAGACCATCATCGATTTCTGTGACTTCGAAGCGACTAAGGATGTAAAATGGTACCGCATGGAGGGTGGAATGAGTACTGTCCCTTATGCGATGCGCGACTACATCTTGAAACAAACACCGAATGCCATAGAATGGAATGCACCGGTTGTCGCACTCGCAGACAGCGGCTCCATGATAACCGCTACTCTCCAGAACGGCACCAAGCGCCAGTACACCTATGTCTTCAACACAACTCCCATGAGCTGTCTCGGACAGATGGACTTGTCCGGATTGAATATTGGCCCACTGAGTGCGATGTCCACTATAGATCAGAATCCCCTCACAGCCATCCGAACGCTTGCCTACGACAGAGCCACAAAAGTTGCCATCAAGTTCAAGACGCCTTGGTGGGAGACGATCGTCCCCGATGGTGGAGTCTCCAACACTGATCTGCCCATCGGCAATGTGGTTTACCCTTCCTGGAATGATGGCAGCGACACACCCCACGTAATCATTGTCTCCTACACCTGGGCTCAAGACGCAACTCGTATGGCCTCGCTTATCACCGACGCGTCTAAGTCAGGAGAATACAATCCCGACGATTATCTCGTGCAACTCTGCTTCAGAGACCTTGCTCTCCTGTGGAAAGACCACGGCGGGCCAAGCGCAAGTGACCTGGAAAAAAGCTATGAAGCGCATTCCGCCTGGTCGTGGTCCCAGAATCCTTGGTCCTGTGGCGCATACGCTCTGTTTGCCCCGGGTCAATTCAAACACATGTACAACACTTTCACGAAGCCGTTGTGCAATAACAAGCTAATGGTCTGTGGAGAGGCCATCAGTGCACACCACGCCTGGATATCTGGCGCACTTGACAGCGCGTACAACGCTTGTCTGGCGTGGGCACATGCAATCGACTCTACTGGCGGCCTCGCGAATGCGATAACAGCGACTCCCTTTGGTGGCGGAAAAGACCATGACACAAAGGAATATGACTCGAACTTGTGGCGTCATCATGTGGCTCTTTCGTAGACGTTTCATGCTTTCTAAATCGTTCCTTCTGTTTGGTCAAACGGCTACACTTAGCAGCGGAGCTCGTCTCTATTCGTTGCATAACAAGTTTTCAACTCTTGAACCTCCTTTCTTCTCGCGAAAGATCAAAGTATACTCTTTTTATGGGCACAAGTATTCAAGCGCGTGTCTTATGTTCTCTCTCAGTTGCACTCAGCATATGAAGACTTAATCAGTGCAACATGAACCTAATCGTCACTATATACCAAAGCAACAATTCCATATAACGAGTTCGTTTACATATCAACCGAGTGCTCGTCACCGCCTCCCGCATCCAATATCTTTCATTCTATGCTTCCCTGGCCAAGTACGTTAGTGGAGATCAACCTCTCGTTCTTGTCACGCCCTGCTATATGACCGATGAGATGATGGAACCCAACAAAATCCTTCAAGGGGACGCGCAACAAGAGTACTTGTAAATAGAAACTTCCATTTGTCTTGTTGATACATTACTGCTTCCACCTAAGCGCTTCAAATATTAATTACATCTACCACCAACTACCTACTTCCTTAAAGGCATTGAACCTTCACATATCCACCTTCTAAACCCTACCATATTCATGGGATATCATTACCTGATGTGAATTAGATCAAAGCGCCAGCGACGCCAAAGGCTCCAACGACTGCGGCAACGGCACCGGGCAACACAGCATTTGCACTTCCGGTAAACTCCGTCACTCCCGAGCTCGTCGTCGTTGCAGCTCCAGCATTACCAGTGGGTGTGGCGATGGCGGCAACCGTCTTCAACAGCTCCGGTGTTGTCGTGTAGGCCATGAGGTCGGTTGCAAAGGATATACTCGAGAAGGGGAGGCTGGCAACCGGTGTGGCGCTGGGGAAGGCGAGACGCTCGGAGGCGGGTGCGGAGGGCTTCAAGGACGCGCGGTCAAAGGAACCTGGGGCGATGACACTAGATTGTCATTTAGTATTTGTGAGATGTTTTGAGGTGATAATGGAGAGGCTTACTTGTCGATGACATGTGCGACGCCGTTGTAGAGAATGTTATTGGGGAAGACAATCCTTGCGTTGTTGACCCATGCCGAACCATCAGGCAACACTGTGATTGTCAAGTCCTCTCCCTGCAGCGAAGGTACGGTGACATTGCCCAACGAGGGGGAGAAAATCACGTTATTGGGGATGATGTGGTAGCTGAGCACGCTCTGAAGGGTCTCGAGGTTTGCGGACGCGAGAATCGAGCCGATATTCTCGAAAGCCTCATCTGTGGGGACGAAGATGGTGTAGTCAGAGATGTTGAGGCCTTGCACGTCGGCGCCCGTCTCACCGAATGCAAAATTCAGGTGGGCGGCTTCCAACGCAGCGTTCATGTTGAGGTAACCGCCTCGGAAGGTGAAGAGCTGAAAGGGCGCGCCAAAGGAAAGAACAGTGTCGATTTTGTGGATAGTAATTCCTTCTCCTAGTTTGATGTTCTATTCACTGGTCAGTAAAATTAACGTTCGGAGACGGGACATGGAGATACGAACGGCCTCAGTGACAGTGGAGATGGTCTGCTCTCCAGAGATGATGCATACATCGTCTCCATTCTTGACAAGACCATTGTAGGCTCCGCCAGTGAAATTGGAGAAAGGCTGACGGTCGATGATGTACGAGATGTCGAGCAAGGTCTGGGCAAACGTGGGCACGTCCGTGATAACATCTGATGGATACACGCCTTTGAAGACGTGATTTGCAAGAAGCGCTCCGATTGCGACGGTGTCGTTCTTTTGCTCAATAGCCTCGCCTTCCGGAATGTTTCGAGGCACTTTCGCAAAAGCTTCGTTGGTCGGCGCTACAATCGTAATGTTCGATGCTGCAGCGAGAGTGTCTGCAAGACCAGGCACAAGACCAACTAGTTCAAGAAGCGTGCTGAGATCTTCCTGAGATGCCAAAAGAGCTGCAATATCTCCCTGAGCCATACAAGCTCCAGCCATTGCCGCAAGAGACCAAAGTGATACGCGCATAGTGGATGTTGGATATGAAGGATGTCGGTGATGTGATGGCGAGAGCGAAGATCGAGAGAAAGAGGCGGTTCTGTGTGCTTGAGAAGGTATGAATTGGATCTTTCACAGTTCCTGACATAGCTCTTTATACATTCTTCCCCAGCCCATGATCATGAAGGGGTTCTGAAGTTTCACCGAGATCATGGCCTGCGTGCTGACAAGAATCCTGGTGGCCGGTTGTAACCCATGGGTTGTTCCATGGTCGCGATGAGAAATTGCAACAATCGAGCATCTTCAGCTCCTTCACTTTCCAAAAACTGTTGTTCATGGCATCATCGAAGTATCGCGGTCCATGTGGTTTAGTGTGCACAGCCTTTGCCCAGAGTTTGACTGTGCCAGGGGATGTGATGACATTGGTTAAGCGATGCATTCCAACGGCGGATTTTCCCCGGCGGCCGCTAAGAAATTGGAATTGCGGGGACGGCCAGAATTCACCGAATCCTTCTTCCCCCCTTACAGGTTTAAACCATTCGCAAGCAGTATACCATGCGACTCCGGCAAATTAAATATTTACGCCCTGCCAATGCAATAGGATTCACGGTGAACACTTGAGTACTTTGACTTTTCATTGCTTCCACGTTGTATATTTCACCCACTACTAGATGCTATGCAATTACGCAGCGACGCAAATCCCGATCCATGCGTTTTATCATGCTATTCGAAAAGGCAGTCGGGGATACCGACTTTACACCATTACTAATTGGCAAGGTTAGACTCGTACCTTCGAAGGATAGCAGTGTAATTGTTATACCACTCCTCCAACCAACTCGTCGCATCAAACATGCGAACCGTGTAGCAACTCATTGTGGGATCGATATCCTTCAATTTTGCCGTCAATTCCCTCAACTTCAACCCACATTCCTCAATGTGAAAAATCTCTGTCGGCAGAAACCGTCCGTATGTGTTTGCAGGGTCAGTTCCTGCCACAAGAACGGTAACCAGCACGAAAAGGGCGTAGACTACCGTTGGAGTGAAGCAAAACGTGGGGAGGCTGATCGCAATCTCAGGGTCCATTTCGGCGATAGTGTCAATGACGCTGTGGCAGTGGAAGACAATAGCTTCTAGAGCGCTTTGGAGAGGCGGGATAGCGACGAGTGGTTTGGGAAAGTCTTTTATGGGAATGCGTCCCGGGATGAATGGCGCTGCGAAGGATGGCTTGTTGGTGGGGGTGTGCAGGACGGGCTCGTAAATGTATATCATGGCTATGTGCCGCAGCACGTTGAGAGTGGATGAGGATGCTAGTTGAGTTGGGATTTGTGCTGCCCATGCGTCCACTTTGCTCTTCAATTCCTCCATTACAGTATGAATGGAGTAGTCGTTGGCATCAACGAACGACGTCAATTCGCAAAGGGACAAGCGCTTTGAGATCTCTTGAATTATCTGGGTGATGCGGACAATTTGACACATAAGCATGTCAAGTGGATCTCCAACACATTCGAGATACAACATGCATTCTTGATGATGGCCGTCCCACGACACTGCACTGGGTCGGCGCATACTCATGGACGAAGTCGAGGCCGCCACAAAACAAGCGAGCCAGGTACGCCGGGCCTCTGCCGACGTTTCATCCTCGTGCCGGTCGAAGTAAGCCACTGGAGATGGCTGCAGCGCAAAGCCGGCAATTCCAATATCAATAGCCATGTCAACGGCCAGTTGAACAATCTGGTAACAACTCCCTTGATACCCTTTTCGTGTAGTCTTCACCCAGAGTGCAGCCACCAGAAGCGCCTGTACGAGTTCCAGAGACCTCTGCCCTCGACCAACTACTTCCTCGCCTAACATGTGCATCGTCTCTCGCACAAGCTCATCATGTACCTCTAGCTCCGTACCTTGTGTGGCATGGGTGACTGTATACACCAAAATGGATAGTAACAGGATTGGCGACTTTAAACGAATCCGGTCCAAATCGGAAGGCACGCGGATTAGGGGCCATGCAGCTCCCGCGTGATGCAAGTAGAAGTCGAGTAAAGGCTGCTGTCTGCTAAGCGGGATGCGAGCGTCCAAAAGAGATAGAATTGCATTCTCGTGGCTGTTCTCCAGCAGCGGCAGGCTACCCGGAGACCGACTGGGCGTCGTACTGTTGCTTTGTTCCCGCAATACATTCCTAAGTTCCTGGACTTGGGATTCGAGCTCCTTGATGCGATCGCGTTGAAGGCGTGGTGCTGCTGGTGTACACTCCAGGCTGTTACGAGTACATCGATCGCATATTCCTGACGAGGATGTGCCAACGTCGCACTTGATTTTGAGTCGATGACATTCTTCACAAGCACGAGATCGTTTTCTCATAATTGAGGACTGTTGCTGTACTACTAGAAGAAGTAATTCGTTTAAATTCTAACTCTTCTATGGTTGGGTCCAGTATTGATGGCGATGTAGGTACCAGGAGGCACGTGGTCTGATTGGCTGACGAAAAATCGAGGACGTATGTGGCTGACTTGTAGGTTCGACTTGGGACTAGTGCGATTGTCCCTTAGCGGGAGCATCCGTCGGCTACTTGATCTGTTCGTCTAGAAAAAGAGAGCAAGTTTGAGAGTGAATAGAAGAAAGCCAACCTCTCAGGTATGTGAATCACTTTTATGATTTTGTCATATAACCTCTATCGGCAAGCTTATTCAATCCAGGGAGCTCAATAATTCAAGGCAACTAAACCGTAAATCATTCGGCAGGCTATGATGGGGATTTCAGGGGAGTAAACCGGTGACACACCACATCGAACCAGTCTTGATATCATCAGACATAGAGTTAGAGCCGCAGCAAAGCACAGCCGCATGATCTGCATTCTCCGAGAGCACTAGAATGCCGTGGTTGAGGCTGATCAATATACAGAGCAGCGGGCTCCCACAAGCAATCACTAACTGGTTAGGATATCATAGTTTCAACAATTGCTGCATTGGACTCTCAGGAAGAGCATGGCCTCCGAAATCTGGAGTGGCAGTGCGGCAAAATCGAAGTCACCGGTCAAGTTTCTTCAATTCAGTGTCCAGCCGAGAGTAAGCCACGTTTTACTGCTACTGTTAACGCGATCTTTGAACATTATATGTTTCACATCAATCGACTCTCCGTGTACGATCTATCCCATTTTTTTTTTCAATTGAATGGTTATGTATATTGCGGAATCAGTACTGCCCGGCGGTCACATTCGATAGAAGAACGCACCATTTGATATCTAGTTCCGACTTGATCACCAATACCATTATTTCTAAAATCATCGACCATCAAATTCCTGAACGGGCAGCAACCTCTCACAGAGAATCCAACTCTGCCCGCCAAGTACAGTCCCCTTTACTCAGACTTCTTAGTCCGCATCTCAATCCTCGCCACCAGCTCATCATTAATGGGCGTCGGCACACCCAGCTCCCTTCCCCTCCTACACCAATACCCATTGATATACGCGATCTCCGTCTCCCTCCCCGCCCTAAGGTCCCAAACCATTGAACACGTAGTCTCCCTTGTCCGCTCGATAATGCCCATCACAGTCTGCTCAAGCACTTCGGGAGAAAACCGTTGTCTGACACCCGGTGCACCTTGGAATTCGGGCATAGCCAGCACGACGGAAGAGATTTCTCTCATGAGTGACCGACAGATGTCGGGTATGGTGAAGAGGTATTTGTTCTGTGAGTCCGCGAGCGCGCAGAGTGGGTTGCAGAAGGCGTTTACGCTGAGCTTTTCGAGCTGGATTTGGAAGATGGAAGACCAGTCGTAGGAGCGGCATTTGAAGCGTGGAACTTGGGGGAGGGCGTCCAACAGGTATGAACTTGAATTGGATGTTGTTGGTTTTGATGGGTCTGATTTAGAGGGCTCGTTTCGCGGTACGGGGCCTATCGAGGTTGCTGCGAAGCCGGTGTGGGTGATGTCGAATGGTTTGTTCATTGTTACTCCATGAGATATGACACCAGTAATGTAGTTGGGTCGTAGTTTGGGATCTTGAAAAAGATGCTTGTTTACATCTTCAATCATTCCGGCACCGTTCTGGAGAAACATTACGGTGGAGTTTTGGTTTAAGCGGGACCCGAGTGACTGGAGAGCAGCCACGGTTTGGGTAGCCTTAACGCAGACAATGAGATGCTCGATTGTCCCAGTCGCAATGCCATTTGGTTGTCCTGTAATTGGATCGATGCTGTGATCCGAATTCAAAGAAGCGTGATGCCATCCTTTATTGTGAAGGACTTCAAAGTCATAACCGCCGTGACTTACGAATTTTCCGTCAGTTGTTTGTAGTCCCAATTTGCATTCATTGCGCCTGTACCCCTCTAACAAAGATAGTCTGTGAAGTAATAATGTCACAGGCGGGCGTCTTGGAATTTCTGCGAGCGAATGAGCAACAAGTGAACCAATACTACCTAAGCCCAGTACGTGAACGCGAGGAGGTGTATTGGTCATAGATACGTTCAGCAAAGCACGCAGGCTCATTATCGAAAAATTGGCATTCCGTAGTTCTACGGAGGTGGTCAGTTTGGAGAAATACCGTACGAACCACGACTTCAAATTTGGATTAATAACAGGTTTCATTACTGGTATTAGACACTGGTGAGTTGAGTTTTCACGCCCTTCCATCGTACAAGTGCATACTTAGTATTAACTGTGGCAGACATATTAGTGAACATGTAGTTCGTTACTAGTAATGCTCAGAGGCATCTTGAGCCCAATGCTTCACGCCCTACGCCTTGACCTTAGCGTTGAGTGCTATGTTCACTAATCTTTACAGGCTCGGCCCTCGCATTCTACATAGTATCCCTACATTATTGTCTGATGATGATCATCCCAGGTTAGCTGAGGAATTTTAATTTGACCATGATATGAAATCGTACTATGTTGTTGTGCGCACTACCCACTTTCATTCTAGGAACAGTTCGTGGGCAAATTGAGGCCTTCTTTCGCGTAAAATAGTCACGATAGTCTCTGAAATGAATGGTGAGATAGCATAAACCATTACGAATGTCATTATCATTAGCGTTATTTAATTTTCCAAAAACCCTTCGCATCGCATCTCTTATTCGCTCCAGCCATTTGAATGTCGAAATTTGTTCAGCCAGTGGGGATTGTCCGCGAGCGTTGTATTCCAAGTATCAGTGCCATCTTGATAGGTGACACGCCGCGACTCATTCTGGAACATCTCATCCGTCGGTATGATCCCGTTGGCAATCTGCTCCCTCGCGAAACTAGCCAAATGCCGGGATAATAGGTCGACGTAGCAAAGCCCTGCATCTGGTTGCACCAACGGAGATTGATCGACCGGATTCGAAAGAGTCGCGAGAGAGGGAGGCATCCCGGGAGTCTTTTGCTCTTGTGACATTGTGGTTGATCCTGGTGCAGAACTTTCGACGTTGAGCGCCATCTGTTTGAAGTGGTCCACAGAGTCAGGATTTGTTGCCGAGAAAGGGACGGGAGATAGAGACTCGAGTCCAAGAACGTATGGAGGTAGATTGTTGCAAACGCGGGCAGCGACAGCCGGACTAAACCCATGATCTCCCTTCCAGTCTATCATGGTTTTTCCTTCGCGGAAATGTGCAGCTAAATGGTCAGTTCGCTCGTCCCAGCTATTGAGCGCGGCGTCGCAAAATCCACAGCGGGATACGACAGGCAAGATCTCCACCTTCCAATCCTCAATCAAAGGCATTGTTTCCAGTCGATGGAATAGTCGGAGGTGTTGCACGAGGTGATCCTTCCTCCGAAACGTACGCGGAGTACTCGCATTACTTTGGCATGCTTCGTGGTTGTGTGACTTTAGATGATCTGTGTTAGGATCGAGTGCGCTGCAGTAGGCACAATGAACCCTTCCGGTATGGGCAAGCACAACGCATCCACCCTGTGGGGAGCAGACCCACTCTTCCATGCTCAGATGCAATGACTTTTCGTGTCGGGACCAGTCGTATTTGTGCTTGAATGTATCACAGCAGAATGTGCACTTGAAGATGCGATCTGCTGTGTTCATGTCCTTCTTCCTCGTAGACTTTGGCCTCCTGCGGCCTTTTAGGGCTTGTGCACTACGGCTGTTCCCCGAAGTAGCTGAACGACTCGAAGTGATTGATTGAATGGAAGACTCGCTACCCACACTTTCACAACTAGCAATCGAGGCTGGTCTTCGGAACGGGCGGGCACCTTCCGCGCTTATCGGCCTGTCCGTCAACGAGGTCGCACTCCCATTACTGTTTTGCACTGCATTGTAGATGGCAGACAAGGACGAGGCCTCATTCTCAGGCGGCGAGTCTCGCCACCTTTGCATTGGTAGGGAGGGAGACGCGGTTCGTCCTGAATTTCCGGAATGTATTACAATTGGCGCAGACTGCTGAGAGCCTGTCCTACGAATGAAATACTTGCTCCGACGTCGGATCAATGATTGTTGATGAAGTTGGGACGGGCGTTCTGCAAGTGCACTGTGAAGGGGCAAAGAAGGCTCAGGAGATTGAGGTTGGGAGCTTGGTGCCGACACAAGCTGCTCAACGGAGGCCGCTCCAGGTGTTGAATAGTTTAAAGATACAGAAGAATTATTGCCGGATATACCATAGAGGTCAAGGTCAAGCGCAGGGTCAATGGGTGACGGTAATGGGTTGTCTAGGAAGGTTAGAGCATCTAGATCAATCTCCGGGTCCGTCCAGAATAGGTCCTGCCACTCCAGGGGCTGTTGGTTATTCATGTCTGCCATTTCCACTATACGATAGCATGCAAGGGAGTGGAGGAGAGATTTGATGGAGGCCAGCAATCCAAGGAAGAGTGAAGATAAAGCCTGCGTGATTCAGTACCGCCGGTGTCGCTACTAGCTTACTACTTAGCTCAGCCAACTAAAGGAGCAACCACAGGGCTGAATTGCAGTTGAATCTCTACTACAGCACCATATCGCCCATCTAAAATACTTGGATATAATTGTGCTGTCAGACCCAAACATGCTGAATTATTGCCGATAAATGAAGTTGAAAAGGGCACAGTGCCACATTTCCAAACTGTGGTCGAGCCAGAGCCCGTACTGGCCGTTTTGGAGGGAGCCATCTTGCCGGAGACCTTTCTAGGTACTAGATGTGCACACACTCTCGTACGTGCCCTCTCCAGATGCTACTGTATCAACCCGGTTATTACTAGACTGGAAGCTTGTCAACGGCTACACAGAACTTGAGGACTCCGCCAAACTGTATAATGGAGATGGATATGGAAATGGAAATGGTGCAACTCTTCGTCCTATCCCCAAAGTAGACTAGCGGTACTCCCTCACGCCCTACGCCCTACGCCCCACGCCGTAATGGTAGACGGGGACTCACGCCTTGCGCAGCGGCATCGGCGTCGACGTCGACATCGACATCAACGTCGATCTTCATAATTGCAGTAATTGTTGTCTTTCGATCATATACACAAAGGCATCGACTTCCTTGTATCGATGGCTGGGAATTGAGAAGGCGGTATCAAAAATCGTGCCACACACTTTCGTTCCACCCTGAATAGAACATTAACCAATCAGTAACTATTATTGATCGCACAGAAACCTATGTAAATACCGTCGCTGATGGAATGAAAAATTGCAAGAGGAGTCTCAAATACCAATGATCAATTTCCTCCTTGATTCCTCAGGGGTTCTGAAGGCGCACACCTTTATGTGTCCAATCGGGACCAACAATGACCCGCTTTGTCTTCAAATCTCATCCATTAATCGTTTCTGCTCTGGGGGGGACTCATTTGGAATACAAAGTCTGGATCTGACATAGTTTTCTGGGTCAAAACGGTTCGAGTATTCCACACACTGTTAATATGAATCGCTTCTTTCTCGTCCTGTTTCCGGGTGCGCAACAAACAGGAACCATATGAGAGAGATGTTATGCCATACTCTGTACGGATTTGATCGAATAAAGACGAGCATGGTCGGCGTGATCAATTCAAGGCGGATGTCTTTGGCCAAAGGGATAAATGCGTTCTTAATGACCGTAACTGTGTCAGCATTAGCAATTGTGCAAGGTATAAGACGCTGCATGCCTTCTTTCAGCATGCTGCCGACAGCTTCGCCGCTTTTTGCAACCTCCTCGGCCGTTTTTCATTGATGCTATGTGCGAAAAGGGAAGAGAGGTGTTTCACAAACAGTAGGTCTAGGTCATAATGAGGGTCCTTAGGACTGTGTCAACGGTTGAGAAATAATAGAGAGGGAGGTATTAAACACTACTATTGAGAAAGTGACGTCACTAGGCCTTTGTACTCTTTCTTTTCAACCATATTTCCTTCTTTACAGATCCGTTGTTATAGATACAGATTCGATTCTCACCTGGAAATGATTGAAGTAGCTGCACGAGGTAGGGACAAGTCGTCACGATAGCTACGGTACTACATCCCTCGCCCATCTCGTAAAGGTAATTGCAGGGTGAAGCCAAAAAACAGCATCCGAGCAGAGAGGGAGAGGGAATAATTGCCATTCCTCTAAGAATAGGCTATGGAGGGAGATAATGAGCCACTCAGCGCGTAGAATGAAGCACGCAATGCTCTTTGATGACTTTACTCGATGAATCGATCGACATGAGCATCACCTTTAATCGACAGGGACGGACATACAAAGGACACAACCACGTGGGAGCTGTTACGGTACAGGACAGATGATCCACGTGTTTGATTAAGCAGGACCTGGGGTGTGGGCATCCCTTGATGAGAACAATCCAATCCACATTGATCATTCGACATTGGTGTACGTACCTATCCTATCTCATTGTCTGGTACACCACAAGCAGGGCCGAATTGATATACGAGTACGAAAGGAGCATTGAGTGTAATTAAACCCCACCCCCGCCCAATGCACTGGGTCATGCGCTAGTATGAAATGGTCAATAGTCTTCTTATTTTAGAGATCTACAGTCCTGCAATAATACCTAGGTAGCTACAATGTAACAGCCTCAACAGGTGATGCCAAAAATGGCACCCGTCACCACAACTACCACCGCTACCCATACCACTACCGGCATCCATTAGGATCGACGACGCTTTTACAGACGAACGTTTTCGTTCTGGAAAATGACGGAATACTGTGCTAACTACTTGTCGCCATTTTTCTTCTAGCTTAGTCTGTTGCTCATCTCGAGAACGCAACGTATTCTACACAGTAGAGACTCCACCAACCTCAACTGCATCTTTGTAATGTTCTGGGTTTTTAGAAAGACAACCCCGTCTTCAAGTCCGATTTCCAAAGCAACTCTTGTTGCACACGGTGTACATTTCGGTGTGAACTAGACCAAAGTCCATGGCCAAAATTGGGTTCACTGGGCATGTTGGAGGACGACCGAAGTCCGATCGTCCAAAAACATAGCCGCAAGGGCTTCTACCTCCGTATCTACACACATACCATATGACTATCTATTACTGTCCACCCTGAGCATGGAAAAGTGATCAGGCGACAAATTACCAACTCCGGTTACTCTCGGAGTTTGGGCACAACCACAACTTCTCGAAGTCCGATGCTCATTGCTGAGCAAGCGTCTAAGGACCATCTGTAATAACAACAATTCTGCGAACAAAATCAGATTTCCATCGCACTTTCACGTATCGCGCGTGCTTGTGCCAAGTTTGTAACGCCTGATGCGCTCCAGGCATGTGGCTTGAATAAATCCTGCAGTTGGTATATTTGGTACCAATCGCTTACTGATACTTACACGCCATGAACAGTCTCTCGAAAGTGGCAAGGAGCAAGGAAAAGAATGGTCAACAAACCATCACGGTATACGCTCAATAACATGCCCAAACAGAGGCTCGGTGAGGCTAAACTATGATTCCGACTTACAATCGTGCCATTATCCGCGCTCAACGAGAACTAGTGAAGTATCGACAGCTCGCCCAGCCCTAGGGCACCACTAGCAGTCGCTTCAATCTTCGAATACGGCGCCAACTCGATGCAGCCTCATCTTTCCCTTATAATTTGGTAATGATGCTACTATCTCGTGTAGATCCTGCCCTATTCCGCAATAGTCAGGTCCGCATCTTACTGCTCAACTTTCTGCATAATGGCAAGATAACAGTTACGCTACGGACTTCGCTTGTTTGACCAAAGCAATGCTTAAATGAACCAGCGGCCAGTTAAAATAACGTTCCCCAGACTTTGGACTACTATCTAGTGGGCCATCCCTGCAACATGCACTCACACAGATGGGGGAGAAAGGTCCTGCAAACCGCGGACTACGGGATCGGCATTCTGTGATATCGAGAAGTGGGCCTCCCTCCTGAATATGATATCACTTCTCTGATTGCGCGTAGTTTGGCCTTACAAATCTGAACAATAGACTACCAAGATGCTAGAACTATACCTAACAATTCCTAGTAGTTTATACCACCCTGCCAGATTGAGCACTGTTCATAGAGCCGAAACGTCACGAACTCCTAGAATTATCAGCGTTTGCAACCTGCGGAGCGGCTTGCTGCTACGCTGGGACTCACCGTGTTAGTTCACACCAAATACGGTCTACCTTCTTTGTTATTACCCCTTCCGCACTGTACTTGTGTTTTGACTGGACTGACTACACATGCGCTCAGCCAAGCCCATGCCAATGCCGCCTACTAGTAAATTCCAAATCTGGACGCTTTGATGCCAGATGTAAAATTGTCCGTGGTACTAAACACTCCACGGTGCAATCATAGTCTCAGTTTGCACTACGTTTGGGCAGAATGCATGTCGACTGGTCTAGGTGTTGCCTCACATAAACACACCGCTCTTGCATTCTGGAATGGTCCACTGCAAGGATGATGTATACCGGACATGGTCATGCACATGGTCACGGTTACGGTCTAAACTTCATTTCGTAACTTGGCGGATTCCATGATCCCCAGATAGCCAGATCGAGTGAAGCGAGCACATCAATTACTACGACAGGGTGTGAGTATATAAGATCCAGATGGTCCCCCTTCATCCAGCTCATCACTACAGCTCATCAGCTCAGTATCCACATTCGTTACTTTTCTTTCACTCTTTTGGTTTTTAACCTATCCATTCGTTCAATACAACACTCATTTTTTTTCTTTGCGAAGCATCTCCAACATGCTCTTCTCAGCCCAAAAATTTCTCATCGGAGCTACTGCTCTTCTCTCCACCTTTTCTGCAGTCAAAGCCCAAACCGACTGCGACAACGGGCCATGGGAAGGTGTCCAGGTCATCGGGCCTGGCACGGGCGAGACCTTCTGCGCAACCAAGTTCCCCCAAGGCCTTGTTGTGACCGGTATTGAGGTCTGGGCCGATTTCGACTTCGTCCGTGCCGTCCAGTTCTACTACTCCGATGGCTCAAACAGCGAGCAGTACGGTGTGATCGCTGGAGAAAATCACGCTCGTTTGGACTGGGACCCCGCTACTGATGTTATCAGCCAGGTCAAGGTTTGGGGCAATGGTCGAGGAAAGGGCACCGGCCGAATCTACGTCCGCACTGCAAGCGGGAAGGAGTTGAACGTTGGAAAGAACACTGATGGTCAGATCGTCATTGAGCCTCCTGTCAATTCTGGTGTTTTGCTTGGCATGGTTGGAGCTAAGGGAGACTATGTCGATCGCATTGGTTTCCTTTTCCTGAAGAGCAAGGTCGCCAGGATGTCGGTTGACAACGTTGTCTTCAAGGAAACTCCCGAGGAGCTCAATGCGCGAAAGCAGTAAGTTGTCCCCACTGACCGTCTGATTGCTTCTCTTGAACCACATTACTAACAATTCTGACAGGGGTCTTGAAATGTTCACTCTCGATTACGCTGACCATACAAACAACCGCCAGGATGGCAACGAGACATTCACCTTCACCAGGTCCACCACCCAGTCTACCTCCAGGAAGTACTCAACCAAGAACACCAACACCTTCGGCTTCGACCAAGCCTTCAAGGTCAGCGGCAAGCTCCTCGGCATTGAAATTGATTCCACTTCTACCCTCAAGTACGGCTATGCGAACGAGCAAGGACAAGAGTCCTCTACAGATGCATCGGTTACCCTTACCTACTGGGTGGCCAACAACATGAAGCCCGGTGACCGCGTCTTTTGCCGTGCTACGGCAGAGCGAGGCCGATACAACGGTGCCTACACTGCCACAGTCAACGTTGAGATCGAGAGTGGAGAGACGTTCAGCTTTGGCAGCTCCGGCACTATGGATCAAGTCCAGTGGAGTCAAGCCTCTTCGGAGTGCAGAGACACCGACTTCACAGCACAAGAGAAGCAGGTCAACCTCGAGGCTCGCCGCGCTCTCAAATTCATGGCTTAGGCAGTTTCTTTTGGCTTTCACCTCGGCATCGGTCCAAAGGATTTCTGAGAGTTCAATTTCGTTTTGCATAGCACGGCAGGTGTTTTCTTGGGTTTCTAGAATTGGTTTCCATGTTTTATCGCACTTTGTATCATTACATTCCTGTATCCTTTACTGTACAGACAACGATAGAACGACAATAAAGAGAGATGCTTTCAACATATTCCCCACTTCTTCGTAAACACCACTTTATTATTGAAAACCACATCTACACTGATTAGACATGTACAGATCTTGTACGGATCGCATCCCAAGATTTTATGATACCATCGTTTTGATCGATCGACCGCGCCGTCCATTTGTTCCTCAATGTCGTCGCGAGAACCAGCGCGCAAGAATGTAACGAAAGTCAAGCTCTTCTGAGAGTGGCCGATAGGAGTTAGAGTCAGTGTGTTTGTTTCACTACCTGTGTTGATGATTACTAAATTACACTTCACACCCCGCGCTTCTAACAGGACCACTCCCCCATCGAACGCAGTACATTATTTTCGTATAACCCAGTGTTCTTGTCGGCCTCATCCACACGCACACACATGCATGTACTCTGTTCATTCCCCATTATCAATAGCGACTAGTTGATGATCACAGTTCTGTTCATATAATTGCAAGAGACAGATTTCAATCGCGTCACGCGACCACGCAATACGCTCAAATATACAGAAATCACAGGTACAAACGCATGATTGTCGGGGAACATCAAGATGTAATGTTACATTGAATGATGAAACAACCGGTGAGTTTACTAATGAGATACGGCAGTGGAGTTGGAGTAGATAATTAGTTGCGGTTTGGGAAAGAGGCACTCTACAGATAAGCGATGGTGTCCTGTAGCCTTAAGAGTAATCAAGAGATCTCCGAAGGTAGGTCTAACCTCTCCCTCTCGACCATGAAAATGGAAGCCCGGCTTCAGAGCTATACATGGACGCGACAGCAATAGATCCGTTGCGATCGAAACGCCGAGGATGTGCTACCCCGATTTTGGTAGAATCTACAACTCCGCATTGTTGAAATCCCGTATCCATCCTTGTTGTGTAGACTGGTGGCGTCACGGGCGTCATGCAAGCCAACCGTCTTCGCTTCTACAATGAACGGGTCCGGGATTGTGGAGCGGGAAGAAACATTTCCCTCCGCGAGCGCGGACCTCGTGCTCTCTTTCTCTAATTTTCTCTTATCTACGCCTCGTCCTGATCAAGTAATGATGCATGCGATGTCGCTGGACAGCCTTGAAATTGACATCTTGGAATGTTCGTCCCTTGATTAGGCGAGATGCAATGTCAGTTAAGGTTGTGAGGTAGTAAACGAGGCATGCATGCGGTTCTCGCGCCGTTCAGCAATGAGATGCTTTGCAGCAAAAATATTTCGATGGATCTATACAATGAAGTTCGACCTTGACATAATGAAATAGGCTGAGTCTAAAATGCTGTCCTTGCTTGAACTAGACATTTCTACGGACACCTAATAAATTGCTTGCACCTCTACATACATGAGCAAGCACCGATTTCGCGGCCTTGAAGTATCGCTGTGGCTTATATTCAATTAAAGTCGCTTGGTGCTGCTAGTATACAAGTCCAAGGAGGACTTGTCTGAGGAGCACAATAGGTGTTCTGCCCAAAGTGTAAGCGCATCGTAATGATGATAGTGCTCTAGGGCAAACATTATTGATGAAATGAGCTGCACGAACAGATGTAAGATAAACGATTGAAAAACCAATCGACCTCCCCTGAGATCAGCGATGAAATTAAGTAGTAGAGGAATGACGTGTGTTCATCTGAAATTCACCAATTGTTCAGTATCTGAGTGTTGCCATTGGTTCGTGCATTTCAATTATGCGACTATTTTTAGTCGGATAACTTTCACGAAGAACATTAAATTAGTACATGCGAACCTCCCCTGAACTACTTTGAACTACTTCTTTTTGGAACCGTTTAGGATGACTGTCGACCTCAGGATACCTCTGATACTGGCCACATCCATAGTCTATCTGTAATTGACTTCTCCACGACATGGCGGAAACATCGATGCGCAACGAACATAGTAGCGCGACTCAGCACTCGCAAGGACTGGATGATGGAAATTCATCAATTCACGACGAGACTGTCAAACGGGAAGCACCTGAACCACCGAATGGAGGAGTTAAAGCCTATCTGAAGATTTTTGGTGGCTTTCTCGTCCTCTTTATAACCCTCGGGGTAGCCTCAACGTTCGGTTCATACCAGGCATACTATGAATCCGATCTCCTTAGCTCGCATTCCTCATCAACTATCTCCTGGATCGGAACGACACAAGTGTTTTTGCAAAGTTTTGCAGGATTATTCTCCGGCGCATTTTACGATGCCGGCTATGCTACAACCTCCCTCGCCATTGGTATGCCACTGCTGGTGCTTGGCCAGATGATGTTGAGTTTGTCTCGCGTGTATTGGCACATAATGCTGTCTCAAGGCTTGTGTATTGGCATTGGTATGCTTTCACTTGGAATTTGTTGTTGACTATGATCACCCGCTGAGTTAGAAACAGGAAGTGGCCTCATCTACGTCCCAGCCGTCTCCATTGTGGCAAGTCAGTTCACGACGAAACGAACGATCGCACTTGGGTTCACGGCAACTGGATCCGCTGTCGGAGGCATAATTCTACCCATCATGTTTCGTAAACTTCTACCAATGGTTGGATTCGGCTGGACCAATCGAGCAATTGGACTTGTTACTCTGATTCTTGCCTCAACGGCCTTTATCCTGTTAACAGATATTTCTTGGTCGTCTCTCTTCCACTTCCGTAACCAGGACATGGCGTCCGTCGAGGTAGAGGAAAAAGAGCCAACTACCTCTGATCAACCATCTCCCTTTCGGTTCACCCGGAAATGCATGGCAGATCTACTTGCAAATCTCGGCGGTCGCTCATATCTCTTTCTTTGCATGGGCGTCTTCTTCGTCTTTCTCGGATTCTGGGTTCCCTATTTTTACATCGTCCCATTCGCTTCGCGCTCCCTCAAGACTTCCTCCGAATACTCTTTCTATCTCCTATCGATCCTCAATGCCGGCAGTATCCTAGGCCGAGTGCTACCCACCTTTCTGGACCGCATCATTGGATCGGCTGCGATATTGTTAGGCGGTGCTACAATACTGAGTGCGATCATTTTCGCCTGGCTCGGAGTGCACGACATACCTGGAATTACTCTGTGGTGCTTTTTTGTCGGGTTCGTTCTTCCCTTTCTTACTCCCCTCGCTCCCACTCACGCTCCAATCCAACTTCCAAAAGTTTAACATCACTTCACCGCTCTGACCATTTTTCTGCAGATTCGCGTCGGGAATCGTGGTGTCCATCCCCAACGCCGTGGCATCCCGTTTGTCGGAGCCTTGCAACGTGGGATTGCGGATCGGATTCATGTGGACTGCTGGTGCCTTTGCTGAGTTGATCGGTGCTCCTATAGCTGGTGCTTTGGTGCAGACAACAGGTCCGGAGAAAGAGAATGTCAACTACTTCGGCGGACAAGTTTTCGGCGGTGCGAGTATTGCTTTGGGCGCTGTGCTGCTAATTGTGCCTGCTTGGTCGACTTTCAAAGAGGATAGAGCAAAGATGAAGAAATCGACTGAAGCCAGCTGAATGCAGAGCAGATATGTTGTCTTCATGACCCTTTTATATTCAAACATTATGAGCCTGTTGTTTCGGCACTCTTGTAACCGCTCGCTATCGTGTGTCCAGGGCACGTTTCCCTCGTCCATTTGCATACGACTGTGGTTAGTATGCCGTGGCATATCAGCCGTCGTCGATGAAACTATGAAGGAAATATTACTGTGGCGATGGCAGCCGTTTACCTACCTTTGCTAGCCTGTGTCGTCGTTATGTAATTCTAAACGTGGTGAAGGACGCGTGCGAATGAGCATGTACGAGCTGTCTGGAGATATACCTATCTAATTGGAGAAACGCATTGATTGTGAAGAAGTTCTCACATTCGATGGCTGTGTATATGGTCGGCACCGGCGGTAAAACGTTCTCTCGGAGCCGAGTGTGGTTGTAAAAACCGGGTCTGGATTGTCCCATGTTCACATATTGTCATACGCCAATGGATTCCGACGAGAGACTTTTCCACAGACTCGTTCGGTATCCATTCAAGCTGAGAGGTCATCGTTCCAGTTCTTTGGGGTCCAAAGACTTTTGGAGCATCTTATTGGCGGCGGAATTCCGTATCGGAACCCACGCGAACCGAGGTAAATCCTACTAAACGAACATTTTTCCTTACTTGGAGAAAGAAAAGATGCTGATTGTAGTCACAGGGATAGGCGAGATTGGCGAGTCCTTCGAGCGTCTCTAAAGTATCTATACAGTAATATAGCCAGATTCAGCCGCACGCCAATAACTGGAAACAGGGCTACGTAAAAGTGTACGACAGCATCCATCTTATTCCCATCTACCGGACCATTGGTGCAGCCTCGTACCCAGTACCAGTTCACTGGATCGTTCGGATCACCCTATCCGTTATGCTCTGACTTTCTCGGGAACATACATACTCTCGCCTTTCTCAATTTTAGGTCAGGTGGTGGAAGCTTCCAATGTCTCTGGCACTTATAAATGCAACTACTGACAGAACGTTTGGCTTCTAGCCCCATTATACAAAGAGAAGAAAGACAACGAGACTTTGGATTTCGAGTACCTCGAAATAATAGCCAAAGTAATAAATCGTATGGCTTCATTTATTTGTTTTCTATCTGCCAGACTACTGCTACAGCCTCATACACAGATCCAGCTTGCTGGATCGTTCGGGTCGCCCTCTCCTTGATATTCCGACCTTTTCGGGTATGCACAAAGGGTCCTCTTGATCACCTCACCTTCCTCATTGGGAGCACTTGTTGCATCCAACGTGTCTGGCGCTTTGCCATTCTCTACCCAATCTACAAGAGCATCGAACGTGCTATGGGGATAAGCGCCCCTTCCCCCAGCGCAGTGCCCAACTCCTGGAGCCTCGAACAGTCGGTAGTAATCACTGATAGATTGATCCACTTGTAAGGCAGACTCGTAAAATCGACGTGTGTTTCGGTAGGTGATCGCTGGATCAGACTGTAATCATCAGCATAAGATTTACATACCGTTCTAAAGCAATCACTCACCATTCCTTGGTATGTAAGAAGCTTTCCGCCAGCTTTATTGAAAGCAGAAAAGTCGGCGTCAGGAGAGCCGATAACATTTTCATACTCCTCGACGCTTTGCTTTACTATTGCCACATAATCCTCGTCTGTCATGTTTACCAGATCGAACGAAGGGTCCTTCTTGACGAAAACTTTCTGCCACCATATGGTGAAAGGGAAAGGATTTGCAGCGCAAGTACCATTGGTGCAGACGGTACCTCCAAATTGGAAATCGACGTCGTAGCCAGCCGTTTGACTTTCGAAAAGGTCATCCCAGGGAGTTTTACCCGTCCACTCGCCGCGGACTGCTTCTACCGCTAGCTCTGATATATTCACAGACCTACCAGCTTCAGTGCAATTTATCGACTTTCCGAGCAGCGTCGAAGGGTCGAAATTGCACGCATCCGGATCCTGGAGCACGCCGTCCTTGACTCCGTCGATCTCGTCACACGCTTCCAAAGCCCCGTAACGCAACGCATCCAATTCGCAGGGCCACGGATACTCCTTCCTCGTGTTCATCACCTGTGACTTCCAATACCATTGCGGCATGTGGTCCCAGAACAGCGCAGGTGCAGCCGCCGCAATCCCATCAAATGCATCGGGAAAGCTCTGCGCGAGCACGTAGCCCTGGTGGCCACCCTTCGAACACCCGCTGAAGTACGTATACTTCGCTTCTTCGTCGTAGAAAAGCTTGATCGTCTCTTTCGCAATCACACTAAGATCGCCCAGGCTGCGATACACAAAGTCTTCGAGCTTGTGCATGTTGATCTTCCCGGTATCATCTAGCGCCCACGAGGCAACGTCGTCTCCCCCGCTCTGAACTGCGTATATGCCTGCGTTGGTGGCAGCAGCAGCATATCCCTCTGCGATTGCACCGTCCATCTGCACGACGTATTCTGCTCCAAGGCCGGTGATGAAGCCGCCGCCGCCGGTGGCTTGTAGTCGACCATTCCAGGTATCAATTGGTAGCCACACCTGGGTTAGGATAGCCTCGTCGTGACCATCATGTTTGTGCGAAACCGTGACGTTGCAGAAATCTACCTGTACGGGACCAATGGCGCCATGGTTTGGCTTTGAGAAAAGTGGTGCGGAGGCAGTGTAGTTGGTCACCACGGCTGCTGAGATGTTGTTGATCGATGCACCGGGGATTGCAAGCGACGAGAATGTCGATGGGAGGCATGAAGGTACAGCCATACTGATGTCTTGAGGGTTTTGCTTTTGCTGCGTATCAAGGCCATAGTTATAGTACTGCAGTTACAGGCGTCCTACTCGTTCCAAAGCATGCTTTCAAATATCCCTACGGCAGGATGACATGCATAAAATGAACGAGCGCAAACACACTCAGAAAACACACTCAAATTGGCGCACACCGTGATCATGATATTGAATTTTCCAATCACGAATGCCCGGGATAGTATTTTATGTCCACGATTGTTCACCGTCGAACGCATTCGTGAGGCCTTTTCCACCACATGAAGTCAGCTCGACAGGCCTGTCTTCTATCTTGTGCAACGCCTTTTCGCGTGACACCTCGTCCTATGAATCCGCTATGCAGTTCATCGGGTGCGGTTCGGGCGTAACAAGCATTGCGTGGGAATATCCTTGGCGGCTCACCGAGATTGCCAGACCAGGTAAAGTCCGAAAGTAGGAGGCCTGATAGTTAATGCATGGTAATTAAAATTGCATCGACGGTGAAGCTGATCAAATGTCTGTGTAATGTAGAATCCGCGGGCGCGCTGTGTGACTCTGTATGATGCGAGGGCCTGGCAGCCGTTCATTGGGAAATTCCACAGAAAGTGCTGATTATGAGTATAGATCGAAATATACATCGCCATCATCTTTTGCCAACGAAGATTTCGTAGAATGCTTCAGGAGGGCAGCAGAAGCATCAATGTCGTTAGTAGGGCACCTAGAGACCGGTAGCTACAACAAATATGTATGTCCACCAACACATACGTGGACCGAACGAAGAGAAATTTGAGGGTAGATAAAAATGTGTCTTTTGAAGGCATCTAGATGTTTTGTTTTCCACATGTCCCCTTTCTCTTCACCTGCGGGCATTTGCACCTCGTCAAGACATTACTAACCTTATGCTACATGCGTACAAGTCCCACCTAAGCATATCTTTCAAAATGTAGTTGAGCAATGTCATCGCCTAGTTCTACACTATTGAACACTTCAAGCCCCCAAAAGACCGAGTCGCATTCACAAAGAGTCGGAAACTTCATTTACTCTGGAAAACCGTGACCTCTGGCCACTTTTCCGATGCTGCTTGGCGGTAAGAGTCCTTGACACCTGCCTCGCTCTGCCATTCATCCAGGAGATCCAATCCAGCAACGGCCTGCTCGGTTGTGATGGTAGGAAGCTCGAGGAGCTTCTTCAAGTCTGTCTCGTTTTGGGCCTTGCTGCTGTTGTCGAGGATGTGGCGAACATTAAGCGCGGATTGGACGTGTGATGGGCTCTGGGAGTGCTTTTGTTGCCAATCTGTGTTGAACTTCTTAAGGTCGGTGGAAGCTGGGCCGAGTTTGAAGCTGGCATTGAGAACTTCGGAGACCTTTGGATCAGTTTCCTTGAGACCGTCGACTGTGAGGGCGCGTTAGCAGAATCTATGGGATCGGGTACAGAGTGCTCACTGGTCAAGCGGAAGCGGATCACCTGCTCATGTAGCTTAGGGTTCTCAGGGTCAATGGCGGCCGCTGCATTCAATGCCTTGAGAGCGAGGACGTATTTCTCTGTAAACATATTAGCACTTGAATATTAGTATCCAATGAGAGGACATACTTCTCCTAAGGTGAACCTCGAAGGCAAGATTCTGGCCTTCTATGCTCTTTGGACTGAACTCGAGCAGAGGGTTGAGAAATTTCAAAGCAACCTCGAGAGGCTCCTTGGTTTCGAGAAGCTTAATGCCCTTGGGGTCCGTATCCTCTTTCTTGATTTCGCCGTCATCACCTTTGGCATTAGCCTTCTTAGCAGCGGCAGCCTTACGCTCGGCCTCCTCCTTTTCTCGCTTTTCCTGCTCCTTCTTCATTTTCTTCTGTGCCTTCTTGCGTTCTGCTGCGTCCATCTTGTCCAGATCAAGATTGTTGTTTGGGTTGCCTAGTTCCGGATGATCTGCCAACTGCAAGTAAATCTTGATCGCGGAGAGCGCGGCTCTAGTGAAGAATGGATGGTCACGAAGGTGATCTTCCCATCTAACCATGTCGATATAGGCGCGGATCTGGCCCTTCCTAATTGAGAAACTATGGAAATCGAATTGATCGTCGTGCCATACTTCGAAAATGTCGGAGACAGCGGTGAATCGTTTGAGGGCATGGCCATAATCGCGGCCCCGGAGGTAGGCCTCGCCGTCTTCTATCAAGTACCACAGACATTGCATATCGTGTAGATCTCCCAGGGGCCCTCCGACTGTTTCATTCCTTGTAAATTTGCTCATAGTCTTCAAAGCCGTCTCGTTCTCGTTGTTTCGCAGTTGGTACTTGGCGCACTTCGTGTTGATGTATCGATCCTTTTCGTCAAGCTCTCGAGCATGGTTGATTGTCTCCGAGGCCTTTTGGGTATTTCCGTAATGTTTCCATATCCTTGCCTTCGCCTGGTTGTAGTCAACGGATTTGGGGTTCTTCTCGATGAGCTGATCAATGTATTGGAGAGCTTTCTCGAGGTCGCGGCTGAGATGGTAGCTGTAGTGTTGAGCCAGGAAGTATTTGACTGCTTCCTCAAAACGGTCGGAGGGCTCTCCGTTCGCCTCGGCAGACCCGTTCGCTTGCTTTCCAGAAGCATATCCGAGCACCAACTCTTCGATGACGGCTTTCTTCTCTGCCTCAGCGTACAAAGCCTTGATGTTGGCGAACGTGGAGGGAACGCCCTTGTTCAACATTCGGCGTAGGTACTTGTCCGCGGCGCTTTTGAATTCTTCCCCTGCTAATGCGTTAATACGCGTTAAAAATTACCTCCAACTCGCTGTGCTCACCTTTCAAGAAATCCAGTGGAATCCTCCTGGGCGCGTCAGTACGTTCGCTCTTTTCAGCGTATGACTGATAAATTTCTACAAGCTTCTCTTTTGACCCTTCGTCAGACCGGTCGAGTCCCAATGAAGCTTCCAGACCGTCATAGTATGCTCGGTATTCGTTGTTCCTATCAAGAAGAATGCGGTATACTGCCTCTGCCTCGGCTTTCCTGTCCAGTTGCAAGAGGTATTTTGCCTTGAGTTCCAGCACCGCGGTCCGGTCAAGGTTGGCCCTCGCTATCGTATTGAGGTGCTCCAAAGCTCTCTCAATGTCTCCCGACTCGGCGATTATAGTGTTTTTGTACAGGACCGCTTCGGAGTGTTCGAGATCGGTTTTCGGAGGAGGCTGCTTAAGCGTCTTCTCGTACGTCTCGAGGATGTTCTCGGCCTGCTTGTAATTGCCCGCTAGGTGATACGCCACTGCCAATGCCGTCCAATTCTGCCGCAGAGACGAACGCGCCTGCATCATCTTCTGCCTGCTCTCGATGTAGCCGTCGTAATCGCGCATCTGCACTTGAAGGATCGCAAGATCGCGCAAGATATTCTGCTGCTCCGGCTCCAGCTTCAACGCGAACTTGTATGCCTTGACAGCCTCTTCATAATTTTTCACAGATCGATACAGCAGACCGTAAACGTGCCAGCAAACGTGGGATTTCATGTCGTTCTTGAGGGCTACCTTGGCGAGGGCGAAGGCTTCTTCTTGATGACCTTGGGAATTGAGGATGAGAGCCTTCATTGCTTGTGTGTCGCCATGGTTCGGAACCTTGCGCAGAATCTGTTCTGCGGCCTTGAGGCCTGGAGGTGCGTCAGTCAGAGACGCCCGCCAGCGTAAGGCAGCCGGCAATGCCTACCTTTCTTGTACTGTTTTGATTCATAATACTTGATTATCTGCCGGAAGAGCGTGCCCTCCTTCTGCGACAATGGCTGCATGGCGGCGGTGGTGGTGTGGATGTGTGGGTGGGAGGGCGGAAAGTGGGATGTGTTGTCGTGCGCTCACGAGTAACGAATCGAACCCTCACAATGTCGGAGTCTGTGGGCCCGGTAAAATTGGAGCCTAGGGATGAGTAGAAGGAGGAATAGATGTCAGAGGAAATGTATCTTCTCAATCCGAACCCCAGAGCATAACGAAACGAGTGGTCCGCGATCTGTTAGATCTTGCGCAAGTGGATGTCAATTCCAGTCAAAACGTCGACAACCGCGGGGAGCTGCAGTCGAATATTCGACTGTCGAACGAGTCCGAATCCGGTTAGCCCGAATCATCATTATTCATTTAATGGCACGTGCATTCACTCTTTACTATTCTCCGTCAGTCGTACCTAGACATTGATGTTAATATTGAACAACAATGTTACCACTACTCGAGTATCATTATTACTATTAGCTTTCCGATTTCTCACTACCAATTGTGTATACATATTGCATGACCCAAAGCGTAAATGCGCACCGCTAATGAGGCTGCTCTCCTAACTACCAAGGTACCTACGTACCTTACCCAACATAATCGGGTATATGCCGTGTCAGAAATGGTATGGGCCTTGAAAAAGACGAAGACTATGCGTTTCTGCGACTTCTTCGAGGTGTCACTTTTGTCGGCTCTTCAACTTTGATTGCACCCCCTTTCCGGCCTCTCTTTGCCTGTGGTGCAACGGCTGCTTCCTCTCCCTCTTCTCCCGCCTCCTCCTCTTCCTCTTTTATTGCCGCTTTCTTTCGTTTGTTCTCAGCTCGAGGCTTTGTGTCTTTTTCATCCTCGGCGCTGCTCGAAGCACCAGATACATCTCCTGCCACGGCACCTGTCTTCTTCTGGACCCGAGGAACAATCGCTGAAGTTCTTCCACCCACCTTCAGGAATGTTATCTTGTCCCCGTTCGGCAATTTGTTTGAATCCTTCTTCCCTTTTCCCCAGCGATGTTTCATCAGCCAATCCTCGGGGAACTTGTCTGAGTCACCCATGACCTCCGGCCCACACGCTGTATTACAAACGTACATCATGGCATCATGGAGTCTCTTGACTTGCTCGTCCGTAAACGTGTTGCTGTACTGTTCCGGGTGAAGACGGGCCTGGTACATAATCTCGTCCCTATCTGATGTCAGAACGTGCATCTTACAATGAGCTCATGGTCCAAGAGACCTACCCGACCCAATTGCCAATCCCACTGATGTTCGCTTGATCAAGCAGCAGCGCCTTGACGGGCACCTTTTTGCTGCTCAGCTTCTTCTTCAGCCACTCCACAGTCAGTATCTCCGGATCTAGGACCGGATCTGGTCCATTCTCCTTTAGAGGGGTTGTTATGCGCATATCGTCCGCTTTCGCATTGACGAGTCTGATCCTCCCCAGCCTCCTGGCATCGATGAACGCGACCTCACAGTCACTATCTTTAAGCTGCAAGATGAATTTCCAGAATTTAGGCGGCCATGGGTTTTCCTCCGGTGTGGTGGGCCGATAGTATGCTGTGTGGTCGTTCGAGAACTTCATCCATCCAGACATTCCAAAGTGCATCAGCGGGTGGGGAGGTGAATCCATCTCCAACCAGAAGTATTTTCCTTGTTGTCGAGCATTCACTATCTTCTTTCCTGTCATGGCTTTTTCGAATTCCGCGGCGGAAGTCCCAACTTTGCCGTATATTATCTTTTCTCACCATCAGACATGCTAGTTGAGTAATGTACAATGCTGTAACTGTCAACTCACAGTATCTTCCTGTGTCTTCACTGATTGCACTGTTTTGCCGACCGCATGCTTTTTAAGGAAGTGCACGATTCGCGCGACTTCTGCGATCTATTTGGATGAGCTTGACAACAGTATTGGATACGCGTCATGGAGCGTACCTCAGGCATGATGTCACTTCTCCAAGAGTCTGAGTTTTGGTGTCGGTTTTATGCTTTTGCGATCAGCAGACACTATTGATGAGTGCTACCAATGTCAAGGTACAATGATGAGCGGTATGGTTGTTTAGATTGATGCGATTGAGGTTGTTCTGATGTGACTTGGAGTCAGAGCTTCTTGGTGAGACGGTGACGCGTATCGCGCTCTCACGGGACCTGAACAACGCACTTCGCTATATCGACCTCTGATTCGCCACATCAACAGCATCCAACAGCGTCCAACACGTTTCAACCTAATCATAGATTCAATTTAATAATTCATTTACAGTAACTGATGAACCTTTCCCTTCACAATCGACATTTGCGCCCTTTGCTCGTCAATCGTGCCATCGCCAGTAGATTCCCTTTTCGGCCAAATGCTAGAAGTGAAGCTATGCCGGAACCAGTAGGCGTCGCGTCTAACGCCCCAGACGCTCCAAAGGTCTCCAATTCTCCATACAATCATTCGGCGATAAAACGCTTTTTACATAATTCGTCCTCTTTGATAGACTAGGCGAATGAATACATATATATTTTACCCCTCGTCGGAATTTCGCATGAGGCATACAACATTGCTCTCCAGTCTCTAAAGATGTTTTGGACAGCATCGTTATCATGGGTGTTGCTACCCCACCTAGTACTCTCCCATTCACACCATCACGGTGAGGGTCAAGAGCCGTTCTCCCAAGAACGATTGGATGAATTGGACCGGAAATGGGGCACAGATGTGAGTCTCCAACCTCATATTGAAACTTTAATTTTATCTGGTTATTAACGATCTCATAGTGGGGATTCTCGGGAGTGTCGACATTCGCCCATCTCCCACACATCCGTTGCTTAACACACCCACAAACCGATTATGACATCGGCATCCTAGGAGCCCCCTTCGACACTGCAGTGAGCTACCGTCCAGGCGCCAGATTTGGACCACGAGCAATCCGTGCGGGATCATCTCGACAGACCTCATTCCGAGGCTTCAATCCCCGCGCAGACATCAACCCATATACGTCATGGGCCAAGATCGTGGACTGCGGCGATATCCCCATCACGCCTTTTGACAACACACTTGCCGTCAAGCAAATGAGCGAGGCCTACCAGGAACTTAGCACGAGAGCTCCCACTTCCCAGTCCGCATCATCACCCACAAAGTATCTCCACAGGCCGAAGTTGGTGACCCTAGGCGGAGACCACAGCATTGCTTTGCCAGCTCTCCGAGCACTGAAGCAGGCCTATGGCCACCCAATTGCCGTTGTCCATTTCGACGCTCATCTCGACACATGGCACCCAGCCAAGTACCCCTCCGCCTGGATTGACCCAGAAGACACATCTTCCCAATCCTTCTTCAACCACGGAAGCATGTTCTGGCTCGCCGCAACAGAAGGCCTGATCACGAATGGATCCTCCGTGCACGCCGGCCTCCGCACCCGTCTATCAGGCGACAACGACGACGACTACAAAGACGACACGCAGCAGGGCTGGGTCCGCATCGCCGCCGACGACATCGACGACATCGGCACCAAGGGCGTGATCCAGACCATCATGGACCGCGTTGGCACGGAAACTCCAGTCTACCTCAGCATCGACATCGATGTCATTGATCCCGGTCTAGCGCCTGGAACTGGAACCCCCGAGCCTGGAGGCTGGACGACGAGAGAGCTTATTCGTATCTTGAGGGGCATTGAGGGAATGAACGTTGTGGGTGCTGATATCGTTGAAGTTAGCCCTGCATATGATTCTAATGCTGAGGTCACGGGTGTCGCTGCTGCGCAGGTCGCGTACGAGATCATCACCAGTATTGTAAAGAAGGGCTTGGTCGAGCAGGCGAAGACGGGAGCATCCAGTGGCGAGAAGGTTAAGGATGAGCTATGAACCCGAATCACGTTTCTTCACGACGAATGATGAGATGAAACTCGACTTACAGGCTCGATCAGTCCCTGTAGTCCCGCTGCTTAAGGTGCTCCACCAGTGCATATGCACTTGTAGCAGACCTGAGTAGTCTAAGTATATCTAGACCTTGAAAAAAAAGAAGCACGAATGCCGACATGGCACACCAAACCCTCAACTCTAGACTGATATGTCAAAAATAAACAAGCCATACCCTGAAGCACCATCACCAATCCTCCCAGCCTACCCCAAGCTCCGCATCTAAGAACTCCCTCTCCTCTTCTGTCTCCTGCCTCCTCGCGTGCTTCTTCCCGAAGAAATGAACCCTCCATTCGAGCCTCGTCTTCTTCAATATCCCCCTTCTAACGCTCCAGACATCTCTCTTCGTCTTATTCGCTATCGCTATCTCTTCCACCACCAACGCCCCTTCCCGCTGCTCCGTCTCACGAGCGTCAGCAAGAGGAGTGCTATTAAGAAACTCTGGGGAAACCAAGATTTGACGTAGATAGTACACGAACCTTCCCACCATCGCGTGAACAGGATCCCACGTCATCTTTCTCGACGTCGAATTGGCAAAGACGTCCCAGTCTTGCAGCTCGTGCTCCGTGTATACCCTCGTTTCCCCATACGTCTCCGCAGTTGGGATCTCTGGTGGTGGGTGTATGAGCTGGAACTCTATCATGCCGATCTTCAATTTGATACTGCCATCCCGAGTCTTCTTCACATTTTCGCCGCTGGTCGAAGACGGGGGAAAGCTTGAAACATAGCTTTTAACAACCCGTTCCAACGCCGCCAATTCCCCGTCGCCTTCGCTACCTGCGAATCCATAAACACGGCCTGTAACGATCAGCCTCAGCACAACGACGAGCAAAAACGTTGCGCGGTCTCCACCCAACAAATTCTCTACTAACGCCCCAACCTTGACTAATTGAGGATCCGGATTTACGAACCCTGGGAGGTTGCGAGGTGGGCAGCACGTAGATTTTGATGTAGTCGAAGGCCGCATTTTAGGATACAAGCCAGCAAGAGAGAGCTGAATTATGAGATGGGGTATGAATTCCACCCGATCTGCTCCTCCTCCTTTCTGGCTAAAGGATAAGGGCAGTGCAATAGGACGAATCCAACTCGCGAGTGTCGTAGTGGCATCCAAGATCGTCAAATGCAGGATCGGCGTCAGACCCCCCTCAGCACTATCCCTCTTCGCATCACCGCCCCAACTGTTCTGTATGAGATGTTCATACTGGCGGACTGTACTCTCATACAATCCTTTCGATGTCGCCATTAGGCATTCTGCCGGGTGGGACGGGAATGTTGAACGTATCGTATGCAACGGGATTGTTAGGACTGGTGCAGATGGGGTAGATGCAGGAGCGAAACTGTGGGAAGATGATGGAATCGAGGGTTCTGAAAGAAGAAAGGGAAGAGGTGGTGGTAGAGATTTGGAGGTAAGAACGTAGGTTATTATTTGGTTTTGGAGCTCTTGGGGGAGGGTTGTGAAGATTGGTTTTATGGTGGTAGTGCGAGCACATGAAGATTTATTTCTACCTTTTTGGGAAGACATTTTGAGGACATCGAAATGTTATCTTCATTATGTTAAGACGATTGATGCTGCATAAAGTACTGTAGATGCTGTAGAGTCATACGCTGTTGGTGGTTGATGCCAATAACGATTGAGCTAATGGAAGACTAAGACCAAAAAGGAAATGCATTATACAGCACCATGGTATAGAGATTCGACAAATCATACATACGAAGTATCTGGTACAGTATTTCGGTGCACATGATGGGCACGATATACGGATACTCGAGTCATATAGGCATATAAATCTTTACGTCTAAGTCCTGTAAGAAATTATGCGTAGTAAGATGATGTGAGTATCCGAGAGCGGTTCCTGCCAAGATCCTCGGCTGCAATTCCCATCCGATTGTTGTAACCTCTACAACAACTCCAGCATATCTACTACACCATTTCATACTTCTTCGCTCCGTCTGCCCCTCTCTCGGGGAAGTACTCGCCTCCAAACTCTAGACTGGCGTTATCAAACGTACTCCGCTTTACCTCCGCCCACTCTCCCCAGCAGGTCCACGAACCCAACAGCCCACCCTGCTTCCGCTCACTCACAACGACCTGCACGTTCGCCATGAAGCTCTCCGTCAAGAAATTGTTCCTATGACCGTCCGGAAACGGGCTCGCCAGTCCAAACCAACCCCCTTCCGCCGGCGCACTAGCCCTCACCTCAATCTTCCTCCATAGCCCCGCTATGCAGATCCGAAACGCGCGATTCTCCCAGTCGATATCAAGGCTCATGAACGGCGAGATCCCCAACACCGATAGCGCAAACGGAGGCGTGAACGAGACACTCACCCCCGGCGCACGATAACCCAGAAGATACGCTGTCATGCCGAGGATCTTTCCGCCCGCGAGACAAATAGATTCGTCGGATGTAGAGGAATGCGCTTGTACCCACATGTGTGCTGCAGGGAAACTGTCCGCCCAGTTCTTCTCCTGGTGTATCAGTGCGGTGCCTGTGCGATCTTCTTGGGGCAGAGCGAGGGACGCAGATCCGACGTCAAGCGTGAAGTCTGCGGTTGACGCGAACGAATGGACGTGCCAGTGCAATGGCAGAGGAAGTCTAACGAGCAGGCCTTCGGGCGTGCTATGCGGCTCTCCCTGTTTCCATGGTATTCGACTTCTAGTCGTGGCTTTAAGCGTCCATTCTGGACAGGTGAGGTCATAGGTTGTTGTAGAGTTCTCGTCGGCTTCGCAGCGCATGAAGCCCAAGCCTTCGGCGCGGAGCTCGAATGCGTTGGCTTTCGAGGTCGTGATGTAGTCTATTCTTGGAACGAAGTGATCACGTTGGAAGATTGGTCGACCAGAGAGTGGATAGTATGTCAGGGATACCATATGCGAGGGCTTGTTGGTGGCATTGGGGACGCTGCAAATGATGAGGGCGAGGTGGGCTCCTGATGGGAGGCGGAATTTGGAGTAATAGCCTTCGAAGGCGACGCCTTGGTGAGGGGCATAGTGCTCCATGGTAAGTTCGTAGAGCTGTGATTTTATGTGCGCGTGTAACTGTCTGTGATAGTATGTGTATGAGCCTAATCCTTGACTTCTTCCTTGTAAGGCGGCCAATTCCTCTCCTCACACGAGAATATCATCCGCACGGTTCAACCAAGTGTGATTGAGTCAACAAGTCAATTCAGCGATTGCATGAAGGGTAATGTTTTCAAATGGCAATGCGATCCGTAAACCAAAACTCCTGTTGCTACTCGAAGAACAAAGTGTATTGCAAGCAAGTCGTACAGGTCATGACGCACACTTTCGAATTCACAATGTCTTGGCGGTGCGGGCACACCCAATAATTACCTAGGTACGGAGGTATTTGGTGATAAGACTAAGCCTTACTTTTGCTTCACATTACTTTCAAAAATATCCAGACACTTCTTAATGTGATACAGGTTGCCCTGACATTTAATCTACTTCTATAAGCAGGTTCACCATCTAATGTGGTTGGTGACCGGATGCTCAAATCTCATCTAATGCCATCAACTAGGCCCAACACTGGAAAGCAAGATGAAATTACTTGCAATCCAGTATCAAGCCCCTCGTCTCTTCTCTATTTGCCCACCTCCATAACTTCCTCAACCGCCTCTACACTCTTGTGATCTGCCTTCCTCTCAGCGAAACCCTTCTCCCCGTCCCTGAGCTTGTCCCTCCTCAGCTCATCAGCAATGTGTCTCGCGGACCTTCCTGGCGTCCTGTACAAGAGATCGATCTCCTCCAATGTCAAGTTCTTAGTCTCGGGGTAGAAGAAGTAGAGGAGGGGCACAAAGGAGAAGTTTGTGCACATCCAAATGAGGTAGGTCTTCCAGTGGAGGCTGTTGATGGTTGTTGGGGTGATCATCACAACGACGAAGTTCTAGAATGTGCTGCGTTAGCTTCATCCCTACAGTGGCTGGTTTAATGGAGGGGAAAGGGGCTTACCCAAAGCCAGTTGGATGAGATTCCGAGGGCGGTTCCCTTTGCTCTGGCACGGAGGGGGAGAATTTCGGGGACGTAGACCCAGGGGATACAGTTTCCCGTTGCGCCGAAGACGAACATCCACTGATGGAAAGGTTAGAACCTGCATGGTAGGCTCTTTCTATGAAGTGGGTTGCTTACAATGAAGAATATTGCTACGGACGCAGAGGCCGTGGGCTTCGCGATAGAAGAACCTTGGAAGCTTAGGAGTATGGAGATGATCATCATCAAGAATCCGAGAATGGCTGATCCAACAATCATGGGCATGCGGCGTCCGAGTCGGTCGGAGCCAAATGAAGGAATGAGTGAGCCGAGGAAGAACATGCATTGGATGCTACAAAAATCAGCCGGTTAGCAGTCATCCGATCTTCTGCGATTTCAAGAACTTACCAGCCACCAAGTACCATAGACAAGTTTCGGTCGAGTCCTACGTTATGCTCCAACGCCGTAGGGACATAGTACACGATCTAAAATTCATTAGGATAAATTATGGTAGCCGAATGTTGCACTATTGTCACTCACGAAGTTGATTCCGCTAACTTGCTGCATGAACATCATGCCGTAGGCAAGGAGAACTCGCTTTCCAGTCTGCAACTCGTCGTTCTTGAAGATGGATAGCCAGCCCTTATCGACGTTCTGCTCGAGAGCGATCGCGTCCACAATGTCCTGCGATTCCTGTCGAACTTCGTCGTCGTCAGGGGTTTTGTCGTAGACATCGCACAGGACCTGGAGGGCTTCCTCGCCGCGGTCAAGGTTGTATAAATGACGTGGGGATTCTGGGAGCCCGAAGACGAGCACAACGACAACCTGCAGGACCCCTGTTAGTTATCATCAGAAATGAAGAAGAGATTATGTAACATACCAACGCGAAGACGATCTGGCATGCAACTGGCAACCTCCAGGCAATTGGGCCACCTGCGTATGCCATACCTACGGCTCAACATTAGATTGCATTTCTCATTCACCATATAGTATTCGAGCTTACCGTAATCGAAGAAGTACGCGATGACGATACCAACGCCAACAAACATGGCCTCGGAACACACGAGACGACCACGCTGGTGAGGACGAGACAACTCGGCTTGGTACATGGGGACGGTTGAAGTCTCAATACCCGTGCCGATGCCGGTAAGGAATCGAGCCACCATCATATGGGCAGGGGAGTAAGCGGTCGTTTGAAGCACGGCACCAATCTAGAGGAAATTGTCAGCTTGTAACACTATGATTGTAATGGTTTCCCATACAATGATCCAGGCCATAGCAAGCCACATGGCTCGACGGCGGCCAAGGTAGCCTCCAATGAAGAAATTGATGATGCAGCCAGAAAAGCAACCAAGATTGTAGATGGAGACGATGATTCCCATAAGACCATCTCCCGGATAGTTCATATGTTTGAGGAAATCTTCATTGCCAATGATACCAGAGAAGACACCTTGATCATAACCTGTGCGAATGTCAGATGCGAGTTCACATGAACAGTCATCTCTCCGTGCGATAACTCACCAAACAATATGAAGGCCATCTCACAGGCCACCGTGATGGCGATCCGGAGGGAAAGCCCTCTACCAAACCAGTTGAACTTCATTTTTGCAGACTACAATGTACTCAACCACTGATCCGCACCGAAAACTGATGTTTGCATCAAGCTACGGAAGCACGCGCATTGCGTTTACTTTATACATTTTTTATCCTTCTCTCGTTCATTGTAGTTATGGTCGTATCCCCCGCCCCCGTATTCTGGAGCTCCCCCAGAATGACATTGTTGAAAGTCGGGCAACCCGTGTTGGCCCACAACGTGAATGAATTCCCCATAGAATAGCGGTAGCGTGTGTAGAAGTCGGCCACTGGCCCTCGTATACAAACTTGGTTGTTCTACCGATGACGAACTAGGGAGCGTTGCAATGGCACTTAGCGCAGATGATGAGCATCGGAATATCCATCTTTGGTTAAGACTCGTAATATTTCAGTGGGCCACCCAATGACTACGACATCCAGGTTACTTCAACGAGCAAACCTCGGTTGCATGGAGTCTCACGTTTTGGATCATAGTCGACAGGACCAGTATTGATAGCCACACATGCCTTTTTCGATGGATGCTTAATCTCGTGGAGGACTTCTGTACCTTTAATTGTGGCAAAGCCTCCGCTTGTGGGAACAAGGGAATGACTGGAATACTAGCAAGCAGACTTCACTGGACTATGAAATATCAATCCCTTAGGCCTTCCATGGGTTTTCGGAGAGGATTCCGAAGAATCGCATGACTTGTCCTCGTACAGGTACAGTACACTCGTGCTCACAGTTTCAAACTAGTGGTTATGTTTTCCCAGTTTGGACGATTCAGCATTCTGGTATACTGGTATGAGTTGAGCAGGGGTTGTTGCAATCTGTGTGTGTTTATTTGCTCCGGCATTTCGCGCATTCGTCTTGTCTAATGACGTCTATGTCGATGGCACTCGTTGTTCGGGATGCAATTTTCTAGAGGCTATATACAGAGGTGCGCGAGGTTCCAGTTGACAGTGGTACTTCGCATAAAAGTCTCACAGCATATAAATGAAGGCAAGTGAGACTTCAGTCTCTTCAGAGATTGATATTTCTATTCCCTTCGTTATCTCATTTCTTAAGAAATAAATAGAGATATCTTTGCACTATAGGCCGAGTCCAAAATTCTCATAACAAAGAGTATCGGGCTTGCGGATGTGATGTCTTAATCTACCTGTCTTGTCAAGAGCTTAAGTGTTTTAGCAAGTTTTGCGAAGCCTTATTTCAAATCGGAAGTAGGTATTCCGGCGTACTCCGTATTGTATCCACCAGCTTATTTGAAGTTTGGCTTGGGGTAGACTTACTTCCATGGGGTAACACTAATACTAGTACTACAGTAGCCATCTATCCTTCTTAGTCCTCCACCATACGTACTGAAATGTGCTTGTTCTCTTCAATCATTGATATCATCTTTTAATTCATTTTGCATAAGCAGAAGAAGATGAGCCAGGATTCTAGGATTGACACCAATGAACGCAACAGACGTTATGCCTAAAATGATGTCCTCAAGCGAAATGCTACTTTTGGCCCCCAACGCGGCTGACAACTTGGACGTCTTCTGCACTCGTTACCTTGTAGCGAGCCGACCTGACAGAGCCGTGATCTTTTGATGGAAGAAGTACGGCGGATACGACTACATGGTTGTCGAGATACCATAGTCTTACCGACACGTAGCTATGGCGACTACGGGGTGGCCATTCGTATCGGCCGCTGACCGACTGGCGACCTTCTTCGACCCCGCTCAGTCTCGTGCTTATGGCGACACGGATATTGATGAAATCGCCAATCTACTAGAGCAGTGCGCCCATGTCGGGAGGAGATGTCCGCGCACGTATATCGTGCTTCGCACAATCGGCGAACTAGAAGCGATTGAGAAATTGCTAGATGCGGGATTCTCTGATCAATGGTTTCCGGTTGAAGCTCGTGGTCTTCCCAGCTTTCTCTCCCCAAGCATCAAGGCAAAGATTGTTCAGTCGCAGAACATCATATTCACAAAGTCGCTTGACTTGGAGCATGGAAGGCATCGCCATTTCGCTCCTGGTGAAGAGCTACCCTTTGAAATTATGGGCCGATTGGGCAGTGGAGGCTACGGCCAAGTCGACAGAATCAAGAGCAAACTTAGTTTCCGTGTATATGCCCTGAAGAGGATACGAAGACGGGCCGCATTTGGCACAAATTCCAGAGAAGCCATGAAAAGTTTCCTGGGCGAGATCAATATTGTGAAGAGTTTAGATCACCAACATATCATACAGTACATTGGCAGTTATACCGACAAGACCTACCTCGGCATCGTCATGTATCCTGTCGCAGACACCGATCTTGCTGCTTTTATGGAACAGACCAGTACGTGTGTGAAAAACGCATCGATTGGAACCGCAACGTCTTCGAGCCTACAACTACGGGATCAGGCATTAGCTGCGGAATTTAGTGCGACGATGCGTACTTTCTTTGGCTGCCTATCGACCGCACTCAATTACCTGCACGATAGATCAGTTCGGCACAAGGATATCAAGCCCCAGAATATTCTCATCCAAAAAGGACATGTTATCCTAACTGACTTTGGCCTTTCTCGAGATTTCGCAGACGATGTAGGAAGCACAACGTCTGGAGTTACGCCAGCATCGCCACGCTACAGTCCACCGGAGGTGGCAGCATATGAAGCACGGAATACATCTGCTGATATATGGTCACTTGGTTGTGTCTTTTTTGAAATGGTGGCTGCCCTTCACGGCATCAATGTGGACTGGATGAAACAATATTTTGCAAGCGCCCATTCGACTTCCACGAACTTCTATGCCAATCCAGAAGCCTCAGCCCAGCTTATCCGAGAATGGGAATCTGTCTGGTCTGAGAGAGATCGATTGCCTCTAGGCTGGATTAGGAGCATGCTGTTGCTGGACCGACCCTCGAGACCGACGGCCGCACGTGTTCTCGAATTGATAACAACCAGCAAAGACACTGGTCAAGTATCAACGACTTTCTGCGGCATATGCTGTATACCCGATGAGGAAACGGACTCGGATGACAGTCTTGATGACGAGATAAACCTTCTTGCTCCAACGTCCTTTCGCCAGCAGCCTCACTCGTGGTCTGGTACCTACCCTCCCCAGGATGCCTCGCTCACCGAGCTTAAACAATCTAACAGCGCGGAAAAAGTACTCCTCCCAAAATCAGTTCCTGCGTTTGTGCCAGCAACACCTTCGCAACCAGCTCTGAAAGATGTGCCAGTATCGTCGCCGCCATTAAGTTTGCAGTCTCAGTCAGTGCCGTCATCGACATCAATTCCAACGTCTCTTCCAGTAAACTCTTCAGTTTCAGGGTATACGTTAAGAGCAGGTATGGGTGAGGATGAGATTACTCAACGGCCTTGGTCACCTGTAGGTCATCTGGAATCTCTCAGAGAAACCACCCTATCCAGTCTCATTGACGTTACCGACAATCCTGCATCGCCATCAAGAATCATTGGGGATAAGAACATTGAACAGCCTATGTCCCTAGAACATGAACTGGAAGTTAGGAAAGTCTCTACTGTTGCTAATACCAATAATCCTACATCAGAATCAGGAAACAATGGGGATACGATCACCCAGGAACCTTGGTCACCTACACAGCAACTAGAAATTCTAAAAGCCTCGCTCCGTTCAAAAACCAATGAACCCGGGTCAGGATCAAGATTACATGGGGATAGGACCACTCAAATACCTACCACTCAGCAATCTGAGTTTGCTCCATTTCAATCGGAGGCTCTGGCAGCTCTTCTCGATGTCGGTAACAGTAACCCTGCATCAGGATCGAAGGTCAACGAGGATATGACCACTCCAAAACCTATCGCTCAGCAGTTTTATTCATTTAAACGTCAACTAGAAGCTCTATCGGGATCAAAAATCAATGTGAATAATACCACTCAACAATCTAATTCTGAGCAAGCTTCGTCACTTGAACGTCAACTAGCAGCGTTAGGAGTCGCGCTCGGTGTCGATACCAACGACCAACCATCGACCACGAGAGAAACGGAACCCAACACTGGAACTGCTGAAATAGTTCAGCCAGTGACTGAACGGCAGTTTCGAATTCCCACACCGGTTGCATCAACGCTCTTTGCCCCTGAACTTCCCCCCAGACCACGATCTTTACCAGTCATTGCTCCGCCAGGTTCCCTATGGGAGGCTTACAGCATTACGGATGTTCAATCGTCGCCAAGCTACGAAAAGAATTCGTCCTCTACCAACGTGTCCCCTTCACCACAGCCAGTGCAAGATCTATCCGGCAAGGACACACAAATGGAAGCGAAACCTTCCACGAAGAAGGCTGGCCAGGCGTCAAGAACGACAAGGCCATCCTCAAATACAGGCGGTTTTAAAAAATACTCAATTTTCTCGCGGGGGAAGAGCACGCCTAAGAAACAAACAGGAGTTTTTGGCGTTCCGTTAAGCACAAGTATACCCTATGCGAACACTGAAGTAAGCCTCTTCGATGAGAATGGAAAGCCATATGTATACGGTCATATACCAATCGTAGTCGGAAAGTGCGGCTTTTTCCTCAAGGAAAATGGTATGCAGCATTGTTAGAGATCATTTCAGCGTAACACTCACTGACTGCGTTTCAAGGTACTGAGACGGATAGGGTTCTCACAACTCCCGGTAACGATAGTCATGTCGAACAGTTGATCACCACCTTCAATAGTCCGGAACGTAGGTACGGCAGAGGAATGAGCTGGAACGGCTACACTGTGTATGATGCTGCAACGGCGCTCCATCGATACCTGTGCTCCCTTCCATCTCCACTGTTCCCCCAACAATTTGCGCAACAGCTTATGTTCCCATCCTTATCCGAACCGTTCAGACACCCAACGCCCAACGAGACGGAAAACTTGGTACTCGACTGCCAAGCTACAATGAAAGAGCTCCCTATTTTGAATAGACATTTACTCTTATGGCTGCTGGACATATTGGCAGTCTTCCTGGCTAAAGCAGATCTAAACAATGAAACTATGGATCGCGTTGTAGAGCATTATCACAATGCTGTATTCGGACCATGTGAAGTTCTGGATATCTCGATGCGCCAGAAGCTGATGTTAGGCTTCTTGATTGAGAACCAGGATTTTCTTCTTATCAAGACATGAGATAGAACAATGAGATTAGGCCAGAGATCATACATGGAAATGTGATGACGATTGCTCCTGAGCTGTCAGCCTCACAATCATACATACAATGAGTCAACTGTAGGTGCTGTGACAGCCCACGTTATCATACCAAACAAAGAATGCTTTACTTTGAGTCTTCTATTACATCCAAAAGCATACAGTCAAATGACTAATTCTCCATGTCCGTAGCCCTACTAACCCCATCCACAGCTGTGTGATTCTGGCCACCAATAGGTGCACCACACTCGGGACAACGAGCCAGCTGCATAGGCATCCCACACTCGCCAATCGCAAACTGAACGCATCATTTGTCAGCAACTGTATGTCTCCGAAGGATGTTCTGAAACTTACGGGGTGCCCATTGACGCAATTATACCAGTGGCCAGAATGAGTACTGATACCTCTGCCCCCGCTCACCATCGCATCTTTGATGGCTTGTAGCTCCTCTGCCGTGACTTCTTCGTACCATTCTCTACCGAGAAGCTCGAGTGAGTGCTCCACTGCTACTTTCAATTGCTCGGCATCTCGAAATGGTTGTTGGCATAGCTCAATGGCGTTCTGAAGAAGCTCTTTCGCTTGTTCGACGAACTGTTTCGCCATGGCGCGGCTTTCGGTGCCCAGGATTCGCATAGAATGAAAACTAAAAACGACGCGAGAGAAGAAAATGATGGCTTGTACAGCCAGTTGTGGCAGACTCTCTTTAGTACATGAATCAATGAAGCCGTTACAGTTCTTGAGGAACGGTTTAGTTAGTTTCACGGCCCAGCTTTCTGGTGTCGATGAATCGTCGGTGTTTTCCAGGCCAGGAGCCACAAATACTGAGAGTTTGTCTTCAATACTGACACACTCTATCTTGATGTACAGTATTTGAGCGCCAAGCGCAATCCGGCGGTCCCGTTCTGGGACTGGAGTCGTATCCGATACACCGAGATTCGCGAATGCGTCTTCTAGCGATGCGTTTCGTCTAATCGCGTGCAGAGTGGCCTGGTGAAGCTTTTGCGCAGGCTGATGTCGATCTGCGAATTCTTTCTGGAAGCGTTTGATCAGTATTGAAAGTTCCATTGCTCGGTTATATCGGTCCTTGAGTTGCTTTTTGCTGATGACCGTCACCTTTTCGTGGCCTCCATTCACGATCTGAGAATTAAGTGGAGGGTGTAGAAAAGCTGATTGGGTTCTTGTCAGTTTCTCCTCCAGCTCTTTCACTTCCTGTCCTAACCGCGTAAGTCTCATTTGGCCAGACGCCAAGAAGCGTCTCGACATCTCATCAATGACTGCTCTGTTGATTACACGGTTGAATCGCTGCGTCGCATACTGTCGGACCGGAAGATTGCAGTTAGGACACTTTGGAACTGAGGGCGCCAGCGATCCAGAAATATCCTTAAGTCCAATCATGGAGCCAGAACTATCCATCCCATATACTTCTGACATCCCCATCATGCCGTCGAGCGTCTCTGCGGTAAAGAAATGACCACAGCCGAGCACAACGATCGGTGTCGAGGTAACGTCGATCTCAGCGTAAGTCTTAAACTCTAACATATCAACTCTGTCGTCATATCGCTTTTTGCAATCGTGGCAATAGTCTTCATGACATATTTCGCCGCATATTCCTGGACATTGGTGACCACAGGACAGAAGCTTGGTGCAGCGTTCGTCACAGGGGAGACGATTGCATGGAGCCGAGCACGGGAGAGTACAAACTCCCTGGTGCTCACAGCTCCATGCACATGGCTCTACACAAGGTGCGCAGGCTTCGTGGCACTTCAGTGTGCATTTTGAATGCGCACATTGGACCTAGTCTGCATGAGATACTGTGAGTCTCTATTGATGAACTTACTTACCTCACAGGGTGAAACGCAGGGTCCGCATTCCTTTCCATCATGGCACGGTCTTGGACATGTATGGTTGCATGTGCCAAATCGTCGGCCACAAATCTTTTGGCATGTTTGATGCTCTTCGATCTGTCCCCCGTTTTGAGGCCTCGTGATACACTCGCCGCAAGTCCCAGAGCAGGGGTGACCACACGACAACAGCTTCGAACATGGGGTAGGGCATTGGTATAGTTCTGATGTTACATCTCGGAAGCAAGGAACCGTAATCTTGTGCTTGCAGCCGGGGACCACTTTCCTGACATTGACTGTGCATCTTATTAAACCGACATCCTCGGTTCTGTAGCATTCGACTCGATCTTTACAATGACCACAAGGAAGTTTGACGTCGTCGATTTGAATGAGACACCGGCCGCAGTCTTCACCACAGGTTTGTTTCTGGCAAGGATGTCCGCAACGTGGGAGCAGACGCTCACAAGGCTTTGGACATGCGAATACATCATGCATGCTTTGTGAATGGCATCTAGCTTCACAACGATGACCACAATCTGAAAGACGTCGATCGCATGCAAGTCGACATCCACCTTCAGGACTATATTTGGCAAAGTCCTCCGGGAGTGCCACTTCAATTTCTGTCTCTGGATGTCTGGGGCAACAAAGACCAAACGCTTCCCCGACAGACTCCTTGCTTTGAAGCATTTCGATGACCGTCTTCCACATAGGTACATTGGAATATGTATCTGTATTTCCGATGAGATACAACCCGTGTTGTGCTCGACTGAGGAGGACATTAATACGATTCGTGGTCTTTAAAAATCCCACCTTTCGAGCTGTGTTGCTTCTGACCAAGGAAACGATGATGATCTTTGCTTCTTCGCCCTGGAAGTTATCGACGGTAGCAACTCGTAACAAATCACTCAGCTGCTTTTTAGCGAGTGGCTTACGCTTGTTTTTATCAGGAGCTTGCTCTGCTGCCTCTGCATCCGAACTGGTGTCTCCTGTATTGAAGCCATCTTGAGCCAATGCATCTTCATCCCGATCACTGAGTACGATCTCGAAATCCTGACGCATTGCCGCCCGCAGCTTTTGCAGCTGACCAGTATAAGGCGTCAAGACGGCTATCTCGTCGCTTTTATATGCTCCCTGGCGGACGATGTGACGGACGAGACTGTGCACCATCTCAACTTCCCACAGATTTGACTTGGACTTTTCATGATGTGACTCTGTGTCCTTGCTCTCTTCCAGGTTCTGATGGTCGAGCCAGAAAACATTCTTCCTCATGCCCACAACATCAGGTAACTTAGTCGTAGTGTGGTGATCCACCAGCTTGGGATATATGGTTTCCCGAACAAGTGTCGAGATCTCAGGACGCATTCTCCTCTGCACATCGAGCTGCGCGACAGGGAGTTTTGGCCTACCACGTTCTCCAACCGACAAGCGCTCGAACTGGCTGCGATCTAATTGATACAAGGCGCCTTGTCGACTTTCGAGTGAGAGTTTGTGATGATTGATCGTCGGTCTCAACTGCTCATGATCTCCTATCTGAATGAAATGCTCGACGGTAGGAAGGAGCGTAGATATCATATGCGGCTCCATGACTTCGCCCGCCTCCTCGCAGATGACGACTTTGCAACGCAGGCGCTGAAGCATCGCGATACGCTTTGCCAGACCAGTGGTCGTTATACCGACAACGTCTGCTCCTTGAAGGACGCGACGATCGACCTCGTCGTAGATCTTTTGTTTTCCGGCGGTTGTATTGTTGGCTTCTTCGATTAGACCGAACAGTTCATTGAATGTGTCCGCGTTGATCCTTGCGCACCAATGCTCAATCAAGGCTGTGCGCTCAAGTCTTGACAGGTCGTTAACACTTTTATTGGCTCTCCACATTATCCTATCCATGTCTGGTTTTCCTATGTCGTCGTCGGCCACTTCGCCTTCTTCAGGTGTATGGGCGCCACTCGATTTCCAAATGTCAAAAGGATGTCTTCCGACCTTTTTGAATCCTTCTTCATCAACGGCATTGAACTGCCGATAAACGAGAGGATATGCCCTTCGCAGAGAGTGCTCGAAGTCCTTCCAGCTGCTCCGTTTGTGCAAACTGTGAACTCTTCCGAGAAACTTGTTGATATCCTCCTCGTTTCGCTCCAGTTTCTCATACGACGACGCCAGCTGCCAGCCTTCCTGTCGGGTTCTCTCCTCGCCCTTGGAAATGGAGCGGAGATTGTGTTCCTCGAGGAGGGTGGAGTGGCTTTGGCCGCCCATACGGATGACCTTGACGATGCCGACTTTGATTAGGTGCTCAAGAAATTGATCCAGGGCGTGGTTCGTGTAACACCTTTGTAATGTCAGTATATCTCTCTCGATATTTCTCAAGTAGGGGAAAAGTGAAGACTCACACAACAACAATTGGACCCAAGTCCGCAAGATCCTTGATAGACAACAAGACCCTCATGAGCTGCACCCCGAGATACGTTTTCCCCGTGCCGGGTGGACCTTGTATGAAAGCAAACTCCCTAGTCAGCGCAGCAATCAGTGCGACGCGCTGTCCCCTATCGAGGGACGTACAATCCTCCAGACTGTCAATAAGAACCGTGTCGTCAGGAGAAGCCGACGAGGGAACCTTCACGCTGCGTGCCCCGGAGACCTTTATTGCCTCCATTGGAAACGAGAACCCGGGCTTTCTTGCGTACAGAGGTGGGGGTATGTCGAGCAGGGTTTCCTTGGGGTTCGCAACTTTGTCGGGTAAGATCCATTGATGGAAGGGAAGACGACCGGTTCGTTGCATTCCCTGTAGGTTCTCGAGTATTGGGACGAAGGTCGCCGGCAGGACGCTCGAAAACTCGATCAACACTCCTTTATTCCTTTGGCAGCTCAGTTCGATCATAGTCTTAAGGCATGCTTCGTCCTGGGCAACCAACTTCGTCACAACAGTGGCATGGTTATCATCTTGCGGGTATTTCAAGTTCTCTCCCGACGAACCAGGCTTGCGGAGGACAACGAAGAAGAGGTGGTGTATGCCAGCCCTATTACTCGAGATGAACGAAAGGAGGCATCCATCCTCTAACCGTCTGTTCTCCGCCCACCATCTACGTTTCTCGACTGCCTTTTTGCTGCGAACAGCCGAAGGCAGCTGGAATTGAAAGTGCACCTCCAACCCGTGGTTTCGACTAAACGCAACGTGTGCGATATGTGCACTGTTATAATGGCGGGCTCTGATGTCGCCCAGCGCGTGCTTCGGATTGCGGAGCGCCGAGGGGTCGTCCTGCGCCGCTTTGATGAGATTTCCAAGGGCTTCTTTCAGTTCGCCAAATGTGTCGTGGCGGAAGAGGCGGAACAAGGTATCGAAGTGCCGTGCAATTGGATCTGGTTGGAAATGTGTTTGGTCCCGGTCCGTTGATGGAAGAAACTCAACAGCATCGCTTAGTATCTCACCCATCGTTGGGAATATGCTAATTTTCGTCATGTCAATCTTATCGTTATCGTGACGATCACGGGGAAGGACGATGTCTCGAGGATACGTGGACGACGTGCCGATTGGAAAGGAAAGGTCATCTGTCTCTTCGGACTCCACCAGTTGCCCTGCATGGGCAACCAATGCTCTCAGCTGTTTGACCTGGGTTGTGACAATCTGATATGCGAAAGAGGGTTGACTGCCGAGTAACGACGCAGCCGTGCGCTCGATTGAATCTATCAGGCCCGGAAGATCGTCGTTGAACCTGATGCGTGGCTCTCTTCGCAAAAGTTCATGTAAGGCCGTGGACATATTGACGAGTGCGTCTTCCATGATCAACGAATCGGAACTACCAGAACCCTCATTGTGATGGCTGACCAGAGCAAGGCAAAGTCGCTCGAAGAACGGAATGGCCCGCTTGCCTTGAGGCCCACCGATGTAGTTATAGAGTGCTCCGACGTAAGTGTCCACGGACAGGCAATGGAGAAGCGCCGTGTGCGTGAATACTTGAAGGAAAGCAGAGCAAGCTTTGATGTAGCAACCAAACTCTCCGCTTGGGGCTTTGACGTTCATGAGTGCTTGGATGTGCTCACGGCCGCATAATTCATCACTGTCGAGGTCTCGGGGTAGTACTTGTTTCCATTCGCGATCGTCATCGTTGTTGAGTATTGCAACAGCATCGGTCCATGTTTGGGATAGAACACTGCTGTACCTACTGTATGGAGGATCTCTGATCTGACGTTTCCAAGAAGTATATGCATTCCTGGCCTCTCGTTGTTCTTCCGATTGTTCGACCACAGTTCGACGGCCCTGGCCTGATTGTGTAAAGCCAGTATCATGTTAGAATTTGCAGCGTGAACCATATTTGCAGTGGCCTTCTCTGCTGAAAAGTCGACAAGTCTTCCCTCCATTTTGCCCTCCTCTGGATACTCTGCCATTGCCGCGGGAACCGCGAAAAGATTTCATTTTGATAGGGCTTCAATTTTGGAAAGAAAATCACATGGAAGCCCAAGCTGTGGCAGATCATTCGATTTAAAGGATAGCAAGCGTGAGTAGCTACCTCATTCCAGAGGCTGAGATCTTCTGCCTTATCTCCCACATTGTCGCACACATTTCTCTGCTGCTGTTGGCTGTCCGCTGTCGTTTGCCTTTTACCACCAGGCTGGGTGAAGCATGCAGTGTTCCGTCCTGCAGAGTGGCCTCCAGTAAGAGGACAGGATGAACGTGGACAAGAGCTAGACGCCTCGCTTCCAAGATATTCACAGCCTGATGAAAAGCCATTCTGCATTTTTTTCGCGCCTCAGCCTCACTGTGCCCCTTCCGTAAATTGATAAACAGGGAGACACAATGGTAGGTAAGGTTTCCATCAATCAGACTAAAAGATGGATTTCTCACAATGAAGTCTTTCATGGTTCGGCCCGAAATCTAAGATTTAGAAGTCTATGTCTGAGACCTGCCAGATTCAACGGTAAGACATGATCCAGGTACGCGGCTCCACACATTCTTGATGGTAGCACAGCAGCGACAAGACTGCTGCCTGGAAGATATGCTCCACGGAGCGGTATGCTGTTGCCTGAGGCGGTTGTGCAACAGAGATATTTACAAACTGGGCCAAAAGCTTGAGACGAAGATAACACGATGCCTTTTGGTCAAGACCACAATGCCTTAGTATAAATACAATCAAGTTTAATGATCCATTTTGCTTCACCTTCTGTACTCGTAGTGGTACCTAAGGATTAGCAGAGCAGATGAAACGCTTCTGAGCCAAAATTAATCAAAAATCGCTAATTATACTGTAACCTCTTGACTATGAGTAACTATCCGTCCGGTGAATAGCATCACTGCGTTGCGACTTAGTCCTGCAGAATGACATCATATTCACAGACTGTGACAATGACCGAAGAGAACGGACAGTCGGTATCATCTCACGGCCGGACTCTAGTTAGTGAATAGCTCGTGAGAGTAGCGAGTTCCTAGGAAATGATTATGCCGTACGGGAGCTAAAGTGCTTGCAGGTGTGCGAAGCCGATATGTAGAACGTCGAGAGAACGAGTTATAATAAGCGACAATATTCAAAGGAAAAAAAAAGCATCACAATATTCAGCAGAAGATCCGATTTTGTTATACATGATTATTTTTTATTGAATTTGTTTGATGATTTGATTATTATGATGGGGTATCGATGGTAGACTTAACTCGCCCGAGTTTGTTATATCTTTCTTTGCAAACCCGTTCCGCTCCGCCCAATAGTTGTTTCAATGTTGCCCCCACCAAGGTCTAGAGAGAGGAGATGGTATAAATGTCCAGGGTATTGTACACTTCTTTTTACGTTCCGCAAATGAGCAAGAAGCAAACGCGCGCAAATTGTGAAGATGGCATTCGCAATGCAGGGAAAGAGATGGACCCTCGGATAAAACACCATCGCACAACCGCAAAATAGACATGTAGAAAAAAACAAATCAAGAGAACATGGTACAGTTCTTTCCCGCCCAGGGTAGTGCCTTTTGGCTTTGTATGAAATGCAAAGCAAGGCAGGCGAACCAGTCCGACCGTGTGTCAACCGCCCGCTCCAGAGTTTGAAATGAAACAAACGTAAGTATACCGGCCAGCCCAATTCGCTCGCACAACCCTAAGAGGATATCTTTTTTCGAATAAAGGAAACCAATTAATCCCGTAGGTTCCCAGTGTGTATTGCTCCGCGAAAAACGCCAAGTCGCTTCCTTGCAATGAAAAACCCTCGCATGCAAAAGCGACTTCGAAAACAAGGTGAAAAGGCAGGCCCAGCCGCACATCTGAATGTGCAGGGGCATATAAGTAGTTTGGATTATCGGCCGTAACAAATGCAGAAAACACGTTGACAAATGGAAAAGTGGTGAAGAAAAATCCGTTCTAAACCCAATGGAAATTGAGGCAAAGGCGTTTAAGCGGTTGCTTCAGTGGTAATGGGACGACCGCCGCCAACCAATTCAAGGATTTTGCCGGCGACGGCTGCGGGGTATCCGCGAGAAAGGCCTTCATTGACAACAGCCATGGCGCTGGCTCGGTCGTCAACGGCCATGAAGGCACGAGTCATAGCCTCGTAGGTCGAGGGCTCACGCTTTGCTTCCGAGACAGAGTCGTAAATAGCCTTGGCCTTCTCGATGTTGTGGGTGAGGGCCCATCCGTGAATAAGAGAGTTCGCAATGTAGGGTGTCATCTCTACTCCGCGGAGCCTCATATCCTTCAAGATGTCCTGGGTGTCGGCGATCTGGTGGTTGGCTACCATAGCCTCGAACAGAGCCTGGTAAAGGCAAGCCTGTGGTCGAATACGGCTGTCGGCCAATACAGAATCGAAGAGCTTACGAGCGCCTTCCATGTCATGGAGAACGCAACCTTTAGCGTGGATGAGAGATGAGTAGTGGACAGCTTCGGGGACGGCACCGGAGGTACGGATCTGCTCAAGGACAGATTCAGCTGCCTCCATGTCGACAGGCTCAAGAGTAGCGTAAGTATCGATCAAGAGCTTGTAGGTGTGGGTAGTCGGCTCGATGTGCTTTGACCTCATGCGCTCATAGTAGGCGAGGACCTTGCTGCGGTCGCGCTTTGTGGTCAGGAAGAACTGCATCATGCTGTGGTAGGGGGCAGGTCGGGGCTTGTAGTTGGGCATGCTCTCCATTTCCTCGAAAAGCTCCTCGGCAAACTTCTCGTCGCTGACACGGCAGAGAGCATTGACGATAGTACCATAGGTGACGCTAGTGGGACGGATTCCAAGGTTGCGCATTTCGGAGAAGTAGAACAGACAATCGTCGATACGACGAGCCTTTCCAAGCTTGCCAATGAGAGCATTGTAGAGGAACGATGACGGTTCGACACCCTCAGACTTGGCTCGCAGGAAGATCTTGACAGCCTCGGTGGCTTCATCGAAAGTCTTGGTCGATTCCTTAAGAGTGGTGATGTAGAGTCCGAAAGTGTTTGCGGTCGGTGCAGCTCCCATGTCAAGCAAATCCTGATGGTATTGAGCAGCGAGACCACGTTGACCAGCAGTGAGACAGGCAGCGACCATGGAATCCAAGATAGTCACCCATCCATAGCGAACAACACGGTACTGAGGCAACAGAGGAACGTCCTGCCTGGCAAGATTGAGAATGTCATGGGCAAGGGTGAGGCGGTCCTCCTTGGCGGCAGCAGTGATAAGCTTAGCGTAGGTGAAGAAGCGAGGGTGTCGTCCAGCACGGCGCATGTTCTTGAACTTCATCAAAGCCTCGTTGAGGTGAGAAGCAGAGCGTCCGTGGGTCTTCTCGAGAAGCTCAGTGATGGCATTGGAGCCCTTCATGTCGGTGGTAGCAGCGTAGGGATCGTACGAGTCTTCGAATGTCGGGGCTGCCACTGCTGGTGCGGGCTGAGGAGCAAACGGCACAAAGGGAGTAGCGGGCGAGTAGATCTGTTCAGGAGAGGGGTGCTTGTAGTTGTACCAACGGTGCTGAAGATCGCCACGGTCGAGCTTAACGAGAACCTTCTCTACGAGACCGGAAGCCGTCTTCGAAACTGGGGTTCCAGTCGCGGTGATGACTTCAAGTAGATGGGCGAAACGAGCAGCATGTGAAGGGTCGAGATCCATGGAGTTGAGGAGGATGCCAGACTGAACTTGCATGAGCAGGGTAATGTCCTGGAAACCAAGCTCGGCAATACCCTCGGGGCCCAATCCAGCGAGCAAATGGTGTGCCACTGGTGTAACGAGGCCGCCGTTCTCAATCATGGACCACATCAGTTCCATGCTCGCACGAGCAGGAATCATGATTCCGCGCCTCATCATAAAGGTCCCAATGACCTCGACGGCCTCATCGATATGCTCGATGACCTCCATCTTGGCCTGGTTTGAGGCAGCCTGCGAATCGCGAATGCGAGCGAACATTTTTCGGGTCTGGCGAAGACCTCGTTCAGCGTGGCCACTTCCGATGAGCGCAATGCTGTGCATGGCAGTGGGCTCGATGAAATCGGGCTTGGTAGGAGACAACTCCAACATCCTCCAGAAGACCTCAGCAGCCTCAATGTTTCCATTGCGGATGTGCATCGCACCCATAGCCATGGCAGGTCGAGCAAGGTCGACTTCTGCTGGGATGGCGTCAAAAGCTTGTGTGGCGATGTCCATTGCGTTGTTGTCGGCAGCCTTGATGCAGATGGCAGTCATGGCGATAGTGAGAGCTTGCGGGCTGAGTTCCTCGATTGCACAGGCGAATGCCTGAGAGAAAGCGCCATTTCTGAGCATTTCTGGAATGAGGGCCTTGAGTGTGACAACGTCATGAACAGCAATCACCTCTTGCGAGGTGGCCAAATCAGCCTCAATCTTCGAGAGGAACTTTCGCCCACCCTCGAAACGATCGCAAACGGCATAGGCCTTGATTAGGGCTGCGTAGACGTCGTTGTCTTTCCTGGAAATTTCGACGTCTCCGCTGTTGTTGGAGATTGCCAAGGCCTTATATTCGTCATAGCATTCGACTGCGCTTCGTAGATCGCCAGACTTGCCGAAAGCTTGGATCATGGGAACGAACATATCGGCGGCCGGGGTAACATTCTTGGACTCCATGTGGGTGTAAATGCGAACCATGTCCTCGACACGCTGTGCTTCCGCACAGGCAGTGACCAGAAGACGGTAGGTCTTTTCGGAGAACTTGCGGTTAGGTTCAGCGGCAACGGCAGAGTCGAAGAGCTTAACGGCGATACCTAAGGAAACGTCTTCCGAGAGAATGTCGTAATCAGTTTCGTTTGAGCTGAGCATAAACTTGCCCTCCTCTTCCATACCGCCAAATCGAACTCGCCTCTCTTCCAAAGCTTGAGTCATCGAGACGACCTCCAACGACCGAACAGAGAGGAGCTCGATAAGGGTTGTGTACGTCTCTGTGTCGGGCAAAACGCGTCGGCGGAGCATATCAGAGTAAACATCGAGAGCCTTGGGAACTACCTGGTGCTTCGCTCGGGGGAGGTTGATGGCTGCTGAGAGGAGAGCATTGTAAGATGCAGCAGAGGGCTTGATACCAGTTCGAAGCATGGACTCAAACACAGTCGGGACCTCGCCATAAGTGCGCTTGTCGACGAGGTTCTGTAGCTGGGCAGTATATCCATCGCTGATCTCTGATGCTATGCTGATGCTAGCAGCACTGCTGATAGTTTCGGAAAGTGCTGGGGTTTCGGATCTTGCCTCCTCGACAGGCGACAACTCCTCAACCTGTGGTTGTGCTGCCTCGATTTCTGCCTTGAACTTCGCCGCCTCTAGTGCAATTGCCTCATCGACCTGGGCAAGCGCGATCCTTTCGATGTCCTCGTCTGCATTGACTGCCTTTCTGAAATCATCCACCTGGCTCGTGCTGTATGCGCGGCTGAAACCAGTTCGTGTGGGGAGGGGATCGGATGTCTCTTCGAGTACGGCGCTGGTATCCTTTGTCTCCGCGATCGCCTTCGGTGTCGAGGCTTGGGGTTGCCACTCGATCAACTTTCGGAACTGGAACTGCGACCAGTCCTTGTCGTCGACGCGGTGCTTCTGCCATGCCGCATAGTATGCAGCTAGACCGGAATCCTGGTGTTCATGATGACTTAAGGCGTGCTTGACAGCACTGGTCGTCGAGTTTGAAGTCGAAGCATAAGCATGTTGGTTCTTTGCGCCGACCTTTCGGAGTCGCTCTTGCTGGAATGTGGCAAGGGGGTTGTTTTGCGAGACACCAGCAACGACTGATTGTGCGTATCCGTGGGTGAAGCCTTTGGCTAGACTCTGACGGGCGAGATGGAAGCTCTTGAAGACCATTTAGGAAATGGAAGAGCCCTTCAGAAGAAAGAAGGGTGAGACTGTAGATGGAAGAGTTAGCTCGTGTGCTCCCATGTGATGTTAGGTAAGTCGCGAGAAATTTAGGACATACTTGGGATTCTCAAAGCGCGACTATGCAGGTTCATTTGACGACTTAATCGCCAAAGAACGCGCTGTTAGAGAAAAGAAGGGTTGGGGAGGAAGTAGAAATTAGAAGGATATACGACTCGAAACAGGTGTTAAGCTGTCAAGTATAGTATATTTTGTGTTGTGTGTGGGTGGTCCCTCAATGGATGTGGGAGGGAGAGGGTGTGGGAAAAGTTGAAGAGAAGATGAAGGAAGGCAAGCTGGCCTGAGAATAATGATTAATATTATTTTAGTATGCCGGATCCCTTCGCATACGCACAGGGAAGAAAAGAGTCGTTAGTTACGAATGAACGGAAGCCTGGGGATGCCTCGATGGGTATGGGTAGATGAAGCGATGGATGAGTGGAAGTTCGATTCGATTCATTCGTACTCGTCACCACCAAAAAGGAACCTTCGAGCATGGACGCTAAAAATCCCGGTAATTTCTCTGGGCTGGGCATCCCTCTAACCATATACGGTATAACCGTAATTCGCGCATCCACATCCTCAAGGTCCACCAACCTCGACTGTGTAATCAACTTCCTCCCCCCTAAACCAACATCAGTTACAACAACCATCTACTGGTATGTATCGACATGGGTACCCTTCTCTCCATGTGTCCATCTATCCACTCAAACCCCCGTCGAAATCCCTCGTCTATCAAATCTCCCCTTCGCACAATTCGGTCGAATCGGTAGTCGGCCTCTCTCGTCGGACGAACAAACTCGTTGGTGGCAGATGATGATGATCGAAGATGATGATGATGACTGCGGACATAACGGCATCGGATCGGTAGCCCGGAGTGCTGGAGTCGCCGTCCCACCAGGACCCAGGGGTGGAGGGGCGCACCTGAAAAGGCTTCGATCCCATTCCACACCAAAAAGGTCGATGACTCAAGACTCTCACGATAAAGGACCGGCTTGCAGTCCTCGAATACCTTCATCTTCCTTGTCCCCCGGCTGCGTGCCAAAGGGTCCAATGGAGGCGGTGATGGGCCAGCTGACAGCTCCAAGTTTTGTCTGGCCAATGCTGCGTCTTGGAACTACGGATGCGCTTCCCCAGACCAACGGCCCTTTTTGCGAAGTCCCTAACAACTGTACGAGGCGTATCTAAACTGTCTACCCGTGAGCCGTAGTTACGGCCCACGTTATGAACTTGTTCGCTTTGAGTATATTTGCGCACATCGCCAACATCATCTTTTTCAAATTATGGCGGTTGGCTGGCTGGCCACGCGAGCTTACAATTACAGCGAACATGCTCGTCGGATCGACCACCGGCCAGCTTTATGTATTTTCTACACTTGAATTGGTTATTCGAGAGCATATTGTAGTCAGTTGAGAGTCTTCTAAAGCCCTTACAAGCTGGTTATTCTAGAGTATTTTGTAGCCAGTCAACGGTATAAAGGCCTCGCGAATGGATCAGTACCATTGTGGGAATAAAATACTAGCAGGGGGCCAGCCCGATGTGCTACCTTCTGTACAATCTACTGCGAGTTTACTGCAGAGTGAGTGCAGCAAAAAGGCGGTCGAGTCGTGTTGGCATTGAACAATCAGCATTCTAGGACGGAAAAGATCGTTCGAAAGGATGCAATCGCGACATGACCTGATGCAAAAAAGATAAATAATCATAGGTATTCCACTTCCCGTGCACATAGTTCCTCCGTCGTAAACTCATTCATAGTCTAAATAGTTAAGTTATGGATTGCCCCATGTAGACGGAATTCACACTGTTCTTATTGGTGAGACTATTCGCCCATACATGTATGACCAGCGTAAGCTATACGGAGTGCGAAAGGATTACAATGATGTTACGGGCATTGAAAGACAGCCGCACACAAAACAATGTCCCGATCACAATAATCCAATATCATTGTGCTGTAATACTGCGTTCACCAAGCCCGAGCCACAGCAGTTAATACCGATAAGTCCATAATTAGTGGCCCATCCCAATCGCCCACTCCCACCACTCCCACTATCACAACCACCACCGCAGCCACATCACCAAAATCAACCCCACCCACCAAACAGAACGAGCCGCCTCAACTTCCCAAATCATCTTGCAGCAAAATCAAAACCCTGTAACTCCAGATCGATTCAGAGCATCCGCTGGCGGAAACGAAGAACCACCACCCCAATCCTTTCAACCCCCAATTCCCCAATTGCAAATTCCGCCGCCATGGCCACCTCCCATACCCCTCGTGCTGTGTCGGCTCCTGGTAAGGTCCTCGTGGCCGGGGGTTACCTAGTCCTAGATGCCGATTACAATGGCTTGGTGTTCGGCCTTGACGCACGCATTCATGTTCACGTTGAGCCAATTCGTACTAAATCTGGAGTGTCGTTGAGTGAGATCACGGTGCAAAGCCCTCAGTTCAATGGCGCCCAGTGGGCGTATGGATATCGCCTGCTGGAGAAGGATGGCGGCGTGGGAGTGACCCAGCTTGCGGTGTAAGTCTAAGCAAATCTTTTGTTTACATTCTTTTTGAAGTCCTCCAGTATGTTCAGGGTCAATTCTTTTTCCCATTGTCTTTGAGCCAATGTAGTCAGTCCCACAACGTTATGTTTCCCAATGAAGGTCACGCCATCCCATACGAGTTTCCATACATTTCCCAATTCCTATGGACATAGCCGCCATTGTTCTTAATCTACCTTTCCATTGCCATATACTCACAATCTAACAGCTCACATGACGTCCCTCTATCCCGGAACCCATTCATCGAGACCGCCTTGACATACGGCCTCTCCTACATCAGCACTCTCCTCCCTGACACCCCCATCGCCCCGTCCTCCATCAACATCCTCGCCTCAAAACCCTACTACTCCAACCCAGGCACGCCCTCCACCACCAACCCCAACTTCCTCAACTACAATGCCACCCTCTCGGAAGCCCACAAGACGGGCCTTGGATCCAGCGCCGCACTCGTGACCTCCTTCACCGCCGCCCTCCTATCCTACTACCTCCCAGCATCCAAGTTCACCACCACCACCGACGATGGGCTGCGCGTCCTCCACAACCTCGCACAGGCCGCCCACTGCGCCGCCCAGGGAAAGGTAGGCTCCGGCTTCGACGTCGCCTCCGCGGTCTACGGATCGTGTCTGTACCGACGGTTCTCACCGTCCCTGCTGTCCGGATTGCCGTCGCCCAAGGATTCCGGATTCGCTACGGAATTGAGGGCCCTGGTCGAGGGCGACAGGTGGGACACTTCGATCGCGAAGGCCGCGATCAAGATGCCCAAGGGCCTGAGGCTCGTCATGTGTGATGTCGACTGCGGGTCTGAGACCCCCGGCATGGTGAAGACGGTGCTGAAGTGGAGGGAACAGAATAAGGAGGAGGCGGACCGGGTTTGGAATGCTCTGCAGCAGGGCAATGAGGCTTTGGCGAGGGAATTGACGAGGTTGGCGACTGAAGATGAGGGCAGCAGCGGAGAGGGCAAGTATGATGCGTTGAGCAAGATCATCTTGGGGAACAGGAAATTGATTCGCGAGATGGGTGTGGCGTCGAAGGTACCAATTGAGCCTCCGCAGCAGACTGCTCTTCTGGATGCATGCTCGAAGATCCCAGGAGTTGTTGGAGGTGTGGTCCCCGGAGCTGGAGGTTACGATGCCATCGTGCTTCTCTTGGAGGATCGCGAGGAGGTCATTGCGGAGCTGAAGAACCTGGTCTCGAACTATTCTGCTACTGCAAATGAGGTGGCAGTGGTTGATGGACAGGACGACTTCAAGATTGGCAAAGTAGGAATTCTTGGAGTAAGAGAGGATATGGTTGGCGTGAGGGATGAAGATGCCTCGCAGTATCAAGAGTGGACTGCCACGAACTAAGACGATATGACCAAAATAGTTTTCTTTCTCTTCAGTCGGTCAAGATAGATTTCAACGATCATAGCAATGAGTGACGAATGTACTTGATTCCTTCAAACAAAGCATCCATTAATTTGTTCATGTGATTACCACCTATAATACTCGTTGTATCAACCTACCGAACATGCATGAGGTCAACGCCAAGCTTCGCGCTATCATCCGTCGCGAACTTTCCCATTCACTCCCCTCGTCTCAAAAACAACCAACAATCAACAAAATGCTACAACCACGAATAAGCTCTCCATTACGGAGAGCCATATTCGATTCCACCCAACAATGCCTCCTCCACCGCTCCATAACACCATTCCGCCCTCAACCCCACAACCTTAACCGCCATATCACCAGCACCTCCATCCTCCTCCGCCCACCACCACCACCGCAAGACAAACAGCAACCCGCTCCCCAAGACCCTCCCCAACAAGAACAACAACCCCAACCCACCTCCTCAGACCCCGAACCCGAACCGGAATTCGTCCCCCAGCCCCTCGGCCGCCCCATCGGCTTCCCCAGCGCGCCCAAACCCGGCGAAAACCTGGGCCTCGCCCCACCCAAGAAAGAATATACCGGCACGCTGCGAGAAAAGAACCTCCAGAAGCGCACCGACATCGTCGAGTCGTGGTCGCAGAACTACTTCCGGGACTTCAAGAACATCCGCAAGTACCGGTCCGGCAAGACGTTCCTGGCGAACCCGCGCATCTTCCGCAAGGACGTGAGCTTGTATTTTCCGAATCTGCGGGGCGAGACGTTGGAGGGGGGGAGGCAGGTGGATACGACGGATGTGTTGAAGGGGAGGGTGAGTGTCGTGAGGTTGTATAGTAGTGCGTGGGGTGAGGCTCAGGTGCAGAGTTTCACCGGGGAGAAGGAGAATGCGGAGTTGCGTGCGGTGTTGAAGGAGGAGGGGGAGATGGCGCAGATGGTGGATTTGAATGTCGAGGAGAATCCTATGAAGGCGTGGTTGATTGCGATTTTCAAGTGGAGGCTGAGGAGGCAGAAGACGAAGGAGGAGTGGGGGAGGTATTTTGTTATTAGGAAGGGGGCGGGGCAGAAGGTCAGGGAGTCGATTGGGGCGTTGAATGGGAGAGTGGGTTATGTGTATCTCGTGGATGAGACTTGCAAGATCAGGTGGGCTGGCAGTGCAAATGCGGAGGGCACTGAGAAGGAGGATTTGACGAAGGGGTTCAGGAGACTTGTGCAGGAGGCGAAAGATATCAAGTCGGGAAAGGTGAAGCCGAGGATACGCAGTCCCAGGGAGAAGGTCAATGAGGAACTCGAACAGCAGGCCGTCAATGCGGGAGCATCGTAGAGCATAGTAGATAGAACTTCTACCCAGTGGTAGAATCTGTATTCAAAATGTATCATAGTTGTACAACAGCCCAAAAGGCGGTTGAATCCGCCCACAGGCAGCCTTACGGTAAGGTCATATAATCCCAATGGATATCCTTGGAAACGCCTACAAACTCCAGTGATCTTTGAACGCTCCACCCAAACAGACCATGCAGAAACGATGCTTAGCACAAACAAAAGTCCCGAAACATGCCGTGTTCACCTGAACCACAACAGCATCAGAAAGCAGAAAGCAATGAATGCTCCCAGGATGATACCATCCCTTCGCTTCTTTGCGCCTATCCTGCCGATTAAACTGTTGATGCCGGGCACCTGGCTTGCGGCGCCCACAATCCTCCTGTTGATGCTCGCAATCGATTCCCTCTGCAGACTGAAGTTCTCTTGTACGGCATATGCCTGGCTTAGAACACTATCCGCAATGTTGTGCGAGTTATCAATCCTGCTCCTCTCGTCCAGCATATACTCCGCCTCCGCCTGGGCAGGATTCATCGACCGGTAGGCATCGATATCGGACCGAACGTTCGACAGCAGGTTGGCCTTATTCCTCGCATCCGTGATCGTGGACTTCAATCGGTTGAGCTCGCGGCGGTGGTCATGCAGTAGTTCGCGATGGCGGGCCAGATTGCTCTGCTTGACGGCGGACTGTGTGGATTCGGAGTCGAGCAGGCGGCTGAGTTGTGAAACGAGCGCCTCCCGCCGCTCGAGGACATCTTGCAATTGCGATTCGGTGCGAAGTTCTTCTTCGGACGCGCGCGTGGGTATGTTGGTCATGGATGCATATTGCGAGTACGTGTGGAAGTATGTCTCTGTCTGGAGATTTCGTTCGTCAGGAAGATGTACGTAGAAAGTGGTGGAGTGAGTACCGCCGAGGCAATGCACTGAGGGAGAGTGGCAGTGTCGTACATACCTGCGTTTCAAGAGATCGAGCTTGTTGGCGAAGTTGCGCCCATCCTCCACCGGTAGAAGACATGTTGGTATGTCTCACGAAGGAAATTTAACAAGTGAAAAAAGGGTAGCAGTTGGGATGTGTTGGAAAGTTTGGTGTTCTCAGGGCTCGACAAGTCGATCGCAGCCGCAAGACGTAACTGATGATCCGAGCGTTTCACGGAATTGCCAAGACCCGCCTCGGATCGGGAAAATCTAAGTGCCTAGCGCAACACACACTCGGCTGGCCCTGAATTCCAACCTCACATCGAAAGTCTTGTGAACAGACGACACGCGATAGCCATATCCCACACCACCCGGTCTCACTAACAATACAGGCAAGATGGTACGTTATATTTCTACTTATCCTTTGATACATTCTCTTGATATATCGATGCGCTGTGGGGAGGGTCAGCAGTGGGCAATCGGTTGTTGTTGCTGCGCTTCCACAACGTTCAATATCTCATCTTCAAAATATGAAAAAGTTCCATCGCTAACATTTTTTCACAGTCCGCCGGAAAAGTCGTACGTACCCTCGCATTACCGCACAATAATCCATCGATCCAATTACTCACAACCGTCACAGAAGACCGCCCAGCTGTGGAGCAAGTCGAAGGAGGATTTGAACACCCAGTTGTTGGAGCTCAAGTCGTGGGTACACCCCGGCAGGCGCACGCTGCCCGAAGAAAAAAAAAATAGACTGCGACTATCGGAAAGGGACATGAAATGCTGACGGAAGAATAAAGGGAATTGATCCAGCTCAGGACGAGCAAGGTTGCTGGCGGTGCCTCCACCAAGCTCACCCGCATCCATGATGTGAGGAAGGGCATTGCTCGCGTCCTCACCGTCATCAACGCCAACCAGAGGGCCCAGCTCCGCCTCTTCTACAAGGGCAAGAAGTGCGTACCCGCCGATCTTTGAATTCTCCAACGACCCGCCGGAAACCAAACTAACATATTTTTTCTCCTTCAGGTACACTCCTCTCGACCTCCGATCCAAGCAGACCCGCGCCATCCGCCGAAGACTCACCAAGCACGAGGCTTCCCTCGTCACTGAGAAGCAGAAGAAGAAGGCCATCCACTTTCCCCAGCGAAAGTTCGCCGTCAAGGCATAAGCGTGCTACTGCAGTACGTTTGCGCGCGGGGGGTGTTGGTGTCTCTTCTTTCTTTGTCTCACACGAAGCATTGCATTGCCGGGGCAAATTTCTTCTCTCTGTCAAGCTATAGCGAGCGACCCACCACCCAAAAATGTACCCTTTACAACAATAAAAGAACCCCGTCCTGTCCTCGTTAAAAGAATATGAAAAACAACACCAACGCCTTGAGATGGTTCCTACCTTGCTTGGGGGCGGTTACTGTCTAGATAGGTGATTGACTGATTGACGAATGGCGTGAATGGATACTTGGATGGTGGTCGGGTTATATGCGGCATGCGGCGGTGGGAATGGGTTTGCGCCATCTTCTCGGGAAAATGGGATGGGCGTCCATATCAAGAATCTATGATCAAAAGTTCATTACGTTCAATGACGAAAAGTGAATGTGATGTCTGGTCTTATTTGCGAGCTAACACTATTTGAGGCTTCTTGAACTGATTCTCTGGTAGACAGACGTCGTTTCTGATACAGCCACCGGACGGTATCTCTCCTTCATGCCGCCTCGTTCCGATATACCACAACTCTCTCCAGCGTCAATTACAGTGCACATTACACGCAATTCCATTCCCAGTCTCATCACTGTTCTTTTTGAAGTCAGCCTCGATCCTATGGCCCCTAATGCCTCCACATCATCGCAGCCCTTTGTCCTCTCTACGAGTCTTGACCCCACCTCAGTAATATAATCACATCGAATATCCAGACACTTATACCATTGATCGACACAAGGAAAACATCAGACATAACATCATAATCATAATTCATTTGTTTCATCATACACCCCTCTTCTTCTCTGATCCCCCCCTCACATCCACCCATCATCACCACCCATCAACAAATCCTCTCCTCCGCCTCCCTCCACGGCACGCCCAACACCTCAAAGATCCTCCTCTCACTCTCCCCCTCCACCAACTCCCCCTCCGTGATCCTCTCCCTCTTCGGCCCACGCATGACATCCTTGAACAGCCCCCGCTGGTTGAGCCGCATGCCCTTCTTTGACGCGAGCAGCCGCATGGAACGGTTGAAGATGTCGTTACCCGTGAAGTAAATGAACGCCGCGCCGAGTTCCGTCGACGGGACGAGGAGGAGGTCGATGCGGCGCCAGGTGTCGGTTCCAGGGAGGAGCGACGCGCCGTGCCATTTTGTGCCGTCGGCTGTGCGGTGGTTGGTGCCGTGGGACGAGGCGAGGGACACTTTGAGGAAGTCGAGGGCGAAGAGGCGGGGGACCAGGACGTCGAAGACGGTGGTTTGGAGGGTGGAGAGCGGGACGCCTGGAGCGGTGATGAGCAGGTCGATGTCGCCGGAGGTGATGGCTCCGCGGCGATAGGAGCCCATTGTGTGGACTTGGAAGTCCGGGTTGATGGCGTGGAGGGCTTTTCGGACGAAAGAGGCGTGCGCGGCGACTTCGTCTCGGGGGATGCGGGTGGTGAAGTCGGTGTAGTGGTCAATGCCGATCTTTTGGTTAGTGGTGAGTTTGGCGTGCTTGAGGAGGTCGTCCAGCGTGCGGTGGCCTGCTTGGAGCCATTTGTGTGCTTGTGATAGTCCGACCCCGTAGATGTTGAGGAACATGCGCAGAGTCTGGTCCGCAGGATCCGACTTCGTAGAGTCGAGACGTCGGAGACGGTTCGTGAGTACAATCTCTTCGATCTTCTCTGCAAGTCGGGAGCCGATGAATGGCAGAGCAGAAGCCTCTTCCCTCGTGGTGATCTTAGTTGTTTGTTTTCGAAGAGTAGATACTGCACGTCGATATGCAAGGGTTCGCCAGGAGTCCTGCATCTGATCGTAATATCGACCCATCTCCTCAAGGATCTGAATCGTGCGTGCATTGGGGTTTGCATTCGCATTGGCATTAGTCTTTCGAGGATCCATACACTGGTAGTTGGCTTGGTCGAAGCCTTTCTTCGTTGGCCACTGAGACTTTGGCGCTGCCGAAGCAAACTTTGATTTCCTAGGTTGCTTTTTGACGGCTCGGGGGGATTCTACGTCTGTGTCTGTCTCAGAGTCTGAGTTGGCAGAGCCTGGCCGTGCGGTGTCATTCCCCTCATCCTCGTCTTCGTCGAGCGGCAGGTGAGCTATTGCCTTTGTTTCTTCTATCGCCTTTGACAGAGCATCACCATAGTCGACTCGGGTTTCGCTAAGTAACGCTTCGATCGGCTCTTCAACTGAATCAGACGGTGGCTGCACAAAACTATCTTTCACGATCTCCTCTCTCGCTGGACTCTCCAGAACTCTGTCGGTCGAAGGAGGAGGAAACAGCAGCATATTGCTATCCTCCGTCGCAACCGAGTCCGTCTTCTGTGAGATCTCCTTCTCCCGCTGCTGCTTCCTGGTCAACTTGACCTTCAAAGACTCATCTGACTGAGATTCCGGCACCGTGGAAGGTACAGTAGCTTCCAAGCTCTTCTGCTGTGGCTTCGGCGCGTCTTTGACCAGGAAGTGATTCGCTGTTGGGTCGAGGACAGTACCGAGCTGCATGCACTGTGGGATGTACGGATCGAATTTGACTAAGACGACAGTCCGCTGCAACACATCTAAGTTAGCCTCATCGCCTCTTTAAAACACCCCGACCTCTCGTAGAATCACAAAACAAATAAGGGGTAATCACTTACCGGCAATTCCTTCATTCCTAGATGCCTCATCAGCGCCCCATACCCCCTATCCTTATCATCCACAACGACATGCGTGACATCGTCCCTCCACTTCGTAACCCACGCAGCACCCAGCTGAATCAACTTGTGTATACGCTGTCTCCGCGCGGTGCTCACGTCGTCGTTGGGGTAGTAGTACACGATCTTCCCCTTAAACAGCTGTCTACGCTCCGGCACGAGTACGATGCGAGTAGCGGGCTTCACATTGCGGCCAGATTTGAGTTCGCGCGGGATGCTGCCGACACGTCGCCAGAATGGGATTTCTTCCTCTTCGGTTTGCTCGACCTTCTTCTTACCCTTGGCCTGTCGACTTTGTTTGTCGTCCGGTTGTCGCGCCCGCGCTCTCGCGGTTTGCTTGGGAGGCTCCGGTGGTGGGGGTGGCGTAGAAAATCCATCAGACGATGACGGTCGACTACCTTCGGGGCCCGCATCCTCGCTCTCCTTCCTCATAGCCATCTTCCTCTCCATAGCAAACCTCTCAATTTCTGCGCGTCTCTCTTTCGGCATTCCCGCATCCTCGCTCTCCTTCCTCATAGCCATCTTCCTCTCCATAGCGAACCTCTCGAACTCCGCGCGCCTCTCTTTCGGCGTTGGGCCAAGAAAACTACTCTTCTGCCTCACGAGTCGCGGGACCTGTTCATCCCCTCCGATGCTCTCCATCCGTTTCCTCTTGTCATTCCGGATCAGATTAGAAGGCGATGTATCCCTCCAAGCCTTCTCGATCCTTTCCAAGCCCTCGTCGACTTTCCTCTTGGTGCTCTTCACTCGCTTGGCAGCATCTGCGTTTCGGACTTCACTGCCTGTCTCGTCTACAGTGGTGTCCCCGTCATCTGTCTCGTCTACAGTAGTATCCCCATCGTCTTCCTCGTCGGGGGAAAGATCGATCAGATCCTGGTGGTTCTTGAAGTACGACGTCTTGTCTTCCATTTTCTGTTTCTCCTCCTGCATACTCTTGCCACTCTCTTCCCTTCGCGTAGTTGAGGTTGTTGCAGCCATATCTCATTCCGGGGTTGTTAGCTTAGCGAAGAAGTCGGATAGCGATGGGTGTTTATATTATGCTGTTTCCTGTCCCGTGCTGTCGAAGTGAATTGGTGAAACTGCACGTGCCTTTCAAATATGAATCTGCGCACGCACTCGAGGACAAAGAACCGGTGAATCAAAAATTTCCAGATCCCCAGCTTTCACCGCCCAACAGTGAACCCTTCACTTTTCCAATTCTGAAAGCTCACCAAGTCTGGTTCCAGCTCGACTTCCAGAAATAAATTAGATCGAGATAATTCGTTCCCCGCGGCGATAGTCATATACATGAAGCCATGACTTCCACCTTTCGCGTACTGTTCAAATCTCACTCCAATTGCATCTGACTCGAGCCAGCGAGGGCAATTGAGTGGCTATTATATACCCAACCTACCCACCTAACGCCCAAAATTAGAAATTAGCCAGAAGTGATGAACAGGTAACACAAGCTCGAGCTTAGTGGTGCAGGGTAGGCAGCAGACGCGGGGACCCGAGTGACGCGCGCGGTCACATGGGATGATAGTACGCTAAGCTAAGTCGTCTGATTTGGGACTAACGCGATTCGGTCGTTCACTGAATTGAGGTGAGCGAACAGTAGCATTCATCGCTCACTCCACACGCACTCACTTCTCTACTTCCGAGAAGAAGAATTGTAAGGGGAGATACATCTCGCATGCTATGAAATACATATGGATTTCGGTGATCCAAAACTTCAATCGACCCATTCACTAATCATCTCAAATGGCATACTACAACGCTTTCCACTTCGCCAAAAGAGGCTCTTCTTTCCTTGTCCGACTCTCTAATCACAAATGACGCAAACTCACAAGGGAAGATACTAGCTATCATTCTTTCTTCAGATTCGAGCAAACAGATTTATTGATTTTATTTTATCCAACTCCCCCTACTGCGATTCCCCCCTTCTCCTCTTGCTCTTTCCAACGAGTCCAAAACAGTCCAAACACACCAAAATACAACAATCAAACGGCAGGGCCAACCGACACGCCCCAACAATACAACAGCATACAGACGATTATATACAGCGGCGATGCGTATGCGTTGTGCAGTGCGTGTCCCCCTCTTTCTTCAATCCGATCCAAATGATTCCAATCCAACTCAATCTTTGAAGAAGAAGAAATATGATTATTACTCGTCCATGGCAGAACACAGAACGGAGAAGAAGAAAGAGTTATTGATATCGAAAGATAAATAAACGGGTTGCGTCGCCGGGAGCGCTCCTGTTGGAGGCGTGCACCAGCGGCCAACGACGGGGGTATAGAACGAAAGGAAACGACCAACGGAGGAGGGTTACGATGGTGTATAGAAAAGAAATGTCGAGAGGCTTCTGTAGGTTTTGCACTCGGTGTGCAATCCTATGCCAGGCTTTCAGTAACCTGAAGCCATGGAGCGGGAGGTAATGGTGGTGGTGGTTGTATTACTTCGAAAGGAGCGTGGGTGCGCATGTGCAGAAGGCGCTATGTACGTGCTGATTAGCAACAAAGGCATATCCAAAGACGAGTCCATCCACCAGTCTATGGTTAAGCCGTAATCAAGGAGAGTGTCGAAATGGGAAAACAAAGAACAAAGTCGTTCGTAACGTCGAGAGCTGATGTGTCGATTCTTGAGGAATTATTGTATTACGTTCGGCTCGAAGGATGGTGGTGAATGTCGTTGTCACGCACAAGAACGGACGAATGCTATGCAGGAGATGTATGCGCTAAGCCATGCCACAAGCGGTTATGCTATCCAGAACGGGTATCAAGAAGGCCTCAAAATGTCGAAATGTCGGAACTCGGAAATCTGAAGGGAAATCGACGGTGCAGAGCGTTACTAGTATCGTGTCGCATTAATGGTGTATGGCCTCGACGAGAGTGCTCGAGCCTTGGGAGGTTGGTTTTGGTTTCGGACGAGTCTGGCGTCCGGGTCGTGATCGGCTAGCCCCTGGCGACAGAGGCGAGGATGATGTGCGTAGAGTTGGTTCGATAGAGGAAGCAAACGACGCGAAAGGAGAGGAGAGAGAGGAGAGAGCTAGAAGAGAGTTAACAAGCACGGAGAGGATGTGTTGATTAGGGGCTGGGAGGTGGACCTCCGCTGCCTCCTGCATCCGTGCTGTCACCCTCTATCGTCTTCCTCCAGTGCTGCGGCAAGCAAACACAAACGAGCGGGAATGCCTTGATCTCGCTCTCGGAATCCTCGATCTTCGACTTCCTGCTGCCGTTGCTGACGCCCGAGTCGCGTTGCACTTGTTTGCGTGCTTCCCACTCTTCCGCGGTCTCGGACACTCTCACGCCAGTTGCCCACCCATCATCCCAAATGCCCACAACCTTGAGCATGTCACCCCGCTCCAATTCAAACTCATCGTTGGCACGAGGCTGGTACGCCCACAGGGTCGCGACAATGTCGTTTGCGTGAATGTCATCCTGCGAGTAGTAGTCTTTGAAGAATTGCAGCTGCTCTGATTGTCCCGAGGCGACACCATCTGGGCTAGAAAAGTTGCGGTCGGGGTTGGTCGATAGAGGTGAGGAGTGGCCATCGGTGGCAGCGAGTGCGGAGTGGCTCGAGAGGGATCCGTCACGTTTTGGTAGTGCGCCTCCGAGACGGCTCCGTCCGTACTCGGGGGAAGAAAAGGTATCGTCAGAACGGTATGTTCCCATGGCACCACGTGTTCGAGAGTCCTGGCGATCCGAGGAGCTTGATCCAGAGAGGGCTGACATGCGGGCGACACGTGCTCCCGGAAGGACTGGCGGCGGCGGGGCACCATCGTGGTAACCCATCGCTGGGGCAGAAACAGCCTGGCGGGCTGGCGAGGGAGAGTTCAGAATGCTACCGTTTTGGCTCTGCTTGCGTTTCCGCGCTTGGAGGCAGCAGAAGATGACCGCACCGAGGATGATCAAGGCGCCCATGATGGACCCCACGACGATCCCCGCGATAGCACCTCCCGAGAGGCCAGAGCCGGACCCAGCGCCTGCTCCGGCCGAAGTTGCGGTTGGGGCGCCTGAAGAGGTGGACGATGGGAAGAGTGGCGGCATGGACGTGGTGGTGGGAAGATCGACATTCTGGCAGCGAGCTTCGACATTAGCGTTGACGCAGCACGAGTCGGTCGAGTTAGGAGAGCTGGAACCGCAGAAGGAACAGAGACCGGGCAAGTTAGACTGGTATCCGCACTCAGCGGCTTCGTTGTCGGCAGCGCTGATGCAGGTGCCGCTCAATGAGCGCGCCGGCAAAGCGCAGTTGGTGAAATCAGCGCGGATCTGGTTGATGGCGTTGTCTCCCGAATTGCCGCACAGTTCGGGGCTTGCTGTGATCTCTTGCTCGCTGATAGCAAACTTGGCCTAGAAATGGGTCAGCTCCATGCATGTGGGATTCTGGCGTCCAGCGCCACCGACAACTTACGCATGAATCAGCGCAAAGTGGGCGAGAGTTCTCCTGCGAAAGGCTGCAGCTCTGGACGGAATTCTGGACCAGGGAATTGCACAGCACGGTGGTGGTGTAGCGAGCATAGATCTCGGTGGTGTTGGTTAGATTGACGCCCGAGCATCCGATGAGCTGCTGATACCTGTGTAACCGTCAGCGACCGCGTGCCTGTGGCCTGTCTCCCCGCACGAGGGAGCTAAATCTGGAGAAGCATACTTGTTTCTCGCGTAATCCGTGGCGATATACTGCCGAAACTGATTGTCGAAGCTCTGTATATCTGATACGAAGGAGAGGAAAGGGCTGAAGGCGGGATTTAATTAGTATGCATGTTCGGGGCCCAGCACGAGGCTGACGTGAGGTTACACGTACAAGAGATTCGACAGGCCAGTACTGATGCTGGCCTTGTTGAATGCCGGGCATGTCGTGGTGCCATCGAGAGATATGCACTTCTGGGCCATGGTCGCTGGAACTGAGGCTGCGAGGAGAGCCAGAGCAATGGAGCGCGTCGAAAGGTACTTCTGGCGCCGAGGAGAGCTCCTGGGATCATGGCGGTTGAGGGACGGTTGGACGTCGCAGCAACAGCTGCTCGAGCGATGAGGGTCCATGATGGGGGATCGAAGCTGAATGCACGAGCGATGGATCGTCCGGAAGCGTGCACAATGTTCAATGGCGACGGTGGAAGTCGTAGTCGTGGTCGCGGCCGTCAGGAGCGGCTGTTCATACGACTGAGGATCGCACGCGTGGGAGGCCAGGAGAGGTCTATGAGTCCATTCGAGACAGCTTCGAAGGCCGTCCTGGGGAGGGAAGGTGCGAGAGGAGGCGAGCGGGGGTTGCGATTCTTTTTATCTAATTATTAAAACGGTGTGGTGGATAAAAAGGCCTCTTGGAGAGGTTGTGGTGTACAGTGTAAGAGGAGCCCTGGGGGTTATGCTTTAAGAATCGGGCTGAGAAGGGGAAAAGAGTGGCTCAGGCCGCAGAGAAGAAGGAAGGTAAAGAGCGACTGGGTTAGTTGGATAGCAACTGCAGGCACTGGCCGTGGCAAGAGTAAGAGAGATATTAGAGGTAGAGAGAGGAGGACGGAGGGAGGGTGAGGGTTGGCGAGCTGCGAACGACCGGACGAACGAACGAAGCAGTGGAGGAAGCGCGCGACCAGAGAAGGAGAGCAGAAGCAAAGCAGCAGCAACACCAGAAACAATAACTAGCAGCACAGGCACAGAAAGCAGAAGCACAAACCAGCCAGCACCAAGACCAGACCAGAAACACACACGCACGTCGGCAAGAGAGCAAAAGATGGGATGGGATCAGGGATCAAGGGGTCACTATTATCGCTTCAAGCCACAAGCGGCATCAAGTCTGGCATCGTCGCCAGCGCCCAATCAATCAGAATTCGATTCTTGCGCAAGGGCCAGGGTGGACGGATGGAGGCCCCGTCGAGCTTCAATCTTTCTCCCGTCATTTCAAAGAGAGAGCAAAGGAGAGTCGACCCCCTATGATTGGCCGTGTCGTCTTGAGGGAAATGAACAGTCTCGGCAGTTTAGCAGTTTGGGGGATTCTCCTAACTCCAAACTCGTCGTCAGGTTGCTAAATTTACCGACTATTATTGATACAACGGCAATAGTTTTACCCTCAATCTCTCTCTTTGAGCTCGCTCCAGTTCTCCTCGTTCCAAACCGTTCCAACCTCGTCGCAGTCGTCCCAAGCAATCTCATCGCCAGCGTGCGTCGCAATCATCGCCATGGATGCATGTTTCAGCGCCCGGTCGACCCAAATCTCTCCGATGAAGCTCCCTGCGACCTATCCTATCCCATCGCCCCTCACCTAATGTCGTGTACTTTGTACATTGGAGATGTTCTGGAGAGCGAGCCACAGTAGTCTAAGGTGGTACAAAGTCCGGTATCCCCAACGTTCAGAGCTCCCTATCCCGTACAAGCGCGATTCCATAGTTACTCCATACTCCTCTAAGCTCTTCCCATCGTCCATCGCGTAGACACCTTGCTTTTCATCATGCATACACCTGCAGGCTACTATCCTTACCTACCCTCGCCTTACCTGCCTGCCCGCCCCATGACTGCATGTATGATCGCGTACGCAGCAGAGAAGACAATTCCAGTAACCATCTCCTTCGTATATGCAATCAATCAATCAAAACAATTAATCAACCGAACTTTGGACGGCGCTTGGTTGCATGACGCCCGCATCTTCCAATTCTGGATACTTACGCGCTTACATTTTGACATTCTGCAGAAGCGACAAATCACCCAGCTATTTGAAAACATGAATCCGTCTCTACCAGATTTTCCCACGTTTTATCAGATGGCGCACTAATAATTCACTGGACTCGCTAGCCATACAGACCGGTTCAGACCAAGAACAGGCCAAAGTGGAGAGAGCTCGCATGAAGTTGCCATGCATGTGCCTGAAGCTCGCATCCATATTTGTAGAGCCTCACATAATGCCGCTGCTGTGATGCGCTGTAGATGTGATAATATCCAGGTATACCTAGTCGATAGTTGTCGTCTTCAGGTACTCCGTACCACCACCTTACGTTCGTCTACAAAACTCAAATCATCTTTGCGATGCGCCTGTGACTGTAAATGTACAAATGAAGCCTCCGAATTGACTCTTTGAATAGCCGGGGAAAGGGACGTAACAAACTGCACCCTCCCCTCTTCCTGTGCAACCATGACATGGGCATCTACCTAGGTACGGAGTCGCTACATACACACACAGCTCAACCAACGAAACGAGCCACCTACCTGGGACGGACGACTACATCCTCCGACGACCGACGACACACATCCCCACCCTCAACTTCATGCGCAAGGATCGCTCCTTGCGAGGTACCTTCTCCTCTCTCTAACACAAGGTATCCACGACAGCAAGCCTCCCTATTCTCTCCTTGCTGTCTGCCCTGCCGTACGAGACAGATCACAGAGAAAACAACTAGAAAGTCTATCGAATCAAACCCCACCCGTGAAATTCTCCTCCCCACAGTGCAAAGTATGTACGTAGTCAGCACTACGGAAAGTAACGACGAAGTACCTCTTCCTGAACAACTCAACAATGCAAACAAAGTGACTGCATACCGTGAGCTCCGCCCCATCGAATCGGAGGTTTTCTCATGATCGACGGTCGGTTCTAAGAGGTAGGTGGGCATTATTGTAAATAGTTTAGGCGACCGGCCAGCTGGCTTGCTTGAGGGACGTATGCATACATGCCTAGGTACATACACGCGATCGTCCATCGCGACGGACTTCGCGTATGTATCTGAATACTCTACCTACGAGGTACATACATAGTTGCGATCAGCTTTCCGCTTCCCCGCAGCGTAGCAAAGAATTCTTCTGCGACTTTGCCCAGGAGGGAAGTAGTGGTAGTCCAGCAGACAGGATTATCGCAGAGCCTCGCTCATGCATCGTCCATCTTAGTTTTCTCGTACGTATTGGGTTGGCAAATTCGATTGCCGATCACAGTCGAGCGGCCATTCGGTCGGTCGGTCGTATCCATAAGGCGACCTTTGCATTTGTAAATCGACAGCACATCTTCCTCGTCGTAACTACCTCCGCGACGGCGCAACACGTAGAGGTATAAGCCCAATCCATCACGAAAGCATCAACCTCCGCACCACACATTCACACTTCCAAGACCCGCACGATCGCACAGTTCCAGACTATCTCTCTCTCTCTCTAGCTCTCCGTGGCGCTCCGTAGAAGATAACTGGTTCCCCTCTGCACGCACACGCATACGTGCGCCGGCATCATCATGCCTTCGACCTGCCCGTCCAATCACATCCCCAACACCCAGCGTCCCAAACACCACCACCAAAATGCAAATTCTCCGAACACATAGGTAGGTACCTTGTCGATACCAGAAGTGGTCTGTCTTCCCCGGTGGGTGTTGTATCTCTGTTTGAGGCCGTGAGGGGTCGTTCGTACCTGAGGTATATCCGGACGAGGCAACTATAATGGAACTGAAGAAGCGAAGAATAGAGTTTGAATTGAATACAAAAAATTGTGGGCATTTGTAATAGCACCGATCCAGCCTTCTCGTTAAGGATCTAATGAGGGGATGGTTATAGAACTGAACTGTTCGTTATCGTTCGTGGTATGGAGTATAGGGTGGTGGAGCATGTGTGAACGTGTCGTACAAACCATCTTTATCCATCCACCGAGATCCACGTACGGGAGAGGGGGGTTTATGCGATGGAGAAACACGCGTACACTCTTGCAGCTTCATATACTTCGTTTGGCATTTATCCTGCTATTTGCATTCGCAGCTGCTGTGCCTCCGCCATTGTGATGTACATACATTGGACACACTCTGTTAACACAACATAATCACATATACCCCCAACAACAGCATTTGGAAAACAAAAATTAAACTTTCACCAGATCTACACTCTCTTTGGCAATAAAGCTCAAGGATATGTTAGTGGGTATGGGTGTTGACGTTGATCAATTAATTTTATAATTAATTGAACCTCAAGTCTGCGACTATAAACTCTCATTGATATTGTGGTACACATAAATCATAAACCATAAGCCACAAAACAAAAAACACAAATGGAATTCTCGATGGCTAAATGACGGTTTTTATCGAATTTCATTTTTATGCATGATTGCTGTGATTAACCTCTCCTCTACGTATCATCCTCCATTCTCCCGACCATGTCAACGTATTATATCGCACACAATATGCCAGTATGTACAGCACAGCAAAGCAAAGCAAGATCGCCACGCCCTTTCCTTCTATGAGCCGAGAACACAGCCTCACGAACTGTAACTAACCAAGCCTATGCCTTTCGCCTGAAAGACAATTACGCGGAAGAATAGTGACTGGTGGACAGGAGGAAAGAAGACGAGGATGGGTTTGTGGTTTGCGTGTTCTACTTATCTCCATGAAAAAGTTCAAAAGTTCTTTCTCATGAGCTCGATAGAGTATAATTATCTGATAGAGGAAAAGAAAGGGAGTGAGATCTTTTCCGAAAACTTGTTTGAACGGTGTGGAAATGTATTTCATGGATTCGAGGTCAAGGGTGTAATTAAATGTTCTTTTATTTATTTTTGATGTTCGTATGTATGCATGTTTCTCGTGTACACATTTACCGTGCATGTGTGATATTCATCTTCATCGTGCCTGTACCTTCATATCGCTGATGATGATATAAAAAACGCCAACCACAAGAAGCTTCATCCGTCTCCATCACCCGCTCTTCACGCTCACAGCGACGCTCCCGCCCCTCCTCCTCGACCCGACGATGCCGGTGCCGCCCTCGTTCCGCCGGTGCCAGTCGTCGATCTCGCGCCGCACGCCCTCGCGGTAGTCCTTGTACTCCTGGCTGCCCTCCTGCAGTAGCTCGGGGCAGTGGCCGCTGCGTCGGAGGTGCCGCTTGAGGTTCTCCCACCGGCAGTCGGGCTTGAATGTGCAGGCTGGGTGGGGGCAGCGGTAGGGTCGGAGAGTCTGTACGGGACGGCGGGGTTAGTACGGATACTCAATATTCGAATGAAGAAGAATGGAAAGAGAGAAAATGTACCTGATGCGTGCGCTCGTGTTTGCTGAGGTTCGAGCTGTCGGCGCACGTGAAGTCGCAGAAGCGGCATTTGTGCGGCTTCTGGTTGAGATGGAGGGCGGAGATGTGGGTTTGGAGCTGCGTGTGCGTGGTCGTCGTGTAGCCGCACCGATCGCACACGTATGGTCGGTCGCCTGTGTGCGTGCGTTCGTGGTTGTCTTTGGCTTGGTTCGTGGCGAAGGTTTTGTTGCATCCCTTGAAGCTGCAGGCGTAGGGTCGGTAGCCTGCGTGCCCGAGGAGATGGCGGGAGAGCTTGGAGCGCTGCTTGAAGTCCTTCTCGGACGATTCGCAACCTTGCCATTGACAGAAGCAGCGCGTGCAGTGATCCACATGGGCGGACTTGACGTGTTTGTGGAGAGCTTCGGCAGTGTCGAAGACCTGGTGACAGATCATGTTTGGTCCGAGTTGCCATTTGCATACATTGGCTGAAGACGAGTCGCTAGGGATGTCAGACGTCGTAGGGAAGCTGAATCCAGGCGTGGCGCTTGATATGGGTGATATCAAGTTCATGGCATCGGCTTGCACCGCCGAGGCGAGGTAATCCAGCTTGTTCACATGACCCGAGACCGGATTTTGCAGCATATTGAACTGCTGAGCATCTGGCAGCATCCAAGATGAGTTGTTGAAGTCGAACATTTGCGTCTGCATGCTGTGGTCGAGTGGGGTTGTATTCGAGGATAGCGCTTGATCAAGTGACATGGTCGATGGTTGGCTAGTATGTAATCCGAAATTCAGATTACTATACGGGTTTGCGCCACCAAAGGCGTTATCATGACCCAACGACAACTTCCAAATGTCGAAATTCTCTTGAGGCGCCGTCGAAAAGTCTGCACAGGCTCGACTCGGTCCATGACAGCACGAGTGGCCGATGTGGCAGTGGTCGTCTGGGATGTTCAAGAAGCAGTGAGGCGCTGCGGATGTTTGGCCGGGCGCAGGTGACGACTGAGAGCTGAAAGCACTCTCCAGTGATGTGTAGTTACTCGGCGACAGGACAGGCGTACTGAGACTTGACGGCTGGGCCGTCCTATCTCGAAGATCCGTCGTCGCACTGTGGTTCTGGGAGAAGCACGGATATCCCTCATAAGCATCAAGACCTATGTTACCGAGGTGACGGCCCTCTTGGAAGTGACAGGGCGCATTGTCGAAGCAGTAGATGGTGCCAGTGGCAGTAGGAGCAGTATGCGCCTGATGACATTCACTATTCACATCACCCAGGGGGCATGGCTGAACGCCGCACTTCTGGCAGAAGCAGGGGTCGTTGGGGCAGGTCAACTTCTTGCACTCGGGATCCACGCACTCATCCGCACACTGCGGAGTCTGGTCACAGTTTGGATCCCAACACGCATCGTCACCATCGCAGCCGTCGTCGCCCGGGCATGGTACCGGGCAAGGGGAGGTACAAGAGGCAGCGTCTAGCTCACCACAATCTTGGCAGAACTGCTCGAAGCAGATGTCGGGGAACTGCTGGTCTGAGCTGATGGTCACTGGCTCGGTGGCAGAACCCTTCCTGCGTTTCGAGGGCCGCGAACCGTCAGCAGCGTCGCGGGGAGACGGGTCCGGGCAGCAGGATGTGCAGCAGAGGGTTTGAGGGTCGACGTGGCCGACAGCTCCAGCTTGGTGCTCACCGGGAAGGGCCGAGCCAGTGGTTTGACAGTGTTCTGTCACATTTCCGACGTCGCGCTTTGTGCCAGCGAGGGATGGTGTCGAAGTGAACATGCCCGGTTCAGTACAAAAGAGGGAGCTGTCCTCGCCGAAAGTGCTGTCGTTGTCGCAGAAAGGATCTGAAAAAGAGTGAGCCATGATTTCCGCAGATGGCGAGGCTTGAGAGAGATTGAGAGGGTGAGAAATGGAGAGAGAGTAGCGGGGGAGGGTGGGAAAATTATGAAAAGTGAGGTTGTTTGGGTGGGTGAGGTGGTGGTGGTGATGGGTGTCCAGCACAGTACTCACTCACCAGGATATGGGGGTGGATTGCATCACAGCACAGTCAACGTTCAAAAGCTAATGTGGACCCAGAAATCTAGTGTAGAGAGTACGAGAGGTGTGTATGTAATAATCAAACGAGAAATTATGTGGATATACTGGGTAGAGTTCGATAGAGGGTGTTTCTGGGATTTGCGCAGAAAAAGAGAGGAAGAGAGAGTGAAAAAGGCACGTGGGGGCAGGAAATTCAGAATTGGGGTGGTGGACACTCAGCTCTAACGGCCGATCTCCCATTGGTCAGCCTGGCCGAACATCGCTCACCAGGTTTCTTTTCATAGTAAAATTATTACTTGGAGAAATACATCGATCAGTTGACAGAAAAGAAGAGAGAGACTGTATGTATACTAGATGTCATAAGAATAGGGATGTAAATAATGGCATGTGTGGTCGTTTATTGCACACGAACTTGTACCTGGGACTCGGGAAATCCCCACCAACTGCCTCTGCCAAGTCCATGGTTCACCCAATACCCTCTCCCATTATATCATACCTACTCTACCCTATAGCTATACCAATGCAACAACTACTGTTAACATCCAAACATGCCTCTCTGCAATCAAATGGCCACGTCAAAAACTCACCGTCTTCCTCCATGAACCGTTACGACTTCCCTCTAAGCCACACGCTATCAATCCCATATATACCCCAAGGACCGCCTACAGCTTGGCGCCACCCGTTTGCCGCGGGACAGACGGCAAGCTTGAGCTCCCACCTCACCTCCGTCACGACAACAACACTCACCTTACCTACCCACCATACTTTCACATAATAATACACACCCCCATATGAAATAGCATTCTATAATATCATTCCCGTCTTCTATAACATCTACACATACCCCCATTGCGCAACCCTTCCATCGATCGACTGACCATTCCGCCCGCCTAATCGATAGCAACAACCACCTCCCCACGCCTCACTCACCTCCGCATCTAACCTTCCACCCACGGACAACAACAACAACCACAGTCGCAACCACCACCCCAACCCCCCAATCGCAATGGGCAACCTCTGCGGCAAAGAGTCCAAAGACGACAACTTCGCCGGCCCGGGCCGCGTCGTCGGCAGCGCTGCACCCGCCGCCAACAACACATCAACACCCGCCAAAGCGTCACTCCCCGCGGGCGCCAAATCGAAACAGTCGTACCCGAAAGTAGGTGGACCGGGTAGGACGTTAGGAGACTCGGCGGCGGGCGCAGGAGGAGACGATGCAAGGAGCGCTGCTGCGAAGGCTGCTGAGGTGCGTAAAGTGACATCCCTATCATCCTCGTCTTCGTTGTCATTCGACGACTGGGATGATGGAAGGGAAGGAGATGGAGAAAGAGAAGAAGAAGAAGGAAGCGGAAAAGGAACCACGAGGTCGAAGTCGGTGTCGAGATCAAGGACGAAGCCGAAGTTGAAACCGACGCCGAAGCCAAAGTACATGACGACGACAGCGTGGTTTTGAATCCTCACCTCTTCCTCTTCCCTTCTTCTTCTCAACTCACCTACCTTTCCATTTCATCCAATTCCCATACCCCTTCCCTTCCTTCCCCTCCCCTCACCCCCCCAAGAACCAAGGCTGCCACCTTGACTCCCCCAACCACCCACCCAACTTCGCAAACAAGTTCCAACAAGAAACGCAATACACACAGGCACGAGCAAATAAACATCAATCCGCGGCCTCGGCAGGGGACCTCGCGAAGCGGCTCTCGGCGCAGAAGAAGGAGACGCGCGCGCAGACGCTCCAGCGCGCCGCGGACGAGAACAGGCTGCAGCGGGAGGCGGACCAGGCCAGCGAGACGAGGAGGTATGATTAGTTTTGTACCTCCTCCCGCCTCCCCGCCTGTTCCCATCTCGCGGCGACAGGGAGGGAGTGGCGGATGGGTAGATAGGCGCACTTTTCGAAGCGGCGAACACGGCGGGCGAAAAGAGACGGTGGTGAAACTTCTTTTCTTTTCTTTTTCTACATTACCCTTTTTTAACAAATTACAACTGCATGGCGTTATTCACTGTGAGCAGCAGGGGAGTTTTCTCACTTTCTTTTTTTTCCCTTCCTCTTCATGGTCATCGTCATACAAGTTAGTTCTTCGGACAATACGATAACTACGATACACTCGTCTGGATATGACCGTCAAATGACACTTCGTTTCTTCAACTTCACTACATAATCACGTTTCGGGGGAAGAAAAGATGTTCTCTCTCATCGAACAAAGATCTAAATCCTTTTTGCCGTTCTATTCACAGTGACGGGCGACGGCTATGGACGCTTTTCTCTGGATCATCGTCCATCGTCGTCACTACTAAAACTACTACGTCTTCTAAATACTACGACCTGAGTCCAGTTCCAGCAAGCTATTGAAAGTCGAATCGAGCTTCCACTGCTGCCTATCCCCTCGTATATCACCGCTGCGGCATTGTTGTCGTATGTCCGTCCACCTCCCTCCCTCCCTCTCGTGGGCGTCAAGGCTGGAAAAAGGGGAATCAAGCAAAAACATGAGCACAGGAAAAAAGGGAAAGGAAATACGGGGATGAACAGGAAAGGAAAAGAAAGAACAATCAAATAAACCCCCCCTTGCAATGAACAAGAAACAAAGAGCATGTGAAAGCAGCAAAACAGTGAGAACTGCAAATATGGAACGGTGGTCAACGGGAGAGGAACTAATTGTACAGATGCTCTTTCCGCCCGCGCCTCCTCCTCCTCCTCCTCCTCCTCCTCCTCCTCCTCCTCCTCCCATTTCCCCCCCTACCTGTGACGGTGACTGACGAGGTGAAGAGGCGGAAAGAAGATCATCGAAAGTATGATTCGTCGGCCAACATTGTCGACATGTCTATGAACGCCGGGAAGATTATGTCAATCCTGGGTGGGTGATAATGAGCATGCGGGGACCGATTTCCTATACACAAGGTCCCCGTGGAAGAAGAAAGTAACAGAATCAAGATGAGTGGTTCTAGCGCAGCTCCCACAAAACGCACTCCCCATGAAAACCACCAGCAGCAACGTCGCAACAGAGGTGATATTGCGCCATGAACAGTAACGTTGATCAAGCTGATGCCCCGCCGCGACTTTTTCCCATCGCAAGTGAAAGTCGACCATGACGACGTGAAGGAAATGCTCCAGCTAGAAGAACCTTGACGTAAACGCCGAGAATGCTATTTCCGCATCAGAACAATGATAGACGCATCATAGAATCACGCATCGACATCCCGCATGCGATTCATCGTCACCGTCTCTTCGGCGACCGTCCTTGCCCGTCTTGGCGTCTTCCTCGTCGATGAGTTCTTGAGGCTTGACAGTCATGTGAACGACGTTTGGCGCCTCTGTCTGGAATCGGCATTCTGCAAGTCAGGTCAGCCACGTATCTCCGCTTTTTGGACCGATCCGGTCATGGTAGACGAGAATCGTCGAATGCAAGGACAGGCTACATGCTATCTCCGCGCGAGGTTAAGGCCCTGCGCCATCGAATGCAGAACATTCGTGATCCCGCCAAGGGATGAAGGAGCTGGATCACCAGAAGGGAAGGTTTCTGTTCCAAGCATAGAACGATTCGGGAGACAACTACGAGCTGCATCAAGGTGGTACGGGCCAGCCAATTGGTGGGCATTGCCCAGCAAGCGGACAAGCCACGCCAAGAGTTCGAGAATTGTGTTCTTACCTTTGAGTGGCGACTTGTCGTCTAGCATACGTCCAAAGTGAATGAGGCGGATGGAAGTCGGAGCCGTGGGCCGAGGTTCCCACTCTATGTCAAGTAGTCAGCATTGCTCATAGTAGAATGATGTCGTGAAAGTCTGATCAAGTCCAGTCGAGAATGAAATGAACGGTTCAAAAGACTTGTGACTTCTCGATGCCGTGTTGGGCTGCGTCGTTGCGCAACGTACCTTCCCTCCAATCTCGCCATATCAGCTCCTTGAGAGTGTAGACACTGATATTGTATGGGTCCATGTCCTCAACATTGACATTACGCTTCTTCAGGTACTTCTCGTCGATCTTGTATGGATGCCGCGCACCGGTAGTGAGGAGCAGTGTGATGACGACAACGGGGCCATTCGAAGTGTCTGGTTTGGCCGCAGGAGTGTCTGTTGAAGGGCCTATCGCTTCAGTTTCGGCGCGGGTCAATTCATTAGGAGGAGCGGGTTTTTCGGAAGCGGAGGTCACAACGGGCTGGACGGGCTCGACTGGGTCGGCGGCCGCCGGAGCAGGTTGTGATGGTTTTGGTTCTTGTGTCTGCGATGCTGGCTCTGGTTTTGAAGCAGTGGTGGGGGTGTCGTTGGAAGCTGGCTCCGCGGCGGCAGTGGGTAGTGTGCTCAGTTCGACGGGAGGTGAAGTTGATGCGTCGTGACCGGTGTCGGGTCGCGAGTCTGTCTGCTGGGTTGTTGCAGTCTGTGAAGCAGCGGGCGCAGTCGCGGGTGCGGAAGCAGGTGCGGCCGTGGGTGGTTGTTCAGTGGAGGTAGTAGCCATTATTACGATTGATATATTGTTATTATCGGAGGGTTGGCCCTGTTTACCAACGAGAGTGGTGGTGAAGTTGAGGATGGGGCAACAGCAATCCGGGTAGGTATGGCGTGCCAAAGACAGAGGAAAGGATGGAATTGGCGCAAGAGAGCGATGGGAGGTATATATGTGTAGTCAGTGGATACGGGGTGTGATAGCGGATGAGGTCGAGTATAGAGAGCGAGAAAGAGAGGATGGAGGATGAGGATGGGATGAGAATGAGAATGAGGTAGGGAAGGTAGAGAGAGAGAGGCAGGAAGGAGAGTGGGTGGGTAACTATACTATATTAGGACTAGGCCATATATCCACTAACTAGATCAATCTTAGCCCGAGGTTACAAAGTGTGAAAGTACTTGCTTGTCTCGTAGTTTAGTTGTAGTTAACTGAAAGCACAACTGAAAGCGACTCTTCCGGTCGGCTCCCTCTATTCTAAATCAATTCCTCCGAATAGTACTCCGTAATTATATATCTTAGCTCGGTAACAGATCCAACTACTGCACCTACTAATTTGTAAAAGCTTTGCTGAATCTCCAACTCGACCTGAACCTGAACCTGACCTGACCTGCTTTGCTTTCCTTTGGGGGAGGGGGGCCCTAGTCGGTTTCGGCGCAACAGGCTGTGCACGGGGCATAGGAGAGTCCAGCCCACCGTCTACCCGGCCCAGCAATACAAGTAGTTTGCTGTCACAACCGACCAGATACAATCAAATAATGCACGCAAACGATGAGATGGTAGTGTCCATTAGTATGTGAATACGTAACTGATTATTAATTCAGACCTATCAATACCTAGTTGAAGAGATTGAATCTGATTATCAGGATTGATCTTATTCTTGTTCGAGTGTGGCGCTGGCAGTAGTGGCAGAGACACTCCATACATCTCCAGCTTCTCCGCAAAACCCGGCACGAACTCATCGATCGCTGCCGCGCCTCTTGTCTCCACATTATCTTTACATAGATACGTACGGAGTACACACGGAGTACATCTTCCATGACATAACTCTCTCCTATCCAGTCCAGCCAGCCAACAGCAAACAAATAGGTACACACATCAGTAACCCAACAAGCCACCAAACGAACGAGCAAAGACCTGTTTGTATCCGTACGCTAGGTATATGCGAACAACAGGGGCATGTGGCGCACCATCGGGATTGTCGTCGGCCACGACTCCCTTTGGTTGGCCTCTCTCCGCTCCTCTCTTCCGTCCTCCCCGACTTTGTTTCTGTAATGTGTTAGGTATCTAAATATACCATGACAAATACTGCCACTGCTACGGAGTACTGACTTCATATTACTTTCCCCTACAATTGGTGTCTGCGCTTGAAATTACTTTTCCAGTAGAGAGATTCCAGCTTTCTCTTTCAAAGTCAACAATCAAAGGTTACTCGGCAATTTGCTTACATGTGATTGGTGGACTCATCGGGGTGCCGTTCTTGGATGTGGAATTGGAAGTCCAAGGGCTAGAATCCAGGGAACCACTGGAAGTACCCAGGTAACTACTCCGTACAGAACATGTAATTAAAACCCCAACCACAGTTCATGTGAATGCCTAGTATCATTTCGCTAACTCATCTCATCACTGTTCTCCCTTGTGTTTCTTTCCATTCTTTTTCCCGTGTGCGTCTTCTTTTGCAGTGATGGAAATAACTCAATGTCTTCTTCGCAGGTACACACGACAGTCATGTCGTGTAGTCTAGTACTAATTAGGTAGTCTTGCTAGGTAGCTGGGTCGAGCTCTGCCGTTAGTCATCAGGAAACTGAACTGGCCAATAGCAGCTCCCCGGCTTGTTCCACCTAGTTACTCGTGCCACTTTGCATGCCGTCATATCTCGAACTACATCCATCCTCAATTCCAATGTCATACCATACATACGAATAGCTACTTCTGCCTGGTGCACCACCCCAATTCTCACCGTTCCACCTCATAGCGTGTTATTCTACCCTGTCTATCGGAAAACTTACTTGTCTACTTTTTCTTCTCCTTCTAAACCTCAATTGCGCTTGAACAACAGCCTCATCGACGCCCCAAATGGTTCTTCAAGACATTGGCGACCCGCCCCAAGATAACTCGGACGACAGCTACTCTCAGTATGCTTCTCCATCTGGCCGCCGCTTCGACTCCTCCCAGCTTCCACGACCCATCCCACTCATAGCTCCTCTTGTCGGCTCCTCCGAGACCGTCGTTCGCATCAAAACAGAGCAGACCATCAAGTTCGCGGAGCAAAAGGTCCACCGATCCTTGACGCAACCGGAGGCACAGGCCCTAGCTTTCCACCTATATCAACTGGAGAAGAACAAATCCTATTTCGCTGTTGCGGGTGTCGCCGCCGGGAGCTACAGATGGTACACCACCATGGCCGACTTCAGATATCCTTTCTACAAACCGAAACCCGAATCCATCGACCCGAACAAATTTCTCTTCATCCGAGGACCTAATGCCCAATATGCGCGACAGGCGTGGCGCTTTGCAGCGTTCGCCTTTGTAGCTGGACAGATTGGAAAGTTACTTGGAGTCGTCCTCGCCCAACCACTGGCTGCCCAGGCCACTGCTGCCGACCCTGCCCTCGCTCAGTTCTCTACCGATCTCAAGGCGGCGCTATCTATCGATCACCAAAAGGACCGAGATTTCGCGAGCCATAGGAAAGCAGAGTGGGAGGAGAGGATACGACGGAATGCTGGTGCGTCCGCACCGGCGCGCAAAGTAGAATCTAATACCAATTCCCAATACGGAGATGACATGTCTCCCACCTCCGGTGACGATGCTTGGGGCACTACGAGTGGTTCGGATCATTACAGCGACTCGGGCTTCTCTTCTTCATCAACATCACAAGCTACCACCTCAAATCAACAAGCAGCACGTCCCCAACCAACCAATAGCTGGAGCAGACAGCGCAACCGCCGCGATCATGACGATGACGATGCCTCTCCCACTGGTGGGCTCTTCCAAGACGAGGTTCAGGACCAGTCAAGACCCGGCGAGTCGGCATGGGATCGCTTGCGTCGGGGTGCGGGACCAGCAGCAGAACCGCGCCCGAAGCGGCCGGAGCCTACCCGCAGAGAGCAGCGGGAAGGTTCCTCGCTAGGAGGCAGCTTTACCTTTGCCGAGACTGACGATGAGAGGCGATACGCACAGGAGAAGGCCCAACGAGAATTCGATCAGCGAATCGAACAGGAGCGACAGGGCAAGAGCTTCGACGAGGAGAGACGGTGGTAAAACTGTCACGAAAACTCCGTCGCGGTTTGTAAATTTGTAAAATCATGCATGAGAAGCAACGAAAGCTGCAATGTAAATATACTGATACTTTGAATCAACTTTTCCCTTGCCTTCACCTGACTGTTTACAACATCTTTATGTGGCTCGTTGGCACGGCAAGGCGAAAATCAGACCGTCCTAGGTTCCATAGCTCACAGAATCACCCACACAAGGTTTGTTGTTGTTGTTGTTGCTACGCGTCTGAAGCCTGCGGCGTCCGAACCCACTCCCATACGTGCCCGCCGCCTTCACTTACTCTTTGCCACCCACCCGATCCCACACGAAGCAGCACGAGTCCAATCGTTTTCAACAAACTTCTCTCCTGCAAGGTCTCACTCTTTACTCTTCTCTTTACACTCCCAGAAACCTTGAGGAGGACTCAACTTCCTTCTCCGATATCAGATCCTGCAGAGAGAGCGGTATCTCAATACACTTCGACAACACAAGTCGCCGCAGAACCATGGATCCCAAGGATATCGAGGAGATGGAGGAGGTGTATCGTCTCTGTAGAAGAGATTCAATGGTAAGTGCAAATTTCATTGTTTTACAAAGCTGCTCTGGGGTTTGCCGCCCAGAGTCATTTTGGTTTGGAAGTCCATCTGCAATATGTCTTTTTGAAACAGGTAAGATTGGTTTTTGGGAGTTAATCACAGTCGGTCACTTCGAGATACGTTATGGAACCCTTCATATCTGGTCAATGTACGGCCTTTCCGCGGGACTTGGAGCTACGATATTCTGGAAGAGTTGGAAATGTTTCCCTCGGAGACACATGTTGTCAAGTGTGGATATACGGATCAGCCTATCATGACTTTGTGTCATGCCGTCCTGCAGCGAGACGCAAGCAAGACACGGAGCTATTCTCAACGCCTGGACGAAAAAGCGATCACTTCAAAACGATGCGTCTCACTTTCACTCAAACCGACTCAAGACACACCCGCCCATCTCCATATAGGACTGCTGCTGCTCTCACTCACAGCGCAGTCATGGCACATGAGTCTGCTCTCACCATCGTGAGACTTGAGAGGAGACTCAATGAAAGGACTCTTTCACTTCGCTCACTCTCTTTGGCCTCTCGCCCCTCATGGTAAGTAAATTTCCAACTAATCTCCCGCCACCTTCACCTCACTGCTCGGTGAACGTGAACGATTCACCATCCTCAATCGTCTCTTCCCAGCCGCTCACTTACTTGCTCACTCGCTCCCCGGTGGCACGGTCCATCTCCACCTAGAGCTATAAATCTATCACCTTGCCCCTCCTTCCTCTCCTTTTCTTCCCTCACCTCTTCCGCGATCCCTCTTTTGTTGTACACTTCGTGTCAACATAGAGAACAAAGTTGACGGTCATACAGGTACACCATCGCAGAGACCTACACGAGTAGAGTCCTTTTCCACCACTAGACGATTAGACGCCTACATCGCCTTCATTGCCAGCACAGCTGCAAAAGCCATTCGCACCTTCACGTTGCAAAGAAACTCGCATCCGCCTTCGTTCGTCGGTGAACGATAGCCGCCGTCTAAAAAGACGAGCACGTAGGACAAGTACGCCCACCAAAGATCGCCTATCTCCATCGACCAGGTCAAGGCAAGATGTGGACCAACTACGTCGGTAAGTTTTCCAATCCCCGGTCTCAATATCCTCATGTCTGCTCGTCTTCCTTAGGGTTGCTAGAGCACGGCGGATTTTGGGCTCACAGCACCGCTGAACACTCTCCAGAGTGCCGTATCAGTCTACTGACTCAACCACAGCACACCCTTCCCGGCGCGCCCGTCCCTCTGAGGTTGACGAGAGCTATCAGGGCGAGCAGGTTCCTGGATATTTTCCGCCCTATACCGGCAACGGGTTCGCCAGCCACCCCTCCCAACCCAATTGGACTGGACTCAATCAATCCGACCTCTACGAGGCGTGCGAGCGCGACGCAATTCGTCGTATGCAAGAGAGACCAACCATTGCAGAGAGACAAGCCATTGCAGAGGGAAAGCCTCTTCCACCGCGGCCAACCACTGAAAAGAGACAGCGCAGCGACGGCGTTATCACGTTGAAGATTGAATTGACTGAGACTAATGAAAAGCAGATTTCTGACGGTGAAGGTGGCATTATGAGCTTCCAGGAGGCTTTGGAACTCGATTCCCAGGTACAGGCTTTGCAACTCGGCTCCCATGAAGAAGCTGTGCAGCCCAACTATGATGAAGAGGCCTTGGAGCTCGAAGAAGAGGCTCCCGCGGACAGCCTGGACAATCACCACGCCTATCTTGTTCGCCATTTCCGCAACGGCTGGGACAACAGCGGTCTCGCTGCCTCTGAGGTCGAGCCTTTGGGCGAGGCCGACTTCTCCGACGTGGACGAGGGCGACTTCTTCAGTGAGGAAGAATATGAGATTGAAGGCATCGACGATGGAATCTACATGTACGGCGAAGACCAAGAGGATGGCGCTCAGATCGACCACACCGAAGGCTTCGAGAATGACACCAACATCCTTGATGAGGCTGAGGCAAAGCACGACAATGGCCACGAGGATGCAGGAGCCCAGCAAGGAAATCCCGCGCAGCAGACCATGCCCATCGAATTGAACCTCCCCCCGGTCAGATCGTTCCATGAGTATCTGGGCAACAGGGGACTTCCTCAGGAGTTGAAAGACCAGATCTACGGCCACGCCCTCAAGCAGCCATCCGGCATCAGGCCCAAGCTATGCAGCCACAGCAGGGTCAATGCTATCAAATTCCACGATGATGACAACGAGTGCGCCTTCGACAACAACTTCTTCGCCCTCTTCTACACCTCCAAGATGGACCGCAAGGCGAGCATGGCGGCGTTCTACGATGTCAACACCTTCATCTGCAGCCAGGACACTGCCATCTACTTGTCCTATCTCAAGCACGTCGGCCGCCTGGGCTTCATCAAGAAGATGATTTTCGGCGTTCCACTCATCAGAGGCGTTCCAAGAGATGCGAACTCCTCCTTCTCGTATGGAGGTCATACCACCGGCGAATACCAAACCACCAAGATCGCCAGGACCACTCTCCGCGATCTCACTGCCGTGATCAAGCACTTCGGCGACAACCCCCGCAACGTCAACGTCGACTGGTCCACCGCGGGCTTCAGGTCCATCCAAGCCCACCCTCTCTTCGTCGTCGGAGGCCTCCACCTCGTCAACATCTTCATCGTCCTCCTCCAGCTATCCTCCGCCCGCACCCCCATCCCGCCGACATTCGTGCCAGGCGCCCCCCAGCACCGCGTCTCCTGCAACCGCGAGGTCACCGTCTCGGTCCCCTACGCCCGCCTCATCGCCGCAAAGTACGATCTCGAATGGTTCAAGGACGTCACCGACGCACTGTCCCTGCACGTCAAGTTCAGCGAACGCGCGCAGCTCAACATCGACGGCTCGCACGTCATGTTCGAGTGGAAGCGCGGCAACAACGCAGACGTCGGTTCCTCCGTCGACCACTTCAACGCCGTCAGCGTCGCCTCCACCGTCAGGCAGCTCAACGCCATCTCCGTCGGCATGGACAACCTCCGCATCCCTCGCAAGGTGTGCTACTACCGCAAGGACTGCCAGACCGGCGAGATCTGTTGGTACAACCTCGTCTACTGAGTCCACACAGGCTTCCCATACGCCTCGCATGCACGCACGCACGCACGCACGCAAAGCTCACTCACTGCACTCGTAGCTAGCCAACCAACATACATACGTACGCCAGCGCCAGTTGCCAGTTTTGCGAAACGAAACGATTTTCTTAGATTTCCTTTGTATAAGCACATGATATCCAAACGACGACATTAACGGACGTCTGTTCCGAAAGCCCAGGCCACCAGGACCAGCGTGCTGGCTGGCTAGCTCAGTTTCTACCACCAGTATACTTTCTTTTCCACCACTCGAGTTCCTTGCCCGACCGACCGACCTGTTACTAATGGCTTTTCCTTCGGACATGGAGCTTTTTTCCTGCCTTATTTTGGGTGGATGTGGCGGGTTGTCTGGAGGGGGCTTGTGATGGTGATGGGGCATCGGCATGGGCATGATGGAAGGGGTTGGTTGAGCAATGAATGAATGAATGAACGGTAAATCACAATCAATGGTAAATAGAAAAATTCAGAATCTTAAAAAAGATTGGGTCACATATGAATGGTGAAGATGTGTTGGTGTGTGATTTGGTTTGATTCGTCTATCAAGTGATGTTCGTCTCGCAGCTCTGACGTCCATATTCCCGTTCAATATCTCGGCGTTTTTGAACATGGAAGTGAGCGGGCGAGTAAGTATGTATGCATGATGTGCTAATGCCCATATGACATCGTCCCCTTCATTCCATCGTCATCGAAACCCATTCCCTAACAGCCGATGAGTTCCTTTCAACCCACAAACATCTACCAATTCATCCTCAACCGTCCCTCCATCTCGGTATGAAAGTCCGGAACCTGCCTCATCTCCTGGCCCGTAAAGACGTCCTCCCACCCGATCTCGGCGTCCCTCCCCTCGAGGATATCCCTGTGCACACCAGCCGCACCGCCCAACGCAGCGGGCCTCCACTCGCCCTCCCGCGCGATCTTGAGCTCCATGCCCCGGCGCACGGGCTCCGCGATGCCGAATTGGCGGCGCAGCATCGTCATTTTTAGGGCGTCTTGCGTGGCGCGCCAGTTTGCGAGGCGGGCTTCGAGGGGGTGGGTGGATTGGAGCTGTGCGGGGGAGGATGAGGTTGTGGTGTTTGAGGGGGCGGGTGAGGTTAGGGAGAGGCGGGAGCGGAGGGCGTCGTGGACGCCTGGTGCTGAGGGGGCGGAGGTCTCGAGGGTGGTGGAGGTTGGGTGGGCTTTTTGGGGGACGAAGCGGAGAGCCTGGTGAGGTTGTTAGTTGGTTGTGGTTGATTGACGGGGTGGAAGAGTTGGGGTTGGACGTACCATTTGGATGATTTAGGTTGGGATCTGGTGAGCGTTGTATGTAGAGAGACGGTTCCGTGTGGATACGAGTATGAGAGGTGGTGGTTGATTGTTTTGTTGGAGTTGTGGAGTTGATGGGAGAAGGTGAGGTTGTAGATATCAGATTACATACGAGAGAGTAGCTGTTGCTGTTCGGAGCTCTAGGCGGCGAATGTGACGCGCCCGCCTTAGTGCCTTGGCAACATGGTTTCCGTATTGGGAAAGAGAAATGGAACCTGGGGACGGAATTTATATATTTGCTCAGTTTAGAAGATTGAGTTGAAGATCTAGGTAATTATTTTGTATCTATAGATTATAATGTATGGCAACAGAATCTATATGCTGACGATGCTGCTCAGTGGCACATCCCACGCCCAAGCTGCTACAGCCATCGAGCCCACGCTCACAATCCCCGCCATAGCTATGTTGACAGCATTGTTGTCGAGGATATCATGTCCGACCTCTACCTTGCGGCTCTCATGATATCCCTCCGCAACATCCGATCCCGAACCTCCAGCCTTCTGTGTCCTCGTCGCTTGAACGTTTGTGGTCTCTACACCAGAAGACTTCCCACTCTCCGCCTCCAACGTGAGCTTCGAGTGAGGAATCGTGCTATGAATCATGACCTTCCTGCCGCCCGCACCCTCAACAATCTTCCCAGAATGCACGTCCACGACGCTGGCCTGGAACAGCGCACCGAGCAGCGAATCCAACAGTGTGCCCGCGAACCCAGCAGCGGAGATCGCATACGTGAATATCGCCTTGTCGGCCGGGCTCCAAGTCTTGCAGAACGGTAGCAGCAGCACCGATGTTCCCGCTATGAGCGAGGCGCCGGCCCATCCGGCGATGAGTCCTGCCATCGTGACGCCTCCGTTCGTTCCTGGCGGGACAACGCGCCACGGTGCGGTGATCAGGCGCGGCTTCGAGGTAGAGAGAATGCCCAGCTCGGATGAGAAAGTGTCAGCGGCGACAGCGGCGTAGTTTCTATCCCTCATGTTAGCTTCCACCAAGAAAGAAGTATATCTCAAGAGTATGGGCGAACGTACGCAACAATACCGATGACGATGACATCGCCGCCAGACTTCCAGCACAAGTCCTCATTCCAGTACGTCCCTTCCTTATGTAATTGCCATGTGTGTAGTAAGATCAAGACGGAGGCAATGAGCGAGTTTGCGAGGACTTGAATGTGGTTCCGTGGCCCTTCTCCGCCGGATGCGCCTGTCGCGGACTGCGTGAGCGTTGCTTTGACATTGTGTTTTACCTATGCCCCGCAATCGTTAGATCATGTGTTCTAGAGGTTATTTAAGAGGCAGGAAGTACCTTTGTGACGGCAGTACCAGCCAAAAAGAAGACGGTCAAGAGGGCGAAGAAGACGCTCCACGGATGCACGGCGTGCGCGACGGCTGTGAGGAACGCGGTCAGGATTCCGACGGGCGTGAGGGACTTCCTCGACCAGGCTCGGTAGACGAGAGCTGCGGTAGCTGGGATCGCTATCGCGGGTTTCATGGTGGGCGGATTGATTGTAAAACAGTGCTTGTGGAGCTATGCTGCGGGTACGAGTAAGCTTTGGTGGGGGATGATGTTTCTTTAGTTAGTGAGGGAGGTTGCGTCAGACATCTACGGAAGCTTGGCGGGCTGCCTGCTCATTTTCTACTCGTATGACTTTTTTATCCCTGATGATATGAGAGCATGAAAGTAAAAAATAAATAAAGATATCTCTGGCATTTGTTCATTGACTCGAGAAATGGGATGGATGCATCGTCGACATCCAACGAGCGCATCTATTCCGTCTGTGACATCATTCTCAAGCCCCAGCGGTATAGATGGCTTCTCGAGGGCTACTCTCTGCAACATCGACTCAACCATGTAACAATTCCCAAAAAAGCAAACAGTTGCATCTAAACTCGCTTGCGATGATATCGTCTAAAATCTCGAAAGATCGTGTCATGCTTTCAAGAAGAACAAGCAATCGTCCAGAGCCAAAAGGATACAATTGCCCCAAAAGGCACAAGTCACTCCGCCCAAAACAGTCCTCAACTTAAGCCATTCCAGTAGACCGTGTAACCTACGAGGTAACGACCATTTCTCTTTCCTTTCCCTAATTCCAACGAATAGCTATCCTCGCTCAAAACGGCGTTACCGGGAAAAAGACTGACGATTGGACATCACTCGGGCCGCTCCATCCAGTCTTTCCTCCTACCGTTCAATGGCATTTAACAAGAAGATATCACCTAGCCAGTCGTAGCCCTACGACTAGAAGAACACCTCCATTCCTCCCAGTAGGATCCCTTCCTTCGCCCCTAAAAACGAGTAGTTTTATCCTTACGCCACTTATGCTATCCCAAGATTCCCAACAGCCACATCGACGCTAAACCTAATACGACCTGCTTCGCGATTGGCCAGAATCCCTCCCATCCGCCCCCAGATCAATGTCATGTCTCTTCCCTCGCGTGGCTGAGTTCACAAAAACTCGTTCTCAAAGTGGAAACGTCGGGGAACGAAGCTTGATGATTGATCCATTTCCGGTCAGTGCCCCTCGCAACGCTGTCTGTGATGCGTTAGGGCTGCTAGGGCTGGGATGGTATCAGCCGCAGCCGGGAGCCCTATGCAACGTGAACGTACCGTACCTACTTGTATGTGTGATCGTAGGATCGTCTGGGATGGATCGTCGTGAGAGTCCACTCACGCGAAGCTGTCCGCATTAGGTATGGGATGGCTTTTTACATTCGAGCTTTTTGGTGGCCTTGGGTTTTTCATATAAGGTGCTTGGGTATGGTCTGGGTATGAGATCAGTCAAGTCTTAGGTCTTTGCATTGCACACACCCTTCTCTATAAGCAAGCGTTGGAGTTGTCATTGTCACTGTTTATACATAACTACATTTTCTATTCTTTGGAGGGATTACAATGGCGTACATGCTCTACAAGTACCTGCGGAGGAAGTACGCAGAGCACCACCAAGTCGAAAAGCAACAATTACCTACCACGACCAACGAGCACCATCTGGTGCCAGAACCCACTCCAGCGGTGTCCGGCCCACAGGGTCACAACAGCATCGACGATGGCGCATCGCTGGCTCGCACGCAGACAGGCCTCACCAAAGAGGAGAATGCTCGGATCGAACGGGAGAGGCGGAGGGCGACCATCTATCGATGGAAAGTCATATTAGGACTTATCCTGCCGAATTTCCTCGCGGCTGTGGACACTACCATCGTTGCTCCGGCGGTGCCTATGATATCTTCACATTTCAGTACGTTCGACATGTCCACATTGCATACGAATGAGGTGAATTAACAAACACTGCTCTTAGATCATCTGAGCGGAAGCTTCAACTGGATCGTAGCCGCCTACACGCTCACGTACACCACGTTCGTCCCGTCCTCCGGCATGATTGCAGATGTCTATGGCCGCCACACCGCGCTGCAGTTCCACATGTTTTGGATCCTGATCGGCAGCGTGCTCTGTTGTGCGGCTGCTTCGTGGAGCATGCTGCTGCTGGGTCGAGCGCTTCAGGGCGCTGGTGCGGCGGGTATTTCGAATCTTACGCATATCATCTTGTCGGACAATATTTCTTTGGCGGACAATTCGTATAATAATACTATCTTTTCGTTGATCAATGGTATCAGGTATATACTGGATACATCACGATTGTATTCGAGCAATACACTAATGATCACTTAGCTACGCAATCGGACCTGTCATCGGAGGGTATCTCGCCCATGCAAGCTGGCGCTACTGCTTCGTCGTCCCGATTCCGATCTCAGTCTTGTCGATGGCTCTCATCTTCTTCCTCCTGCGCCCAGAGCTCGTCAAGGGGCGCGTCTCCGCTAAGCCTGGCGATTCTCGAAGGACAGGATACATCGCGGGACTCTTCGTCTTCGACTGGCCCGGGATCTTCCTCTTCATTTTTGGCGTCGGTCTCGTCATCCTCGCCATCCAGTGGGGTGGGACGGAATACGCGTGGTCGTCCCCGCAGGTTCTGGCATGCCTAATCGTTGGAGCTTTCCTGTGGATTCTGTTCTACCTCCACGAGTATCTGCTCAGTCCTGGACGAATAATGAATCGACTGTTCCCCAAGCAGTCTCCCATGTGCCCATCGTACTTGTACAGGAAGAAGGACACCATCCTCCTGATGATCATCAACTTCGCGTCTGGATCCTCCTTAGTATCAGCATTCTACTTCATCTCGATATACTGGCAACTAGCAGAAGGCTACTCGTCCAGCAAAGCAGGAGTGCAGCTTCTCTACTACACGCCCGGCCTAGGCGTAGGCGTCTACTCCGCAATGTACCTTTGCAACATCTGGCCACGCCAAACCTTCTACGCACTGATGGCGGGCTCCGTGATCGAAGCCACGGGCATCGCGGTCCTGAGCTGGGCGTGCGAGACGCGGCAAGCGTCCCTCGTGAACGGGATGCTCGCGCTCTCGGGCGCAGGCACCGGCCTCCGCTTCATGCCCGTCGTCCTGCACGCCGCGGGCATCTGGCCGACGCGGATCCCGTCGGTACAGTCGCTCATGTCGTTTGCGCTGCCGCTTGGAGAGACCATCGGCATCACGATGATGGGCGCGGTCTTCTCGAATAAGTTCGATCAGGGGCTACGCGGCGTCTTGCCCTCGATGCAGCAGCACGTGGACTCGAGGGCGCCGACGTCGCTGGATGCTTTTGATTCTCTGCCTGCTGAGGCGAGGGAGGCCGTGCAGAATGCGGCGGCTCATGCGGTTATGTGGTCGTTTGTTTCTATACTGCCTTTCATGGGGTTGAGCATACTTGCATCGGCGCTGCTGGGCAATGTGTGGATTGGGCAGGATGCAAAGAAAGGGAAGGACGGCAAGGCTGCGACGAAGGAGACGCCGGGGAAGGTTCTTTACGGTAATTTCTTGAAGGCGCTCATCACTGGGACTGTGGATACTCAGACGGTAGTTGTGGAGAAGACGGGCGGTGACGTTGATAATGCTGATGTGGGAGGCATTGTTGGTGGTGGTGCAGGTGGGCCAAAGAGGGAAAAGCAACTGGACCCTGAAACGGGCGGGCGAAAAGGCGGCGAGGGACAGCAAGAGCAGGTTCATCAGGGTGCCACCTCTTAGTGTATACGAGTACTTGCATGTGGCATGTGGGGTGTCTATGTGTTTGCACCGCCTGATCTTGCGGGTTCTTCATCTCTTCACATTATAGAATTGCATACTTTCTTCTTCATTGATCAATTAATACGTGCATAAATATAATGGTTGATGTTGTGCACATTATAGAATACTTGGTCTGGCTGTACCTGAGCTGGTGCTACCCAGTAGCTCATCTAGCAAGCTTGCTATGCCAAATATGATAGACAAAGAATAGTACTAATGTGGAATGCATCCACTGCAAGCTATCCTCCATACAGTTATGTCCAGCATAGTATTGTTCCAACAAGTGGAAGATGATGTCGCTGTGTTGTCGAATCTCGATACCCCTCCGCAGTAAGCTAAGCACAGCCAGGGTACAGGTTGAAGATAAGGACAGACAAGAGTGAGCCGTTCAACCATTGTTTCAAGCCGTGTCCGTGTCTGTATGCATTGATCGTGATTGCTGGGGCGACGACATACGGAGTTCAGCCACATAATCCCATACAACTGAGACAGTAGCAGTTAATAGTAGCAGCACATACATAGTTAGTGGTAGTAGAAGAGAAGAATGAGAAGAAATGATGGGGCCCTGTCAGCCAATGAAACGGCCCACTTGCAGGGAAAAGGAAGGCACTAAGGCGGACAGGAGAGGCAGAAAAAGGTGATGGCGGGGCAAATCTTTGACTTCATAAACTGCCGAACTTTCTCTTCTTCTCTTCCTTTTCCCTTTCTTCTTCTTCTTCTTTTCCCTCTCACTCCAATCCTCCTTTTCTCTTCCTTTATACCTCCATATCCTTTATACCCCCCCCCCCCCCCCAAAACACATACCCATCATGTCTGCCCCCGCACACAAGTTCAAGGTCGCCGACATCTCCCTCGCGGCCTTCGGTCGTCGTGAGATCGAGCTCGCTGAGAATGAGATGCCTGGTCTCATGGCCACCCGTACCAAGTACGCTGAGGAGCAGCCATTGAAGGGTGCCCGTATCGCCGGTTGCTTGCACATGAGTACGTCTTGATCCCTTCACATCTCGCACCCAGTCCCAGTCCCAGTTGCAGTTTCTATCCCCAGTCGAAACCGCCCCTATAAAGAAAACCTCACCCCGCTAACACTTTTCCTCAGCCATCCAGACTGCCGTCCTCATCGAGACCCTCAAGGCCCTCGGTGCCGAGCTCACCTGGACCTCCTGCAACATCTTCTCCACTCAGGACCACGCCGCCGCTGCCATTGCCGCCGCCGGTGTCCCCGTCTTCGCCTGGAAGGGTGAGACCGAGGAGGAGTACCAGTGGTGCTTGGAGCAGCAGCTCACTGCCTTCAAGGATGGCCAGGGCCTCAACTTGATCCTCGACGACGGCGGTGACCTCACCTCCCTCGTCCACACCAAGTACCCCGAGATGCTCAAGGGCTGCTACGGCGTCTCCGAGGAGACCACCACCGGTGTCCACCACTTGTACCGCATGTTGAAGAACAAGGGCCTCCTCGTCCCCGCCATCAACGTCAACGACTCCGTCACCAAGTCCAAGTTCGACAACCTCTACGGCTGCCGTGAGTCCCTCGTCGACGGCATCAAGCGTGCCACCGATGTCATGATCGCCGGTAAGGTCGCCGTCGTTGCTGGTTTCGGTGATGTCGGTAAGGGCTGCGCCCAGGCTCTCCACAGCATGGGTGCCCGCGTCATCGTCACTGAGATCGATCCCATCAACGCTCTCCAGGCCGCCGTCTCCGGCTACCAGGTCACCACCATGGAGGAGGCCGCCTCCCAGGGTCAGATCTTCGTCACCACCACCGGCTGCCGTGACATCCTTACCGGCCCTCACTTCGAGGCCATGCCCAACGACGCCATCGTCTGCAACATCGGTCACTTCGATATCGAAATCGACGTTGCCTGGCTCAAGGCCAATGCCAAGTCCGTCCAGAGCATCAAGCCCCAGGTCGACCGCTACCTCCTCAAGAACGGCCGCTACATCATCCTCCTCGCCGAGGGCCGTCTCGTCAACTTGGGCTGCGCCACCGGCCACTCTTCCTTCGTCATGTCCTGCTCCTTCACCAACCAGGTCCTTGCCCAGATCATGCTGTTCAAGGCCGAGGACGAGGCTTTCGGCAACAAGTACATCGAGTTCGGCAAGACCGGCAAGCTCGACGTCGGTGTCTACGTCCTCCCCAAGATCCTCGACGAGCAGGTCGCTCTCCTCCACCTCGACCACGTCAATGTCAAGCTCTCCAAGCTTACTGAGGTCCAGGCCGAGTACCTCGGCCTCCCCGTCGAGGGCCCTTTCAAGAGCGACATCTACCGCTACTAGAGAGTTTAATAATCCTTATATACCACGAGTGCTGTCTGTCATTTTCAGTTCATGTCCGAAGGCACCGAGTTTCAACACGACGTTACGAACCTGGGATAGAGATACCCACTTTCTGAGATGATGATGAGGGAGAAAAGTTGATTTGTCCTTCAACGGCATTTCTGGGAGCATTAATTGCGTTTGTTTTCTTTTTGGTCTCACGGCCTCTCTCTTTTGTTTGTTCAAGGCGGGCGGGGATTGGGAAATCACTCAGACAAGGGACTTTCGAAACAAAAAGGCGTTTTTATGATATTCAACTTGCAGTAAATGCATGTCACCTAGCTTGGCCCTTCAACCTCGGCCAGGGAATATAAGAGGTGGTATACTAGTGTATGAGATGGTATCCAAGTTAGATAGAAAGAGTAGGAGAAGATGCAATGTATCTACCAAATAGAGTGGATCATTGGACCATCTGATAATCATAGTAGATAGTTCTGGACACACCTTTTCGGTGTTGCAGAGAAATCGAAAAGATTACACACAAGACTTGCACATTCGTTCAGTGACTGCATTCACACTCTGCACAGCGACACGACCTCCATCCCCTTACACCAAGCAAACAGTCACCGTATATACATACATGCATCCCATCCCGAACCCAACCCCCACGAACATGCACCACGCGTGCATGCATCCCCCTCGCATCCACGCGCCCAACCTCTGTTCCACAACCTCAACATCTGACATCTGACATCCTACATCCTACCCTACCTTCCCCCTTCCCCGCTGGCCCCGTTCCCGAATGCACTCATACATACGAGTGCTTCCGACATGACATGACTTCAATGATACACAGCATCCATACATATATCACAGCGCCCGTCCGTACCTTACATATCCCCACCTCCCCTTCCAGCTGAAGCACAAAGCATAGAACACGGCGTTCGAACACCCGACGTGCATGCATGTATAGTCGCCACTTTCAATCGCACGACGGGAGAGGTAGAGGTATGGGGGTACGACGTGTGATCTACTACACAGGATACAGCATACGGGGCATACGACATGTGATAAACGGCGTAGGATACATATCCCATGCATGGATGCCAGCTGTCAACCTGTCAAAGAAATGACAAGCTGTCAGGGGAATGTCACTCCAACGTGTTGGGTGTCGTACGTCCCGTACCTAGCTAGCTACGTAGAGTGTGTGGATCACGGGAGAAGGTAGGCACGATTACTCTTTCTTTGAGTGATCGGGGGTGTTGCGTGCTGGCGAGGTAGTTTAGTTGTTAATTGGTGTGACTACGCGTCAAGCCATGCGAACATCAACCCGTTGCATAGATAAGTATCGACGTAGATGTATCGACGTAGATGTATCGACGTAGATGTATGGAGTAGTAACACCTAACATCACACACATACATTCAACACCACGAAATGAAGGTGGAATGAGCAAGTGTTTGGGGTTCAACATTTTCGAATTTTTCTTATTTCTGCTTCTTCTACCTTTCTTTCTCTTATCTCTTTCCTTCTTTAGTATAAATTAGCTAGCTAACTAAAACCTTTATTTGCTGTATATATCCCCCAGCTCCCTCCCCCGGATCTCTGTTTTCTAGCCCTTGAGAAATTCATAATCTGACATTGGGGAAGTAAACAACGGGAGTCAAGAGGAATGTGAAGAGTGAAGAGAAAGAGAACGAAAGGTAGGGGTCCAAACGACAGCAGAAAACAAAATATAGGGATAAAACGACACAAAAGGGTGTGAACTGAGGTATCAAGCTTCGTGTGCAAGCAACAAAGGAGACATATGTGTGTTAGAAAAAGGAAACAGGTGAGGAAAGAATGAAAGCAAAGGGGGACGAAGATATCATGTATGGGGCGGGGGAAGTGTAACAACATAGTTGATTGGAATAGTTAAGAAGAAGGAAGCACGCCCTCAGCTAAGAAACGTCAATGCCAAAAACGGATTCATGGGGTTCAGCTTTGCAATGCAATCCCGATAGAACAACGAGCGGCGAACCAAAAAGAACACGGGGGGGTTAATGATGAAAAAAGGTGAAGAATCAAATGCCGCTAAAGCACACCCCCTTGATGACCCCAGTCCGTTGCTATGTAACGAAGACAATGACGGTGCTGTGCTCTCCCATCATGATGACTGACGAGTGGGAGATCTTTGGCGTATTAAGGTATGTATTGGTCTGTGACAAAAATGTTCGTCTGTCCGAGGATATTCTGTATGTAGATGGGAAGAATTTTATCTGCAGTTTGTCGAGAAGCGAGGAAAGGAGGAGAAAAAAGTGGAAACGCCGGCATAAATCAAAATACACACGTTGAAAAAAGGGGATTACATAATGTTTTGAATTTGCAGATGTTGGAAAAAGCGCGTGATGTGATGATGGTGGCTTGCAATAGCGGCAAACAGAAACTTGTGGTCGGCAGGCGATTATGTCTTTTCTTTTCAACGAAGTCCAATGACGCTCTGTGTGCAAAGCAAAATCATTAGAATCAAAGCTAAAACAAAACAATAACGAGCGACTTAACCGTCCTCTGGACCTTCATCGGTCGAGAGGGGGAAGTCTAAATGAGACAAACATACCATTTCGAGTGTCCACACTCTTCGGATCCAGACCTTGAGCGGGCCATCAACACCACGGACGTTGTTGAGTTCGACACCCTCCCACCAGCATCGGCGGGCGGGTTTCCGCCAGAAGAGGAGTAGCTTCTGAGCCATGCCCACGGCATTGCTGTTGGCGAGATCGTTGCCTTTGATGTCAGTTCGGAGACGGGCGAGCGCAATACTGCAGATGACGGCCTTGTTGGGTTCGCCAGCACGGTGGCCCCAGGTGTCATCGTGGTTGAAACCTCTATACACTTTATTAGCATGTCATCAGTCAATGCTAGGGAGTGAGATGACGAACCCTGCAGTCAACATCTCAATGAGATGCTGTTCGGTCGTTCCTGGCTCTTCGCTCTTGCGCAGGCCGGAGAAGATGCCGTTTTGCTGCAACAGTGCCTCTCCTGCGGCACGCTTTACCTCGATCATCTCTGGCTGCTCGATGTCGCGACGAGGGGGAATGGCATAGAAGTCCAAATCCTCGCGCAAAACGATGATGCCCGCGCGATCCTGCAACATGTCCCGTGCAGAACCGGGCATGGGGTCAATGGGCACAGCCTCGGCGGGGTGATCTCCGCCAGCAGTAGGAGAAGGGGGCGAGGTGGGAATAGTCTGGGCTACGTTCCTAAAGAACTCCAGCATGTATTGGAGGGAATTGGGATCGTACTGAGAGAAATAGATATGGTCAGATAAATATAGAGCGGGGTTGGAAAGATGCAGAAGAATCATCGAAATGGAATTGACGCGCAACGAACCGTTGCTTGCGGGGGAAGAGGGGGTACCAACATCAACTGGGTATACATCACCATCGTGGTAAGAGCTCATGTGCCCGTCTGGTAGAAGGCCATTGGGGAACAGAGACAGGAGAACGAATTCTGGGAGAGTGAGAAGTTCGTCCCGTGAGAGTGTAAATCGGGTTCCTCTGTACTCTCTGTAAGTATCACCGCGTGGAGTAGTGCGCAAAGTCAATTTACCTCAATTCAAGCGTTATGTTCTCGTCAGATCCACCACTGAGGGTGTTTATTGGTGCACCCGGGTTCGATTGAGAGACCTGGGTGATAATGCTTGCGGGACCACCTGCGGATGCCATCACGTATGTGAATGAATCTAAAGGGCTTGTTCCTTCGCTATAGGGAGGCGGAGGCTCTCCGTCGTCGATATCCTTGCTGCTTGATCCGTCCTTTGTGTCGCGCGGAAGAGCAGCTTTGGTAGCGGCAGCGGCAGCGGCAGCAGACGATGAGGATTCAGTGAATGGGGGCGCAGGCGCAAAGGCAGGCGGAGATTCAGAATGTGTGGGAGAGTCGTCGTACGCGCTGTGGGCGTTGCTTTCGGTGCGGTTGCCTCGATTGTGGGGTGGGAAGTAGAGAGAGGAGAAGGGAGGCGGGTACGGGGATTCGCCGGCGCTTGCAAGTGCCTCCTGATCGCTGGGTCTGTCTTCGCTGGAATAAGAAGAACGAGAAACGTCGCTATCACTAGAACGAGCGTGTAAAGGAGTGACTACGGACAAGCCGTGGGCGCTGGGAGCCTGTGTCTGCGACAAGGTGACGGTTGTGTTGTTACGATGTTATGGTAGTGGTAGTCGAGGGGTGTTGGCGTGAGAGCGGGCTGAGGACTGGTCTTTCGATTCAATGGATGCTGGAGCACGAATCTATCGCAGGTCAGGCCGATATCATCGGAATCGCGAGTGGCAGGAAGAGCAGTGTGGTTGAGTTGGTTGTCTTGTATTGTTGTGGTTTCTTGGAAGAGTGATGTCGGTGAGAGACAAGGATGGGCCTGGGCCATTCGAGCCTAGCGCGTCTTCCCCATTGGGCGCATAATGAGATGAGCAAATGGGCCATCACACGACGAGAATCGATCGTCATCTGGCATCTTTATTATGGATGTGTGGGGTTCTATTTAATTTGATGAGGAGATAATCCAAAATTAACGATCATTTCGACTTGAAAGGTGCTGGCGCAACTGTAGTTTACAACCAAATAAATTAGAAACATAAAGACATAGTACTAGACGGAATGTTGAACATAGGATAGTCCATACTAACAGAATATATCTCCAACGAAAGAGAAAATTAGAGATCCATGACAGTTAGTAATATCCACAGGATTCATATCAACAGAACAGCAACATAATTATCAGTAGTCTGCTTTATTCAAACGCTGCTGGTATCACCAAATTTGAATCTCATATCACGTACACAGGTACCTGTTGCAATTCATCATTTTGAGTTTGCGGTTCTTTACGCCCGTCATCATATGTAGGGACACCTAACATATAGATCGCACTCATAGATGATCAAAAGCACGAGTAGCATTGGCAATACCTTAGTTGACAAAATGTAACTTTTTCTTTGCGCTTGTATCTGTCTACATGGCAACTACATTCCATTTTTTAATGCTTCGCCACGACACCCGCTTCGTTCGCCTGCGCAGTGATCCTCTTCTTATAATCCTTAACCGTGCCATCAAAGTGCTCAATAGTACCATTATCGCAAACCCACAAACTCGTACACACATTCTGCAGCATCGTGACGTCGTGACTAACCATGAGGACGCCACCCTGGAACGCCTGCAGGGCGTCTGACAGCGCGTCCATGGCCTCGATATCCAAGTGATTGGACGGCTCGTCGAGGACGAGGATGTGCGGGTTCTGGAGGGACAGGCAGGCGAACGCGACGCGCGACTTCTGACCTCCGGAGAGGAGCTCCATCTTCTGGAGACCCGTCATGCCGGTTATGCCGAAGGCGCCGAGGTGGCGGCGGTACTCTTCGTCGGACTTGCCGTGGTATTTCTTCGACATGAAGCCCACGGCGCTGTCGTTGAGGTCGAGCGCGTCGACGTGGTGCTGGGCGAAGAAGCCGAGGCGGAGGCGGGGGTTTTGGGAGATGAGGCCCGAGCTGGGTTGGAGGGCGCCGATGAGGAGTTTTAAGGCTGTTGTTTTACCGGCTCCGTTGGGGCCGACGATGCCGATTCGCGAGTCGAGCTGGACGTCGAGGTCGACGCCCTTGAGGAGGATCTTGTCGGGGGTGTAGCCGAAGGTGACGTTGGTCATCTGGATGATGGGAGGTGATAGCTTCTCGACGTCGGGGAACTTGAAGTGCACGGTATACTCGGCCTCTGGCGCCTGGAGCACCGGCATCCTCTCCAGCTTCTTGATCCTCGATTGGGCCTCGGACGACTTCGCAGCATTGTACCTGAACTTGTCGATGAAAGCTGGGATCTACATGTCAGTTTTGAACGCATATATCCTGACTTGTCAGCTGAATATGACGAACCTTGTAAATGTGCACGCTCTGCCATCTGCTTCTCATACTCGCGCTTGGCCGTCTTCCTTCGCTCTTCCTTCGTGGCATAGAAAGATTCTGTATAAAATTAGCGTCAGGGGGTCCAGAGTAGACGCAACAACACAGCGACTCACCGAAGTTAGCACCCTTGTAGTAATCAAGACGTTCAGAGTGTTGGTGAATGATGTCCGTGGCAACCTCGTTGAGGAAAGCTCTGTCGTGAGAAACCACCAAAACCGTACTTGGGTAATCCTGCAGGTAGTTGGCCAAGAAAGTGATGGACGGGACGTCCAACATGTTAGACGGTTCGTCAAGAAGTAGCAGATCAGGCTCGCAGAAAAGCGCTCGAGCAAGCGCCAATCGCATCCTCCAACCTCCGGAGAACGTCTTCGTGGCGAACTGCTGGCGTTCAGGCGAGAATCCGAGACCGGCAAGAATACTGGCTGCACGAGACTCGGCCTTGTCGGATTCCATCTCGGAGAGCTTGGAGTGGATGTCGCTGAGAGTGATATCCAAGCCTTCACGTTGCTTGTCGAGCTTCTCTGCATCCACAGATGTATCCGCCAATGTGGATCGCTCTGCCTCAAGCTCTGCAAGTTCTTTGGTGATTTTGTCTTGCTCTTTGAGCAAATGCTTTCGCCAAACATCAGCATCCAGAACGGCCTGTATGGCTGGTGTGTCATCACCAGAAATCTCTTGCTCGACGTGAAGAATAGAGATATGTGTTGGAATAGCCACCTCACGACGACTAAGGGCACGCAGCAAAGTAGATTTACCAATACCGTTCTGACCCACGAGACCATAACGGCGACCGTACGCTAGAGTAAGACTACTGTCCGTCAAGATCCTCTTTCCAGTGATGGAAATGTCGAAGCTATCAATCTTGATATCCTTGCTCTTGGACTGGGAGTCGGATCCCAGTTGCAAAGGATTGACGGCCATGTAGAACTCTTCATAGCTCTGGGTCTCCGTGGGCTGGGAGAGCAGTTTCGATGCCTCATACTCGACATTCTTGAAGACTTTGCGTTCCTGTTTGGCACGAAGCTTCCGCTCGGCCTTCTCCAGCTTCTTGCGGTCGACACGGGACTCTACATGGCGAGTATTTGCAGACTCGAGATCCACGCTGCCGCCGGCCAGACCTAGGGTGGAGGACATGTTCCTGGCGGAGCCCACGTGGATTGCTTGATCCAGTTTCTTGGCGGAGGGTGCCATCTGGCGGCGCTCGCCGTCGGCGCCATTTGCTGCATCGAGGCGGGAGACGAATTTGTTGACGAGGTTCTGGATGACCGTCTCGTTCTTGCTGGAGAGGTCGCCGGAGGCAGACAGCAGCAAGGCACTCACGGCGGCAGCGGCCTCCTCTAGTGGGGATGGTGCGTGAGGGTCCGCATCGGAAGTGAATGCATTGGCAGCATGCGTCAGGTAGCCCACGGAATAGTCAGACAGGACCGGGTCGATGTTAGGGATTTGGGTTCTGATTTCAGCTTCCATGGTCGTCCTGGTGGGGTTGTGTACAGGGCGAGGCAAGGCAAGGCAGAGCAGAGCAGCACGGGATGGTTACAGTACGATAACGAACGGGAAGCGTATGGTGCAATGGTGGATGCTCTGTCCCACTCAGCTGCAATATGATATGGTCTGATCTGATAGTGGGTGCAAATGCCAATGCCTTTTGATAGGGCGTCGTAAGTCTCGTTACTGTGAGAAGCTTTGATGAAGTTGATTTTGGCATGTGTGGCGCTGGTCGATCTCCGCGTTAACTCCGACACCCCGATTGAGATACTCCGCAGTTTTACCATGAGAGAAAGAGACATTGTGGTGCAACAATAACTACGAGTACTCGCACGAATGCTACATTCTCAAACATTTCAAAATAATATTGCTTTTTGGTCTGTAGTCCATATTCAAAGCATCTAAGACAGCAGTGGGACTCGTTGTCTGCTCGTTGCGTCTGGCTGCTGCAGTTGAGCCGTCGCTAGCTACCTAGGGCTTGTCTCGTGTCAGATTCCCTTACAACATTAGCAGCTGTAGCACAGCAGCGGTTCCAGCAGGCCGATCAATTGGCAAGGAGGTATTCCGCACTCGAGAGGAAGAATAGATACATGTCACTACATACGGACAGGCACTGCGGTGCTCCAATGCTTCGGCGTCATTGCGAATGCGGCGTCGGCATCTCAAACTTGGAGGACCAGGCGAGAGGCGAAATGCGAACCGCCTCACCCAATCAGCTCAGTAAGGTTCCAGGACACGTCCCTGCCCTTCCCCTCTAGTTATATGCTCGGAGGTTCTACTATGTTCATCCATCGAGGGAGGGTAATGTAATGCTTTGGTGTGTTATCGACACGCGGAAAAGGGTTACTATCATCCGTTCTGAGTTGCTCCCTCCCTCCCGCTCCAGTCAGATCATATCCACAGGGCATGGATCCAAATGGCTGGTGGGCTTGGGGCTGAAAAATAGTATGACGCGCTAGGACGACGCCCATATACTCGAGCGGGACAAGCGCATTGAGATGCGACTCCAGGATTCCCGGTAAGTTGCATCTTTTAGCACTGTTGTGGGAAAGAAAAAACCTGATGAACTTTGAACCTTTCGAATCTTGAATTATGGACTTGCCTGCGCCTCCGCTTGCACCTTTCGGTGCTTGTCTTGCCCTTTTGTGTGCCCGCCGAATCAATTGATCGTAACCTCATCCAGCCTGCCACCCGTCCTGGCGCCCTGCCCGTGGGGTTCAACCGAGCTGCCAAAAGTACTGATACATGCAGCGAGGATGCAGCTTCCTCCTCCTCCAGAATTGATGGCCACGGCGCCTTGTCCCCTGGCAGCACGCCTGCCGATCTCCTGTGCTATGTATGTAGGTAGCTAGCTGCTCATCCTGTGTTCTGTTCGAAACACCCAATGACGCCGGTGGTCGGCTGCATATTCGCCACTGCTGCCGGCATTGCGTGGTCCACGGATTTTGCAACATTGAGGGATTGTGGATGATACTCGTATCAACCAGTTCAGTTCTTCAGATGTTGTGGGAGGGAATTGGTGAGAGCCGTGATGCTTGGCTCTATTACACCGAACCGATAACCGACAACGCCATCCTCTGCCACGCCTTGCCATGCCATGCCGTTCTCTTCCATGGACTAATAACACCATCTAGGTATCTTTCTTGAATCTCACATCTGCATGCATCTCACTTGCACTTGCACGACTACTACTCCGTGCATATACAAGCTAGCTGGGTACATACAAGGAAAAGTAGACATTGGGGCGTTCTTCTACACGGCTAAGGGCATTGCGGCAATGGACTTGCGCACTTGCGTGAGATAATTGGATTGGTTTGCGATCCTGGGCATCAGCACGATGGAGAAACAGCGGAACGGCCACAAGGCCACACGGCCTCGAGGCCACAAACTCACCTTTCCACGCCGCGTGTCCGACTAGTTCTTCACCATCAATTATCGATCACGATTTGCTGGGTTTACTAGCCGGTAAGTGGAGAACATCGTCAAGTTATCACGTCGATTGCAGTCGACATCCCTGTGCCCGTTCGGTCTTGTTCCAGTTCTCTCCGCCCAACTGGGTATGCTACTTGACGTGCTCGCTGTTTCGGTGGGCTTGGGGGCATGCGATTAGAATGGGGAAGGCCAGAGGAAAGGAAGTGGGCATGCGGAGGTGCGATTGGCGGGTGAGAGTGCCACATGAGGAAAAAGGATCTGTGCCGGTTCCCAGGATAATGGGCGGACTTTGCGAAAGCGAGACGTGTTGGCACGACCCTGGCTGGCACGCTGGGTTGGGTCAGGAAGCGAAGATCCTTGTTGTTGATGAATTTGGATGTTTGTTGTTTTTTTGTTTTGTTGTCATCCTTCTCGTCGCGCAATTCTCTCCTCTCGAGATTAATTACACCATTATTACTCCGTACATGGACATGGGTTTGGAATACACTAGGAGGGGTTGGTGTCGAGCCCGTCTGGGGATCATTGCGCATGAGCAGCAGGTCAGATCAAAAGACGTGCAGGCGACAGGCGGCAGAGTTTAGGTATTAGCTTTGGCGGCAAGTAGATAGGCCATGCAATTGCAGACAGAATACACGCGAGCGAGAGGCAAAGGACCAATGGCCCTGGGTGTCCGTTGGTCCATTGCGAGGGTTCGAACGATGCATCGGAATGGGATGGATCCATGATTTGAGGACGATGGCTCGGCTGAACGATCAACAAACAAATCTCCACCTCGCGGCGCGTCATGTTATTTTTGATGGATGGAACAGGGGTTCTTTTCGCGTACAAGTGCAAGTGCAAGTTTACTTCGTATACGAGTAAAGTAGCACAGCCAGCAGTTTTCCATAGGCGCGCCCCCGGACCCCTGGATGGGTACTGCGAATCAACGCCTTGCGTTGCAGCTCCCGGAAACCTTGAAAAGTAGGGAGTTGTATGGACACGCTGTTAAGTGATTTCCTTGGATGGAATACTGGTAGGCTAATGAGCACTACTGTGCGCGTAGAAGGAATGTTTGCTCCAGCAAGTCTGACTATTTTGGGGACTGGCCAGCGCCCGTTGGCAGACAGCATACACAGTGGAGGGGACATCCCTCCTGTTCGCGTCACAGAAGGAAGCTGTTGCTTTTTTAGTCTCTTGATTCCAATTAGTATACGTTTAGCCTGCTGATGCTGTTGCTGATGCTGCTACCGTTGTTACTACTACTGCGCGCCGTTCGGTGGTTCCGTTCCTTGATTGTTGATTGCGTGCCCTTTATCGACGATTTATTGTCCAAGGTTCAGATTGTTTGTCTGTGTGTGCCCCGTACGGAATGACTGTAACAAGTAGAACACCTCCGTAGGTATGTGCGTGAGTGCGTTTGCTGTGTGCGTTAAACTATGGTCGGCGGTCCATCATCACCCTGCACGTCGTCTGGGCGGCCCTTTTTCCAACACAGAGCCGAAAGACTGGGGGGCAAAAGGGAAGGCAAGGTCACAGACTCACAGGTGGTACCGAGGGTGTGATGGGTACGGTCACTGTGATGGATGATGCTAGCCTGAGCCTTGGAGCTGATGTTGATTGCAGCTAGTGACCACTGACCACTATGCCTAATTGCTGCAGGCGACATGTGTGCACTCGCGCGGGTGTGATTCCATCGATGCAGTGCTGTTGTGTATACACACTATACTCCGTACTGTGAATTAATGTATTTAATGTGATGTGGTTAGTTGATCGCGGACGGGGAACGGGAGCGGGCAGGACTGCGGTGGATGCTTTGATGGATGATCATTGATGGATGATAGTAGATGGCGGAAATGCTCCCACGCCGCCATCCATACAGCGGAATCTGGATAAGGATGTTCCCAGCAACGGTGAGGGCGATGGAGGCACAAGTGTATGTATCTTGGGTTAGGCACATAAGCTCATCGGCGAGGACGTGAAGCGAGTTAGATGGTGTAGCACTGCCGTGTGCGTATGTATGTGTGTGCAGTGCATGTGTGAGAGTGTGTTGACATTCCCCGAGGTCGCTAGAGCAGCCCAAGCAACGGGACCGGGAGGGGCCTTGTATGATTGTATTGTACCAGATAAAGTGAGTGAGGAACATCAGCAATGATAGCAATCCGTCATGTGTTACAGCTGATCGTGGTGGTGGTAGTTGTGATAGTTAGATACTTGGTTGATATTGATGAGAGCAATGGATGCCGCGAGCGGTGTGCCTGTGCCGTAGATAGTAGATACACAGTTATGGAGTACGGTACGGAGTAGATGGAGATGGATCATCATATGGTTGAGGCAGTAATCAATTAATTACTCGTAGTTAGTTGAATTACCTACCTAGACAGTTAGTGCGAGTAAGGATGAGGCATGGAAGTAGAAGCTGGGAGTGGAAGTTGTCATGTAATAATTGTCGAGTGCCAGCCTGGTCGATGGCGTCCTTCCTTCCTTCCCAGTGCCCCCCCCCCTAACCTGCCTAAAACTTCGTGCCTTCCCTAAACTACCAATTACCCATCGACAGCGATTACTTACCTACTCCTACTACAACACCTCCATTCCTCTCCCTCTCTACTCGACCTCTACCTCGACACGGCTTCATCTTCCTCCCTCCCTCTCTCTCTCTCTTTCCTTCCTCTCCACTCTCCACTCTCCACTCTCTACCACCACCTCCGCTACTACGTCCGCCATACCCGCCCGTCTTCTCCGCTTTAATACCATACATACCTACTCGTCTCCGCCAGGGCCTCTAATACATCAACAACAAACAACATCACCAACGACAACGACGACAATAACTGCGTCACGCCTCTTCTTCTTCGCCCGTCGCACTTCCTCGCCTTGCCTCAGTCACTTCCGCCTTGCAGCCACCGATCCACATTTTACGCTCTCTGGATCCAACGTCTACTTACCTGGGCACTCTCCACCCTCCGTCGAGTACTCTCTCTCCCGTCCAACTCTCGACATGCCATAATGCCCACCGCTTTGTCACGAGTGCTTCGTCGACTGAGCCCTCCCCGGCGGCCTAGCCTGTGAATTCGAGAATGAAAACTGTACCCACGGTAACTATCTATATCTCTCTCTATGCCGCTCTCTACTCCTCGGTCTCTGTCTACTAGTGTTTCCTTTGGTTGAACCGAATGTCCTATTCCCTTCTCTCCTCTGCTCCGATCCGCGTCTCTGTGCTCCTTGGGCGCCTCTGTCGTCCTGCCTTGCCCTTGCTTGATTGACATGCGTCGACGTCGTGCCTCCACTCTCACGGCGTCACCCCAATTGCTGGTCGCTAGCCAGCCCGTCTCACTCCCTCCCCTCCTCCCCAATCCTTCCTCTCTACCCCCCGTTCCCCGTACCCCCAATACCCAGAATCCCAATGCTCATGACCCTCACTGACGCATCTCCGTGTAACAGCTTTGTGCAACTGCCACTTGCATTGGTGCGTCTGCGGTCGGTCTCTCATTTGGTCGTGAGAATCCCCTCGAACCTCCGTCCGCCACCAAAAGGAAAGCCACTCCAGCACCACGAGAGCTGGATCGATACCCAATGTCCACCACCGTGCAGACCGCCGCCATAACCACCACCACTACTCCTACTCATAATACTGCTACTGCATCTGCAACTACTACAACTACCACGCCCGCCGGCCTGTCCTATTCTTCTCCTATCCCTCCTCCCCCATCGTCATCTTCCTCCCGCGTCCCCTTCACGACTCGTTATAGCTACGATGGCCGCCCACAACGTCGACTAGTAAGGAGAATGACCAGTGGAGATACCTCTCTACAGCCGCCCAGCTCAGTGATCAACGGAAATTACTCCCACAGTGACCAAGAGGTGGATGATTTCGAACCAACATCTCGCGTTCCATCACGCAGGTCGTCTTGGATAAAGCGCCTCTCCAACATCTCCAACTCCCAGGCTTCGAGTAGAAACTCGAGTCCCGGGCCCATGTCCCCCTCAATGTCTGTCTCGAACGGATCAATGGCTTTTTCGCACGACGGCTCTACCGCTCCCATAATAGGAAAACGCTCCCCCTCACCTCTTCCTCCTAATAAGCTTGTAAAGCGCTCCTCATCCATACGCATCCCACTCCAGGATCCCCCCACCTCCTCCGGATCCCGTCTTCCTTCGCTGCGGCGGCCAGCAACCAGTCACCAACGGTCCGCCACCCTTCAACAACACACAGTCTTTATGGATTTCACAGCAAGACACCACCCTCCGATTAGCGAACAGCCAGTGCCAACTAAAACGGACGGCGACGTGCAGTATACGCAATTCTTCACAGCAAAGGTGTCAAAAGAGAAGACGCTGAAACGGCGAGGTTCCCTCGCCGCCGGCAAGAGCCTCAAACGAATATTTCCAGACGAGAAACATAGGCCCACGCTCGTTCTCGCCAAATCCGTATCTCCCAGTAGCTCTGACGAAGTCGACGAGTCGTCGAGCGACGATGGCGACAGTGTATTTCTAGCGAGCAGGCCTGGCACGCCCTTGAGCTTCACTGCCGTCATTCCCTCCAAACCAACTGCGCGCACCTCCCAGGATAGTATTGCGAGCCGCGGTCCCGCTTCCGCAGAAATAACGGAGGATGCCGCACGGCGCAGGCGTTCCTTCTCGATCTCCGACTTACTCTCGCCAGGATTAGGATCAGGATCAAACGCCAAGAGGCAGCGGAGTCTTAGATTACCCGGGGCAAAATTGTCACGTAAATCCAGCCAGAGGACCAGCTCTGCTCCGCTTCCAAGTATGGAGGGCAGGCAGGGCAGGCAGAGCAGCACTGCGCACGGAGAATTTACCGCTGCAGATGCATCGACAAAACGGCGAGATCTCACCGACCCCACCCGTGTTCGACGCGAAATTTCAACCTCCGCCGGACCCACCGAGAGAGGAAATTCACGAAATTCAGGAAGCGGGCTTCGGCCTCATTCTTCGTCCTCACGGTTGCCCGCATTGCCATTACAACATGCTGCTGCCATGGGGCAGTCAATGCATCAAAGCGATGGTAAACCCTACACCTCACCAGGCACCAATCAGATCCCTCCATCTCCAACCCTAGCTCAAACGGGAGGACGACCGTCCCGTCACTCTGTCGCGCCATCAGAACAAGCGTCCACATTGGTTGGCTCCGACAACGAGGCTCGTGGCGTAGGATCGGGCGACGAGGACGACGCGGATCTCCAGAGTGAGACCGTCTTTGATTCGTTGCGCACCGGTGCAACTAGGAGCACGTCCGGAGCCCGTGGCCCTCGCATTGAGACAATATTTGACGAGTCTCCCCCGTCGAAGGTTAAAGTCACCGCATTGCGAGATTTACTTCCCAAGGGCACCTTCCGGGAGCACGCCGCCGATGGTGCTCCCGGCCAACAGAGCATTGCAGAGGAAGAAGAGAGCATATCTACGCCAGTGCGGACGGTAGTGCCCGAGCGATCAATCAATGACTCCCCAAGCCTCTCTCGTGGACAAGTCGCACCTCTATTTCCTAGTCTAATACCCTCCTCCCCGCCGGACATGCCCAAGCAGCTCTCACTAGGTAGACTTGAATGGGACACGAGAGCCGAAGATGACGACGACAGCAGCAAGTGGTCGATAGAAGAAGAGGACGAGGACGACGAAGAAGACACCTCGTGGGCAGACTTTCCAAGCCATCCGCCAGCCACACCACTCGTCGCAACTCCTGTGTCTCTGGGACGCCACAACCCTCGCATGCTTGCCTCGGGATCTAGCCCTAAGCCGTCCACACCACAACATCTCTCCGCCGAGTACGCTGATAGGGACGCGCGAAGCAGCATCTTTGATTGGTCAGAGCAACAACCGACAGATAAAACATCAGGCAATCGCACACCGCCACGTCCATCGACAGTACATGGGAAGAAGGATGCAGACAGGAGAGGAAGTCGTTCGGTAGGTCGACGAGCGCCTAGTGGGTTGCACGCACGTAGCCAGAGCGTACCCGTCGTACCAGACGCCGCTGGCAAGCGTAGCACAGTCGTCACCAACAAATTCGGCACTTGGGGCGTGGGAAGCAAGGGGGTGACCGAAGATTGGAACGATGACTTCGACTTCTCGGACCGCAGCGATGGACCTTCCCCGGAGGGTGCAGCCGAGTCGCACAGGATCGACAGTGGGACCATGATGATGATCGTACCCAAGACCATTCAAGAGCAGCAGAGCAACGTACTCGCTAACATTGGGTTACTGCGAGAGTGGGGGCTCCTCATCGAAGAGCTCAAAGAGCAGAGAGTTCGCGCGATAACCCTAGGCCTATTCGGCGGACCCAGCGCCGGAATGTGGGAGGAAGTCGATGCCATGATCGACCTCGCGGATCAAGAGGCCGAAGAGGATGGTATTCCTCGCTTAACACCACCCTCGTCCCCTGGATTCGACGAGCATGCCTTTGATGACGTGTCTGGAGCTAGCCCCAAGCATGGCCGTGGTGGGCGACGAACATCTGGCGGTTTGACGAGCGGATTGGCGAACGCGGATCTTGGCAAGAACATCCACCTCGACCACCAACCCGTCTCTCAGCCCAACCGGTCTCAGAGGAGATCGATACTGCCACCGAATCACGACATCTTTGTACCGCAATCATCCCCGATCCCTCCCAAATCCACTTATGATTCCAGCACGATAGTTACACGACCTCGGAAAGATTCTGAAGCGAAGGCGCGATACGTTATCGAGTCGTTACAGAAACGTAGAAGCACACACGAACCAACAGAGGATGCGCCGCGCACGCCGGCCTCCAAGAAGGTCGCATTCGATACGGCAACACTGCGCCGCATCGTCCCATACGTAAATACATTAACGCGCCAAGTGAAAAATACCCTACGAGAAGCAGAAGGGCTCTACAGCGGCACTCCTGGCACGAGCCCCCAAGAACCACCATTCAGCAAGATATTCCAAACAGAGGAAGAACTCGCCGGACGGATGAAAGTAATGACAGTCATGTAGTTCGATCACGATGAAATCGGGCGTGTTCATTGAACGCTTTCGCGTCGATGGATCGCCTTGGCCACGACACAGTTAAATATATACACAAAAGTTAGGAATCGGACAAAAGCTTTCTCGCGGGACGTTTCCTTGTCTTTCCTCTGGATCAGCGTTCGAGCGCGCGAATACCAATCGCCGCTTGTGGTCACTTACTTTTTGTATTCTTTTATGCCGCCACACCTTTTCCTGCATTTTGAGCGCATTTTCGCATCTTGTTTGCATTCTCCTCACGTTAGTTGCATGCATCGGATTCTTAGTACCAGGCCCTTTGAATTGGATGGGATGCGATGTAACAATGGCGCACCATGCCTGGGGTTGGGCCTGACGAGCGAGGGAAGCACGTCAGCGTCGACTGTTTGAGTGATAAGGCTCTCTTCGGTCATTCGCCATCCTATCGAGACTTTCTCGCAGCAATGGAGCTTGGTTGTTAGGCAAAGAAACAGGTTCCCATTTTCTCTTCTTTCTCTTTGCTTCGATTAGGGGAATACACACAAAATCACCACGACGCTTGTTCCCAACGCGTCCGGTGGGGGGGAGTTTTGAACAATCATCAGGGCAGGGTCTATTTTCCAAATTTTATGTACAAAAACCATGGGTTGGATTCTCTTTACTTTCCCTCCACCATTTTCCCTTTCTTAACTTCTTTCTCCTTCTTCCCTCTATACAAAGCAGGATCCTCTGGACCAGCTCCGTGCATCTCATGTTCCCTCTTACTCTATAACCTCTCAGCCTTGCTCTCTAATCTCTAGTCTATTTGCATAATAGATTTCCGATCAGTGCGAAGGGGGCGGAAAGAGAAAGGGAAGCCGTTTGAAATTGGAATGGAATGAAATTAAAAAAAGGAATCAACACATGAAATGGAATTGAATTGGATTGAACCGAATTGAACTGAACTACTACAATCGTATCGCTGTGCGTGTTCTCTATGTGTTTTGTCCATCCGTCCTTGTAATCGTCTATTGGGGTAATCAATTCTTCGCCTCTTCTTGCTGACAAGACAGGGCAAGGGCAAGGGCAAGGCAAAGTGGGTGCCATAAGGGGAGTCAGAATGCGGGGAAGGGCGGCGACGGGCGATGGTGAGATTGTATGTATGTGTACCTATGTGCATTACACATATGTAGGTCTAAAGGTTGTATTCATGAATGCATTTCCTCTCTTCTTTTCTTCTGTTTCTATGAGAAAATGGGACACTTGAAGGGAATAATTAAGATCACACACAAGTAGTGGGTTTATTTGGTAGATTATTGTCATGGCAGTGCTATGTTAACGCCGTCGTTACTCCTTAAGCCTCTCGCCGCCCTTGTGTCTTGGATGAAGATAGGGAGGGAATGATTGCTTGACGCGCGGCTTCTTCTTCCATCCGTTGCTCTTTCTTTTTTCAATTCGTCCTTCTACAACATTAATTAATGTATCTATTAAATGGTAAAGAGAAGAGAAGAAAAAAGCTTGATAGTTCCTTCATTGGAGACGAGCGCGTGAGAGAGGAGGAGGCGAGTGTTCGGTCTGAAACTAGCTAAGACGGATATAAGAGTTGGAGGGTTCTTGGGAGTGTCATCATCGTCGTCATCCATATATTTCATTCAAAGGTATGGGACATTGGCATTGGCATGACACAGGCACGGACGCTCTTGCCTTTTCCCCATTAACTGATTATGTATTTGCATTGATGGTCCATTCCTGTTGCCGTTGCTCTTCTTCTCTTCTTGTTCTTTCTTCACACTCTGACTTCCTCGTGTTTACGCGGAGACGCGCTGAGAGAGACACCTCTTAGTCTTCTTGATTGACCGACAATCCCCAGTCCTTGCCCGACATCAAACAGCATCGAATCGGGAAACGCATAAGCAGCAGCGAAGGGAGAATTAACCAGGAACCCGTCTCACGACAACCCCGCATCTCTCTCGGACCAAGCTACCTCGTATAGTAGGTCGATCTGCTACCGGCCGGTACGACCCTCCTTTCGTCTGATATCCGGGGAAACAAGATATCATTGAAATTGATTTCCAATCTGTACCTGCGTCCGAGGCGAGCTCGTCACATTAAAAGAAAGAGAAAACAGGGCACACGCGCGTTGTTGCTCTTGGCCAAACCCCGGAGGAACGCAGTTCGCTTGATTAAATTGAGAGACTAGTACCCGTGGGACGTTTATTGATTGATTGATTGAAGCCGCATGCAGAGCCCAACCCACGCGGGAGAAAAGAGGAAATAATACGAGAAACCGAAGGAATTGATTAAAGAGAAAGAGAGAAAAAAAAATACAAGAAATAAATAAATGATGGCTGCTGCGAAACGATTATTGGTCGCCTTTGGGGCTGTCACGGGTACGGTTCACGCGCAGCAGGGCTCGTCTGCTACTTCGGCACAAGCGTGCTCGAGCACCATCTCTCCGCAACATGGTCAGCCATCTGTTGCACCAGGTTGGACTGTCCAGGTCGTCGCGTCTGGATTGAGTAGTCCTCGAGGACTCAAGTTTGATTCGGAAGGCAATTTGTTGGTCGTGCAGCAGGATGTTGGAATCTCTCGATTGAGGCTTACCAACGACGACGGCGCGTGTGTGAAGATTGATGGGGACGTGGAAGACATTATCCCTGATGCCGATGTGAGTGTGATTCACCTTGCTTCCCTACTATCGGGTGCTTATCAGGGCGTTATTCTCTACTTTGGTAGAACCTTTTATTTCTGACGCTTCATTGTTAGTTCAACCACGGAATCGAGCTGTCGGGTGATGGACGGACGCTGTATGCATCAACGCCTCAATCTGTCTACGAGTGGGACTACGATCCTTCCCAGGGGCGAAACACTTCCGACCGTCGCGAAATCATCGGCGAGATTGGGCCCACGGATGGCCATGTCACTCGGACCTTGCTGATGTCCAGGAAGGCGGAAGGCATTCTCCTCGTCAGCCGAGGAAGCATGTCGAATCTGGACTTGGCTGCCCTGGACATCACTACAGGGGTGTCGACGATCAAAGCATTCAATGTCTCAAATGTGACCGACGGTTCCCCATACAATTTCGCCCGTGATGGGTCCATCCTAGGTTGGGGATTGCGCAACTCTGTGGGCGTCGCCGAAGACCCCGTGACCGGTGGTGTCTTCTCCGTCGAGAACAGTGTTGACAATTTTAATCGCAATGGCCAAAGCATTTATGAGGACAATCCGGGCGAAGAATTGAACTTTCATGGTTACCTCAACGGAACCGAAACCCCGGAATCGGGACGCAACTTTGGATATCCTACTTGCTATGCCGCGTGGGATGTCTCTGCCATTCCGGATAACGAAGGCATTCAGGTCGGCACGCAGTTTGCCATCGGAGAGCAGAATGCCACTGTAAACGACACCTTCTGCCAGCAGGAAAGGCAGGCTCCAAGACTTACCTTTCAGGCTCACCAAGCACCTCTAGACATCAAGTTCAACAGCAATGGAACCGCGGCATGGGTTACGTTCCATGGTTCTTGGTAAGATCCTATCGCGATGTTTCTACGACCTCGATCAGTACTAACACCAGTTACAGGAACCGTGATGATCCCATCGGCTACAAGCTCTCAGTCATTCCTTTCGCCAATGGCCAGCCCATCGATCCGGCCAACAGCACCAGCGCCGCCATATCAATTGTCTCCAACCCCGACACATCGGCATGTCCACGTGGTTGTTTCCGTCCCGTGGGACTCGCCTGGGACTCTAAGGGCCGATTGTTCATGAGCAGCGACTCCTCGGGCGAAATCTTCGTCGTCGTCCCCGCGAGCGGTGGGAGTGCTGACGAGGCGAACCCTACACCAAGTGGTAGTGGAACAGGGACAGGCCAGCCGAGTTCTACCAGCAGTCCGGGTGCTGCGGTGGAGGCCTGGGACGGGCAGGCCGCGAGGTTTGCGACTGTGTGGGCGGCGATCATGGCGTTGCCTTTTATTTGATGTCATTGAGGTTGTCATTCCTTTGTGTATGTACACCTAGTTGCCTGGACTGGTAAGGTCTATTCTCTGTAAGGCATATCAGTTCATAGTAGTTATTCGTCTGCTCCGTTTTGAGTGAATAAGAAATGCATTCCCTTCGCTGGCATCTCATCTTCTAAGCCGAACACATCTGTGAATCTCCATCCTGTGGGGATGACACCTGAGATCGCAACGAGTGATCGTTGGAAAGAGCATAGATGGTTGTCTGCCCAGCCATGACAAGACTCGTGAGGCATTGTCGACGATATGTCGTCGCCGAGTCTTGCTAACACCCACATGAGATGACAATTGTGACAATGAATGACTTCCTTCCATGACTTTTTGCGATTCTTCCATGCTTTGGCTAGTCGTACCCGCTCACGTTGCATGACCAATCCCCATCTATCAACTCTAACCTAACCTCATCACCAATATTCTCACTTTCAGAAATTTGTACCACGACTACTTTTTCAACCCTCTGAGATTCATTTTTTCTGCATTCGAAATCAGCACCTTTGTTTGGATACAGACACTGACGTTGAAAGCTAACTGCTAACCTACTTCACTGACAGTACTGTAGCAAGCGGGCGTGAAAATTTGATGTCATTGTCATATCATCACCAAGTTACGGTGAAGGATACGGTGGTGAAGTAAAGTCCGTTTGCTGTGAAGTAGCGCTAGGATTTTCACCTTACCAGATCGTGGTCCACCCCCCAGCCATCACTTTCTCACCTCGTCTCTCTTACTTCACTTCTGCCTTTAATCTCCTCTCCTCTCTACTCTCATGGCCTAAAGGCGCGCAGATACCCTTTCTATCTCACCTCACTTCAGGTTCTAACTTCCTACCACACTTCGCCCACCTCGCCTTGGGATACACTCTTGCTCCATCTCCCCTTCTGGACCTTTTCAACTATCTCTTTTGACTCACTTAAACCCCACTCTCACAGTGCTTCGGTACCATCAACCCGCACCCGGCACACGTCTCTTCGCTTCTCATAATCATGGCAGCCGCACAGCCAGCTCCTCCCGCAGCTTTCAACATTCTGCCGATAGAGGTAAGTACAACAGTCATGATCCTTATTACGGCAACGGCTTAGCACTGCCAACCTCATATGTAGATAAACAAACTCGTACTCTGTTTCCTCGATTCGGACCAGGACATTGTCAACTTCAGTAGCGTCTGCCGTAGTACCTACTATGCCGTGAATGGCGACAACAATTCTTTCTGGAGGACTCGATTCCGGGAAAGGTATGCATACGACGCGAGCTTCTCGAATGGGCAGATGAAGATAAAGTACAAAACGAGGACAAGACTATTGAAGAAAGGAATCACAATGAAGTTTAACAGAGAATGGACAAAGTCCGAGAAGAAGCTCATCTGGCATTTGAAAGACATGATCAATGGTGAGAACGGATCAATGTTTGAACTTCCTTGCATCTAATCTCGTCCAGAGTCATTCCAAGGTGGTACTCGGATGGATGAAGAAGACGGCGCCATGCGATGCCCCAACCAGATTGAAATCATCAAGTTCGTCCTCAGTTCTAATCACTTTCTCAGCATCAAAGGCTTTGCCAATCGAATACCTGAGGGCTTCGAGTCAGACATGGATCGGATGCTTGAAGCCGTTCGTATCATGTGTGCGCAACTGCTGATCGAGGACATTGGTGATTCATACGACATTCTCCCCTTCGAAGACTCTCAGTGCGCAGTCTACGCCCATGTGAAGGAAGTGCCTATGTTTTATGGCCAGTATAAGCATACGATTAACATGAACTGGATCTTGGATTGCATGAATTTCTTCCATCATCACATAGTCAAGCCGGAGTTAGGAACTCTCTACGATGCCATGGAATATTTTCCTTGGGGTGATAGGCCTTCTGCCTGGCAGTCTAGACTTGAGGAAGGTTGCCGACCCCTCAGTAGACACTGGAAAGGCACGTATTCCTACTTGGATGAACGCGAGCGCAATCACATTCGCGACCCTAATAAAAGGCGGGGCACCATATTCGAGGATAAGCACATTGAGCTGGGTCCGTCCTGTATACAGGTATGATGATGATCCAGAACGAACGAAAGTTTGTTCCTTCCCTCTGGAATAGCTCAAGACCACATGCAATGTTTTTCCATACGGAAAACGACCATTATACTGATTGCGATGCCAGGATCTCGAGTTCGAAGTAAACGATTCTTTGAAGTTCGAGTGGCCGCATTACTACGAGGAAAGACTTCGATCGCTTACTTCGACGTCGATGCCTCCAGTCACTCTAGCCCAGCATAAAACGTACAGGAACATCGATAATTTGCCCACTGCCCTGCGCATATCCGGGGAAGGGTCTGACCAGGGTGATGACTTCTTTGCGTCTGGCTGGGTCAACGCCCTACCACGTCAGGGAGGCATTCCCGGATGGCAGCGAATCACCTTGATGAAGCACTTCCTTCCTCTTGATCAGGGTGAGATGGATGATCTTTGGGCATATGAGGGCGTCGTTCTTCCTGGTGGTCGATTGATTATTGGCCGATGGTGGTTCGCATCAGGAGATCTTGACGACCCACACTACGTAAGTTTAAGTCCCTTTCGCTGCCAAAGCGTTCTTCTATTCTGCCACTGTCATCACAGCCCACCTATAATTCCATATGCCATTTTTGATGGCATATTAACCTTTTGCAGGCACACAACAGCGGCCCGTTCCTGCTTTGGGCAGTCGACGAAGTGCCTAGCGATAGCGAAGGATCAGAGGATTTGCCCACAGATGATGATGGCGAGGATGATGCGTGAGGGGCATGTCCGTCCAAGTCGCTCATTGAACTATAGCCTACAAGAACGGAGGCACAAAACGTCTTTTGATTGCACAAACCGGCGTGCGTATCCTCGACTACGCCTTTCCTGCAGGCGCTAGTCTCAGCAGGTGGGAGCTATAATCTCTCCTTTGGAAGACAGTGGGAGTCTTCGGAATATCACAGCATCGACACGGAGAATGGCAGGCGTATGCCGACATCTGTCCAACATATGGGACATCCCGATCATCTTCGACTGAACCATGCATTGGTCCTTTCTCCAAGGAAGGACACTGAAAAAGTTTTTGACACTTGAATCAATCAACCACGCATGGCCACCATGGAGGAAGGAGAATAGGAAGGCCCGGTTTCCACATTTTTGCACGTCTTTTTCAACATCATAATCTGATTTCTTTCCGCCGTTTTGACCGGCCGGATAGAGAAAACTGGAGACGGAGGACGAGAGAGGTTGAGGGGGAGGTGACTTAGCACACTCCCTCAAGTCCTATATTCGTCCCCTTAGGGATTTCTGAAATTGAATTTCATGGCACTTCTTCATCAATGAGTATTGTCTGGCGCTTGGTTGATGATCCGTATGAGAAAACAAATACGTACGTGAGCGACCTGTCAATGATCCTGTAGGATCATTTGTGAGATGATGTGATGTGATGTTGTGTCTTTGATGATCTATGTAAAATGTAATGTGGACATTTCGAGTGAGAAGGGTTTTCCCCCCACCCTCGCTCTCGCTCTCGCTCCCCCCGTCTTCAAAAGCAAAACAAAAACCAAGGGGGAAAAGAGGTTTTTTGGGGGATATTCGAATCCTTCCTGTACTATCCTATCCTACGGCCCGCATCCTCAAGGTAAACATCCAAAAGACTGCGCAACAATGGGGCTGCTGCGTTCGACTTCTCTTCGTGTGCTTTGCGAATTTCCCGCTCCGAGAACGCTCAGGTGCTTTCTACCAATTCCCTTACTTCTTGCGCCTGTTCAGATTTTTGGAGTACTAGTCCTCGATCGTCTTGACGCACTCCCAGCCGCCGCTCAGTCTCTCCTTCCAGAGGCTGACGCGATTGTCGCCCGTGCTGACGGCGAGGACGTTGCCGCTGAGACTCCAGCTCACGCGCCAGGCGGCGGCCTCAACGTTGAGGGTTGTTGATTTCCAGTCCTCTGTTGATGATACATTAGCAACCAGTAATTCCATCGCAATGACTGCGTAAATATGTAGGTAGTGAACTTACGGAGATCGGAGCTGGTCCAGATCCGCACCGTCTTATCCTGAGACGCACTAGCAATATACGACTTGCTCAACACAGTCGGCGACCACGCAACGTCCCTGACCCAGTCGGTGTGGCCAGGCAGGATCCTCGTGTTGGTGTATCCGCCAGTCTCGTTGTTCCACTCCCAAAGCTTGACTTGGCAGTCACTTCCGCCGGTCACGAATCTCCTCGCTGCGCCAGCCGCACCTCCGCTTGCGCTAGTGACTTGTCCGGGGTTGACGGCGGGTGCCCAAGACACAGAGTTGACGCCGCTGCCGCAGGCCTGGAATACCTGATGCGACCAGTTGTTGTCTTTGAACTCGAGGACGGAGACATTGCCGTCGGAAGAGGCGCATGCGAGAAGGCAGCCAGCCTCGTGAGGGGCCCAGGCGACGAGATTCACGGATGCAGAGTGGAGGGCGACGTCGTAGATCTTGGTCCATTGCGAGGAGGATTCGCGCCAGATTATGACTTTACCGTCGTAGGAGCTGGATGCGAGGATGTTGCCGTACTTTGGATGGGCCCAGGCGACGCACCATACCGCGCCTTCGTGTCTTGAATACGTATGATGTCAGTTGGGGATTCCCTCGAAAATATTGGGTCGTTGGAAAGGCAATGAGAAAGCCAATCGGGGAAGACCCAATGTAGGGTTTGACATACCCTTTCAGTGTCTCTACAAGTCTGTGCTCCTGTCCCTCAACCTCAAAGATCTTGATCGTCTTGTCGGACGAACATGTGGCTAACCGTCTGCCGTAGTAGTCTAGGACGGCATCGTGCTGCGCATTGTCAGTATCTATGGAGAGAAGGTCCACCAGTTTATTCGAGAATTCGTGTCCGCTTCCACCTCCATTCATCGACGCTACTGCTGCTGCCGCTGCCGCTGTTGCTGTCTCCGCCATGTTTGTATCCTCCCTGTGATATTGGGCGTAAATTGGAAGTGCTACGTGTGCGGGCGCGGGCAGCAACGCAGTGGACGACGGATTCTTGGAGGGGATACTGTGTGGGTCCGAATATTGGAACAGAGAGGAGTCACAGAGGTGTATGTAGACGTACAATCATGTCATCGTGGCCGGAATTCGCTATTACGTTCGCCTGGAATGTCGCGCCTGCGTTAGCCGGGGAATCCTCGGTGGCAGCTGCACTGCACTGCATTGTGTAACAATGTAAGGGGGAAGGAGCGAGTGGTACTCACCATGGCTAAAATGTGAGGAAGGAGGATAAGAGGAACTTGGTTGGGTTCGTTGTGGAGGAGAAGGCGCAGAGCTCGGGGGGATTGAAATGGGATGTTTGATGTTGGATATGTTGCTGGAGTTGACACTCGCAAGCTTGCGGTGCTGCTCTGGCCTTTCCCGATTGGCCCGTGCACGAAGAGGCGTGGGAGATTAGATTAGATTAGATGGATCTGAGATCTAATCTATGAACTCTGACCGGATCATTGAAGCCCCTCGGACTAGAATGTCGCAAAATGACATTTTCAAATGTCGATTCAGGATGAGATCAAATGCCTATTGTTCGAAATCTCTATAAAACGTTGCTGTTGGATACAACCTCTTACATTCAAAAAGGCTTGTAGTTGTTTCTTGCTAAAAGTGCATCCAGTACTCCGCATCTCGATTCAATCCAACAGTCTACTAAAAATTAGTATTTTGGGTCCAATCATCAATTCAGCTGCCCAAAATAATTACTTCTTACCTGAAACATGATTCCAAAACTTCACCAGCAATTGAAGAGACGCTGAAACTGCAATGGCCATGTCCCCATCCATGGAGCATGGATATCCCATTCACGATTATAGACGGGAATGATCATCGACCATGACCTAACAACTCAGATGCAAGGTGTAGAACCGACAAGTAACTACTGTTTATAGTCATCTTACTTCAGCAAGAAGTTCACTAATCAGGATCAATTGTAGCTTCACCAATAGGTGATAACCGTCAATTATAGAACATACATTACAAAGATGACCTAAAAAAAGCTAACACTGACATCCAGCAGAAACAATCCAATACGGAATAATTGAGCCCGACTCTGACGCCTAGATTCAATGTCGATCATTGTCAAACTCGAAAGCTCACTAAATCAATTGGCCATGACCATTGCCGCTAAGTATTTCTGCAATACGCAACATTCAGCTGCTCAGGTCAGGGTTTTTTGATCTTTTGGTGGCCAGATTTGAAAATTGTTATTTTGCCTCATCATAGTCGCCATCATCGTCATCAACTTGTCCGAGCGAGACGAAGCATGACTTTGAGGCTCAGCTCCGCGCGAAAAACGGCCATTGTTCCTTTTACACCAATGAAACCCAAGAAAAGCACGCAATCTGATTGGCTCCATCGTACTCTATTACCCCTTCCGTCACTAGCGCCACTCCATACATCACTTCCATCCGATGTAAGCACAGCAACAACCTCAACCCTTCCAAACCCATCACCCCGGTTTTCCCCATCGCCGCACTGTAGCGGTCAGGATGTGCCGGACCAGATTTCATGCTGAGGCTGGCAGGGAATTGCACAGATGAGGCTGGAGGGCTAGCTGGCAGCTTGTTTCGTTCGTCTGCCATCATACGGGAATGCTTAGTGATGTATGTGAGTGAGAAAGGTGTGAATGATGCTGGATAGCCCACTCACACTTTAGGCAGGCAACTATGGTGTAGATTTGTATATAAGGATTGGATCGTTTGTTTCATACGATATTGATCAAAACCCATTGGGGGCAGTAGGAAAAGTTTCCACGATATTCAATCAAATATCAAGCGAGAAAGAAGTAAGAGAAGGGAAGGGAAGAAGAAAACAAAAAGAAAGTAGAGAAATGCTCCAACAAGTAAAGAAACGCACAAGAGCAACCCACGCCAAAGTACGGACGGGATGCCACACCTGCAAGTACGTCGTTCGACCCCTGAACCCGCGATTGAACATCTCGAATCGCTTTCCCGCCCTGACGAGATCTCGTACTGATTAACGGCATTGGTATCCAGAGTCAGACGCGTCAAATGTGACGAACAGCGACCCGCATGTCAAAAGTGCCTCACGACCGGCCGCACCTGCGAAGGCTACAACAACGACCGTCAATGGATCATCATGGTTCCCTCTCCCCACCCTCCAGCAGCAACCGCACCACCACTACCTCCACTTCCACAACCACCACCATCACCTCCGCCCATGCTTCTGCAGCCCTCCTCCTCTCCCGCCGACCAGGACGCCAGCCTAAGCAGCCACCACCTCGACTACTTCCGCACGACCGCCGTCCACGAACTCTGCTGGTTCCCCGGCGCCGACGCCGACTGGGGCCGCCGCATCGTACGCTACGCGCAGTCATCACCCCCGATCCGGCACGCCGCCATCGCACTCGCCTGCTCGCACCAATCGTCCCGCTCCCCCCAGGAGTCGTCGTCGGCCACGCTCATCGGCAACTACTACTACGGCCGCGCGATTCGCGCCCTCGTCTCCCAGACGTACGACAATGTGCCGTGTAACCGTGGGGAGTTCTTGGTCTGCGGGCTCATGTTCATTTCCATAGAGACGCTGCGGGGGAATCGAGAGCTCGCGAGGTACCATTTGGAGGGGTGTTTGAAGATTGTGAGGGAGACGCGGGAGGGGCTGGGGTTGGGGTTCGTGTGTCTGGATCAGTTGCCGGGGGAGAGGGAGAGGTTGAGTTCGGAGGCGTGGCTGTTGTCGAAGATTTTGTGCCAGTATCTTGAGGATGAGGTTGGGGGTGGCAGGGGGGGTGAGATGGGGGAGTGAGTTGGGTGGTGCTTGCGCGTGAAGGTGCTTGGGTTCTTAGTTGATATGTGCAGCATGATCTAAAGTCATGACGGGGGGAACCGATTAGGAGATGAAGGTTCCGAAGATCTATTACTTTTGAGAAAAATAGTCCGGCTGGCCCGTATCTATAGATCGAACATCTAAATATCTCCCCACTCATCTACACTTCCATCATTCCTCTCTCCTACCACTCACTTCGCGCCTCCGAAGACCCTATCAAGCAACACTCCAGCGAAGACATCCGTCCCAGGACTCCCCACACACCTATCAACCCTGTTCCCCTTCCTCTCATCCAACCAGCCCCCGGCATCCCCGGCGACCTCATCGTCCAACCCATGTTGCACATCACTATCCACCTTCATGCCCTTGCCCCTCCGATCCACGATGCACGTGCCCCTCGTCCACTGCCCGCTCGTCTCCACGCGGATGTCCTCGCTGCGCTTGAACTCCCACTTCGGGTCAGACGACGTGAGGCAATACCAGATGGTCAGGGGGTCGTGCATTTCGAGGCCCAGCGTCGAAGCGTCGAGAGTCGGGCGGATTGAGTGGATTTTGCGGTAAGTAGAGGAGAGGAAGAGGGAGGCCCATTGGACTAGGGGGGAGGATTCGAGGGGCGCTGTGTATGATTTCACGAGGGATTGGGGGAGGAGGTGGGGGGTTGTGATGTCTTGTTATCGTTAGTCATCGATTCAGGGAGGTTAGTGAGAAGGAGAGGGGAGGGGGACAAGGGAGTGGTATATTGACGTACCGAGTGAAAAGAGCTTCAACTTCAATTGCTTGGATAGGGTCTCCGGGTATGCGGGTAGTTGGCCTTTTCCTCCTGGGATGCTGGGAGGCATTGTGGTTCTCGGGTTTGGACTTGTGAGAGCGAAGACCCTGGCTGCAGCTACACTGTCGGCGTAGGTGTTGAACTCAGCGCCTGGAGTCATCTATTGCAGGGTTAGTCTGAGAACCAATGGGATTTTGGGAGAGAAAGACTTGAAGAGAATGAAGAGTCATGGATGGTGGGTTTTGCAATAGTCAAATTGTGAGGCATGGAGCAAATCCGCTCAAAATTGACCAATCGAGAGAGAGAAAGACCTACATTTCCTGGCACATCGACAGCACCACCCATAACCACGACCTCCTTCACGCGAAGAAAAGTCTCAGGGTCCGTAGCTGCAGCAACAGCGAGATTCGTCAGTGGTCCGATTGCCACGATGGTGATGGTGTCCGGCTCATTCTCTCTTAGCAGGCGCAGCATCTCTTCAGGGGCGGGCTTCGTCGATGGCGTGAAGAGAGAATGCTGGTCTTTCACGGCTTGGAGACTGGCTGCCTGTTCTGCGTCCATTGATTCGGGCGTCGGCTGGAACAGTGACTTCCAGGTTTCCGCTGGTGTGAGATGGGGATGCTGTAGTTGTTAGTCATGTGCTTCCAATAGAACTATAATGATATAGAATGGAAGGGAAAGGTTATCATACGCTGTGGTGAATACCGCCCAACCCATCGATGCCGTCTATCAAATATCAGTAAACTCTTCTCTTTGTATCCACTTTGGAATACTTACGGAAGAAGTCCGCAACCATCATATGCTCAGCAAGAGGTTCCTCCGCACCAACCGCAACTACACCACAAAACATTAGTACATAATCTCACAATTGTAATGGCGGAAGAACAGAGGAAGCAAAAGAATAAACATACCAATAGGCTTTGTCTTCTCCAACGTCTCAAACCCGGCAGGTCTCCCATTCTGTACCCTCCAAGCCCTCTCCTTCTCGATGAACTGGAACAGCGAGACGATATTCCTCAGACAGCTATGAACACACATTAGCTAAATCCGAACGTGATATTATTGAATAAAACCCATAACACTCCACACGCATCCATCAACAAGTGACGGAATTCGTTGGCTGAACAGTGTTTGGGGGAGATAGGCAACACTACGTACCTCTGCACATCGATATTGCCAAACTGCACCGACAGCATCAACACCTCGAGCTCCTCAGGCTTCGCCGAGAAGGCGAGCAGCATGGCGAGAACATCATCGACACCCTGTTCAAAAATCACATTTGCGTCAGCTTACTGTTCAGTTGCCTTGCTGTACTCTCGGGAAGCAGAGTACTTAGATGGGAAATGACATGATAGTGAGTAGTTTTTATTGCAAGTGCTCAGAAATCAAATACTTCGATTCCATGATGACATAACTCCCGCGAAAGGTTGGCTGTCGTGGTGTGGACTCAATGGAAAAAGAGGTAAGACTTACAGGGTCAGTGTCGATGATAATGCGGTTCGGAGCCATCGTTTTAGATCGTTCTGTCACTACCCGAGTTTCCTTGCGTTGTTGATTAATTTCTGGTAAATGCGGTGAACTATCGAGGAATACGGCAAGAACTTTTGGTCTCCAAAAATAATTCAAAAAGAAATAGTATGAAGCTATCAAGAAGTGATAGAGTGTCAGGATATGCAGGTTGACGCAGATAGATATGGTCAATGGAGGGGTGCTTGAGGAACCGATGACTAAGGGCACCTGCAGTTTTGGGCGATGGACTGCGATCGATGGTCTACACTATGGCGGCGGTCCCCGACGAAGAGAGAAGAATTGTGGATACTAGGCCAAGAGTACCGAAGAACTGTCCTCACTTATATATTCCTAAACAATCCCCCGAGAACAAAAGCTAGTCAGTGTAGTGCAGACAAATTGTAATGGCAATCTTTGATTGTGTTGTTACTGTTATCTTCACCAAGTACAGATCAAAATCATCAGGAGGTTGAGTTCAAAAAAAAAAAACATTTGTATTTGCTAATTGTGGTGCTTTGGATACCAACCAATTGCTATAAGCACACAACGATATGACGCCCCCAGTTAGGTTTGGATGATGAAAAATAAAAAGGAAAAAGGTGAGAGATATAGTTCTACAGGGGTCCCCCCAATTTCCAGGAGTACTCCTTGCTAAAAGCCGCTACCATGATTTTTTGTATTGCAATTGTCACACTCACTCTCTACAGCTCTCCTCCCAGCCGGCTGCTTGCTGTTTTCAAAGTATGCGGTGGGTTTCTTTCCGTCTTGTTCCTCTTGCTGTTGGTGCGTCGGCCGTAGAGCTAGGGTTGTACAATTGCGATATGACGAGTGATCTGAGAAAAGGAATAAGATGGATTCATCTCTGTCGTGAATTCTGCGCGTAAATGCTGGGATGTAGACTCAAAATTCGTGAAAGGGATCAATAGATTTTGTCGTTTAGTAAACCTTCTTCTTCTCGTCGACGGAGAACTGTCCGGGACCCATGTTGACCAGCAAGAGGAGACCACCACTGTATATATTGTTAGCTGCTGAAGCGGAGGTGGGTCATCTTGATATAGGAACTTACACAATGGAGAGGATCTGGAAGAAATCGTACTTGGCGAAATCCTTGTGGGGGTGGTGGGGGTGGAGGGTCCAGAAGTTGTTAACGATGAGGTTGAAGACGCTGAGGATGACGACGAGCATGGTGGCACTCCACTTGGCCTTGAATCCAACAATGACCATGACGCAGGCGACGAAGCCGAGCAAGCTGACGCTGATCCTCCAGACGTTCCAGTCGCCACGGAAAACAAAGCCGACAAAGAGGAAGATCAAGAGGACACGTCCAGCGAGCTGGAAGTACATCTTCCTGTCCTTCTCGTCCAATTGAGGGAGACCGGCGGGAGCAAACCTCTTGCGCACCCATGAGTCGGAAAGGACCATGAGAAGTCCACCCATGACGGACAAGTTGCGCAAGAAGAAGTTCAGGTCAAACACCAATCCATATCCGACACCCTGGAGAACCACAACACCGATGAGACCAAAAACACCAAAGTCGGAGTGCTTGCGGGCAATGATCATGATGGAGCAGACGGTCATAGCGATCACGTTTACGATGAGGAAGAGGTGTGTAACGCCGTTCCAAACTAAACAAACAAACAAGTCAGCAGTGTTCCAGGAGTGTTACAACGGGGTAGGGAGAATGCGTACTGTGTCGGTAATCGTGGAGATAGGTGAGCTGGTCGTTCCATTGGGTCATGATTCGGAGCGCATCTTCGAGGAAGGTTACGACGATTAAGAATCGTCCGATCGCAGGCAAGTATCTATCCAACGCCCCGTGTTAGCTTCAATGAATAAACAGACAAGAAAAAAACTGCATTGCGGGAGGCACAGTCCCGCGCCGCAAGTAATCTCAATTGAACAGGCGGAGTAGCAATTCTCGAGCTCTGATCTCGTACAGGGTGTACTTACGGCTTGATAGGGTCGGAGAGAGTGTCCAGAAAGTCCTCAACTTTGCTTGTTTGTGCCCTTAGTGCGTCGAGCGGGCTTGGGTCGTTTGTGCTCCCATCATTGCGTCCAGCGTTGCCGAAGGGGCTCTGATTACCCAAGTGATAGCCTGCGGTACCGCGTATTTGAGCCATGGTTTTTCTGGAGGAGGGGTGGGTGTGTGAATATAAAAAAAAGAAAAAGGAAATGAGGGAAGGAAGGAAGGAAGGAAGGAGCTGCGGCGAACGGGAGAATAGAACAGGAGGAGAAGGATGAATAACAGGAGGGTAGTCGGGTAGTAGTGGTAGTAGTGGTGGTAGTAGTAGGTCCAAGGTATGGAAAGGTAAGGTTCAAGGTGGGCGAGGCGTCGTTTAGGGTGAGAAAGCCTCGGGGGTTTTGGATTGTTGCTTGAAGCTAAGTTGGAAAGGCCACGGTATGGTATTCTTTGGCTCGGGTTGGGGGGGGATGATGCCAAGACCTGGGATGATGCGACACACTAGACGACTGTATGTATGTACCTAAGTGTCTGTACTTTGCAGTATGTATACCCTACAAAATGCAACTACTAATACTTTTTTGTATATAGTAGCTACACAAGGAAGGTGGTTATTTGTCGTCGATTGTATATGAAGGAAGGGTACTAATAAAAGTAAAATAATAGTAGTCGTGGTAATAACGATGCTCTCCGGATGATCGGTCGGAGAATCCCAATGACGGTAATAGTAACGATGATAACCAAAACAGATGCTCGCGGAGGCCGGAAGACAATCTGGTTCACACCTGATTATATATAAAATATCGATATGGAACGTGTTTCGTTATAGTTATAGATGGGCTGGACTCGACGGACGGACTGGGATCCCGGAAATTCAAATGGTCGCGCGAGTAACTATTGAAGAAACAAGAAAAGGACGTTCGCACACACTAGGCGTTCGAGTTGTTTGTTAATTTTCCGATGCGATTCTATAAGGTGCGGAAGAAGCTCGTAAGATTCATGAAAGGGTAGCCGTAATAGTAGTTGTTGGATTCAATGGGTTTGTTTGGTTGTTGGTTGGTGGAGTTGGATGCTGACAATGGTGGATAATAATTCAACTGACTGGCTGGTCGTCCCTTATAATAAAGAGTAGAAGCTGTCCCCCAATCTCTATCGGAGATCGATCCCCCATATCCTTGATGATGCCAGATTGATCTTCTCTACACTGAAGCCCAGAGCGTGACAAGTCTACCCCTCCTACCGGTCCTCCAGAGTCCTCCCACCGTCCTACCAGGTTCCTACCAGGTCCTACAAGTCCTGCCGGAGCGACCTGATTCCGACACAATCCTGAGAAGTCCGTTTTGAAGCACGTGGTGCCAATCCGCTGCTACTCAGGAATAGTCCTCATTCCGTTCGCTGGTGATGTGAGCATCTTTCCCATAGCCCCCCCTGCTCGATGTACATTCTCCACCATTCATCGTAGCGCAAATCAGATGTCCTAGGAATACAGTATATTGTAGATGCACCGAGGTTTTACTATTACAGAAGTCCTAGACCTTAGTGGCAGCTCGGGGTAATCTTTTAGTATGCATTCCGGTTCCTTTTGCTTGCGCCCCCGGCGGGTGGTGGCTTCGACACCTGCGCCAGCTGGTCATCAGTAGCGTTATGGTGTAGTATGGGCACTCTTACTCAGGTACCCAAACTCCACACTGCCATCCACCACGCCATCGACCCCAAACATAGCAGCCAGTATCGTCTAATCACATGTAGCAATAGTTTATTCAACAATAGAGTGGCTATACTTGGAATCAGCACGTCATGCCCACCCAATGTCTTCATTGAGGGCCCATGCGTCTGTTTGTTTCCTATCTCTACAATCCCAACTTATCTACCCTACCTATCCTTACAATTTTGAAAAGTAGTACATGTTTGTGTGTAAGGTAAATAAGTAGAAAGTCGGAAACCAAGTGAGAAAATACTAGTAGAGAAAACACATTTAGAACAATCGAAAAAGGGAAAAACGTTGGTCCGAGGCTGGTCGCCGGGATACCTGAAATGACCATGCAATGTCCGCACCACCAGAGTCCTTTTTAGTAAGAGAGGGAGGCCGCCACTATCCATCCGACGTAAGGAAAGCCATCCCCTGCTCGTGAACGATCGTGAACACTGTCCTCAAAGGAATGCCCAAACTTTAATGAAAATACGCTGAAACCGCGTCAAAAGCGAGGCCCAATCGCCGGCCGACTTCCGCAGGATCTCGCCTGCCATGAGCACCAAGTAGCAGATCGTGGGGGAATCCTCATGACATTGGGAGTGGGTTGGGTCGAGGAGGATTCGGAGGATGTGGCGAGCTTATACGACTGGCCAGTCAGAGTCAAGCTCGTGGCCTTGGTTTGTAGGCTCCGCGAGGAGACCGTATCGAGAGCTCTGTCGAGGAGCCTCGGGCTTGACTGCTGCCTTCTTCACGGGAGCTGCAACGGGTGCAGAGACAGGTGCAGGTACGGAGGCAGCCTCCTGAGCGACGCCGGAATCGCTGCCCTCATCATCGGCAGCCTTGGTCTTTCGCGTCTTCTTGGGCTTGGCAACAGTCGTCCAGGCAGAGTCCTCCATAGCCATACGGACCTGCTCCTCCTCAGAAGGCAAGCCGTTGTACTGAGGACCGTTGGTGGAGGTCTTGGCCTTGGTCTTCTTGGCCGCGCTGGGTGCGGTCTCGGGCTCGAAGGTGTCGAGGAGTCCTCCATTCTGGGCTGCGGCGACAGGGGCAACGGCAGGTGCGGAAGAGCCGCCAGAGCGAACGGTAGTCCAGGCGTTGGAGTCGGGAATCTGCGCCTGTTGGAGACCGTTTTTGGCGGGCTCTCCGCGAGCCTCGCGAGCAGTACGCCTCTGCTGTTCGAGCAAGATCTGGCGCTGCTTCTCGTCAGCCTCGCGCTGAGCCTTGGCCTCCTCAACCTTCTTGCGGTTCTGACGCTGCTTCTTGGTCTCCTGAGGAGTCTCTGGACGAGGCTGAGACTTGTTCTGGCGAGCGGGCTTCTCGGAGGCCTTGATGCTCATGACGCCTGGAGCCGGACCACGGGACTCAAGCATATCGGAGACATCCCTTCCGCTAGGGGCCTTGAACGAGGATGTTGTGGCCACAGAGGGAGAGGCGACGGGGGAGAGATCATCGTCTGCGTCTGCGCCTCCATTAGACGAGGCAGCCGACAGAGACGCCTCGACCTTGTTGCCGACATCTTGAACGGCCTTCTTGACCGACTTGCGAGGAGCCTGTGCCTTGGCCTTTGAGGATTTGGCATTCGACTTTGTCGACTTGGATTCCGCTTCAATCCAATTGGTATCTGCGCCCTTTGCACTGGTCGCAGCCGGACGCTGGAGCGTCCGACCCCTTTGTTTCCCACTTCCGCTATTCTGTGTATAATACCAATAGCCGGCGCCGACGATGGCAATGAAGATTGCCCAACTTGTCAGGGTATCCATGCTGGGTAATGTGGTTGCTGTAATGGAAGGAGTAAGCGCAACGGAGGAGCCGTTCACGTGCAGAAAGACGTTGGGAGCTTCGTAGGTTTGCGTGAGATGCGCAAACAGAAAGTATATATGTTGTTACAAGTCGGAAAGGTAGATCGAACCAATTGAATGGGCCGCGTAATTGCACCGGAGCTGCGAGCTCAATTTCAGGCGAAGGTGTTGAGCGGAGAAGCCCAGAGTCGGTTGACGCAAGGGGACAAGGAGATGAGGCGAAGGAGAAGAGGGAATAAGCTCGTCGTAGATCAGGAGGGCGGCGAGGGAGAAGCACAGTTGAAAGCAGGTCAATCTACTGGCGCTGCTAGCTGGTGGTACGGCTACTCGTAGGTGAGCTCGAGGGGGGAAAGTTGATGGTGGTGGAACAGAGCGGAGCTAGCTGTGTGAGGACAGGTAATGCCCGCTTCGGGATGTCCGTCACCGACCGCGATAGAGGTAGACAAGGAGAGAGCACAACGCTGCAGCCGGTAGTGGGAGCTTGAAGGTTGGCTGGGGGGTTATGAGATTGACCGATGGGGTACAGTGAGGAGTGAGGGAAGGAAGAGAAAGAGGAGGAGGAAGATGAGAAGGAGAGTTTAATGGGGGAGTTGAAGTGGAAGTGCTGAGGTAAAGGTGGTGAGAAGGGGAGGGAGTGGTCGTTGAGGGTTTGGCCAAAAGCGGTTAGGCGGAGAGGACAGGGATTGGTTGAGGAGCCACACCTACGAGGTACCTATCACCCACGTAACCATCACCACTACTACGACTTAGAGAACATACCTACATAGTACGGAGTAGATATTTAATAACTGTCTCTATTATCTTATCATTTACTATGGATCGCAGTGTTTTCGGAAATGGATAAATCATTGTTGTGTACTTGCAAATCCGCCATGTCTACGGAGCACGATCATCTACGACGGCATAGGTACCAAGATACGTTGTACTGTGTACATAATCGATACCTCACCTCACCCATTCATCACTCAGTCCTTCCCAATGATCATTTTATCCATCCATCTCAACCAACTGCCAAAAGCAATTGGACTGGCCCGAAAAGAAAATCCCACATTCCTCGTCCCAATGGAGCGTCATCTCCAATAAACGGTCACGGCAGTAATTGGATTGGTAACCACCCAGGTAATGTGTGGTGGAGTGGACGTTAGCGCAACCCCCCGTGTACTCTTCTCTTTTCGAAGATGACACCTTGCGTGAGCCCGTTCACCATCGGACTCGCATCCCCTACTCTGCAACCCCCATCCCATATCCCATATTTTCCCTCTCCTTCATCCCAATGGGACCCGCGGCACGTCCTCTGTGCAACTGAAGGTTCCCCACATCCCGTAAATGGATGCGTCAAAGTAACTCGTAGTCAACATTTCTACTCCGTACCGTGCATATGTATTCTCATCCTCTTCAACCTTCAACCCCGACACCGGGCCATCGCCGGATTTAAGATCTATATCATACTGCTAGAGAGAACTGGCCACAATGAAACTCCATTCTTATCGTCTCATGTCTGATCATAACATCACAGTTCCCGTCACACTACGATCTGCCGTCAACAAGGTCGACGACGGCTATGAGCAAAGTACCTACCAGTACATACTCCGTACCTGTTAAGGCCATATGCCGACAATCTTGGCACGCAACTCGGTTCATCGTTCCCCAGGTGCCGACTCCTGACCATTATCACACCATCTATAAAAAGACACACCTACAGTTATGCATCCATCTCGCAGCTTCGCTTCGCCGTTGTTGATGCATTTCATCCTGGTTTCTTCTCCCACTCTACATGATCGTAGGCTAGGTCGGGCCGTCCCATCTACATTTTCATTTCTACCTCTTCCGGCAGCAGCAACACTCCACTACCTGGCACATTCACCCGCCCACCCATGCTACGCGAACGCTTGACCAAAGAGTAACCGGCGCGCATCCTGCAGACCGCACATCGCCAGATCTGGTTGCATGATATCACGTTTTGGCCCTCGAGTGATGTTGCGGGTAAGTCTCCGGCACTCCACATTCTGAACATTTGAGTCTCGTCATGTCATGTTATTCCATTTCATTTCATCGAAGGGTACTACTGCATACAATGTGTACTATCTCCTCTAGGAACCATTGATTCATCTCATATTTGAGGACTTTAACGTGTAGATACAACAGAAAAGCAAATCATCCTCCCATAGGTCATGCCCGAAAGAAACTCCAATCATGGTAACATTAAACAACAAGGGGAATCAGCCAGTACTGTTAACCAGCACCAAAAAAAGTAATCGAAAAACCTAACAAAAAGTGTACAACAACACATCACGCCCCTCTGAAATTGCCCTTCTTGACCTCAGGCTGCTGCTGCTGAACGCCCGCATCCCCCTCCGCCTTCCTCTTGACCCCAGCACCACCGCCCTCAGCAGTGCTACTCCCACTTGATGACCTGCTCATTGGCGGCGTAGGAAACCCATGAGTCTGGAATAGCGGCCGACTCGCCGCCGTCGCTGCCGCAATCCTCGCGCTCTGCGCCTGCGCTGCCGCCGTCGCTGCCGCCTGTTGCTGCTGTAGTTGCTGCCTCTGATGCGCTTGGAGTTGCATCTGGCGCGCGATGTCGCCGAGGCCGGGGCCGACGATGTTCCTGTCGCCAACGACGGTCGCCCCGCAGTTGATCGTGACGTTGATTCTGGGGAAGGGCTTTGCTATCCTTCGTGCGGTTGCAGGGGCCGTTTGTGGTGTTTGATTATTGTTGTTGTTGCTTTGATTGTCGCTGTTGTTGTTGTTGCTATTGCCGTCGTCACTGCTGTTTGATTGCGGCGGCGTCGCTGTCTGTGACTGTACTGTTGCTGCAGCCGCTGCTGCGGCTGTTGTCGTCGGCGACGGTGGACCGCCATTCAAGACGCAGACGACCATGCCGGCAATCCGGGCTGAGTCCAATTGAGGTACTGTGATGATGTTTCCGTGCCCGCGGATCTGCGTCGTGGCGTTGATGGTCACCTCTGGTACATCGTTCTCCTCTTCATCGTCGAAGCCGTTGCGGTTGTCTTCGTTGGGGAACATGTATGGCGTCCTGATTGGGATGTGCGCGTCCGAGTCTACGACGGTGTGGTAGGCTGGCGGTGGAGGCATTGTGTTATTGTTGTTGTTGTCGTGTGTATATTTGTTGGAGTCGGAAAGTAACAATTGTGCTTTTGCGGAGTGAATTGCGCTGTTGGAGGAGGGACCCATTCAGATTATCAAGGTAATGAATTGACCACCCTGGTATACCCTTAACCTTGTTGTTGATTATGGCCTGTAGAGAAAATCCGGGCTTGTGGGGTGCTTCTGGGGTGCGCGTATTTTTTTCCACCCTTTGAAAACTGGGAAAAGGGAAGTGATGGTGGTGGATAGGGTGAGATGTTGTGTTAGATAGGGTGAGTGTGGCGTGACTTGGAGCGACAGCGAGGTGAGTCGCGCAATTCCGATGCGATCGAAAAGCGACGGTATGGGTGGGAATTTCCGATTCTCGTGGATCGGATCAGGCGAGTTTTGCTGACTTGTCGCCTTGTAAGGATTTTTGCCTGGAAGATGGAGACGGTAGTTGTTTTCCTGCTATGGAAGTGTGTTCCTGAATGGGTTGTGGTTGTGGTTGTTCCGTGGAGGCTCAAGGGAGGTGCTGGACCAGGAATATCGATTGCTGATTTGGATTACAACAACAATGATGATGATAATGATGATGTTCTTTGATACAAGTGCAACACTTGTAAAAGGATAAAAGAATAATTGTATACAACAACGGTCGGTGGGTAGAGACCACAGATGAAGTACAGCAACAGAAGAATAACCCTATCGTGAGATAGATATAAGTAGATGGTACGATATGACGAACTAGATAGTAGCAAACAACACTCTATCTATCTATATCGAGGGAAAGAGAGAAAGAAGAAGAGACAACCAACTTCTTAAATATATAGACAGCTACCTATCTATCTATCTACCTACCTCCGGCATGCCGGAGACACAACACACTACAATAATTACACAGCCCAATCCTATTCACACAACCACATGAAACACTACCACAATAGCAAGGCCCAGGCAAACGCGCAGATAACCCCCCTCCGCACTCCCGGCCCCCAGTCCCAGCGCTACACAAGTCGAGCGCACAACAGCTCATCATTTCTCATTCCTATTGTCCGTCCCTCTCACAATAGAAGAAAAGCAGGGGTGGAACACCATCCATTGCGGAATAGGAAACTTGGGATGTGCGGGTGTGACCAATCAGATGGTGACATCCGTGAATATCTTATACGGATATGGAAGGCTATTCCTATTGTTCTTTGGGAAAGGCAGGTATTGTAGGCCATTAGTGAGATACATGCCATACCTGGTCGACATCACACAATACATGTTCCTGTTGCACGAGTGATCGTTTGCATCTTTTTCTTTCTGCGCATAGACAATACCGATACCAGCTACCTTGCTTTGCGACGCTGGATAAATGACTCCATAAATCATCTCCCTGTAGATACACCGAAGCGGTTCACAACAGGAAATCTTACACACCGTTATCTCTGTCACACATGCACTCGCAGGTACATTTCCAAAACCTCCTTTTCAAATGCGTAGGTCACTTCTGACATGTACTCGTAAATGCAAACTCGGTACCTACTCACCTAGCCACCTACCTCATACTTACCAAAGTTCACAACGTTCTGCGGCTAAATCCACACAGTTTCTCCTCCACCCTCAAAGTCGAAACCACGCCCCATGATTCCATTTCCTCCCCTCTTATCTGACTAATTATGAAGTAAAACCTACCGCTATTAACCATTAATGCTACCAAACTCAACCAAGAAGCATATAGCAAAGTCAAGTAATTGCGAAACGGTCCTTGTACCCATGGATTGAAACGCCAAATTCCACTCTCCCATTCACACCCCAAAACAGACATCACAGACTACAGTGCACAACCACCACGAGATGAAAAGCAAACCCACTGCCCTCCCTTCCGTTCTCGATAAGCAGCCACGCCCACGCGCGCGCATGCTTTTCCAACTGACTGACGATCTTCAAGTCCCGCCAAGAGAGCCAAATTGCGGCGTAACATGCCTTCATATGCTGTGCGAGTGGCATGCCGTATTGACCGGGGGTGGAGGGCGCACAAGAACAAAGAAACAAACGGACAATAGCAAAAAGGTGAAGTAGCTATCTATTCAGAATATGCGGCGTGGTTTAGACCAACAATGATACCTTGTGCTCGTGATCATTATTCGCCGGCGTTCCGGTGCGGTAAGTGAGCCTTCTCAACGTTCGGTTTGGCGCTTTTGCTTGCCTTGGGTGCTTGCTTACGTGGGTTTTGGTTCGGAGGGTTCGGAGGGTGTTGGATGGGATGGGAGGTGCGACGAATGGAAGAGAGAGAAGGTGTGTGTGATGTGTTGCTGGTGTAGTGTTGCATTGCTTGATGCTATTGTTCTTATTGTTCCTATTGTCGAGGGTGCACCGGAAGGCCGGGAAACCTATCACGCCCTACGACCATAAGGCACAGTTCATGTTGGAATGTATAGAGCATCTCCGTGCTTTCCGGCAATTTGGTCGTAGTGCTACTTGCACCAGCCATGGCGACTTTGTGTGTTCGTGTTTCGTAAGTAGGGCGGGCATTATTGAGGGTAAGATCGATAACTCAAATTCCCAGACGTTTCGGTTGGAAGAATCGAATCGTTCAAATCGTGTTACTTGGTCAGTCTGAGTTCTTATTCAAATTGTTTGTTTTCTGGGAGCCATTCAATGGATGCAAATGTTCATTTGAATTGTTTGGTTTGGATTAACTCGGCTGGCAGTATAGCCAGCGCTTTCTGATATGGGTTTTCTTTTCTTTCTAAGACGCGCACGCAAGTCGCGTGGTGGCTGGGGGGAAGAAGGGGTTTGGTGCTTGTGACAATGACGATATTCCCGACGCCAGCGCTGTAAATGCTACAAAAATACATGTGGTCCCCGTACAAACCCAATATCCCGAAGGTCCTCATTTCTCGAGACGAAGAGGAGCACAGTACCATGGCGCGTTCCTCGATCTCGAGAAGAAAAGTAGGCGTACAACACAATGCACCCAGACCTGCTACAACTCCACCAAAAAAATGAAGAACTGAATCGTGGAAGAAGAAAAAGTAGGGCAGTGAGCCTATCGTCGGTACTGCGGAGGCAGAGGAACTTCGTAGGTGGGTCTATCAGCCAGGAAGAGGAACTCCGACCATGGGGGAAGCTTCTTGTCCCTCTCGTACAGATATCCGCAGTTGCTGCACAACGTTCGCGGTCCTGAAGGACCGTCCCTCACAGCCCAGACCGCATTGCCCCAGACGTGACAATGTCGACATTTCCATGTCATCCGTTCGCTAGATATGTGTTAGATTCAATGATCCTGTACCAGTAGCTCCATATTTTCACTCACTTTTCCTGTAATCCATTGCCTTGTCCACCATATCCTGTCGATTCGGGTGTGTCTCGCCCAGTAGGGCTCAGGCTCCTAAATCTCCGCTTCCTCTTGATTCTCTCGCCTCGCCCCAGGGTTTCCTGCTGGTCTGGATTATTGAAGAAGTCGTTCTGTGGCGTCCCAGCCATGTTGGTCGTCGAGGAGAAGCGCGCCGTTTCTCTTCGCAGTCGACGGATCTGCCTCTCGCGATCGCCTTCCCGCTTCTCGATCTCTTCTTTCGACAAAATCTCCACTTTTGGCTCCCATTCGTCACATAAATGCTCGTGGTCGTAGCGCCAACCAGCACCAACGACTGGATCAACAGCATCGTTGTCGAATTCTCCATCGCCTACCAATCCTCCATTCTCGCATGCCTCCTTTTTCAGTCGTAACACGGCCTCGTAGATCGAATGCGTCATGGCTGGTACCCATTCCCCTGCCAATCCGAGGTCTGCACAAGTTACTTTGGCGAACATCTCAGCGAAGCCTGGTGGGTGCAGCAAAGACCATTCAAACTTGTCGCTATAAAGACGATTCATTAGGTTGATGTTTAGCGTGATGATGCAGCGGTATGTGTCATCTGGGTTATGGAGATCCTCGGTGGGCACAGCTGTAGCTGTTGCAGTGATGCCGTTCGCAATAGGTCCTGGCGTCTGCGACTCCGGGACTGGTGTCTCACGTTTTGCTATGGGCGTAGATACGCCATTGGTGAATTGTGTGACGGGCGTCGAGGTTCCATCTCGAGAAAGTCCTGGACGTGCTGGCTTTGTCGCAATGCCATTAACAGCAGGTGCTCCCGTCGAATGGAAGAGTGGATGAAGGGCAACCCCCGCGTACTCCTCCAATTGCTGTCGTATCTGATTGGCCACTTGATATATGATCTGGGGTTTGCGATCGACAGGAAGATCTAACTCGTCCACAAAGACCTTTGCGAACTGATCAGGCGTCGTTAAAGCTTCGTGGAGATTCCAAAGGAACGCGTCCTTGAGCCGGTACGACGGTGTGACTTCAGGTTGCTTGTAGGCTGGGTGATTTTCATCAATGCCAAAATCGCGAGCGTTTCCGGGGAATGGAAGGGGCGCCTCTGGGCGAAATGGCTGGATGTCCAGATCTATCCGGATAGGAATCAGGGTAACGGGGAGCGCAGCCTGTACCTGGACCTGCTTCTCTGTCCTTTCGTTGATGTAAGTAATTGATCTTAAGTCCACATCTCAACAAACGTCCCCAACGCAACAAACTCACAATGTACGCTTCGGTCGTCCCATCCATTCTCTCCATATTCCTTGCATTTCCACGGGCGCAGTTAATTCCTTGCCGAGAGCCGCCACCTGTGCAGACTTGTCTATATTCGAGTCGTCTCTCCTCAGGCTGCGCAGACCGGTCGCGCGACGCGGTCCCTCTCCGTCCTCGAAGTCATCATCATCGTAACCATCTTCCGCGTAGTTTATAGCAGTAGTCCCACGCTTCGTCGTCCGGGGTGTTGGAAGGGTGTTGGAGGGAGGAACAACTGGCGCGAGCAGGGAATTGCCATACGACCGAAGGCGGGGGGCATAGGACGAGATGAAGGCCTGCGGAGGTGCAGGTTTCCCGTTGACTGTGAACATGAGTGCTGCTGGGCGCGACGAGGGTTTTGCGAAAACTAGGGCAGCTCAGAAGAGCTCGCGAACGTCGACGCGTCGCAGGGGGGTTGTTCGCTGGTGTTGGAAGCGCTTCAGCGTGTGGAGAATGAATTGATGTCGCACTACGGTGTGCTCGGATTTAAACGCCAGATCGAAGATACTTTCCGGCCTTATTGGATAGATGTTGCGACAGGTTTCCGAATGAATGTTGAAGAGTTTCGCGGTTCGAGATCGCATCGACGGTTCGCCAAGATCGTGATCCGAAAGGGGACTAGTGTGATCTGATCCAACGTCCTCCAATCGCCCTTGCACTTCACCTTCATCTTCATCTTCACCCTCACATCTCCAACTCATTCCAATTCACTCTCCTTCACTTCACTCCTGCACTCGCCTTCACTGTATGTTGAATATTAACGAGGTGTGCACTCGCACCCAACATATAGTAAGCACGCATTTGATTCGTAAGCCTTGTTATTCATCCAAGTAACACTATTGTGAAGCAAAGTTCACTTCTTCTCTTCTTTCGCTCGTTTCTGGAATGCTTTACTCGTGACGGCTCGCCTTACCGGGTCCTTTCTTCTGCGTTTTTCCATCAGTCATGCTCCTCTTTTCACTGGAATATTTTCCCGTTTCTATTACATCCATCTCACTGGTGTCAGCCATAAGGCGCGAGTCCGCGTTGCCTTCATCCACATGCGGGCATTGTGTCTCTGCCAGTGCTCAACACTAGTACCAAATATCATATCAGTACTACCCATCCTTTCAAGGTTCACGCCATGGAACTTCTATATCGTATAGGAGATAACGACTAACCTGTACACCAATCACACATGTCGACAGCTGATTGCTACATTGGGCATTCGTCCACTGTCTCGATTTGCCACAATCTCTCTCCCACACTTGTCTAGAAGGACTGTGTCTTGCATGTGCCTTCAATGTACTCGTATAAAATGAGGGAGATTCTCGAATGTCAGAAAGCCAGCTTACATCTGTGTCTTCCTCCATAGACAGGATTGGTACATACACATTAGGTCTACTTTGCCCCCACCCAAGGAACAATCATGGCAGACAGCAAGCTCAGCTTAGCGATATGCAGCACGTGTATGTATATTTGTCATTTGTTTAGGTACGACGTTTTGCAAACTACAGGAACCATCACATCACAGTGTGATGTAAAGCCAATAGGTGAGGAATGGTGTGTATACAGTATTAGTGAAAGCGGTGCACGACCATACACAAAGCGCCTCACGTTGTTCACATAGAACATTCACCCCAAGGCACCAAACTCAACTTCACTTCTTTGACTGGCCCATTGTCTTATTGTCCCCCAGCCCCATTGTAGCCTAATCAACATTGTACATTCTCTTACTCGCTCAATCACTCGCTCCCTTGCCCAGGGTTATAAACACTACAGATCCCGTTCCTCCTTCCCTTTTCGCCATTCGAAACTCAACCTTTACTTCACATTCAACCCCTCTTGATCCCATACAACCTATCCTTAACGTCAGAAATCAACCCCTTATCGCCCTACGATTAACCCTTCATCCCTAGCTAGACCAACTCCGATGATGTATGCACAACCCTTCATCTTGTTGGGCCTTGGCCTTCTCCCCTCAGCCTATGGACATATGATCATGGCCAATCCTGAGCCGTTCGGGCATCCAGACAACAGTCCCCTCAGATCAGATGGCAGCGACTTTCCTTGCAAGGTCGGCGCTGGCGGACAATATCAAGTTACGAAGATGAATGACTGGCAGGTGGGCTCGCAGCAAACCCTCTCATTCAACGGTTCCGCTGTCCATGCTGGAGGATCTTGCCAGATTTCCGTCACAACCGACAAGCAGCCCACTAAAGACTCCAAGTTCAAGGTCATCTACTCGATTGAAGGTGGCTGCCCTGGGGTCGATAAGCCAGCGACCTTCCCGTTCTCCATCCCCAAGGAGCTTCCGAACGGCGAGGGTACGATGGCCTGGACTTGGATGAACAAGATTGGCAATCGCGAATTCTACATGAATTGCGCGCCCATCAAGGTTTCCGGTGGAAGTGATGATGCAGCCGCATTCAATGCATTGCCAGATATGGCCGTCGCAAACCTCGCCACTACATCTTGCAAGAACGAGCCTTCCTTCGACTACACCTTCGAAAATCCTGGAAAGTACACAACACGGATTGGAGCGGGTCCCTTCGCTCCTCTCTGCGGTGGTCCCCCTGTCTCTGGCTCGCCAGGAGCTTCACCGACAGCACCAGGCAATGGTACTCCCCCCTCGAAGCCTACCACTTTCAATAATGGTTTGTGGACACCTCCTGGCACCAAAGTTGTGGGTCCATCAACTATAGATTCGTCTGTTGCTCCGACCTCGTCTGTTGCTCCGACCTCGACTGTCGCCTCACAAGTAGTCCCAGTTACGTCCACCGTTCGTACTCTCGTCACTGTCACTGTTCCTGCTGGAACAGGATCTATAGGTCAGCCTTCCGTGGCCCCGTCAAACACGACATCGATCTTCAACAAACCCTCTGAGCCCACGGCATCATCAGCACCGGCTGCGCAGCCCTCTGCACCGGCTCCCGGAAATACCACATGCGGAGATCAGGGTGCGATCCTCTGCAACGGAAGTGACAAATTTGGCATCTGCAACCACGGCAAAGTTGTCTGGCAGTCCGTTGCTCCTGGTACCAAGTGTCAAGACGGTGCGATCGCGAAAGTGAAGCGTGACTACGTCCTCCGCACTGAGCGGGCCAACAAGTTGCGAGGCATGATCCTTCACGCGTGATTCAATTTGTTGTCTCAGTGTTCGGGTGCTATTTTCACAAGTTTCTTATCCGCACCACACATACATATATCGACTCGTTGCTACTCGTAAATATTCCTTGCTCTCTTCAGGCGAGGTCAGGCTACATCTGATGAGTCTATCGCTCATGGAGCACGAGAGCTTCTCCATCACTTCATCAGGTTCAAGCGATCATATCTTTAAGCGTGCATAGATAGAATTAATCCCTATCTCCTTATTTGGAATCATTGTCTCTGAAAAGTTTTTGTGGTGATCTTTCCAATCATAAGTTCTTATTGGAACGTTGCAGTGTCTTGGTGATTGCGGATGTTACATGAATGTCGAAGGTAACAAGGGATGAGCGTCACCTGGTAATAGTTACCGTAGCCCGCAACCGACTCCCTATTATGAAAAATACAATCACCATCATTGAAGTAACACTGTACATTATGAGCAGGTCGTAATATAAAAAAGTGCTTACGTTGGAAATAGTGCCTCAAAGGGCATTGTGCCCGACAGGTCGCACACCCCATTATCATGCTCGGTGTAGAACATACTACGCTTTGTCCAGCACCAGACTCTCCCGTCTTCATTGTTACCTCATACCTTTCACCCGCTACCGTGAGCCAGGTACCCGATCCCGTCCCGCCCTTTGCAACCACAAAGGTCTAGACAGAAACAAGATCGCACCGGTGTGACGGTGAGTGTCGAGAGGGCCCAGGAACCCGTTTTCACTGCGAGCACAATGAGCATTGTCTTTCTCATTGCTTCATCAAAATTAACATTGCACAATGTGGGTCGTCCCTTCCGGTACAACCAAGAAACCTTCATCTTATCTCCTTGTTGTCGTCGCCATAATCTAATTGATAGACAATGTACATTCGTTTCTTTAATTGTTTCCCCGTAGCCTAAAGCTCCACAACCCTCGGCAGCAAAAGCAGCCTCCAATGTCCGCAACCACAGTGTCCTGAAATGAAGACAGCGCCGTGTCTCCAGCACCTCCAACGCGATATATTGCAGTGGTGAAGAATAGCTGTTATATCTTACTGGAAGGAGGAGGTAATTCTGAACTTGTGCAGGAAAACATGCTCCTGATATGTAAATGGTGATGCTACCTTGCTGTTGTTTACCAGAAAATGAACTGTCTTATACCAAGACCCATGTTCAGTACTTGCCTGACTTAATGGTTTCTTGTACAAGACTTATCGCAGTCCTCAAAACATCCCTGTCCGTCTCAAAATGTAATCTTTCCACAGCGTCTTCACAGGAATACCACTCCGCCTGGAACTGATCCTCTCCCCCATTCCCATGCGACCCGTCTTCTGTTTTTGACACAACAGCAATGAACCACCATATAATCTTCGCTCCTTTCTCGCCTCCTAATTGGCGCACAGTCACCATGAACGGCTCCGTACTCTCTTCAATCATTCTAACTCGATCACCGGCTCCCGGGTCGTCTTTGCTGTCCGTAGCGCGAGTTGCCATCGTCACGGGGAGCAGTTTGCATGTATATCCCGTCTCTTCCGTGACTTCGCGCAGGGCGGCTGCAGCCCGGGACTCGCCCACGTTGCGACGGCCCTTGGGGAGTATGTATTGGTCGCGGAGAAGGTACTTTAAGATACAGACCTCGAGGTTCGATGCTGGTGCTCGAGGGAGGGAAAACAGTATCGCACCGCATGACTCGACGAATTGTGAGGACGTGAGCTGCTGGTTTGGGAATGGTGACTGTGCCATTGTGAATACTGATCACTTAGCTGGAGATCGAAAGTGCTCTTGACGATATGGTAACGTCTATATTTGTTGGTCTTGATATCAAACACGTCTGGTCTATAGCTGAAAGATACGGGAGCCTACAACAGTCAATCTGAACAAGATATAATTGGACATGTCGCGTGGACACGTGACTCGTCTTACTGTTGAAGAACAACGCTACTGGACCTCATCATCTATTGTAATTGCATTGGCCTCAAACATCCATTTGATGCATATATCTTCGATCCTCTTGATGACGAAACCGCACGATGTTATCTTTGATATTGGAAGCCACTAAAGATGGGTGCCGCGGCCGGTCTCGTATTTACACACTAACTCTCCGGCCGGTCGAGCATCAATGGGGTTTCCCCTGTCCCTAAATGGACCCGCGAGGGGAAACGTCATAGACTAGACGCGAACGCCGAAGTTCTAGTTGCATCCAAACGTGCCAATGACGATTACAAAGCGCTTTAACGACCTCGGGAACTGCATGAAAATGATGAAAATGGCCGGTTGAGGTCCACAGCACTCACAGCTGCCCAACATCTTTTAAACACGAGAACATGTTCGCCGCTACGTCACATAAAGCCCTTCGAACTGCCACTTCAAGGCTCTCCCAAACCACCGCCCATCTCAACAGTCCGACAATCTCAGTGACAAGATCAAGAGGATATCAATTCAGAATGGCTCACAAAGGCACCACGCACACTCTCAACACCGGAGCAAAGATTCCCGCCCTTGGTTTCGGTACCTGGCAGGTCAGTCTCAATTCCATTCCCCGCCATGGCCATCCTTATCCATTGACACCTTCTCCAGGACAAAGATGCTCAGCATGAGGCCGTATCAATTGCCCTCAAGGCAGGCTACCGCCACATCGACACCGCCCGCATCTACGGCACAGAGCCGGCCGTAGGCAAGGCGATCAAGGACTCCGGCATCCCACGTGATCAGATCTTCATCACCACCAAGCTGTGGAACAACTCCCACCACCCCGATGACGTCGAGAAGGCCCTCGACGCCTCGCTGAAAGATCTCGGCACCGACTATGTTGACTTGTACCTCATGCACTGGCCATCGCCTTTCGCCCGTGGCGACGACATGTTCCCCAAGGACGCGAACGACAATGTCAAGCCCGGCGACACAGACTACGTCAGCACCTACAAAGCCATGGAGAAAGCCCTGAAGTCCGGCAAGACGAAGGCGATCGGAATCTCCAACTTCAGTCGCGCAGAGCTTGAGCGCCTACTAAAGGAGACGGATGTAGTCCCCGCAGCTCACCAGCTCGAGCTGCATCCCTGGCTCCAGCAAAACGAGTTCACGCAGTTCCACAAGGAGAAGGGCATCCACGTCACCCAGTACTCTCCCTTTGGCAACCAGAACGAAATTTACGACTCCGGGAAGGGCATTGGCAAGCTCATGGACGACCCTGTTCTCGTCGAGATTGGCAAGAAGCACGGTAAGACGGGCGCGCAGGTCGCGCTCGCGTGGGGCATCGCAAAGGGACATTCCGTGCTCCCCAAGTCGAAGACTGAGTCGAGGATTAAGGCGAACTTGGAGGGCGATTTCGAATTGTCCGAAGAGGAGGTCAAGAAGATCGAGAGCATCGACAAGAAATTGCGCTTCAATGATCCAAGTGCAAGGTTCTCTTGGGACTTCTACACCGACTTGGACGGCAAGAGGAAATAAGTATGACTGCGTCGACCAAGACTAAACGTGCACACAAATATAAAGAATATGTAGAAGCAATACAATATTTCCATCATTATCTCAGCCTGTTTGTTCGCGTTCCTGACTATTTACAGCTCTGTTTTGGCTACTTATTCTAGAGTATATTGTAGCCAGTTGACAGTAGAATGAGCCCATGAATCAGCCATTCTAGAATATATTGTGACCCAATGAACCGTCTAATAGCCTTATAAACATACTCGTAGACATACAGTTGTGGGCATAAAATTCCTATCAGGGTGCCAGCCAATCCAACGTGCATGTCCGGACTTCGCTGCCACCATTGATTTTGGAATTGCCGAACTTTATAGTCGTTGCCTTTTTCTTGCCCAACCCGTTAATTTCGATATCTTAATCCATATCGCACCTCGTCCACCTCCCCAGCATTTTAATTTATTAACAGTTCTCCAATCAAGCAAAAAACAAGCCTGATGACCATTTCATCCAATCACCCCACTTTCCTCCCATGTCTTTACCCTATATGGCTGGTTGCCTGAAAATAAAACAGGAGAATACGAGCTTACTTCGACTACATCCCCTCCAAACTCCCCCCAAGCACTTCTACCCAGGCAACAACCTCCATCCAATCCCCCCAAGTTTCAGAACACTAACCTACCCACGAGCACATACATACCACCTCACATCCCACGAACCCACTACACGGGGTGTTACATGTCACATAAGGACTCCATCCAGCATTGAACTGCACTGCAGCTGCAGCTGTGCCTCTTCGTCCCTCTCTACGCACGTATCATACCGTAAGGCACAGTTTCTCGCTTGGACGTAAGCGCCCCGAAGAGCCTCGCCGCATGGTTCGGTCCGTATTTATATCTTTGCGCTTCGCCTCGCCTCGTCACGACTTGTTTTTTTTTTTCGCCAGGCTCTTACATCACTTCATCTGTGTGCCAGTCTGAGTATCAATTGGACGCGTTGCATTGTGAAAGAATAAATTACTGTCCTTTCTCTTGTCGATATCATTACGACTGATAGGAATCGAATTCGCTTGCGCCTGGAATCCTGACGACACTGCGTCCCTTGAGCCAATCTGTGAAAGGAAGAAGAAAAAGAAGGCAATTGGATTTTGTGTTTGTCCTGATCCGGTGGATTGAAAACGGCTGAGCATTCGAGGAGCGAGCGCGTGCAAAGCGAAAGAGAAAGAGCCATTCAACCTTTCATTGTTTTTTGAAAGAGCAAGGAAAGAGATCAGAGAGTAGAACGGCCTGACAAACTCAATTCGACATCTTCCGACCCACCATCTACTCGGAGTGAAAACGCAACACGCACACATACACATACTCCAACAATTTTATCACAACATGCCACTCCCCCACCGCCATATCCTCCCCCGCGCCGACCCCGACTCCCCCTTCCAAACAAAGCCCCTCCACAAAGAGCAATACCTCTGGGCCATCCCCATCGCGCTCGTCGGCGCGCTCGTCCTTGGCCTGCTCGTCGCCTTCGCGATCCCTTCCTCCCGGGTGAGGCTCCTCGGCTGGGGCAGGCGGAAGTGCTGTTGTTTCAGCAGCGAGGCGCGGAATCCGTATGTCAAGAGGGGGAAGAGGGAGGCGCAGATTGAGAGGGTGAGGAGGGCGGAGGAGGGTGGGAATGCGGTGGAGTTGCCGCCGCTTGAGGGGGAGGGGTGGAGGAAGTGGGTTGGCGGTGGCGGGAAGGATAAGAAGGGAAAGGGGAAGGAGAAGGTGGTTGTGGGGGTTGAGGAGGGAGCGAGGTGATGGGAGATTGAGTGATGGGTTCAGAGGTTGAGGATGGAATATGTGGAGGAGACATTGTGATGTAGGATCTCGGTTGATATATAGATACCCTCTGGATATGGAAACGTACCTTTTCTCGCGAATACGCATGCTTCTATCCTTGCAAAGACTCGTGTAGACAAATCTGAACTCTTGATATGATCGTCCACGTCAGTGCTCGATCTTGAGGAACGAGATCTGTGGCATAAGTGTGTTGAGCTTCTGAGATTGCAACTATCTTGTCATCCAAGGTGACGAAGAAGAATCACGATCAATCGACTTGGGGCGAGTCCAGCGATGTACCATTCATGTCCACCACTCCATCATGTTACAAGCATAAAAACGTGACATTCATCGACATAGCAAGTCCAATTGAATTGACGACTGTAAGAAATGCTTCTGGTCATTCTTCTCAAACTCATTTTACATACACTCCGTCTATTTCTATATACCGTCAAAGTTATTCGCATGATGGTCGTAATTTACGCAGTCTCCAAGGCCAACTTCATCACCGCATCGCTTAGATGGTTTCATCAGATCACCTCAAACGGAGGTATGATAGTATCAAGAATTAGAACGCAATCGTCATATCAAAAACCCCGTTCGCTGTTCTTTGTTTTCTAATATATATTATCGATTGACATCGCAAAGCCAGCAGTCAAGCAAAGCATAGCTGAGCGCATGGGTACATGGATGTCAGTTGGTGGCACCAACGGGCAGATGCGATGCGATGCGCCTACGCTCGTCTGTCTCCCGCCCTGCGCCTCTCATGGATCTTGATCTTGATCTGATCGATCTTGACGTATGTGCCTTATATATGTAGATATACTCGGCTTGGGCCTCCCTTCCTCCCGGCCGTTCTCTGGGCCCGGGACACGTACCCGGCTTGACGTCTTGACTGCCGAACGATGTCGGCTGGGCAGTGGGCACACGACGTCGGGGGCTCGTCTGGTGGGAAATTGCGATGTGCAAAAATCAATTCATACACAATACTGTGACCAATACTCCGTTCTGTGGTATACATATTGGCGAACGATTTAACCTCATCTTAGCCAACATGATCGGTTGGTCGGTAGGTCAGTCTTGGGGAGAAGACATCCGTTCTTCTTGGAACTAGACTGGCGATCTTGGTATGTGTGGTGAGTTCTAGGCCAGCCCCGGACATTTGTTTGTTTTTCCTCTTCAGTTACCCAGGTAATTACCCACGATGGGATAGCTACCAGTGTTGTGAACTCGTGATGCGACCCAGAGTATATTGATCGTACCTTGCATCGGAGACATCAGGCACATACAGATACAGTGCATGCGATCGATGCAAGGCGTGTAAAGTGTTTTGCAGGGTATCTCCGTCCGTTACCAGAGCAGCCGGTAGCAACAGAGAAACAATTACAATAGTTGGTTAGTTAGTATACAATAGAAGAGCATCGGTGTCCCCTTGGTCAGAGCTGTAGCTTAAAAAGTGGAAATGAGATGTTGGCTTAGGGGGCGCCGTTTGGCGTCTCTGATTGGCCTGCTAATCAAAGCTTTCTGAGATGCGAAATTTCACGACAGACTTGCGTGCCGGACTTCGTTCAGAGTGTCGGACAAGGTGGGGAAGAACAGTTCACCAAAATTGACAACGATGATGTGATGGTGAGTTTGTTTGCTTTGGTGATGTGGCCGTCTGTGGATGTGCTGAGATTGAGCAATTGGAGTAGACGGGGCTGTGAGGGCGACAGCGCATTCGTCGCCACCAAAAACAAACACCGCATACGCTGTGCAAGCTGTGTACCAGTGCAGCGAGGATGCAGCTTCGTGATGGCCCCAGACCAATTGAGCATCGAATTTCGCTTGCTGTTTGGTCTGGTCTTGTGCCCATCGCTTTAATTTAAGCCACTCCTTTGCCAAACCTCACTTCGTGCGCGCCCCGTCTCGTGTTTGGCCAACACCGTGTGTGCATCGTTTTTAGTAGACGCCGACTGCCCTGCCATGCCCTGCCCAGGCAAAGCTCCCCAGCCCCAGTCAGATCCAGCTCCAGCTCCAAAACCTTCAGTAGTGACACGGCGACGGGGAACCTGTTGTTTCAAATAACACCCCAGATCCTGCGCTTCCTCACCCCTTCCATCTCCCATCTCCCGCCATCACCGCCGTCTCTCACACGTTCACTCTATCTTGCTCCACACTTTCGACTTCGACCGCATCTCCACACTCGCTCATCCCAATTCCCCAACCCGATAACAACCACATCTCTGGTGACGCGCAATTTCCCAGACCGTACTCTGGACTCTTGAGGTAGCGATGCATCTCAAGAGCCTCACCGTGGGCATCGCCCTCACTGGAGGTGCTGTCGCGCAGCTCTCCTTCCCTACCGACCCGTACGTCTCCAGATCTCACCTCTTCCCAACATCGCGTCGCAACCAACATGCTCCCTCTGCCGAATCGCATACACAGTGACATTCGCATCGCGATACTAACATGTAAACAGCGTCGGCGTGTCTGTCTTCTCCGTACTCCGCACCGCTATCCCACCAGAAGTCCAGGTCTCCGCCTTCCAGAATCCCTCTTCTTTCGGCGCTGAAGTCGCATCTTCCATCTCTGCCGGAAACCCTCCTGCCTGGTACACTGGCCTTCCCGCAGACGTAAAGTCTGCCCTCCCGTCTCTGTATCCCGCCGCCGCCGTTACCACCCCATCTGCCACCCCAACTTCCGCCGCCAGCTCGAGCCAGGCCTCCAGCGCAAGCAGCGAGAGCGAGAGCGCGTCCAGCAGCGCCGCGACGACCAGCTCGCCCAGCTCTTCCAGCGCAGCCTCCGCTGCCCCATCCAGCTCCTCTACGGGTGGTGCTGCTGCTCCCACTGCCGTTGTCGGCGCAGGCCTTGCCGGTTTGATGGGTGTCGTCGGTCTGCTCGCTCTGTAAAGGGCCTGTTTCGATCAATCGAAGGGATATGAAGGTCGCCCTGGTACTAGGCGACCTGACATGCGAAAGTTGCAATCTCTCGACGGGATGGAAGGGCTGCAGTAGGCAAATACTCAGGACGTGAATCGGTCGGCGGCCGAGGAGCGTTTGGGAGATACAACAAAAATTCAAAATATCGGCGGCTGGCGCAGTCAATTGCGAATGACGCTCGTTCCAATTTTCCTTCTTTGTTTGAGTTCGCAGTCCTCTTTTTTTTGTTTGTAACGATGAGATGTTGCCTTCTTCCTCTTGCGGGAACGGAGTATACGCCTACCCTTTTTCTTTTTGGGGAACCTTTTCCCCCTTTCTATGATACCTCGCGGTTTGGAGACGTCCCCCATTTTCTTTCCTTGTGTTTTGAGTTGGCCTTAAGTAATGTTTGAATGATTCGGAGAATTGCTCTCGGGCGGAGGCAATGGGTGGATGGGTGATTGGAAGGAGACGAGCTGGGGAGATGGAAGTAGGACTTTAAAAGAACAATTAGTAGTTTAACCCCCTTTGTGAAAAGATGTAATCTGTAATGTCAATGGCTTGCGCCAGCCCCATCACCTCGGACGTTCTTTAGTGCGTCAAAGTGCCTTCTCGCCATGAGTGGAGTACGCGGTGTATCTGAGCCCTTTGTCGTCAGTGAGATCATAGTCATTACTTGTACACAGTGCCCGTCCATTCTAATGAGGATACGTCTGTATCTGAAAGAAAGATTGATGTAAGTTGCGTCAGAGTGTTCTGTCGTGCCCTTTAACATAAAGTACCCATTTGGGACGCGTGGACGTCCCCACAAGTCATCAGCTCCGAATGCTCGACGCCACAGCCGCTTTGAACTTGAAAGATCTTCAGGTGGAGATGAACACGGACATGAATGTGATTGGAGTGTTGGATTGGAGGTGGATGGAGGTGAGTGTATGAATGTCTGTTGTTAAAGGTGATGTGGAAGTCTTCACGTGCCATGTGGCGTATGTTGTTGAACGGTGTTGGCAAGTGCTACATAGTACACAGCAAGGAAGGAACCATCACCACAAGGTGGGCATCAGAGAATGGGAATATCAATTCAATGTATTATTAGAAGGCTATGGTCATAACTTGAAACTTGAACATAAGGGTATCCTGTTTGCAGATAATTCATACTCGTCTGTGATGATACTCTTCTTCAACCGAAGAGAAGTGGAGGACTATGATTTCGCCGGCCTTACGCTCTGAGGGTTGTGGAAGATATCCTTAGGATCGACAGCCGCCTTGATCTTCTGCAGTCTGGGCAGATTGCCTCTCCAGTAGGCCTCTGCACCTTTGTCTCCCAACGCCGGGTCGACGTAGCCAGCATAGGCACCCAGGTCATGTCCAGGAAGAGCGTCCGTGATCACTTTGTTGAAACCGGTCAAGAAGTTGCGAATCTTACTGTTAACTTTGCCGACTAGATTCACGGCATACGCTTGGTGATAGAACAAGGCATCGCGATGACCATAGGCCGTTGCGTCTGGCGCAACATCGTTGATGGCACCACCTTCCAAGTCCCAAATGACGAACCAGAGGGGTGTACCCTTGTCTGTCTTTTCAATGTAACTGAAGAGTTTGTCTACATCGGCGTCGGGAATCAGGTCGTCTTTGGTGTAGGCGACGGATTTGGCGTAGAAATTGCTCTGAATACCACCACCGATCTCGAGTGCGAGATCCTCTGCCCAGTGGCCGACAACACCTAGCCAGTCCTTCAGCACAATGACAGACTCGTCTTTGTGGGGGAGCCTGCTGGATATGTTTAAGCTGTCGAATTCCTGTTGTGATCCAAAGTATGTTCCAGTGATTATGGCACCCAACTCAGTGACAATGAATTGACTGGCGAACTTTCGAGACAGATCGGGGTCCGAGATGAGAGCCTGCCATTTCTTGAACGCATCCGCCTTTGCTTGGGCATTTCCGACTTGGAGACCGTACGAGTAGAGGACGGACTCGCCTGGTTCGGCCTGGGTGCGAACCTTGAATTCGGTAATGATTCCGAAACTTGCGCCAGCACCTTTGAGAGCCCAAAACACGTCCGAATTCTCTTTCTCCGAAGCCTTCACGATTGATGAATTCGCAAGGACAACCTGAACTTCCTGGACATGGTCGAGGGCAGATCCCCACATACGGCTTGATGGACCAAGACCGCCGATGGTAGCATGTCCGCCGATGCCAACCTGCGGACACGTTCCGTGTGCCATTGCTCGCTTTCCATTATCGTGAAGTCGTTTAGTTACGTCACCGAGAAGTGATCCTGCGCCGATCGTAGCTTGCCAGGTATTCTTGTCGATGGAGAATTGTTGGAAGTTCTTGAGGTCGACGACAATGACTCCGCTCTCGCCACCGATACCTGTCAATCTTGATTAGTATATGCGAAAGTTGGCGTGTTAGTTTAGATGTATCAAGCTCACCATAATTTGCATACGAGTGACCGCCGCCGCGTGGTTGGACTTTGAAGTCGTTATCTGCAGCGCATTTCACGATTGCGGCGACATGCTCTGCGGATTTTGGATAGGTGACCGCCGCAGGTTCTACCGAAATATCCAGGTTGTATGGCTTTACATGGGCGAGCTGGAACAAAGGTGTTTGCTTGTCAGCCAGAAGTGCCTTATCTCCTCCGACTGCATCCACCAGACACTTCCCAATAGCGGTGCTCCCGGAATTGCCCATCTCTTCGAAATTGGTCCAACGAAAGTGGACGAGTGCGGGTCAGGTAGAGAGAACAAGCGACAGATGAGCAGACAAGAAATCAGTCCGAGGGTGGAAATAGGGACATGATGGATATAAAGTGTGGCACTGGTTGCCCAGACCTCCAAACAAGAAAGTACGTAGGTACATGTCATGCAGTTGCAATTCCCTTACGAGGTACCAAGGGGCAGGAAGCAAACGACCTTCCAATGAGGAAGGCAGATGAGCATTCTGGGCAGTGAAAGGAAGGACAAGCGCTGCACAAGGCGAGGGGAATGCTGGGGTATGATGCGCATTCCCCAGGGCAATTAGACAACCGTTGTCAACGTTGCAATGCGACTGGCCCACGAGGGGGAGCCATGGGCTTGGGTTTGGCAGGCTTTAGAACCAACGGCTGCGTTCTCCTTGAGGCTAGAATCCACGTCGATCGCTGGACCCTGGCATTAACCTGGCAGCTGTGGCGCAACAAAGTTGGTGGAAGACCTGCTTTCTTTCAAGTTCTTGTCTGAAAGGTTGGTGATGATTTGATGAATGTATGATTGCATGATTGCGGTCGCGGTTGTGGCGATCGTACTGGACCAATCAATGAGTTGGCATCCTTCATCCTACCAGCATGCAATCGCCTTGCTCGTGTTTCGAAACGAGCACCACATGATGGTCAATCAGGAGAAGCATCACTGAGCATATTGTAACAATGTTGTACAGAATAGTTGGTATTCCAATCACATGATGAAGTATCCGACGGGCACGCAGATACTCAGAGCAGCACATCATCTGACTTGCGCTCCGTTCAAATGGTCATCGAGCTGGATGATCGAATGGGAGTAGCACACAAATCTTATACATCATGTCATGCCTCTTCTTACAGTCCATTTCGTCGTCAAGACTCTGACCACGGAAGGTCATTTCCTGTTCATTGTACTTTAGGGAGATTGGTCCCTACCCAGGTAGGTAGGTACCTTTAAACGAAGTGTGTACAAGTAGACCTGGAAGCGAAAGTGACGACGGGTTGCATACTTCAACCACCACCTACGCATGCCACACAGACATTTACATGGACTACTACAAGACCATACCATGAACACACAGATAATTTGACGCAACTACCGACGAACAGCAATTCCTGTTCATTGAGTCAGTTTCCCCGTCCGCCGAAGGACTGCCGATGACCCTGTGGCTGAGTTGTGCCGATCCGTTCTCTCCCGCAAAACTGCCACTTAAGGAAACACCCACACAAGCCATCCACGCAATAGCAACAAAAGAAAGCTCAACAATGGTCTGCGCATTATTTATAAATACATACCCTCAAACAAGTCCGTCCGAGACGATCCAGACCTCGTAATTATCTGTTATTCAGCACCGAGAATTCGACGAACAATTCACGGACGCATGCCAAAAAGCACCCTCAGCCTCAATTCTGTGTGGGGCATCGTATGCCGTCTGCCCGTAACAACGCGCGTACCATTTCTTGGGTTGGACGTTTGTTCCGGCAAACGAAGGGGGACGATGCCCATATGTATATGCGACTTCGTCTCCACCGCTGGGTTGTATCGTGAAGTTCTTTGACTTGGAGATAGGAATTTGCAAATTATAGTTCAGCCATTCAACAACACAGTTGACGCTAATCTTGTTACTTTCTCAAAAAGGATTTGAAGGAAGAAGATAAAACATGGGTAGTTGTTTCTCGCGATCATCAGAGAAGCCTCCCACGCCAGTCGGTCCGCAATACTACGACGCGGGCCGCCTATACTACTACCCAGTGCCTGACAAGCGGACGGCAAAGGAGCTCGAGAAAGCGAGGAAGAAGGCAGAGAAGCAGATGAAGAAACAGCAGCGGCAGAGCGAGCAAGGAGCGCTGGGCATGACGCTGTTGGTGGGAGAAGGAGAGGAAGGGTTGGCAAGGAAGTTGGGCGAGAGATGAGTGTGCTCGTTGGACCGTCAGTCAAAGACAGTGATGCGATGCCTTCACACGACATCACACGTCTTCTTCCATGCCTTCGTTCGATTCCGACATCCAGAGACGATGTATGAACGCATATCGCGGGTAGGGAAGCCAACACTCTCCCCAAGGCGACATGCACCGTTGTCGACAGTCCGTGTCGCCAATCGGCAACGCAACGACGACCATTCATTCACCCCTCCAACGACGATCCGAAAAGGATAAATCCCCTCTTAAGTACCATGTCGCGAGGTCAAATTAATTTCCAGGATCCCGTCGTGATACATGATGTCACCTTCGAATCCTACGAGATCCCGCTCACTCACCGATTGTCGCTTTGACCGCGGGGTCTTTTCATCGTCGGGAAATTTCCCCAAGTCCAAACAATGGGGTAATACCTTACCTAAATCTAACTTTCCGATGCACGACGCAAGGCCACTGCACTGCTACTAGTTACCACTCGTCTCAATATTCTGCGAATCCCTCGTGGCGAAATACTGCGAGGCTGCGCGTGGTAATCGTCGTTGTAGCGTGGCAGGCGAGGTGGCACAGCTTTCAACTCCGCCTCTGACGAGTGTCCCCTAAGGCGCCCCGCTGCACATCGACCCAAACGGGGAATGCATTCTGAATATCAGAACAAACCACACCCCGATTCAGTCCATGAGCGACAAAGCAACCACTTCGACAATCGAGACCTCTGTTAGAATTCGGAGCCTTTATGTGAGATCAACGACGGGGTACCTGCCTTCCGGTGAGGCTTGGTATTACATTACTCACTACACTACGTGTATCTACTGCACGCCGAATGAGATAGGCTGCTGCCTTTTTCTCCAGCAGCAAGGCTTGGGTCTCGGGGTGGGCCGAAACCGAACCCTGTTTTTTTTGGGATTGCGTGTTTGTATGGTCGATCGCAGGTCGTGGCTAAAATGGTTGTGTGATAGATATATCCTGGGTAGACCGCAGGTTTAGTAGTATTCTGCAATTGACTACCTGTATAATCAACTTCATACTATTCCATATCGAAACTTCAAACATACCATCTCAACTTCATACACGCATACATCAAGTTCACACAGAGAGTTCTGTACATAAGAGACCACTGCGACCTTCTTCCTTCCTCGTCTCTTCTACAACTCCCACCAAGGAAAGGAAAAGGAACACCTACAGCACACTACACTCCACATCCACCAGAAGCAAGGAGAAGGCCTATACCACACCACCCAACCTCCCACCCTCTCCCTCAACAACAACAACAACTCAACCTAAATCACCTTAAACCCACTAAGATGCCATTCTCACACTCCCACTCCCCACCATCCCCAACCTCCTCCTCCTTCGCCTCCACCTCCCCATCATCGCCAGGAGAGTCAGGAGCAGCAACAGTATCGAGGACGGCAACAGGCCTCCTCCAACCCGCGTACTTCAACGGCGGGAACCCATCCTTCGAGTACCGCGCCGGGGAAGACGCAAAGGCGTTCGAGAGGCGGAGTCGCAAGGGGAAGAAGCGGGAGGCGTGTTTGCGGTGGATTGATCGGTGCGTGCCGGGGAGGAAGTGAGACGTTTTTACGGGGGAGAAAGAAAGAAAACATGGAGTTGTATAGGAGGTTGCGTACAGACTGAGGGGTGCTGGGTACGATCGGGTCGGGGGGAAGTAAGTTGGTTCATGAATGAGTCAGATGGGGAAGGGAAGGTGGAGTAGTGTTCTCTCGTTTTTTCTTCTTTGGGGGTGTTTGAGTCATACGAGGGTGGGTTATCTCTTTTGGCCTTTTTTGGTTTCTTTTGTACATAAAGGTTGTGATATCCCCCGATGCTGCAGGCGGTGTTGCTTTCGCTTTTCGATATTGTTCTTTTTGCCGCATTGCACCATTCAAAGTTACACTCAACATCACGAGGCGTTGTCATTTGTCAAGATACGTAATCCAACGATTCGAATGATTGTATTTATATCTTTCGCTTGGTATAATATTTAATAATGGAAAAAAACTTCAACTGAGGTATCATATCTTCTCTCTCTATGTTCTATGCTGGGCTCTACTCGCTTTCGCTTAAACAACGTCCTGAGAGAAGGAAGTGCTGGTCTGCTCGAGCGCTTTGCGGAGGGGTATCTCGGATAAGGGAACGATGCTGGTCTTCTTGTAGAACTTCCAGATGAGGTATGCGCCAATGACCAATGGGATGTCCCTGATATAGCGAGTTAGGATCGACGAAAGAAAGTAGATTTGGTAAGTGCAAGTGGGTGATAGACTTACAAGTATGCAGAAACGAAACCGACGGCGCTCCAGTTGCCTTTGGTGAAGACGGTCCATCCGCCGGTCAGGAGGATCAGGAGGGTCATGCAGAGTGCGGCACGAGAGGTGTATGCTGTTCAAATTGGTCAGAAATCTGAGCTTATGCGATTAAAGAATGGGCAAACCTACGAGTGATGCGGTTACTCCAGGGCAAGCTCGATGCCGGAATGCCTTGCTTGTCCAGAGCAGCGCGTAGTCGAATGTGGTTAAGTAGGACCGACGACCACGAGACGAGGACGGCGGCAGCAGTCAAGTCGACCAACCACCAGAAGACAGTCATTGCGCTGTTCGACAGGCTCATGAAGCTGAGGAACATGAAGGCGGTGAACAGGAGAACGCACATGTACGGTGTTCCCCAGGGGGTTGTTCGCAGGAAGATCTTGGGTGCCTGTCCCTTGAGCGCCAGGCCGTACAACACACGGGTACCTGAGAGCAAGGCTTGGTTAGAAGACGACCATGCCGAGGTGATTACGATGGCGTTGACAACCGAAGGAATGGCCTTGATGCCGGCAGCGGAGGCGGCGATGACGAAGGGACTCTGAGCTGCAGTTCCTGACTGGTCATTGAGGCGCTCGTCGTCGCTCGAAACGAGCATACCGACGACGAGGATGGCAAGGCCGTAGAACAGAATGATTCGGTAGAAAACATTCTTGCAAGCTCTGGGGATGGCCTTGGCCGGATTCTGTGTCTCAGCCGCTGCCATGGCGATGGATTCGACACCGGCGAAGGAGAAAACGGCGGCAGTCATGACGCTCCAGTATCCGAGGAATTGACCCCAGCTTCCCGTGCCAATGTACTCGACGAAAGGTCCAGGGTTCTTCCAGTATCGGAACCCAATGCGAGGAGTTCCAGGGACACCACCGAGGTCGATGACGAGCCCCAGGATGATGAGGAAGATGACGAGCAGGATCTTGAGGATGGCGAAGGCATATTCGACCTCACCGAAGATGCGCACGAAGGAGAATCCCACGGCCACGGTCAAGACGATAAAGACGATGATGAAGACCGAAGGGTTGAGGTCCGTCCAGTATTCAAACAAAACACAGATGGCCGTAAGCTCGGATGGGATCGATAACAAATTTCCATAGACCAGATTCCAACCGATTGCGAAACCCCAGGCCGGATCCACCAGAAATTCGGCATGGCGGACGAAAGAACCTGTGACGGGAAGAAGTGCTGCGACCTCACCGAGAGCGAACTGCACGGCGCAAACCACCAAGCCTACCGTTCCGTAACCAAGCAATGCGCCAAGGGGGCCACCCGTCTGGATAGAGCCTCCCAGACTTAAAAATAATCCCGTTCCAATTGCTCCTGCGATACCCAACATTGAAAGATGGCGTTCGGCCAAACCGCGTCGCAAATCTCTCTGCTCTATCGCCGTCACGAGGTCCGTCTGGAAGTCCTGCTGCAATTCGCCATCGTTGGAGGGGTGCGGGCTGAATGCGCGAGGCGCTGTTCCTTGCTCTTGGACGCCTCCGTAGATGGTCGATTTATCCTCTGGATGTGCGTTGGCCATGCTGCCGATAGGTTCTGTGGAAATATCCTCGTCAACTCGAAAAAGAAAAAACGAGAGAATTATTCAATTATTTAAATCGTATTAGTCGAGATGGTAGTCGTAGACTCGGAGTGTTGGTAAGTGGTAGTGGTGGCGGCGGCTAAGGCTGGACAAGGAACTAATACTGGTAAGAAGCTTTGCTTCTTCCTTAATCAAGCTCTCTCCCTCGTGGATGGAACAAACGCCGAGAAGCTTCAAATGAGAGACGAAAGCATCTCTTGAGACTTTGAATGACCTTCTGGAAGGACAGGGCATGGCATGGCTTGGTGCAAGTACTTATTCCAAACCGTCTGAACGAGTTGTTCCCGGTGCAACATCCTAATGAAGTTAATCCGCTCAATGTCGCCATTCGAACTAAAAAAACCGACCAAAGACTTTTTTCAACAGAAAATTACGAGGTTGCGCCCCCTTTTGGCGAATCGAATGCTTCCATGGGAAATGTTCCGACATGCAACACAACGCTGCGATGCATTGCCTTGTCGCGACTCTAATCGGGCAGAAAAATCATCGCGACTTGGCAATCATCTTGAATATGGGCACTCCATAATCACTATTTTGCGGTTTACTGGCATTTGTCGACCGTAATCAGTACCTGGGGCAAAAAGCTGGAGCCAGTCGTATTCAGAGTCTCTTAGACAGGTACTAATGAGAGACGGTCTGCTCCAGATTGGTACCGAAATAGGCCCTCCCGTATTGATGAGGGCGAACGATTGATACATTACTCGTACACTTGAGGGCAGAGTGCGCGGCCAGTGGGCTGGAGTGGAGTGTCAGTAGCGGAATGGACCTGATCTCGGTCGTCTCAAGTCTGAAGTGCCCACGCGACGCCGATAAGAAGTTGCTTGAACGTGCTACGGCTGGACTTGCTGCATTCGGATTTCCATCAGATAACAACTACCAACCCCACAGTATGGGCAAGCAAAGTAGACATATCATTGTCTTTGATTAAACCAAAGAACACAATGGATGGCATTGCATGATTCTTAACAATGTACACCATTTCCTCTAGCCTGTAGCTATGTCATACACATTGCATTGTCGCAATACTCCGACCTGTGCTTTGACTTTTTTCCAGCGAGGTCTTCCTTCCCTACCTAACCTAGGTACCTATGCCTTGGCCTCTGGCCGGAACCATCTCCAGGATACGAATGACGAGCTTTTTTTCACTTTTATTTGAAGAGAATTGGCATTTGTATCGATGAAAACAAATCCGAAGAACACAGCTGATAAAATACATGAGGTTCGATTAATGTTCTCTAAGGCGTTCCACTAGTTGTCAATTGATTCCATGACAGAATTGCTTGTATCTCTAGGCTAACGGTCTGGGAAGAACATCACCGACTGCACAGGTCCGAATCATTGCTTCGGAGAACCACATACTGTGTAGGGCTCTCGCATGCAGGGTTGGCTGTTGGGGTTCGCTGACTGCATGAGAGCAAGCAATGCCCGATACCCGAAAGATGCTGGGTGCAAGCGGTAAAGACTTGAGCTGAATGGACCATGGGAGTGCATACCCATTTGATACAAGTAGGTCGACGTGCATGCCCGAGCGATGATCGCTGTAAGATTGAACAATTAACTGCAGCAAGTCTACTGTTGTAAAGATCAAGCTGGGCTTAGGCGTCCTACTCTTATGCTGTCACGGTGCATTTAGTATAGTAAAACGCGATGCCCTAGTACTAATCTGACGATTATCCCAAGCCGCTTGTGATGATGTTGCGAAGCTGCTTCTGCCTGCAAATCCCAAAAAGATAAAATCAGTCGTTCAACTGTAAGCAATTGATATTTCAGCTCAATCAACACCTCTGCTTGTGTCTTTGCTTGATACGATCCGAAAATCAACCCGTAGTCAATTCATTACACAAAGTATTCGATTTCCATAATCTGCAATTGTCAACAACATCATGGCCATCACCGAAATAGCGCTCCTCCACCTCCTCCCAAATGCCTCCCTCGAAGATCCAGCCCTGCGATCAAAGCTCGCAAACGCAAAGGCCGTCATGGAGAAATTTACTGGCCGGGAATTCCACTTCCTCCGACAAACCGAGGACCCCACCTTCTTGTACATAATCGGCGAGTGGGATTCGCTCGACCAGCACATGAATCAATTCATACCCTCAGCAGAGAACCAGGCTCTTTTGGAAGATATTACGCCGCATTTTACCGTTGACTGGCTCGTTCACATCGATGCCCCTCATGCCGAGCTACCTATTCCAAAGGCGACAAACGACCATCCTAATGGATCGCATATTGTCAGCATCAGCCGGCTCTTCATCCAAGACGGACAAGCAGATAATTTCAGAGCCGCTTGGGCAGAGGGAAAGCATGTCCTAGAGGACTTTGTCACAGAAGGGAAAGTCGGATTTGGTTTCAGAATTGATGTCAAGGAAGGAGAAAGACAAGAATTTTTCCTCTGGTCGCCCTGGAAGGATGAGGCGCAGCATCATGCTTTTGTGAAGGTGGATGGGTTCGAGGAGTTCGTTAAAGCTACACAATATGTGACTGATCCTATCTTCAAACACGCGACGGTATTTACAGTTTGATAGATTCATAGATGCAGACCTTGAAATAGTCATTCGAAGGAGTATCAATTATTATTGAATAGGGCCTTATGATCATTCAGATACTCGTCTTCCCATTGACGTCATTCCGCTATGAGAGTAGCTTACCCAAAGAGGCAGCTCCACAACCGATAGAAGTCTCTAACTATGTGCCCGGTTGAGCTCTGACTCATACATCGACTGGGTTGAGATAATTGGTATATAACGCCATATCATAGTATCGTTGCTTGTGCGATATCATACCCAGCACTGCCTGTCGTTAAGTTGGATAGATGACTTGAAACAACGTGAACCCATTGATGATCACGAATGAACTTAGACATTTGTTGACCACAAAATCTTCTTAGATCTCGCACGATAGATTTCAATACTTACTTTATCATCAAATTTGCCTTTATTCATCACCTAAGTCCCTCATATTGTCATTTTCCGTCAACATGCCATTGATCGTTGCGCCACTAACGACCTCGGACACAACGTCTTGGACACGAATCCGTACACTAGCCTACGCAGGTCCTACTCACAACATTGTTCACTCTCGACCAGTCTCGGAGGAAACTATCCGCAGAGTATCTCTGGATCGCCAGGCTGAAATCGGGAAACCTAACGCATGGCACTTCAAGGTCGTAGACACAGAGTTGTCACCCGCTGAGGACGATCCACCAGAAAACGGCGGGCAGACAATCGCATTCGCTGTATGGAGCGCCCATAACATCGACTTAACACCAGACGGGTACATTCAAAACAAGACAACTGCCCATTCTACAGAAGAAAGCACAGACGAACCTACTATCAATCCCGCGGAGACAGCAACACTTCCCACTGAAGCCCCCAGCAAAGACGCAGAGCAAAAGCTACCTTACCTTCCGCCAGAGCTACGTCTAGAAGTCCTCTCCGCACTTCTCAACCCGCTCCGAGATGCCTGCACAGAGATCATGGGCTCGAAACCGTACCTCATGCTCAACTCACTCGCCACGCATCCGGAGCACCAACAACGTGGCGCGGGACGCTTGCTGTTGAAGTGGGGGTTGGATGTTGCCGATAGGGCGGGATTGGAGTTGTATCTGGATACTTCCTTGAGGGGGAGGAAATTGTATGAGAAGGAGGGTTTCAGGCTTGTGAAGGGGGTGGAGTTCGATAGGACGCCGTGGGGTGGGGAGGGTGTGGATTGGCACGGATGTATGGTCAGGAGCCCCCGGGGAAAGGTTTCAGAATAGAGTAGTATCATAGGAGTGCTTTCGGTCGGTGTTATTATATTTACGCCCCGTTGAGACTGATTAGGAATGTTGGTTCACCACGATGTCTGGAATTGGTGAGCAATTAGACCTCAATACCTAGGTAATTGCTAGAGTTTAGTATAGAGATAACAACTGAAATTCGCAATGATGACGTCCTATTTCTTTTTCTTTTAATAAATTACCAAATGCAAAATGAGCGTGACGTACGTAGAATACTACGAGTACAACAACCTCCTGTCTTCCAACCTCCCAGTGCACCTGTCCAACACTTCAACCATCTCGAATCACACACGAATCTCATATCTATACTTCAGACACACTCACCGCAGAAGCACCTCCCCCTATCATACCCGTAACTCCACTCATCATTATTGGTAAGCCACCCAGACTGCAAAGCGCCACATGTAGTCGAAATCTGATACCCAGACAGATCTGCGCCACCCTCATTACACTGCACACTGTCCCGGTAATTGAAGTTGCAAAAGAACGCCACAACGTCCCCCGAGATGGCGTAGTAATTGTGTCTCGGCTTCGTGGGCCCGTAGTTGCCGCACTGCCATCGGAGGTTGCCCCACGCGGCGTCGAACCACTCGCGGTTCAGGTTCCTGGCGCCGCCGCAGCTGATGGAGACGTCGCGGGGGAGGATCGAGGCGGGGATGGCGTCGCGCTTCTTGTTGTTGGCGATGTCGTGGGTTGAGTTGGCGAGTTTGACGTGCACGGATTTGCCGTTCTCGAGGTAGGACTCGTAGACGCCATCTTCCTGTCCCTCTGGGATGACGAAGGCGGACGCGGAGAGCGCGCCGACGATGGCGAGGAATACGGTTTTGAGACGCATGGTTTGAGGGAAGAATTGACAGTGGAGGTTCTTTTGACGCTCTAGCTGATATTGTGAAGAATTGTAGAGCCGTGCTTCTCAAAGTCGCTGTCGGCCACTGCCAATTTATATTCACGAATCTGACATCGTGAAATCGATCTGCCGTTCTTTTCATAAATCACACTGCCTCGCTTTCTTTCCAATTCTGGTCGTGACGATTTTCTCATGATGGGTTTTTTCAGCTGTCACCGAGGAGTTCTCATATTGGCCTCGCTTCGTGTTATTATAAGTCTGCTCCAGGTTTCTAGAAATTTGCCGAACGTGTCAGCCCATGGCAGCCTTACTCTTGTTAGCCATGCTGAATGTAAGCGATGCATTTCCCTAGTGCACATCGTGACTCTGCAGGTTGAACATGGATATCGCTATATCTGTTCAGGTCTAGAATTATATTGCTCGTGGTCTGCTATGAGTTAAAGGATCTCAAAACGGCAGCTGGGCAAGACGAAGGATCTTAGATAGTAATTTCCAAAGCGTATTAATCTGCTCGAATATTTTCTTCTTGGGAATCTGCACGGTGGTGGCAATGCATCGGTGCTTGATTTTGCTCTGAAAGCGACACCGCCAAATACTGTGAAGACTGTAAGTATCAACCACAAGTGATGGGCCGTATAGGGCATCCCGTCGTTGACTTGGAGCGGAGATTCCTAATCTCCCCACATTTTATATCAAAACTACAGCATCTTCCGCATAGCCACCCTGCTCCACTTCCCCAGCAACTCATCCTTCCGCTCTTCCTCCAGCCGCTCTCTGACCTCCCTCGCATCCTCCCCATCATACTCTTCACCAACCAAGACCTTGAATCCCAATCGCTCATAGTACTTCTTATTCCACGGCACGTGCTCAAAAGTCGTAAGCTCAAGCGCCTTGAACCCGTTCTCTCCCGCCCACACCGCCACAAACTCAATCAATCTCCCTCCAATCCCCTGTCTCGCATACTCAGGCAGCACTGAGATCTGATGAATGAACGCACTTTTCAGTGCTTCGCAATTGTAGTGTAAAGCAATGGTGATGAAGGCAACGGGAGGTGCTGAAACACCTGTTGTAGAAGTGGAGTTGGTGGGTGTTGCGACCCAGATATGACCCAGCGATTGGGCCTGTGTGTACGACTCAATGGATGGCGGACTGCTATCTGCGATGGAGTGCATGTCTGTTGCACCAAATATCTGGTCTGAGGCTGATTCTATGACAGGGAGATGGGGGAGGTCAGCGGGGTCGGCGGGGCGAATGGAGATAGGTGTGGGATTGGACATGGTTTGTGCTGAATACCGTCGTCAGATGGATGAGAGAAGTGTGTTTGGACCCTTTTCTAGGGAAATTTCCGAGGATGTCGTTCGATGAAGTAAGGTGAGATGTGATGACTTATAGTATTGTCGTCAACTAGCTGATGCATGTGATTGGTCGGGGAACGGATGCGGACTGAGCGAGCTTGAGTATTCTATGGAATCTGATATTGCTTACTCGCCTGTTAAGGAAGCATTGCATTTTATGTTGCGGCATGCACACATTCGACATATTGGCTTCCTATTTCTGCTGCGAAGAAATACGAACGAAACTTGGGATTTTGGTTCATTCTACAAAGGAGGACAATAGAACTCTACAAAGAACATCCATATTGTCCGACGGTACGCACCGGGTCTATCGTCTAAGGCAAATCTATATATTAGAAACCGGAACAGATACGTTCTCAGTACCAAATGCTCCTGGTTCGATGGTGGGGTATCGCTTCTTCGCCTGCCTTCTCTCTTTCTTTAGCGAGATCATAGAGGAAGAAGTCAATGAGGATAGCATTGACCTCCATCTCCGGATCCAGTTTCAGGATTTCACGCCTCAAAAGCTCTACAGCCCATATGCTACAGCCTAAGAATGGTCAGTAGGAGTTGCAAATATGATGATTCAAGGCTTACCTCGTATTTGAAGCTCCCAGGCATGGCCCGTCTCGATCGGCTCCAATCGCCTGATCCGCCCTTCGAGCGGAGGGCAAAATGACATGCAGCCCAATGAATGGAGCATTTGGGGGACTCGATAATCTCAAGTAATTGTTAGAAGGCATTTCGCGCACAATGGTCAAGGTGTTGCTCACCTGCAAACATCGTAATCTTATCAATGTCATTGAAGCTTCCGTAACCCTCCCCATCGAAGGCAGCCCATAGATCTGCAACAAAGATCTGTGCTCTCTTGAGGAATCGGACTTTCTTGCCATCGAACTTTCCCTGGTCATTGAAGCAGACGAATCTTTCGGCGAGCAAGTTCACCAGCCCAGCTGCAGAATTCTTGCTATCCTCGATCAATGTCACCACGCTACTGTCGAATTCCTGCACTGTTAGGTCATTGATTGAGTTCATAGGGTCAAATGGCCATTGATTAGGTTTATCTTACCTCTTCAAGCACTTGTCCTGCCTCTCTAAGACAACGCGCTCTTTCTTCGAAAAGTGGAATCTCGTCCTCCGTCTCCGATCGGAAGACGTGTTTCAAGACATCATCGGTGCACTCTTCCTCGTTGGCCCAAAACGATGGTGTTGTGATCGGAATGTCTTCCTCCAAAGCACGTTGCAATGCGGCGACCAAGCTCCAATAACCCGTCCACTTCTTGTCTTGATAGCTCACAGAGAATCTTTCCTCTTCGCTCTTCTCACTCCAAAAACTGAAATTAAGCAAGTCCATGGTAAAGATGAAATTAACGGTGTTCTCATCCTTTGCCTTAGGATGCAGCGGATGTTCTGACCATGTCTTGGTGCTGTAGCCACGTTCTCTCATCTGCTTCTGGATCTCGATAGCTGCGATCTTACTATGCCGCATATCGAGAGCAACATCCACGCTGTTATTGTAGATGAACTCTGCATTTTCCAGAACTTTTGTTTCTGGAGGAGCGGCTGGGTCCGCTGGACCCATGCCTAGAGACTTTCTCAGAAGGTCAAGCAGTTCATGATCAACCTCATCGTCGGACATCTCGACGAGCTGTTAATTCTTGGAAAATCCGAGTATCGGGTGAAAAAAAGCCAATGACGACAACAGGCACCACAAGACCCAATCCGCCACGGAGAAAGAAGAAAAAGAGGCGAGAGGGGAACGAATGGCCAGAGAAAATCTCGGTTGATCAACGTGTAGATCAATACCAGGACCACATAAACCCAGATACAGCAAGTATATTCACCGCCAAGCCGCAAGGTTATCAGTTCGCGTGGAAGACGGGCTAAAGCCCAACTAGGACTAGAGCGGAGGACTAGCTCAGGCCCGCAGAGAGCTTCCGGAGAAGCACCGTTACCTTCACCATTGGCCCGAGCTGTAACCTGCCGCTGCTGACGTCTTTTATCAGCAGTTGCTTCGGCCTTCAATCTCCCTTCAACCTCATTCCTTTCTCTCGGTCGCATGCTTCCACGCGCTCTGCTCGAACATTGCACAATCATTCGATATGGGACGCGACAAATTCGCTAGACAGAGCCTCGGCGCTCTTCACACGAGAATTAAACAGGTACGGGATCCATCGCCCGACACGCTCTCATGCGCCAAACATTGACATTTTCCTAGTCGCGGGTTCTCATGGTTGGAGCTGGCGGTATCGGCTGTGAGCTTCTCAAGAACCTAGTTCTCACTGGGTTTGGAGAGATCCATATCGTTGACCTCGACACAATTGACCTCAGCAATCTGAATCGCCAGTTCCTTTTCCGGAACGAACATATCAAAAAGTCGAAAGCGATGGTATGGGTATTGTGACTCTCACCTTGAGCGCCTGTTCTGACATCTTCATAGGTCGCGAAGGAGTCCGCCGGTAAATTTAATCCCAACGTCAAGATCGAAGCGTACCACGACAACATCAAGGACCCGAAGTTCAACGTCGCATGGTTCAAGGGCTTCGGGGTGGTCTTCAATGCATTGGATAACTTAGAGGCTCGTCGTCATGTGAATAAGATGTGCTTAGCAGCCGATGTACCCCTGGTAGAGAGTGGTACCACCGGCTTCAACGGTCAAGTCCAGGTCATTCGCAAGGTGAGCAAATTGGCGCATTACAACAGTTCGATGCATCAATTTACCTAACATTTGAGTAGAACAGAACCGAATGCTACGATTGCGTCACCAAAGATCCGCCGAAAAGCTTCCCCGTCTGCACGATCCGAAGCACGCCGAGCCAACCGATTCACTGCATAGTCTGGGGAAAGAGCTATCTCTTCACTGAGATATTCGGGACAAGTGAAGATGACGCGCCCGATATGGATATGAACGAGGATTCGGATAACGCGAAGGAGATTGAGAACCTTCGTCAGGAGTCACAAGCGTTGAGACGCATCCGAGACTCGATGGGCTCGGAAGAATTTCCCCGCCTGGTATTCAACAAGGTTTTCAAGGAAGACATTGAGCGACTACGAAGCATGGAGGATATGTGGAAAAACAGAAGGGCGCCTGAAGCTCTAGATTACGACGCGCTCGCTCAGGAAGCATTAGGTGCTGGCCCAGCCGTCGCACAGAAGGATCAGGTGGTCTGGACGACAGCAGAAAACTTTGCCGTGTTCGTTGACAGCCTCAAGAGGCTGAGCAACCGTTTGGAAGAGACGCGAGCAAATGCTGATGTGGGCAACTCGACCGCAATCCTCTCCTTCGACAAGGACGATGTAGACACTTTGGATTTCGTGGCCGCAAGCGCGAACTTGCGCTCCCACATCTTCGGGATTGAGACGCGATCGAAATTTGATATTAAGCGTAAGTTTGTCCCACATGCACCAGAGAAACAAAACTGAATGTGTTAGAAATGGCTGGCAACATCATTCCGGCTATCGCAACAACAAACGCAATGACTGCTAGTCTGTGCGTTCTGCAAGCCTTCAAAGTCATGCGCAATGAACTCGAGAAGGCCAAAATGGTCTTCCTTACTCGCTCCACCGAGCGCGTCATCTCAAGTGAGCCCCTTCGACCGCCCAACCCTGAGTGCCCGGTATGCAGCGTCGCGCAATCCACCCTTGAAGTGGATACCTCACGAGCTACATTGAAGGATCTAGTAGAGGACTTGCTTCGTTTGCAACTTGGCTACGGCGAAGAATTCAGCGTCAATAGTGAAGCGGGAATTCTCTATGATCCTGAGGAGGACGAAAATCTTCCCAAAGCCTTCAATGAATTGGGGTTGAAGGACGGCAGTTTCATCACGGTCATCGATGAGTCGGACGAAAATGCAAAGGTCAACCTCGTTCTTTCCATAACAGAGAAATCTCTGGACAAAGACAGCAAGCCGATCAATCTGCCAGCCGAGATCACTATCGCCAACAAACCAAAGGCTGCTCCAGTTGCAGAGACGAATGGGCACGTTGAGGCTGGTACCAATGGAGTTACTAACGGCAAACGCAAACGTGAAGCCGACGAAGTGGACATCGAATCCGCAAATGCTACTAAACGCGGAAAGGTTGCAGTGACTGACCCCCAGGAGAACGACATCTTGGTCGTCGACGACGCTACTGATGGAGCAATTCTCATCGACGATGACTAAATCATCTCATGAAGGCAAATTCTCGATTCGCCTACGCGCAGGCATTATCCATTACATGAAAATTCGTTTATTTGCCGTTGCCCGTTCTCACGCATGGAAATCATGGCATCTGCATGCGAAAACTTTTAAATCATTTGGCCGAGCGCAAAGCTTTAGCCAGGCGTTCTTTGGATTACTTGGGATATACCTGGTACGGATTTTGAGGAATCATTGGGTGTGAAGGCGCAGTCATGTGGCGGAAAGACCACCGTCTAGGTTCAGGATGCAATTATGAGCGTATTGGTTCCGCGCGAGAAACAGCGCTGCATCGGCAATTTCTTCTGGCTTGCCAAATCTGCCCATTGGGATGCTAGAGCGCAAATCTGAGGATCTTTCGAGGTCTATGTAAATTAGATATAGAACCAAATCATAGGACATTCAGCTTCCCACACTATGCAGCAGAATTGATACCTTGCAACGCGGATTTACGTACCTGTAGTCATATCTGTACTTACATATCCGGGTACGATGGTATTGACTCGAATACCGGATCGTCCTATCTCCGCTGCAAGTGCTCGAGTGAAACCTACAATCTCGGTCAACGCCAAACCACAGCTTCGCGAAGTCTACCAAGAACACACCAATCATGCCTGCCTTGCTTGCAGCATATGCGACCGCACCAACTCCGCCCTTCATACCCAATAGACTCGCTACGTTGATAATCGTAGGGCTGAAAGGCTCTTCCGTCTCTGCAGCTTTGAACGACCGCCCTTTGATGTAGCGTTTCGATAGCAGAAACCGCGTTGCCAGCATCGCAGCAGTCAAGTTTATGTCTACAATTTCCTTGATATCTTCCCCCTTCGTCCTGACAAACGAGCTACTCTGGCTTATCCCCGCACAATTCACAAGCACGTCAATGTTCTTCTCCTTAGCATCCTCAAACTCATATTGTGCGCCAAAGGTATCGTCTAGCCCGGACGTCGTCCAGAACTTGTCATTTGTGATAGCATGCGTGGCGATGTAACGATGCGGAGATGAGGACGAGAGGTGCGAAGTCGGGAGTGTCGATAGGGCGTCTTCGAGATTACGGTTGTTACGGGCGAGTAACGTTAATCGGTACCCTTGCGATGCAAAGAGTTGGGCGATAGCCAGACCAATTCCCCGGCTACCGCCCGTTATCAGAGCATGTCGAGGAGTTGGCATTGGTGACTAGATGTAAGATATTGGAGTGCGGTGTTTTTATTTTCGAGCAGTGGCCGTGACGTAGGAGACCCATTGTCCCGATTAGTCGCGAAAGCTTTGGGCTCGCGTGAGAACGTGACGGCGCGTTATCAGGTCTCCACCGACACCCGCAATCCTACTTCCACCTCCCCGCATCATCAAATTCAAAAAGACCCGATCTCGTACTACACGGTCACGCGAGTCTGAGTCTTGCAAGATGGCTAGTGATACGAAATATGTGACTCTTGTGTCCGGCGATGGTTATGAGTTCAAGATTCTCCGCTCCGCAGCGTGTCTTTCCAAGACAATCAAGAACTCGCTCGATCCAACCTGTGAGTGCTGCTATTTGCGTTCTGCTACAGAAGCGAAACCATTACATTGGAAGCGTACTGATCATCTTTCCTAAGACGGCTTCAGGGAGAACGAGGAGAACCGTGTAGTGCTCAAAGACATCAAGTGCGTACCTTCCATCTGCATTTTACGTGCCATCACAGAATAGCACAAAGTCCACGGATGCGACAACTATACGAAGGGGGGATTGGAAGCCACAGTGGTAGCTGATCATATAGCAGTGGTGTTATACTGGAGAAGATCTGCGAGTATCTTTACTACAACGAGAAGTACGCAGACTCAAAGGACGTTCCTGACCCAGACCTTCCACCGGAATTGTGTCTTGAATTGTTGATCGCTGCTGATTATCTGGATGGTGAGTTGGCTTCTTTTGGTTGATTGGCTGTTGGGAAGAGACTTACGGTCGGGCAGTGTGAAAACACCCAAAGCATAAGCAAAGCATTCGGTTGCAAAACGACTGAAAATGTAATGTCATTCTATACAGCATGGCACGTATGAATTAGTACGGCCGCACGGCAGGAGCTATGGCGTTAGATATTTATGGACACTCTTCATTGACGGTCTTCGGTCTTGGAGAGAAGGGTCGTCTTCTTGAGCCACCTACTATGTGAGCTCAGCGTAAGAATCGGCGATCTGCCTTCCTGAGATGGACAAATATCTGGCGGTCTTGTTAGGTCTTACTACCTCGCAATATAGATCCTGTGTGAGCTCGAAGCCACTGTTGGCTCATACACGGTGGAGTCATAGCCACAATCGTAGTTACAGTATTATAATTATTATTACACATCTGTAACAGGCAATCCACCCGCCCCCGCATGGTTTTAACCCCCACCAGCCTTTCGCCCCGCGACTTGTGTTGTTGTAGCCTGACCATCAGCACAACATTAATGCTTCAACTTCGCTATCGTTGGTTTCGGGCTCGCTGACTTGCTGCGGCGTCCTTACTGTGTACACTTTGCTTCTCTTCCTACACGAAATTCAAAAAGGCCGGAAAGATAGAATCGCTGTTCCTTTGGCATAGACCACCACCATTTGCTGGTTCTCCCAGGCTCTTGGTCTTCCCGGATATTATATTACGGGCCTCAACAGACCTGGGATATACGAATCTATATACCCTACGTATGCAATGTACCCATGGTCAACCTAGCCGGTCATAACTCAATTGTTGACCAAATGCTTACAGCGAGACGATAATTTCCTTTTCTCCAATAAATACTCGTCAGTTGCCTAAACGCCTCTTTTCGCCCCGTCTCACTATTCTCTTCCTTCTGCTCACTCCAATTCAAGCGTCTTCCGTGGCTTATACCCACGCAAACCAAAATACATTCAACCTGTCCCCCAATGTTGCCTCCCCCAGATATTGACAACGAATCGCGGCCAGCGACGTTCCAGTCAAGATGGAAGCACAACCCTGACCCCAAGGCTTTGCCCTTCCCACGCGACAATCCGCCATTTCAATTAACCGAAGTTGACTGGCATCAATTGAGCATCACCGACGATCAATTCGAGCCGCATACGTGGGAAAACTTGCATCACCTGATATCTACCAACCAGCTAGATGAACTGAAACGCTGGCCGTCCTTTTTGAAAGCCTACCTTGCTTGGACTGCACACGTGAAAGCAAAGTATGGGTCTGCGACCCAGTATCTCCTCCAACAGCGACTGTTCTGGGAGCCTCTATCAACGAATGGGCCTCTACGTTTTCCTCTCAAATCCGAAACGCCATTCGACAATCCGGAGGACTATAAAATTATCAAAAATGATTGGACATATGCGGTCACAGAAGGCATTGCACATATCGTGGTCTGGTCAAAGAAGCCTCTGCCCGTGGACAGCGAAGGCGCATTGACCGCAGAGGGCTGGAAGATTGTCGTGGATTTCATAGACAGGGAGTTCAGACAAAAGGTTGGCGAGAAAGCCGTAGGAGAGAAAGTACAGTGGTTCAAAAACACCACAAATCTCCAGAGCGTCAGGAGCTTAGAACATGTCCACGTTCTCGTCAAGGATGCAGACGAACAAGTTTTGAGACAGTGGATGAATTGAAGGAAGCGAGGCTGCTCGCTTGAATTACTGATGGGGCTTTCCTGACAGATCGGGCCGAATGTTAGAACACAGTTCAAAGAAGGATTCATGAAACCGCGCTAGAATTTTATGCTTATTGTCAGGTCTCATGGACAACACCAATAAGCTTTTTGAAGTGATTCGGCAAACTATGTAGGTACGAAGCAGAAAACAACCGAGCGAACCATCCTCTGTTCCTGATCTATTCACAGCTGTCCATACTAAGTGGTCCACTTTGCTGCGCACCTGCTCGTATTCGAATCTGCTACCAAAAGTTCTGGAACGTGTACACTCTCGTTTACCATATCAATTTCTTTCCTAATTTGTGCATCCCATGCTGGTTTTTTCCTCGAGCTGTCCCGAAAGGTCTTCAGCCCTTTCCCAAATTCCGCCTTGCTGCCGCATTTACCAGATAATTAACCAATCATCTTCTCGCCATATTATTATTTGAGGATTTTGCTAAGCCCGAAGAACTATGCCATCTAACATTCGAGCAGATATACAGAGGGTTAGCATGTCGGGCTGGCCTCCTGCTAGCTTCATGTGTCTTCAATACCTAAATCAACAGTGCATTGTAGCCAGTAAACAGTCTTAACTCCTTGCGATGAAAACTCGGGAATGCACTATTGTGGGCATGAAATACTGTACATTCGTTTTCCTTACTTCCATGTACCAGTACCCACAAAAGACAGAGGCAGCCTGTACTGAAAGGTGCGGTACCATTGCCAGGCGTGCCACCACAGGCACATGCATGGATGGGTATCGGCAAGATCGTCCGACGTCATGAACGCCCCGTCCATCAGCTAAATCCTACGGTCCCACTGCTCAACCATTGACACGACCACTTGTATAGTTACAACCGTGCAAATCGTTTCCGTTGTCTTCTGTCACCGTAGGCATCTATTATCTGGCTCGATTGCATGCACCAAGCAACTCCTCTGCACACGTTGCCGGGTCACTGTTGTAGATACAGCGTGTACCTTTACACATCACAAGACGCCAGAACAGGTGTTCAGGTAGGTAACACGATCTATAAAATGCTTCAATTCTCTTTGGTGATAATGGCCATCCAACACTTCATTCATTCCCTCTTCACCTTTCCATTGTCGCTATCTTTCTATCTTAATTTTTTCGCACGATGGCGCGCTTCTCTAGCTCGCACAAGGCTGGCCTTGTGCTACTCTGCCTCACTTTCAGTCTTCCAGTGACACAGTCTCTAGGCGTTCCTTTTCCTCATTCGGGTCTCAGCCGTCACGAACCAGCCGTGGCACGTTCGAATTCGGATCCAGTGGAAGTCGTCGGTCAGGATGACATCCCCGTGAAGCTCTACCCCCGCAACCAAAATGCGGACAAGCACGAGAAAAATTATGTATCCATCAAGATATTCACAGAACTAAAGTACACCAAGAAAGGAGCCGACCGCGACAAATATCTGGCAGATCTCAAAAAAGAGTTGCCAGAATTTAATGCCGATGACGATATCTACAACGAGGAGAAGCCTAGGGAAACTATTTTGTATGCCATTAAGAAGCCTTGGAAAACAGACGAGGAGAGGAAAGAGGTTGTGGATGAGTTCGTAAAAGAATTCAACAAGGAGGATAAAATGGTACGACTGCAGTTGTAATAGTGAACTCAAGCTAATAGAAACCAGATCAAGAAAGTTGAGATCGTCGGCCACACAGGAGGAGTTCAAGTGACGAGTGTCACTCCTCGGGACGTTCAGGAAAAGCGTCATATCGATGACTTCAAACCACCCGCAAACCCTATGCAGACTTGGAAGAACGTGCGACAGAGCGGCATAACTGACTCACTGGCATTCTTCGGCTGGGACAAGGATAAGAAGCTCGCAGATTACGATCTGGATAAATCACCCAACAAGGAAAATATGCAGTATGTCCATCTGAGTAACCCCGGAAGATACAAGCTGCAAGACATCGTCAATACTGCCCAGGGGGGAGCTGCCCGGGCAGGTGCGGCAGAGTATTCAAACGTCAGGCTTTATCTTGTCGACACTGGTGCGCATATCAATCATCGCGTAAGCATTCCAAAGCATTATAATGGACAGTCACTGACAGTATTCCAGGAGTTCGCACATATAGACCCAAAATCTTGGCAGTGGATCCATCCCGGAAACGCGGTGGACAGAGAGAAGGCTGAGGCAGAGATTAAACAAGTCAATTTCGATGCACACGGTCACGGAACGTGCATGCTCAGCAAAATTATAGGACTTAAGCATGGTGAGTCAGACACACGGCAACGGAACAGCGCATAATTAACTCCTATTGCTTTCTTAGGTACCAGCAAATTCGGCTATCCTATAATTGTAAAGGTGCCCATGTATAACGACGAACAATTCCACGCGTCTTTCCTATCGCAAGCGATTGTAGCGGTAACAAGAGATTGGAAGAGATGGTTGGAGAAAAATGCAAAGGAGGGCATGGGCAAGATCAAGCATGCCGTAGTGAACATGTCTTTCGCTACAGAGGGCATGCAAAATCCATCAATGACTGAAGACGAGACGCAGGACGTAATCGAAGCGATGGAAGAAGGGCAAAAGTTGGGCCTTTACTACGTCGTATCCACTGGAAATGACGGAAAGGTATCTGTTGCACCCCTTCTTCACATGGTCATATTACAGGTCTGTTCTAACTTGCCCAGGAAAAACTTACCTCTGTCCCAGGAATTCTCAAATTTGGAACGGGCAAGAAGGACATGCCAAAGTTCCCGGATTTGGAGATTCCAGAGGTTCCACTGTTTTTGGTTGGCGCCACCGACGACGAAGGACAGATATGGCCGAAATCCAACACTGAACCTAACCAACAAATACTCTTTGCCCCTGGCGTACAAGTCGAATGCGCCAACGCCAAAAAGCTTGACAATACAATCAAAACTTCTGGGACCTCCCTCTGTAAGTTCGCTATCCGAGCATGAAGGCACGATGTTGAATTGAAACTGATGTATCGTGAAGCGACTGCCTCTGTTTCCGGCCTTGTCATGAACAAGCTCTCCATGCCCAATGACATGCTCAAATCCTCCATCAAAGATGATTTCGATCAATTGCACAAACACATCTACGACGCTGCATGGGAGCGCACACAGACCAAGAAAAGAACGGGAGTGGTGGTCAAGGGGGCTTTCAATGGCATCGACACACCCGCGGACTTGAGGTCGCTATACAAAGTTGAATATGGTCGCGAAATTGGTCCCGGACACCAGAAGCTCACTTGGGAGCCCAAGGCGGCCCGTTGATGAAGCCACTCAGTCTGAGTTGCTGTATAAATGTATGCGCAAACGTATCTGGATCTGGTATTCGGCATTACATGTTCACTAACAAACTACAACACGCGATTACTCATCACTATTTAGCGGAGAATCGTGCAAACTTTATAGATTACTAATTATACTTTAGATGGTAAATAGACTTTAAGATAAGGGCATAGAATGAAATGTATATTCAACATCCAATCATGCAGAACAGGTTTACTCTGTGTAGATCTCTCATGCTTCCTTCCTTGCTTCATCTTTGCTGACTTCAAATAACATCCTGTTCAGGAGTGGAAAAACGCAGTATTTTCGTATCTTCAAACCGAAGGGATAAGAAACACAGGTACATCTAGAACTAAACGTATGAGACTCATTGCATGAATTCAAGTACGTGACAATACCCAGTGACCAGACCAGACCCAGCACAGGGCACAAACGTACTTCTCGCCCTTACGACGCATCACGACAGTCGGGAAGTATGTTCAGTCTTTGCAAAGCCTATATGCTACAGACACAGTGACTACTATGACTGCCCTCTGGTACAACAATAGATCTTATAGTTAGGATTCCAAGGGTTTAAGGTCTACGGTTACGTTGGCTAAGCATATAGATTATAGTATCCAGGGTTATATGCCGCATTATCTCTGTACTGTATGCCAGGCCATCGCAGACATTCAGAGCAAAAGAGGAGTGCGCCTGTGGAGCATTTCTATTACCAACAGATTCAGATGACTTGGGATTAAACAAGAGAGTTCCGGTAAGAAACTGTGAGCGGGACTATATTATGGAATCCTGTTCCTATGTGGACACACATGCACGAAGAGTACCTCACTGGTTCGTTGTGTGGAAGGATCTCGGAGACATTTTTGCGTCCCCTGCCCTCCCAGGCTGGCCTGATTCTCTCCGAAAATCTCCGTACGGAGGCTAATCGTGGACAAACCTTCAAAGAATCGTACAGATATTGAGTAGATTTGTAGTAAAATAAACCTATTGATACTACAGTATATAAGACGTCTTGCCTGCCATAATGTGCAAATACATCTCGACACCACCAGAGCCAAGCAGAACAGTCCTATTAGCATTGTCTACATCATTATTACTAACACCATATCATCTATTCCATATTTTAATCGCTTGAAATGGCAGCCGCAGCGCTACGACCGCAAATTGTGGATGGCCTCATAATAGGAGGGGGCCCAGCAGGCCTCAACTGTGCCCTTACCTTCGCCCGCCTCCAATCTACAGCAATAGTCTTCGACAGTTCTACATACCGCAACGAAGGTGTAAAGCACATGCACACGGTTGCCACCAGGGACCACTTCGACCCTCAGGAGTTCCGACGCATTGCCCGTGACCAAATCGAATCGCGGTACAAGAGCGTGTGGTTCGAGAAAGCCATCATCACGCACGCCGCGAAGAAACTCATCGGACCGGACGGAAAGTACGAAGGTTTCCAAATCAAAGACGACCAAGGCCGGACTTTTGAGGGAAAGAAGTTGATCCTCGCAACGGGTAGCAAGGATGTATTGCCTAACATTCCCGGCTACAAAGACAACTGGCCGTCGCATATCTATCAGTGTTTGGCCTGCGACGGATACGAACAACGGGGAACTCCTATAGGAGTCCTTGATTTGCAACCTTGGACATCCCATTTCGTACATATGGCACAACAGCTTGATGACAGGGTCACTGTGTTTACAAATGGCCCCATCCCTGCTACTCTTCCGCCACCTATCGAGAGGTCATTGAAGATCTCGAAGGTCTTCGGTGCAAAATTCGACGAGAGAAAGATTATTCGCATGGTGAACAACGGTCCTTCTTATGTTGAGGGTATAACGCTGGAGTTTGAGTTGGGAGAGCCGGTTACTTTGGGTTTCGTGGTAGATAAGCCGCCGGTTGTAAACAGGGCACAGGATCTGATTGATCAATTGGGATTGGAAACTGTACCCTTGGAGCAAGGCGGGCACTTGAAAGTCAACTCTATGAATGAAACAAATGTTAGGGGTGTTTTTGCAGCGGGCGACACTACTGTCATGATGAAGCAAGTGGTGATTGCCATGGCGGATGGACTCAAGGCAGCGGCGGGAGCGGGAATGCAAATTGCGGAGGAGAGAACTAAGGAAGCATTGAAGACATTCGAAAATGGATCGGAGTAACTTTTGAAGCAGTTCATAATCTTTTCACTGTCATACTCTTAGCAAATCTTCTAAACCAATAGAATGTTTTGGTTCGACAATCAAATAAAAACAGGAGTGGTTGTTTGATCTAGTAAACACATTCACTGCCCGTAGCAACGATACCTGGGCTAGTAAGAGTGCACAGTGCGCTGCCGAATTCATACCCAGCAGCATATCTACGTCTTCCATCGCCTCTCTCTTCCCCTTGCAAATCACAACTTACTCAATCCAACCTTTATCTAATTTAGCCTCATGTCGAACCGTGTTACTGCCCTCAACATCCTCCAGGAAGAGGAAATCCTCATTTCTCGGATCAAATGTGAGTTGCATCTCGTACCCTGTTTGCCGCAGTGGCATATGATTAGCTAACAGAGCAAACTCCTTTAAAGCGGTCGCGAGGGCCCTCTTCTCTACTTGGAAGTACGTCGACATCGACGTTGTCGTCACCGGCAACCCTGTCGTCATGACGGCCTACCGGGCATGTGTGATCGGCTATCTCCCAACGGAGCAGATGCCGAACGAATGCGAGATGCTCATCACTTCAAAATACCAAGAGTCAACCACCACGGCGCTTCTATATCTCCTGGACAGGTGCCAGCGCTCTCTCGATTCTAAGTTTCGCAAAGGTAAGGATTGATACACAATACATTTGCGGACTTGGAACCTGCTAAGCTAAGAACTATTATTTAGATGTCGCAGCATGAGGGCAAAGCGCAACATGCTTCAGGACCAGACAAACACTGAGATACCCGGGAAAGCCAATGTTTGTGCGGCAAGTTCACACTTATAGAGCACTGAGAACTGGGGTGAAAGCGCGGTGGGGCAGGTCGAATTTTCCGTCTGTTGTGGGTGAAATCGTCAGATGAGATGGTGAATGAATCTTTCATGGCACAGTGAAAGTGAATAATATTACTTCAAGTGCGATAAATTGAACTTTGACTGCCAATGAGTGACCCATCAAATCCTTACCACACACCATCCCGGAACCCTCAACTATCTTCACCAAGCCTGCTTCTGAGTTGAGCCCGAGTTCAAATAATGACACACTTGATTGATCTTGCCGAGCTACAGCTCGCAAGGGAGCTCAAAACCTTCATTCTCGGTAAATTGATTCTGTACCCGCTGAATTCAACTTCTAATGGCTCATGTAGCGGATGTGCGTGCTCTCTACGGCCCTACGCACGGCAGCCTGTACCAAGGCGACTTCGACATCCTCACCGCTGGCCGCACATCTTACCTCGGTGGCGTCCGCTACGACTACCTTACCGCGCAAGCGATCGTATACAAGAAACCCGATTCGCCCTCACAATGGAAACTCTTAGTGGCAGGACCTGAAAGTGGCACTGTTTCGGGAGCACTGAAAGCCTTATGGACAGAGGTTCAAGCAAAGAGTCAGAACATAACAGGGCCGTTACAGCCGGGAGAGAGCTATAAGGGTTCGAAGAACCTATGAAGGAGTGACGTCGCTATCACACGTCAGTGACATACGCACATAAGACTATCCGGTACCTCACAAAGATGTGTTCTTCATGAACGTACCCTTCGCTATTGTCATATTCAATCTTTGTGGCATTGCCGACGTAAAAGATCAATATAGTTACGTGGGATATGGAGACGCAAAGCTTCCTCTCGTTGTTCCCTGAAAACATTGGAGAATAGAACTTGCAACACACAATAACCCCAAGGCCGGTGATCCAACCACTTTTCATGGAATTTCCAGCGTGAGCTTGAACACTGGACTGTGAATGTCGCCGTAACGTTTGCTTCATGTTTTACCTTCTCTTGTGTCGCTGTAGTTACCTATTCGTCCACTCCAGTCTAACAGCTAGTACATGTGCCAAAAGTTGGACCGAACTTGCCGTAAAATCTAACGAGGCTTTTTTTCCTAGTCTTGTTCTCGGCCCTCTTTTCCATGTCAATGCTGAGGACGCGACTATCAATCACACATCACGGCCGCTAGAAATAGAGGCACAGCGATGAGAAGAGAAGTGCCTACGCTGAGGAAGATTACAGCGTATATTTGAAGTATTGTGGGCAACATTGCACTGCTTAGTGAGGGATTTCGGCTAGGTAGCGGAGTACAGAGCAGGGCACGAGAAATGAAAACTCGGCAGCGATGGTGTTGGATCAAGCCTTGACAAGAGTATAATGCACAAGTGCTTCTGGAACCAGGGAATCCAAGGTCATAACGATGCTAGAATCTGCAGAATAGCTCAGTGAAGAAGTACGAGTGATGGGGTACTGAGCCCATCACATGAGAGTATATCCAGATACACAGTCCTGATTATAAAAATGCATCAGACGCATAATTGCATAGTTAGAAGCCCCCAATTAGCTTCTTGAAATTTCACCACATGCCAGTAAATATATCATTCTTTCATTACGCTCAATCAAGACTATTATTCGTGCTTAGCTAATAAAGAAGGCAGCTCTCATCCGGAAATGGTATCAATGATGAGTGTCCTTTGTACGCAGCGTGGTCCATTATCTCTCTCATCCTTAGCATCGAGGAGGTACGGACACAAAATTTCGAAAGTGCCAAAGGCATAGCGAGCATCTTTGATGAAATGCTCTTCTACGGGAGTTCTGAAAGAGTGTCATAATGGATAATTTTTGTGACGAGGTCATTCTGTGCACAATTATTGACGTGGCTGGACCTTTTAGTGTTCACATGTCCGGGCGTCAGTTTTAGCGCGAAAGCGACGTCACTCGCCAGAAGTCTACACGACATCCGAAAACAACATCCCTAGGCTACAACCTATTATCATACCCCATACCCCTATTCATCTGCCCGTTCAGTATGCAGACACGTACACAACACCATAAGGGCTACCTGTTATGACCCTGAACAACACTTCGTGACTGATCACTATGGCGAACTCCAGCGAATCTCACATCTCAACACACGCGAATCAATACATCCGTGAAGTCCTCCACTCCCAAGAAGCACCACCCACGATAAATGCGCGATACTTCTATACGTCTCCACTCGCTATTGATGACCCTCTCTCTGCGCTGCCTCCCCTCTCTGCCTCCACGAATACGTACAGCCAACCGCGGCCATTCTCCGAATATGATAACGAGGCTATCAATGAGTCATGGTTGGGCTTGAGGAAGAAGATACTCCAACACAATGAAGAATATGCTGAGAAAAGGGCATCTGTAGACATCCCTGGAACACCCACGAACCCATCTGTAGAGAGATTGAAGAGGAAACGAGCTGGGTCCGGCTCTCGCGATGATGTCCCTGCACCTCTGGGTCGAGATGTACCTTCCACGCGCTCTTCCAGCCGAGGGCAATATTCAAGATCTGTTGACACCGCATATGAAGGCCGCGCAAGGTCTGGCAGTTTCCCACGGGGCGCAGCGCTATCAACCTCGTTGAGAGCGGCCAATCCCGGAGATATGTCACCATTAGAGCCTTCTACAACCGGAACACCATTTATAAGAGCCCCTTCAAGAGGAAATATAGCAAAATTGCGGACCTCGGAGTCGGTGGAGGGGCGCAAGCGGCCAGCACCGCACGAGGTTGATAGTTACAGATGGGATGAAGACATGGAACCAGCGTTGTCCGACCATAATGCAAAGGGCCCTGTTCAACGACCTCCGCGACCAAAGACCGGTCCTTCTGCTAAAGTTCCAGTCGGAATTTCAAGACTGCATAATGTCATCATGGACGCAGAATCTATTCGTATGGAACCTATATATTGGTCGCCTGTAAATGATATCGCCAAAGTCATTAGGGGAACATGGTTCTATAAACACACCATGATGCCGGTCGAGGTCGAAGTTGGCAACATGCTCGAAGCAGGATACATTGATCTTCAACCGTGGACGCAGACCTGGAAGGACGAATTGAACAGTGCTGTAGAGGTAGGAGCTGCTGGCGAGATGAAGATCCTCCACAAGTTATGGCCGGACAAGCCGCCTAGGCCAGAGAGTCGCCCGACATCTTCAGCACAACCCAATATTGGAATGGTGCAAAACACCTTGCCAGAAGGAGCCGATGACCCCGACAAAGAGCGACGCGAAGTCTTTGAGAACGTGTGCGATCTCATCGATATCTCTACTGGACCTAATGGGCCCGACAACAAGGCAGGCGGTGATATGGACTACGGACCTGACGGCACAAAAAGTCTCTATCGTAAAGCCGGTGTCATCTATGCAGATGATATCCACGCGTATCTGCTGCGACCTTCTCTTCAACCATCTGACTACTATGGCCGCCGGCCTCTCGCGAATTACATTCGAAAAGGGAGCAATATTGGCATATGTGTTGTTCGGGGCTTCGATCAGAGTATCTGGGATAAGTTGCATCCGCCGAAAAAGAATAGCAAAGCAATAAAGGCTAAGCAAGGCGTTTCGACCTCCCAGGACGGAGCACCTCCACTGAGACGACAGAAACGGGACCCGGCTTTGGCACTCTCAGAGAGACCACAAGTTACTGATCTTGTGCTTGTGATACATGGCATAGGTCAGAAATTGTCTGAACGCATAGAGACATTCCATTTTACGCACGCCATGAATGCCTTCAGAAGAGAAGTCAACGTCGAACTGGGCACGGACGACATCAAACGTAACTTGCGAGAAGATATGGGCGGCATTATGGTCCTACCTGTCAATTGGCGACAAAGAGTCTCTTTAGAAGACGCAGCCAGCAGCAGTATGGAGACTGATGACCCGGCAGCTAATAGTTACTCTTTGAAAGATATCACACCGAACACCCTGCCTTCCGTCCGAGGTATTGTCAGCGATGTCATGTTGGATATTCCCTACTATTTATCACCAGAACACAACCCCAAGATGGTAGCGGCTTGTATTCACGAAGCAAACAGGATCTATCGTCTTTGGTGCCAAAATAATCCCGGTTTTGCAGAACACGGTCGTGTGCATCTCATCGCCCACTCTCTCGGGAGTGTCATGGCTGTCGATATTCTGAGCCAGCAGCCGAGCAGCGTAGCTCCAGAGTGGAGTGACCCTGCTTTCCCCGAGGAGGAAGTCCCAAAAGAACACTTCATTTTCGATACAAGCTCTCTATTTCTGTGTGGTAGCCCGCTCGGCTTCTTTTTGCTTCTACGGAATGCTACTCTTCTGCCCCGCCGAGACAAAGAGAAGCCTGGAGCAGATTCGTATGCAACTCCCGGCGTTGGAGGTGATCAAGGAACATACGGCTGCGTGGCTGTTGACAATATTTACAACATCATAAATCCTTACGACCCCGTCGCATACCGCCTGAATGCGGCCGTCGACGTATCTTATGCGGAGATGCTCAAGCAAGCTGTCGTGCCGAGCGCAAACGTATCATGGTTTGCCTTCTCTAACCCTTTCCGCAAGTCTGATGCTTCGAGTCACGCTGCCTCTGCCCGTCCAGCTACCCACCGCCTTCCTTCAAACGTCGAACTTGAAACGCATAACTTCACAAGAGAGGAAATTGCAGAGAAAAGGGCATATCTACTAAACGACAATGGCCAAATTGACTATTTCATGAAGTACGGAGGTGGTGCGCTTGAAATCCAGTATCTCACGATGCTAGGTGCTCACAGTAGCTACTGGGTCAGCCGTGACTTTGTCAGAATGATTGTAGTAGAAGTCAGCCGCGAGCGAGGCAAAGAGGGAACTTTACTCGCGATGCGAGCCCAGAAACGGAAGACCAGCGTCTCATGAGGGGAGTCAAAAGTTGATGCGAGTGTATTCCAAACCAAGCAAGCTGTGGAGCCTGATTTGGTACTATCACCACGCTGAACTAAATTCTATCAACATGCACCACCAGGATGCTGCGATAGTCCAAACCAGGTCCGTTACGCTGCACAGTATCAACGCCATGCTACCAGGCATGTTGTTGGACTTCATGTATCTCGAACATTTTGGGTATCCTTGCGATGAAGAGCTTAGCTTGCAAATGCTGGCGGGCCTGATGACGTTGGTCTCAGGCGCTCTGCAGCCTGCGTCTAGCCACGCAGCACGCCCACGTCAACCTGCTAGAACGCCGATTGGCATTGCGGCCATATCGAACGAGGCCCGTTGGTGCGAAGTCCCCGATCAGTGCGACCCGCGTCGATATCCAGTGGGTTGAGGCGTTGGAAAGCACTTCAGGCTATGCGGACCATTTCACCAGTACGGGGCACACTTCATTCAACTCAACACAATATGAAGCGAACAAGTGGAACCACTCCGTGGACTGTGGATCGGTATTTGGTCACTTTGCATTAGCAGCTTCCAGCTTCCATCCCTCGCCGTTTTCTTCCTTCGATAGACTCCGACCTCTCTAACGCATGTGGACGATTTCAGGTTCCACAACACGGACACGGCGTATGGTACTGTGCCAAACAAAGCAGCACGAGCTGGAGAGGAGACGCCAGGAAGAGGACCAGTAGTGAACAGTGCATGTCTCTTGTTCGCCGCTGTTAGGTCAAACCGTGCCACCTGGACTTTGAAATCAGAGACACATTAGAGGGACCTTCGCTATGCATTGGTATGGCACCTACACACATCAACATCATACACATGACCGCGCGTCTCATGATGTCCCTGTCAAAGTTGTCACGCATTGTACGGAGGATTTTTGTTCGCTCGGGTCTTCCAAGCCTATGGCCCCAGGAATCTCTCATTCGAATTCGTGTCCACCACGCGACAGACCGTACGATCGGTAGGGTCATTGGGGGCGCAATCTCTCCATCAAGTCTATCAAAGCACTTGCAGTACGGTATACCTCTTTCACAACATAGACTAGCATACCTATTGCATGTAAGGATGCATGTTACAGGCTAGAATTGTCCGTGGTTTGCATCCTTTGTATCTTCAGTCAAATCAGATATCCCCAACTCAATAGAATGGTCGAAGCCAGACTGCCTAGCCAGCACAATTGTTACATCCATTGACTCTTCCCCCTTTCAATACCGGTGTATTCACTCCTTGTCGCGCATTGATCTTTTTATTCTACGCATCTTCCTTCGTTCACTAATCGACGAGCGGGCGTACTTGGGTGTTGGTTGGAACTGATTCCCTACCTCTGCCTCTCCCTACCCCCTCATTGTCCTACCTTGCTCTGCCCTGCATCGCCCTGCCAGCCAGCTAACAATCCGTGCCTCAACGCCTGTTAGTATTGCTTGACCCTAGGTTGAGTCCCCGCCCCCCCCCACAGAGACAGACCCATCCACGTACACACTCGGGGACCAGCCGGCTAGGTGGGCAGCGAAGGCTTGGTGATGTGGAATCCTGGGCGCTACGCCACGCGCGCTTGCACGTCGTACGGTGGTCACCACACTGGAGCATCTCGCAATCTTGTTTATCAAATTGTATACAGCGCCACGAATGCATGCCGCAAGCGGCGTCGGTAAATGGGAATCAGATTCGAAAGCATTGATCACTTGCTGGGGCTTCTCGAGGTCTCGGGGGCCATCAGCCATGTGCAAATAGTTACCTGGGTGCGTAGAATTGTGTGGAGAATGCAGAGGCGTGCTTTGCTTGCGCCTGTACGCGGTGTCGAGTACACTGCTTCCCTCGGCTTACAGGGTGGGGGGCCAAAGAACAACGATGGAAGCATGTTCGTCTCAAGTCCTTCCACCGCCATGGATACTGGGCTCTTTGATTCGACCAGATCTTCTGTATTACCCTTTCACAATTTCCCCCATTTTTCGATTCGCCGTATAGTCTTATGATGGGGAGGGGAAAAAAGGATGTTGGCATAATTTCTCCCAATTGGGAGATTTCCACAACTTTGGCTGACCGAGCTATCGGACAGAACAACGAATCGAAATGGTCGAAATGAGAGAGGACCACCCTGCCCTGCGAGTTCAGCTGGAACTATGCAACAGTTCTTCCGGCCCGATGGTGATCATCGTCCCGTCTCTAGGCATGCCTCACCTTCTGCTCCACCGCGTCGCAAATCACATGCCGTCGCCTCAAGGTGAGTCTAGTGTATTTTGCTTCGATATCCCACATCAAATGGTAGTCCGACTAGTCCAGATAGGATGGACAACGTATCAGAAGAAGTAAAAGGTTGCCTGGGCTTGCGTAGTGTGTCCGATAGAAGAGAAAAGACGTCAGCCAAATTGGACTGCAAAAGGCTACCCCGACCCTCCCATACCCACTCCATCGCCACCGTGAACTCCGATCAATAGAGACGATCTCTCCCCATTGAGAAGCGTATGCGACGAATGTATGCGAACACCAATCAGACCGGAATCCTCAGATACTGAGGGCGCTTAGGATGCAGGGCAGTCCCGCTTTCTAAACAAACAATTAACGGATCTTGTAACATAGGGAATTCGTAGCTTCCATCTAGATTCTAGACAGGTCGTCACAGGCGATTGAACAGAACACCTGTAAAATATATCGTAGTACGAATCAGACCAGATGCAATCAATTGCTGCAGCCATGAACTCTGCCTACTAACTTCTTCTGCAATAAACAGTATCTTCCTTCATAACAACATTACCATTGGGATGGTCGTTCCAATCCCGGCATCGAATTACGTCCGAAAAGCCAACTTTTTCCAATACTACCACCATCACATCCACCCCCTCACACTCAACAAACAATCCTACAAACCCATGAAGCGAGAAGAAACCCCACCCCGATACACACAAGCTACGCACGAGATTCCTGCCAAAAGGCTTCAAACTCCGAACTTTGCTCGCCCAAGCTCCTCGCTCCGAACCGTAACTCCTCCCCCACCACCACCACAACCAAAAGCTGCACAACACATGTAACTACGTATGAACCATGATACTTTCGCCTGCAGACGGAAGTAAGACTGCACAAGAGGGAATGTATGGCGCACGCACGCACGCCCACACACACATACGTACATACATCTACACTCTCTCTATTCTCTGTCCCCTCCATCCCTCCAGTTAGCCGTGTATCTCGAGGGATTTCAGGCCGCCTGCCCAATAGCAAGGCATCAAGGTAGCCCCCCTCGTCGATGTTTCGTTTCAAACGGGCGAACGAAAATGCCCCATAGGCGGATGCAAATAGTCCCCGAAGTACCTTGTTCCTTGCTACATAACATTGTCCACGATCCATCATCCATCATTTGCCTAGTGTACTTTGCTTCCAATTGCTGTAGATAAAAACATTGGTACGTATGTGTACCAATAGAAATAGATACATACAGGAGGAGGACTAAGTATACCTTACTGCTCCGTACATACATAGTAATTGCATACTCGTGCAGCAGACGATGTGTTTTGGAATTCGTCAATCACTTACGCCCCGGCGACTAGTTAGTTAGTCCCTCCTGCCTGCACCCGTCTATCTACGTAACTTTGCAAAGGGGGGAGGGATCGTCTGCTTTCACAGATGGTAAGACGATCGCAGAGGACGATCGGATCCATGGCGCGCACGTTTTTTTCTTCTGGGTTCTTCCTCCGATCGTGGGGTGGGGGGAGGACGGGACGGATGGGATCGCGCTCGGTGTGCGAAAATAAATTGATTTCACAAGTATTATTGATTTCGCTTGTTTGGATGGAGGATAGAATAGACGGACGACGGGTAGAGAGGGGGAGAAGGAAGGAAGGAAGGAAGGAAGGAAGGATTTGGCGTTGCCGCATGGTGATGCAATTGGGGGGAGCCTGAACTCGCGATAGGTACTGTGTATGCACGACAAACAAGGTCGAAAAAGGAATGTTTGCATTGCTTGTCTTGCGAGTTCCGATTTTTATCGGAGTACGGGGGTCAAGGAACCTGGAAATTCGAACTTGAAAGTTTCATGTCCCTCCGAACGTAGAAGGCGACTCGCAGAAAAACAATAATGTAAAACCTATGTACGATGCTTGCTATGGTTGCGTTGACGCTTGTCATGGTTGGGTGTTGGATTTGTTGTTATTTCGAGAATCAGGTACATGAATCCATACCCCATTGTTTCTACCTACCTAGGAAATCAGTACGCAGAGTGTGCCTTGAAGGGCCTACTCACCCCTTTATTCCCTTTATTCCCAGTCCAACTACATAGATGGTTTGCTATCATCTGCAGTATCTACTGTGCAATGGTCCGTATGTGTGTAGTCGATCGTTGCGGTGGTTAGTTAGTGACAATGGCAGGGCGAGGGCAAGCGCAGGGCATTGGCAGGGCCGACACAGCCTCGCCGTAAATATCTCCCAACACAGTCAAATGAACACAACAACAACTCGTAGCACAGCGCTGCACTGCACTGCACTGCACAGCACAAGAAGATAGACAGGCACAATTCGTTTCTCGCGACGAACTAGGTAGTTAATTAGTTAGTTAAAACACATTCCGGTGAAAAAAAGTCAGCCAAATGTGTAACGTAACGTACAATAGAACATTGTGGATATCGCGAACGAAGCCTTTCGCCCCCTCCCCCCTGTGTGCGCCCAGCCCCCAATTGCACACAAGAAATCTACACAGGCACGAAAGGACACAGTGCACGCATGCACTAACGGGCCGTTTTGTATTATACGAGCGCAATGCTCTTCCTTTAAGGCTTTAGGTCGACAGGAGGAATAGCCAGGCCAAAGCGAACGAACGAACCATTTGAGGTAAACAGTCGAGCCAATCACATGCTGCCGAAACACCTTCCAATTCCGGGTCCCTGTGCGAAGGCATTCGGAATTCCGCTTCTTCTATGAGCTATAGTAATTAACAAGTATCTCAGTACATAGCCTCATGGTAGCAATGCCACTGACTAGCGGAGTGTTGCTTGTATGTCAATTACTCGTTGTAATCTCGCGTATCGCATAACAAGAATCCTTCACACACGAGAAAAAAAGCCTAACGCAATTGCGGGTAGATAGACGTCTGTGACGCTGGGTACCTGACTGAGCAAAGCCCGCTTAAAGCTGAAAAACCGTTCCAAGTATCCACTTGAGGCTGGAACGACATTTCAAGTTGGCCGTTGACCATTGGTGGGAATCTAGAGCATGATGCCAAATCTTTTTAAGTACCTACCTAGGTAGTTAAACTACTCATTTGCTAAGAACTTGAGAAAATAAAAGCTCTTTCTGGAAGTGGTTAATAGGGAATGATGAAGGAACACACCGGTACACTTAGTCTAACTGCCAACAGGCAATGGCAAGACGCGGAGTTGAAGAAAATCAAATCGGCATTCGACCGTGCCGTTCTCAAGATAATGACGCGGAACAGCACCAGCACAACACAGCTGAGAGTCAATTAGTTACTAACCTACGAGCACACAATTGAACCATCGCAGTCGGAGCGGAGACACCAATATCTCCGTGTCCCGTTCGCTCTTCGTAATAGCGGAGTCGATCTTGAGTCACAGGTCAGTCCATGATGGCAGGGACTCGGCGAGTCGGTGTCTCGGAATCGGCGTTATGAGTTATGGCGATTTGGACGACAATCCCATCCCATTATTATCCCATGACAGTAAACGGCGGTGCGCGCGCGCACGAGAAAAATAGCGGTGCGTTGAACGGCCCGGGCTAGGTTCAGTGATCATCACTCTCTGCCGCTTCAGCGAGCATTCTAGATGCCTCGTGCGTGCGTGATAAGAGCGGCGGGTTTAAGGGCGCGTGCTCGTGCTCATGCCCCTGCTTGCTCGATGGGAATTAGGAATGGATGTGAAGGGGAAGAGGGGAGGGGGCGCTGCACTGGGATTTTTGGAATCTGGGATCTGGGATTGTGAGCGAGGGAAGGGGAGGGGGTGCTCCCCAAGGCCTGGGAGTCCTGGGACTAGCCATGGGTATACTTGTAGACTTGGATGGAATTGTACAAGTTGGATACATCGTTAGACGAAGAGGAAGGGCCAGAGGGGAGAGTGTGTGAATATGGATACACGGGAAGGCAGCGGGGCGGACAGGGCATTCAATGCACCACCAACGTAACTACAGTCGGGGCGCCGTTGTGATGGCTTTCCCTGCTTCGTTTGATATTCCTATCCCATCCCATAGTTGATTGATAGTGCTTGTTGAAAGTTGCATGTTAGCTAGGAGAGTTACGCCTCGACAATCACCATCTAAAGTATACTCCGTAAATGTACGGAGTACTCCTTACTGTACCTGTATTACATTGCCGTAGGGACCAAAATGTATGTCTGCGGCGTAGACCATGGCAATTACTGGGGAATAAACTCGCCTACCAACAACCTACACATCATATACGGTACCTATACCTACCGTTGCAGGATCGGGATAATCTGCCCAATGCCAATGCCGCATATCGCATTTATCCACAGCCATTCTTCCACGGCGCGGTCCCCCCTTCCCCTCCCGCCGTCCCCTATCTTCCTGACAAATCCAAGAACCACGACGCTGGATTTGGAACTTACAAAGAGAAAAAGAGACGATGCTAAATCTAGAAGTGGATTCAGAATGAAAACACACACCTGATCAACGTATGGCCTTCCCATTCAAGGTGTTGCTGCTGTTGCTGGTGCTCAACCCTGCTTGGCCCTGCCCCGAGCGACTGATTGATTGATAGGCACAGAGAGGGGAAGCAGGGAGAATCCCCAGCGAAGGATCCTCAGCCCTACTCGCTTCGACACGGTTTGGGATGGCCTACATGGGTACCCCCCTCCCCGTCCCCATGGTGGAGGGATTCCAAAGAGCTATCCCGCATCAAGACCGCCGTTCGTTCCCTCAGTACAATAGTGTCACCCATGCCTATGCTGGGGCCTTCGGTCAATCCGTGTTGCCTGTAGTTTGGGCGGTGGACTAGGTAGAAGGTCTGGCTAGCATGGTGCATCCGTCGTCGTCCAACGAACGAATTGTGTGTAATAATGTATGTACGTGCACGGGGAGAAGGGGGGCGTCTCGTTGCTTTCCACAATTGAATACTCCATGTAGCAGAATGTCTCGCGAATTAACAGGATGGCGATGCGCACTGCACCCCTCTCTCTGATCTTGATTTGCCATGCAGGGCCGCAGGACCGCTTTTCGGGTCTCGAAACAGGGCAATGGGTGAAGACTCCGTAGCTCGGGCACAGTACCACGAGCACTGGGGTACGGAGAGTTTGGTGCGAGGCTGTGTTCTGCCATGCTACTGATTGTCTTTTTGACGGTCGTTGAAACAGCAGTAGACTAGTATTCAGAGAGTATCTGCAGCGTTTCGAAACGCGGAGTCGTTCGTGCTGTCAAACACGACGTGGAGGGAGGGGAGGGGTGCTGTACGAGTAGAGTAGGTGTGTATGTGACAAGCAGGTGGGAGGGAAGGGTGTGGGCTGGGAGGCGCACGCACACGTGGGGAGATGGGCTTCCGCGGAATGCTACAGACTCATAGAGCATAGTGCCTTGTCCACCCCAGTCCGCTCGTATTAACGCTGTGACTCTTTGTGACTCTTGACCTGATGATTTGAATTTGATATCCTATCGGACGAAAGTAAAGGACGATGGACGAAAACAGGTAATGGCAGGCCCATGGCTGTTCGTGCGAGTGGTACTACAGTATACCGGTCCAGCTGTGGTCCTCGTATAGAGACTTGGAATAGACAGACAGAAACAACGTTCCTGGTTGAGACCCGCAATATGGTTTCTCTTGGCCATGTGAAATTCAGAAATGGGCAAGGCGTGAAGCAAACGAGAGGTTACTGCGCTGTACACGATAGACGAGCAATTATTAGATGCAATAGGTCCGCTGGCGAAAGGCTACTAAAAGTCCGGCCTTGGAGGTCAAGCAAATGGGCTGGCATAGGTTGGCATAGGCCCTTACCTCGTTGGGTCGAATTCGTGCGAGAAAAGGCGCCCTTAGAGAGACCATTGAGCCTGGCAATGCTCCCACAACGTTACATGCGTTACAGCCTTTGGGGCCATTTCTCGACAACAATGCAAAGCCCCAAGAAAAATAGACCTTAGTTTCTCTGGCTAAACGGTCGAATCATCATACTGCAGAAGGTCCGAAATGGATCAAGCAAGAGTATCGCAACATGGAGCGGATTGCGCGCAAGCTCCGTGGGAGCTGTGCCTAACGGACCCCGACTCTGTACGTACTATCGGTACAGCTAATGCGCGAGCAATCTATTCACAACTCAACAACAAATGATCGCACACTGCAGCCTTGGGCTGTGGAATCCTCTAGCACGTGCCGAAGGATTGATCATTGATCCAGCGACGCGTGTCGCGAATACAAATCGTCCAGGGCGGTATTTGGCGACCAGATATGCACCAGGGAAGGAAATTGTCCGGGCTTCCTGCAGTCAATGATCGCGCGCCGCAGTAATGCAGTAAGTGAAAAGTCTACGAGAACACAGAAAAGTCTCCTGTTGGAGCAGGCCATAGTCGGCCCCCAACTAGGTGCCGCCCTAGACACACATGACTCCGCCTGTTAGAGTGTTAAACTAGAGGGAGGCTGGTGGTCGGCAGGATTGGAAAGCGGTTGAGACATAGCTCCGCAAACGCCGGGGCAGACTGGCGACGAACACGAAACATACGTATGTCTATGATCTGTCCAGGCCTTTCTCAGCCATAGATACTGGTAATTACAGCGTAGAGGGTAATTACCAAATGTGGCATACACAGCGACTGGGATTCTGCCAGCCTGACGAAATTGGAGCACACTTATTGAGGTTAGTCGGCCTGGTAGCATTGCGAGTGCTAGTACTCGGATACGTTCGCTGCCTTCGGATACGCGGGCGGTTGAGACGGGTTGAGACGCTTGCGCCTAGACTGCAGTCATAGCCGGTGAGCTGTGCGTCGTATAGGACAGGCATCTTTGGGATGAGTTACGAGTACTTTGCAAAAATGGAATGCAATGCGAACGTGGAGTGCTCGCCAGGCAAAGTAGACCGGTGAAGCTCTTCTGTTAGGGAGGGGGATGAAGAGCTTCTGATATTTTGCATGTTCAACCATTAATTATATCCGTGTCCCAAAAAGGTACATGAATATCCTACTATGTAAGGGTCTTATTATCCACTCTAGATGCGGCAGGACCCTTTCCATCGTAAAGAGGTGAGAACTTTCTCCAGCCTTGCGGGATCTGACGTAGGTAAGCACTGGCGCGGTAGGGCATGAAGCTGACCAGTCGTAATCGTCCCTCGTGTTCGGATGTCAGATCTGGGGAATCTGAACCTGGAAGACCAACAGTAATGGCGATATGACATCATGTTCGTGATATGTATGAAGAACGTCTCCTCTGGTCCCAGCCATTGTGACTGGAACGGAATGCTACCGTGTGAGTATCTTTTGAATTTGTAAACCTTCTCACACTACTGTTTGCCTAACAGTTGATGAAATTAGAACATTCATCTAAGGGCACAGACCACACATGCTGCTTGTTCTGCACAATACAGCATCTAGTATTAACTTGTATCGGTCCATACGAGTAGAGCGAGCAAATTAGTTGCACCAGACGGCCAAATTCCCTCCCCGTTCCCCGTTGAGTATGCCAAATGAGGCAGGCGATGCATTAGGAATAGTCTTTTGGGAACCGTCCAATCGCAAAGCTTATTTGGAAGGATGGCGGCTAGGCCCTTGGTCCGATGCGGTCCAATTTGTTGTCGCGGCCACTTTCTCAAGCCATCATAGACTAAAGTCACTAACCTGAGCCCTTTCCGCTCTCTCAACTCGTATCATGGTTCGCCCTTGTTTAGATTCCTCATCCACGGCGCTGGCGGCCACCTATCTCGACCAGCCAAATGTCGTTCCACAGGTCCAAGATGATCGTCATCTGGATGATAAATTGATTCCTGCCTTGCTGGATTCCAAAGCCATCTTTGCCTCGTAGTGATGTCGTGGAGAATCGGCAAACCAATGGCTGGATCCTTCGTATCTTGTAATTGCCACTTGCTGAGGGGTCCGTACCGTAACATGAACAAAGTGCTTAGGATGTGCGGATGGCTGCCGGCGCTAGACCCATCAAGTGGACCCCAACTGGTAGACAGTTTCTGATACGCAACAAAAAAGAATACAGACATGCCGTGTCCTTTGTGGGGGTATCTCCTAGTGGAAAATTCAAGGAAGACCGGATGTCGCGCTGCATACTCAACATTGTTGCCTGGAGATCGTGCGAATGGATGCATTGCTGGTTTTTCCAATCCATGAGGCAGATTGAATCGGAGTGGAGACTCATATAACAACGAGTTTCAACATTGTGATACCGGTCAGCCAACTCTCTCCATCAGCCACGCACCTTGCACCGACCGGGGCGCGAGCACAGACTGCCGATAATCCTATCACGTGATGCCGTTAAGACCGCGGGCCAGACGACACTTGACCGAGATAGGAAAATGGCGGAAGGCTCAATGAAGCACTAAGCAGCGTCCATGATTGGTGGCAGCCGTAGGACCTCAAGATGGCCTGAGATAGCGGCTGGTAGCGACATTAAGTCTATCCAGAAACCCTTATTCATCAGGTCCAAAAGTAGAATCGGTCAAGATAGTGAGTTGCCATATTAGTTGTCTCTGTGACGTAGCCGTCGCTGTGCTGTCTGCGCCCTTCGGAGACAAATCTGGCAGGCTGTGAGCCTTGCTAAGTTCAACATTAGTTGCTTCAGAACCACAAAACCACTCATAGATACATACACTGCTTTTGGAGATTCCGGAGATGTCTTAACTTCTGTCATTTGCATTATACGACGATGGCAGACCACGTATGCAAATAGGGTTCCTCGACAATTCCCCAATCAGAATTCATACCGAAGGTCCCGCCTTCTAGTCGGGCGAAACTTGACCTCTAAGCTGAATCGTAGGGACGATATCATACTTTTGTGCTCGAGTCAAGTGGGAGGCCTAAAACCAGCGATTAGCTATTTTGCAGCGATACCTAGACTTTGGAGACCAGCTGGGAGTGCCGATAACACAGGTGTGATTCGGTAAAGGCAGATCTCTCGACAGCTTGGATATGACTGGTAGCCCCGATATGTCCGAATGCCCTGCCTATCATTCGGACACTTACCAGATGGCTCGACGAGCCGTCTGAGATTCTGGATATCCTCAGTGCGCGTACCAGAGACCAGTTTTCCATTCTTTCTTCTTTTCTTTTTCCGCGACGCCATCAAAGGTACGCCCCGAAAGTTGGTTGCACATACCGGCGTCAACTCCGTCGACCAATGCCGGGTTCGCAGCTGTGGTGATGCGTTGGTGTGTCTCACAGCTCATCGCGGGGTTCACTCGAGGAGGTGGAAGTTTTGCGGCGCTTGATCCTCAATACGCCCCGCATGAGAATGGCTCACAGTTGAGATCGGAGAAAAAGGAAGTAACACGCCCTACGGGCTGACCCACCAGTGAATTGCTCGCTCACGGTAGATATCCGCATCGACGCCGCACTTTGCCACTTGGCTTCGTTGTGGACGTAGTGTGTGAGAGAAAGCATGACGAGGGGTAAGAGATGTGAAGTTGAGGAGATGTTGTGACTGCCCACCATTGTTCAGTCAGTAGTCGTGGCAGGTTGTCACTAGAACGTCCCTTCCCTTCTTGGCCGTCATACACGTCCTCAATGTCCGAAGCTAATGGCCACAAATATTGCCTCGCTGGAAATAGTTCAGTAAGAAGAAGAAATTAAGGGGAGTTTAAATCGAGGATAATTCGAATTATCAAAGTTCCAATTCCTCAAAGGAGGTGTCCCTATGTGCCAGATCACGGGGCGTAGTCTCGTACCTTTACAGCGGCGATGGAAGCGTCGAGGATGCTCTTTTCGGGCAATTCCCCTGAATGATGCTCCTTCTTTGAAATTTGATAAGACGTTTGCGGTATATTGTCGCTATTTTGCGACCATGTTGGCCAGGTTCGGAAAATAGTTTCTTTTTTGATTGACCGTTCACAAAAATAAATCTGCTCAAAATCTCATCGACGAACGCCCTGGGAATTCATCCAAACGAAGTTCGTTAGTGTCTAATCTGATCGTTATTTTCAGCGTCCACAAATGCTAAGGAAAGCAGGCCAGCGTATGTGTGTGTGTGTGCCATGCTGCAATGGGGCACAGGTTCGCTAAGTTGGGCGCTTCGAGAAGGTTACTGTATGGTCCCGTTCAGGGCGAAGGATTCCCGCACTGGCACCGCACTAGTAATGAAACGAAACGTGCTCGGCCCTATGATACTGAACCTCCACCACCACCATCACCACCACCACTTGGCAGATTCCTGACAGGCGGGAACGGCAGCAAAAGTAAGCTGTAGGGCTGTTGCAGAAGTATGCTTGCTGGCGTCCACAATGATGATGCTGCAGGCATACTTTCTTGGAGATGCAGTACGACCACACCTCTTTTGGCGAGGTTGTCTGCCCTTGAATTGTCTGATTGTAAAAGATATGCACCTACAGAGTAGAAGGAGGGTTCAAGCATTGTCTAGAAAGGGATTAGCTTTGCGCATCGCTACTCAAAGCAAAAACGTCCCTTTCTGTCTTGGGCTTTCTTGTTCAGATGCAGCCTTTAAATTATTGGGGTAGGGGGACGAGGGGGGGTCTGGTCTGTCTATCTGAGTTTACCCCGCCAATATGGGGGAGTTCCGCCTGTCGCCACGCGTGATGACGGAGCACCCGGCACCCGTTTCACACCCAAAACTCCAAGACTCAAGACGTCTGCCACGAGGTTTTGCTGACCCCATGCATTTTCTGTTATCGGCCGCAATCCTGGCGGGAAAGCTGCTGTCAGATAGGGCTGAAGACGGTGGAGCGGTCGACGACGGGAGTTCTTCGATCATCATAGCATGTAGCAAACGTTTTGGCAACATGTATCACCTTTGCGAGACCAAATGACGCTGTTGTGGGAGTCACCAGTAGCATGGTTTCTGAATGCGCGAATGATTGTATGGGTACAACTCGCGGGCGGACAAGGTCGGCATGGAGACATTCTTAGCGTGAGGAGACATTGTTGCCGTTCACATCTTTGGAGAGGTCCCGCCAAAAGCCGAGCCATTTACGCCCGGCGACAATTGATTGTACGTCCAGAGGACCGCAAACGGGAGCATGTGCTGTAGATTAGAAGATCTGCTATGCAGAGTATCGGTGAGTGGCATATGGGGGTATTGCAACCAACAACATGTCGCACACTCACAAGCCATCTTACGGATGCTGTCTACCAGAGCATCATGGGTTCACTGAAGGCCCCGGGAAAGTGGTGGTGTAGTGAACTCTATCCAAGGAGAATAGGTGATCCTATACGTTCATTCGCTCCTTGGGTGGTAGCCCTACGGGAGTGACGAACGACTGGGTCGTAGGGCTGGGGGAGAGAAGAAAGATGGTGTCGGCGCACGGTGGATGACCCCAGTCTTTGGACTAGACCCGTTTCCGGACAAGTGTGGGGTGTAAAAATAGACATTCCCCACCATCCACCAGTGACCAACGCGAGTTTGCGACTCTACCCCATCCATCCACCTGTTCGCTGCCAACAGTGAATGCGCTTTACGCGGTAGCAGTTTATATTTGGAAATCTTTAAACATTCCCAGCGTCTAGCAACCGATCTTCTCATTGCGAATCTTGGGAACATGTCTGCATACGCGTCAATAGTGTAGATGTTGATTATTTTTGAAAGATTGCAGCAAAGTGGTTTTGTAGACGATTTAGCAGGATGGGTTTGTTTCAATACCGTCTCTACTCAAGTGGGTAGAATCAGCCTACCCACTGTATGACGGATCAACAACAGCCTCGTTTAAAGGGATTCCTGATCGGTAACACACCCCCAACCGATGTTCCCAGTAGCAGTGATACTACTACTGCGACCTATGCGAAAGAGGACTCATCGCACGCTGTATGGAACATCGCTATCTGCACAGGAATGCGCAATATCTACTTGTATTGCACAGAAATGGGTTGGGTTGGGACGAGTCGGTGAGCGCTGCTTGCCTCGACACTGGCGCATGCCGCTTAGATTCCCCCATTTGGCGTAGTTCTTGCGAGCAGCGAATCCGGGGCTGGCACGAGCTGAACCCCAGCACCGGTAGAATAGCATGCCACCCCTACCAGCCAATGAGGGCTCCCCATCGATTCGACCAGCCTTGCACACTCACCGACACCGTATCCCAGATGGCAGATGCCCATACCACACCTGCAATTCTGCCTCGCCGTACGCAAACGGACACAACAAGTAAATGCTGCGGACGCGGTGGGTCGCCGTCCCTTTCGTTGCGTAGTTGCATCGCAGCGCTGGATGGGAAGTGCGAATCTGTATAACGGCCCATCCAATAACTACAACCTTTTCTCCTAATCGGTCGGATATGCTTGGGAAAATGCACGATTCCCTTGCCGACAGCATCAAATACTGCTAGCATCATGAGTAGTCAAGTCAAGTGCGCATGCGCGGCGAACGTTGACTCGTTGCGGATGGATATCTGCAATTCTGTCGCACGACTGCTCTGAACCGTATAGTATACCCTATGCAGCTCATAGTGCTTTCATTCCAGTGCCACGCACATGCTTTGTGATGGCGTCGTACGGCCGGCGCAGGATGTGCACTTTCTCGGATATCTCGTGATGCTGGGGGTGCGACGGACGAGCAGTCGGCCTGTCGTACGACCGATAGGTCAAGTTGATGATCAATCCCTGTGCCAAGACTGTGCTTTGTCACGAACTTGGGTAGTTATACTGGCACATCCAATGAATTTCCTAAACAGGCAGTCTAGCTAGCCGTGCATTCATGATTTCAAATGTCTATCTTCTATAGATTCTACCTAGCCATTTTTGGTACGTACGATTGCGCCATGGAGGAATCAAAAAGAAGCCGCAATTGTTCAAATAATTAATGGGAACAATGAGGTCTGCCAAAGCTTGCGCTGTCTTGTTCCGCGGACCTAATAAGCGTCTCGCGCGAGGGAAATGAACATGATGTGCAATGGTCTTGTAGAATTGCCAGTCGCTGAGCCATAGCTCAGCCCAAATACCCATGCTGAAGAGCGAAGGAACCCTTTTCAGCCACAGGGCCTAATATGACTACAATAGTATAATTGCACGCCTATTAAACGATCTATTCTCGTTGTAGATATTGAGGAACGTGAATCCAAGATCCTGCTGGCCCACTATTGTCTTGACCAGCCTCCATGGAAGCAAGATTGGTGATCTAAACGGAGCGTCCGTAGACCTTGATGCGGTGACCAAATATCCTTTCAGCTTCTACCAAGCGAACAAGCGATCGCTGTGGATACTGCTTTTTGATGCTGAAACTTTCTCCCGCGATAGCGCTTATGTAGCGACGGAGCAATTCATACCGGTCATCAGTATCATGAGTATGCTTCCCTGGTAGGAGCTAATGCTGTCTTACCCTGGAGCTTGTTGCAGACTGCGACACTCTCAATGGGAAGCTGCCACATACCTGATCAACATATCTTATAACAGATTGAAAACGAGGGTGCTGAAGATGCAAAACATATGCCCATTTGCCGTTGTAGGCCTGACATGGCTGATCAAGTAGCAACGATGCGAATCTAGCTTGAAACTATCCCCACATCGTCCGATACAATTTCGAGATTCTTGCAACGATGCAACTGCGACTGCCCATTGGTGAGCAGATATCAATGCGATGGGCCACTGTAATGAATCCAAGGAACAGAGACAGCTGAACGTAATGGGTCGCCAATACTGATACCGCCTGGCCCAAGCCTTGATAGAACTCATATTGCTCCATGATTATTGCGGAAATTAGTAAGGGAACGTCTCGCTTCCGGAGTGGTGGAGCAAGATGGCATTAACGTGCAATTGGGCGGTCACGTAATATTGCAATGGACCCCAACTGCAGGGGCTGGTTGACGCTAAATGCATATGTCTGTAGGCGGAATTGGGCGTCTCTACACATTACTTTGGACTTTTAGATTTGTCAAATTCCGTGAACAAAAAGATAGGGACTCTGCAGTTACGATGCCTAGAGCTGGAAATGTTTCCGAAATGTGACCGGACAACGCAGCATGCATTGAATGAAGGGTATGGTCACCCTACTCCAACAGACGACGGAAATTCGTTGTCGACCCTTGGTCCAGATTAGAATTAGCAGCCTGTTATGAAGATCCTCTGAGATTACCATTATTGATATGCATTAGTTGCTCAACAGCAAAGGGCCAGGTGCTTCTTGCCCACCAGTCCATACAGGGTTCGACGGAGAGCGGTCTAGTGCTTGGAGAGAGGACGTCGGGATACGGCGCAGCCGTTCGGCAATAACGGTGCTAGAGTAGTGCCGTGTCGTCAGCCTTGATGGCCTTTTCGATACTGCGCATGCGAATTGTTGAACTGGCTTGAGGACGGATTAAAGTGCTGAATAGAGACGGTGGTGCTGGGACAAGGCAAACATGGGGTGCGTCTGTGGGCGATGGTCGACCTCAGAACATCTGGATCCAGGCTGAGCTGGATGCATGATTGGTAGGAACGTATACTCGGACGAATACATCATGCAACAAGCTTCGGAAGACGCTGACGCCAGCCTGATTCTGGCAGTTCGCGGGGGGTAAAGTGCTCACCGACAGGCGTGCGAAGGTGCTGATGGTCGGGAGTGCTACTCACAGCCCTATGCAGTCAGATGCTTGGTACTGAAAGAGCCCCAGGGGCCGCACCAAGTGCTGGCCCATACAGTACGACAACTTGGGGGAACATTTATCAAAGTGAGCGTTAGGCGGCCCAAGTAGATCTCCAGAATAGGTATTATTATTACAAGCCTGAGGCGAAGTAAATGCCAATCTGCGTACCTCGTAACACCTATCTGGAGAACGATCGATGCAAGATAATCATGTGGAATTTGGCTCTGAGAAATGTAGCACTGGAGGAAGCTAGACTTTGGTGTGTCTCTTACCAAGCAGGTGGGCGACGAATCGATGAACTACTGGATACTCCTCCGCCAGGCCGGGACATCAATCCGCTCTCCAAGTAATCCAATCAGAACTGGCTCTTGGTGACGAAGATCGAAAAAATATCTCCACTAGGGTTGCCACCATTATCACCACCACACCACTATCAAAAGAAATAACTACCAATAGTGGGATAGCATGCATCGTGCTTCGTTCTTCAAATTCATTGAATGAACTGGCTCTTGCTTGTGCAAGTTTGCGAACCCATCCTCAAGGAGCCTGCGAGCACAACCCTGTGACCGTGTTTAGCAAGGGTGGTTCACTAGGGTCATAGGGCGATAGGTAGGATTGATTCCACTGTAGGGTAGAAACGCGCGAGCCCGCCGATTTGGAATCCCATCCGTGATTTCATGGTTGGTGGAAGGGGCCAGGACTCGTCGACTGCCACACCACAACCGAGAGATAGATGGATGGTACCGCTGCGGACATACCGTACGGTCGCTGCCAGCCCAAGGCGGTGTGCGTTCTCTGTGTCTTGCCCCGACAACGTTACGCAGCAGAACGAGCACCGCGACATAACACGCTATGTGGCCAATAGACGTCAACGGCGCTTTGTGGTCTACCGACAGCATTACTGATTTGTTATGGTGCTCATACCAAGCGGGCAAGCCCATATGGATTAGAGAGCAGCAACACCAGTATACGCAGTAACTCCGTGGGGCATACCAGTCACCGTTCGCACTCGCACACACTGTGGGATGATGCGAGGAGCGAGCGGAGCGATGAACGAACAACTGAACATAACGTACAGCAGCACCAACGAATGAACGAACGGACGGACCAGACAAGGCAGTTCCCTCAAGGATTTGTGCTATCTTTGCCCAGGCACTCCTGGGCAATTTACCCAGAGGAGTCACTGCTGGGTGGTGTTGCTTCCTTTGCTGCCACTATGAGTGTTGCGAAAGCCGCTACGGAATACTGTTGCCTTTCGGCCCCCCGTCCCTTTGGGGGCAGCTGCGAGCAATAGTGCCTGTTGCAACTAATGTGCCTGGCCAAATAAAAACCTTGGAGTAGCGGGGACATACTCGAACAGAATCCTGCCGCACGCTTTCTGGTCCAATATCTAGACTCTGCATCATAGCGGGATAGTCGGAGTTGGGCTATCTAATGTTGATGATGGCGATGATGATGATGATGATGATGAATCTCGCAATCCCCGTTTGGGGTAGTCGGCAATAGGCAATCGCAAATGCGCTCCAACCGCAGCGAGGACTGGAGGCTCCGGATGCTCTCGGGCGGGAAAGACTGTGCCTCCCGTCGCCGCAGGCGCCGTCGTAATGAGCCTCTACGGCAGGCTCCGTAGGGAGGATAGGAAGCCATGGGGAGAATGGCATGTGTGTGTGCGGGCGTACTCCTACACCTACATTCTGCGTGCCGTGCACAGTTGGCCGCTTTTCGCTCATTGCTGGAAATGATGGACTGTTGCTGTCTCGCGATTGCAGTGTCCACACTGGGTCTTGCTGGGTTGCGCATTCATACCTACATGAGGTAGACCGTAGACCGTAGACCGTAGACCGTAGACCGTAGGTGGGAGTGGGAAAGTTAGTGCGTCGCTGGTGCATGCTTGGTTGACCGCCTCAGAGGACGAGGGGAGTGCGGACATGGAGTGGGAGTAGGGGGGTTTAGGGGTGTATTTTTCAGGGCCGTTGACCCGCAGTATCGGTGGGCATTGTTCTGTCCGTGAGGTGGACGGTGGACCCCCCGGACGAAGCCTCTCAAGGGAGGGAGGAGGGGAGAGTGTGCGTGGGTTGAGTTGGGGACTTTGGGGGGGGGGGGCACTGGGAGCACTCGCACTGCTACTGGGGGGGGTTGTAGCGGCATGCTCAGCCTTTCACCGGCACGAGCAACCCCTGCACCGCTGCGCAATCCTAGCAGCCCTGTACTAGCGCGGTGCCAAATTTACGGTGCAGAAAGGCGGCGTCGACAGCGCCAATCGCCTACACCAAGCCAGGGTGGTTACATGTCCTGTCCTAAGTCTGTCTCTCTCTCTCTCGCTCATCTCTCTGTCTTGTCTCCGCCCTATGTATGAATGTCCCAAATACAGAAAGGCTAACGGCCGAGCCAAACTCCGGCCTGTCCTCCCCCTCCCTCCCTTTCCCCTTCTCTTTCCCCCCCCTCCCACCCCTCGGGGCGTTGCTGAAGGACCAGGGTGGTCTGCGAGGGGGCCTTACCCTTATCCAAGTACAGCTCCAGCACGCACTCCCTCCCACTAGCAGGGATCTCGAGCTGCCATGTTGCTCCTCTTGGGAACGTACGTCGGTGCGGGAGTGCTGGGTGTGCCTCTCCCTCTTCCTCCATATGTGTGTGAGTGTGTAGGCAAGCCATTGATAAATATGGCACATGCTGCCCCCGAATCAACTCTTTCCCATCCTGTCCAACCCACATATATCAACTCCGACAACACACTTCGAAGATATATATTCCACCTCACCCCTCTTCTCAAGTCGAGTACTTCCAACAATTCACCTTACAACACCTCCTACCCTCCCCCACATACTCGACTACTATCCTCTTCCTTTCTTCACAATGCATCGACACGCTGGTTACCAGTATGCCGCTCCGGCACCCACCACACACAGATACTCTGGCACTTCAAGTGCCTTCAGTGCTTCTGCCAACCCCAATGAAGATTGGACCAAGATCTCAGACCTTGCAGAACGCCGCAGGATACAGAACCGCATTGCCCAGCGCAACTACCGTAAGTGACTGTCCATATCAACCATGCTCTTTCAAGAATGATACTGACCATTCCCCAGGCAAGAAGCTAAAGAAGAGGCTCGAAGACTTGGAGCGTCGTGCTGCTTCCAGCTCTGCTTCACCAGAGCAGAAGCCGGCTGAGCTTCAGCTGCCAACTCGTTCACCCCGCCAGGAGTTCCCCTCCCCAGCCTCATCAGAGTCCGACTACAGCCGTCGTACTCCCGAGCTGCACAACCAGTACATTCAGCCTCATGACGAACGCGGCATGTTCTCGCACCAGTACACACGCCAGCTTTCTACTTCCCCACCACCATTCTCGTACTCGACGTATCCAGCTCCCGAGACGGCTGCATACACTGTGCCATACAGTGCACCACAGGCGCCCTATCACGCAGTGGTAACCACTGCCACACCGGAGATGCCCGTCTATACACCATACCTCCCACCACTGTCGTCTGCCTACCCCACAACTCTTCCAAGTCTTGTGCATCCCATGAAGAGCGAATACTATGCCGACGAAGAGATAAGTCCATTTGGCGTAGGCTACGCTACGATGGCGGGGATTGATATCCCCCCTCCACATCCGTACTCGGAAGCCGAATCTGCTCATGTAAAGCTCCCTCCCCGAAAAGCATATTTCGCACATTAGAGTCCTTTCCATTCCAACCATGCCACTGCATTGTTACGACGAGCCACAACGCTGACAGTCAGTGGCAGACACCACCACTCTCTGAGTGCTTCGAATCATCGCTAGGTGGATCGCCGCCAGAGTCAGGTTTCCCAACGACACCCAACTCTTTGCCGCGAACTCCTCCCATGACCCATATTCAGATCTGTTGAACAGTATTTGGGCCGCGTTGCTCTCAATGTTCTGCTTCTCAAGGGACCTCGGTTCCTGTACATTAGTTTTGTGCTAGCCTTGTTTTTCTACCTTCTTTCTCTTCTTGTTGTATATGCATTTCAGCGACCGGTCATTTGGGTATAAATCGACGGACGGTTCCTTCGCTCGGTTACGAAAGCGCGATTGATTGGTGTATTGGCGAATATGGTATTGGCCTTAGGAAGGCCCCTCTCCTCATCTTCAATGTTGGGAAAGACTGGGTTGGTTTTAGAGCCTGAGCCTGGCTATGAAGCCTGCTGTGGACACAACACGCTCGTTGCACCCACACAATGTGGGCGATTCTGAATAGTGACGAGAATACGATTTTTAAACACTCCAATTCCTTGCTCTTTATTGATATACTTGAGACCAAATCGTGTGAGGTGATTGTATGGTTGCTGTGTGATTGCTTTGTGTGAGGTTCACCTTGGAGTTCATGTCGTTGGTTGAATACGAGAAGGCCCGACGTAGTTGGCCTGTGACATCGTGACTCCGCGCGCATGCCAAGCACGGCGAAACGCGTCGTTCCTTCTGTCTTTGTCAACCGAACGTGAGTAAGCCAAAAGTTAATTCCAACAACACCAAACACCATGGCTCCAACGCGCAAACGGACGAAGATCGATCAAGCACGCCAGTTCCTCAGCGGCGGTGCTGTCTATCGTGAGGATTCCGACGACGAGCTAGGCTACGAGGACCTCCCTTGGGAATGGATCTATGAAGAACACGATGAGGCAGAGGACACACAGAACGCTACGCCTAGGAAGCGCAAAGCTTCCGAAGCGTTGGGATCAAAGCGCAGTATTGTTGGAGCACGAATGGGCACCTTCAAATGCAAGATAGGGGATATAGTGCTGCTGAAAGCTGAAGGAAACCAAGCATGGGTCGGCATCATATGCGACTTCTATCATGATGAGGACGAGGACGAGAAGATGGCAAAATTCCTATGGTTTCTATCCGAACGCGAAATTCGCGACAAGAGCACAAAAAGGACTGACTTCCTACCCGTACGTTTCACTTGGATCCCCCTTGGCATTCTTCCCTGCTAATCTCACACAGAACGAGTTGTATATCTCCACAGCCACCGACGATAACCCCTTAGCTTCAATCAACGGCACTGCGACCATAGTATCTGCGGAAGAGTTTCATCGAAGACACCCAAATGGTCAGGTGAAAAGGACATCGCGCGACTATGGGAAAATCTTTGTTTGCAGGAGAGGCTGCAATCAGCGTACAACTACATACACCCCTGAGTTCCAGTGGGACGAGGTATACCAAGGTGCCGACGATATTGCCGCTCTTGTGGAGCGTGTGGAAACACAGACCAAAGCTACCAGGAAAAGAGGGCCCGGTCGACCACCGGGGCGTACTGTTAAGGCAACGGAAGATCAGGACGAGTTTCTTGTTCCCAAGTCTGACGATGATGGGGCTCCAAAGACACCCAAAAAGCGCCGAAAGCTGAACATCGCAACCACACCAACTTCTGCGAAAAAGGACAATCGGAAGTTCCTCACCCCGACCCACAAGCGTATAGTGATCAAAAAGCCGCTCGAATTTACCCCGCTTGGAACTCGTATACTATCCCCGTCGGCAATATCCTCACCTTTCCAGCAGGCACGGAACCAGCTCCATGTTTCTTCGGTCCCAACAGCGCTTCCCTGCCGCGAGGAAGAGTTCTCGACAGTGTACAGCCATTTGGAAGCAGCTATCACAGATGGATCAGGATCCTGTATCTACATCTCTGGTACCCCTGGTACAGGCAAAACTGCTACCGTGCGGGAGGTTGTGGCACAATTACATGCATCGGTCCAGGCCGAAGAACTGGATGACTTCATTTTCGTCGAAATCAACGGCATGAAAGTCACCGATCCCCATCAATCCTACTCCCTGCTGTGGCAAGCTTTACGCGGTGATCGAGTCAGCCCAGCGCACGCACTCGAACTTTTGGAGCGAGAGTTCTCGACCCCTTCGCCCCGTCGAATACCATGCGTGGTTCTCATGGACGAACTAGACCAGCTTGTCACTAAGAACCAGTCCGTCATGTACAATTTCTTCAACTGGCCTGGACTGCGGCACAGCAGGTTAATTGTGCTCGCTGTCGCAAATACTATGGATCTTCCTGAAAGAACATTGAGTAACAAAATTAGCAGTCGCCTAGGTGAGTACATGGATTGCGATCCTCTCAACTGCACCTCTCAAACAGGGCGAATGCACTTGTTGATTCCCCCTCAATATGTTCCAGACAGCACTATCCTTTGTCTCTCCTGTTGCGAGCCACATACGCGTCATTTGGATATATTTCTATCACGTCTTTCGCAATGCGAGGGGCCCTAGCATATGCTCTTTTAGGCAAGGCTAACGCACACCCCTAGGACTCACGCGCATCACATTCCCAGGCTATACGCATGATCAATTAATGTTAATTATACAGTCCCGTTTGGAAGGCGTCTCCGGAAACGTCGTTCACCCCGACGCTGTCCAGTTCGCCGCACGCAAAGTCGCAGCAGTGAGCGGTGACGCACGGCGTGCTCTGGATATTTGTAGACGAGCTGTTGAGATTGCAGAGACAGAGGCAAGAGCTCGAGAAGTCGAGGAAGAGTCACAGCCAGCAACGCCTTCAAAGACGGGCCGCAACAAAGCTAAAGAACCATCAGGTCGGCTTCTTACCGATTCCGGTGATGCGGATAGTATATTGCAGAAACGTCCTGGCGGTGCTAAATCGAAGGGAGGTGTCGTAACGATAGCGACGATCAAACAAGCCATCAACGAGGCCACGAGCAGTCCCCTGCAGCAGGCACTACGGGCGCTGCCGTTGGCTTCCAAAGTCCTACTTGCCGCGCTCTTGGCACGAATCCGGCGGACAGGTATTGGTGAAGCCGTTCTTGGGGATGTTATTGATGAAGTCAAGAGGTTGGGATTGATGAGCCAGCTGCAACCCGTGCATGACTATCTACTTTCCACAGGCGACATTGAAAATAGCGTCGACACGAGGCAGAGTGTTGGAGGCGTCTCTGCCGCCTCGCATCACGAAAACAATGGTCAACAGGCCACATCCATGATAACAATAACGACACCCCGCGGCGGCAGAGGCGGCGTCCATGGGATCACGAGTTCAAAGATCGCAGATGGAAAAGCAGCTCGCGCCCTCGGGCTACGAGTCGCAGCCTTGGAGCTGGCAGAAGCAGGTATCATAGGTGTCGAAACACGACATGGGGACCGCGTTGGTCGAATGCGGCTGGGTATTGGCGACGAGGAAGTCCGTCTGGCACTGGGAGAAGACGACGAAGTCAAGGGGCTTGGTTTCGGATCCTCATAGGGCTTGCCAGATCTATCTAATCAGAAAGGCGCTGCCTTCAAAAACACGAGTCTCGACTGCCTTAATTGTTTGTGATATAGTCGTGGCGCGTGAATGCATGGTGGGTGGCACGGTGGATGAATACCTAGATGTGGTAGTAGCGGAGGGGGCACCCAATCCGTGCCATCGCCTTGAGCCTTTATTCCTTTGACTCAAGACCGAGCTGTACGGAGTACTGTATTGCATTCGCATTCGATGCTGCATTGCAAGTTCGCACATCTGCACAAACCGGTGAGTGCCCAAGTGGAAGAGCGAGCACGCACTCCTTGCACACCTCCCACTCGACGCCTCGCGAAATGGCGTACAGGCGTGCGTATTTCTTGGTGGCACAATAATGCGATACGTCCAAATCGCCTGCCTGCCTAAATGAAGACCACAACATCGTGGCAGCCACCACCACCACCATCGAGAGAAAGCGGATCACCGTCCAGCCTATGAAACCGCTCAGAACCACAACTCGGGTCCCTCCCCATTCCACTCGTGACCTTTGAATGCAGGACCCGAGACGGAGGTTCTGAAAGGCAAAAAGGTAAACAAATACGGGTCGGGATACGGGCGACAGCACACCCACGCCGTCCTTCGCTACGGTGTGCCGCCTGTGCCCGAAGCTCTGTCGTCCATTAACTAATGGCTGTTTGTTTGCTGGGACAGCGACGGTGACGGTGCAAGATCATGCGGCTAGGGATGCGTGTGTGTGTGTGGAAGAAGGGGCACACAGCATGTGATGGATGAAATGCTTGCAGGCTGCAGCCACTCTCCTCCTCTCTCTGTCTCTGCCTTGCTGTAGAAATAGACCCTATTGCTGGGGTCGGTCCTGCTTCCGTGCATGTATTGAAGGATCCAAAAGGTTTTTTGCCTGCTTGAATTTTGCCGTAGGAGCGTGCTTTCGACGTCTTAGGGGGGCCAGACTACATGGTGAATCATAAAGGAATAACGTTATGTTTCGCGACGAAATAAAGAGACGTGGTGGCTTGCATTTTGATCATGATGACTATGCGTGCGGTGGTTCTCTTTGTATTATTTACTAAACGTTGCTTACTCTTTCCCTTTTCGTGTGGAGCCGAAGTTTGTACGGAATAACTAGCAGAGGGACGTCCTGCGTAACTACGGCGTGTGAGAGGCGATTGTGTTATAGGCTGGTCCGTGGGTTACAATGGATGCAGTGGCAGGTTGGCAGGTAGGCAACGACAGCATACGCCATGCCGATTAGGGATGCTACTCGCGAGCCGCGACTGCATAATAGACCAGATAAAGTGCTTCTGTGGGACATTCCCCGACGCCTTCCATGGCCATTCGAGAAGGAATGGGGGTGGCGTTGTTTCGTTCGGTACGATGAGGAATGCGAGAAACGCCAGCAGCAGGAAAACGCCATCGTTGCACGGTGATACACACCCGCAGAATCTGTATCACGGACATGCAGATGAAGGCACAACACTGAGCAGGGCTGTTGCCTTGCAGACGCAAGGATGCATGTTTATTAGACAGTGAATGATATCTGATGTTTATTATCAATTGAACTAGTTTTGGTATCATTTCCCTCCCGCGCTATTCGATGCAGATGTAACTCCTGGTTCCAAGATAAATGTTTGTACAAAAGACATGGATGCTCTGGGCCCGAGTTTCTGTACTTCGGCCCGGAGCGCCTTTCCGCATGCTGGATACGCTTTCCATTCGGTGAAATAGAAACATGGTCCTGCATGCCCGATTGGGTTTTGCAGAGAGGTGAGCAAGCCACGAAGGGCATCCCGTGCTTGCTTCTCACCGCTGGCAGAGATCGTACTTCAGGCCGATTCGTCCTTTCTCCGATGTTCTGTCCTGGCACAACTTCACGTCCTGTCAAGGCACGAAGCCCCTTGATCCGTTCACAGCTGCGCAGGGCACTGTCTGTGAATAGATAGAGTGACCGAGAATTATTCACTCTGGCAGCCGAAAACCCATCCAATGATGAGACTTTTCGAAAGCGTCACAACCTCCGCCCCCGCTGAATGAGCAATCGTGAAGTTTAGAATTTCTGGCGTCCAAGTGTTGGCTTCCATTCAAGGGGGTGCGACTCTTCAGTGGCATTATCGTCCTGCTTCCATATCTTGATACTCTTGTCCGATTCGCCTATATGAAGTCAGCAGTTGGCCAAAGTCAGGAGGAGAAATATGCACATACCTGTAATCAATCGGAGTCCGGTACGGTCAAAGGTCGAGCACATGAGACCGGCTTCAGCTTCCAGAGAACCAGGTTGCGCTACGCTCTGCGTTGACTGGAAACGATGTCCTGTCTTCCAATCCCAGAAGGCAACTGTGCCATCGTCCGCGCCAGAGAACATTACGTTGTCTTCATTGACCGAAAGAGTATTGATGATTCCATTATGTCCCTCGAAGTTTTGCATAAAAGCACCCTCGGGACACTTCCATTGTTTGATAGATTGCGATGAACCAGAAGCAAATGTGAATTCCTTGGGATGGAGGGCGAGTGTTCGGACACTCTTCTTGTGGTGTGTGAGGACGCCCATGGTCTTACCGGCCGCAAGATCCTATAAATGGTCAGTTTTCATGTTCGAAAGTAGTTCATAGACCAAAGCTCATGTCTCCTCCGTGAGGTTTGCGACAAATCACTGCATTGTATGCAGGATATGAGAACGTGAGCGATGCAGGTAGATTATGCACTCACCCAAAGTCTGATGGTAGAATCCATTGAGCCTGTAATAACCTGGGGATCTGCTTCCTATTATGCGTTAGAAGCATTATCACGAAACAGGAAGTATTGATATGACTTACTTGACATTTCAAATCCGCTACCGTACCTTTGTGACCCGAAAGGACATGGATGTTTGTGCGTGTTCTCATATCCCATACACGAGCTACGCCATCACGTCCACCCGTCACAAGAACGTCGAGGGTAGGATGGATATCCAAAGTGTATACGCCAGATAGATGTCCATGATAATGGCGAATGACTTTGTTCCTCTCCAAATCCCAGCACTTCACCATCTTATCCTCTCCGCACGAGAACAAATACGGATGCCGCGGAGAGACAGCCTGCGTTCTGTTAGCGGAGGCAAAAATGAAGGATTCAAACCTCCAAAGAGCTGTAGCAGTTGCAATCATGACTCTAGGAGGGATGTTAGACATTCAGACGTACCAAGCCTCTGACAGCGGAAATGTGACCCGTGAGGGTTAATTTAAGGGATCCTGATGCCAAATCCCAAATCTTGATTGTTCGATCAGCTGCTCCACTAGCAAACCACTGATTGTCGGGATCTGTCGCCAAACTCCTGACCCAACCCTGCTTTTGGTTAACGAAATGTCCAATCTTCCTTTGATGAGATTGCTCACCATATGACCAGATATCACACGCATCACTTTCCACGGTGCGTGCCACTCAGGTTTCACCTGTCGCACCGTGTCTTTCCTCACCAAGGCGCTGGATGGGAGATTTCGCATAGGAGTAGGACCTGTCGCATTGGGCGCCGCGCCCTTTCCACCTGCCCTCAATGTCAAGGCTGTAGACTGTGCCGATTTTGCCTGATCCGCCTTCTCGGAAGCTCCCTCAATCATTTTGCGCATCTTAGGATCAGAGGCTTGCTCCTCTGCATTCGCATTCTTGATCTTCTTTCGCCTCTCTGCCGCCGTAGACGCTGCGCTGGCCATCTTCTGCGCCAACGCGGGCGGAAGTTCTCTCACATGTTCATATTCATTCCGTATACGCGATGACACATTAATTTGATCAGCGAGATCTTGCGAGGAAGTCGACGGTGGAGGAATTGAGAATGCAGATGTTGAGGAATGCCCCAAGGCGGCCGGGGAAGCAAAATCTGCGGCGAAAATCTCTCGAGTACGTTTCGCAGACGTGCGGACAAGTTGTTCGGGGTCTTCGAGCGACATTCTGAGGTATCAATAATGGGATTTGGCGTTGAAGTTGGAAAGCACCGAGCTATAACATTCGCGATGACCTCCGCGAACATTTCACTAGCGCGTCACGGATATACGTTGTTCCCCAATCATGATGATTCAATATCTTGGCATGGTGTGCTCTTTGGCAACGATGTCAACATCATTGATGGAGCCATAAATACAGCATGACGCCCCAGAGGTTTTCCTTATTGTCATTCTTCACAGTGAATTCTAAGGCGCTCCAGTTATACTCATAAAGACATCACTCCGCTCAAGTCATGGATGATCTGCCCATCTTCGCAACATGCTACACATTACTGATAACGAGCCGAGGCTTTGTTTCGTACTCGATGGGCTAAAAGAAAAGTTTGGGGTGAAGAGCATATGGGAACTTTCTGGCTGTGCTACGTTTGACAGTTGTTTCGACCCGCATTAACATTACCAACATAACTGGGCAAACTCAACGACTCCGCGTAACGACGGCCACTGGAAACTGAAAGCCTGCTCAGTACAGACCGTATGCACAACAAATGCGGAATTGTTTGCATGGTATCAAACGAAGGGATTGATCGCCATCCGCTGCCCAGAGCAGACCAAACTTCATCTGCGGCCAGGTTCCAGAATTGTTCCTGCGCGGCCGCATGGCGTTCAAAAAAATACCATCATGTTGCAGTTGCGATACAGACATGACGTAATAACAAATTGTTGTTAAGCTTTCGAATATCCCTCGAGAATCCAAGTTGGGCGTAACGGCACTACGATGACTGGCTTTCCAAGTTTCCATCATTTCTCTTCAAGGCTATTCCAGCGTCAAGGCACCCATCGTCTCACCCTCGCCACGAAGTATTTCCTCTCGGATGGAGAGCATGTCGTCCAAGAGCTTCTTCAAGTCTGTATCCGCTTAAATACCGCCATCGACCCCCAACAAACCGCGCCTCGCTTTCACGCTGGTCAGTTCCCCTAGACAACATTCGGCTCTTACCTACTTTGTAAAAGGATCAAGCTAGTACTTGATTGTACTCGCTGGAATTCCATGGCGTGTGTATTATCCATATACTGAGGCAAGGTCCAGCATCTTGAGTGTCGTCCTGTAATGATCGTGCTGCTTGAGCAGTCGGTCTTTTACCACGTTGACTGCGGTGTATTTTGGCTTGGAGTCGTCCGGTTCCTTTGCAATCAATTGGGAACCGCCACAAACATGGTCAGGACCTTTCAATACTTCCAAGAAGTTGGAAATGATGCGGCGTCCACTCCTCCTTTCGCAGGACCAGCATGTGAATAAATAGTCGGTAGCATTTGGCCACACTCAGTCAACAGTGTGTTTTGCATTTATGCTCAAGATTCCATGCACAAAACGTCGTGTATGCACATCCGATCGCCCGTCCTTGCTGATCGCCATTTTATTCCTGCTTCTCCAGGTTCCGACTTGCACAGGGTTGTATGGTTCTCCGCACGCACGTGCAACCGAGGGATGCTTACAAGAGAACGACCCGTTCAATTTCAGCATCACGAAGGATTTGAATCTTGTGTCTGAACGGGAGGGTTAATTGCTCTTTATCTACACTTCGACAGACTGCACTTCTGCACGCATCAAGTCACAATGTCTCTAAGCCGAGCCATCCGCTCTGTGTGCTCCGGTATGCTGCAAACCACGGATGCAGGTACGTAGTAGAATGGCAAAGCGATTATACAAGTACATACGAAGATCGGTCGGTTACACCGAACGAGACAACTTTTTACTGGACTTGGCTACAACTCCGGATGCAACTCTGCTGGGATTCGCAACGCCTTGTCTGTGACTGGCAGGAATTGTTGCGCGATAAATGAAAAAAGATTAGTGTCCATCGTGCCCTCATCCGTAATGGCAAAGTTGTGTGTGGGAGCATTAGCGTCCTGTTTGTCAGTGGCGCTGAACCTACCGGCAGAATAGCGCAAAGGAGACGGACGGCTTGCAAACATTGTCACACAAGGTACGTAAACAAGTCCAACGCATCTATGAGTACGGTAAAGGGGCATGGTCTCACAACGTAAATGAAAATAGTATTCAGCTTTGCGCCGCCCACTGGACCATCGTCGCCTTGACAAGAATGGACTTCAGACCACCCACCGAGACTTCAATTAAGCCTACCTCTTGTCCAAGAAGTTGCTGGGCATCGAGATTTCCCCAGATTTCCCCAACCATTTCCCTCCAACCTCTCTTACTCGAAACGGATGGTGTCCGACCGGGTGCCATTGATCAACGTCTTCAGGACAAATGCTTGTCCAATGATGGCCCGGGGTAGCGTCTGGGGTTAGTGGCCTTGGCCTGTTTTGTGCGTCGCTCCGAACCCGATTCGACAACATCCTATACACCCAAAAAGCCACCTCCTAGTATGTTGGGCACATGCGGGCCAATAGCCAACACCATCTCGGACGGCCTCCTTCCATAATGATGAATCCTTTCTCCTTCTTTCATGGCAGCTTCACGAGCTATTTCATTGAAGGCAAATATCCCCGCTGGATTTGCAAAGTTAATGCGGGGCTAGACCCCAGAAAGATTCGCCCTGACCCTCACCCCATGCTGCCGCGGCTCTGGGGCGGAAAGTCTGCATGCCTTCCGCATCATGGTAATAGCTCCGGAAACTTGGATGGTAATGAGAGTACTGCATGTGACACCGAAGGCCTGACCCTGGGTGCCTTGCTCGACGAAGGGAGAGAATCAATATTTAACACTGGCGAGTGCCTGCATCTGGAGCGGCAGTTCACAGTCTTTTTCTCGCTCAAGATCTCGTACCGAATCTACACAGACATCTCGACATTCCCATTCGCTTAGGAATTGAAACTTCAATCACATATCAATCAACATGAAGACCTTCGCTATTGCTTCTTTCATCGCTTTGGCCTCTGTTGCCTCTGCTCAGCTTGACAACATCCCGCAATGCGCTGTATGTCTCCTTGTGTTCCATTTTGCGCTGCTTGACTTCTAACTCGATACAGCTCTCGTGCTTGCTCACTCCTCTCTCCAACGATGGCTGCCCGGCCCTTGATGACTTCAAGTGCCACTGCGAGAAGGCCGACAGCCTCTTCTCCTCCGCCATTCCCTGCGTCCAGAAGGCTTGCGAGGCCGCTGACCAGCAGAAGACCATCGAGGCCGTCGAGGGTACCTGCAAGCAGGCTGGTGTTCCAATTCAGGTTCCTGTCATCGGTTCCAGCAGCGCTGCGGGAACTCCCACTCCCACTCCTACCCCTTCCGCCACTCCCTCAGCGACTCCTGAGGAGAGCTCCACTCCCACTCCCTCCGCCACTCCTTCCGAGACTCCCGAGCAGAGCTCTGCTGCCTCTTCAGCCCTTGTCACCGCTACCCCCTCTGGCAACGGCACTGTTCCCTCCTCCACCCCATCCGCAACCGTCTCTGAGTTCACTGGTGCCGCTGCCCAGGCTACCCAGGCCATTGGTGTCATTGGCGCTGCCGCCATCGCTCTCCTTGCTTTGTAAAGAGTAAAAGATTGGGCATTTTGAAATTGGCTGGAACGTTTTATCGGTACGACTGTTGGACATGAGCGAATGAGATCTTTAATGTTGGGAGGAAGTGTTTTGAGAACGATCTCATGTACTATAAAAATTTCCAAACGAACATAATAATACGCATTCAAACACAACCATCTCAAAAGTGTACTCAACTACCAGTGACCCAAAGTTTCGCAATCGAACTCACCGTGCCGCAATGTGACACAAGCTGTGCCTCAATATCGATGGAAATATCGTGCAAAGTCGTCCCAATATTGCCAAGCTCCCTCCCCCTCAGTGCCTGGTTTCGCATTGACCAATGTAATAACAGGGATGTCTCGAGCGATCCTTGATCTGTAGGAAACGAAATACGTCAACGGGTCGCATGACAGTGCAGCTCGCCAATGTCTTGGGAGCTGCGCAATGGGGTAAACAAAACAGTGGTGGTTCATGCGCTCCGAACGTCACATAAACTCGCAAGTCTCAAACGATCAATCTTGATTTGGGTAACACAACATAGTTTCTCAAGCGATTATACATGAAACATTTTCGTAGAGATGCTCGGATAAGTCTGTGCATTTTTGCAGAGTGACTCCCACTTGTGTCAACTCATGGTTGGGTACAACGATGCCGTCATTCTTTGCAAGCGCAACCTCACTCTATGTCAACATAGCAATTAACCCACCACTCAGACCACTCAGACCTATGAAAGCGTACACGATGTTCACATAGACTATAAGGATTTGAAATTTCACTATATCAGAATGCTGGTACCGTATCGTCCACGTGATATATCGGACTCCCATGACCTGCCTCACTCCACTCTCTTCCTCCCAAATCCCACAGTATCCAATCCAGTCCAGTCCAACACACTCACCCTCATCGAAAGATGTAGCCTGGCTATGTATTGTTTCCAAACATTACAATACCGCACACCTTCATGCCCGCATCCTCGCTCCTACAACGCGACCACGGCAAACAGCGCCGTCAAGATCAGCATATACAGATACGGCAGTACATGGCGGGATTCCAGTTTGCCAGTACCAGTAGCTCCATTGCTGTGGTCGCCGCCACCTTTCCCCTTTTTGCCACCCTTTTTGCCGCCGATTTTGAACTTGAAGCCTTTTGGTTCTCGCCGCGTGATGGTCAGAGTTGTTTGGCTGTTCATCGCTGGTCGTGACAGGTCGGGGAGGATTTCTCGTTCGGTGATGCTCGGGTCTTTGGATTCAGCGCCGTTTGCAGTCACTTCGTTTGGATTGTTGGAAGGAGGAACGCAGAAGGCTAGTGAATCAGCTGCGACGATGGTGGCGAGAAGTAGAAGGGTGAATGAGGTTCTTGTGGGCAACATGGTGAAGAGTGATGATAGTTGCAAACTTATTGGCTCGGTGATTGGTTGATGGGTGTAGAAGTAGACTTTAGGAATGGGTGGTGTTGTATATGCTTAGAGGTTGAAGTAGATACTCTCTTATATCTGCCTGTGTTCATTCACTTTGCAGAAAGTTGAGGCATGCAGAATGTTCTACATTCACTTCCAGGTCAGTCATGAGAGCAGTGTGTCATTATCAACATGAACATAGTTCATGTCTTTCTTTGAAAATAGATGCATGAAAGACTACATAAACATAGTGCATGTCTTTCTTTGAATATAGATGCACGAAAGACTACATGAACTATGAGATCGTAGTGAGTGAGAGGCTCACATGGATCGCATCTCATAGTAGCCACCAGTGATTTTCACTGTCGACCTTCACCTAGTGAGAGTGAGTGAGAGTGGAGGATTGGCATATTTGTCTACGCCAAACAAACAAAATGAGCAACCATACACTGTGTTTTCAACTTATATGCTAGAGTTGTCCTGCTTCCTCCCTCACACTATCCCCTCTGCGTAAGTAATGCTCAAACTCATCGCCGCACTCACCGAGCAGAGCGCCTACTTAAGCGACCTACTTTCTGGGCTACGGGTCTCAACTCCATCATCAGACACTCCCGACATGCAAAACACAACTCAAGATCGCGACCCTCAACCTACAGAAGTCAACATGCAGGACCCGTTGGATCAGCTAGAGCTCATTCAAAGGATCAAAGAGCTCATCATAAGTAAGTACTTGTCTAATACTCTCAACCACAGTCTAAATGTACAATGTTAACATCCATGCACCGATAGACGATGCTCAAGCTCTGTACGGCCCTCAAGTCACAGGTCATACCTATTCCGTCATCTTCTCCGTTGAGGCTCTACCGGAGAGCCAGAGCAGCGATGGACAACCAAAGCGGCAATCCTTGACTGCGCAACTCATCTTATACGTGTCGCCGCATCCCCCCGCCCGATGGGTGCTACTCGCAACTTCGGAATCGAAAGGTAGCCTCGTTGAAGCTGTCGACAACTTGAGGATCAACGTGCAGGTAGAGGTTGGAAAAGTGACACGTGAGTTAGATGGTCCACCCTTGAGTTCGCTACGAAACAGGAACTGAAAGCCAAAAGAAGATCTGGATGTCGGGGATGTACAGGAGGGATCAGATTATAATATTCACAAGAGTGCTGCTTCTATATGACATGAAAAAGGAATTCGTGGCTTTCTTTGGCGGTATTACTAGCTAGCATCATGCTGCCTTGTAGTACTTACTTGGGACGAACGGCATCTTGGTCACGACGGCATTCCTCTTCTTATTACGCACGATGATGCCAACTTCGGTTCCACTCTTGTGAAGGCCGTCCTTTATGTATCCCATAGCGATGTTCTTCTTCAGAGTTGGAGATGGACATCCTGAAGTGATCTTGCCCACCACCTCTCCGGCTTGGTCTACAATGTCTGCTCCTTCTCTTGCGGGAGAACCTTCTACAATAAAACCTACACGGCGTCGGGTGACGCCGCCCCCCTCAGATTTCTTCTTCAATTGCTTTAATATGACTGAGTCGCCGTGGAAACCACCCTTTGCACGGCGATCCTTGCCAATGATCCAAGATAGAGCAGCCTCAACGGGTGTGGTGTCATCGTTCAGGTCATGGCCGTAAAGGCACATGCCTGCCTCCAGACGTAGAGTGTCACGAGCACCAAGTCCAGCCAAGCGGACTTCGTCCTTGCCAGACTCCAGGATGAATTGAGTGACAGCTTCGGTAGCGTATGAAGGGATGCTGACCTCGAACCCGTCCTCACCTGTGTAGCCACCTCGACTAACTAGGATTTCGGCTTCTGAGGTACTGACGTGTGCGTACATCGACTGGCCAAAGTAGAGAGACTTCAACTTTCCTGCAGACTCCTTATCTAGGACCTTTTCTAGGACTGCGGCCGCCTTGGGTCCTTGGAGAGCAACAAGGCCCTGGTTCTCCAAGACCTCCCATTCCACAGCAGGATTCGCGGAGTTGCTCCTCCAGGATTCAAGCTCGGCGGTGAAGTAGGCAAGGTCTTTTTCTCTGCAACCTGCGTTTGTGACGACATAGAACTTATCAGGGAGACGTGTGATGATGGTATCATCCACAATGCCTCCAGTCTCGCGGTGGAGGAGAGCAGACAGGCCAGAGTTAAACGGTTCCACGGTGGAAAGGGACGCGGGTGTAATCGACTCGAGGAATGCTTGGGCACCGGGGCCGCTGAAGTAATGCTGCACCCTGATTGATTCTGTTAGAATTGGTTATGATTTATACAATTGATCGCAACATACATGTGTCCGACGTCGAATAGACTAGCATTCTCCCTCGTCCACTTGTGGGAGTCGTTGATGCTCAAGTCTCCGTATTGCACTGGCATTTGGTAACCTCCGAATGGTACGAATTTGGCGCCATTGGAAGCATGAAGGTCATAAAGGCCAGTCTTTGCTACCTTATCGCCCTCAGCGTTGGACGAGGCATAACGAACAGAAGAGCGGAATGGTGTCTGGGGAAGCCTGCGGGGTCCTGATGCTTGAATTGGGTTTAATTGAGAAGCGATACGAAGGGTTCTCAGGGTTGAAACTCGAGAAGAAGCTCCATTGATGCCATTGAAGGCCACAGAAACAGCGTTTTTGGCAGCCATTGTGTTGAGTGGAGGAGTGGAGGAGTCTGAAAGATTGAAGGAATTCAAAAGAGATTCCGACGGTTAGTGACGGAAATGTTAGCTCCAGGGCCAAATGATAGATAGCGGGACCGCAAAAGCAAGCTTGCCCGTCGGAATATATGGTCCGAGCGTCCAAAGCTCCGGCGCAAGCCCACTACAGCTCATCATCACCGCTCTAGCACAGCTTCGAGGCCCCTGCAACCTGCAACTGGCGACGCCGTTTACCATTACCAACATGTCCAAAGACTCCCGGTACCTTCTGGTATCGTTACCCACCTCCATATCCCCATCCAACCACGCCGAAGAAGCCCTTTCAGCCCTACGCTCGACCGTCACCAATGATGTAGGCACCACGTACCCGTTCGCGATACCCACTTTCAAGATCGGTACTCTGGATGCGCTCGTACAGCAAGCCGATGACTTGGCGAAGCTGGAGTCTGCCTGTGAGAGTGTGGTGAACAAGGTGGGGGATAGCTTGCGGAACCTGCTGGACGGGAATGAGGAGAGATTGCAGCAGCAGAAGACCATCAACGATAGTATGCATACGCATGTACCTATCCTGTTATTGGGGGAAAGTAGCTCTAACATATTGACTAGAACCGGTCGACCAATATCTCAGATCTTTCCAATGGAACAAGGTCAAATACCGAGCTGATAAACCGATTGCCGAGCTCATAGACTCTCTTCAGAAGGTGCGGTCGCCAGCAAAAATACTAATTATATTGGGGGTTGACACAGAGAATAGGAAGCAGCAGGCATTGATAATGATGTCAGAGCAAAGTACAACCAGTACAATCAGGTCAAGACCAATCTTGCTACCTCGCAACGTAAACAGACGTAAGACTTCGACCAGCCTCACTCTCACACCATTGGGCTAACCGGGCGTAGAGGCAATCTCTCCACCAAATCTCTTGCATCCATAGTCAAACCCAAAGACCTCATCCAAGACTCCGAATACCTTGATACCCATTTGATCGCTGTTCCCCTCAGTAACGCTAAGGACTTCCTCAAGACCTACGAAAGTATCACCGAGATGGTCGTTCCGCGATCCGCAACCGAGATCGCCCGCGATGACGAATTTATACTGTACTCCGTTGTCACATTCAAGAAGTACTCCACCGAATTTGTGCACAAGATCAGGGAGAAGCGGTGGACACCCCGCGACTACAAGTACAAAGAAGGTGGAAAGGAAGAGGAGGCGCGCGAAGTTGGCCGATTAGAGAAGGATGAGAAAAAGCTTTGGGGAGAGGCATTGCGGTTAGGAAGAACCGGATACTCCGAAAGCGCAATGATCTGGATCCACGTCTTAGCTTTGAGGGTCTTCGTCGAGACCGTTCTGCGATATGGATTGCCTCTTGATTTCGTGTGCGGGCTGGTGCAGGTAAGAACCCATGTCGAATGCTTAGCGCGATTGTTGCTGATCATAACTAGACCACATCCAAACAATCGAAGAAGGCAAAACAAAACCTAGACGATGCGTACTCCTACCTAGGCGGAAATGCCTTCGGAAGAGACAGCAAGGGCCGCATCAAGAAGGACGACCAGGCCATGTCCAACGACATGCAACAAGCCGGCGGGCATCTTGGTGACCAAGAGTACTCCGCCTACGTTTATTACGAGTTTGAGATTGTATGATCCGCACTACCAGCGTCGCATTTTTGAAAGTCGTAGCTGCGGGGTTGTATGGCGTCGTAGCCCTGCCTGCTCAATCAATGTAGAATATAGTTGAGTCCGCAATGTTAACATCTCTGATCGGTTGATTCAAGCCTTGACACTTCCGCCCCTCATTATTTTACTGATTAGTGTTCATTCACATTGCCAACAATTGTACGTGTATCCAAATGACAGTTTGAATCTACAAATGACGTAGTAATTTGCCTAGCTAACACACCACCAATTCTATCGTATATCTCAGGTCAATCTAATACTCTTGTCTTTAATGCCCTCCCAATCCTTTCTCTCAAAAGGCATATATCTATCACTGTTCGGCGCCAACCAATATATCTTATCGTCACCCGTCACAAGATCAGGATCCACGCCCTCCCTCTTCAGCCTGCCCTTCTGAATCTTCAACGTACCGGTATATTCCAGCGCCGGAGTGACCCTCAAGAACAACGGCACCGCGTATCCCGGCAGCACCGCTCTAGCATGTGCCGCAAGACCCTGGAAGTCGAACGTCGATTCCGTCACACCGTCCGCCATGACGATTGATGCAGCTCCGGCACGCCCGTCGTAGCCTGGCACAGAAACGCCATAGGCGTTCGTCTCGGCGATCTGGGGGTACTTGCCAATCATGTCGGCGACCTCGTTAGTGGACACGTTCTCCGACTTCCAGCGGAAGGTGTCGCCTAGACGGTCGACGAAGAAGACTCGTCCGTCGCTGTCTTGTCGCATCATGTCGCCTGACTTGAACCATCTATATTTCGAACGTTAGTCTGAGAAGACGCATCGAGGACAAGGTAAGGAGACATATGAAGGCGGTTGGACTTACAAGTCTCCCTTTTCGAAAACATCTGCGATCCTCCTTCCCACTGTGGCCTTGTCGTTGTTGAAGTATCCCGGCGTAGACGCGATGACTTCGGGTGTGAGCTTATGCAACACCTGTCCAGGCTCGTTGGTCCCACAACGGATCGCAAAGCCGTTCTCATCGCGCATAATGTCCTCGGTATCCACGTCCATCTTGACACGGACTTCCTGGTCACTATACTTCCAGTTCCAGATCAGCCCGCGGAGACCGATGGTGTGCGCGGTAAATGGGCCTGCATTCCTATTGAACGTAGCGCCGAGACCATCCGTCGCGGCGTATAGTTCATTGATGATGGGGATGTTGAAGCGCTCGCGGAAGGGCTCCCATACATCTGGCCTCATGCCGTTTCCCCACGCCACCTGGACGCAATGGGCGCGCTCGTGCGGGTTGGGAGGACCGTTGAGGAGGTATCGACATAGCTCGCCGACGTATTGGATGATTGTGGCTTTGGAGGTCGCGACTTCGGGCCAGAATGTCTTGTGACTGAATTTCCTGCCCAGTACGATGGTAGAGCCGGCGTGGATAGTGGGTGTAGTGCATAGGCCATGTGCGGCGCCATGGTATAGTGGCATGCATGTGTACATCCTGTCTTCCGGCTTGAGCTTTAGGTACTTTGCTGTCATGTGTCCGACCAGGAGTTCGCGTCCGGTTGACATCACGACACCCTTAGGAAGTCCAGTAGTGCCGGAGGTGTAGATCAAGCCACGGACTGACTCAATGGTGATGCTCTCACGGCGAGTCTCTGGAATAGGCGTGTTGTTACTTAGCGACGCAAAGAGCGCTGGATCGTAGTACACGATCTTGACATTCAGTCCTTCGAGTTCACCGCGGCATGGCTCGACATTGCTCTTGACATCAGAGTCTGTGATCAAATATCTACTTCCACATAGCTAGACTCAATGTCAGCCACGCCTAATCTCGTCTGCGGTTAAGTTTGGTTTTGAGATTGCAAACATACCTTGACACAGTGCACCAAGCCCTCGCCAGTCAGATTCCAGTTCACAAAGCTCGTGATCGCACCAATTGCGTCCAGAGCGAACCACAGCATCAAGTACTCTGGAGAATTCCCCCCATCAATAGCAACAACCTCTCCGACTTCGATACCCAACTCGTTCATCAACCAATTCCCCGTGGTAATAATCTTGTCGAAGAACTGCCGGTACGTATACGTCTTCCCTTCGAAGATGAGAAATGGATGATTTGGCTGCTTGCGGAGTGCGTGGTCCTCGAAGACATGGTATGTCAAGACGCGCTTTGAAGCAACGCGGGAGCCGATGTAGTTGACGACTTCTTGTGTCGGGGACAGACCGCCTCGGTCGCCAGTAAGGTCGTGGTAGATGTGGAATTTGGCGTTGAGGTAGGCGGCTAGGGCTGCTGTGCCTGCGGCTGCGCCGGCGACAATGGGTACTGTAGTTATCGATCAGTATGGGGTTGTACAATGCATGCTCAGTCATCGTATGGTTGCAACATACATGCCATGTTTGCGAATTGAGATAATAAGTCCTGCTTCAATACTCTATCCTGTCTTTCGACAATAGTATTTCAAGCACCGCAAGTCAGATCTCTATTTACAGATGTGCGCCACACACAATCCAATACCTCTCTCCTATTTTCCAGGTACACCTTTCGATTGTGTATGGAGAGCAAGGAAGACGAGATTCTGTCGGGAAACATGACGAGTACTTCTTATCGAGTAGCCAGCTATATAGCAGCTACCGCGAATGAGTTTAGTCCGCATTTTCCTACGAGGGGTTCTGAAGCAAAGATCACCGAGGTTGGATAACGGAGGACGAACGAGTCAGCGAATGACGTTGCTCAATTCTGGGGGTTGGACGTCCCTTGACGCTAAAACCCCGCAAATTTGGGGGTTGTTAACCACGGATAAAGTACCGTTATTTCCGAGCTCCTCTTTGTTGACCGACGACATTGGAAATCTTAAATTTTATTGGATTCTGATAATGATAGTCGTGGATATTGACAATAATGACTGCGCGGAGTAATGTGTACGAAGTTTGCACCAGCAGGTTTTTCACGATAACTTCCCAGTCGCTTTAACATTGGCTGATATTGAGCTATCAGGATTCAAGACAGCGGTTAAACCTCTTGGTCCCTCAGGTAGCTCGATATCATAGAGGATTATACGTGTCACAGATCTAACCTTGCTTATCATAAGCTATAGCTGCATGGCTTGATGCAGATGAAACGGTAAACCAGGTAGTGGGATATTAATTTATTCTAGACCTATCATCCTTCTTTAACTTTGAACACGAGCTGTTATGCCCATATTCTTTCATAGCATAGCTCGATACTTCATCGTCAGAACGTCACATATACTCCCCACAGACCCTCTCACAAACATTCCACAGCTTCTCTCCGTGTCCAGACTCAATACCCTTGTTGACACCTGGATTCACGATTCCGCCGAGTCTGCCCCAGGGAATGACATAGCATCCATTGTTCTCTGGTGTAATTTCCGGCGACCAACCTATTTTCTCACAAAATAAGAAAGATTAGAATTCGTAAATCTTGTAATGGGGGACACGATCTTTCGAAAAGGAGAGGTATCTTACCTGCGAATAGCTCCGTATAAGCACCCATGAGTACCGGATAGGTCAGCACCCATCCGATCAACTTCATCGTCCATGTAGCATGTCGATTGAGCTCCGATTCGAGATTTCCCGGGTTGAAAGACTAGACGAAGTGTAAGAAAAGGGGCAGGTCGCTACAAAAACCAAAATGATCCCCGGATCCCAGATCTTCCCTCCTGCCCATATTGCACATAGCTCGTAAAGAAAGGGAAACAAAGAATGAAACAGAAGAAGACGAACGAACAAAAGGAGGTATGGACTTACGGCAGACACAACACCCGACCCTCCAAATCTCTTTGCTGTCTCCTTCCCCAGCAAAACATTCCCAACCTTGCTCTGCCCATATAGAGCCTCGTTCGTCAAATCACCCTTAACCAGTCCCGTCTGATCGTCGAACTCCAACCCACCCGGTGGAGCAGCGAGTTCCACCGCGAGACTCGCCGCCCAGATGACTCTCACCGCGCCCTTGTTCTCCGCCTCCTTCGCCGTCTTCTCAAGCAATGGAAGGAGAAAGTACGTAAACAGCCACGGCCCATAAACGTTCGTCGCGGTCTGCAAATCGTGACCCTGGGCGGACTTGGACCCAATGGGGGGTGCCATGACTCCCGCGTTGTTGACGAGGACGTCGAGCCTCGATTCCCTACGCAGGAACTCCTCTGCGGAGCCTTTGATGGTGCTGAGGTCCGCGAGGTCGAGGGATAGGAACTTGAGGCATCCTGTTGAGTTTGGATGCGAGGTTTGCAAGGTGTGGATTGCGTTTTTGGCTTTTTGAGCGTCGCGCCCGGCGATGTAGATGGTTGCGTTTTTGGCGTAGAGGATGGTGGTTAGGGAGAGGCCGATGCCGGTGTAGCCGCCTGTCACTATGTGTACCTGTTGTGCGGATTAATTGTGAGTGTGAGTGCGATTGTGAGAGATCGATCAACACTGGGTGGGTTGGTTCGAGTGTGTACAGGGGTGTTTATATATCTCGTACCTTTCCAGTTTGATCTGGGAGGTCCTTCTCTGTGAAGCGTGGTGCCGGGATGCGGAAGGACTGGTCTCGAAATGCAGAGAATGTCGCACCCATGATTGTAAGGAGATCAATTGGTCTAGATGTGATTGTTTATTGCTGGGTAGAGTGGAGAATCGTATAAAGAAAGTCCGACGCGTGCTTGCAATGCTCTATGTTGGGGAGGTGTCGAGGTTTTATGGAGTGCAGTAACACAGCACCACTATGAATGAATCAGACTTCAAAGATGGTCAAATAATATATAAAAACCCCGAACCGTGGCTGGTGCGGTCGAGATGCATGGTAGCTGCTGATAGGGACAAGTAAACGTTGATCTTCGTGATGTCTTACTATTGTGCGGACGAAATCGATCGCGCTGGCTATGACGATCTCTCGGGTGTAAGAACCACAAAACTGGGACAAAGAATTTGGTCCGGCGTCTCCTCCGCGATCCGGTGTAACATCAAAACAATTGTCCAGATTCGCTACAAACAAACAAAGGAAGGCCCAATGCCCTCGTCGCTCTATTGGACTTACGGCTGCTGATTTCCAAACTATGCTAACTAGGAACAACGGGATATCGAAACTTAATGTCTACGCCTTCCACTAGCAATTCCATTCCATGCCAAACACCTTCTAGTATGCAAGAGAGTATGTCTTAAATGGCATTCATTTGATCGTGACATCCGAGAAAAGGATCTGAACCATTTCGTCCAAAATTGTGAATGCAAGATGAGTACTGTCAATCGTTAACTCCGTTCCATATCTCCGAATTCGTTCGTCCAGTTTTCAACTTACTTTAACCTCTCGTTGTTCAACGTAGCCAGAAGTCTTCGACTTGCTGATTGTGCATTACCTCGTCCGACTACGCTAGCTGCAAGCTCCGGTATAAGGGTGGCGAGAACTACGCCGGCCTCTGTCCTGCTCTTCGAACGGTCCGCTGCTGTTCGCTCCGTGCTCTGCTTGAGCTTGCCATTAGGCCACATGCTGTCCTTCAGCGTCTCTATGTACTTGACAATGTTGTCCTCTGACAGGAACGTGTCAAAATTATCTCGAACTTTACGTTCAATTGTCCCACCTAGTAATTGATGCAACACAACAACTACTGCTCGCCCGCGTAACCAATTATTCTCGCGGTTCAGCTCAAAGACTTCGAGGAATATGTCGCAGATCGGTTTTACGAAAGGTTCGAGTTCCTTATTCTCGAATGCAAGAAGTTCTGCTTCTGCTTCAGCATCTGAGTTCGGTTGCTGTCCAGGGAGGACCGCCGCTGCGGGAGCACCCGGAAGGGCGGGAGCACCAGGTACCGTGCCATTGGTAGCAGCCAATTGATTTGTTGCAGCAGTTATGAGATTCTGACCTGCCACCGATAATTGATCGAGAACGGGAATGTTACCAAGGAACTCCTCCATGCCGTCTGCAACGGAACTATAAATTCGCGTGACAAAATCGCGACTGTCAACGTCCTGAGCTGCCGGATCGGTCGGCGATATGGCTTGCTGAGATAAGAAGGCACGCAGCTCGCGACTGCGGCATACCGAAGGTATGAGCAGCAAATCTCTCAAGTACTTCTCCAGACCCAAGCGCCGCTTGTGTAGAAAGTCCTTCTGCAGCTTCAACATCATTTGTCGGCGCGGAAGCTCTAAATGTCGCACTTGGGGGAACTTTGCGCGGAGTTGCTTGTTCAATTCGTGAAACTCGCTGTAGCGACGCGTAATGACCCAACCTGCAGCGGGCATATGATCTCCCGCTTTCCTTCGAACTTCTATTACATCTAAAGAAATGTTAGCTAGAACTATACACTACGAGTGATGTAACTTACACATGGCGTATTCTTTTCCATCCTCTTCGGTCCCCACCATGATTGATTGAATGAAGACAGTTGCACGTCCGTACAAACTGTTGTCACTCTCTTGCACTATGTACTGCTGCCTCTGCAACTCCTTTCTCTGGATCTCTCGTTGCAAGCTAGCTTTGGATTTCCGTAGGATTCGAAGCTCGGCAGCATTATTCGTTAGCTCGGCTTTCGACGTCAAAGAGTCAACGATAGATTCCTGAGTCACCAAGCGTTCAATCTCAGCAGTGAGGGCATCTATTGCTTCTGCCAACCCGAGATCTCCAGGCGCGGCTTCGTGTATCTCGTCTTCATCTGCCTTATTGGAGGCTGATGTCTCTTCGATCTCGTCTTCAAGAAACTTCTCTTCTTCATCCCCGAAGAGGTCGTCGTTGAAAACGCCACGTGTCTTGGGAGCTCCGACTAATCCGAGCGAAGCTATGCTTGGCTTTTGGCTGTCTCTGTGCACCATCATGGGGTGAGGGGATGTTGCTCTTGGTAGCTCCATGGACCCTCTCATCGAATCGTTATCTGGCGAAACTAATCCCGACTCGTGAAACAAGGAACCCTCAGGTTCGCCACCCATAATGTCATCCAAGGCAGCTTGCATAGCATCGACCACTTTAGGATCATCTCCCTTCGCTCGCATGTTTTCGGGGTCTGAATTCAAACTTGCGATCGAGTTGCCCAACGGGTCGCTGTCGTAGTCGTCGTCGAAGAGTGGCGGTCTTGTCGGAGCCCCATCTAGCGATCGACGCATGGGGGGATCAATTTCCTTGATAATTCCCTGGCTTTTTAGGTCTGAAGAAGAAGCAACGGCTCTCCGCAGGTCAGGCACCTGCAGTGCATGCTTTGGGGTGGATTGCGTGCGAGACACTCTGGCAGGCGGTGCGAGCGGTTCGTCGAGCGTCTGCGCTATCGACCTTGCCTTGGAAGCATTTGCTGCCTCGTCCATAGCCAACCACTTGTAGTATAGATCTGATCTCTTAAACCTTCTGAAGTGAGGCTCCTGAAGCTCATCATAGACGGCAGTTTGTGCTTGCAAGAGACGACGCCTCGCATTGTAATATTGCTGCGGAGTAGCTTGTCGGCCAGCCTTTAGAAATTCTCTGACTGCCACTCGCGCGTCGGGCAGAATCTTAAGCTCAGGCTTTGACAGATAAGCTTCGTTGATCTGCGCCAGATCAGCGCGATCGGAATCCTTCCACGCCGGCAGAGAGCCAAGATGCTCCACAGGTTCATCTGTATCGTGCTCGAGAGGATTCCGGAACCCGTCAACCACGATCCAGAACTGGACAAGATTCATCAAGCTCAAGCGATCCATGTACTCCATGAAGCAGGACAACCCAGAGGAGTCGTAGAGCACATCCCGCAGAGACGCATTCTCGAACTTAGATGTCGTTCGCTTGTGTTTCGGCTTCTCCTGAGCAGCAACTTTCGCCCTCACCGACCCACCCGCACTCAGGGCGGTCACCTTCTGGTCTAGAATCCGTCTTGCTGTTTCGAGACGCCGGAGATACACGGGATCTTGCCCTTCCACCATCGAATCCTTTCGCAATTGGCTGGAGATCTCGCTACGGAATCGGCGAGCGTCGGCCAGGGTATTCGTCTGCCGAATGGCTCGGATGAACCTTTCGAACCGACGTTCATTGTCGTGCGGCGCCAGAGTCGGGAATTGAAGGTTCTTTGGCTGCTTCGGGGAAGCGGGGGTCTGCTCGTCGAGGGCAGCACGGAGCTTGCGAACCGTGGTTCGCTCTTGGAGCAAGGTACGTCCCTACTCCAGTCAGTCGGGAATCCAAACTGCGAACACGAAGCACGAAATATACAAACTACTCACATAACCTTCCATCAATTGATTCCAAGTATCCGGATCAGCAAGCATTTGCATCACGGGGGATAGGATCGCGCAAGCAACGATCTCCTTGATCAACACGTTGACGGCGGGGCTGGTGGCCATATTCGCGGGCAAGACGGATGGTAGCAACTTGTTGACCATTGTACGAAGGTGCTGTTGCTGCACTAGCTTCGTGTTGGAGTACGCCAAAGACGCCGCAGGATGTAATCGGCCATCATTGTACTTGGATGCGATCGCGAGATCGAGCTCTTCCGACTCCGTGACGTTGCGAGAGAGCTTCCGGCCACGAACCACCCGCTCTGCCTCGTAAGCAGCTCGGAGGTGCTCGGTGATCAGAGGTATCATCTTGGAGACAACCGTCTCCACCATATCCACCGCGAGGATGCGATCCCTTATTTCGCCCAGGGCCGCTCGAATGGCACGATCCACCTCGTTCACGAACGTCGGACTCTTACTTATATTCCCGTACCAACCCTTCACGAAGTCGCGCAGTATTAGACCAACCAAAACGTCCAAGCTATCAGATATCATAAAAGAGGGGGGATAGAGGGGCTCCATCATGTACATGGACCGCTTCGTCAGAGCCATCTTCTCAGCTTGCCATTTCCCAGGACTTATAAATGCGACATGTTTCGCGCCGTAGTACACCTCTTCTCTGCCGCCGCCGCCGGTCGAATCCAATCGCCATGCCGTGGTCAATATGAACCATGCTTGTACAGCTATTATGGCGAGCGCGCCTGCGACAAAGGCATACGGGAGGTAGAGGAGCTTGGGTTGCCAGTGCGTGAGGTAGCCCCAGGCGATGAAGACGGCGACGGCGGCGAGGATCACATCTCTGCGCTTCAGGGCCATAATCGTGCGAGTGTCGCCCGATTCAGCATCTTGGTTTTGAATTGGTGGTTCGAGATGGTTGGGCGGTCGGGAGTGGGCGGTGGTGGCTTGTGACGTTTGTCCTGAGCTATATTATGGCGCTAGTATCACAGGTCCGCCCTAGCGTCGATCCCTGTATCAGACTTCATCTGTATGTCTAAAGTATGTTGTAGTTGGAAAAGTACATTTATACGATATGGCATTCACCAAAGGGCTTTGAAATATCAGGTATTCACGGCCCTGGAAGCGGTGTTCCTGAGAGATGATGGTAGCTTCCGTAGATTTATCATTGGCTTCCAACTGGAGTTTGCACAGTACATACAGAGGGTGAGCACGTCAGGCTGGCCCCCTGCTAGCATTTTATGTCCAAGCAGTGTGTCGCGAGCATTAAGATATTTTACTGGCTACAGTACACTCTTAAATAGACATTTTGGTATAGAACATACATGAAGTTAGCAGGTGGCCAGCCCGACGTGCCAACCCTCTGTACATCAACAACCTGTTGCTTCACATTCACATCTTAGACCATTCTCTCGGCCTAATGAGGAAGCCGGAAATAGTCCTGGCCACCCACTGTTTTTACGATCACTACCTAAACACCTTTGTATCTAGTAAAGAATATTAATTAATTTAATATTTAAAGATAGTAGAAATATTGCAAAGCCTAAAGAAATATCTTTAATTTTTGTTATTCTGCCCTTTGTAATGTCTCTGTAGTCAGCTAAATAACCTCACGAGCCTTCCCAGGACTATTTCCGGCTTCCCCCCTTAGGCTGAGAGCCATTCTCAACACACTGCTGAAAGACGACAGGGTTGCAAATATAACCAATCAAAAAGATCGCTCAAGTTTAAAATAAAATATGAAAGTTTAAATTCGCTCATTCAAACTCCCCCTCAAATGTTTTCCCACACCGAGTAGTACACTACCCTGGGATACTAGGCTTATGGAAGTTCTATTTCGCAGGAATCAAAAGGAACGAACAATAGGTTCATACAATTCCATCCTTCCAAACCTCCTTCCTCGTTCTCTCCCTCCCACTCAATCCAACGGAAACAACCCTCTCAACTGTCACCTCATGCCTAACATCTACCACGATTCCCACATCCTCCATCTTCCTCGTCTTGCCATTGCTCTCCCTCTCCCCCATTTCCACATCCCGATCCCCGACGCTGACACTTCTACCCTCAATGATGCCGACGCCCTTGTCTGCACCACTACCAAACCTCTCCCTCCAAACCCCGAGACTCGTTTCACTTACGCCGTAGATGATGGCGTCCGCGAACCCCTGGACAACGATGCACGCCTTGTCCGTAGTCGCGATTCCGAAGGGAGCCGCCTTCCCCGTCACGGACTGATAGATGCGGATCGTGGTCGGGATCGTCCAGATGAGCATGTAGACCAGCGGGTACGACATCATCTGGTAGGCTGTCTTCTTGAGGAGGGGTGACGGCCGTCGCGTGTGCGTGAGGCCTGGCCCACCTATCGCTCCTGTTGCCGCTGCAGTGTTGCCGCTGTTGATGTGATTCGAGGAAGAGGTATTAATGTTCAGTGATTTGGTCTGTGAAAGTGGGGATGGGTTTGTGGGACGGTGTTGGTGGTGAAGTTCAGTGACGGATTCGACATCTGCATCGTTGTGCTCGAACGTCCGTGGCGTGGTATCGTCATTGAACGACATGAAGCGGTTGTGGGCCTTGTATATGAGGCGGTACAGCCTCGCGTATAGGGCCAGGATGATGAGAATGATGATCCATCGTGGGATAAAGTTGACGAGCAGGCGGACCTTGTCGCTCGTGAACCAGCACCCTATATTTCCGCGGGCATTTCGTTAGCTTCGTGTTCCTTTCTAAACGTTTATGAGAAGGAGAGAGAGAAGGTCAGTCAGGAGGGAGAAAACAGAACGAGCAAACCTACAAGCACCAATGTCGCCATATCCCGCCAACCCCAACCCTAACGCCGCCCACAGAGCGGAGAGTCCCCACGGTACACTCCACAGCACAATTCGATGCTCTTGGATCCACGACGACACGTGTTTATAATTCCCCAGGATCAGGAATGTGCACACAGCAATGAGAAGGACCCAATAGTCCGCTAGATCGATCGAAACACGCAGTCCCAGTCAGCTTTGGCTCTACTTCCCTCTGAATCAGTGGGTGAGTGCGCACACTGGGGAGGAGAACAAAAAGAAAAGAGGAGTAGCGTACTCTGAACGACGAAGAACTGCGTCATGAAGCCATTGAAGCTGCAAAATCCCTTCTGCTCGGGCGCGGAGAGGTATCTGCCTGATATGTTCATGGCGCATGATGACAGGAAGTTGACGGCCATCCAGAAATCGGATATCGCCAGCCCAAGAATGAGCTGGTGACGGAAGGTGCGTACTTGCTTGAATAACTGAGTTACCCCAAAGGTATGTGTTAGTAGGTTGATTATAGACGAAACATGTAAGGACAGTAGGTGGTTGCATCACAGAACAAACGAACATAATGTATCACATCACAACCCCCCGACACAACCACCGTTCATAGAGACGGAAGACAAGTTTAAGAGAGAGGAACGTACACAAAAACTCAAGACAATCCACCCAGCGCCGAGGATGCTCAACAACGACACCACGAGTATGGCCGTGCTCTGCACCTTCGTTTCCCATGGTTTCTGGGGAGCCGACAGCACAGTTCTCTCCTGCAGCGAGGAGACGATCCCCGTGCTGTCGATCACCATCCGTGCCGTGGATAGGAAGTGTTCGTCCATTGTGGTGGTAGGGATGGTGGTGATGATATCGGACCGTAGCGTACAGCCTTCACGCACGAGCAAGAGTAGGGTGGATGTGCTGGTTAATGATATATGCCTTGACAGGCAAACCCCCTATGAAACCACCTTCTCAAAAGAGATCGAATTGAGTCGAATCGAAATCGACTCAATTAATTCAGAAGGAAGAAAGCAAGAAACGAGCATGCACACACTGACAAGCAGCGCGCGTGGGCGTGCGTGCGTACGAATAACGTGGATATCAGAAAATGAGCGAAGGAGAGACGAAAACGGCCCGTGGACAGAGCGTGTTGATCATATACTTTAAGGTTGCGCAATTATGGCTTTCTCATATTCACAGCATATCATATCCGTGGAAAGAGCATGAGCATGGCTGCATGGGCATTGGTATTGGCATGGGTATGGGTATCGGCGCCCCCCATAGATCCTCAGGCAAAGGAAAGGACCGATAATTATCAGGAGCTCCTTTCCTTTGCTTCCTTTCGCGATTCATGAGTCGTGGTTCGAGATTAGGATTTAAGATAGATACGGGGGAAAGATAGAGAGATAGACGGGAAAAAGTAAATAAAAAGGGCCTAGGATTATGCCTCGCTACCTCTCCCTCCCTCACTCTCTCGCCCAACGCTCCTCCTTGCTGATAAAAATTCCCCATGAACAAACACGAAAGAAAAGAAAAGAAAACATGAAGGACGAACATCCAAGGCGTCGCAGACGTTTCCATTCGACAATCCATCCCAGGGGTTGCTGGTTGCAGGTGCAGATACACAGGGAGGTACACATTACCGTTATCAACGCCACATCCTCTGGCCTCAGCGCAGCGCAGCGCCCACCCCAAGTAAACTCACCGACCAACGACCGAGAAGCGAGAAGCGAAAGATAGTACTCGAGTCCTGACGGGAAAACAAAAACGTGCACATTTGTCTACACGGTAGTTAGATCATGATGGAGACATGAAAAGACGGTCGGACGCTTGGTAATGGAGTTCGGGTCCAATTCACATTCACATGCGCTTGGCTGCTCGCTGCTCGCTGTCCCTTATCTATCTCCCCCATCCTCCCACCGCATTCCAAAACACACGCGCGCAAGCGAGCGAGGGCAAAAAGCAAAAAAAGGAAGAAAAAGGCGAGTAACTACTCCGTACACAGTATACACATGTACATACTTACTCAGTACTAAGTAGGCTTACAGAAACGCGAACACGAACGCTAAAAAGAACGTGGGCGCTATGGGATTGTTTACCTGTAGTTCCCTAGCGTCAGGTACGGTATCGTATCGTATCTAGATAAGGGAAGGGGAAGGGGAAGGGGAAGGGAATAAGGGGTCGATCCACGAGGAAGCGAGAGTAGGTATGGTATCAAAGAGTATGGAAAGAGAACTTATGACTGAATCTCTGTGTCTATCTCAAACACTAAAACTAACAATAGTAGCCTAGAAAGGCGTTCAAGAAAGAAAAGGAAGAAAATACATGGCATGACATAGCGTAGCAGAGCATCATCTCGTTGATATCGCCCCCCCAGCGAAGCGAAGCGAAAGAAAAAATAACTGTGGATGTATGTGCCTCACAAGTTTCCTGATTCGGAAGTTCTCACCCCAAACCCCAAAGGAGGGCGTCCTGCATATGGATGAATGTGCATGCTGTACGGAGTATGTGGGGGAGGGTAAAACAGGTCCCCCCGTGGGGTGTGATTCTGACAGACAGGTGAATCCATTCTCTTCTTTTTCTCTCTTGACATCTGAAGTGCGTAGGTGGTTGTGTAGGTGGCTGCAGATGCGAATGGGAATGCCATGTCGAGGTCGGATGCGTCGTTATGATAGGTACCTACCTGATCAGCTCATCTCCTTTTTTGCTCTCGTCTAAATGTTCCTTCTTGGAAAGACGGTAGAATCGAGACGCAATGCATTGTGCCTGCGTGGCTTTTCTCTCGTGGCGATTAAAGGAGGAGCGAGGCGTGGTCCCGATAAGCGTTCAGCCCTCGTGGGGGTGTGGGCTCTTAACCTAAAGGGGAAGTCGGAGATATAGTCCTGACCACCGCCCACCATTGTTATGATCACCACCCAAGCACCTTTGCATCCAGCAAAGAATATTATATCATTTAGTATTTGAATTTAATAGCAATATTGCAAAGCCTTAAGAAGTGTTCTTAATATAAGCAATCCTCTCGCTTAATGCAACATTCGACATCATAGGTATGCCAAGACTTGAAGAGTGAAACAGGATGCAATTTTTTCCTGAAAACTAGATTTATATGTACATGGGCAATGGTCAAAACAAGCCAACCCGTTCCAATTGATGATATATCGTGTCACGTTAAAGTTCCTTTTCGAAAGGTCGTCCGGTGCTCTAACCGAAGAGTGCGTCGCCCAGACGGATGGAAACAGTCTTGGTTTGGATATAGTTCTCAATTGCAGCCTCACCGAGCTCACGGCCAATCCCAGATTCCTTGAAGCCACCGAACGGAAGCTGCCAATGAAGAGTGTTATAGCTGTTTACCCAGACTGTTCCGGCGCGGATGCTGTTGGCGACCTCGAGAGCGGTGTTGAGGTTGGTGGTGTGGACGGCAGCAGCAAGACCATAGGTCGAGTTATTGCCAAGAGCGATGACCTCATCCTTGGTCTTGAACTTGGAGACTGAGCAGACGGGGCCGAAGATCTCCTCCTGGACGATCTTCATGTCCTCGGTGACGTTGCTGAAGATGGTCGGCTCAATGAAGTAGCCCTTGTCACCCTTGCGCTTACCACCGGTCTCAACCGTGGCACCAGCAGACTTGCCGTGCTCGATGTAGCTATTGTTGTGTTAGCAGCTGATGCGGGGAATTTCAATTTGCTCTCGATTGTTCTTACCTCATGATCCTGTCGAACTGGAGCTGAGAGACTTGAGGACCCTGGAAGGTCTCGGGGTGGAATGGGTCACCGACAGCGTTCTGCTGTGCACGCTCCTTGAATCGCTGGAGGAACTTGTCGTAGATGCCCTCCTGTACGTACACACGCGAACCGGCGCAGCAGCACTGACCGTGGTTGAAGTAGATACCGAAGTTGACCCACGAGATGGCGTTCTCAATGTCGGCGTCGTCGAAGACAATGTTGGGGCTCTTTCCGCCGAGCTCGAGAGTGACCTTCTTCAAGTTGGAGCCAGCAGCAGCCTTCATGATCTGGCGACCGACGACAGTGGATCCAGTGAATGCAACCTTGTCAATGTCCATGTGGGAGGAGATGGCAGCACCGGCGACCTTTCCGAAACCAGAGATGATGTTGACAACACCTGGGGGGAAACCGGCCTCCTTAACAAGGTTGGCGGCGACCAAAGCGGAGAGAGGAGTCTGCTCGGCAGTCTTGAGGACGACGACGTTACCGGCGGCGATGGCAGGGCCAATCTTCCACGCCCACATGAGAAGGGGGAAGTTCCATGGGATGATCTGTCCGCAAACACCGATCTGATCGTCGTTAGTATCACTCTCATTCTAAACTTTCCAATGCGAGGCAGTTGCTTACGGGCTCCTTGCGGATGTAGTTGAAGGTCTCGTGATTGGTGTCAACGACCTTGCCCTCGATCTTGTCTGCCCATCCACCATAGTACCTCAAGCAGCCAACAGCAGCTCCGACGTCACCCTTGGCCATGGTGATGGCCTTGCCATTGTCGAGCGACTCGACGGCGGCGAGGATGTCGACGTTCTTCTCGAAGAGGTTGGCAAGGTTGACGAGGAGCTTGCCGCGGTTCTCTGGGGTCTCAGTCCTCCAGGGACCGTTGAAGGCCTTTCGTGCGGCCTGGACGGCGATGTCGACATCCTTCTCGGTGGCCTCGTGGACCGAGGTGATGACCTCCTCGGTGGCGGGGTTGATAACCTCAAAGGTCTTGCCGTCGACACCCTTGACCCACTCGTTGTTGATGAAGCTGTTTGACCATTTGTCAGCCGTGGGGACACAAGAACAAGGGCATGCGTAGTAGCGCGGAATGGAATTGGGGATGAGGGACATGATATGGAAGCCCACTTACAGGCCAGTAGGTTGCTCGTACTCACCCGTGTGGGGAGTCTTGAGCTTGACAGAGAGACCAGACATGATTGTGTGGAAGACTATGATCGAATTGAAACTATGGGTATCTTAAAGGAAAAGGAAAGGGTCCAAGACGAGCAGAATGAGGAGTGTGAGGAAGAGTTGAAGAGAAGAGAGGGGTTGGAGCTTGGTGAGGGGGCGAGTGGGAGATATTTAAGTCGTGGCGGAATATGGAGTCGTAGGGGACGACGTTAGTATGACCATGGGCTACGAGTACCTAGTAACTATGGGTAACAGTACACTGAGTAGTCCCGATTTGGGACATAGTTCGCATCCCCTCGGTCTTGAGGATCCCGTCAGTTACAGGCCTGTGTGTCTCTGTATGGACTGTATGGATCTTCTATGGACTACTATGGACCTGTATGGACTGCTAGTGACCAGTATTGGTGCGTGTAATGTCTGAGTGCGGCAAGCCACCCTTTGCTAGCCATTGCTAGCCAGTACTCGACCCATCCTGACCCATCTCGAGGCCGATGTAGCCTATGAGGTTGCACAGGGTGAGAGGAGAAAAAACGAAAAGAGGATTAGTGTGTTGGATGGATGGATGGATGAATGGATGGAGGGGAGAGAAGGGAGGGGTGCATGTCTGAGATGGCCACCAACTGACGCAACGGACAGGGAGCTATGCCATACTATGCCATGCCATGCCATACCAGTGCCCCTCTACTTTGCCTCTGTTCCCCTCTACCCCGCAGAGCCTCGCGTTGTTCGCCTCGTATAGGCATATAGGCACACTCTAGACGCCCTTCCATTATTCATTCACCATTCACCATTACGATTACTACTGTTTTCCTCAGCAATAACTAAACAGACAGAAAAAAAAGAATCAATTATCAAACCCAGATTCCTATACTACTGTAGACTACTTGTCGATCCAGGGTATTCCAATTCAAGCAATATTGTATACATGCTACAATGTTCAATCCCATGTCCCAATATCAATGTCTTCAAACACACATCAGAATCGATAACTAATCATCCAACCCACCCATTGACCTCGCTGTCGTCAGCAAACCTCCAATGCAATACACAACCTAACACGCCAAAAAAACCTCAAACTGTTTACTTATCACCGCCCTAGATATCCCGAAGGCCACCTCTCTCGACTTGCGAAGAGTGTATCAGGTATTAGCGTGTGTGTGGGCCACCACCACCTACCCACCCATTCGCGCCCGCCGCCGCCTTAGTCTCCATCCAGCCTCCTCGGCTTCCTTTCGAGCGAGCTTCCGCTGTCGCAGAGACACCTTACGAGTTACTTGCACTGCCCCCAAGAGGTATTGGGTACGCCGTATAGCAAACGGTATACATCTCGCTGTCCTTCACACCGAGATCCCCTGGGGAGGAGGGGAGGGTGGGAAGCGAAATAGAGATTGAAAATTTGCGGGCACGTTGAATGCTTTTCTTGGAAGCTTAGCTTTTTTTTTCATTGTTGTACAAGTAACTATAACATCAGATGGGAACATACAGCGTATCGGTTCGTACAGCAAGCAGCTCCCTCGTACAAAGTGAGAGTAGATATCGGATGAGCGCAACAGTCGATTGACTTGCTTGCCGGCGTCGGCCCTATTCCACCCCATTGCAACCAACCAGAACCAACGACCCCATTCAAACCGTGGACTCTGTGGAGGGCGCACGCGGGGACGAGGAAGCTAACATTCCTCTCTGGCCTGACTTTTTCTCCGCACAGAGGGAAGCAAAGGGATGGGCTTTGACAGCTTGACAAGTCTAGAGCCGCAGTACCGAGCACCACTGCTTTCTTACGGGCTCTCCCCCATATCACACCATATTCTTTTCCCCTTGGGGTTCCTATCGTTGTATTCTATCTCTGCCTCTTCCTTCTACCATTTCCCATAACCCGTGGGCCGTGACACAAAGTCTAGATCCTGCTGCTCGGCTGCTTGTTCTTGTGTCTCAAAGCTTAGTCTGACAATCGTCCCTGTCGTCCAATGATAATCCCCTTGGATCCCTGAGGTCCATTGGTCCCTTGGGTCTCTTGGTCCCCTTCCCGCCACCACGGAATCAATTCCACCCCTCAATAAACCCACGAGTACCTCTTGTCCAAGTTCCGCTGTCCTTTAAGTATTGCTTCATGCTTTGTTAAGCATTGTATTCTTGTTTTCTTCTAGACACATTTGTGCTGATCCAAGTCCATGCCCCTTCTACCTAACTAACTGTTGGAGCGCACCTTGTCTAGCACCAGATCTCCCTCCTCTGCGGAACCTCCCGCCCCTACACTCTACCGTAAAATCAACGAATCGAGAACCAGAGATTGTATAATCAGCATGGACAATCGAATCGAGAATTAGAGATTGTATAATCAACATGGACAATCGCGTTGATCCTCGGAGTCTTTCCAGAAAACCCCATCGCAAGGCATACTAGGATCATACAATCAATGCATCTTTGGAGGTTCGAATCACTGGGATGTAGCAACTGGGAAGTAGCAACTATTGGCATTCGCTAGCTTAAGTGGATGGCCGTGGAGCATTCTGAAGACCGATAGACCGATGAACCGAAAGGGAATGAAGTTAAAGTGTAGTATACAAGTTTGGTCGTCTGCTAATGGTGACGTTTGGTTGTGCCTGACAATGAAAAGAAAAAGGAAAGCCGGTCTGATACCACTCGTGTGCAAAGTCGACAGTCGTCTGCTCCGGAACCCCTGCCTGTGATCCCCCTATCCCGTCATAAATAGATCTAATGGATTGTTTCAATCAATCCCGTGGTTAGACACTTCACAATGTCTCGTCGTCCATGTTGATGTCTCCAGCAGCAGGGGCGGCCGCTCCACCGTTGGTAACCATGGCATCGTTGCCACCCTCGGCGCTTGGGAAGTAGTCGTTCATCTCAGCGTCCAACTCCTCCACGGTCTTCTTCTTGTCACGGGGAGCTCGGCCTCCACGGCCACGACCACGTCCGCGCTTGTTGTTTGCGCCACGGGGACCGGCAGCAGCTGCCTTGGTAGCGGTAGCCGGCTTGGGCTTATCCTTCTTGGCTTGACTGTTCATGAGATGAGCTTCTAGTTTCTTTCATCGATTGTTCGAGATACATACGTGACGCGGTCAGCAAGCGAGGCCACAGGGGCGGGCGCCGGCGCGTTGGCAGCGCTGACGAGGACCTCAACCTTCAAGAGGCGGTTGTCGATGCGGACATTGTCCAATGCCTTGACGGCCTTAGCAGCCTGGTCAGCCTTGCTGAAGATGACGGTTGCGGCTCCAAGGCTGCGTCCGTTGGGTCCGTATTGCATCATGACGCGCTTGGGCCTGCCAACATTCATGGCGGAGCTGAAGTAATCCTACAATGGGGTATTAGTCGTCGTCGCAAGGAAAAAAACTTCTCGGAAACGGATAAAGCAACGCCAAAAGCAACGCCAAAAGCAACGAGTCCAGGATGGAAGTCAAGTTAGACAAAATCGGCCGAAGATCGAATGGTTCGATAAATCTGATCCGAGGAGGATCATGCTCCAATGCAGAAGTTTCCTTCATATCAGCGAGGCAAGCAGCGAGGCCAGCAGTGATTCCGAGTGAGTTCCAAGAGGTGTTCGCAGGGACATAAGTGCCCAATGTGTCCCTGTCCAGATGAACCCTCTCTCTTGATGACTTTTCAGTCTCGGTCGCCCCTTTCATAATTCTGCGCATTCAAGCCAACAGGATTATATTCTCATCGTGTCACCACTGCCCTCGCTGTATCCAGCCGGCATTAGTCATGATAACATCTCACGCTCTGCTCTTGGTGGTTGCTCACGGTGTGCGGAGTTCTAGACTCGTCGTGTTTGCCAGACACGGATGTCATTATGGAACAACAGCGCTTTCATGTCGCGGTGGACATTGTGATTGCATCCCAAACCAGGCGGCGGAGGAATAATGCTCGACATCGTAGGACTCGCATTTGCATTCCAAATGCGATACAAGCGTAGGTTCAAAGACCGACGTAGGTCTTACATACCTTGAGTTGCGACTCTTCAACGTCCAAAGGCTGTATACAGTCAGCAAGAATAGACGGAACATCATTACATAGAACATACCAAGTTGGAGATCATGATCTTGGATTCGCCGCTTCCTGCGGTAGGAATAGATGCGGCGGCGCCACCTTTGGCTTGCTTCGCGGGCCTCGTGGCCTTCTGAACTCCACCGACGGGGGCTTCGGTGGCAGCGGGGCGGCCGGTGCCAGGACGGCGGCTGCCACGACCACGTCGCGAAGACTGGCGACGGGTCTTGAGGATATCGTCGAGGGACTGGTCGAGTTTTCCGGTAGACATGGTGATGGTTGGAGTGAGAGTTGGTGATGAGTGATTTGGTAAGATTAGAGAGGCGGGGAGTTGGCGAGAGGAGTTGGTATTAGTTGTAATAGAATTTGAAGGTGGATGGTTTGTTTGGCAGAGAATGTGATGAGAGTACGACAACGCAAGCTTGGATGATGACGCGCTCGTTGGGGGGCAAAGTAAACTTGCAACCGTTACGGGTTTGCAGGGTTGAGAAAAGGGCAGATAAGAGTCTCAATAGACGTTGAGAAATGAAGTAGAAAAGCTGGAGACGGAAGCCGTTCAGTGGAGTTGGGCCTCAGATGTTTGGGGGATGAAGAGGATGAAGGAGAGAAGAAAGGATCGCGGGAGAACAAGTGAAGGCAGCAGAAAGGGATGGAGCCCAAAGCGCGAAGGGCCAGATCACATGATGAAAACACTCAGCCTCAGTCGTGTAAGCGCTAGGGCAGCAGCGATTGGCTGGGAAAGGCGCGCGCAACCGTAGCTTGGCCCGCTCCCACCTGCTCGAGCTCCAAGGCCGTCACATAGCTTCCGCCAGCAGCTTTCCGACGCTGCGAGTATGGACTGGTGACAATTATGGCTGTGACTCCGGTACAAACGTATTGTTCTCTTGCTTAGGTATCAAGCTGACCCTCGTTCATAGTGGCAATTCAAATTCTTCGACGTCACCCAAGTCAAGCTTCCCGACGACGAGAGCTCATTCCTATCCGAAGTACGCTGTCCGTTCCCATGTACAATAACCACGTTGAACTCACATCTTATAGCCGGGCAATATAACATCTGTAATATCAGGATCGGAAAGCATCTTCTTCGGCAGCTCGGATGGCGTCGTTCGCATTGTATCGCAGGCCTTCAAGGTCGTGCGCTCGTTCAAGGCGCATGAAACCGGCGCAATCACGCACATGAAGCAAGTCTCGGGAACGGCACTGCTTGTCACGATATCGGAAGATCTGTCGAACGAGCCTGTACTCAAGGTGTGGGCTTTGGATAAATTGGAAAAGAAGACGGGCATTCCGCGGTGCCAGAGCACGCTCACCATACACAACGGACGAAAGCAATTCCCCATATCTGCTTTCGCGGCGCTAGAGGACTTGTCCCAACTTGCTGTAGGATTCGCAAATGGCGCTGTGACAGTTGTCAGGGGTGATTTGATTCACGACCGAGGCGCAAGGCAACGTACCGTGTTCGAATCGGAGGAGCCCATCACTGGCATCGAGCTCCGCGAGGGTAGCATAACGACTCTATACATCGCGACGACGAATCGAATTCTGACCCTCGTAATATCTGGAAGAGGCCAGGGACAGCCTGCAAAGACCCTCGATGAGCATGGGTGCGATGCATACTGTATGGCCGTGGACAAATCGAATCGCGATGTGGTTGTGGCACGCAATGACGCCTTCTACACCTATGGCCTCCATGGCAGAGGACCCCCTTTTGCATACGAAGGCGAGAAAAAGATGATATCAATCTTCAAAGACTATATCGTCATAGTCTCACCGCCCAAATCCAATGCAATGCCACGATCAAGTGCACTTCGGGCCTTCGGTGTGGGAGCAAGTGACGTCTTCAATACTTCCACATTCACTCTTCTCAATACTGAGCTGCGGTTTGTGGCACATCAAGAACAGCTGTCTTCTCAGGTTAAGGCTGTAGTCTCCGAATGGGGCGACCTCTTCGTTCTGACAACAGATGGAAAAGTTGGTACCATCCCCCTTTCCTACCAAACATCATCTAACTTTAATGAGATTTTCCGATACCACGAGAAACCTTTTAATCAAAAGCTCGATATCCTCTATCAAAGAAATCTCTACGTCTTAGCGATCAATCTTGCACAAAAGGCTGGGTTGGATTCCTCACAACAGAATGTCATTCTTCGCAAATTTGGTGATTATCTGTATCAGAAGCAAGACTATGATACAGCTATGCAGCAATACCTGAAAGCAATCGACAACACTGAACCATCACAGGTCATACGCAAGGTGAGCAGACCGAGCTTATTCATTTGCGCAGGGCTAACGTTGACATAGTTCTTGGATACTCAAAGAATCCATAATCTCATCGAATACCTGGAAGAATTACATGACCATCACAAAGCGACCTCAGACCACACTACGTTGTTGCTGAACTGTTACGCAAAACTCAAGGACGTCGATAAGCTCGAAGAATTTATCAAGTCTCCAGGTGATCTCAAATTCGACCTCGATACTGCCATATCTATGTGTCGCCAAGGTGGATACCATGACCAAGCAGCATATTTGGCTCGCAAGCATGGTGAGCACGAGCTTGTCGTAGACATCCTCATCGAAGACTCGAAGCGATATGCAGAAGCACTGGCCTACATATGGCGCTTAGAACCCGAAGTAGCGTATCACAACCTCCTGAAGTATGCCACTGTTCTCCTCCAGGAATGTCCAAAGGATACTACGCAACTCTTTATCGACTACTATACCGGTACTTTCCGACCTAAGAAGGATGCCATCGTGATCCCCAATGCGCCCGTGTCCTCCGGAATGGGCATGGGCATCAGTGCCGCCTCCAATGCCGTGCAGAACCTCGCTGCATTGCTTCCGCTTCCTTATATGAATGTCAGCTCGGTTTCTTCACCGCCAGCCGGGAGCGAGTCGAAATCCATAATGAGTCAAGCCCAAATCATTGAGACGAACGACGACGAACCGGCACCAGAATACAAAATCCCAAAGCCACGAACTGCATTTTCTGCCTTTGTGGACCACTCACAAGAACTCATCGTATTTCTGGAGGCCTGCATCAACTCCGAAAACCTCCGCGAAGACGATAAAGTGGACCTCTACACCACCCTTTTCGAAATGTATCTCCACACTGCCTCTTTGAAAAAGGACGGCGAGAAGAAAGCGTGGGAGGACAAAGCAAAGAAACTTGTAGAAGGAAAGAACATCCCCATCGATACGTCCAACGTGCTCCTGCTCTCGCATCTCACCAACTTCCGAGACGGCACCATACTGGTGCGCGAGCAGCAAGGTCTACACTTCGACATATTCCGCTCGTATACGTCCGTGAAAGACACCCAGGGCGCCATCCGCGCGCTCAGGAAGTACGGGCCCGTAGAGCCTGCACTATACCCAGCCGCATTGGCCTACTTCACTTCGGACCCGCAAATCCTGTCAGAGGCAGGCGACGAACTGGACTCTGTGCTCAAGAAGATCGACCAAGACGGCCTCATGGCGCCCCTCCAAGTCATCCAGACCTTAAGCACAAACGGCGTAGCAACCATGGGAATGATCAAACAGTACCTCTCCACGACCATCGAGCGCGAACGCCAGGAAATCGCCACGAATCGACAAACCATCCAAACCTTCCGCGCCGACACGGAGGCCAGACAGGCCGAGCTCGACAAGCTCAACACCAAGCCCGAAGTCTTCCAAGCCACCCGCTGCAAGGTCTGCAGCCAGCCCCTCGAACTCCCCGTCGTGCACTTCCTCTGCAAACATAGCTACCACCAGCGCTGCCTCAGCACCGACGAGGACGTCGAGGACGAGGCTGTCGAGTGTCCGCTCTGCAGCCAGCAGAATCAGACTGTCAGGGCGATTAGGAGAGCGCAGGTCGAGAGTGCGGAGCGGCATGACATGTTCTTGGATGCGTTGAAGAGGGGGAGAGACGGGTTCACTATCGTTAGTGAGTGGTTTGGAAGGGGTGTCATGGGCGTGGGTAGTGCGGAGTGAATGAGAGCGAGATGGATGGATGAATTATATATAGCCATCATACACACACATAGATATATCATAACGGTTACGATGAATTTAATATTTCCTGTTCTTGCACTTTCAGTGCCGTCGGACTTGGTTGGCTTCATCGTTTCTCTTGCCGTTATATGGTAGCCACCCCTTAACACGTAACACCGAAAGCATCTATAGATGTCTTCGAATAGATACCCAGTTAGTCAAAATCAAAAGGCTTGATGTCAGACTTCACACCAGATAACCAAGACACAACTCTGCTCCAAACCATCGTCAATTCAATTCAATTCAGTTCTCCCTCCCTCTTTTCGGGCAAAGTCATTATCATCCCCTCCTTTTTTGGTGTTGGGGGTGATCGACCTCACGTCGACTGACCCTACATTATCCTAACCTAACTCCTACGCCATGCGAGCAAAAGCATCCAAGAAAAAAGAGCCCTCGCCCTTATATACCTCAATCAGAAAATGAAAAGAAGAATCCCCGCATATCGACATAGAATCAGAGAACCAAAATATGAAAAAAAAAACGTGCAAAGAAACCTGCTATGACACAACGTTGAAGCTTAAAAGATCTGGCCCGCAATACCGACGACCGCGATCCCAGCCCCAACGCCGCCATACAGCTCTCTGCACTTTTTCGCCCCCGCGGCGCCAGATCCCCCACCACCGCCGCCGCCAGTGCCAAAGGCCGCGCAGGCTCGTACGTCGAGTTCGTAGCAGGCTCTACTACTGAGACTCTGGCATATGGAGCTCGCGCTGAGGGGCCCCAGACTCGGGACAGCGGTGATGACGGCGCCGGCGCCGTCGGGCGCACTCACGGTGACGCCCTGGCGGCCGTTTGCTAGAGCGTCAGTGCAGCTTGCAGCATCTGCCTGGCACGTACTATAAGCTGAAGAACACGCGGCTGCATTTGTGTAAGTAGTGGGTATGAAGGCGAAGGGGTAGAACTCATTGGGTACCGTCGAGCGGACGTAGGCGCCGGTGTTGGGCGTCTGGATGAAGGACGGGTTGGCGGTCGTCGTGATGGTCGCGAACGGGTTCTGCGTGGTTACTGTCGTGGGCGGGAACGAGGAGCTGGTCGGCAGGTTCGTCGGTTGCGATCCTACGGGCTTGATGGTGCCGGTGCATTGGCTTCCTTGGTCGCAGCACGCAACATGGTTGGCGTTGTCCAGAGCGCAGATTTGGTTCGTGCGGCAGCAGAGTCCCGGGGCGTTGAGGTTCACGCAAGCGTAGTAGCCCTGTGAGCAGCCGCCTGATTGACGCTTCATGAGCTCGAGGGTGCCGTCGGCGACTGTCTCATTGTCCAATGTTGGTGCGGTCTCGGTCAGCGGTGGGATGAAGTCGGCGAGCAGGTCCGGGGCTGCAGTCGCGAGGGCGAGCGGGAGGAAGAAGGGCAGAAGCGCATGCCGCATTCTTGAGCAATTGGTGTTTGGGTTCGAGGGTGGTGGAAGGAATGCGCCTGGCGGCGAGTGGAATGGAAAGATGATCGTCGTTCTACGAGGTCGCTATCGATATCGACAGGTGATGGTACGAGTACGATCTGGAGAGGCACAAGATAGCCGAAGAGCAACTGTAAACAATGGTAAGTGTTTGGACGAATGGGTGAGAGCGATCATGCAAGTCGGACGGGAACCATTGTAGTACGTACAATATATTCTTAGATGATGTAGAGCAGCAGTTGAATGGCGAACTATGGGTAGACGTAATGGGGCAGATTGTGTTGTTGGCTGTAGCTTGCTGCCATGCCAACGCACTTATGGGCAGTGCAGAGTGCAGGGTGGGAGGTTCAAGTTATTATTACTCGGCGACGGGCTGCATCCTCTTGCACGTGCAGTTCAGTACTTGGTAGGGACGGAGAAGCTGTCCAGCATTCCGATTGGCTCCGTCTCCCGTCTCGCTACCAATTGGCCATTGACCATACTCTGGGGACTGCTAACCTACAACACCTTTACCTTTACAAGTAACCATGGAGTACACTCCGTACATTGATAGACGTTACTCATAGAAAAATAGGAAAAACTACTGTAACCAACACCTTCAAACAGACCTCTCTACTCCGGCATACCGTAGTCAAACACCATCATCTCACTTACTAAACTCACTTTCCAAGCACGAGCTCACAGCATCTACTTCAAACCTTGAATCCATCTCACTTGATCAAGCCTCCCATGAAAGCACTTCAGTTGAACGAGCAAATCCTAATCTAAACACGATTACAAGAATAAGCACCTAATAGCCATAGTCCTCCTCCCGTTATGTTCAGACGTTGACCCAAACCCCAACTCCACCAATCACACCCCGTGCTCCGCCGGTCCAACCCCGGCTAAACCACCCTCTCCATCCCTCCGCCTCCCGCCGCCAAAATAATTATCAAACTCTCTTTCTTCCTTCCTTCCATACTTCCTTCTTTCATTCACACTCCAACCCACAACCTCACCCTCACCACACCCACCAACCTCCCAACCCCTCCTTCACAGCAAGCAGACCCATCAAAAATGTCAAGCTACAACCCCGCCTCCAACACCGGCGCCGCCACCGGCGCGCAACAGACAGGCTCGATCACCGACGACCGCTCCCGCGCCGTCGAGTACACGTGCGGCGACTGCGACTCGCCCGTCGCGCTCAAGCGCGGCGAGCCCATCCGCTGCAAGAACTGCGGGCATCGTGTCTTGTACAAGCAGAGGACGAACCGGTAAGTGTTTTCTCGGACAAAGCAGGAGAAGGTGGACAAAGCGCCGGTGTAAGGGGAGTGGATGAAGGGGAAGGAAGAGTTGGGAGTACGTCGGGCGAGACCTTTTGCTGACGGGGATTTTGTGTACAGTATGGTGCAGTTTGAAGCTCGCTGAGCCAACCATTCCAGCCGCGACCTAATCGATAATGACGGGCGACAACAACTACAGCGGTTGGCGCAAGAGAAGTTCTCAAGGACGGACAGACGACGTTATTTTCGAGCACCGACGAGGTCATGGAAGCGGGGGTGCTATTGCGGAGGAAGATGATTATGGATGCCTGGCATGAACGAACGAGCACGCAGCGAGGAAGGGAAAAGGTCGAAGCACACGATTACAAACACATACAATACCCGCAACACAACATTCACACCCACGACCCCGGAGAAGAGACCAAGACTAAGGCCCAGCGAACGGAAAGGAGACCAGGCGATCGAATAATGGAACATGATACCTACGGCTCGGGATTTTAGATTGAAGGCGCTCGGCCAAATACCCCAATGAAAATGAAATAAATTACAAAGAGAATGAAAAACAAAAATATCCATACAAGGCTTGATCCAGTTTTGGTCCCTGCGTAGACGTGATGTCGAAGGATGTGTTAGAGGTGACGTCGGAAGGGTGTATGATAGACGTGATATCGCGAGAACATGTTTTGTTTTGAACTGGTTCGATCTCATATCGTTTGATCTGTGAATTTCTTGATTCGATTGACTCTTCTCGTTGGATGCAATGATGATGTGATAACGCAAGATGATATATGCCTGCTTGGCCCGCTCAAATATGCCCCAGAAACAAAAAGCTTTAGAAAAACAAAGAGTCAAGAAAAAGAGGTCACGCCCGGGATGCCTATCAATCATTCGATGCCTCTTTGGAACATGCAGCCATCATTCAAGTGGAAAGGTGCCCGCTTGCCTTCCGCCCGCCTATCCATGGACCACGTACTGTGCTCGAAAGATTCGTACACTCGATGCTTCTGACCCAACTCCCAGTGTGTTGAAAAAGGAGTATATACCATGCGTACCATGCCACCCAGAACTAGTTACGTCCGTCAACGACAATGCCGCTCATACTCAAATCAAATGTTTTCTAGAAATTTTCACATTTCCTGTTCACCTAAGACACCTTCTGGATATGCATTCAAGCGTCCCGTCTGTGATCCATCGTTGCGCCGCCACACATAATAAGGCCGTTGAAAAGAAGAACGCAGTTGGTGCATGTGAGGGAGAGGGCAGCAAAGCGCAGCAAAACAATTGGCCTAGACCTTGAATCGATTCTCATCTAAGGTGGCATATGCGAGGGTGTGGGGTTTACCGGAAGCGAAATCTTCTAGTTTATCACTGAATAAAAGGAGAGTGCTCGGGAAAGGTTCGTCGTAGCTCATGCAAGGCCATGCAACATCATTGTGCGTTACAGTTAAGTACCACGGAATGCGTCGAAGCGCTTGTAGGTATATCCGATGAAAGGCAGGCTCATCTCGGCCGCGACATCGTCACCTGCCTGTGCGGTCTGGGCGCGGAGGGCTGCGCTGGTGTCGTTCTGATCGATCTCGTCGATGGGGAAGTACTGCGTATCGATGTTGGACTGGAGCTTAGGCTCGAACGGTGCACGAATACGGCGGAGACCATCCCACTGTACGCCACGGAAGAATGGATGCTGCTTGATTTCGTATGCACCGTGAGCTCCACCGTTGCGACCGAGGCGATGCTCGGCATCACAGATCAAGCTAGTGTAACGTTAGATCCCGCACCTATCAAAGTTAAGATAACAACGAATGTAAACTCACCGCTTGATGAAGTCCTCCGCCTCTGCACCCAATTGCTGGTCGGGAGGGAAATGCAAGTTACGAGGCCAATCGACAATCTTGCGGTATGTGTCATGCGGCTCTTCGGCGCAGAATGGCGGCCAACCGATCAAACATTCAAACATGATCGTACCAACAGACCACCAATCGCATCCGAAATCGTAACCCTGGCCACTGAAAATCTCCGGAGCGATGTAATCGGGCGTGCCTACGGTCGAGTATGCAAGCTGTCGTCGAGACTTCCTCCAAGTGTTGATCTGGGCACGGTTGCTAACAGTCAGATGGATCTGGTCCAAGTTCATCGAGTTTCGGTTATCCCTCGCAGACTTGTGTGCCCCGCCCTGGAGTAGCTTCTTGTAGTAAGAAGCCTCGTGCTCTTTGTGGAAACCAGTAGACAGACCAAAATCAGTTAGCTTGATGTGGCCACCACGGTCTAGCAGGATATTGTCAGGCTTGATATCACTGGAAATAGTTAGTTACGAACGTAAATTATCCACGTCGAACGTCGGGCAGATATTACCGGTGGATGAAGCCAAGTTTGTGTACAGCTTCGATTGCAAGAGTGATCTCGGCCATGTAGAAACGAGTAATGTCCTCTGTGAAAATCTCGTACTTGATGAGCATAGTCATCAAATCACCACCAGGCAAGAACTCCATCAGCATGTACAGGAATGTAGTATCTTGGAAGGTGGTGTGGAGCTTAACGACCCAAGGGCTGTCAGACTCGGCGAGAATATCTCGCTCGGCGCGGACGTGAGCTAATTGGTCTTTCTTGAACTGTACATTTTTGTCAGTTGTGTCATTCACCAATGAGGTGACGATTGAAGCCGCATACCATCTCGGATTTCACAAGCGACTTGAGCGCATAGATCTTGCCATCATTCTTCCTCTGAACGAGTTTGACCTCTCCGAAGGCACCCTTTCCGATGATCTTCAATGTGGAGAAGTTCTCTGGCCTCTCCTTTGTCCGCAAGAAACGTAGATACTCTGCTTCTGCCCGACGCATGCTGGCGACCTTCTGAGCTCTGCGGTTGTCGGAATAGGAGGGGTCCTTCATGATTGCTTCCAGCTCCAGCGCTCTGGATTATGATCAGTTGGCGATTCAAGCATTGTGACTCTCACAAACCTACCTCTGGTTTCGGTCGCGTGCTCGCTGAACGCTATCCTTGAAGAAAGTGCTGACGAGGTTTACGGACAATTGTGACTGTCGTCGAATGTTCTCACTGTAAAGATTTGGATCCTTTGCCGGGGGCTCCTCATCATTGAGGGAGGGTTGCCTGGGCACCTGTTGAGACAGATAGCTTCCATATTGCTGGTGGCCGCGGTCACCGGCGGTACGAGGGCGCTGCTGGCCAGGAGAAGGTTGGCGTCCACCATATGGGCTGCCAGAGCGGCCACCTCCACCGCCGAGATGCTGGTGGGAAAGCTGATGGACCAGACCATTGGCAGCATCATTGAATTGCCGCTGGTTGGGGGCTTGCAAATTGCCCTGTTGCCCCTGGTATTGTCCCTGCTGGGCTTGCTGCTGGTACGGGTTCCCGCCCATGAAGTAGCCAAACCCATTGTTCTGCTGTTGCGTTCCCCATACCTCCTGTTGGCCAGCCTGATTGGGGTATACGGGTTGTGGGAAGGTAGAGGGAGTGGTGGGGAATGCCGGTCCACGGTCTTGGTTATATTGGTCACGATTACCACCACCGCCCAAGCCGAAGTTGAGCTGCAGGCGATTGCCCTGCTGCTGTTGTTGGTTGTTCATGGTGAATGAAAATCGGATGTGGTTGAGGAGAGTTTCGTTGGGATGCTCAGAGATATGGCTACGAATCGAGATCACCCTTTAGGGGAGGTGGTGGAGAATCCGCGAGTCGTTCGAGGGAGGAGGGGGCAGTAGCGGCCCAAGTCGCCGCGGGGAAATTCGAGAGGTGGTCTAGCACGGCTGTTTCATAGGAGAAAAGCAGCAGCTAGGCTAGCTATTTAGAAACCCGGCAGATGAAGGAGGGGAAAATGAAGGTAGCAGAGGGGGGGATGCCGGTCCTAGGGTGTGGAAGGGGGAGAGGAGAGGAGAGGAGAGGAGAGGAGAGAAAGAGAGTGTGTGTGAACTTGTGAGAGTACAGAGAGGACAAGGTAATGGCAGAGGCAGAGAGGCAGAGGGAGTGTGTGGTTGTGGAGCTTACCAGGTATGCAGTAGTGGATGGAGAAGGTGCAGCTGGCTAGTGCAACTGCTAGTTACTGCTTCTGCTAGTAATTGTTGCTACTGTACGGAGCAGTAGGGGAAAGACTCAATAGTAGAGTACAGCACAGCACAGCAAAGCAGATCAGAGCAATAATGCAGAACAGTTCAGAGGCCAGACTAGTTGAGCCAGACCAGACCAGACCAGACCAAAAAGGACAAGGGGGGAGGGGAGCAAGATGATGAGGAAGAGAAGTAAAAGGATGGGCCAAGCCAGTCAGGGATGAAAAGCCAAAGGGAACTCTACTCAGTACGAGTAGACCAAACGGCGGCAGCGGGAGAGATGGACCTAGCAATGGCGGATGGCGGTATGGAGTAGAAGAGGAGTAAGTAGAGCTCAGTTTAGGAGTAGTTAAGTTAAAGTGGGAGAATAGCGAGTAGTGAGTAGTAGTGAGTTTAGGAGGAGAGACTGAGGATATCTCGTCTCGTAGTGGCGGTAGTGGGTGTTTGGTGGGTGGTAACAGTTTAAGAGACGGCGGGCTAGTACGGATTAGGCACATTTCTAGGATACTTGTATCCCCCGCGGCTCGTGCTTGTCCAACTTGTTCCTTTTTCCCACCCAAAGACCACCCACGGCACGGGATCCACCCCGTCCCTGATTCGCCCGAAACCACCACAACGCGGGCCGAACCCAGAACCAAACCAGCGCTCAAGCATGTGCTCGAATATCTTCAACGCCACGTCCAAATAGCTATTGATCTCAAACAGGAACTATAAATCTTCTATCTATTCAGCACTCGTATAATCAGAACCAAATACGGCTTAGATCCTGAATCCAAACACCAGGTTCCTCATAGCACCACTCACCGCATAGGATCAGAAGGACCTAAACATATGTCAAAGGATGGAAAGCGATGATGGACAGATGGACAGTATAAGACGTCAACAACTTTTTCTTCTCGTAGAACGATGGTCAGATTATTCAATGCTCCTGCGTTTCTATTCGCTATGCGCTACTATCCTCCTTTTCCTCCCTTCTCTTTCAATAAAACACATTAGATCATTACACAAAGATATAATCAATCCCCCGTCACCATCCACCAACGATGACAACTACAGCAACGACAACGATAGCAATGCAACAGCAGAGTCTAATACTCTACTTTACGATGATGCAGTAAAGCATGAAGAAAACGTGCTCCGATGACCCCTTCAATTGCAAAGAGGGGGGAGTGTCCTTTCCAAATGGACAAAGGGTATAGAACTCGGGGTTCCACGGCGTTGTGGTACCCTCGAAAGTTAAAAGAAGAAGAAGAAGAAGAAGAAGAATGATCTCCTCTCGCTCAATCAGGCGAGGGGGACATGGGAGAAATCAACAATAAGAAACCTAAAAATGCCTCTCCTGTTAGCTATGAGATTGGTTGCCTGCAGGAGAGTTGGGCAGTGGAAAGAAGTATCTCGTTGCTCCCGTGTAAATGCTGATTTTCAATCCAAGAAACGCCAGATGCCCGAGCATTCGTCCTTCCGAACGGCTCAGGATTACGAATAAACATTGTGGGGGTTGAATAGAAGGTTTTGTGGTGTCGTGTCAAACGATCAGCTCTGCGAGTCGTCTAGGCATTAATTGCATTAGGGCTCTGCTCCATCAGAGCCTTGACCTTTTCGCGTTCGGTCACGATATCGGCTTGGAGTTTTCTGGTTTTCCTCATGGCCTCGTCCCTGGGGATTTGTTAGTATACGTTTACCACCATTCATCTAGTATGGAAATGCTTACCTTTCGAATTGGAGGTCGGCAACCTCGATCTGGGCCATGTTCATGCGACCGACCACTTCCTCCATCTCGTGGTCAGCGTCGCGCAGCGCCTTCTCGAGTTCACCGACCCGCTTCTCGAGAAGCTCCGTACGGGTGGCCTCGGCCATCGACATGGCCGGTCCAGTGGTCGTCTGATCAAGGCGCGGCGACCTCTGACTAAATACTGGGGAGGTCGGCGAGTTTGGCGACAGTCGAGGGCTGAGCAATCCATTCTTGGCTCGGTGGAGTAGGCTGTTATGGCTCTCTCGTAGAGCCTGTACCTCCTCCTCGTGCTTGGAAATAGCCTCTTCCGAAGATTGTTGTGCCATGAGGACACTATCCTCAGCGGACTTGAGCCTTCGTTCAAGCTCGATGATCTTCTCTGTGGACGTGAACTGTTCTTTCTCACCACGAGTGATCGCCTCGGTGAGTCGGGTGCGAAGAGAGCTATTCGACAGAAGCTGCTCTTGAATTCTCTCTGAAAGTTCGTCCATGCGGGTTGCAGCCGCCAACAGCTCGGTGCTGAGTTTCTGCTCTTTGCCAAGATGTTGGAGTTCGGACCTTTGCAAAGCACGAGCCTGCTGTCTGTATTGCTCTGCTTCCTTCTGAGCCATGTCGCGCTCAGTCTCTGCATCGGAGATGCTCTGCTTCAACAATGCCAATGTTCGCTCTGCCTCGGCACCGGCATTATCCAAGGAGTCTTGCGAGTCCATCTGTCTGATGCGAGCAATGGAAAGTGCATGAGTAGTCTGGAGTTCTCCCAGAGCCTTGTCTAGGGAGACGGACATAGGCTCGTTCTCGATGCGGATTTCTGGGATAGTGATATCGTGATCCTGGAGCAAGCCACGCAGGGAGGCTGTCTCTTGTTGCGCGCGATCTAGATCCATGCGCAAGCCACCCAGACCCTTTTCGCATTGCCACTTCTGATCGAGAGCATCGTCAGCTCGTCGTCGAAGCGAATTGACTTCTTCCCTGAGATGGGAAACCTCTTGGTGGAAAGCAGTCCTGCGAGGCGTGAGATTGAGGGCGGCATCTCGCTCCATCTCGAGCTCTTTAATGCGCTTCTGGAAATCCTTTTGCTGCATTTCCTGTCGTTGGAGAAGGTGCTTCAAGGCTTTGTGGAGTGCATCACGTTGCTCTTCAAGTTCCTTTACGGGGTTGCCGGCGACGTGCTGCTCTTGAGGTGATACAGGAACAGATCGATCTTTGACAGAGTTGGATCGAGATAGTGACCCTCGCTTGGGGTTGAAGGAAGAACTTCGGGCGAGGGAGTTGGATCGTGAAAGGCCAATCTTCGGAGCGGATGGTAAGGGTGCTCCAGGGTCTTCGGCGATGGATTGGAAACGGGTAGACTGTTGAGAGATCTCTTGCTGCATTCTGCGGGCATTCTGCAGTGTCTGGTTCTCATTGCGCAATGTTTGAATCTCTTGCTGCATGCGCGTGCTTTCGTATATTAGGCTTTGGGTCTGAGAGGCCTCAGACTCCAGTCCTTCAAGGCGTGCCTTGAGCTGTGGAACGACTTCGTCGCGAAGGTTGTCTGCCTCGTTGCGATGCTGTTCGAGCTGTTCGCGTAGTACGGAGAGTAGGTCTTCGAAATTTTCTTTCGCCTGTCTCTCTTCGCTCAAGCGTCTTTTTAGGTCGTCCACAGCAATCTCGAGTTCGCGGACCTTGCCAGTAGGGGCTGTGGTAGATTTGCTCTCAGTGCTGACGCGATCTTCAAGCTGTTGCACCTGCTCTTCCAGGTCCCGTCGACGTCTCAATTCGTCTTGCAGGCGCTCGGCCATGTGGACCTTCAATTGCGCTCGTTCTTGTTCTGCTTTGCGACGGAGCATTTCCACCTCTTCTAGTTTCCCTTCTGTGTCGGTGATGGGAAACCTGATGGAGCTAGTTCCAGAGTCTGAGTAGTAGTCGCTAGTCCTCCTGTTTTCTGAAGTGAAAGAACCGCTCTCGGCCTTATACCGCTCGACCTCATCTTCAAGTTCCAATTCTCTTCGTATGGAGTTGGCCAATTCCGAGCTGACTTCGCGAAGTTCTCGTTCCAGTTCCTCCACATGCGCATTCATCTGGGGAGAGCTCGAAAGCAGTGGAGTACCTGGGACATTGAAGTAGGAGGACTGTCCGAAGGAGTTGGCGACGGGAATATCAAGCCCTGCGGGTTTTGCTTTGACTGCCATGTTGCCGTTGGGGAAACGCGGTGATGCTGCAGGGGATATGGATCTGTCTGAGAAGGGGGTCGTGGGCGATTCAAGCCCGGTCTGTTGCTTCGAAGAGTTCCAACCGAAGAAGGAACCGAATTTAGTACCACCAGCGGGCGACTTTGGCTTGGGTGGTTGTACCTCGGTTGGCGAGATGTCGTAAGGGTCCTCGTCTATGTAATCCTCTGTGACACCGTCCAACTGCAGTCTTAGTGGTGGACGCGGTTGTTGTGAAGTTTGATTATATACGGGCATATTAGGCATAGTAGGGGATCGAATGTGTGAGCCTTTGGCGGAAGGAGCGACCTGTATCTTCAATTCAACGCTGTTGCTGACTGATCGACCATGCCTTGGACTCTTTACTGCGAAGGTATAATTATTGTAGTTGTTCGAGGTGCTGGTTGTACTGGTGGTGCTGGTGTTCTTCGCATAGGATAGTGAACTCTTCCGCGATATAAAGGCCCCTTTTGGAGCGGTTGTAGACACTGGTGTTCGGCCGTGAGGATTCCTATGGAGCAAAGTCAGACGACTGATGACAGGACACAGAAGCAGTATCGAAGATGGATGTGGATGGAAGGACGAGACAAAGATAAAGGCCAGCGTCCAAGACAATGAAATCTTGGTACTTACTCGTCGAGGTTCCTTGGTACGAAGAGGTCGTCTTCGGCTGCGAAAGACGGGGACAGGACGGGATTATTACTATTAGACGAGGAGGTGCGTCCAAGAGAGGTTCTATCTACAACCTGGTTCTTATTGTATTCAGCCGAGACGAATCGACCTGCCACTGGAGAGTTGGCTGGCAACGGCTTCCTGCGAACAGGGGACGGTACCGGGTTAGTTGAGGTCTGAGATCTGAACGCAGCGAAGGACGATATGGCAATCGTGGCCAACGTGGGAGGGTTGGAGCGAGGCGGCGAGGGTGAGGACGAGGATGAGGATAAGGACTGTTGGAGCGAAGAGGAAGCATCCGCGCGAAGGCGCTCGGGCGGGTTCGCTGCTTGCATATCTATTGTATCGTATTCTGCGCTCTTAATCCCCGCTCATGATCTTGCACAAATCAAGGGTGGTCGCGAAGCGATGGTCTGGTCAGTCGGTGTGTGTGAGTAGGTAAGTGTGTGTGTGGGCGCAACCTGGTGGGTTGACTGGACTGGTACGAGGCTGTTGCAATCGATGGTACCAGGTAGGGGAGGAAAAAAAGGAGACGGTGAGGGCGAGGCGCGTTCGGCAATAATGGGGCATGAACCGCAGAGGGAGCTGAATGGATCGCGTGAAGGCCCTTTCGACGCTTCTGAGCAGATCACCAGTCCTGAATTGGACGTTCTTGAAGGCGCTCAATCTGCGTATTGGCCTGGGCTGCCTGTTTGGTTCGACGAAGGTGGACGAAGGTGGAGAAGGAGACGGAGACTCGGCAGGGGGTCACTGGGGGGGAGAGGCTGCACCGATGCAGGTACGCGCGCTGGTTCCGACCAATGATGATAAAGCACTCGTCGCAACGAGCCGCCGCCAATGCATCAACCAACACACGGGACGGATCTATTGTACTGACTGGTAGAATGTCCTCCGTATGGTGTATCTAGGATGTGTACGCTTGCAAAGGGGGTAATAAGTGGGAGAAAGAGGGTGGGGTGGGATGAGATAGGATGAGGGGGAGGAAGAGTAGGACTGGAGGAGTGAGTGCTTCAGTGGAGCGGTCAGGATCAGACGGAGTTACGGACTCGAGTGGGAGGAGGAGGAGGAGAAGGAGGAGGGAATCAAACAATAATAACTAATGATAATAATGGCCTCTTCCCTCTGCTGTGAATAGGTTTCGCTGTCATGCCAGGTGTACTCCGTATATTCGATTCGATTCGGATGCTGACTCTTTTCTGTTACGTTGTTGTCGCAAGGTGAGGTGATGTGAGATGGGATGAAATGAATGGTGAGGTTCAGGATGCAGGCTGTCTGACTGACTTGCTCGTCCTGTTGTCATCTCCGGCAGTCATTCATTGTTATTGTTATTATTATCATTATTATGATTCTTATTTGCTGGGTTGCATTTTTCTGCAACAAAATCGGATGCGACTCTCCCACTTGATGCAATGTCTTTTGCATTCCCGTGCTGGCTTGCATACGAAACAACTTCGTCCCACCCCTCGGACCATCACTATGCGGACAACCGACAACTAAACTCCTTAGGCATCCACTCTCCCCCAGTCCAAAGAAACAACATGATTGGCCTTGTAACTACGGAGTAGACTTTACATCTCTACTGCTACTTGTAGCTGGGCGAACGCTGGACAATACTGCGACTCTGCGACGCTTACAGTGGCCGCCTGTATCTGCCAGTCGACGACAGACACCTTCTACGGTATATACAGTAATTAGAGCAAAAAAGAACATGACTCGAGGCGAAAGCCAGTGATGGTTATGGCGCCCGCCGCGGCTCTTGTGAGATTGCGACCATGATTCGCCGAGTTATACCTACCATCTCAATAAGGCCAGCGCGGGTCTGGCCGACTCCTCTTTGGGAAAAAGGGACGGCCTATCGATCATCTGCTGAGCGATAATTTCTTTTTGAAGATTTGGGATGATGTGCAGACCGTTGGTGATTACAATAATGATCTGATACAGTGGGGGGAGAGATTGCTCATTTTTGACTGCTCTATGCAAGTGGTTTGCCTGCCTGTGCATTTGCCATTTGATGGTGAATACCTTCATATTCCATACTCTACACTCGATGATTGAATTTCCATTGACTTGGTGCCATATTTTCTTTCACCACGCCTCAAAAATAAGGCTAGTGATATCTCTCAAACTATGTACGACTCTCTCTCTCCCTTTCAAGAAACTATTGTGCGCCGGTCATTGAGGCGCTTTAAGCGGCTCGTGACGTTGAATTGCGCAAAAGGTCGCAAACGCCGATCCTGCCAATCGATAGTTAGATAGATCAACACGGGAGAATGTCTTTAGCTTTGGATAGACCCTGAATAGAAGGCCCTACTGTATATGTACCATGATCAAGAAAGGATGGTTCTTTAATTGCGATAGTCCAGGTCCGCTCTTTCAGGGACCACGAATAGAGACAGAGATAACTAGCGGGAAGGTGGATTAACATTTTGCCGACCTCCTTCCATACAGCCCGCATGACGAAGCTCGAAACCGCAAGAGCTCGACAATTGTCAAGCGTCTGGCATCTTCAAGCATTTCAAGCGATCAGTCCTTACAGTTCCTTAACGATCCTCGGCAATTGAAATCATGTCCTACCATTCACCCCAACCCTCCCAATCATTCTACCAATCCACACCTCCCCCACCACCTCCCAAGCCCTCAGCGCATTCAAGCGGCCACGCAACTCCATCCAACAACGGTCCTCCGCTCCCACCAGCCCCACCACAGTCCTACAAAGACAATAATCAAGCAACCTCATTTCATCCGTCCTTCCAAAACCCACAAGAAACAGACCAACCGCCCATTCAGCCGCCAGAAGATGGTTGGCTGCCGAATGTTTTAAAAGACAAGACGTACGTCATCACTGCAGCACCCATGAAACGCACAACGCTTCGATCGCTGAACAACATGCCCAACGCAACAGGACCGTAGACCTCCACCACGTGCTGCAAACCCCCGATCTCCAGAGCGCCCTCATCCACAACCCCGACACCGCCCATCCGTCGATCCCCGCATCCACCACGCCAATCCAGAACTTACTCGCGCAGAACATCGCGCTCGCGAAGAGCTTAAAGCAGCTCGAGGCGCATCTCCAACACCAGAGAGATAGCACGCAGTCGCGACTGCTGTCACTGAGAGCTTTAGAGCGGCAGTGGAGAGCGAAGCAGGCAGAGCAAGATGCGGCGTTGAGGGAGTTCAGCCCCCCGGCATTATACCAACGCCTCAGTGCTGCCGTTGGCGAGCAGGAGGCATTGTGTCGGGGACTCGAAGAGAGCTTCCTCGAGGGCGACAATATCGGCGGGACCGATACGGTTGCAAGCGAGCGAGAAGTCACCGAGTTCGTCCGTAGGCTTCGAGAAGGTCGGAAGGTATCCTACCTACGCGCAGAGCGTAAAGATAGATGGGATCAGGGAAGAGTCGGCGGCTGGCGATAGGATAGTCGTACGCTGTTTCTTTGTTCACGTTTAGAACATTCCCACATAGGCGCTTGTACAACTTCACTCGGGAAAGGCCTGTGAAACAAGCTATTCCGAGATCGTCACACAACGCCCATCACCACATGGTCGATTCGAAACAAACACCTCGACGATCGGGTGCAAATCACTGATGGCTATCCTTGTGTCTAGCCGCGCCGATGAATGACCGATGACGCCTGTGTCACCTCAGATATAGACAGGCCATGTTTCCCCTTCTCCAGCAATGGAGATAATGCCACTGCACGCACAAACTCTGCATCGAAACTAAGATGACATATTGTTGTCATGCTGGCAATAAACGATTACACAGATACCCAAATGTATGAGCATTCATAATTTACAACGCTGATATGTACTGCATACTCTATATCCATCGTGACTATTCTAATTTTACAGTTCGTCCATAGTCTGCATTCCAGCAACTCTATAGATCGTAATTGTTACAAATATATGCGAGACCATAGCCACATAAGCTTCCAAATCGGTAGGCCATTTGTTGCGCGTTTCCATCATCCTTTGCTTCTAGCATCGTATTGACTCTTGCCCTACACCATTTCTGCACAACAACCTACTCCCAGATACCAAACCACCTCTTCACCTTTCTCCTCCTTATACCATCCTCGCCAACGTAGTACCTAGGGTCCTCCTGGTACTCCTCGCCCCTCTCCTCAGCCTCCCGTATCCTCTCAAGACGGTATTGCTTCCTCTTCTCGACCTCCTCAGCCTTCTTAAGGCGCTTCTGCTTCGCAATCTCGCTCTCATGCGCTACGTGCATCTTATAGACGTCAATGAAGCGCGACGCGCTCTCAATCGGATGGCGCAGGAAATCCTTCTTATCGGGAACCTGATCCCCGAAGATCGTCTTGGACATGAAGTCCATGTACCAAGCCGCGATCGCCAGAGTTACGAGAATACCCTACGCAGGAAAAAGACCCCACATTAGTCTCTAGACCATACGATTCTCCATAGTCTTCCGTAATTTGGGGAAGAGAGGTACGACTCACCATTGAAATCCACAAGTGAATCGCCTTGTTGTTCAAGAACCAATGCGAGAAAGTTCCTTCCGGACTCATCATGTTGGGATACTTCTTCGTGCGCATGCGCTGCTTGTCTTCGGCGGTGAGCTTTGGTCCATAGCTCTTCTGCTGCGTTTCGCTTCGCGGGGTCCTCTTTCCGTGTGAGGGGGGCCGGTACTTGTCCGGCTGGGGGATCACGGGCTGCTTGTTGCGGAGCTGCTCTGCGAGCGTCCTTGGCCGCGGCGTTGTGGATGCATGGCGGAGGGATGCTGTGATGGGGAGGAGAGGGTGTGCGCGGGGGCGGAGGAGGTGAGGACCCCGCGGGAGGAGAAATCGTGGTATCGAGTGTAAGGGTATCGAGGCCATTGTATTGTGGGATTGACACCGTGAGTTCGTGGTGCAATTGGGTGTTATGCAATGGTTCGATGGGAAGAAGATTTGGGGTTCTAAGGGAAAAAATATTTCGCCGAGGCCGAGCATTACTTTCTATGGCCTCTGTTTGGATACATGTAATTCGTCCATCTTCATCCAATTCTTTTTCTACATCTTTTCTAGCCAAATCAAAAGCTTTATCTACATGATAAATTCGTAGTGAATTTCGACGAAAGGGAGTTCTCTAGCTATTTCACACTGTCGTTATCGAGTCTACTAAGCTAACAAGTGAGCCATCACTAAAACTAACACAGTATCTAGCTTATTCTGATCACAATATATCAGATACGATTGGATGGCCCCCCAACCGCCCTCTTTCGGCTCTCAAAAATACTGGGAAACGCGATTCGCCTCTAATTCCCAACCTTTTGAATGGCTAGAGGCGCCGTCAGCTTTGGATACCTACCTTCTAGAGGCTTTCAAAACTTCCGGCGATAAGAAACCAGAAATTTTACATATAGGATGTGGAACTTCATTACTTTCACATCATCTGTGCGAGCTTGTCGGTGATCCCGAACGTATACACAATATAGACTACTCTCCAATTGCAATCGATATTGGAAAGAAAAGGGAGATCGAAGCTCACAGTACGCACACTGGACAGGAGCCTCCAGGATCTCCACCGAAATCACCTCAACCAAAGTACATGCGCTGGTCGGCCATCGACTTACTTGATCCTAATTCCTTGCTGGAAGTCTGCAATGAAGCCAGCTATTCAGTATTCGTCGACAAATCAACTTCCGATTCGATATCCTGCGCAGATGATGTCGATATCAAACTTCCTTACTCAATCAACACATCTAAATCCCCCATACGCTCAGGATTAAATGTGTCACCGGAGGCAATTCATCCATTACATATCTTAGCGATCCATCTCGCGTTTCTGGCGAAGCCAAAGGCCCGCTGGTTAGCTCTGTCATATTCTCTAGATCGGTTCCCTTTCTTGCAGCCTCCACTTAAAGCATCTGGGACAGGTTCTAGTCGGACGGATGATCTTGATGATATTCCAAAGAATATCATAGACAATGGACTTCCAGATCCAGCGTTGTTGTGGAAACTAATCAAGACACACGAGATCGAGGTCCCGTCTGAGCAGCCCAATCAGCCGAAGATATCACACTTATTGTACATACTTCAGCGGACGGATGTGCCGTTGTTTGTTATCGATCAGAGCATAGACAATGTCATCTAGATGCCGGCGACATTCAATATTGCATCATAAAATCATAGTATATTCACTAAGCGTCATTCTATCTTACCAATGCCCTCAGACGTGGTTCTAGATGCCATGAATAATACGTTCCACAAGATTGCAATACCCACTCAGTCATCCTTCTTCAACCATTCAGATGACGCCTCATAGATAGCCGAGAACGAGTTGTCCAAAGAAAGAAATCGTTCAAAGACATCCACCTCCACACGCTTTAGAAAGTGCAAAAATGCAACAAAAATGAAGTCCGCGTACGATACTATATCCAATGAGTCATTTTGTCAATCAAACATGCGTAATTAACTCACATGTCTCGCCTAGGAAGAAAGGTCCGCCGTCTTTCGAATTCAACAGATCAACGAATTGCTTAGCAGGCGCTTTAACTTCTTCCCAGCACTGTTCTACACTCTTCGACTTGTAGTAGTCGGATAGAGGCATTCCGAACCTCACTTTACGGGTGTCGTAGAAGTACTGCGCTGACCTCTCAGGCAGGATGTCGGGTACTTTTGGAAGCGTCAAAGTCATGAGGGGATCCCTAACCACGGCTATCAAGTCGCGGACCTGTAACACGATGGGGTCATCCAAGTGGAGAGACGGCTCGGGATACCGCTTCTCGAGCTCGAAAATGATATTCCACGAATCCATCATCAACGTGTCATCTGCGAAGCGGATTGCTGGACTGGAGTAATCTGCCGAAACACCAGGTGCGTTTCTGTCATTTGGAGGGAGTCCACTTTGAAGGTTTCTGTCAATGTCTGATTGGGGCGAATGATTGGGGATAGCTTACAATGACTTGAGTTTTGGAGCGAGATCAGGGTATTCGATCCAATCCGTCCTGTAGTCGACACCCTTGAAGTTCAATGCCATTCGGGCTTGTACTGTTAGCATTCTGGCGTTATAGATTGCATTATCGCTTACTTTTCCATGGATTCAAGGACCATGACGCTTTGGGTGGCGTGCTCGGGAGATCGTAAAGTACTACTTGGCTCATGTTGATTCACTGTGCAATAGTTTGAAGAAATTGGGTAGAAAATTATGTATGTTCTCTAATTATCGACGAGATGTTGCGGAGTTTGTATCTCAGGCCATATATATTCTGCGGTACATTTGTCATCACCAATAGATCTTACGCCCTGGAGTTGACATTTGAACCTACCAGTTACTCTACGGTTGTATATAAACTAGGCCGAAATAGGTTACGCACCCTGCAGTAGTCCAAGGCTCACTCAACCACAAGATACGACCACTAATAATCACCGCTACATCAAGTCACAGCCTTGCGATTAATGCTTTACACTACAATGCCTATTCTCGACGCAGAAGCTATTTTTATCCCGTGTCTATAGTCGTGTAACATTGCTATCTTTTGCATTTCAGCATCTGCAGTAAAGCTCATTCGTACAGGATCAAGATGCGTAAACTGATACTTGAGTTCCTTGGAGCGAACGTATAGCCTCTTATAGCAGGACCAAACAACTTTCAAAACAACTTCTCTTACACCCGCCGGTGTAAATTCGCCGGTACATGGGATTGTACCCTGCCTGCACGTCCTTCGACAAGAAAAGCTTGGTTGAACGCCGACCAACGTTCTGGACGCTATTCGTCCGCTTCTCTACTTAATGATCTCAATGATCGTGACCCCTACAAGACTACTCCCACAGCCACCACCACCTCCGTCACGACTGATATTTGCAAACTGCATGTGTAGCAGACCGGCGTCACAAGCGCAGAACTGGCTCGTTATGAAAAGAAACGTTCCACTATCTAGGCTCAGCTGTTGGGTTGTTTGTGGCCGGTGAGGTCGGGCCTCCCACACTCCCGCCTCCCAGCTCAGTTTCCGCCCCCAAATTTTCCAGGAGACACCGTCCGATGCCCTAGGCTACCATCAACGAATCGTTGACCCTGCCTTGCGCCTAGCAAGGAAGAGGCGCACGCAAATGGGTCCCGTTTTCTGCCCTAGTTCCAGTCCCACAGATGCTGGGTGCGGGATTGCTCGTACTAATTGAGCATTCGCCCGTATGGGGAGTCGTGAACATATCAGCATTCGTTACTACTCTTCTTCTTATTTGCCACTTTACAGACTCCATTTCTGTGATTATAGTCTGCTCTCTGTTGTATCGCTATTTCAATAGTTTCCTACGACGTACTCCTGTATTACAGTCTTGCTACTTGTACTCAGGCCCGAGTGATTGCACCGCATAACGTGGACATTGTTGGGGGCCGTATCAGGAGGCTCAGGAGGCTTTCACTCAAACAAGCATTTTTTCCAGTAACCCCAGGAAACATTTTTACTTCGCTATAGGGTCTGTTTGCTATTTAAAGTCCCCTTGGTTCCCGAGGAGGTGCCTTTACGACCTTTTTTGCGACATCTGATTCAGTAACACTTGATCTACGGTGTACCGCGTTTAAACAAGTGCGGCTCTTTACTGATCAGTAAAAATGGATCGGCACCTGCTGTCACCGGATAGCGCGAAATCACCAATTCAAGGTTTCGTTGGTGCGGGCGTTAAAAGGAGGGATACCAATGACAGTATCTCAGATGAACAACAATTTGAGACACGAGTTAGCAGAGGAGACACACAGCGAGGCGAGCGACGAGACTCAGACTATGGCCATGCTCCAGATTCGCCACCTTCCCCACCTGAACCTCTGTATGACTCTCCGAACTATCCCACTGATGGAGATATTTCGATGCAGAATATGGATCGACCATACTCAATGTCGCCCGGGACAACAAAAGGAGACTATGGATTCGTTGGTGGCCGTTTTGACGAAAGTGACAAGCGCTCGCTTCTATCCACTCCCAAGAAATATGACCACCGCGAGACACGGCTACACCTCTTGAAAAACGGTTCATATCGACTAGTGCTCACCATCATCTTCTGCGTACTCATCGCCTTCTCTCTAAAGTGCTACGAAGGCTTCGGCAAACCCAGGATTCTCGGCAAGACTAGGGTACGTTGGTTCAATGCCCTCATGATTGGACTGTCTTTGGCGCTGGGTCTCAATCTAGCATCGTCATTGAAGAGTTATGCCGTTACTCTACGATGGTCCCTCCTCACAAGACGATACGTCTCACTGGAAGTCTTCGACCTGATCCTCAGCCTTGAAACCCTTACCAAAGTAGGAAAACTCATGATCATCTCCTTTCCGGGCGTCCGCAAATTCAAGTTCCTCAAGAAGCTACCGTGGTTCCGCGAAGCACGCGACGACGGGACCAGATTGACATGGCTCGTCTGCCTGCTCTGGCTCATGGTCAACGTCGGCGCCCAAGTTCTCGTGGCCTGCCTGTCGCTCTTCTGGCCCGTGGACCCAGCCGATGCCACGCCTCTGATGAAATTTGGTGACGTCGTCGTCTCCGACCTCAACCAGTGGGCATTGGACCCTATCGTAGACAACCTGAACGCCTCGCATCTGGAGAAGGCATGGTTCGCAGGCAACGAGGCAGCTGCATACCCCTGGTTCTGGGTCAACCAGTCGAAGACCGACTTGAGTTCCCTGGCGGGCCCTCCTTACTATAAGATCGAAGACGCCTACTACGAGTACCGATTCCTCAACCGTAACCCCGATCATGAATTCTCGCAATACCTCGTGTCCTCCAGAACCGTCCACGCCAAGGCAACTTGTGAGGAACTCGTGCTCGAGAGCACTGAGGTCGAGGAAACGGAAGAGGGTGCATTCTTCGTCAATGCAAAGGTATGTGATACCTCTCCCCTTCCTTGAAGCTGCATATCTGGAGTGCGCTACCCTACACTCAATTTACTGACTGTATCATAGAGAGCAGACGCAGGCCCCGATGCCAATTACGACGTATACTGGCTGACAGAAATCACAACCGGCTCGATAAGCTGGATGGCATCTGTATACGAAGGATGCGGCCCTCGATGCACAAACTACACAATCTACCAGCACACCGATCTCAAAGACATAAAAACCCCAGCGCTGTTCCTCTGCGAAAACACGCTGGGAGAAGTCAAAGGTGGAGAAAACGACTTCACCGGACTGAGCGAGCAAGATCGCAAGGCTCTTTACAGCAACGACGAGTTCGCGCGCATTGCCGCCGGCGCCATGGGCTGGACAGGGTACACATTCAACTCGTGGTACGATCGGCAGACGCGAAGCTACACGCGCGGCTCGAAGTGGGCGCCGTACGAGATGATGACGGGAAAGAAGGAGAAGATTGCGGATATGCTAGCGATTTACACGATCGGGGCGATCGCGGCGTTCGACGACCACGGCCTACGGTACACCATCAAGAACCAATGGACGAAGCCCGTGCAGGGTCAGCAGCTGACTGTCGACTGGGCGTGGATCTTCGGACTCCTCGGAGGCATCATACTCATCCAGACGGCCGCTCTGGCAGCGCTGTTGGCGTTCGCGAATAAGTCTATCATCCGAGACGAGAGCCACTTCAGCATGGCGATGCTGCTGAATCCAGTGGTGAGCCGGCTTGGGCAGGAGGGTATGAACATGACGGGAGACGAAATCAAGACCCATCCGAAGTTGCTGTGGAAGAGGATACGATACGATTACCGGGAGGGCAAGGACGGCGAGCCGAACCAGGTGTCTATCTTCTTCCAGGGCAAGGATATGCTGGAGGCGCGGCGAAGTTGGGCGGGTGGCAATTATATATAGACTACATATGCATAAGGATACCCCTGAAATTATTCATAAGGTTTTTTTCCTGCAACTACATATCCATGGCTACTCGTCATTCTGATCAGAAGTGATATCAGGCTATCTCTAAGCTCCAACATCTTCCAACAACACATGACTCTGATAGCATTCTAGGCAATCTGCCTGTCATGTTCTCGTCTCCCATTCATACTGTAATTTTCCCCATTAAGAAACATCCCCTCAAACCATATTCCAGAATCCCACTAAACATTCTCATTCATATAAGCCGTCTTCTTTTGATGATAACTAGAAAGCCTGTGGAAGGCAACAAAAGCTAGAACTAACGTAGTACTGATACAAGTGCGTTAAGAAGAAGAACATACAATGCCATGATACGACAATATACAAGTCAAAAACATATTCTGTATCTAGAATTGCGCCTTCCTTAGCATCATTGCTTAAAGCACAGATACACTACTTTTACATAGACAGGACAGAGAAAGCCATTCCCTTAAAGTACATTTTTCAATAATAATAAGAGTACCTAAATTACTTGATAACGAATCTGTACCATACCACCATACATCTAATTAGACTTGCTTTTGCTATTAAATCGTCTGTCAATGCAGCATTCTGTATATTCTATACTTCTGTCACTACCACTGCAACAATACATCCTCGCCCAAAGCCTCTATATAAAGTATGCACAGTGGTATGTCCTGGGAGACATACAGTATCCTCTATCATATGAAAATATCGGAATGCCAGACAAGCGAGGAAAGGAAGGAGACTGTGTGAACGCACACTGACCAGTCCCTTCCACCGCATATGAGCAATGTCCCATGTATTGATTCTACCATGTGGTTTGTCGCAGTATGTACGTGACTCCTAACGCAATTCCCCTCCTTCTTTGTATATAGTAGGCTACCTATTCATGCTTCTATGTGCGCAATTAGTCTGTATATCTCTATACAATTGACATAGTCAGAGTACCTATTGTTATCAATTATCTATGTGTCCCTATGTTGCTTGTTTAAATCACCCTTTCTTCTAATACGCCTCACTGCATGGCTTTTACGCGTAACCAGTTTTTCTTCTGCTTGTTTACAGTGTATGTCTAGGGGTAGGGCAAGGCAACAAAGAGACGCAGCCACTGCTTCCTATGTCGTAGTTAGATAATGCGTAT